TCTGAAAGGGTTCACTGAAGGTATGACGTAAGGGTTGTGATCCGGTGAAGCCAAAGGGTTCACAACAAGATAATGATCTGGTCTCAATGTTCACTTGGTCTGAGCAATCGTAGCGAACAAGTTGTATTGCTTACTGAGGAAGTCCCGGACTCCCTCAACGAGTGACTAGCTAGTTATCTATATACTCAGTGGCTTCGTTGTTTCTGATGTTCCTTTGTACCTGGATCGTCTGGATCGTTGGTTGTTCCGCACGATCCAGCCTTGATTGGTCCGTACCTCATACTGAGTGATTGGCTGGTGGTGCGTCCTGCGCCCCACCCACATGTGCCACGGGCCGCCTTCCTCGGCCTGGTTCGTGACACCCACACCTGTCCCGGACCCGGCTCGGAGGTGGAGCGCGCACATCAGGGGGGGGAGGGACATCAGGATATAAGGAGCCCTGAGCAAGGCATAACCCCAAGTAGTTCTCTTTCTGTAAGCTTTCTCAATAACATAATAAAACGCCTATCTGCATTCCGCCATAGGGCCAGTTCCTCACAGGTACCCTGTACCTTGATCGTAGTGATCGCATCGCGACCCCCCCGACCGTCTTCCTGGTGTTTCGGGTGATCCGCCGGTCGCTTCAGCGATAGAGGGCCAGAGCGAAGGCATTACAAGGAAACCAGAGTATAGGAAGGCCAGGGCGAAAGTAGCACGTTATCATCGTAAAAGTAGAGGGCAAGGCGAGAGGAAGGGAAAGTATAAGTAGGAATGCCTCGTCCCCGAGGAAGAAGGTTAGAGGGTTCAGAGTTCAATTCCATCACTGTATTGACCTCAGGATATTACTACGAATTCACTGTGACTCCCTTGCACTCTCCTCACTCTTAGTGTCAACCCTTGAGTCTCTCCTGATTCTCACATTCGATATACGCCATCTTGCATTGACGAAGACATAGTCGAAAAATGAGCTTATTTGGCCAAAGGTTGACTGAGTTATGGTAAGTTGAAGATAAGGTGGTTGAAGAAGCGGTGTGGTTTGCCAAGTGGGCGAAATGTGGTGGGGGGGGGGGGGGGGGGGGGGGGGGGGGGGGGGGGGAGATCTAGGGTGTCCGACTTATAGCGAATGCCAACAGCAAACGACCAGGGCTTCAGGTAATATGCATGTATAAACCTCCCAATGCTATTTCCATGCCTAGCTAACTATTGTTGGAACCAATAGATGGAAGACTAGGAGCATCTGGATGACTGCACAACTGCTTCAACTAATGATGTGTTGATTGATTGAACTGTAGGAGTCTTGCCCTGGTTCTAAAAGTATTTACTAGTTCCCGTGGGGCCTAATTTCCACCCGCAATTTCGGCCCGGATACCCGGTGGTTCTGACAACTGCTTATAGAAAGACTTTAGAGAGGTGGAAGTCCAACAGCAGCTCGCACGGCCGTTCGTAGCTCTCTTGTCGGAAGCTGGCCTTGGGGATAAGGCCAGTCAAGGGACTCTAAAAGAGTACGACATTCCAGTGCTATAGAGAGCATTGGTGAATCAGTAACCAGAGGAAAATATAGAAAGGGAAAGCGCATACCAGTCATTTGAGTTATGTGGTCCGGCGTTGCCGGAAAGTTTGGAATCGGCTGTCCAAGAGGGATATGCGGGTTGGGACCGGCTTGGACAGAACGCATGCCGACCAGGGGTGTAGTAGCAGTTCGTACATGGCCGTTTTGCAGTAGGGCCCGGAAGTTGAACATCCTGTACAGTGAAGTTTAGCAAGATTTCTAATAAAAAGCACAAGCTGACAAGGCCTTACTCGGCGTGGATTTTGCCCAGTGACTGATCAATGGCAGCCAGCTGCTGCTGCATTTGAGCAACCGGGAAGTTGCCACAGCGTGCCAGCTCAGTAGTGAGCTGCTGAACGTGGCCGTTATAGACCTGAACGCCCTGGGAAATTGCGTTTCCTTGGGCAGTCATACCAGCGACGGCGGCATTGATATTTGCGATATTTGGCTGGGGGGCTTCCATTGCTGCGTAATGAAGGGATGGCTGTTCTTCTATTGGTGGAGTTCACTGTCCCGATGTTGTGTTGCCAAGGATGTGGCGTTGTTGTGTTGCCAAGGGTGTGGTTGGGTCTGAGGTTTTGTGCGCGGATGTTTTTGTTTAGATACGTCGAGGCGCGTTGAAGTAATGCGGTGGTTCGTGCGCTAGACGGGGGTCTTTCTGGAGTGGACACCAATAAAATTTTATTCGATCTCCGGGTTTCCTTGTCCGGAATACGGAGTACACAGTACTTGTGGCAAACCTGCCTCGCGGTTCGTTGGCTGGTCTGACGAAAAGCGGGGCAGGTGGGGGGTTGCCCCGAGTACGGTACACGTACTCCGCATCCTTGCGTCTCCTGTGGTGAGGTACCGAGTACCTGGCTGCGACGAAGCGCCCCGCACTGTTGAGGTACCCGAAAATGGCGGGCCTGCCCTGCCAAATTCGGCGGCCAGAACAGCAAGTTCTTGACTTAGCTGTAAAAGGTTGTCGAAGTAAATCATAGCTACATAACCCGCGATCCCCCAGAATTGTTCCCAACTATATCCCGAGTAATTATCTTCCTATGTAGCGCGTATCTCTTTTTGCTTCGCAATCAAACGCCCTACAGGGTGATGATGAGTAACCCGGTAGCAGATCCCCAGCGCCTCACTGTCTGCCGTTCCAGTCGCTGCTCCAAATAAATGTCCGGCAACGAAACTCTGTTCCTTGCTCTTTGTCTCCAGTCGGGCCTAACGGGCGAGGGCACATAAAGAAAGACCTGCCTGTGCATCGAGTCAGTACAATTATTCAATCAATGAGCGTGTTAAAAACTGGCGGCGCGAAGACGAAGGTGGAGAGGACGTGACGTAATTGAGGCCGTAGTGACTGGTTCTCGGTCGATTCTAGCGCGAGAGTAGAACGAGAGATGGGAAACTGGGGAGATACATACCGCAATTGATGCCCGGTTTCTTAGTGACGAGGCTTTGGCAGTCGTCGCCGTGTTCACATTTAGGCACAACGCGTTTGCCGAGCAGTTTTGACCACGACTCTTTAGCCTCGATCGGATCAAACACCTTATCCGAGGGGCTTCCTGGCTTTTGGCTACTTTCGCTTGTTTTCTGATCGTCAAGTTCAGCCGAGGGTGCTTCAATCGTCGCGATTCTTTGGCTATCGTGTGGTCCGGGGTTCGCTGGAGAGTTGGTTGAATTCGCAGCTGCCTTTGCTGGGTTAGTACTGGCAGCTGCGCCTGAGTCTTTGGGTTTGAAAAAGCCCTTTAAGCTGCTTTGTGAGCGGCCGAGTGTTGATCTCGCTAAGCTGCCTTTGTCGGGTATGAGCTTTCCCTTCTTCTGCGGGCGAGTCGGGGTAACGGCGGAGGTCGCCTGCCGCTTTGGTGGAAGAGCATGTGTTGGAGATGCTGAGGAACTGATGCTTTGATTTTTGTCCGTGGATTCCGTTGTGCTTATCAGTGCTTGTCCAGAGGACTGTGACACTACGGAGGTGCTTTTTCCATCGAGTTCCTTATCGTTGACGCTTGGGTGTGTAACCTCTGGTACGGTCGATATCTTCTGCGAGTTTTCCTCCGTCGCCTTCTGTTTTGTGGCCGCTGATGGTGTGGCTCTCTTGAAGAACATGTCCTTGATACTTTGGCGGCGGTCAAATTCCGGAATGAGCTTGGCAGACATTGGAAGAAGGTCTTTGGCGGACCATTCTCGCTGGCGTTGGGCGTTTTCGAACATCCCCGTCGGGTTCATGACGTCCTCGATGGGCACCTTGCTGTTGCCAACGCTGACCGTATCGCTGATCGTGGCGTATACGGGGCAGTGGTCGGATCCTAGCAAGCCCTCTTGGATGTTGGAATCAACAAACCAGTCCTTGATCCCGGAGCTACAGAGAACGTAATCGATCCGACTCCCAAAGTTACCAGGACGGGCGTTTTTTCTGGTGTCCCAGCACGTGTACATGCCAGCACGGGTTGGATGAAACTCTCGACAAAGATCCCAGAGAACAGGGTCTTCCCGTTCGCTTTCCCTTTCTGCAGTTTCGCGCCCCCCAAATACGATGTGGTTGAGAAATTGCCGCGAGGGCATCGAAAAGAAATCTTCAAGAGTCATGCCTTCTTTTCGTAGGCGCTCCGCCAAGCCCGCGGTGTCCATCTCGGACCGTACAATGTTAAGGTCTCCACAAAGGAAGACTTGTTTCCCCATCGCAACGAGGTTTCGAACCCTCACATTCATCGCATCGATGTATGCCTCGCGGAACTCCGTCCGTGTCTCGTCTCGTGTGGCGGGGCTGTAGACTCCAATGAGAACGAAGGCAGGGAACTCTAGAATGACGCAACGGCCCTCAGAGTCTAGCGTTTGTTCATCAACTGAATCCGAGAGCTGTCCGGATGTTGGGTATCCACCAATCTGCTGATCGACGGGGAGATCACGGTATGCGGTGGAAGAGTTTGGAGCACAGAGAGCCCCGGTCATGCCTTCTTCAGCGCGGATTGGGCAACACTTGGAAGAACGAGTATAGATGGCCACTCCGGAGTATCCTACAAAGTTAAGTTAGAACATTTTGCAGAAGAATGCAACTACAATCCAACCGTCGCAAACCTTTTTTGTACTTTGGAAGGCTGAAGAATACATCCCAGCCTGGGACTAGCACCATATCGTCCCTGAGATCCTTTCGTTGAATCTTGGTCTCCTGCATCACTACGATGTCTGCCTCCAGTGTATCAAACATCGCCTACTGAATGTTAGTTGAGGTTTGGTGATGTGGAAAGGGTTCCATTACCTGGAACGTGCGGTTTTCCCGCCATGGTTGGTATGAGAACGGGTTTCTGATACCGTTGACTGGCATCACATTAGTTAATAAACCAATACACGGCATTATCGAGCAGGATAGCCCACCGTTCCACGTTGTGATCCGAAGAGGCATCTTGGCTGCGGCTTAGCGAATGTCGAATTCAAGCCGGTGGCCCTGACTCCTACTGTTCCGAAGTGACCCAGGGTAAACGGCTCAAATCTCGCCTAGCCTAAGGGCCAGAAATCTTATACTGATACGCCGTGCTCAGATTTCAATAATAGGAGTCAAGGCTGGGAAGGTTTGAAATCAGGATCAAGATACACGAGCTGGAAACCACTTGGAGGTCAAGGGCGAATGGAAGTCGAGTTTTGTGTTCAAGACACGCAACACAAGCACTTTTTGCAGCTGCCTTTCGATAAGAGGTCCTTTGATCCTCTAACCAACCGAGCTGGTAGGAAATAAATCAACAAATGCCTATTCATTTCGGCACCGACAAAGGTCCTAAGACCGAAATGCTCACACGAGTGGAAGTGTCGCGGCAAACGCAGGTGCCAGGCGCGAGATCACCTGATCACCAACGGGCAGGCGCATTATGTCATCAAGCTTTCTCACTGCCAAGCTTTGCCACCAACCCGAAGTTCTGCAGGATGCCAGGAAGCAAGCTGATTGGAACTGACCTCACGACCCAGAAAAGTGGGCCCAGTTGCTTCACCCTGCACTCCTCTTTGCTTCCGAACCCCAGTCCGTTCGAAGCTCCCGCCCGCAATTGACCACAGCAGCAAACGAACGACAATCTACCCCCGGAATCGAGCCCGCCCGCCCTAAAACATGTCGTTCGTCACCATGTTTGCGCAGCGCCAGGTTGCCCGCGCCGCCCAGCGCTTCAGCACGCAGGTCCGCGGCCAGGCCCAGCGCCGCCTTGCGAGCACCACCGAGACACCTTTCGTTCGCGAGCGCCGCCATGTCAAGGAGCACGCCGGTACCACGACCAGTACGAGCCCCCCTCTTTTTTTGTGTTGCTCAATGAATAGAAACTGACGAGTGTGCAGAGCTCTGGCTCAAGATCTCCCTCTAGTATGCCTTCCCTTCTCCCCAGCTCGTCCCATGCGTTGTTTTTGTTGAAGCCCTTTCGTTACAACCCGGAACGACAAGCCGTTTTTTCTGCGGACCACGATAGAGGAGGGGATCTGGGGTAGCTCCAGGCAGTCCTGGGAGGCATGGAAGCTGTAGTACATGGGAATTGGAGCAACTGGAGAAAAGCAGCAGAGGAGCAGGAACCGAAACAAACCACGAGGACCGCATACAAAAACTAAACAGGACTGACGACCGCACACAGCGCCGTACCTCCCGCTCTTCTTCTAGCGAGCGTCAACGCCTACATGCTATGGAACGAGCATTGGGAGCACTGGTCCCACCTGCCCCCTCTCGAGGAGCGCGTCGAATACCCCTACCAGAACATCCGCACCAGGAACTACCAATGGGGCGATGGTGACAAGGTATGTTTGTGTCATACCATGTGTATTCACGGTTGTATGACTCTACGGAAGACTAACGCTTCTGACAGACTGCCTTGTATGTGTCTAACTTGACCCTTCATTTTGGGAGAGGAAAGAATTCGATGAGGATTATGCCTGACTAACCGTGATACACAACAGCTGGAACGACAGTGTCAACTACCACAACAAGGACAAAGTCAAATAAACGGCAAGTCGTGGACTATAGCCTTGGGAAGTGGATCAATGGGGCTGTTGCTATCGTTGGGAGGCTAGCTTGGACGGTGGGGAAGGAAAAGGATGAGGCTACACGACAAACAGACAGTCCATTTGTATATGATCTCTAGAATTGAAGAATCGGGACTCAGGCACCTGGGTCTCTTGAACAAATGCGCCGCTGAGAGTGGCTCCATATCTTACGCATTACTCCGGTTCAGTCCAAATTCATAGGTTGCGGCCAGCTCCCCGCTGCTAACGTCTAATGTCGGCTGGAAGGTGGAGGAGCGGCGGGCTGAAACCCGCATGGGAGGAATCTTGACTAGCCTGTGGTCCCAATCACTTCTCACACCCACGCTTGCTTCTTACATGTGATTATCGCTTCCCCCAAGCCTTCCCTTCGTCCCGTAATCTCAGATACGTGCTCGCACACTCCTCTGCTTTCCCAAGTTCCCCTCCAGCCTTGAAGAGCGCCGCTTTCTTCGCCATCATCTCACACTTTTTGTTCAAATCCTCTACTGCAGAAAACGAATCATACGCCTTGTCCAGCGCAGCATGTGCCAGGCCCATCCGTCTCTGCCACTCGCCCGTCCCTGGATGGCCAGCGATCTCTCCCACCAAACCCACTCTGGCGTCGGCAAGTAAACTGTACAGTACGCCGGCTGTGAATACAACATTTGTCTCGAGACAACGTGGTATGGCTGCAACGAGAAGCCTCTCGGCCGGGCCAAACTCGCCCAGTGCGTTTAGTATGTTTGCCAACGCGCCAACAGCCTCCCAGAGTACACAAACAAGGCGTGACCGCCAGGCCAGGCTGACCGCACGCATCGCAATGGTGAAGCCCTTCTCTGGCCTGCCGGTGGCATCAAACAAGTGGACTTTGGCCAGGAGTAGTCGGATGCGTAGAGCTGAGTCTCGGTTGTCTTCGCGGAGCTCTGACATGAGTCTCTCGATTTTAGTGAAGGCGGCGTCGAAGTACTTGCGCCGGATGAGGGTGTCGATATGAAGCATGTCGATGGTGAATACCATGTCGGCTTCCGTGTCCTCAGCGGCGGTTTGGAGAAGCTGGGAGAGGAGCGCCTCGGCCGATTCCAAATTGTTTCGGTGGATATCCTGGCGCAACTTGAGAACACCACGACAGATGTTCCGGTGTAGGTTAGACTTTGCTGAGCGAGGTGAATTTGCTTCCAACCCTTCAATTTTTCCGTACGCCTCCTTGTACAATCCCCTCGCAGCCAACATTTCGGCCATTTGGCAACTTAGTTTCAGTTTATCGTCCGACAAAGAGGTGTGAACATGACAACGGAGAAAGATCTCACAAATCATGTGGGACATAACAGCCATGCCCAGTCTGCTCCACAAAGCAATCCCCATCGTGGTCTGGGGCCCCAGCATTGACTTGACATTCTTCTCCACGATGATTTGGGAACTTCGGACTATGTTTTCCACGGCGATCGAGACGCTCTCACCGTTGGAAAGGCCCAACTTTGCCTCGCTCAGAAGCGATGAGCTCCACAAAATCCACATTCCCGTCTCTTTCGCCTTAGCGCGGAGGAACGCAAGGAGCTCTTTGCCGCTGCCGAGCATGCTGCCGTCGTCAAGCTCCTTGACTAGTTTTGGGTGTGCTTTGCCAAAATGGTAAAACCAGTTTAGCGCAAAATTGAGGCACGCTGTATCCCGGTTCTCCTTTGCGGTCGAGATTGCTTCAAGCATCGTCGCCACAGCTTCCTTATGACAGCCAAAGTCCGACTGGACAATGGCCAAGTTGAGGAGCGCATACTGATAAAAGAGGCGGTCCCGGTTTTGCATGGTATAGTCAAAATATCGATGTAAATGATCGAAAGCTGCTGGGAATTCGCCCGATCGCCAGGCTTCCGCGAAGCTGCCTTGAGTTAGCTTTGAATCGGGCGAAGACAGGGTATGGAAGACAAACTTGATGTAATGAGACAAACTCGGAATGACAATACTGCTTTTCAAGAGTTTCTTAAACTGGTCTCTGATTGTTGGCGGCACCCGAGCTCCATATTCTATCCAAATTAGCGCTATCGTTCATTAAAGGCACCCAGAACAGAATACTTACTTTGTGCCTGCTCTATTTGGAATTCCAGTAGGTTTTCGATGTCGTCGGTACTGACCGAGTTCAGAGCATCATGCTGGCCGTGGAGTAGCATGTTTCCGTAAGCCGCCACGGCAATCTCGTCCGTTTGGGTCCCCCACTCGTGCTCGCCGTCCTGCAACACGGCATCGAAACTGAGGCGTGTATGTTGAGGATTCCGTCGTCTCCAGTACCCGGCTGTCGGCTGGCGATATCTCACAAACAGCTTCCACAGCTCTGCTAGGTGATGAAACTGGAGTTTTGCAGATTCAACGTGCACCTTCCGGGCGAAAACTCCAAATGGTGAGGTGCGCCCAAGAAGGACGCCCGAAGGAGGCTCTTTGCCACGAGCGGCGAGGTCGCGCAGCTCATCTTTCGTCCTCGCCAGGATGCTGGGGAGCTGGGTGAAGAATTCGTTCAAGCTATGAAGAGAGTCGAGCCCCCACAGCCTCTCCAAGAATCTGTCCCACAGGCTCCGTCCGGGAAGGCGATCGACCGCAGCGAAAGGTGTTAAGAGGTCCTCAAAGTGTTGGACCGATAGTGTGAGCTTAATGGTGTTCTCGGCCTTCTTCCATTGTTCGCCTGGGGTGGGAGAGGGCGAAGTCAAATTGCAATCAAGGATATGGGTCGCAAGAAAATTGATCACCGGGACGACGGCATTGCTGGGAACCGCCCCTTCTAGGTAGATTTTGATGAGGACCAGAAGGCCGATTTTGGAGGGTGAGAGATACTGAGACATTGGTTATTTAGCCCACGTTGATGGTGGTGCGCTCGTTGGTGCAATGCTTCATGGAAACGGCTCTTGAAGATAACAAAACCGAGAGGTTTGGGGCTTTGCTCAATCGCTGGGCATTGATATCGTGCACCGTGGAGGAACTGCGTTTGTCAATAATTTTGTTCCGGTGTGCTTGGCAAGACTTGAGGTGCATCGCGCAGAGCAAAATCCGCAGCGGTGCAGTTTGGAAACACAGGAAAAGGTACCTACCAGGTACCTATGGCGGAAAAGTGAGTACTTGTGGGACTTTCGTGGAACCTTCAGGTAACCGAGAGGAAGGTGCGGTGTAGCGATGTAGATGACGGAGTGTTAAGTCGGGCGTTGTTAGCTTTTAGTGTTGCTGTGGGGTACCGTGATGATTGGTGCTAACTCTGGCATTCCCACCACAGCCATGTATTGTAGTTGATGGGTTCCTAAAACGGAAGCATCCCTTGAGTTTAATAAATGAGAATAACAGATCGTGTTACAGGGTTGTAAACGAGAAACATCGTGAAATTAACCCGATTTTGGGGTTCTAATTAATACCTTGGGCCCTTCCGGCTGGGCTTCATACTACCGACGACGATTTGTCGGGGTCGAACCCCCTCCCCCCTTTTCCACTCAGTTTCATCACCCTTCTTTCACTACTCCACGCCCTCGGCGCTCGTACACCGTTGAGCGTTAATCAGAGCGGAAACTATAAGAAAAGAGGTATCACGATATGCATAAAACAAACGAGTGTCAATACCCAGACCTTAACCCATACCTGCCCAATTTCCTAAAGCGCCAATATTCCCTTCTCCATGAAATGCAAATTCACAAATGCCGTCCAATCCCAACAGTAACCAAAGTACACCAAGACCATGTCAAACGGGAACGGTAAATACCAATCAGCGGTGATGGTCTTCTTCAGAGCTTTCCCTGCTGGCCGGGAAAGAGGAGGTCCCTCCAAACCGACCGGACAAAACGCTGTACCAGACATCGTTGCGGTTGACACGCCAGCCGGGTCGGGAGCTCTGAGTGAATGAAGGGCCTCTCTCGAGATCGTCTTCGAGCTGGTTGGGAGAGGGAACCCGCTCCTCCTCGTATGTGTCGGAAGACCCCTCGTCGTTGCTTTCATAGCTGTCTTCCCGGAAAGGCTCATAGTGCGGCCCGGACGAAGTACCCCGTGCGAGGGATCGTACAACGTCGTTTTTGCAAATAGGGCACGTCCGTCGTCTCGTGGTTAGCCACGGCGTTCTGCGTCATGTTAGTAGCGTTTCTCTAGTCGAGATTTCGGAAACCGTGAAAACAACTTACATGCACTCGACGTGAAATTCATGTCCACAGGGAAGGCTCATGACCCTGCTGACACCGTCGATGTATTCCTCCAAACAAACAACGCACTCCACCTGCCTACTCATATGTTTCCTCCATTCACTGGATATTCCGCGCAAGTTCTTTTCGCGGCCTGTCTGCCTCGGGTTTTGCAAAGTGCTACTTGACCCCGAGGCTTCCGATTCAACGGTGTCTGTTGTCGGAGCCTCAGTATATGCCCGCGAAGGACCTTGCAACAATGGGGTTGTAGGCGACGAGCTCGCTGGCGAAGGCGCCCGGGGTGATGGCGAGGGCGACGGAGCGACCGTGTGGTATGTTCGCACCGGCAGACGGTCCACCACGGATTTAGGAGCCCTCCACCTTCGCATCCGGATTTTGACCCGCAAAATAAGAAGCGCGTACACTACCGTTAGTGTTATTAGAGGACTGATCACTAGTACTAATAGGGTGTCGAAGAAAGGGCTGGCGCTGCCCGTTGGCGTGATCGTTACCCAGAGGCCTTCACGACGGTGACCACCGCCGCCGGGAGGAGGTGAAACCGGGGCCGATTGGGCGGTTGCTGGATACGATTTCTCGTGAGGTCCCTTGTCTGTCTCCCCGTCCTTGGGATTGTCGTTGCCGAAGATTTTGGACAAGATCCCACCATGTTGGCTGTCAACTTTCGATTTTTCGGGCCCTGAGGAAGTAGAACCGGCGATGGGACTCGACAGATATTCTCCGCTGCTAGGCTTGACGATCCCGCCCCGAGGCCCAGTACCACTGGCGCGGCCGTTATCGTTCCCGGTCGTTTCCGATTTAGAAGCCTCGTCACTTCCTGACGCTGGTCTAGCGAAAGCAGGGTCGCGCCAGTCTTGTACTCCAATCTGGAAACCGTCGCCGTTCTCTCTGGGAGAGCCCTTGCTTTGGGTTGCTTTGCCTTGGCTGCCTTTAGGAGCTCCGCCATTCCCACCATTGAAATCCTTCGCCGAGAGCCAGTCGAGACGCCCACTTGAGGGGGGTCTATTGCTGTCCGGGGATATCTCATGAGTTGCTCCCCAGTGAAAAAGCCGGGAAAAAACTCCTCGTTTGGCGGTGTAGGGTTTGTTCGGTTTGGACACGACATGTTCTCGAGCCGGTGCTACCGCAGCTGGCGCACTCGAAACACGACGCCCCGGCAAAAGCGGTTTCCCGCGACCATCTTGTCTCACTTTCGGGGAGTGTCGGACTTTCAGATACTCACCCTTCTCCGCGATAACATCCTCAATGTAACTTCCGGGTTGCAGGAGAGACGACAGGAGGTGCGCTGTTGTCCGGGATGTAAAGACAGAGGGGATAGTGACATTATCGACGTTGCCCCGAGCAAACATTTGAATCAAAGGACCTCCTCTCTGATTGTCTCCAACAATAAGGGCGATGGCACCGCGTCGTTGAGCCCATTTAACCTTTTCTAGAAACCCGCAACCGCCTCGGCTCAGCAACGCGACCTTGCCGGTTATCTCGGCTGTTTCTTGCATCGACTGGATATCGGCGTGGCCGGCCCTAGAGCTGGGCTCATCTTTGCTGTAGGGGTTTCTCGACTGTGTGACCGCTTGATGGAGATGGTCGTCTGTTCCGTCGTCTAGGCGTTTCGCTTCGATGTGAGAATGCGTCTTCGGGGCTGGGTCCTTTTCGAGATCGTCTATCTTGAGGCCCTTCGTGACACGCGAATGGCTGTTGCTAGACACGCCGTGCATGGCGGCCTTGATGGCTACTCTCAGCCTTCCATCTTCCCACCCCGGAATATCGCTACATCCCAGTTCGCCCTCGCCCTCGCCCTCCTGAAACGTCTCATCGGAGAAGCCGCTTCCAACCCACAGCTGACCACTTAGTCCCTTAGGAGGCAAGGGGGGACCGAACGCCGCTGGACGCGCTGCAAAGAAGGTGCTGTTATCATCGGTGAGGCTGATCGCGGCGCTCGGCGGAAAGAGAGAAAACGGTGCAGTGAAGGAGAAGAAGGCCCCCAGCGACGACTTTCTTGGCGACGACGACGACGTCACGACAGGGTTTGGGTGGCGGATCGAGCTGATGGACCGACAGAGCAGAAAGAGAGATGCGGCGAAGAAGAGGACGATGATGGCGATCCGCGGCGGCCGCATCGTGGGATTGTCACGCAATCAATTGGCAAATTTGGGTTGGTTAACCAAGGTAGTTCGGTAGGATGGTTCTGTTTGATGGAGCGATTTGATAAGGACGCGCGTTTCAATAAAGGGATGCGATGGCACTGCTCGCAGAGTCAGGCCGCGTCGCCGGTAGTCATTTGCTTGAATAACGTGCCTAATTCGCGGTACGCAATAAAGAAACCTGTGATGACTATTGCCGTTGGGGAGCGAAGGTTGAAGAGTGGAATGAATGACGAGCTGTGCCCCCAAGGGCTTGTGATAGCAGCAGTAGGTGGGGCGAGCGTGCCACGACCACCTGCCCGGGTTATGCAGCGCCTTCGCACGGGGGTGACAACGCCCAACTGAAACAGCAAGAAGTACAGCTACAAAATCGCTCCTTAGCATCATGCCATCCATTCGAATATGTCGGAAGCCCTCCTGCAAAAGATTGGAGACCCGGAAGTACCGGTACAAGAGACATCCCTTTTTGGAAGCGGACAGGGATCAACGTTCCCCGCATTCTTCCGTGGAGGTCTGGAGGGCCATGTCCAGAAGCAGGGCCTGACCAGTGAGCCAGTGAATGAAGGCACCTGCTCTGCGACCCCACGACAAGAACCGTTCCTCCCCCTGTACCCGACACTACCCACTTCCCTCGAACGTGCTTCTTTGCCAGATTTGCTGCTGTCGGGTGCTTGGGGAAACGAAATAGCAGAGTAAACGCCAGAAGAAGGGCGATGGTGGATGGCGGTGTGAGATGTTGCCCTTTTGCACGGTGGGCAAGGATTTATTGAATCGATAACCTCGTTGAACATTGCGAACTCCTGCCAAAGATCAGGCCCAGGGATTCTACAAAGTATCAACTCTCGGTCGCTTCGAAGGGGGGTCCTGTCCATATTCAACCCTAACCCGCGCTTGATCTTTAAATCGGCAGGTACAGGGATCCAAAAATTACACTGAGTGATGCTCTCAGGTGTTCGAGTTAGTGGAAGGCAAACCTAGATTTCGAAGAGCATGGAATATCTTAAATCATCAACCTCCCCCCGAAATATTATTGGGCAATTTTTTGGCAATGGGATCTGTGTCTCTGTGTTCAGTGTTTCGGGTGGGGCATTGGGCCAGAGCCATTGTCGATTTGACTCATGCAGTGACTCCTCCCAATCTGGAAGCGGCAGAAATTCCTGCAAGGATAAAAATGCCCCTCCCAACCTTCGGTCGACCTCCTAACCCCTCCTTGCCGAATTGATACCTCTACCACAAGCCCTGGATGCTGAGTCCGTTGCGGCGACTGGCTAGCCTCAGACGGGAACCACAGCTTAAACTGCCTTCTGTCTTTACTCTGCCCCGGCCTCGACATTACTCCCTGCAACGACCAGCGAACATGGCTCCGGACGCGAACGCCTCTGCTGGCCCCGCGCCTGACCCGGCCACGGCGAAGAAGAACGGTGAGCTTCGGCCACATCCCCGTCATATTTTGCGGACACTAAATCGTCACGACGCCCAGAGCAGAAGGAGAAGTCCAAAGCCGATAAGGCAGCCAAATTTGCCGCTAAACAAGCCAAACTGAAGCAACAGCAGCCCCAGCCAAAAGCAGCTGCGCAAGCGACTCCGAAACCTGCGAAGGTCCAAGCCCCCGCGCTTCCCCCTTACAAAGACGAGACCCCCGCCGGCGAGAAGAAGACCATCCAGTCTTTCGACCATCCACATTTCCAAGCCTACAATCCCAAGGCCGTCGAGTCGTCATGGTATCAGTGGTGGGAGAAAAGCGGCTTCTTCCAGCCGCGCCCTGCGCGAACGCCCGAAACTGGCAGATTTGTTATCCCTTTGCCACCGCCTAACGTCACCGGCGCTCTGCACTGCGGTCATGCCTTGGCCAATTCGCTGCAGGACACTTTGATCCGGTGGTATCGGATGAAAGGTTATTCCACGCTCTGGGTCCCTGGCTGCGACCACGCCGGTATCTCCACGCAGTCCGTGGTGGAGAAGATGTTGTGGAGGAAGGAGAAGAAAACACGCCTCGAGCTTGGCCGGGAGAACTTTACGAAGCTCGTCTGGGAGTGGAAGGGGGAATACCATGAGCGGATCAACAATGCTCAGAGACTCATGGGCGGCTCGATGGACTGGTCACGCGAGGCTTTCACCATGGACGAGAATCTCAGTGCGGCGACCATGGAAACCTTCTGTCGGCTCCACGATGAAGGTTACATCTACAGGTCAAATCGTCTCGTTAACTGGTGCACCCACTTGCAGACAGCCCTCAGCTCCGTGGAGGTTGACAACATCGAGGTTTCGGGCCGTACCATGCTCGATGTGCCGGGGTACGATCGGAAGGTTGAGTTTGGCGTTTTAACCTTCTTCAAGTACCCGATCGACGGCACCGATCAGACCATTGAGGTCGCTACCACTCGTCCCGAGACCATGCTTGGTGACAGTGGTATCGCCGTCAGCCCTGGTGACGAACGCTACGCTCACCTGGTGGGCAAGTTCGCCCGTCATCCGTTCACGGATCGGTAAGTAAAATCATCCACGGACCGATCGAGAAACGTTGACGTATTAACGATTCTTAGCCTTCTGCCCATCGTCGAAGACAGCTACGTGGAAAAGGAGTTTGGTACCGGTGCCGTGAAGCTGACACCCGCCCACGACTTCAACGATTATAAATTGGGCGAGCGCCACAAGTTGGAGTTCATCAACATCCTGAATGAGGACGGCACTCTCAACGAGAATGCCGGCCCCCTGTTCCAGGGCCAGAAGCGCTTCAACGCCCGGTATACTGTGGTGGAAGAGCTCACGAAACTCGGGCTTTATGTGAAGAAGGAACCCAACGCCATGACCATTCCGCTTTGCGAGAAGACTAGGGATGTTATTGAACCGTACATGACGCCCCAATGGTGGGTCCGCATGAATGAGATGGCGGAGTCCGCCGTCAGGGTGGTTGAAGAGGGGAAGGTCAAGATCAGCCCAGAGAGTGCCAGGAAGTCCTATGACCGTTGGCTGGCTAATGTCAACGACTGGTGCATTTCTCGCCAGCTTTGGTAAGTTCGGTGCTACCCCTCCTATCCATCACAGTTGCTGATGCCGTCGTTTCAGGTGGGGTCACCGCATTCCAGCCTACCGCGTCATTCTGGAAGGGGAAGAGGACCAAGGCGAAACCGAACAGTCCGTTTGGATCGTCGGCAGAACACCGGAGGAGGCTCAGGAGAAGGCCGCCGCCAAGTACGCCGGGAAGAAGTACCGGCTTGAGCAAGACCCCGACTGCCTTGACACCTGGTTCAGCTCCGGGTTGTGGCCCATGTCTACTCTCGGCTGGCCGAACACGGAAAGCAGCGATTTCAAGAACTTCTTCCCCACGAGCATGCTGGAAACCGGCTGGGACATCTTGTTCTTCTGGGTCATTCGCATGATTATGCTGAGCGTCAAACTAACCGGCGAGGTCCCGTTCACCGAGGTGTACTGCCATTCTCTTATTCGCGACTCCGAGGGCAGGAAGATGAGCAAGTCGTTGGGCAACGTCATCGACCCGCTCGATATCATCAGTGGTATTGAGCTGGAGGACCTCCACGCCAAGCTCCTGACCGGTAACCTCAAGGAAGCCGAGGTTGAGCGTGCGACCAAATACCAGAAGACTGCCTTCCCAGGTGGCATCCCCGAGTGCGGCGCGGACGCTCTCCGGTTCACGCTGCTTTCATACACCACCGGTGGCGGCGATATCAGCTTCGACATCAAGGTCATGCACGCCTATCGCCGCTTCTGCAACAAGGTCTGGCAGGCTAGCAAGTATGTCATGGGTAAACTACCTGCGGATTTTGTTCCCGCCGAGAAGCTTGACACTTCCGCCCTGTCCGTGCCTGAACGTTGGATTCTGCACCGGATGAACTTCGCCGTCACGGGTATCAACGAGGCGCTGGCGGCCCGTCAATTCTCCACTAGCACCAAGCTAGCATACCAGTTCTTTTATGACGAGCTGTGCGATGTGTTCATTGAGAACAGCAAGGGTATCTTGAGCGACGGTACTCCCGAACAACAACAAAGTGTCCAGCAGACCCTGTTCCGCACGCTGGACGTCGCATTGCGTCTCCTCCACCCGTTCATGCCTTATATTACCGAGGAGCTGTGGCAGCGCCTCCCGCGGACCAAGGGAGAGACGGCCCCTTCCATCATGCTGGCCCATTACCCCGAGCCCGACAGCGCGCTGGAATTTGCGTCGGATGCTGAGGACTACGAGTTGGGTCTGAAGTGTGCTGGTGGCCTCCGATCTCTGGCTGCTGACTACAACATCAAGTCGGACGGAACTGGTTTCATCAAGACGTCTACCGCGGCTAGCCTGGAGAAGGTCAGCGCCCAGCTCCAGTCCATCAAGACTCTGTCTGGGAAGGGTGTTTCGGGGGTCGAGGTACTCGGCCCTGACGTCGACGAAGCGTCTGCGCCCAAGGGCTGCGCCGTCTACGTCGTCTCTGCCGATGTGGCGGTTCTCCTCCAGGTCAGCACCCAAATCAAGGACATCGACGCCGAGATCAAGAAGATCAACACGAAGCTGCAAAAGACCAACCTTGCCATCACCAAGCAGCAGGAGTTGATGGGGCGCGAGGGCTTTGAGAAGGTCAGCGACGTGGTCCTTACCGCGGAGAAGAAGAAGCTCGCCGATGCCCAGGCGGCGAAGGAGAACTTTGAGCGGACGCTGGCCGAGTTCAGCAAGTTGAAGCTGTGAAACAAGTGAAAATGTTAGATTTGTGAGCAAACGTGTAATTTACAGGAGATCTTTCTCTCCTTCCTTTGCCCTAGACAGTACCAAATGTGAAATGTGACAGTCATGTGTGTTTTACCGTCTGCAAATGTGTTTCATGAAGTCTAGGTTGAGAAGAAGCAAGGGGCATGCGCTGAGACCTAGCAACTCTCATCATCATCTCAACAACTCCGGAAGTGCGACGTTTTAAGGTCGCTTTTCAATTTCTTCAATAAACGGCCCTAAATCCCAGGCGGAAATAGAGTAATAATTCCGGTGTCAATGGAAAATTATCCGAGTTTTCTGACAAACTCCGAGATATTGCCCGACATAAACCTCGGGTAGATCCGACCTTTCACCCACGTTGGCGGCGGTGTTGAGGGGTGTGCCAAGCCTGGGGTGGGCCATTGTGGATTCCAGCCACTAGTGGCGGTGCATAATGTGGCTAAATTTTCGGCAGCCCTAACCAAGGAAATCGCTTGGCCACACATTCCCAAAATTTCGCGATCTGTTGACCCGTGAGAACCTGCAACACCCAGAACGACCCGCTTGTCGCCAACGACACAGGTAAGTTTGACAACCCACATACTTTAGCTCCTACTTGCAGAACTAATCTTCCTTTTTTTCATAGAGACACCGCCAAAATGAGTACGTTAAAACCCCTCGCAATGCGATCGTCGATTCCTCCCTAGTACCGGCCAACCCCCTCCCCCGATTGTCCGAACCTTCAGCGATGTGTACCACGGCTCCATATGTATTCTGGCCTCTGTGGAAGGGTTCAATCTGTTGGGGAATATATTGGTCTGGTTGAGGGGACATGAATGGGAGCAGTTGTGCTGACGGTCAACACCAGCCAAGGGTACCTCCAGCTTCGGCAAGCGGTATGTCTTTTTGATGCACAGAATTTATCGCCAGGAGCTTGCATACTGACCTTGACTCACAGCCACAACAAGACCCACGGTCTCTGCAGACGTTGCGGGTAAGTTGATACAAATATCCTCGAATTAGACGGACGAGACGAAGCGATCCTACGATTCTGCGAAAGCGACGAACCACGATGCGCAACGGACGAACCGAGTGCTAACAAGATTGCCAGCCGTCGGTCTCTCCACAACCAGAAGAAGACATGCGCCTCGTGCGGCTACCCTGCTGCTAAGACTCGCAAGTGTACGTTGCTCTCAACCAGCCTTTTATCTTAATAATGCAGCCTATGTCGAGGAGGAGGAGGAGGAGCACCGGCTGACAGCACACTGCAGACAACTGGTCCGAGAAGGCGAAGCGCAGAAAGGTCACCGGTACCGGCCGGATGCGGTACCTCAGCACAGTCTCGAGGAAGTTCAAGAACGGCTTCCAGACCGGCGTCCCCAAGGGCGCTCAAGGCGCTACGGCTACCCCTTCTTCATAATTGTCGGGCATCGTGATGGATAGGGACGTGGGCAACGGGATGGATCGTTTTCGGCGGGGGGTGTAACGATGGCTGGTCACTTTTGGGGGAAGGACCTACTCGGATCTCGCTGCTACATCACAAATGGCATGATTTCGCGCGCGTGGGACTCGGTTCAACGGTCGATTCATCGAGGACAGGTCATGAAAAACGGCGTAACGTTTGGGCTCAATCACACAAATTCTTTTTTTCCGGGCAAGCCACGTGTGAGAGGGCAGAGGACCTTGGTCTCCGAAGGTGCAAGCAGGCAAGCAGTGATGAGCAACATGGCCACCGGCTTCCGATCGGCCAACCTTATATCTCCAGCAGGCTAGCGTTGGGGAAATGGAAGCGGCACTCGGGCCACAAACGAGGAGGGGGTATCATCTGTACTATTGGCCTCGTTCAAATACCCTAACACCACCGTCTCCTCCCACATGGTAGAGGTATTCATGATCCTCGGCGTTGGCTCCCTTGTGCGTGATCCTGATGACACCGCTCACGTCTTTGGCGGCGCCCGTGTCGAGGAGTCTCAGACTGAGAATCGTATCGGCCTCGTGCGCTAGACTCAGCGCGAACCAAGCGTGTTGCTTCTCCAATGTTGTCTCGTGCTCTCTGATGAGCGGATCGTCGCCAGCTAGGGTGACGATCACAGCATGTGTTTTCTGTTTCTGTGTTTAGTTCTTTGCATCATGAAACCCCCTATCAGTAAACCCCACCAAGATCAACTTACCTCCCTCCATTCCATCACCATCGTCTTCACCGCCTCCGCTGTCCCAGCTTCCCCCCGATTACTCCCTGGTCCTACGCTCGGGTATGGATCCAGCGCAGCGAGGACGAAATCCAACCCGTCTATCACCAACACCACTTTCCTCCCCTCTCCGTCCTCATTACCACCACTAGCAACACTAGCTGCCCGTTTACCCAACACACCCACGCCCTCCAAGACCACCCGCCCAATCTCCCCCGGCACAGCACTCGTCAACGTCCTCTGCCACTCAACCTGTCGTTTCTGCGCCGTCCCCGTCCCCGTTGCGGTCAACTGCTGCTGCTGTTCCTGCTGCTGTGACAACCCCCCCCCAAACAACCCCCCCAACCCATCCACATACCCAAACCTCCCCCTGCGCGCAGCCGCATCCAAATCCACCCCCAACCGGGCAAGATTCTCCTTCCAAAACGCTCGATCGCGGAGAAAGCTGACTAGCAGAACGGCCGTGTCTCCGCCTCCGTTTGCTTCTGGCGTCTCTCCGTTCTTTCCTATCCCTGGTGACGGCAGTGGGGTCGAGGTCGAGGGTTTGAGGAGGGAGTGCAGATGACGGAGGACGAGCCAGTTTGTGCTCGCGCCTAGGACGCTGGTGAGCAGGAGGAGGGTGGATTCTGGGGGGAGGGAGAGATAGGGTTCTAGGAGGTGGGGGGTGCGTAGGCTCATGGTTTGTTTGGTGGTTTGTTTTGGTTTGTTGGGCTGTCTGGTTTATGGGGTTGTTTCTCTTTAGCTTGTATTGCGTGCTTGTTGGTCTTGTCTCAGGTGGGTGAGACTTTGGAGAGAGAGTTTGGTGGGGGATTTTGATGATGTTTTGGTGATGGTGGAAAAGAAGTACAGTGTGGAGGGGTAATCATCGGGGGTCTTTTCTTTAGTGGGGGTGGGGTCTAACGCTAACGTTAAAACAACCAAGATATTCAAGCAGATCTGTAAGTCAGACATCACGACATCAAGGGATAATATGTTGTTTTATGGTCAAATCAGGAAGAAAACGCTGTGTATTCCAAAAGACGTTTATGCTATGCCAAAGTCTGCCAGGCCATGCTTCGTATGCCCTCATGATTAACCACGAACCGCTAAAAATCAGATCTCAGCCTAAACGCCGTCTTGTGTCCCAAAAATGCAGATTCCAGCGAATGTGTCTTGTACCAGATGCGGTGCTATGCCATGCAAACGCCCATCCCAGAAAATAAAATAAAATAAAAACAATAAAGATAACCACCCTCCGAGTTCGTTACTGTGTAAACCGTAGAAAATAAAACTCCGCTCAAAACGACTTAGAACCTCTCCATGAAGTTCCTCCGCACCGTCCACATGCGCAACCGCTTCCCAAAGATATACATCGGAATGGTAAACAGCAACAAAATCAGCTGAATGACCCCAATCCAGATGTACACCGACTTGGGCCCATCACTCGAGATCCATCCGGTAACAAACAAACTAAACACCAACCCATGCAAGACATTCTTGCTAAAGTTCAACGTAACCAGCGCCTCGCCCGCATACTGCCGATAACTGTCGACGCAAAAAGTAATGCTCGTCGTCGACCCCATCGTACACCCAAACGAGATAATCCCAAAAAACGCCGTCGGCACCATCCAATGATCATGGATCTGCGCCGACCACCCAAACCCCATCAGCCCAATCACCGTCGTCACCGCGATCGGGATCGCCATCACCAACCGAAACTCGGGCTCATACAACCCGCCATTCCTCCTCGCCATCGCCTTGGCAATAACGTCCGACACCCGTCCCGCCACCGCACTCCCCAGAATCCCCCCCACAAAGGGGCTAATGTACACCAACCCCGTCTGCAACGCATTAAACTCGTAGATCCCCTCGCGGTAAATCACGGCCACCGACTCCGAAATCACAATCAACCACCCCACCGAACAGGCATACACCACCGCGGACCAGAGAACGGCGGGGTAGGTGAATAGGATTAAGGGGCGGATGGCGACTTTGTGCCATTTGTCTTTGTTGAGACGGCCGTGGAAGGGCTTGAGGGCTTGGACGAAGGAGAGGGCGGGCTGGTCCCGGAGCGCGGCGGTGTAAGCTAGGGGCATGCCGGTGCCGGGGGCTGCTGCTGTGGAGCGGAAGGAACCGCTGCGGACGGATTGGGATTCGGTGTCGGTTTCGTAGTGGTGGTCGCTGGCGCCGTGGTCGTGGTGGTGGAAGTGGGAGTGGACGGCGGGGGTTTCGGGGGTGCGGGGGGTGTGGGGGGTGCCGGGGACTGTGAGTCTGGCTGCTGCTGCTGCTGCGGCGGGCGAGGGGGGGCGGAGGAAGGTGGTGGTGGTGGTGGTGGGCTGAGGTGGGAAATAGCTGTCGTTTTCGCCGGCTGAGCCCCCCTCTCCAAGGGTCTTGGTCGTCTCGTCTGGATGTTTCTCGTCGGAGGTTTGTTTGTGCTGGACATCGCTAGCCGTCGCCGCCGCTTCGGCTTCCTTCTCAGTAGTGGTCGGGTTGTTCTCGCCGGAACCGCGGTTAGTCGACTCCTCGCTGGAAGCGTCGGCAAACTTTACACCTCCCGGAGGGGCGAAGGCGACGTGCTGGCCCTTGGAGCGAGCGCCAGGGGTAAGGGGTTGGATGGGGTGGTCCGCGGCGTGGTGGTGGTGGTGGATGTCCATCGACGGGCGGGCGGTGGGGATAGGCGTCGCACGGAGGACATCCTGCCGGGACGAAAGCCGGCGGAAGATGCTCGGGCGCGACTTGGACTTCTTCAGCTTGCGGGGAACGGGGGCGCGGTCCCAGAATGTTTCGGGCACGAAGAAGAACAGGAGCAGGCCGCAGACGGTCACCACGATGGCGACAACCCTAGAATAAAGGATTATGATTAGCACCCGTCTGGTTGACAAGACTGGGAACTAGAGAAGAAATAACATACCAAAATACCCAACGCCATCCCATGCTCTGGATAATGGCCGCACTGACAAGTGGCACAAGGTTCTTGCCACCGAGCAGGAGAAGGGTGTAAATTCCAATGCGGAACGCACGCTCGTGGAGGAAGAAAATCTCAGCAATAGTGGCAGACGGCAGACACTCAACCGGGCTAACCGCAATCCCCTGGAAGATACGCGCTAGGATAAGCGAGGTGAAGTTGGGCGATGCAGCACACCAGACAGAGGTGGCGATGTAGAGCACGGCGCCAAAGAGGTAGACGGGCCGCTTGCCGTACAAGATGGCGGTAGGCGAGAAGATGATGGAGCCGAGACCCATGCCCAACATGTACAGCCCCGTCGTGAGAGAGACGCTGTGGACATCGACGTCGTACTCGTTGGCAACGTCCGTGAACCCCGCCGCCAGCAAAGGCGTGGTACCACCGCCGACCATGCAGAACAGGCCCAGGGACAGCAGGGCGATGTCTCGCCTCCATGCGGGCCAGTTGAGGGGGTCGTTGGCCGAGTCCTCGGGCTGGGGGTCCAAGATGAACTTGCCATCTGGCGTCTTCTTGGGGCCCTGCTGCTCCGGCGGCTCCTCCGGTGCTTGGTGGATGATGCCGGTGGGGATGGACGAGTGGGATGTCCTGGCTGGGGCATTCCGGAGACCGAGAGGCTCGTTGTGGTCTGCGGCCAGCAAAAGGACGGAGCCTGGAGATCGGAGTTAGTCATCGATATCTCCCAATTTACCAACAAGCCACGGCCAAGCAGGCCGAATTTCGAATCTCCGGGGTTGACCTACCTGGAACTTCAATCGTCTCCGAGTCTTCCATGATTCCCATCGACCATCTTGATGGACCAGATTTCTGCCGAGAAGCCTTCTCTCCAGCCGCTTTCCGGGTGAAAAGAGAACCCCATGTCCGCCCGGGCGGAGGGGATGGTGCGTCTTGCGTCATGTTTCCTTACTATGCACGCCTGGGTATACGTCAAAAATGCAGGAAAATGATGTGGAACAGAGGGTCAAAACGAAAGGGCTTGAGCGCCCAAAAAAAGATGGAATATGACAAGTGGATGGGTGAAAAAGGCAGATCGGTGTCCGAGGAGTTGGAACTTGGACTAAATCCGGGGGATTTTCTGGAGGTGAAAATAGTCCGCCAACAAAACGGCAACCGGGATCCGTCACGTCCTAAACTCCGGCCGCCCCAGGCTGTGATGCCTGCTCTGGGTGTTGGCTTTCAAGGGAGAGAGAGGAGGGAGGCTTTGACGGCGGGAGCAGGGTTAAGTAGAGATGGCAGAGGGATGAGGGAGGAAAGGGAAAGAAAAAAAGGTCAGATGGGAAGGGAACAATGGAATTCAAGATATATACTACTACACTAGGATCAACGGCCTGAAGCACAAAAAGGGAGGTCATCCAACAGGCGTTGCCGTGGGGTCAGGGTCCTGCAAGGATGTCTTGTGTTCCCGCATCAGCCCATTCCCTCCTCCGGGCATGGATTATGGTGGATGGTAATGCCAAGATCCAACCAAGAAACACCCACGCACACTGACGAAAGCGACATGCGCCCGGCGATCGGGTCATGGGGACTCGCGGGGGGGGGCACTGGGGGCCACTGGGGCTCAGCTGCAAATGCCGGGGATTTGACACATAAGCGTCCAGTGTTGTAGCACATGCGGGCACATGCAGCCAGAGGGTGCGTCTCTCTCTCTCTGTTTCGTTATCCATATCGGTCTTGTTGGTGAGAGCTAGTGCATGGAGTGGAGGATGAGTGGAAACAATCCTCGGATGGCCGGGAACAGTTCAGTTCAGTTTGCTCCCTGCAACTTCTGCAACCTCCAACCACACTACACCAGGGTGCTTTGTCGACGCAAACTACACTAGGTATCGGGGCATGGAATCTGCAAGTCCGGTGTGCCCAACACGCAGGAAGCCAGGACGAAAGCAGGGAAGAGACCCGTCAGATCGGACGGGGCGGCACAGCATTGTGTGTGTATGGTGTATGGTGTTGGCTTTTTAGGTTAGAAGGGCAAAATAACAACGGGCAACGGCGGGCGGCGCGGCTGTTCATGCCATCCATGTCATCCACCTCTGCCATCCAGGCCCCGATGGGAGGAGAATGAGATCGTGACCGCTTCTGCGACAAGTCGAACGAGGATAGCCCCGCAAAACCATCCCCCCATGTAGATAATGGGTCATCCACGGAAGGCGGGTATCCTCTTTCCCCTCACGCCCGCCTTTGGCGCAGGAAAAGAGCAACGTTAACCAAAAGACGGATAACTTTGAAAGGGAAGCCCGAGATTCAAGGTGTGGGCTCCGTGTTTTGGATCGGAACAGCGCTGTGGGCCCTTTCCCCGCCGGAAACGCCGCCAGACAGGCCCACTTGTCACTGTGAATCAGTGGAAAATTCCCCGGATGTTCTGGTGGACCGCTGCGTGACGGGCTCTTCTCCAGTGGCCCGATGCAGGCTCTGAATCAAATTTGGTCAAACCACGAGTCCACGATCAAACCAGCACTTCCGAGGACAAGACAAACGGCGCAGAATGCGCGTGGCAATGCAAAATAGAGACATGGCTGCCTGAGGTGCGGAGGGGTTCGAGAACGACCACGGGAGTTCTTTTAGGATCGCCAACGCGCTTGTTGCGCCGCATCGTCCGGATCCGGGTTGCTGCCGTTGGTGACCAGCCTCGAGAGGACCCCTTGGGATGCACAATGACGATGGCCAAGAACCGCCGGCGCATGACTGGCGAGCGGCGAGCACCTGGGCATTGAGGGCACTGGTTGACTGGGCAGTCGTGAAAATCCGAGGGCAAACGGGCACATGCCGCGAATATTTCGGCCAATTTCTATTAATACTCAAAACGGACAGGAGTGACTTGCCTTGCTTGCCGAATCCTAAAGCTCTTGGAAGATCAAAACCAAGACTACACCGCTCATATGACGAGACGCCCAGGTTCCAGAAGGGTTAACGTCTCCTGTGATATGTATGGACTGGAGACAGAGAGGGTCCAATGGAGACGGAGCCCGGACTCCATGACCGAAATTCGACGTTGGGTTGGTGTGCGGACGCGCCAAGTCTCCCCGCCCTCAACAATCGCACGTGGGGGCGCTCTCGCCCATCATGCAACGTTGAGGCGAAAACGGTTCCGTACGGATGTTTGTAAACCCACGTGTAATTTTCGTGTATGGAACTCCCGGTTTGTTGAACGATGATCTCATCCAGCCCGAGCTAGTGTAGTCTTCCAGTCAGTCTTGCCAGTCTCGTTGGTTAAGTTTCAGGAAATGTTTCAGCAGCTTTTGAGATCGGCAGCATCAACACCCAATTGACAATTTTCACCCTTCATTTCACCATAACAACCTGGTGGTGTGATAGTTAGCCACTTAGCCTCGCACCGTTGTTTGGACGTGGCAGGGGTATTCAGGACAAGACAGTCAGCCATCTTCACCATGCAACTCCTGAGACCACGTCTCGTACACGCCGAGCGGCAGCTCCTCCGGGCAAAGGGCCTCATCCAGCCTTGCCAACCTAGCGTGCACAGCTATCCCGTGGCGAGCCGACGGTTTTCAACCTCCCGCCAAGCACGGGCAAAAAACCAGGTTTACGCCCCGTAAGTATTCACTGTTCAAAAAAATAAAATAAAATCTTCAAAAATACTCGTGAAACTGACCACACCACTAGAGTCCGCAACCTCGACCAATTCCACACCTACCAGCTCCTCTCCTCCTCCTCCCGCACCCCCCTCCTAACCCTCTGGACAACCTCCTACTGCACCACCTGCCGCGTCGTCACACCCCTCCTGCACCAACTCATCGAAACCGGCGTGGGCGAGTCCGAAGGCGGCGTCGGCTTCTGCACCGTCGAGTATGACCACCCGGATGTGATGTCGGCCGGGCTGGGCCTGACCTACATGATCAACTCCATCCCGACGCTGCTGAGTTTTGATGCGGGCGAGGCGCAGGTGCAGACTAAGGTCTCGGATGGGAAGAAACTGGCGGATCGGGGGTTTTTGGAGGAGTGGATTCGGAATGAGGCGAGGAGGCATGGGAATCGTGGAGGTGGAGGGCCGGGTGGGGGGTCGAATTTCTTGACGAGTATCTTTGGGAGGTCGTGATACGTGGGACGATAGTAACTAGTTAAAGTGAGAGGCTCAAGCAACTGTTGTCTACTACGTAGTCATACAGACTTGTACTCCGAGATTTGCCGACTTATGAGGACTCGGATATTGGACATATCACAACAGCTGTATATTTGCGCCTGCTCGTGGATCTCGGGCTAGTATAAATTAATACCGATGCCGCGAAGCCCGCGAAGCCGCCGGTATATCACTGGGGGATGTTGACTCACAACGGCGGTCTAGAACGAGTCGAAGTCTTGGTGGTATGACCATCGACTGAAAATGCACGATCAACCGCGGCCGCTGCCGAGACAGCAAGAAAGCTTGACGTCCATCCCACCAGTAGAGAAAGAGAGAAAGGAGTTGTATCACCAGCGGGACAGATGAGACATGTCTTGTGATTCTTCTCATGCTTCGACAAACATATACCATTGGTCGTTACGGGATTTACCCCGAGACTTTGCAGCCCGTTTATCGTAGTCTTCCGAGGTGACAAGCAGCGAGTGAATCTCTGTATGTACAAAGTAGGGGATATCTCGGCGACTCTTCGCGGGGCTGGGATGTGTCTCGGAGAGTGGGAGACCAAAAATAAAGTATTTCGAAGCCGCCGTGGGAACACCGATGCCAATAACTTTAACTTGGTTGTATAACACAATCTACTATCCGGTCCCGAAGTCGGTCTTGCAGCAGATGCCGCGATCCGTTGTCCTGTAGGACCTGACCCTACTAACCGCCCAGACATGCCCTCAAATGATAAATTGCCACGTCAGTCAACAAGTCTTTATAGCTGATACTCGAAGACAACCCAATTCTTCCTTGTCTCAAAAATGAACTCCCGCAACGCCCAATATCCCTGTCGTACTATCCCATTCCAATGTGCCACTCCCCTCCATGCTATGGACTCCAATACCAAAGAACCAACCCAGAAACGATCTACCCCTTCAAATCCAACACCTGCCGTAACACCGCCTCGGAAGCTCTAAACCACCTCCCCCTAGCCTCCAACTCATCCTCCATCCCCCCCTGCGCACCCTCCCTCCTCCTCTTCGCCTCCCTCGCCGCAACCGCACTATTCTCCCTCCTCTTCTCCAACCCCCCTACCTCCGCCCTCAACCGTTCCACCTCCTTCCTCTTCCTCGGCACCTGTTGTCCCCCCAACACCTCCACCGCCCTCTCCACCCTCCCTAACTCCCCCCTTCTCTCCTCCACCACCGCCCGCGTCCTCCCCAACGGCATCGCCATCTCCGGTCTCGACCCAGGCACCGCAGCCAACCTCTCTTTTTGCTGTTCCCTTAACGCCGCCACGCGGGCCTCCAGTTCCGCGATCGTATCCGGTAAGTGAACAGCTACCTCCATCTCCCCCCGTACCCTCTCCAACCTCCCCGCCAACTCCCTTCCCCTAACTTCCAAATCCCCCACCATCCCCGCCACCTCCCCCTTCAGCTTCTTCAACTCCGCCTTCGCCGCCGCATTGCGCGCTTCCAAATCAGCATTCTCTTGCGGGGAGACAATAAGCGGCGGATCGCCGACGATGGCACGGATGAATTTTTCCTTGGTGACTTGCTCGACGTAGGAGAAGCGCAGTTTGGCGAAGAGTTCGCGGTAGTGGGAGAGGTCGGCTTCGAGGGTGGTGGGAGTGGGAGCGGAGGAGGAGGCGGTGGAGACGTCGGAGGTGCGGGGGGCGGTGGTGGTGTTGGTTGTGAGATCGTCGTTGTTGGGGTGGTGGCTGTGACGGCTGGTGAGGAGGGAGGAGGTGGAGGGGTCGGCGGTGGAGATGGGCTCGCTGAGTTTGATGATGGTGTAGTCGTCGAGCGAGGACGATTTGAGGTCGTCGAGGGCGCGGAGGAGTTTGGGGTTGCGGAGAGGGTCTGCCGGCTTGGCTGGTGAGTTGGCGCGTGGCATTGTAATTTGTGTCGCGATGCTGTAAATCCCCACTATGTAAGTTTGTTGGAAGCGCGGGTTTTGATCGCGTTGCGGTCGTGTTGTGGCGTCAAAGGGGGTTGGTTTGTTTATTGGTCGAGAATGTTTTTTGTTGATGCGATTGCCGAATCCGGACGTGGGGGATAAATGTCGAGCGCGACAACCCTAACCCCGAAACTGTCAGCTTCTCCGTGTTTCATGTACGATGTCTTCAACATCTTGCATCACCCCGTCTAGCGTTTCTGGAACAACCTTTTCACGGCAGGCAGGCAGGCAGGCGTTGATGTCCCTGTCTTAAGAGACTGGCCGGGTTGGACGCTTGTGTGCAGGCGAGCTCGATATTGTTTGGTATGTAGACTGGTACTACAATGTACACATACAGAGGAAAAGAAACGCAAACTCCGCTTACCCCTAGCCATTTCCCGATATAAGCTCATCCGAATGCACTCGCGTGATCGATGGCGGTCACTCCCAGCCCATGAATTGACGAAACCTTGAAACTAAATTGACGCAATTACCCTTCCTTTCAAACCAGAGTCCAAATGGTAGTGACGATACAACAAAGCCAAACGCCGCCCCCCTTCCCATTACATCCCATGCCGTTGGAGACGGCGCTCGATGTCTAGCCGCCAACCCTTTCCGAACGGTTAATGTAGACCCTCGACGAAAGAATACGGCTGGTCTTTCAAGAAGCCATTGCCATACTTGGCTGTAATCTCCTCGCCGTCCCCGATATCCCTCACAGCGACCAACATCAGCCGCCATCGACCGGAAATCTTCATGACCCGGAACATGGTGGACGGGTTGGCGCTGTGGTTGACCTTGCGGACCCAATTACCCATCTGGGCGGGATAGATATCCGCCACGGTCTCGTCGTCCAGGTCAGGACGATGGAGTGCCATGGACCAGCCCCCAATGCAAGAACCCGGCGGTAGCAGTTCGCCAACTAACTCGCCCAGGATATCATTTGCCCTGTGTGGCCCCAGAGAGCGGACCCCAGACCCTTTCGACCCGTCGTCTGATATGCGAGGAATCTGCGGGACCTTGATCTCGACGCAGCGGCAGGTCTTGGAAGGGCAGAAGCTGCACGCCTTCTCGCTGCCGGGGTGAACCACGGTGGGGTCTGCTGGCCATTCCCAGCGCCAGCTTGCCGGCCGCGGCCAGGACATTCCGTTGCTGCCATCGTAATAGTTGGACTTGAGCAAGCGGAATGGGGCCAGCATTGGTGAGATCTGGTCCACGGCGAGCGAAGTGGTGGGTGTGCTCTCCCAGATAAACTCCGGAAGCTCTAGGCACTCCCAAATGGACTTCTGGAGCACAGCACCGACATTGCACATGTTCCGAACAAACTCGGTGTCGAGCGCCGCGTGGAAGTGCGCCAATTCCTCCTTGAAGAGCGCAAGCTCCGAGCAATCCGCATCGGGAGCGACAAGGCATAGAAGGCCGTCATATTTCCCGCAAAGCGCAGCCCAGCATTTGCCTTCTCGCAGATAGTCGTGAAGCTGCGGCCGTTTGGCTTCATCCCACCCCAGAGTGTTCAGCATCCCGTCCATGAAATTGGGCGGGACAACCTGCCCAGGCCACGCTAGTGCGCTCTCAACGCAGATGGCCATTTTCATCTTCAAGAATCGCAAGAGGAACGTGTGCAACTCCGGGTACCCGTGAGCTGCTTCCTCGATTGTCACAATGAGACCGAACCTGCCCAGTATCGTAGACGCCGACCTGGAAAAGCGTCTCCATTCGCGGACCAAACCACTGAGGCGTTCGAATGCCGGCTTGCCGCTTAGCTTCTCCGCCTCTGCGCTCCCACTTCGAGTGGGTGTTTGGTGTGCCTTTAGTATCGTCGAGAGATGCTGGAACGCACCGCCAGCGGGCTGGAGTGGGGTAATGGGAGTGGATGGCGGCTGCGTCCTTTGCTTCTTCGGTGGCCGGGGACTCTGCGTGTCGCACGTCCGGTCAGGGTTGATCATCCGAGCCGTTTTACGCAGCGGTTGCAACGCTTGTGTGTTGATATATCCGCGCTGATTCGCATCAAGCGTAAAGGTAGGGGGAATTGGCGGGACAACCTGGGCCGAGTTGGCGAAGGTAGTCGGGGTATGAAGCTGTGCTGGAACCGTTGATATATGCCCCGTTTTGCTTTCCAACAATTTAGGTACTGGATCCAGCGGCTCAGTGGGGTTGGGCGCGGGCGAAACACTCTGCTCCGGCGAAGGCATGGACGACGGAAGTTGGGGGAACGTTGACGGCTGTGAAGCCCCCGTTTTCTGCTCGTCACCAAGAGCCCTAAACCGCCCCTGCCCTTCGGTAATCGCTGACGTTGATTGTGTGCTAGACGGCTCTAGCTTCTTTGCAATGCCATTTTCTGGTGGCGGGGTGACCGACTGAGCGGGCCGTGAAATCGTAGACTCTTGTTGCAGCCGAGCGACCTGCTCAGACGCAGGGGCTGTTGGACCGTCCTGTCCAGTTGTCTCCGGGGTGCGAGGGAACTGCTGCTCAGGCGACTTCTCGTAGATTCGAAAGTCATCTGCAGACATGGCAAATTTGTCTGGGCAGTTCCTGTCGCAGAACCGGTAGTCTGGAGGCATGTCCGGAGACGAGTTGTACTCTAGGTTGATAGCGATGGCGTAATTGGGCCCGAGGTTCAGTACCTGGTGGTACGTTGCAGGCTCCGTCACGACGGCTTGGCCGGGGACGCAATAGTCCAGCGTATATTCGATCCCCCACTCATCCAGCTTGGCCGGCGGGATATGACGGCTGAGATGTCGCAACGCTTGTGAGCATCGGCGCATTTCTGGGTACTCAATCGCCATCCTCTCTTCTAGCTTCTTTCCAAAAGCCGGTTTGATAAAGCACCAGAATTTGTGCTGGCCAGATCGAAGCAAGTTCTCCGACCGCACATGCGCATCCTCTCTGTGCATAGTAGTAATGGTCTTCCCGGTGAGGTTAAAGTAGACATATTGAGTGTTGATTCCTTCGAGTGTCGTGCGGCCTCGACGCCGAAGTTTCTCGCCAGGAGAAAGCTCGACATCTTCGAAAAGCGGGTTACCGATGATGTAAGGCCGCATTCCTTTTGGCGGGTTGGCCGCCGAAGAGTTCCAAAGCTCCTTCTGCTCTTCGAGAGACCATTCCAGCTTAGTGCTCGAAGGGAAGGGCAAGTTCGGAGACGAGAACTTAAATCTCTTGCCGCTGTCCACCCTAACGATCCCATGCTTGTCGATCTTGTAGCTGAAAGAGGTTGCATGGTCCTTACTTGGTCGGGCCACCTCTTGGACATTAAGAGGCGGTAGGTCCCGAACTTGAAGCTTGAAATACCCGACGTCGCGGACCACAGGGTGGCTCGAGTACAGCTCAAACAGCTCTTCGTTTAGCACATTGATATCCCGGTACACACAGTCGAAGAGGGGTGACGCATGCTCGCACGCCAACGGACTCCGGTAGACGGAGCCATCGCTCAGCGTGATCCCCTGGGGAAGCTGAGACTCCGAGGCATGGGAGGCCGTTTTGGTAGGTAATGCTGGGGGAAGGGCCGGCCGCGAGGTTAGTCGTCCCGCTGTCAAAGGTCGCGCTGTTGGGGCTGCTCGTGTCGACGGTGTCTGTGATGATGCCGAAACAGGTATTGGTAAACCGGTTTTGAGATCAGTTGGTGGCAAGGGAGCCGTCAACTGGCCGTCGGCGCCATCATCGACATGATGTCGCGGCGTCTCGGGTGGCCCAGGATTGGCGTGTGTCGAGGGTGAGACGAGAGTTCCAATTGGTGATGGTGATGAGGAGGATGATGGTGGTGGTAATAGCTGCGCGTCCGTGGAAGGGGCGATTGGTGGAAAGTATGAAGATGAAGATGATTTAGGAGGAGGCGTGGACAGCTTCCGCACATCGCCGAGTTCAGTCGACACTTGATCGAGCCGGCCGAGGAGCTGTTGCAGCAGGTCACGGCTCGCCTTCGTCTTTGGCGGCTGCACTTTGCGACCTGAAGGAAGTGGAACGCCCTGGTCGAGATACTCCCTCAGCACATCGCTGATCTGGCTCACTTCCCCCCCAATGGTGTCGACCTTGGACTGAAGGGCGTCCATCGTGGGCTACCACGAGGTGGTGAGTGATGGGAGGAATGTGAGCGCCGCGAATTGATTGGAGAGGTGTGGCAGGCCGTCCGTCCTCTGGGGTGCTGGAACGCCGCTGGACTCGTTGGGGTCGGAGCAGAAGTCCGGGTGGTAATTTAGTGGGGCTGGTCTTCCGCAAGGCCTGTGGCTGTGGGACCGTGCTTGCTTGCTTCTTGTGGAGGACGGCCCGGGGGGTTGGAAGAGGGGCATTGTGTCGCTTTTTAGTATGTAGAGGAGGTATTTCCAGCACTCCTTAGCTCCTTAACTAAAGGGAAGTTCCTGCATCATTGACCGCACATCATAAAGAGAAGAAAAGAACGCTTATTTTTACAATAGTCCAACCTTCGAAACCCTTTGTTGCCTTCTAAACCTTTGTGACCTTCCGCCGGCATTACAGGACCCACTATGTTTCAACAACGCCAGCAGCGGGACATGGAAACCTAAGCAATGAGCCTAGCGGAGTTGACGTCAAGGCACTTCGCTAATAATGAATCTTCATCTATGTATAGAATTTGATAAGTGCGTCCTTTCGCTCGGTACCTGGCGCGTCAGTGTACTGTAAAGTTTGCGAATCGCAGGAAAGGCTTAACCGTGCCTCGCCGCCAAGCCGCAACAGTGCGGCGATCCCATGTGGAGACGATTAGCGAATTGGGCCCCACACTGCAGCTAATCGATAAGACACCCTGGAGCTCGCCTGCAAGCGAGACGGAATCTTGACGTTGAGCATTGTAACTTCTTCCCGTCGTCGTGGCCGTTGACCGCGGCTCCCCCAAGCCCCACCTCCATCTCCCCTCTCCCACGCATTTGAGTGCTTTTGCTTTTGCTTTTCGGTTGCTAATGGAGAGCCGGCGTGCCGATCATGACACGATGTTGACAGATGATGCGGTCGCTGAGCTCTTGAGCAGAGAAGCGAAGGACGCATCCATGAAGTATTCGTCGATGGGGCTCGAAGCGTTCAGGTCCACCAAGTGAGTGTTCCATGCTCACATCATGTATCTAAACCTACGGGCATAATTTAATAAGAGGAACGGTTTCCAGGCCTGCCCACAAGGCGAAACCGAACACCCGCTTTCTTGGGCGCATCATCAAAGAGACAACGAATCACAATGCCGCTCTCTTAGCCAGGGAAGCCGCAGAAGCCCAGGCACGGCTAGACGATTTGACCGAATCCGAGGCAAAAAAGCGGCGCAAGCTAAACCCCAGCGCCTCTGACTTACGCCGACGACAATTGGGCGACATATCCTCGATTCTAGCGGGCCGGAAGCCACGCACCGGCGACCAGCGGGGCGAGAGACCGAAGGACAAAGATGAAGAACAAGATAATAAAGGACGTAGGGGCGCACCGCGCGAGCGACGCCGCAGTCCACATGCGGAGAGACAAGAGGACAAAGAAGAGGAGAAATACCGATCGCGGAGAAGACGGGATGATCGGAAGAGTAGGGAACATGGTTCCCGCCACGACAGATCTCGCTCGCCGCGTGGGGGGAGCCGCCGACACCGACACCGACACCGGTCACCTTTGAGCAGCAGCGAGGAGGAACACCGGTCGCGCCACTCGAGATCTCACCGAAAAAAGTCCCGCCAAGACCAAGATCTTATCGGCGGTGAGTCGTCGAACCGCAGAAACTATGGCCGGCTCCGTGAGGACGATGATGACGCTACGAATTCCTCGAAACATGGCCAGCTAAACGAAAATATTGACGACGATTCGGACCCTCTTGACGATTTCATCGGCCCAGCACCACCATCTGAATCCCGAGTTCAACCTCGTGGGCGCGGGGCGCTTCGAGGGGCCGCAGCCATGGACGATCGGTTTAGCAAGGACTATGATCCATCTTCTGACATTCAACCCCAGCCAGCCGCAACCGAAAACTGGGATGAAGCAGTCGAGACGTTCCGCGACCTCCAAAAGTGGAAGCAGCAGGGTGCTGAGCGTCTCCGCACGGCCGGGTTCACGGAAGCGCAGATCAAAGAGTGGGAAAAGGGTGGCCAGAAGGACATCGACGATGTGCGATGGAGTAAGGCTGGGGAAAAACGCGAGTGGTAAGTCCAATATCTCTGATTTGTGTTAGCGGCGAGAGTCTAACCACCCAATGCAGGGACAGGGGCAAGGAGGACAGTGAGACTTGACGGAAACAGGGGGAACTTGGTATATGTATGCATGGCGTTAGCGTGGTAATGATTTGGCGTTGTTAGTTATTGTATTACTCCCAAGCATGAGGCGATGGTTTTACAAAACATAGGTTCCTGGATACATATATGTCGGTTTCTGGAAATAATCAACCCTTTTTTGTTTCTTGTCCATACACAACGTCTTGTGCAGCATGGCATGGCAGCTTCGGCCAGCTCGCATAAGCCCGGACAAAGAAAGGTGTCCCGAGAGTGAGTAATTCCAATATTAATGGTGTCAGGTCTTACGCCCGCCGCCCACAGTCAGACAAAGCTTTGGGTTCATACATGTAACGGTGGAACGCCGTGGATTCTGTGTACATTGATACAATGCCGGCAATTTGTACCCGAAATCATCATCAGCTCACTCCAAAATGCTCTCCCTCGCCATGGCCCCCTCGCTCCCGACCAGAGCCAAAGCCTCCGCGACAAAACTTTGCCTTGGCGACCAAAAGCTATCCCACCCCCTGCCCTTCACTTATCCTCCCAACCGACATTTTGCCCTTGTTTTGTCTTCAGCATGCCTTCCTTCGGCGGGGCATCGAGACCCGCCGCCTTCGAGCTCATCAAGTCCACAATGTTATCCGCATCACGTTCATCATTCGTTGCCCACATCCTCTCAATACATAGCTCAAACGGCCCCGGTATCCTGTCTGTCAGGCCGATACCGATCGACCGGACCTTTTGCCGCATGATTTCGGTCTGCGGCTCGACCACGAAACCGTGGTTAGTCCGTACAAAATCGTTCCATTTTACAAACACCGTCTCCCATTCCCCGGGCTTCTTCACGAATAACCGGTGTTGGTGTAGATCTGTGGGTATGACTGATTCGGTCTGGACGTTGATGAAGTAGCTGCGGCCGTCGGACTTGACGCGCAGGGCGAGGTAGACGTAAGGGTCGATATTGAAGAGACTGCGCCCGAATATCGTGGGCGGCCGGTCGCGTGTTCTGAATGCCGCGTACCCCGTCCGCTTGACCTCTGGTCGGTCTTTGGGTAGTTTCGTCGAGATGGTCCCGTGGAAGCGGGCGTAGCCGGGTGAGTTCGGGGAAGGGGGTTTTTCGGGGGACGAAGGTGGGGGCGAGGTCACCCAGTCAAGGTTCGCGTTTGAGAAGCCGCCAATTCCAACATCGGACATGATTTTGCAGTCCTGTATCGCTGTTGGGCTCTGGAAGTTGTGGAGTTCGTAGTGGCCTTTGGCGCCCTTGATCCCTTCGAGGGTGAAGGCTAGCAGCAGGGTTTTAAGGTCAGTAAGTTGTGGAGGGATTGTAGAGAGGATTGACTCTTTATGGAACAGTACCAATATGAGAAAGCCTCTTGAACTCGTCGAGGCTTCGGGCGATGAAGCCCTTATAGAAGAGGGGCTTCGTCGCCTGCATCGTGGGCTGGAAGCTCTGTTCGCGTCGCCAGCAGGGTTTTCTAGTACGGCTACCGGATGGGCAATAGTTGGATGGGCGATAGCGCCGAATATCTTAGGGTTGTTTGCATGTTCCCAAGCTCGTGGCCATAGTCAGCGGGAGCGACGCTCAATGCGATGTCTCCGGGTAATGTTTTGGGCCGGCCGTTTTTGCGGGACGTCATTCAACAATCCCAGGGTGCGACCCCACACAGACATTCTACTTAAATGTGGGTCCTGTACAGCGATGAGGTCCCAAGTGAGCCTCAACCACGTGCTACTTTTCCCTTGCCACGTGCGTGCTTCCGGGGAACATGCACCTTGCCTTCCGGCATGGCCCAACGACTGGGGGGACACAGGATTCTTCTCTCCCTCTTCATGGCGAGACAACCTTGGGCAGCTGTGAAATTCCTGCTCACCCCGCGGGCCGTCAGTTTGCACCCAGAGCATTGAACCCAGAGAAAGGTCGCTACTCTTTCATCTCTGTGGCCGGCCTGAAACAAAGTTGCCAATCACTCTACCTATAGAAGCACATCATTGGGTAAAGGGATCCACGGAGGCACCGAGGGAGACACTTAAGAATCTGATACGTATTCGGGTTGTCACTTCTGCCGTCCACACCATATGCACGACAACGCACGGGCCATATCATGTTGTCGGTCTAACACTAGCTATTTTGACCTGATCAGAATCGTCTCTTGTTCCCTTGTTCAAGTTTTATACTTGTAAATTTTTCCCGGGATTGAGTTTCTACTTCTTGTCTAGGTTTTTGGAGGGGTTCTCTAGTTTTAAAATTAAAGAAAAAAGCACATTACGTGTGGGCTTTACGTCCTCCTGTTACCACATGAAAAGCAACTTTTGGTTGATAACATCAGGAACCTTTTGTCTTCTTTATTCATTCTAGCTTTCTTCCAGACAGCTAATTACTAGGCAGCCTAGGGCAAACAAATTCCCTCTCTTCTTTGGATACAGTAAGGACATATTTTACCACAAGTTAATTATATTTCCACCTGTCCAATTGATTTTTAATCTTCTGCACCTAATAATCACGTTCTCGTTTTCATTTCCTACTTGGCCTAAATATTCATGACAAACGTAGATTAAAGTGTCAGAGGAGTTAATTAGCAAACATGACGCTTCCTAAACCCAGGTTGCAAGGCGACGGGAGCAAGCCCTTAGCAAACTTCCAAGGGGCGGCAAACTATGACTCCATCAAATTACAGGCTTATCTCTTGCTTCTGGAACCAAATAGCAAAGACTCCTCTAATGAAGCTTCCGCTTGGGGTTGGAAACCACGAGCTATCGGTTTTGAAGAGATTGAGACTCAATTTGGCTGTTCAGAGGGGCTGAGTTCCTAAACAGTGTTGAACTAATTAGGCCAAGCATTGAACCAGTCAACCGACAGTTGCAGATGTTTCAAATGTTGTATTTTATCAATGTTCTGAGGCATCCCTCGTCTGCTTTGATTCCCAGGAGCCCTAACCTTGGGTGGTATCTCGACAAGAATCAAGGTATTTTCGCTCCATTGCGATGTGAACATTTCATGTAACATCCACCAACACCAGTGCTGACTCAATAGGTAACAATGTAATGCGTGAATCCAAACCTCCCTCTATCAATACTTTTCAAACTTTCCTTGCCCACTCATGGGGGTGCTCTGGTCAACTTCACACCTAGGTAAGCACATAAACAAGCATTGTCCTCCTGTTTCTTGGGGCCCTTTTCAAAGAGCAAATAAACAGGAAATGTACATTGAATGCTACGAAATCAATGCCTATCACACCCCTCCGCATATGTCATCTTATCAGCCCGTATTCCCCCGAACTATCATTGTCGTGTCATTCACTCCGACATCGACAATTCCTGAGCCTGATTACCCAGTCTCCCCAATAGCCACGTTCCAAAGCACATCACAGGCCAACGCATCTGAATTGGGTTTCAGAACTCGCACCAATAGTCCCCCATCGCCGCCGAGTGGTTTCGACTGGAGACTACCCGCTTTCTGTTCTCCGCCGGGCGGCCAAGGCTTTTTGCCCGCGCCTTCTCGTTTCCGTGACCCAAACACGTCAGCAAGAACACGCATGCGGGTCCCTGAACGTGTTTTGGTGTTGCCCGGGCATCAGACTGATGGCAGGCTCCAAGAGCGGCCGGCAAGATTCAACCTCATGCTCCGCTCTGGGTCGGTCGAGGCCCGTCATTCGCCGGTGACGGCCAAAGGCCCTCCGAAGGTTGGACCTCCCACTGTGTGCAGTCTTTCACTCCTTGTTACCCAGGCCGGCCCCTCGATTTCTGATTCCAAACTGCCAGCTATTTCCTCGAAAGTATATATACCAGCGAAAAATCTCGTGACTCTCGTTTCTCTTCTTCTTCCAACACGCAACCATCAACGCAGCCTTGGAACACCATCAAGTAGCTGCATCACAGGTGAGTACAACATCCGCATCCCGTTCCTTTCCTTGTCGTTCATATCCCACGATGCATCTGTCGAACATATTCACACTCTTGTGTGCATTCTTTTACGTTTCCTTGTTTGGCTGCTCTGTGGCCGGCACAACAGCTGGGAAGCCCAAAACGCCCCTCCAACCTTCTGCCCCTCTGCGAGCAAAACAAGTGTTTCTCCCAGTAGCAGCATTTAGTCTGGTTTCCAAGGCATGAGGGCAATCAGCCTGAGCCTCGAGGACGCAAGGCATTGGTGGTTTCCGTTGGTTTCCGCTGGTTGCCGCATGATCACCCGGTTGCTCCTTCCCTTCTACCCACCCTCCCACACACACATACACCCTCCCTCTCTCCTTCCTCTCTTCCCCCCACCCTACCAGGCAAACCCACACTAGCCAGATCTTAGGGAATCGAGATCATCGAGCCCCAAGTCGAGTTGAGAAGACCGTATTTCCTAGTATACCCTTCTTTTCACTTTTACTCTCCTTGAATACCACTTATTTTCTTCCCTATCCCTATCACCTTTTTCCTTCTCTGGAAACCGGTCCTCAAACCATCCCCTGTGCCTCGCGATCTTCCCCCGCGAAGGCCAGCTTGAGCACCGGCATCCGAAACCCGAAGGTAACAACCCATATCTTACCAACCCATTATTAGGTTGTGCGGAAACATCTTCAGCCCTTAAGAGCATCTTTTGCCCTTGAGTAGCCACCATCCGACCATCTCATCGCGACCAACATAGTTTCCATCGACAATCCAAAAGTCACCAAGATGTCTGCTATGCTTAGAGCTGGTCAGTACGGCAACCGCGGCGCCAACCTGCGTCGTGTGCGTTCGTTCAGCCTGAGCGGCAACTCTTCGAGCGCCGGCTCCGAGTCTGATGACGGTACGTATCCGAGTTCATTTTATTATCTTCCCCCTTTTTAACCCTCGTTTCCTCTCACATCCCGACGGGTTCTCCTGTCCCTCGGGCTATCGGGGGTACGGGATGAGTCCGTTACGAGTTTGATATCGGCAGTGCCATTTGACAACACCCGGCCTACAATGAGGTGTGCCTGTCCGAGATAGAATCATCAATGCTGACAATTGTGTAGCCGGAGCCCGTCTGTCCGTCGCTAGCATGGATGACTGTTCGCCCCATGTTCGGTAAGATTTTATCCCTCAAGTGCTCTTGTCTCTCTCTTCTTTGGTCCGGACATTTACTGAATTGGCCAAGATTTGCGTCGGTAAACGACGACATTGCCCCCACCAGCCTCGCTTCGAGCGTTGACTTCACTGATTCCAACAGCGACGGATCGTAAGTCCTCTCTCCCCCAGCTGTGATTCAAGAATTCTCACTTATCTCAATTGTCGCAGTGGTTCCAAGTTTGAGATGGGCAGCAAGCCTAGCGGCGACGTGTTTGACGGCTCGCCCCTTAAGTCGGCTCTCAAGACCCCTCGCGAGATCACTGACCAGATCGCGCCGGCTTTCAACTACTACGACGACAAGAACGGTCAGGCCATGGCCCTGAAGGCCAATGACAACCGCCGTGTGATGCGTTCCGCCACCACGCCGGGCGGCATGACGGCCACGGGTAATGACCGCACCCTTCACCATAGTTCGTCTCGCCATGAGATCGGCGGCGTGGATGCCCAGGGCATCTACCCGCCCAGTGCTTGCGTGTTTGTCGCCAAGTAAGTCCTAGTCATTTCCACGGAAACAAAACATATATCTGATGGCCGAACGCAATAGTCTTCCCGAGTCCCAGGAGGATCGTGCCATCGAGGCTGCTATCACTAGAGAGTTTAGCCGTTTTGGCACCGTCTTCGTCAAGATCCGCCGCGAGGCCCGAGGTAATATCCTCGGCATGCCTTATGCATTCGTCCAGTACACCGTGAGTTACCCGCGACTGAATTCGACGCTTAGCCTGCTGACAAAAAGGCAGAACGACGAAGATGCGAAGGCCGCCATGGAAGAGGGCCGTGGTATCTTGATTTTGGGTCGTCCTTGCCGCACCGAGATGGTGAGGGCCAACCGTAAGTGTCGCCTTGTTGTTGCCCAAGGAGTCGTAACTAACGCGTGTCCCACCCGCTCTGCGCATCATAGGTGCGTTCGTGATGTATAGCCGCCGCGGTGACCAGATCAACCCCACCATCGCCAGGGAGATCCTGGAGCCGTATGGCCAGCTTAGCAAGTGCGAGATGCTGAGCGTCCAGATGCAGGAGGCCATGAGCCTCCCAACCGCCGTTTTTGTGGAGTTCGCTCGCTTCGAGCCCAAGCGCGATCTCAACTATGTGAGTTAAGCCCAGGTTAGCCTTTGCTAGTGACCTGCTAACGTTTCCTCGCAAAGGCTCTGCGCCGCCACGGAGATTATCGCATCGACGCCTTTGACACTAAGAAGAACACCTCACGCGGCGACCCGCATGAGGAGTTTTTAGACAAGTATGACCTTGATCGTCGTTCCGTCTTCGTCGGCAACCTCCCCCTCAACGTGACCGAGGCGGAAATCCGCGAGTTCTTCGGTCATGCCGGCGAGATCGTGGGTGTTAACATCATTGCGCGCCCTAACTACAGTGGTCAGTCCTTTCGGTCTTTTTCATGAACCATTCCTCGAAGCTAACTAACCAAATCAAGGCCAAGTTACCAGGGCTTTTGCGTTCGTTCAGTTCGCGCGCGCCGATGTCCCCGATCATGTGGTCAAGAACTTCGTAAGTCTTGCCTCTCAGCTGCCCTCAATCGTCCCAAATCGCTTGGGCCTAAATTGACCATTTGGGCCGCAGAATGAGACTTTTTTCCGCAACAACATCGTCCGTGTTGAGCGCAAGGTGTTCAAGCACGTCGGTACTCCTCGCCGCGTCAAGTCTCAGGCCTTCTCGATCAAGACCTCGACAACCCCCCAGACTCCTAGGACCGATATGTTCGGCAAGTCTCCAATGGGTTCCGCTCGGTTTTCTGGCCATAGGGAGGAGTTCCCGACTTCCGCCACTCGCCACGGGTACAACAATTACGACATGGGCCACTCCTTTGGTCCCGCTGGCTACCCGGCTCCGAGCCCAGTTGGCCCGGCCAACGGCCAGCCTTTCGTGGGAGCGAGCGGAATTCCGGTGACGCCGTCGACTGCTCAATTCATGCCGAACCCCTTCGGCTTCGCGGGTGGCTACTGGCCTGGTATGTCATCGATGGGCCAAGACCCCATGACTGGCCAGACCCTCTGGTCGTACACTCCGCCGGTCAACGCCATGGGCCAGCCCATGGAGACTCCCACTCGCGGTCGTCCCAACGATCACGGCTACTTCCAGGGCGCTTAAAGCGGTGCAGCGCAGCATGAGGTCTCCGCTCTCCAGAGCCATGATCAATGACCACATATAGAGAATAACGGTTTCATTGATCACTTCGATTTCCCAGTGCTTGTATTTGTTGACTTCAGGTTTCCTTTCCTCTATGCGATGTGGTATCTTGAGTTCTATGGCGGTGACGTGGTCGGTGATTTGGTCGCCGGAACCTGATTTGAGCTGCCATAAAACTTTATGATTTGTCCTGTATCTGAATTCTGTTTATTCCCAACGGTTTGGGAACGATTAGAGTAAGTCCTCGGTAATTTGGGAGTAGTGCAGAGGAGTTGTATTTACGCTGGAGGGGGCCGGATTTAGCTCTATAATGCAGCTATCACCCAATAGAGAGGCATATGAAAAAAATGAACGGGAGATTGCAATGCAGACCTGGGCGATTTGATGGACACCGGTGATGATTTTGTTGGTGTTTTGCTTCGTGAGCCCGCCAAGCGTTTCCTCGCATCCCCAGCTGGAACAAACCCCAGCAAATTTGCATCCACTAACTTATGTAATAACGCCAGGACCCGCTGCTGTAACTTACTAAGTACAGCACTCCCTCGTGTCACCAACCCTCCCCCCCACGCGTCTTGACCTGCAGAGTCTGCGGGCGACGTTCCCGGCATGGTTTAGCTTCCCGGGGTCGGCTGCTTGAGCCCTGAAACGATTGGTCAGAAGCTGATAAAAAGTTCCCCGAAGAGGGCAGCTCCTCGCAAACCTTCGGTGTTGAAAGGGTTCCTGTTTTCCCTTTTTAGAGGCACTTTGGTCCCAACCTTGAGCGGATCGAAAACCTTCTTTGTGTCTAACTAAGTCCTTGGAAGTCTTCGGCCGTCCCTTATTTTTCGACCACGACTAGAGTGTCTTTGATCACGACAAGAGCACGTCCCCCCAGCAGACAGGATGGGACAGCCATCCTTTCAGGCGTCTAACGCCCTCGTCTACGTGACATATGGATTGTTTTTGTGAGCTGAGAACCAACCCAACGCCGACAATTTTTGCGATATTATGCCTCATTCTTTTTGGAGGTTTAAAGAAAGGAGGCTAATGTGTTGGTACGAAAAGGATCATCGGAACAGCGGTGGCATGGAGGTTTAGGAAGCAGAGCAAGGGCGAGTTCCTGGCTGGCAACAGGACTCAGACTGGTCAGGGCGCTTTTTCTCTCATTTCGCATTTTGCTCCCTTTTTTGAGAAATTCCTTTTGTTCCATGGAAACAGTGACGGAGTGCTGACGTTTTAACCTCATGATATAGCGCTGCCGCTTGCCCTGAATTTTATCGCATCTGGTGAGTGAGCCAGCGGCTACGAAACAACTTCAGAGCAGTCCGAAGGACTTTAGAGCGGCGGCAAGCGCAATTCATCCGACAACGTGAACATCGCCAGAGTGCGAGCACTGTGGGAGGGAAGCGGAACTTGATCATGCAAGGGATCCGAAACCTGCCAGAGTGAAACGGCGACTACGTTGGGCGACAAGGAAAGCCGAGATGGGGCTGACCAAGGTTCGTTACTTAAACCTCACCTGGTTTCCGGCCCGGCTCTGTTCTTATTCGCTACGTCTGATTGGCTACCTTCTCGCGATGAAAGTTGAGAGATGTTGATGAATGAGACTGGGCCGGGTCGGAGACTGCGGCTCACTACGGGCGCTGAGTTGAAGCAATGTCCGCGGGTTCCAACCTTCTGTCACTTCACCTTTACTGGGTGGGACCCGAAAGGGGTGTGCAGAGGAGAACCCGGCGGCTTGCGACGGCGAAGCTGAGATTGTACCGTGATTACTCGATCAAGTTAATGCTTGCGTGGGAAACGTGCTGCCGCTCTAAAAAGAACCCCCTTCACCCATCCCCCGCCTTAACCCTACTCATACATCTTGAGGATCGTTAATCGTGCTAACCTCTCTAGCCCTCGGTGCCGGTATCCTGTTCTCCTACCCCGAACTCGCGACCCTGGCCGGCGTTCAGGGGGTAGTCGTGTACGCGCTATCGTCAGCGCTGCCATTGCTGGGGTTTGCCGCGCTAGGTCCCATCATCCGGCGCAAGTGTCCCGAAGGGTTTGTCTTGACCGAGTGGACGCGGCAGCGGTATGGGACCGTCGCGGCGTTGTACCTCAGCTTCATGACGCTGGCCACGCTGTTTCTGTACATGATCTCGGAGTTGTCTGCTATCGGGCAGGTGGTGAACCTGCTGACGGGGATTGATGGGCTGCCGGTGTTGATTGTGGAGTGTGTCATTACGACCATCTATACTTGTATGTTCTCGGGCCTACTCTTTTCCCTTACTGCAACGAGTAGTGGCTAATTCTTTGATCGGATAACTAGCTCTGGGAGGATTCAAGATCTCCTTCTTCACCGACAACATCCAAGGTGCCATGGTCGTGGGTCTGATCCTCATCGCTACCATCACCGTCGGCGTGGAAACCAAGATCGACACCAGCCTGATCGAGTCCTCGGGGTTGACCAAGCCTAGTCTCCTGGGATGGCAGCTCCTGTACATTCTCCCTGTCGCTATCCTCACCAACGATTTCTTCTTGGTACGTCCCTATCTCTCTTTCTATTCGGCCTATCGTCACAGCCACCCCCCAAATCCTTTCCATACCTACATACACTAACTGACATACTCCAACAGTCCCACTTCTGGCTCCGCACCTTCGCCTCCAAAACCGACCGCGACCTCTGGCTCGGCATAAGCGGCGCCACCATCGCAACCCTAATCATCATCACCCTCGTCGGCTCGACCGGTCTAATCGCCGCCTGGGCGGGCATCTGGCCCGGCACCGAAGAAGATCCCGTCGACGGCTCCGTCGCCTTTTTCGCTCTCCTCATGCAACTCCCCAACTGGGTCGTCGGCGTGGTCGTCGTGATGTCGGTGACCCTGAGCACCGCCGCGTTTGACTCGCTGCAGTCTGCTATGGTGACGTCGGCGTCGAATGATTTGTTTCGGAATCGGTTGAACATCTGGTGGATTCGGGCTGGTGTCGTGTTGATTATGATCCCTGTTGTTGTCATCGCCATTCGTGCGCCGTCTATCTTGCAGATCTATCTCATCTCGGACTTGGTCTCTGCCGCGACCATCCCCGTGCTGGTCATTGGCTTGTCGGATGCGTGTTACTGGTGGCGCGGGTTCGAGGTCATCGTCGGCGGACTCGGCGGGCTGCTGACGGTGTTTATCTTTGGCACGATCTACTACGGCGATGCGCAGCTGGGCGCAGAGTTGTTGCTTCTGGAGCAGGGGCTGTACACGGCGGATTGGGGTGCGTTTGGGGCGTTTGTGGCCGCGCCCGTGGGCGGGGTGCTTTGGGGGTTTGGTGCGTTGGCGCTGCGGCTGGGGATTCAGTATGTGCGGGCGAGGGTTAAGGGGGAGCGGTTTGATGCGCTGGATCGGCCTATTGATATCGCGCCGCCTCAGCTGGTTGATCATCATGCGGCGGGGAGACGGGAGGGGGATGTGGAGGACAGTGGGGAGAGTGTTTCGGATGTGGCGCCGGGGGTTGCGAAGTCTACTGGCAAGTTCTTCTGAGGGGGGCTGAGGGAAGAGTAGGGGGGGGTGGGGGGGGTGGTTGTTTATCAGCGGTGTTGGGTGGAGGCGGCGGTCTGACTTGGATTTTCTTGGATTTCTTGGGGAGACGGTTTGTTGTGGTTAAACTTAGGTTCAAGGTGTTAGGGACGGCGGGAGTTGGGTGGATTGGTTACTGATATCCCCTTCCGGTTTGCAATATATTATACCCTTCTCGTCCCCGTCAGGTTGGAGTATCCTTCCAGGTTTGATCTTGTCTGTCTAATGATACAAGTGGCAAACGCATATAGACACCAGGGAGAGTCTTCGTTCGTACCGGGTGTCCTGGCCTAATACTTGATATAAGTTTCTTTTGATACTAGAGTAGCAACAATTGGAGCATGTACATATGAGCTGGGACGGTCGGGGACTTGGACATCTATGTTACCCTCAATGGTCCAAAGGAGGGTCAGGTATTGATGTTTTATTATACACATTTGTTACTGTTTACAAGCCCATCATACACCAAACACCATACACTCGCTAGCGCTCTTGGTATCTATACGGCACCACGGCTGGAATGATCATCTTAAAGCTGCTGCTTGAGCAACTCCTGCTCCTCCGCCCAAGCCTCGACCGTAGTCGGCTTCACAACCCCAACCATACGCCACTCGCTCTGCCTCCATCCCAGCAGCGGCTGCACAATACACGACATGACCACGTTCTCCACCACATCAATCTCCTTCTCGCTCCCCGGAATCGCCCGGCCGCTGGGATCAAACGACACCTTCCGCTGCTTGCTCGAGATGGCGACCACGACCTGGCGCACAAACGGCGCGTTCTTGTCCTTGTCCAGCGGCATCATGCGGTGCGACCGCAGGGTCGGGTACATGAGCGCGTCGGTGTACCGGACCAGTTCCCAGCTGTGGCGTTGGCCGCGGGGCCGGGCGTCGATGCTGGGGAGTAGCGAGCTGGCGAGACGGCGGGAGCAGATCTTGTTGATAGTGTGGCGGTCGCCGGTGGCGAAGGCCTGGGCCATGGCGCGGTGGAGGGCTTTGACGGTGGGGATGATTTCCGAGCGTTTGGGCCGGTATTTGGCTCGGGTTAAGAGGCTGGGTTTGGAGATGTATTTTAGGCCGAGGTTGGTAGTTGTTTCTTGGCCTTTGGAGAGAGCCCAGTAGCCTAGGAGTCGGAGTTTGGGCATGATGCCCTTTGGGAACTGGGAGAACGGAGGAAGCACAAAGGTCCCTGTGAGGTGGGGGTTAGCTATCGAGCCATCCTGCCAGCTTCCGTACCTTCACCCTGACCGAACAACCAACAGAACACATACCCGGCAAGATCCCCTCCATCAGTCTTGTGGCAAGTTCCAGAGCGTTTTTCTGCATTGCCGAAGCTTGTTCGGCCCTGGGTGATTGTTGGGAGGCGACTGGCGGGGAGTGAAACTCGAGGGCGGCCCGTTGAAGATGGGTTCTTGATCGAAAGTGCGTCGTCGTGGAGAAGGGGGCGGACGCCGACGGCGAGCCGGTTGTTTGACGGAAACCCGCATGCTGGAGGAATAATGGTGTATTGTTTGTTGGTGCCGCTGTCCTAGCAGCCAGTAGTACCCTCCCAGCCCCCCGACCAAACATTGAGGACGTTGATAATGGCATTGTGTGATTTTATTCTTCTCGAAGGTCGAGGGTGATATCGAGAGACCCTTATTCCTCTAGTCCTGTCCTGGGCTCCGTCCCAAGTCCCAACCAAACGAAATCCCAATTACCGCCGCCGCTCGCTGGTTGATTCCGCCGTGCTGTTTCTCGGTGTATCTGGCCCGCACGTAGAGCACCCGCTGCTCGACCGTCGCTTGTGCTTCTTCTTGCGTCAGGTTTGAGCTGCGGCGGTAGTGCCCCGCAGTGCCATGACGCCCGAAAAAAAATCCACAGCGGTTCCAGGGACACAGCTTGGGTGGGGCCTCGGGTGTGTATTTGGACCAATGGGACATCCTCTTTTTAATTTGGGACCCAAGCAGGGAGGTCCCCGCAAGGCAAAGGAGACACGCCTGCGCTGGCGAAACTGTGACGGAACGGAGGACTGTGTACTGTATAAAGGTTATCGGGCATCGTGTTGTCATCTCTTTTTACTCGGCCTGGACTGCCCGTCTAGCGGCGTCTTTTCCCTCTTTTTTTTTCCCCTTTCTAACCACCGCCGCCCGAAGATTGCCGTACTCCATGGGCGAGGAGACGTATCTTGATGTTCAATCGCGCGCGGCCCACCGCGCACCACCATCCGCGGGCGGATAATCGACACGGCGCCTTCCCGTCTGCGTCCGCGAATCCGAATCCGAATCCCACGCCGCCTAAGTCGTCTTCCGACTCCGGGCCACGTGCCGCCAGCCTTACGGCCCCAACCGGCCCTGATCATCATGCCACCACCCACTCTCGAGTCGAGGGGCAAGCAAGTCGAGTAGGAGGAGGAGGAGGAGGAGGAGGAATAGGGATGGGCCACCACACATTGGGCACGGGAAACGGCTCTGCATCACCACCACAACCACCACCGCCCCCACCACCATTAGCATCAACCCCCAGCGGCCCCGACACCCACCATCACCACAACCACCACAACCACCACAATCACCACCAACACCACCACAGTAGCACCGGCACCAACAACGCCGGACCCGTCCGATCAACCCTCCTCCAACCCCGCGTCGCCGTCGCCCTCGGCGTTTCCAAAAAATGGTACCCCGTCCTCTTCCTCTGCCGACTCGTCTCCGTAGCACCAGGCCTCCTCTTCGGTCTGCCCAACGCCCTCCGGCTGCTCGCCATGATTCACCTCATGTACCTCGACCGGGTCCTGGACGGGGGTGCGTTGAGCAAACTTAGTCGAGGAGGGACGGGCTTCGGTTCTACTTTCACCACCTCACTCGGCTCTTCCTCTTCCTCCTCGTCGTCGACGACGACGTCGACATCCGCCTACACGCCGGCGTTTGAAGCCCGGTTACGACTCACCGAGGCTTTGCTGGCTACAATATGGGTTTGTCAACCCCGCTTCAACACCCCCCCGCCCAATTCATGAGTTACCACGTCTGTCTAACCACCCCTCCCACAACTCCAGTGCTGCGCCTCAGGCTACCTCTCCTTCTTCTTCACCGACTGTCTCATGTCCCGCTGGCTGCTGCACTACACCCCGCAAGCTACCATCGTCCGGCTGCTCACCGTCGGCGCCATGAACGGCTACCTGACCTCTTGGGTGCTGCACCTGACGGGCGGGTTCGAAGACCCGCGGCTGATTTTGCCGGCGTGGATCGTCATTTCTACGGTATGTCCATTTTTTTAAGACTTACATCACACTCACAAAGGACAAGATCAGTACTGACCCAATCAGACATTAACCGTCCTCTACCACCTAACGCAACGCAAAATCAACATCCGCAAGGAAACCTCCATGTCCATCAGCGTCTTCTCGATCGCAAGTTTTGTCAGCATGGTGGCCCTACTGGTCCAGCTGCACTCCAATCGCTCAGACTATCCAGACGTTCCGCTCCTCAACTTTGGCCGCCGCATGTTTCACGAAGCCGGCAGGTTGGTGATTCGGATTATGGAGTATGGTGATATTACGAGGGAGTTGTGAGGTGAATAATTGGCTGCTTTTCTCGTCTTTTTTTTTCCCTTGTTCCTTTTCTCTCTCTCTTTCCTCTCTCTCTCTCTTTCCTCTCTCTCAGCATCAGGAAGGCCGGGGGGCGTTCGTGTGGCGTTGGTTCTGATCTAGCAAGGCAAATGAATGAATGATATGATTGGAAAGCATTTTGAGCACCCGTGTTGCGGTTTGGTGCCAAGTCCACAACAAGATAGAAGGAGTTACGGCGGTTGTGATCAGGTTTAAGCAGAGATAAACGAATGATGAAATGGCACATTGGCACGGACAGGTTCGATGAAGAATTCCATTGCCACGACTCGGCGACCTGCACGGAGCGAATGACGTGCAGACTGCGATTGTGTCCTATCAACTAAAAGCCGAAGGATCGACAAGAAGCAAATGGTTCGCAGCACCAAAGGATAACCTCCCCAGACTCTACTAAAGATGTCCTCTCCACTCTTGGCGAAGAGTCAAGTCCGTAACTACTAGCTTTGTGGGTATCATGTGTGCGCGCCGCGCGACCCTCCCATCGAGGATCTTCTTCTCGCTCAGATGTGAATAAGCTCCGCCTCCATGACGGAACCCCGCCCCGGCCGTCCGTTTCAGGACTCCAGGCCGCTGAGCTGCAGCGCGACAGAGAAACCCAGCTTAGAAGCCGTGGATCTGATAAACGTTAGCATATGGTTCATTTTATATGTACCGCGGAAACGGGGCTGCTGTCGATGGTGCGTACCTTAATGGTCTTCTCGTCAAGGCCAAGGCCCGCGTCGGCATCGGCAAGGAATTCTTTGATCTTGAGGCGATGGTCGCCCTGGAGCTGGATCACCTCTCCCATGCCTTTCGACTCGGCGCTGCTGATGATCGTGCCATTGCAAGCTGGCCCAGGTGTTAGTTTTCACATGTTGCTTGTGTGCGACAATGGAGAATGACGTACCGAACTCCTTCTTGATGACCTTGAGGATCTTCTTGTGATCAAACTTAGTCGGTATGCCTTGCACGGTAGTCAAGGTCTTGCGTCCATTGCGCTCTGCAGCACGTCTGTCAGCTCGTCGTTCGAGTAACGTTGCGGTCCGTTCGCGTCGGAAGTCGGTGGGTCACGCGACATGGGGGTTTAAAACGTACGTTGAATACGAATATGTATTTTTTCTTGGGATTGGGAATTCTGTCCCGACTCCTCGTCCTCGTCGGCGAAGGGGTCTAATAAGGGTGCGCGTTAGTTAACGACGTTCAGGTAAACAAGTGCATCGATGTTGAGCCTCAGCGCCAGGGAAAGGAGAGACCCAATTCGGCCCCGCCAAGACGGAAACACCAATAATCGTTGCCGCGAGTTCTGGCAGCGATCGTGCGAGCAAACCATAAAAACTCATCAAGGCGATGAAAGGAAACAATTAGTAGACATACCGCGGTCTTTGAGATTCTGGATTTCGGTTGCGCCTGACATAAACTCGAAGTTCTGGGGGTGTCCTTGGGAAACGGTTTGTTTTGAAGAGAGGAGAGTGTAGCGACCGACGACTGGAGTAGTGTCTCGCTAATTCAAGATGGGTATTGACTTGCTGAGTGCGATATGTGACTAGAAAGGCGAAGCCGGCGACTTTTTATGCTTTGGCGGTCGGAGATGGATGTTGTTGTTGATGGCAAAGCGTTTGGAAGAAGGAAGTCGGTGGGAGGCGACAGGTGAGGGGAAGAGCCGGGTGATGTGGGGGCTCTGGGGCGGCCAAATCGTGCAAGGCCGTCAGGCAAAAACGGGCGGCTGTGGGGTGGGTCTTGCGAAAGCGAGTCAAGTGGGATGTACCACACAAGTTCCTCTGTTGCACTTTCCCATAATTTACACGCAGAATGGCCGGGAAGGTAACCTGTGAGTACATCGACATGTTAATTGTGCGTCACCGCAACACCTGACGCTTTCGTCTTTACTTTTCCATGCAAGCTATGTCACCTGCAAGCTGCGGCACGAATTCTCAGCTTAGGTTCTCTCGTTCTTTGCGACACAAGTTCGAGGCTGCTAGGATATCCATGCCTACGTGGACGCAGTTGCAGTGTTTCGAGGCGTCTTTGCTCTGTAACTCAAGCCCCTCGAGAGTTTAACATTCGCGTTGCGTAAGGCTGCGCGAAGAGTCGAGTCCGCTTCGTGAAGTAGCCACGATTTTGTACCTAATTTGAGAAATTACAAATGCAAATGGCACCGCAGATGAGAATGCTTAGCTGGACCTGAGAAGCATGACTGCACGGTGTGTAAGCCCACACAACACGGGATTCAATGTGTTAAGTTTCGCGAGAGCGAGCTTCAACAACGTCCTGACGGGTATCGACCCGCAGCGTGGATCCCCCCACAGTTGCAGCGGGAGAGTGGGAGATTTGCCCCTGCATCGCCCCTGGCCATCACTGCGCGGACCGGGTTTCGCCTCTCGCAGCCCGCTGCACCCACCATCTTTTTTCTAGTTTCCGAGTCCAGGAAACATGGGATTCCAGCCCGAAGAGCTGGCGGCCGACGCCCGCCCAGCCGTCGTCGAGACCGTGACTTGCCACAACGACAAGGCGCCTTCACCGCCAAACTGGAGCCCGCTGTTTCGCCACCCGTGCGAGTTCGGCCCCTCCGTGTTCGGCGATGTTTTGGTCAATCTCATCCAGAACCCCAATATCAATTCGTCGTGGCTCTTCCGCGCCGACATTCTGTATGACTCAGCCGCCTCCGAGTCAAAGGGCCCGGGCCGCCCAGATGACGAGCTTGGCCCGCCATCCGAGACCGACAACACATCGTCTGGTCCAGTGCGCATTCCTTCTTTTGCCGGGTATGAGTTGAAGCGCACCATCGTCCGGCGACTCATTCCGAGGAACACGCTGCGGGACAAGCCCCTGGATCAAACATGCCTCATCTACCAGACTGTATCTAATCAGAAGGGGGGAGAAGAATCGGACGATGTAGTCATTCCAGAAGAGAATACACTGGTAGTCTACCTCCCCCATGTTGCGGATGGCAGTGAAATGCCCTTTTACCACCCCGTCGTAAAAGGGATAGCCTTTCTGCACAGTTGGACGGCTGCAGAATCCTCAGGGTCCATCTCCATTTCCTACCAGTTCTTCAACGAGGCAGAAGACCGTTCCACCGTCAAGCTGACCAGAACGGCGCTGCGTCTCCTCGAGGTCATCCATAAACACGGCAAGGGCCGGTTAGCAGGCTACCAAAAGCGAGTCCACCACGACCAAATCCTACCCCAGGCGCGCGTGCAAAACACATATGCCCAGCTCAAGCGCAAGTACGCGCGTGAGCTGATCGAGAGCTGGGCTGAGACTACGGACCCGGAGAAACACGTGTTCGAGGACCTGTGCATCGCCGCGTTTCTGGTCGAATTATGGGCGGATATGTACGGGCGCCCCAGCCGCCAAACCCCCTTTCCGGGGTTTGTGGACATTGGCTGTGGCAACGGCCTGCTTGTTTACATTCTGAACCGGGAAGGGTTCGGGGGTTGGGGCTTCGACGCGCGCGCGCGCAAGTCCTGGTCCACATACAACACCAAGTTCATAGCCCCTTCGGGAAGTGAGGAAGACACCCTCCAAGAACTCGTCCTCCTCCCAGCCCCAGTCAGCAGCGGCGAGGAGATCACAACCACCACCCTCCCACAGGACCGCATCCACAACGGCCGCTTCCCAAAAGGCACATTCATCATCTCCAACCACGCCGACGAGCTCACCCCCTGGACCCCAATCCTCGCGACACTTTCAGAATGCCCGTTCATAGCCATCCCCTGCTGCAGCCACAACCTCGCAGGCGAGCGGTACCGCGCACCACCGCCCAGGGACAAGACCAAGGCTGACTCGGCGTACTCGTCCCTGGTAGCGTGGGTGGCGGATATCGCGACGGACTGTGGGTGGGAGGTGGAGCAGGAGATGCTTCGGATTCCGAGTACACGTAACACGGCGATGATCGGGCGGACGCGGTCACGGGGAGCGGAGCTGGTGGATGTTGATGATGTTGTCCAGCGGTATGGAGGCGCCGCTGGGTATTTGGCGAGCGTGATCAAGCTTGTCACGTCTACCTCGTCAGGGGTTGAACATTGAGAGGCAAGCAAGGCAAAGCAAAGCAAAGCAGACGCTGTTTCTCAAATTCAAAAGCTATCACTGAAAACTCAAGCCTTTCGGCTAGTCCAAGTCCGGCACCGGGAGGTGATCGACCAATTTCAGGTTCAACCCCAGCTTCCGCAGCGCTTCGGTGGCCAACTCGTCCCGCAGCTTTTCTGTCTCCGCTTGGGTGGTAAGCACAAAGTCGTGCTTCAGCAGCCACGTCCCTTCCTCTACGCCGTACTTCTCCGCTGTCGCCTTGTCGACCTTGTCAAGGTCGACCACCAGGCTCTGCTTGACACCAAACACGGCGTCCGAGGTCTCGTAGGGGTCTCCACGGAGGTATAGAGCTCTGTATCACCAGGATTAGCCCCCGTACCACACACTTAGCCATATAGAGAGAGAAATCTAGGAAAAAGACCTACGTGATCAACCGATCCCACCCCTCCTTCCCAAACATAAAATGCACATGCGCCGGCCGCCAACAATGCCGTTTCAACAACTGCAACAACCCCCCCACAGGCCCATCATGCGGAATCGGATAGCTAACCGGCTTCAACCCGCGAAACCAGAACCTCCCCTCGTCATCCGACACCATCACACACCGCTCGCTGGGCCCCTCCCGGTCGGCATGCTGCACGTCGTAATGCCCCGAACTGTCCGTCTCCCAGATATCGACAGTAACGCCGGGGACGGGCCGGCCGTGGGTGTCACGCACCGTGCAGATCGCCAACATGGGCTCGCCGGCGGGGTCAGACGTCATGCTCGCGCCGTGGGGCAGGGTCGGGGCATCGTGGGTGTGGAAGGGGCCGAGGACGGACCCTTCGGTGCCGCCGGGGGGTTTGGGGTGGTTGATGTTGTCTACGAGGAGGGATAGGCCGAGGACGTCGGAGAGGAGGATGAATTCCTGGATTGTATCAGTATCCACTCCCTGAATATCATAGGAGCAGAGGAGAGTAATAGAGTAACTCACATTCCGCACATCACTCGAAATCTGCCCGCACCCAATCAGAAACTCAATCGCCGCCATCCACTCGTCAGTGCTTAGCCGGGTTTCGCGGGCGAAATCGTGCAGGTGTGTGACGAGCCGAGCCATCAGGTAGGTCAGGCGGGCGTTTGGGCTTTGCGAGTTGATGCGGATTGTGTTGGGGGTGATGTTATCGATGGTGAGATCTAGGAGGTGAGGTCCTGCTGGTCCTGCTGGTCCTTTTCCGTTTCCATCTCCGTTCTGCCCGTTGTTTTGGGTTATGTTGTCGCCGGTGTTAGTGACGTTGGGTCCCGTCGGTGGGACGGGGCCGCCGTTGTTGCCCGTGGTTCTTGGGCCGATGGTCATGTTGAGGATGTTACGTGTTTGTTTCGGAGGAGGGGCGAGCTCTGGGGAGGAGAGGTTTAAAAGGATTGGTTGTTCCAAGAATTCTGCTCGGTGAATACCTAAGAATTTTGTGTTCCTCGACGTTGACCAAATATTTGTCAGGCCTGAGCAATCGTTGATCGGCTCGATGATGTATGATTCAGTCTTGAATACGGATTTATGCAGCGAGTGGTCTAACGAGTGACACTGTATGTACCAATGAGGAAACTGAGAGCAGCTAAATGGGCAGACTTTTTTCTGATTAATTAATGTTTAAACATGATACATAGAATACAAAATCACACAGCATTTAAAATCTCTTGAACCCCCGGAAAGGACCAGCACGCGGATCAGGGTCCAGAGAGTGGGTTGACCCTTGGGGTGAGTGGCGGGGTAGCTTAATTCGGCAGGCGGGACTGGGGAAAATGAGGGGCACGGGAGTTGCGATGGGGTGTACATGTACAGTACCCGGGTTTCTACCGAGTATTTTCCAGAAATGCCGGCCCTGGGAAAGGAAAGGGGAGTACCTTTTTCCCAGACTCAAAATCCGGGAACAACTTCGGAGGTTTAACCCGACCTTGTGGGAACCACGGGACTGGAAAGATTTCCGGGTTCCTTTGCTGTTGTAGATGTGGGGTTGAGACAAGATACGGCCGTCAAAGGGTTAGACGCAATCAAGAAGTGAAGAGTTTACCAAGTATTACCTCTTACCCGATAAGGTAGAGTACATACAAACATCCCCATTACAACATTCTTATTTATCTAACCCTGCCCAGTCAATAAGTAGGTACCTAAATAGAGATATCCAACCCAAATCCAAACCCTTCTTTCACCCTTCACTCCACCGGCTCCAACGCCTCAACTAGCACCGTCGTCGGCGTCTTCCCATCCATACCCGCAATCTCTTTCGAAACCCGGTGCCTTGCCGAGCATGGACTCGATGACCTGCTGATAGAAGGCGAAGGCGTGTGTAAACTCCAAATCCCACTCTCCGGTTTCGGCCTGTCGTACTTATCCCTCCCTCTCTCCGATACCGACGATGCCTCGGACGACAATGATGCCTCCGAGAACGATAGTGCATCAGATGATGATGGTGTATTTGACGACGACGACGACGTTGCACCAGACGACGATGGCACTACAACCTCCTCCTCCTCCGGCGTATCACAATCCGTAACAACCACACAAGTAGAATTAGCATTCACACCACCAGAACACCGCCCAGCCGCTATGAGCACGCTACTGGCAGGCCTACTGAGATCCACCGACTCGCGGAAGTCGCGTGAGGACCAGGACATGCGGTAGGGCCGGGCTGCACGGGGCAGACTGCCTGTGCTGAGGCGGGGGCCGAAACTGCTTGTGCTGAGGCGCGGGGCAGAACTGCTTTGTCGGCTGTGGCTGTGGCCGTGGTTAACTTGGAGTTGTTGCTGTTGACCTTCTGTGGTGGTGGAGTTGTCTTCGGGGGGTTGCGGTTGTTCGTTGGCGGTAGGTGTCTGACCCTGTGCCCCGGGTTGGAACTGAGGCTGGGCCTGCGCATCCGTGTCCTCGTCTTCGATTTTCGGACACCTGTGGACGGATAGAACCGAAAACCGCGGGGTTGGCGGAGGCGGCTCGTGGTCCACCGCGAAAGGCGCGTCCCGGGCCTTCTTCTCGATGGCCGTGAAGTAGCGGATGCGGGCGGGCTCGAGCCACTCCGGTTCGACCTCCTTACGGTTGCGCATCAGCGACAAGAAGGACGAAGCCGTGCTGAGAGCGATGAGGGCCAGCAAGGCGACGACGGTAAATACTTGGATGACGACGATGGCGAGGCCGTGGCTGGCGGCTGTGGACCGGGTGGTGGTTGCGCCGGGGAGCAGGGTGGTTGCTATACCCCCTGTGATGATCTTGCCGAACCCCAAGATCCAGACGCCCATGACGGTGTTGCGGGCACCCTCAAAGGGGTTGAGGATGGCGGCGATGATGAAGTTTAGGATGTCCACCACCAAGATGCCGTATACCTGGGCGTGGGGTGTCTTCCAACCCCCTCCCAGCAGCGCAGCGCGGCAGAACAGGTACCCTACATGGTACGCCATAAACCACCACCGTGTGCGCCGATACCGTGCCGATAACCAGCCGTACCTCTTGACAAACACCTCATCCATGTGAACCGTGTTCCGCTCGGGGATGTCGTCGATATGTTTAATCTTAAACATCGGGAAGTTGTACACCTGCTGCTTCTGCTGAATCTCGACATTGTGCTGCTTGACCGTCGACTCTCGGATGAACGCCACCCCCTGAACCCGCCCCCCGAACCACGGCGTGCGGTAACAAATAACCCGGTCCGCCTGTACCTCCAGCTTCCCCCGCTTCGTGCGGTGTCGACACCCGCTCACGACAAGCGCCACCGTGACGATCAACACCAGAATAAACACCACCGCAGCGATAGCAATCGGTCCCACGGCCGTCCGCGTGGTGAACTGCATCATGGACAGAGCCATGAGCGTGAAGAAGAAGACAACAAGCGTACGCTGCAGGGCGTGGGCGAGATAGCCGAGCCAGTGGTTGCGGAAGTAGAAGAGGCGGTCTTCGTGGATTTTGTGGGTTATCACTAGGGTTCCTAGTACCGCTTTGAAGGTTGCGATGGCGAAGGCCACGAACCCGAAGGCGATCACGATCCAGATCAGGCTGAGGAGGAAAGCGTCTGCGATGGGGATGTTGGATACGGATAGGGTCGCTGGGAAGCCTGTGGCGGCGGCGGTGCCGGGGAAGGGCAGGCCGGGCTTGACGGGGTTGCCAGACCATGTTGTGTCGTTGAAGAAGGTGGAGTTGAACGCCGGGCCTTTGGGGGCGGCGGCGCCCTTTGACGCTTTATGAGATATCACGGCCTTCTCAAGAATCGAGTGTGCTGACCAGGCATCGGCCGCCGCCGCCGTCCCGTTCCCGTCGTCAACGCCAGTAAAGACGCTGATCGGCTGTATCAACCCAGGCGCATAGATCATCCCTGCAGACCAGGCAAAGTTCGACCACCACGCCGTCAAGATAGGCGGCCAGTCAACCGACAGCGCGCCGGAAAAGAAAATACTCTGGAACGTCTCCAGCACCACCATGACCGACAGCGAATGGGCGTGGTGCATCCTCATATGTGGGACACTGATTCCGTAGATAGCCGTCAGGAACGACGCGGCCATGGCGACGAGGGTGAAGCAGCCGAGAATGGGGGCGAGGATAGCCGGGTGAGAGACAGTGTGGCCGTTTGTGAGGGAGGCCTGGAAACAGCCGATTTCGGTGGTCTTGTCTGAGGCGGCGTAGACTTGCAGTTTGGCGGTGCCTTCGTAGTCCGGGAGGTGGAAGGGGAATTGGAGGGGTTGGCTGATCGGGTGGTTGCTGGCGGGGAGGACGGTGCTGGCTGTGATGGGGGTTTGCGAGCTTAGGGGGCAGAGGCTGGGGATGTGTAGGCCGCAGGGGTCGAAGGTCATGTCGAACCGGTTGGTTCCATCTATGTTGTTAGTGTCTGGACGTCGTGGAAGACGATGTCATTGACTTACATCCGTTGATGGATAGACGCACTGCAGATCTGTGTTAGCCCCCGCACTCCCTCACTCACGTATTCACGCCTCGGGGACTTACAAATAATACGCTCATGCTCAATACTGCTGGTACCGTTGAGGTGGAAGACAACAGTCTTGTTGCCGGCATCGTACGCGGCGTCGAAGTGGGCAACGGTGAACGAGCTCTCGGGTAGACAGTCGGCAAAGTCGCCGGTGTACAATGGGGGTCTTGGAGCTGGTCAACAGCCGGGATCTCGGCGTCAAGCTAAAAGAGAAGAGAGAGGAACCAGGTAGACATACCTAATACCACTGGCTTCTCCCCCAACGGCAAAGAGTACACAGAAAAGAAGGACAAAGCCGCGAAACGAGTTCCATGACGCCATTGTTGACCCCGTTCAGTCCCACGACGACTCGCCCTTAGTAACGCTCAGTGAATTCGAACAGGCCCCGGTGCGTAGCGACGTCCACAGCGGCATTGCGCGCCCGTACGTCTGAAGAAAGAAGGCGTTTTTCTTTTCTGTCAGGTGCGGATGGACGTCAACGGATGTGGTACCTGCTCGAGTGTGTTTGTCTAAGATTGGGACCCAACGGCTGAGGATCGATCTTCAAGAGGTTTCGGCTGCTTCGGACCGTCCTGTGGAGTTGAGTCTCGGCTGGAGACGGCCAAGCCTGGGAGATGATATTGCGAGTTGAGAATCGCCTCTCAAACTAGGCTGCTGTTATCCGTAGGAGAGTGTGTGTTGCAAGTAGGCAGATAAGATGGCCGGCAGACAATCCAGTCTTCCCACGCTAGGTGACTGAGGTGAGAGAGACTGCAGCCATGCTGAGAAACCAGCCGATGAACCACGCGGAGAAACACCCCATTTCCACGCTGAAATGACGCTGATTCCACGCGAGGAGAATGGCTTGCTTTTGGGCATAAACGCCCTGAAAGGAGAAAGTGAAGCACTGTTTGTGCCTGATTGTGAACACGCACAGTACGAACTGGAGGGGCCGGAGGGGCTGGAGGCTCGGTCTAATTTCACACCACGCCACCCGATCTTCGGCTCGGCGAGATGAGCTCGATAAAACGGTCGTGTTCTGGCTGTTGTTTTCAGGCGGGCAGGGGTAGATCGAGAAACTGGGCTGTATCTGAGTGTATGCGAGAAATCATCACGACAACGGTGGAAGACCTAGCAGAACGGGTCGAGTCTCATGAATCCTTCCATCTCTCAGTAATCTCAGTGACAATCGACGGGAAGTGTAACCGCCGTGAGTTGCAACGGTCGTGTGATCGGTGATCGTTGTTGAACAAAAAAGGAGAAGATGATTGGCGATCTAATTTCGAACCCCCCTGACGCCACGGAGCGGACCGTTCGGGAATCAGCCGATCCCTCGTGGCAAGTTCCGTGTTAAATTTGATCGATCAGGAATTACCATATTCCCGGGTCTTTGGGGACGTTCTCGGCCCGGCTGTCACTCGTACCTGTTTTGGGGGCTTGTCCGTTGTGTGAGTGTGTCGTCGACTCTGTTAGTTCAGGAATTGAAGGGTACAGTACCATAATGATAAGATCACCGTCAAATCGCTGTCCTTGAATAACCTCATTCATCAGTGCTGATAGCCATGAATCTACCGTGTATTGTACCTAATAACGTAAGTTGTGCGTACTCCTGCTTCTCAAGGAAACCAATCCCAAGAAAACCAAAAACAGACTACCGTCAAGTCAAGCCACCAAAGAACCATCGCAACGCCATCTTGACCAAGCAACAAAAACGTGAGTTGGTTAGGTATGCAGCCGTCCAAGAAATCGCAGACTCCAGATTGCGGATTGCGCTTGCAGATTGCGCTTGCAGATTGCGCTACATAAGATATCATCATCCCTTCATATCACATGCCGTCATATCCTTTCCCGTCTTCCATCATCCCATCCATCCTCCTATGCCATCCTCCCGTCCACCATAACCCTCTCCTTATCCTCCTATATCCTGTGATGTCCTCACGTAGATACTCACGTAGATACTCATAGATAGTAGACTACTGCTCATCCTCCTCCTCAATAGGCGCCGGCGTCGCCCGTTCCCTCCTCCTCTTCGGCCTCCTCAACCGATTACTGCTAACCTGACTCGCCGAGTCATCCGGCGCCAGCTCACTGACATCATCCCCGCCCCACTCACTATCCGCCCCATCAACACTCTCCTCATCCGCCCACGACGGCCGGTCATACGTCCCGCTTGATCCAGACAGCGGCAAGACATCGATCCGGCGGCCGCCCGTTCCAATACCGCCCATCATCATACCGTCCGGCCCCACCCCGCCGCCACGACGGTGTTGGAGACTCATTTGGAGTGCGGCGCCGCGACGACGGAGGTGTTCCCTCACGGCCATGGCGCGGTCGTGGAGTTTTTCAAAGGCATCTTCGAGGGCTTCCATGCCGTTGAAGATTTCGCGTTCGAGTTCGGCTAGCGTGGCGACTTCGATTTCTTCGTCGTGGGTTACTGCTCCGCCTCGTCCTGAGGGGAAACTGGAACTGGCGACGGATGAAACGCCACTCAGAAAGGAGGCCGGGGTTTGGCCGCGGGAGAAGGCGCCGCCGTTGAAAGGGGTGGTGGTGCGGGACATGGGTCGGCCGGTGGGAGGGGACATGAGGCGGGAGGGTGGGGGGAAGATGCCGCTGGCGGGGGTGGCCATGCGGGAGACGCTTTCGCCGAGGGCGATGCCGTCGTCTTCGGCTCCCGACCAGAGAAAGCCGTCGAAGCGGCCGGAGGTGAGGATTTCCCATTCGGAGGCGCTGATGTCGGAGATGGTGTGGAGGAGGTCGTGGAAGTCGGGGTTCTTGACGAGGTAGACTGTGGTCTCGGCGTCGCGCGGGGTTTGGTGAAGGCGGTACAACCGCTGGAGGGACAGGCCCGATTTGACGACGAAATCGTTTCGGGGCCGGCGGACGGGGGTCGGGGCCCGCACGGCGGGTTGCAGTTCGCGGGCGCCGGCCAGCAGCGCGTTGAAGAAGGGCCGGTCTTCTTGCTCGAGGTTGGTGAGGATGGCAAAGGCGAGGGTCTCGTCGTCGACGTCTTGTGGCGGTGGTGCGGCTGTCTTCTCGCACCCGGTCATCCACTTGTCGACGGCGGCTCGCACGCGTTTCGTCTGGCGCAGGTAGTGTTCCCGGAACTCTTCGGCGATATCGGGATCCATCTTGACGGGGGACGACGGTCGGGGGGGCACGTCGGCGAGATCCTCGACCGCCTTGGTGCTCAGCAGAGAGAAGTCGAACGGCGGCCACAGGGGTAGTTCTACTCTCCCACTGACCCGTTCCAATACTTCACCCCAGCCAAGTCCCCGGTGCGGCAGACCGGAACGCTCGCACATGATGCACGGGCAGCCGTCAGGGGAAAGATCACGGGAAAAGACATTCTCGAGGCGGTCTAGGAGCCGGCGGGCCACGGTCCGGTGGCCGGTAGCTACCGCGATAGAGCCGTGGCCGGATAGAACGGTCTGGTACTGGTTGAGAAGCCCAAAGAAAGGCGCAAAGAGCGTCTCGGCGCCTTGTAGCGGCGGGTTCGATGGCCTGGTCCCGTTTTGCCGTGGCAGCGCGGACAAGAACGTCCTAGGCACTGGCTGGGGCAGGCCGCCGTTCTGCATGAGGTAGTCGACCCGCGGTACTTCCTGGAGGTTGAGAGCCGGCGGTGGGGGTGGTGGTGGTGGTGGAGGGGGAGGAGGCCCTGAAGCAAAGGCTGGCGTGGCAGAGGGCGTGGGGACGTCGGAGGTCGAGTAGTGGTGCACGTCGGACGTGGCGTAGTGGTTCTTCTCCTCGGGCATCATCGGCGGCGGCGGGAATCCAGGAGTGTGGGTGGGGGTTCTGGGAGAGTTGTCCATGACCGACTCGGGCGAGAAGTCAGCCGGCTCGATGGGCGAAGGCCGGACGATGGATCCATTCCGTCGTGGGAGTGCCGTAGAAGTAGACCCAGGCTCGACGGTGGATGCGTCCGTGATTTCGGAAGATGGCACCCGGGAATGGGAATCGTCCCCCCGAGGAGCCCGGACGGACGGCGCGGGCCGCATAACAAAGGTCGCCTGGCTCGACACCTTGGAGACACGCGACTTGTTTTCGTGCTTGGACGTCGACCGCGACACCCACGAGCCCCGCGACGACGGCCGCGTGTCGGGCAACTCGGCCTCTTTTTCTTTTGTCGACACTGGCGTTTCCGGCCTCTTCCTCTGTCCAGACAAATCTGTCTCGGGCGGAGACGGTGGCCGGTCGTCCTGCCGTGCTTCCTGTTCTCCCCGTCGCCCATCCTTTCCTTGCCCTTCCCGCCGCGCTGTTGAGGCCTTTCGCTTCGAAGGCGGCGAGTCAACCGACCGGGACCGCTTCATCTCGCTTCCCCCACCCCCGCCCAGGTCTGTAGTATCTGGCGTCAGAGGATCCGACTGCCGCGGGGGCCGTGGAGACGACAAATCCTCCTTGCTGTGCAGCGCTTCCTTGCTGTGCGCCTTGCTAAACGAAGGGTACGGCAGACTGCCCCGCTCGCTGCCCAAGCCCCGCGAGAGTTCGGGGACCAGGTCGACCATGGACCGGCTCGCGGCCGCCCTGTCGTCGCGCTCGTCCTTGGCGTCCATGGAGTCTCTGGTGCGGTGTCGTCGGTGTGATCGAGAGCCCGTCTCGCTGTCGGTTGGCCGCAGTCGGGAGGACTTGGAGGACCGGTACGAGGTGTGGTAGTAGCGGTGGGAGGATGACAGCAGCGAGTCCTTGTCTCTGTCGTCGCGGTCTCGGTTCTCTCGTCTTCGATCTTTGTCCCTCTCGCGGTCTCGTCCTGCGTCTTTCTCTCCTCGGTCCCGTTCTCGGTCTCGTTCTCTATCTCGATCTCGATGCGGTTCTCGTTCTCGTTCTCGGTCGCGGCCTACGTCTTTCTCGCCCCGCTCTCTGTCCTTGCGCTCGGATTTCGACCGGTGCGGTGGTTTCTCGCGCGGGCGGTCATCGACGACGTCGGCGGCATCGCGATCTTTAGAGGGCGACATGATGGACCATGTCAGGGTGTGGCACCCACCCGGACGGGGAATGCGGATGCGGGTACCGGTGCAACTGCAACTTCAACTGCAACGCACGGGAGGTTGCGGCGCGGGCTGGCGGGGGGCGAGGGGGCTAAGGGAATGAGTTGTTGGTTCGGATTCGGAGCTTCGTCACTTTTGTCACTTTTCTCGCTTTGTGAGGGCCAACCAGGGCCGTGTCGTCGTTCGTGGTCTGCCCGTTCGAATATTCGAGCTGCGCAACGTTGTTATTTGATGGATTAGAATGTCTGCTCTCTCGAATATGGCGATGAGGAGAGTTGCGAGCTTGAATCGAGCTGTTCGTGCCTAAACTAGTTCCCGAACCGCTGCTTGAGGTATTGGGCGGTGACCATCATCATTGGGCAGCCTGCTGTGCTCGGCTGCGTCGCACACAGTCCGCGCACTGTATTACAGCTTCCCGGCAAGCTATCGCAAGCCATTAGTGGGCCAAGCAGCGGATCGGCACAGTGCGCATCCCACGACGCCTTGAATTCGGCATTCACTGGCCGCTCTAGCTGCCCGCCTCGTGGAAGGTTTGGCCCTAAAGTGAGACAGCAGACAGCAGACAGTTAACCGTTCCGGGAATTCTTCAACCACGACCTGAAGAACAACATGTCAAGTGTTTTAAGTCGACCTAGATCTCAACAATAGCAACTCCAATTTATCCTCAAACAACCTCTCAGTATATATTCGCACGGGACAACAAGTCGTGCACCGACACAATGAGGGGTTTCCCGCTGCGAACCATTGGGTAGCGACATATCCATCACTGCCCGCCCGGCGCCCACAATACGACATCCCACTTCCGCTTCCGCTACAAATTACGCGCTGGGCTGCCCGCAGCATGCCGGCGAACCGCCCAATCGCCGGCCGTCATGCAGCCGCCAGCCGAGAATAGAAACCATGAGCGCTACCTACACGGGTTGACGGGCTACACGGCAGCGGTTCGTCATTTTCAAATTGGCTGCCCGAAGATTCACGGAGTGGGGGACGGGACCGACGGTTTCTAGAAAGTTGTTTACTCCTATTTCGGGAAATACTCGACTTGACTCGGCTCTTATCATGCTATTTCTTATCGCCATGCTATCTATTGCATGGCTGCTTGCAGTAGGCCGCTCGAAACAGATCTATTGGTCTCAAAATCTTCTCAAAATGATGTCAAAATGGCCTCAAAATGGCCTCAACACCAAACCCAACGGCCGTGAGTGACTCTTTGGCCTCACGGTCGACCTGCCCACAGACGGGTCGGGACAGGTCCTGGGCTACCATGCCATGATATCGTCACCATCAGCGTCTTCTACACGTCCATGTAGTTGACCAGTGACGACTTAAAACCGATCCAGCAACCCCTTGCTCTCCAACAACAACACAATCTGGTGCACAATCGACCGCACCGACTGCGTCTCCGCATCCACCACCAAATCCGGCTTCGACGGCGCCTCATACGGATCATCCACCCCCGTAAAGCCCTTGATCTCCCCGGCCCGCGCCCGCGCATACGTCCCGCGCTTGTCCGTCTGCTCGCAGTACGCCAGCGACGTAGCCACATGCACGAGGTAGAAATCCCCGTACTTCTCCACCAGCTCGCGGGCGTGCTGGCGCGCCTGCTCAAAGGGGGCAATCGGCGCTGCGATCACCGCCGCGCCCGACCGCGTCAGCTCCGACGACACAAACGCAATGCGCGCAATGTTCTTGTCGCGGTCCTCGCGGCTGAACCCCAGCTCCGACGACAGCTCGCTGCGCACCGTCTCACCCAGCAGCATCGATACCGACCGCCCGCCCTGCTGGTTCAGCGTCACCTGCAGCGCCCGCGCGATCTGGTCTTTACCGCTATTCTGGTACCCCGTGAGGAACACTGTGAACCCTTGTTGCGACCGCGGCGGGTGGGATTCGCGGAGCACTTTGACCACCTCTGGGTAGGAGAACCACTCCGGGATGTCGCGGCCGCTGCGCAGGCGGGCGCGCAGTTCCGTGCCGGAGATGTTGAGGGTGCGGACACCCTGGGGGATCTGGTCCACAGGGGCGTACTCGTCGCTGTCGGGGAGGTAGGTCATCATCTGGAAGGGGACCACCTCAATGCCCAGCTCGTCGCGGTATTTTTCCACGGCATACTGAGCGTCGTAGGGCCCGTAGAAATCAACCCCCTTGCTGTTCTTACCGGGACCGGCGTGGTCACGACCGACGATGAAGTGAGTAGCACCGTGGTTCTTGCGGATGATAGCGTGCCAGATGGCCTCGCGGGGCCCGCCCATGCGCATGGCCAGGGGCAGCAGACCGAGCACGGCCATGCCGTTGGGGTAGCGCGGGAGCAGGGCCTTGTACACGCGCACGCGGGTGAAGTGGTCGATGTCGCCGGGCTTGGTCAGGCCGACGACCGGGTGGATGAGCACGTTGGCGTGGTGGGAGCGGGCCGCGCGGACGGTGAGCTCGCGGTGGGCGCGGTGCATCGGGTTGCGGGTTTGGAAGGCGACGACGCGGGACCAGCCTAGCTTGTCGAAGTGTGCGCGCAGCTCCGCGGGGGTGTCTGAGAGTGTTAGCTTGGCTAGCTTAAACGAAGCCGAGGGGAAGGGGGGGTAAGGGACGTACACCGCAGCTCGACAAAGTCATAGTGCTGCAGCCGGTTGATGGCCTCGAGCTTGCCGCCGACGTAGAGCTCCTTGGCGGTGTTGAAGAGGTACCGCACAGCCGGGTGCTCCTCATCGCCTCCAAAGACTTCCTTCGCTTCCAAAGCCCTGTTCAAGTCTCCAGGTCAGTCACAATTCCTCGCCAAGTTTGCACTATTAGTTGCACTATTTGTCTCTGAGCCATTCTGCCACACAATGACGCAACCCTTGGCGGATTCTTGGGCTCTTGGGCTCTTGGGCTCTTGGACGGGATTCTTGGACAGAGGTTCTTGAAACGGAGCTTACTTGTCGGGCTGGTAAACATCCTCGACGGTGAGGATGGCCAAGTTGCGGTCGTCCCGGAAATCGCGCAGCGTGATTCTGGCACCGGGCTGGATGGCGAGCTCTTTGACGGTGTTTTGGTCGACGTCGAGCGTGATGGGCATGCTGAAGAGCGCGCCGTCTGCGAGGCGGTTCTCCTTGACGACGCTGCCGTCACTGTCAGTGTCTGATCATATCCGCAGGGGCCAATTTCTTGTCTTTTTGTCGGTGCATACCCATTGTAGTCCTTCTCGGTCATGAAACCTGCATTTGAGCATTGTTAGTCTCTATTTAGACTCAACGAGGGCAACTCGACAACAAGAGAGCGACAGCGACATGGCGGGGTCATGCAAGCCCCACCATCCCACCATCGCTATTGTAGTCGCGCAACAGAGAGGCTAGACACACCTTCCAGCGGCGAAAACCCGCCATTGATGATCAATTCGAGATCGCACAGCTGGCGCTCGCTCAGGAGCAGTGCGGGAAGCTTCTCGGCTTCGGCAGAGAGCTCAGCATGGCGAGGGAGATCTCGTGCGATCAGGTCCTTGAGGACACCGCCGTGGGGGGAGTTGGCCATTTTAAGTACTGTTGTAAGTACCTAAGGTGAGTGGACAGCCGAGGGTATCAGACGAGAAGGCGTAGTGTCGAATTCACGCACTGGACACAGCGAGATCAAGGGACGAAGAGAGAAAAGAAGGATGACAAAAACATCGAGAAAAAAAAAGAAAAGGATCACAAAAGCAGGCAAGGCCAGGTATCTATCCAGGGCAGATTTGCCGTGGTGCCGTCTCCGCGGGTACCCCAGCGGTCCGGGACCTCCGTTTCTTGCAGAGTCCCCCGGTAACGGCGTTCATCCTGTAATACTGGAGTATGGAGATGCCCGCTGCCCCGAAGGGGACACCCGTCTTTGGCCCCGCTGTATGTGTGAGATGCGCGATTCGTAATACATACGGTGGACAGGGCACGTTGCATGGCACGTTCTGGCGGGCAAGGCGGGGCATCGGCGGTTGGAAATCGAAATCCTGAGGTATTATAGTACCAACGTTATCCCGTTTTGCCGGTTGCTTCACTTAGATGGACTAAAATGGGATCAGAGAGAAAAGGAGGAAACACTGGATGTCCATCACCTGGGCTTCGTCTCCGGTATTTCTATCGGCAAGCAAGCGCTCGACCTCGAATGCAGCAGCTCAGATGTAGCAGAACCGTCGGTGTGAGTTTATTTCAAGGCGTGAGGTTTCGAAGGGAAATCCTACGTATTGCGGTGAAAGACGGCTGTCGGCATGGCATCATCGGCTCGGTGAACTCGGGATGGACCCTGGCATTTTTTCCCTTTTCCCGCAGATTCCTGCGGCAAGCACAGACGAGGCGAAAACCTGAGACTTGGCCCTGTTCTCGAATCTTTTAGCTCCGATGACGTGCTCGGCACGGACCACTAGGTCCACTCTTCTTTCCATGCTTTGTCATGGTGAATCTTTGCACACCTCGAGCACGCTCAAGAAACACGGAAACCAACGGCAACTGGCAACCTTAGATTCTCGTCACATTGTATTCGGTAAAAGGCAACACCATCGATACTCCTTTGGAAGCACAAAGGGTTGTCTTACATCCATCGCTGAAGCTGTAGGTTGCCTGATATATCAACTTGACCGATTTCTAGAAAAGTACGGATGCGTCCTGTGTCGTACTGTCAGTCGTCTAGGGTTAGGGTATATCTTCCCCTGAATTCAACAAGCGAGTCTCGATTTAACAACAACAACAAACTGCTCGCTCAAGTCTGTCACAATATTCTACCACAAAGTAAACAAGGTCCAAGCGACCTGCGCAACAAGAGGTCCTCCAAGTCAATTTAGTACCGCCAAGTAAAGCCGAGTATCCGTACAAATACACCGTAAACGAGGGAATCCGAAACCCAACCAAGATTCCTTGTATGTTCACCTCACCTTTAACCCATGTAGCCTGGCAAAAGAGAGGAGAAACAACAAAAACACCCTCAGCCTCTGTTACTACAAATCGGACCCAACTTCCTTCGTCACTACCAACTCATATCCTACAGCTCAACTTATCCTACACTCCAAACAACAACCGCCTCAACACCGTCAATTTCCCATTCCCTTTCTCACTCTTCTCCCCTTCAGCGTTCGGCTGGCCGTCACCGCCGGTATGCCAGGGATCTAGTGTGCCCTCGCCCGAGTCGATCGGGTTGGCGGTCGACTGGGGAGTGGCGGACGTGCTGGATGGGGATGAAGGAGCGGGAGGTGAAGGAGAGGGAGGTGAAGGGGCTGGGGAAGACGGAGACGGGGAGGGAGACGGAGACGAAGAAGGGGCGGAAGGTGTGGGAATGGGGGATGAGGGGGTTGGGGTGAAGGAGAGTGAGGAGGCTTTGGTGGAGACGGAGATTGGGACGGAGATATGTGGTGGTTTTGAGACTCCTGTGGGTTTCGTCAGCGATGTTTGTTGGAAATGTCAAGGCCGGGTTGGAATGAAGTGAGGCGAGAAAAGAAAGGACATACCCCCACTACTACTGCTACCCAGCTCACTACTGAAACCAGACTCCGACGAAGACGAGGACGACCAAGACGACGACGCAGATATAGTGACCGTCCGCAACGTCGTCTCCTCACCGGTGAGGGTCACAGACAAAGTCGACGTCGCCGTTCCCGCCCCCGTCGTCTCGTCAGTACATGTCGTCGACTCGGAGGATGGTGGTGCTGCTGCCGAGGATGATGACGATGACACGGTCGACTGGGTTGGCGTGGCCGGTGCTGATGTACTGCTCTCTGACTCGTCGCAGGTTGTTGAGGATGAGGCTGCTGAGGACGACTCTGCCGAAGACGAGGCTGATGAGGCAGCTGAAGACGTCGCCGCCGGTGCGGTAGAGGTCTCCTCATCACAGGTCGTCGTTGTCCCATCTATCGATGTTCCCGCCGCCGTCGTCGTCTCTGGCGCTGGCGTGCTTGTGCTCCCCGGGATCTCATCGGTACAAGTAGTATCCGGGAGTGCACTGGCGGAGGTGGAGGCGCTGCTGCTGCCGGTTTGGGCAGACGAGGTGGTTTGGGATGGAGTGGGAGCCGAGGAGGAGGTTTCGTCGGTGCAGGTGGTGGACGTCGACCCGCCGCCGCCGCCGCCGCCGCCGCCGCTCCCGCTGGTGGTGGTACTGCTGCCACCGCCACTGGTACTGGTACTGCTCCCGGGAGACGTCACAGATGGCGCGGTAGTCGCATCCACGGAACTCGTCGACCACCCCCCGGTACCAGACGCACCACCACCCGTCCCCGTCACCGTCACCGTCGCCGTGGCATTTCCGGTAGGGAATGGAGCCGAAGAGGTTAGGCTTCCAGACTCGGGAATGCTGATGCCGGAACTGGTGCCCGGCGCTGATCCCGACGTTGACCCCGAAGTGGAACCTGTTCTCGTAATCGTCCCCGTCCCAAGAGGCGCCGTCCCAAGCACTCCAGTCCCCGTGGGCCCACCACTCGCAAAAGTCGAGTTAGGAAGCGGGAACGGTACCGATCCCGTGCTGCTTGAACTCGAACTCGGCCACGGGGTGAACGCGACCGAGGTCCCGCCACTTCCGGTTCCAGTCCCAGTCCCAGTCCCAGTTGGCCCTGACGCAGCGGTACTCGAATTTGACAAAGGGAAGGGGACGCTCCTGGTTGGGCTAATGGTAGGCGCGGTGCCGGTGCCAGTTCCCCAGGTTAGCGTACCACCTGTCCCGGTTCCGGTTGGTCCAACGGTAGATGTTCTGTTGGTGAAGGGGAACGGCGGCGACGAGCTGCTTCCACCTGTGCTCAGGGGAATAGACGAGATGGTCCCAACACCCGTCCCGGTCCCGAAGCCAGTTCCTGTCCCCACCGCGGAGCTCGTGGCGTTGGGAAACGGATACGGCGGTGAACTGGGGTTTCTGGTGGTGGAGATCCCCGTCCCCGACGACGGACGCGGCGCACCTGAGATTCCCGTGCCGGTTCCCGTTGGCCCAGCGGTAGCGCTGGAGTTGCTCCAGGGGAAGGGCGGCTGGCTGGTTCGGGATACAATGGAACTGGCCGGGCCTGTCCCTCCCACGCCGGTGCCGGTGCCGTGTAATCCTGTGCCGGTAGGACCGGCGGGGATGGATGAGTTGCTGATGGGGAAGGGCGCGGAGGGCGTGGCGGTGCCTGTGCTAATACTAAATGGTGACGTGCCTTTGGGGCTTGTGCCTGTGCCTGTGCCTGTGCCGAAGCCTGTCCCCGTGCCTTGGGATATCCCGGTTGAGTTGGACAACGGGAAGGGCACGGAGCTGGATCCGGTGGGTGTGGACGAGAAGCCGGTGCCGCTGATGGTACCGGGGGCTGAACCTGGTGTAGACCAGCCGATGGTACCGGTCCCAGTCCCCGTTCTAGTCCCGGTCCCAGGGGGTGTTGCCGAACTGAAACTTGAGCTGGATCCCAGAACGGTAGTATTACTCACCGGGAAAGGCACAGAAGCCGATGAACCGGGGGCGGGCACCGGTGTGGTCGACGGCAGAGTATCACTCCGAGTCGGCGTGACCAGCCACGACGTGGTCGAGTGGATCGTCCGGGTGATGTTGTACACGCTGGTGACAGTCACGGTGCCGTTGACGATGAGTCGTGTGGTGGGCGTGCCGATGATGGCGTCGACGCTGGAGGTTTCCCATACGGGGGGTGTGGTTGAGGTGTTGCTGCTGGGATGCGGGGCTCCTGAAACGCTGGTGCGTATTGTTCCGGCCGAGGATGATGATCCGGGGAAACCTGTGGACGTTGGGACCGGAGAGGGAGAGGATGGCTGGGAGCTGGGTGGGACTGAGCCGAACGACGAACTTGATCCAGACGAGCTTGATCCAGACGAGCTTGATCCCGACGTACTTGAGCCGGATGAACCGGAACTGGAGGCCGAACTTGAACCTGACGAGCCGGACGAGCTTGAGCCAGGTGGGACTGAGCCGATACTTGTCGTACCACTGCTGGAAGACGCTCCCGATGTTGTGGACGCCGGTGGTGTAACCCCACTGGTTGTGGTCCCGTAGCCTGAGCTTGTGCTTGCGGAGGACGTGCCCACGGAAGAGGTGCCCGCGGAAGAAGTACTTCCAGACGCGCTTCCAGTGGTACTCCCAGTGGCGCTCCCCGTTGTGCTGCCAGTTGAGCCTCCGGTTGAGCTTCCGGTTGAGCTCCCAACCGAGCTACCAGTTGAACTGCCAGTTGCGCTTCCAGACGTGCTGACACCAGATGTGGCGGTCTCCGAGGAAGACCCCGATGAAGATCCCGAGGAGGACCCTGAAGTCGCTGAAGCCCCTGATGACGAGCCCGAGGAGGACCCCGAGGAAGACGCCGAACCTGGTGACGACGAGGATCCCGAAACTGACGACGAACTCTGCGAAGCCGAGTTCGTAGGCCACGAGTAACCCCCGCTCTCCGTAGTAGTCTCGGGCGCTTGTGTTGGCACGGTGCCATAGCCGGCTGAGGACGACGATGACGACGACGTGATAGCATCTGCTGAGGTCTGTACAGATGACGATTCCGATGATGATGATGATGATGATGAGGGTGAATCAGAAGAACTTAAACTCGGGGGAGGGCCGTATCCTGAATTTTCTGTGAGCGAAAGCTTAAGACTTTAAAATAGGGGCTTAACTTACCATCCCAAGTAGAACTTGACGAAGAAGCGGAGGAAGCTGTAGAAGACGCAGAAGCCGACGACGACGGGACAACCGAAGACGATGCAGACGACGCAGATGAAGACGCTGAAGTCGACGAAGACGAGGACGAAGAAGAAGTAGAGTCCGTCAAAGGCGGCGGATGGTACCCATACGGCGGATCATCATCCTCGTGTTTTCTAGGCTCAATGTTCTGGTATTGCACCCGGCTTCCATCCCCCGAGCTGGGGATCGGCTTCCCCAAAGACTGTCGGAAGCCCGCCCACACTCGGTTGTGGTAAGCCAGCGTGCCCGGCGCGCAAGCCAGCAAGGCCGCTGCCGAGGTGATGCTGTTGAGGACCGAGTATCTCATCTTGAGATCGTCCTCGCGAGTAAGGGAAAGTAGGGTCTCAGTGAGTAAAGGGAAGCAGGTGAAATAAATACGCCCCTTGCGATGTCGTAGGAGAAAATAATACAACAGAAGCAAAGTGTAATCAAGAACAACAAATGAGTGATATCCAGGTCGGTTGCCGACTTACTGGCCGGGCGAAGGGCAGACCTCCTGTTCCTGCGGGAGTTGGTTAAAACAACACAGCATAGAGTCCTACGAAGACCGCTCGAGGACGGCCGGATGTTATAGGGAGGCTGTGAGCCCACCTTCTGTCCGCCCCTTCGAAAGTGCATTTTCGGTGATATTGAGTACACTGCGGGTGACTCGAAAGATCCGCTCCGATACACAAACTCATCCCCTGTTGTTTCCTTCCATTGCGAATGATAGGTAATATCTCTAGTTACACTAGGAGCATGAACAAAAGTCCGTTGCCTTGTTTTGGTCAATATCTAAACAGGGGTCTTTGGTTAACAAATCGACCATTTCCCAACCCATGACAGGATTCAGGGGCTGCGGGGAGAGTCAAAACTAACTTGTCAGTCAAATTCTTGATCTGACGCACAACAGGACAACCGCAAAGATCCGCCGTTGGTGACCCCCTGTGACCTCCGTGTCTGCTTAACCCGAGCAAATGCACGGTAAATCTTGATCCGAAAGGCGTACAAGCGACCGTTGAGACACGGGGCATATCAACGGCTGGCTTTCTCCCGTTGCCCTGTCTGCCTTGTTGTTCATACATTAAAACATCGCTTTGCTTCGGTATTTGATCCCAGGTCATCCTGGTATTGAGATGAGTAAGTTCTTATACAGTCTTGTCTCTCCTAAAAGCTGTCGCGGCCTGCATTAGCCTTTTCCCCTCTTCCATTCCATCACTCAAACTCGTCCCGGTGCCTTTGTTTACCTAACCCCTGGTACCGTCAGCGGGATCGTACACACATCCACAAACCCCCGGAGATAACCATAACCAGGCCACGTAACTGCGGAACAGGATGGCTTCTTCCGAACATGGTAGTTTCCTCCGTGAAGAACTCGAAGACCAAGTTATCACCAGGCACAAAAACGAGAGAAGAAAGAAAGAAAAAACAACTCATCCCATAAACCCCCGTCAACTATCCAAGAATTTAGAAACAATTTCTGAGAGACTTTGAACCACTCCCTCACATATCCATTACTCAATCAACCACTGCAAGTCCAAAGATCCGTACGTAACACGAGACGTTATACAGACACCAAGATGCCGTCATGCAGGTAGCCGATGACCAAATATTTTGCTCCTGTTCCTGCATTTATCTACGTGATACACGTGTCGTGCTCGGCCGGTTTTGCCGGGGGCAAAGGGGATACGTCCCCTCGACGGATCATCCTATGGACAATCCCACGGACACAACAGAGTTAGCCCAACCAGGCATGGTATTTTGACTGATGATTATCACAAACATTAATGTCCAGGCCCACGGTATGATCGGACCGAGGGCTTACTACCTTCATGTTCCGCATGTTGTACTTGCCTCGTACAAGCAACAGGCCTGTCATTCAGAGGAATGGACCGAAGGGGGCTTTTTTGAGACGGAATGGTCTTTGTGGCAGTGCCAGCTGGGTAGGCCTAAATTAAAGGAAAAGAAACTTGCCCCCTAGATTCGGTGGCGTTGACGGCCCTGTCTCGTCTCAATTATGTAGTTAGAGATAGAGGGAGAGAAAGCAGTGAGGTTGAAACGGGGGTTGAGCTTTGGTAGCTCGACACAAGAGTTCTCGCCCGGCGGAGTCTAAGACACGCTTAACGCAGCCAACACGCCTAGAATGCTATCAACAACACGTGTATGAGATGTCAGTTCCCTGGCAGAGACATTGTGCGTCGCTGAGGAAAACATGTGCCGAGAGCAGTGCGGGGTGTCTCAGGGGTTTGATCCAGCTTGCTCGGAACGAAGTAAAGGGTTGGAATGGAAATATTGGGTCATGGTTGAAAGATGGATGAAAGTTATCCCTTAATATTCCCTCACTACTATTTACCGCCATCAACATTACACCAATCCTCGGAACCGCGGACGTTCCCTTAACGCGCAAAAAATCGACGCGCAATGCACCCACCGAGGACTCATCCTCGGTCTCCCGATGACGGAACACAAATACTCCCAACTCGCTGTCAAAACGGCGGGTGTCCTCGACTACCTGCTGTCATCGCCGATGCTGTCCTCTGGCGCACCCTTATACCACATACCACCAAAAGCTGAGATCGCACAGAGATGCGTTCCGCTGCAACCACGATCCTGCGTAGTGACCGAGGGATATCCCGGCCAGCCATTCAACCAGTTAACCAGTCAGCTGGCCTGCTAGGCAAATTGGTCACATATTGGACGCCTTCTTTGCTTTTTGTTCTCTCTTACTCAGCCTTCTTAGCTGCCTCCCGTAGTTCCGGTGCTGTGCTGTCGGCCATTTTGCTTTCCTTCGCTTCAATGTCGGCGGCCCAGAGAGCAGCTCCGACTGTTATCGGTTAGTAACGTGTCGCGTTGAAATTGGAGTTAAGGTATGAAAGTAGCGGCTTACCTGTGTTAGTGAAGGAAAAGAAGACTGAAGCAACGGGGATCAGCTCGAGTAGAGTGGCGACGGTGCCAAATCTACGGTGGACAACCGAGGTTAGTACTCGCTAAGTGAGGTGTGACAGAGTTGGCCATTCTCCTCAGACCTGGGAAGATAAACAGATACTTACGCAGTATAAGGCCCCCTATGCTCTTTGAGCCACTTTGACCTCCTGGCCGAGGGCCAACCTTTCAACTGGAAGTACTAATAGCACTGAGTAAGCCGCAAGGTAACAAATCGCACAAACACCAGGTTGGCTCACCCGATCATGCACCGACTCGCCACGGGATCGTCCTGTCCGGTGTTAGCCTCACAATATCGCCATATTTGACCCTCAACTTTCTCACCTCGCAACAAGATAAACACCACAGTCCCCACAACTGCCCAACGTTAGCCTTCCGTTCCCTCATAAATCCAAGTCCGCGCACTGGGGCCCATACCCGGAATAAAGTTAAGCGGCAGGTAAATCACATAACGAATCAACTCATTCACACTAAACCTTCCAAACGGCTTCTTCAACGCCTTCCCCAACCTCTGAATCGCATCCCCACTCCTCTTCACTTCCCTCCCCTCCGCCACAACCTGGCTCTTATTCCTCGCCACCAGCGTCCCATCAAACGTGTCCAAGATCGCATCCTGCAGCAGATAGTTCCGCGATACAATCCCCGTGATGGTCGAGCTCTCGTTCAGGATCAAGAGAGCCGTAGTGAACACGGCCAGGGGACCGTTGACAAAGGCCATCAAGGCGAGTTGTGGGAGGTAGGTGAAGAAGAACATGGAGCCCAGAACGCTGGAGTAGAGGGAGAAGTAGGGGATGATGCGCGATCGGAGGGGTTTCCATAGCTCCGGGTGGGCGAAGAAGTAGAATATGCCCTGACGCGGAACACGTAATGTTAGTTGGACCTCAAACCAGGTTATGTTGTAGCACATGTTACGTTGACGAGCGACAGACAGACGACTCACCTTGATGGGGTACATGTAAGATCCGCTCCGCGCGGCATCGTTGAGGAGGAGCTTGGCTTTCTCGTAATCCTCTTTGCTGTGGCGGAACGTGTCAGATATTCGAATTTAACTCTTTGGCTCTGTCCTTTCTTGGGTGAATTGGATTGGAACGACGTACGCAACCCCCTGGGCCCTGTCGGCAATGCCACTCGCCATTTTCAAGTTGGTGACGGGCTTCTGTCCGGTTATGGTGTTTCGTCAGTTCGGGGGGATTGATGCTTTACAGACGGGGTCCTTTCTTGAAGTTCGAGTAGTTGTGTTGTTGTTTTCTTTCAAATGGTGGTTGTCTGATGTTTAATTGTTGTCGAGTGAGGTACGTCAATGCGACAGAATGTGGACGTTTTGATGTATGTCGTCATTGGTTTTGGCGAGCTGCAAGGATCACGAGCAACATGTGACGCTAAACAGATTAGCGAACACGGCCAAAACAACAACCGAAGAAACTAGAAACACTCATTGGTAGCTGCAGGCACGGCAGTTAATGAAACATCAGTACAAGATACAGCTCAAACCGAACTCCTTGTCGCCTAGTATATACGCTTGCTCCGCATCATATTACAAACATTTCTTTACAAGAAATATTGCCAGCCAAACCCCCATCCGCATTCTATGCCCAGCATGCATCAACGTAGCGCCACCACCCATAGCCCATTCTGCAATAACTCCCGACCCCAAGACTGTTCCGCAGTGACGTCTCTCGTCTAGCATCGTATACACACGTTGGCTGAACCCAAAACATTTTCTACTCCTGAGACCACTTCTCCGTGAAGAACAAAGACACCCCTCAGCAAAAGTTGAAAAAAAAAAATCCTCATGAAGCGTGTACACGCAGAATTACAAGTTGTGAGAGAGGAAGCGTAGATATCGTGGGTGTAAATCGGCAGCTGGCGCAGCCAACCACTTCGTCAAGCCGTTTGAGCCGTCCAAAAGTTCGAGCCTACGAATACCAGGCTTCGAATAAGTAGATAAAAGCAAAAACGAGAAACGCAACAGCTCCACCGACAGTGACTAGGGCGTGTTAGCATGTACTCAAAATCAACACAGGGGCTAGGGAGGTTAACGTACCAACTTTAAGGCTCACCCTACCCGCAATGGCTCTCCCTCCAATAACAGCAACCCCGGTACAGCAGGCGTGCCCCAGGACCGCACCTAGAGTCACCCACCAGTAGTCCTGACCAGCTGCCATAGCAATGGTGGCAATCTGGCTGCGGTCACCCCATTCTCCCAAGAACGTCATAACAAAGGTCTGGACCCAAGCTGGGCTGAGAAGTAGCGAAACAAGATTGTTGAGCCCCGACAAGAAGCCGACCAGGCCGCTGGGGCGGGGCGACGGGCTGCGTCCCTCCGGCGAGCTGGACGGGCTTCGCGCCGGAACGGGAAACCGGGATTTGGACCGGGGCTTGCGGTTGCCGAGACCCATTTCCAGGGCGTACGGCGACACGTTGGCCCCTTGCCCACCCTGACGGGCTAGGTTCTCCTTCTCCTCCAACTCCATCTCCACCTCTTGCATTTCCGCGGAAACACCCTCGTCCGGGCTCATGGCGAGCCCTTCGCGGAGCAGGCGGGCGCCAAAGACGAAGAATAGGAGCGCGGCCATGAACGTTGTCAGGCGCTTGGGGATCAGGGTTGGCACGGCGTGGCCCAGCACGGCGGAGAGAACGGTCATGGCCATCAGCGCGCTCAACGCAGCGGTGAACACCACGATGCGGTCGTGCTTCATGGCCATGAGCGCCGCGACCAGGAAGGTCTTGTCGCCGATTTCGGAGAAGATGATCATCGTGAAGGAGAGCATGAACGAGTGCAGCGGTTGGATGAGGCCCTCGTTGCCTTCCTCCTCAGAGGTCGCGTATTTCCCGGGTCCGGTGCCGGTGGACACATCCAGGTGGTTGATATTGGCCGCGGAATCGGGGAGCGGGAGCGATTGGTCGTGGGTCTTGTCTGGAAGATCGGCGGGTTTCTTTGAAGCACAAATTCAGTTAGTGGTGACCTTAAAAGTGATATGCTGCGTCGTAAGACCTTACCCCAAGACCAGAGCCATCTCTGTCGCCAGATGCGGCTTCATTGGCAGAACGAATGCGCTCCTGGTCCAAATCGGACAGCGGGGGCGGCTCCTTGGGAGTTGGCGGCTTGTTCTCGACCTTCTCTCCCGTCTGTTGTTCCCTCATCTTTCTATCCTTCTCCCTCTCGCTGACGCCCCCCTCGGTGCCCGTGGTTCCCTTTGGTCCCGACCGATACTTGTCGTCCATCACGCCGTCATGGCTTTCGGGTATCCGCTTCCCGTCGACAACCAACGGGTCTTCTGGGCGATCTTTCAGCGCCGGAAGGTTGCCCGCCGAATCGGTGCTGCCGTCGAGCTCGACAAACGGCCCGGCATGCGGCTTGCCGTCGTTGCCATCGACCGGCGCATCTTTGGTGCCGTATCGTCTGAACGACGCACCGTCCGTGGTCGCGACCGAGTCTTGGTCCGATTGCGGGTGGGGAGGCGCGATAGCTAAGGCGAGAGACGGGAGGAGGAGAAGAAGCAATGGCGAATTCCAATTTCGTAGCTTCATCGTCGCTTGTTTCCTCCCTTTGGAGACGAGACTCGATTAGGGGTCAAAGAGTAGCTTGCAGATGCAGCCTAGTTTCGATCAGGCTGGTACTGTAGGAAAACAATTGCCCAGAGCCACCAAACCGAGTATGATGTCGGGGACTAAGTCAGAATGTATTAAATAATGCGAAAATACCCGGAAGGGCAAAACCGCCTAAGGAAAGTCAGAATTGAAAGTTGGCCGCGTCCTGTGAGAAGATTCCTAAAGGAGAATGGGAGAAAGTTATTTCGATGATTTGCCCAATGCATCCAGCGCACACCCCTGGCAGGGGGTTCTGGGGAAGCGGCTTGGCGTGATGCACAAGAAAGGATAAGCGCGTTTCAAGGCACCGCCACAGCTCGATCTCCAGCCGCGAGTGATGACGGTTCGCCACAACAGCACACGGCCTACATCTGCGTATTGTATGAAGAAATTCCTAAAAAAATCATGGAATCTGAGGCCTAATCCCACTATCTTTGTGAGAGGCAGGTATCGCTTCCTGGATCACTTCCCAAGGTCCCTTAAGGGTGGTGCAGGTGAGAAGAGCTTCATATTCACACGCTCACAGAAACACAGAAATTTGTTCTCATTGAGCTCTCACGTGACTCTTAGGTGGGCCCACCCGGAAACCTGGGTTGTGGGCGGCGCGACCATTTTTCAATTTCAAAACAACCTCACATCCCGCAACAAGTTAACCCTAACCCCAACCCTTCTGAAGTTTGCGACCCTCGTCACGCAGGTCTCATCGCGGGCATCATCAGAATTACATTTTCATCGACGATTTTCTTTGCCAAGTGTATCCGACTCAATGTCTGGTCGTGGGAAAGCCCGCCCGACATCGCGTGCAGCGCAGGAGCCTGCCACAGGCGGAACCCGTCGTTCAACGCGCCAACAACAACCCACGGCTCAACCAGACGAGCCCCAACTGTCCTCCGAGGCGCTCGAGCAGCCGGAGCAGGAAGATGAGTCGAGTTCTCAGGCCGATGCCGAGATAGCCAGGTCGGCATACCAGCAGGTTATCGACCCGGCTATCGCGGGGCCGCAGGATGGAAGTATGCCACCTCCGCTCCTCCCCATCGTGAAGAGTCCGCGTGCGCAGGCCGAAACTCTTGTCGCCCGCCGTGCTACTCGGGGTGGCGGCAGTGTCAGAAGCATTCGAAGTGTCTACTCGTCCCAGCCAGAGCCCCTTGGTACGTGGTTGCTTGCTTGCAAGAACAAACACTTTGACATCCAGGCCATTGCTGACATCACTTTTGTAGGCTCCACGCAGCCAGGGCCGGCTCCATCTCATGCGTTTGGCACTCCGGCTCGCCATAGGTCTGTTCTGGCGTCTTCTGCAATCACTGAGTCGCCAAGCCAGCGAGTGGCCAAGTCCAAACTAATGAGCGTGATGCTACCGCGTCTCTTCAATGCTGCGGACGATCTTTGTGAGCATCTCTTCAGCGACCAGGAGGATGAGGAGGCGTGGGAATTCGAGCGCATTGGCTTTAAGGAAGCTCTTGACACGTATCGCGGTCATTATGTTGAGGAGAGCGGCGACCCAGTCGTGGACCCGGTTTTGGTCGCCGACACCGTGCAGCCTGACAGGACGTCCTCCCAGTGGTCCAGGGCCTTCAAGATTGCCTCGGCGGCGAACCTTGCGACGCTGCTCAACGACATCACGGTGGCTGATAGCAAGCAGTTCCTGCCGCTACTGGCGGGGTGGAACTTGACCTTCCCTGGGTCCTTTCTCGGCATCAATCCAGATGTCTTCCCGACCATGGTGGATCGGACGGCTGTTCAGCAGGCTTTGATGATCCGGACTCAGCTATCCATCGCCACACTGCAGGCACTCCAAGAGGCCGGCTCCGCCTCATTCCACCCTTGGCAGGAGGTCGCCAACATTTGGTGTCGCGGCGATGTTTCCGTCGACTCGGTCGAGGCTTTCCTGGGCGGTAACAAAGACGCCCTCCATCTGCACCCAATTGAACGGGATACCTCTGAGGGGACCGCTATTCAGGACCAGTTCGCAGCCATCTGCAGTGCCCTGCCAAATCAGGTGGTTGAAGGTGGTCTTGACCTGAGCCAGCTGCAAGAGAAATTCCCCTTTTCCGAGTTTGTCTACAACCTACGCGCGTTCGTCAGGGAGCGATTAACGGGTATCAAAAACCTGTTCCAACATGAGGCTGGATATCCGAGTGCCGCTTCCGCCACCGATTCTCAAATCCGGTCGCAGCTGGAAGGCGATTCAATCAGCCAGTCATTCGACCGGGCGGGGCAAGAGTACGGTGTTTCCTTATTTTTTTCCCTTCACCATCGTTCCATTGTCCCATTTCCTAACTAACAGTGTGCCTCAGATATAATTTGACCTCATTGCGGATGATGAAACAGCTCGAACAGCAAGGGACTCCAGGATACCCATCTCACCCGCTCTCTCAGGACTCATATTCCCCCGCGCCACGGATTCCTTACCCGCCAGGTTTTGGCAGTCCGTCGGTTGAACCGAACTACCCCAATCTACCGCAACAGGGCGGTGTCCAGGCAAGCGGCCATGCATTTGCCGCATCAGCTGCTCAGGTTGCCGGTGACAAGAGACGGGCCACAGACGACCCGAACATGGATGGGGCTTCATCAGCAACACCACGGCCCAAGAAGCCCCGGGCCAAGCGGACCAAGAAGAACGCGGCAGCCGAGGCGGCCCAAGTGTCCTCGTCCGCTGCCGCTCCGGAGACCGGATCGCTCGCCTCGTCTCAATATCCGCTGCCGCCTGGAGCGGATAACACACCCGACTTTGAAGCTCTTTCGCGGCGATCCCGAGAGCTCACGGCCGCTGCTCGCAAGGCCAAGGCGCCGCAAGTCCGACAAGCTTGGGTACGCCGCGATATTGCCCTGCTTGTCAAGGCGGTTGACACGTATCAATGCAAATGGAGCACGATTGAGAAGGAAATCACGGCGGGTACGATCCCGTTTGAGCATCGGCGTGACCAGCAGGCGCTCCGAGACAAGGCGCGCCTCTTGAAGCAGGATTTCCTCAAGTAAGTCAACTGATTACCTGGAGGATGGCCCCTTTTGCCTTTTTTTTTTTTGATTGGTTTCGGGCACCTACTAACATTTTTAACAGAGCCGATGTTCTCTTACCTCGAGGCTTTGATCTCGTCGTTTTGGGCAAGAAGGAGCGGGAAGCCGTCAAGGCAGTGGGCAAGAACCCGGACCGCAGAGAAGCCGATGTTGTTAACGACCAGCCTGTCAACACGGAATATGTGGATGAGGACGCGACGGCCAATCCCGCTCCCGCCCCAGCTCCCCTCCCACCGGCGGATGCCAACCCCGAGGAACAGCTGCAGTTGACCCAAGCCGAACCTCAACCCCAACCCCAGGCCGAGGGCGAGGGTCAGCCCCAGCCCCAGCCCGAACCCCAAGCCCAAGCCCAGACGGAGGTGCCTGCGGAGGCTCAGGTCGCAGCTTAATTCATGATGATGGGGGCGTCGCCATATCGGGCATCTTGTCTCGCACCTGCTTGTCAGCGAAGAGAGGAATAAGAGCTGGTCTTGGGATACCCAGCAGGGTCGAATTACTTTGTGACCACTTGGCTGAGTGGTTTCTGTCAAAAGCTAGTTCTGCATTATTTGGAAGGGTTTCTTGTAGGCCCCTCAGGTTTGCTGTTTTGCTTTACAAAGAGTTTCCGGACCCGGCGAACATGTTTCTGGATCTCGCTGGCTGGTTGTTGGCTTCCTGCCTTTACGAAGTAATTACTTGCCTAGGAATAGGGAGCCACTTAACTACAGCTAACAGCGGGCACCGATCACGCTCTTTTCTGTTCGTTGATTGGGCGGTTACTTCGGTGACACGTCTTAACAAAAATTGTGGAAAATAAACCTTTGTATTATTCATACACAGTCCTGTCCATCCTAGGCCGTCAGTTCAGTACTCAGTTACTTAGCATAATGTGCTGTGTGCTATGTAAGTCAGTTCCATGCCTTTCAAAGCGGCATGCTCATTCCCCTGTACTCTTTGTCTTGGCAACTTGACTCGCTTGGCTGCCGGGTGTGAGGGTGTAGATGGACCGTGCACGCCAGCAACCCCTGTTGTGGGGCATCCACCCCCCATTTCGCAGCATTGAATTGGCAACGTCGCGAGTTGGGAAACTTGCACAGGCTCACACAGCTCCAGCCCGACTTTGCTGCTTTCTCCCAAAGCAACCCAGGTCGATCTGCCCACCATGAGTTACGGGAAGAAAGACGAGGATGCCGACGGTGGTCTGGTCAAGATTGACCGCACCCAGGTTTTCCAAGAAGGTGAGTGCTCGGCAACACAAGCCCACCCCCCGATGCTTGTATCTACACGCACACACCCGCAGAACCCACGACGTCTCTGCGCCCGCCGCTGCAGCAGCTAATTATGGCTCAACGCTCCGTGATCCGCAGCCCGATTGTTCAACACGTCCCCGATCCAGCCGCGCCGATGCCGAGTCCTCCTCACCAAGATCGCCCTTCTCCTCTACACCGGCGAGAAGTTCCCGAGCACAGAAGCCACCACACTCTTCTTTGGTATCTCGAAGCTCTTCCAAAATAAAGATGCCAGCCTTCGCCAGATGGTCCACCTTGTCATCAAGGAGCTGGCCAGCTCCGCCGAGGATATCATTATGGTCACCAGCACCATCATGAAGGATACGGGTGGCAGTACCGACTCGATCTACCGGCCGAACGCGATTCGGGCTCTGTGTCGCATTATTGATGTATGTGCGGCAGCTTTGGCTTGCCTGAGCACCAGGAATAGGTTCTTGACTCTGGGTGGGCACTGACATGGAATATGATTAGGCTACTACAGTCCAGTCCATTGAGCGTGTCATGAAGACTGCGATCGTCGACAAGAACCCCTCCGTCTCGTCATCCGCCCTCGTGTCGTCCTACCACCTCCTCCCAATCGCCCGCGATGTCGTCAAGCGGTGGCAGAGCGAGACCCAAGAGGCAGCAGCCAGCACCAAGTCGTCTGGGGGCTTCTCCTTGGGGTTCTCTTCGTCCTCCGGAAATCTCCCTGTCAACAACTCGACCATGACCCAGTACCACGCGATCGGCTTGCTGTACCAGATGAGGATGCACGACAGGATGGCGTTGGTCAAGATGGTTCAGCAATTTGGGGCGGCTGGTGCGATGAAGAACCCGGCGGCCATCGTCATGCTCGTCCGGTTGGCCTCTCAGCTTGCGGAGGAGGACCCCCAGCTCCGGAAACCCATGATGCAGCTCCTGGACGGCTGGCTCAGGCACAAGAGCGAGATGGTCAACTTTGAGGCGGCCAAGGCGATCAGCGACATGCGGGACGTTACGGATGCCGAAGTAACCCAGGCGGTTCATGTTCTCCAGCTCTTCCTCAGCTCGCCCCGCGCCGTCACCAAATTCGCCGCTCTCCGCATCCTGCACAACATCGCGTCGTTCAAGCCACAAGTCGTTAACGTGTGCAACCCGGATATTGAACTTCTCATCTCGAACAGCAACCGCTCTATCGCCACGTTCGCGATCACGACTCTCCTCAAGACCGGCAACGAAGCCAGCGTGGACCGCCTAATGAAACAGATCTCGGGCTTCATGTCTGAGATCACGGACGAGTTCAAGATCACCATCGTGGAGGCCATCCGGACGCTCTGCTTGAAGTTCCCGAGCAAGCAGGCAGGTATGCTCCAGTTCCTCAGCGGTATCCTGCGCGACGAAGGCGGCTACGAGTTCAAGCGCGCCGTTGTGGAGAGCATGTTCGATCTGATCAAGTTCGTGCCGGACTCGAAGGAAGAGGCGCTTGCCCACCTTTGCGAGTTCATCGAGGACTGCGAGTTCACTAAACTGGCTGTCCGCATTCTCCATCTCCTTGGTCTGGAGGGCCCCAAGACGTCCCAGCCCACCAAGTACATCCGCTATATCTACAACCGCGTTGTGCTGGAGAACGCCATCGTGCGCGCGGCTGCGGTCACTGCGTTGGCTAAATTTGGTGTTGGTCAGAAGGACCCTGAAGTCAAGCGCAGCGTGGATGTTCTCCTCACCCGGTGCCTGGATGATGTGGATGACGAAGTCCGGGATCGTGCGGCTCTCAATCTCAGGCTCATGCATGAGGAAGATGAGTTGGCCACAAGATTCGTCAAGAATGGTAGGTGCCACATGCCTCTCAATGTCTTATTTTCCGTTGCTAACAGACAGCTGCAGACAACATGTTTGCTCTTCCGTTCTTCGAGCACCAGCTCGTCATGTATGTCACCTCGGACGACAAGTCGGCATTTGACGAGCCGTTCGATATCTCCAAGATCCCGGTCGTTACCCGCGAGCAAGCCGATGCCGAGGACAGGACCAAGAAACTCACCGCCACCACCCCGTCGCTCAAACCGCCCAAGATTGGCCCAACCAAGGCGGCTCCCACAGCCGCCGAGGCTGCCGCTTCGGCGTCGGCTGCGGCCCAGAAGTACGCGGAGGAGCTTCTACAGATTCCCGAGATGAAGGAGTTCGGCAGCGTGCTGAAATCCTCTCCTCTCGTGGAACTGACCGAGGCGGAGACCGAGTATGTGGTTGGTGTTATCAAGCACATCTTCAAGGAACATATCGTTCTGCAGTACGAGGTGAAGAACACGCTTCCGGCGACCGTATTAGAGAACGTGTCCGTGATGGCAACCCCGTCGGAAGAGGACGAGCTCGAGGAGGTGTTCATTGTCCAGGCCGAGAAGCTCGAGACCGACGTACCCGGAAAGGTCTACGTTGCGTTCCAGAAGCTCCAGGGCGAAGGCTCGCTGCCCGTCAGCACCTTTTCCAACATCCTCAAGTTCACCAGCAAAGAGATCGACCCTACGACCAACGAGCCGGAGGAGAGCGGCTACGAGGACGAATACGAGGTGTCCGAGTTTGACTTGTCTGGCAGCGATTACGTCGTCCCAACATTTGCGGGCAACTTTGCGCATATTTGGGAGCAAGTTGGTGCCCAAGGAGAGGAGGCCGATGAGACATTACAGCTCAGCGGCATGAAGAGCATAGCAGGTACGTTAAGCACAACTCCCCGATTGTCCGCATCAAGATCACACACCCACGACCGCAATACTAACCCCGATAACAGAGGCGACCGAACAACTGGCCAAGGCGCTTTCACTCCAGCCACTAGAAGGAACAGACGTCCCCGTCAACCAAACAACGCACACGCTCAAGCTCCTCGGCAAGACCGTCAACGGCGGGCGGGTCGCTGCCAATGTGCGGTTGGCCTTCTCCACCAAGACGGGCGTCACGACCAAGATCACGGTGAGGAGCGAGGAGGAAGGGGTGGCTGCGCTGGTGGTGGCGTCTGTGGCTTAATGATGACGGGGGGAAAACGAAACGCATGGCGTTGGTATTCTGTTGCGTTTTTTTGCTTGCTCTCGTTATTTTGCAAAAGAATGATGAGCATTTTCTCAAAATCATCCATGTCGGGGGCGGGGCGGAAGGGGGCGGTAGCGGTTGTCTGGTTAAGTATGAATGTGATTTGACTCCGGGGATAGATCGATCGGTAGCAAAAAAAGCTGATGAATCGCTGTCCGCTTCCCTTCGTGTGTAGCCCCGACTCTTTTCCCTCTTTGTAAATTACCCGCTCAGCTGTATGCCGGTAGTTTTGGAGGGACTCATTCGCTTCGAAACAGTTGTCATTGGGCGCAGTGCACCACGGCGCTTAATGGTGGCCGGAAGGATTTTTGGCCCCCTCAGCATAGTATGCGACTGGTTCGCTACTGTGCGTCCGGCGCGGCTAACGAAACCGCCTTCACAGCCTTCCGGGGCTTGGCGATGTTCAGTGTGTGGTTCGGTGTGTTGTGTGTGTAAGTGTGTGAGTGAGTGGAGATGATGTCTTCGTCCACTTCATTGGGAATGCTTTTCATCGTGTCATCGCATTCTTCATTCTCCTTAGCTAGCAACTCCATAGCTCATTGTCGCCGTCTATCCTTCCCCAGTCAAAACCACACACACTCGCCTCCCGGATCCCCGACGAAGAAGAAACAAAACAGAAGTAAACACAACCCGATAGCCTCGCGACGATGTCCTGCGCCGCCAACTACGTCCTCTGCCCGCAACCCAACATCCCCTCCAACTTCTGCTGCCCCACCGACACAACATGCAACCTCCTCGCGGGCGGCACAACAGTGCTCTGCTGCCCGTCCAGATCCAGCTGTGAGCGGATCGCGCCCATCGTGTGCAACGTCTCGCTGATGGACGCCGAGACTGATCCGGAGTCGACTGTCAAGACCACTGCGCTGAATAGCACGCTTGCTGCCTGCGGTGGGACGACGTGTTGTCCGTTTGGGTATGATTGTGTTAGTAATGGTGATCCGGAGGCGAATGGGGGGTTTGGGGAGTTGTGTGTTGTGAAGAAGGATCAGTCGGTGAAGCCGCCGGTGCGGAGCGAGACAGCAACGGGATCGGGGTCACGGCCGCCGCCGACGACGGCGACGAGCGATACGGGAGTGCCTGGACAGAGCACGACGATGACGGGCTCGAGCGTGGAGACGACAGCTTCGAGTGTGGAAACGACCGCCTCGAGTCCGGAGACCACGGCGACCGAAACAAGGTTAGTATGCTTCGCACGCCTAATACCCCCGGCTCCTGCTGTCGATGGATACCCAGTATAATTCTACGAAAGGGGGCCCGTTTGCTTCGGGTTGCCCATGCTGATCCATCCCTTTCTTATTTCCAGACTCAGTGATACCGCCGCTACGCCTTCGCCATCTCGGACATCTGGTCGAAACACCGCAAACCCCAGCAATGGCGCCGATAACCTTAATAACTCATCACCCAGCGACGATTCCTCATCCACCGCGGCCACAGACAATAATACACTTCGCATCGTCATCCCCGTGGTGGTCTGCGTTGTTCTCGCGTGTTTCCTCGCAGGGGGTATTTGGGCCTGGAAACGAAGGAGGACACGACAAAACAAGAAACGGGCCTCTCAAACTCGCTTCGAGAAAGTCGAGTTAGACGCCGAGGGCTGTGAAATCATTGGGAAAGGCGTGAGGCATGAATTGGCCGGGAGAAGAAGTGTTAAGCACGAATTAGAAGTGATAATGGATCCTGTGGAGCTCCCGGCGTCGCCCATCCCCAGGGCAAAGGCTAGAGTGTAGTATACTCACTTACACTGCTGGACAACGAGAGTCTTATCTACCTGTCCGCCAACTTCCGGCTGCTCCTCCTTTTTGCTACCCCATTGAATGAGGTGTCTGGAGCGACCGCTTGCTGCTCAGCGACTGGCTGTGCCGCTCGCCGGCGAAAGTAGAGCAGGAACCCGGTCGCCTCAGAAAGTGGTGGACATCATCAAAGTCCAAATTTGACGGCAACTGATCGATGATGTTGAATTCTCATGCTATTACCAATGACCCGTCGTGTAGATAATACGCTTACATATGGCGGTATCTATACGCCAAGTCCCAAATATTTGTCTCCATAAAACACGCCTGATCATCATCGGACAAGTCAAACACGGCGCTCTCAAAATCCACAGGAATGTCGCCTTCAGCTTTCTTAAAGATCATACAGGAGAGCCGGAATATCACGTCCTTGTCGGCATTCGGAACCTCAATTTTCTTGTCTACACGGCCAGCCCGGATGAGTGCCCGGGCCAGATAATTAGTTCACGTGGTTCATGATCATTATGAGCAGTCGGCCCTCCTGTGCCGATACCCCATCGAGACCGTTGGGGTGGTCCGATAAGGACAGTTTCTCCTGCGATTGGGGCTGATTCTAAGTAGCATCTTCCCTAGCTTGGGTGATGTCCGTTTCGCCTTACCGAGGTTATTCTACTCCATCCTACCTGTTTCTCTTGTGTTCGGGGGCTTGCAGAACAATAACGGGAACAAAAGCAACCCACGTTCCCAATTCGGCCACTGCCAGCGTTCGACTGAGTACGGGGTGACATGGAAGACCCAAGAACGCGTGAAGAATCGGGGGAAGCTGATAAAGGTCGGACTGGAGCCGCGTTCTCAGCACATCTAGGGGAGAAGTCAGAATAGACGTGGCCAAGCCTCCGCGACCAAGCCTCCGCTCCTATCGAACATGGTCGGTGGATCCTGATGAGCAAGGCGACTGGGCATCCACTTGCGAAGTACGACTGGCAAACACACACACATGAACACTCCCGGATGAACGGTTCTACCGCAGACCGAGTAATGACCAACGAAGAGAAGCAGAAAATTATGCGACAACTTGGTTGCTACGCTCGTCAGTTATTGGATCTACGCTTTCCGACAATTGGATCTCTCTTTGAGGGCGACCGGGGATATTACATCGACAAGTGTCTCTCCCCAGGGCATGTTCCCGAAGACCGGGGAATGATCGAGGACGTCCCGCGTGGTCCTTTCTATGACGAAGCAGACTATTATTCCTCCCTCGCCATAGCCCTTCGTCTCCATGCCAAGCGGCTTCCGATGGGCCACCATGTCCTCCGTGCCCCTGTTCCTGTCCCACAAGAATACCACGACTTCGCCAAGTACTACGCTGCGACAGATCGCTGGAATGACTTTGTGGCCCTTGGAGGGATGGTGGACTCGAGCTCGAACCGATTGCAGTATTGCCTCGCGAGCCACCTCCTCCGAAATTCTATCATCCCCCACATGGTTCGTCCTGTCAGCCAGTCAGCCCCCGGCTTCCCCCTTTACCACCACGACATCAGTGTCCAGAACCTTTTCGTTGACGATGACTTGAACATCACGTGTGTCATCGACTGGGCATTCTCCTCTACAGTTCCTCCAGCCCAGCTATTCGCTACTCCAGGCCTACCACATCCCAGAGACTTGGTGTTAGATTCGTCCTTGGTAAATGCCTTCCGCTCCGGTATCGAAACCGAAAACAAAAATATCAGTGGTGGTAAAATCGAGCCCAACTACTGGAAGGCCGGCCAGATGGTCTCACGATTCATGCGCGTGGTCAACTTGGATGCTTTACAGGATTATGACCATATCGAGGCACTCTATGCGCTTGCCGGGGGACCTGTAACATCTGGGCTTGACAGAAGCGACACCAATAGTGTATCGGCTATATTAGCGAGACGAGCCACGAGCCACGATGCACTCGCACTAGCCTGTGAGCTAGCAGCTGATGTTGAGCCTGGGAGTGAGATCAGTCGGCGGGAGAAGGAGTACTTCGATGCAGCTGGCGCTAAAAGACTAGCGATAGCGCGCAAGGTGGCATTCGCAGCCAAGATGAATCCGCGATTTGTGGCGGATGGGCGGCTGTGGCGTTGGGTCGATGAAGTTCTGGAGTATTACGATAGGGAATCTGACGCGTGGGAAATTATTTCGAAGGAGCCTCCGCTGGCGACTTGAACACGCTGAGCCGGAATGTGGGGTGGTGATAATATACTATGATCGGTCGACCAAATCCCTACCCTCGGCCTGGTTCTGGTAACAAGAGCGGGAGATGGAAAGGGGAAAAGGAAAAGCAGAAGGGGGGAAGGGGTAAGAAACGAAGTTTGGAATTGGGAGGAGGGGGGGGGGGGGGTTGAGCAACAAAAGTACAATATAAAACGGTCGGTTTAGAGGAAAGACTAACACGAGGTGGGTTCCTTCAGCTCTCTCAATTATGGTGAAATTATCCCAACCTTAAGGCTTCATTCGCCAACGGCGCTCGGACGGAACCACCTCATTCAACATGCAACTGGGGATATGCATGGATGCAAAGAAAGGTTCAATTCGCCTGCTCCTTGACGACAGTGCGAGTCAGTTCTGACATCATTCTTTCTCAGCCCAAGTATCCGACAGCCTGCGAAGCCTTGTCATTACCAATGCACTACGGCCTCTAGATTGAGTTACTGAACCTTTCCGGGCGCAGCCGACTCTGTTTGCATTTCCATTTCGCTCATGCGTAGTCGAGAAGGAGAGAGAACGAGAATAACTCACTTTGAATGGTGTATTCGGCCCTAGCCGTCAAGTTGATAAGCCGTTGGTCCCGAGAATTCTCCTCACCTACCTGAGTCTATCGTGACATGTTGTCACTATCGAATAATCATTGGACAGCCGTACTACTCACACTGCGGCTAGAAAAGGTACTCTCGGGCGAACTGACGATGTAAAGAGCTACCCGTACGGGCGTCTCATCGGGATTGTGCGCTTATCACATCACATATCCGTTCTGGATTACGCGTGTACCTTAATGATTTGAGGATAAGGTTTTGGTGATGGGTATACATAATGCTTGGTTCATCCCATACCACTGTTATCCCATCTTTTCAACACGATCCTCTCTATTCATGGCGACCCTGTCTAATATACAGTTAACCCCTATCGTATTTATCTTGACCTTTGCTCACTGAACCCCTTGTGAATTCAGTTGACTCAACCTGCAAAATGTCGACACCGGAGAATAACGACAACCCCTCGCCGCACAACACTACCCAGGCCCGCGGGAGTGTCGTCTCGGCGGAGGAAGGCAACTCTCCGTCAAAGTCATCTAACACGTCCCAACGAAACACCCAGTTCGAGCCCATTCGGGGGGGTACCACCCTCACGTCCAAAATACTGCGGCCAAACGGCGGAGTCCACGGGGACACTGCGACCGATCCGGAAGAAAGCGAAGTGACGATGACCAGGGAGTTGATCAAGTTCTTCCGAGAGGTCTCCCCGCCCCCTGGAAACCCAATGTCGAGACCCGATAATGTGACCCTTGATCCTAAGGCGCCCAATTCCGCGCCGCTGCCGCGGAAGAAGGGTAGCTTTCGTTCGGCTCTGATCCCATTGTACCACCGCTTCCGGTCGCGACGGGAGCTAAAGAAGGCCAAGCCGGGTCATATTGTCCTACCTGACTCGGCGGTTGCGGGCACAAGTGACGGCGGGCATCGACATATTGCGATTTCCATCCCGGTCGAACACGACCATCTCGACCTCGTGGCAAGCAATGCAGCAGCAGACCCCGCAGCCCGTGACCAGCCCGAAGGGGGGGAGGGCTCGGGCTCGCCAGGGCGTCAAAGCAAAGGTCAACCGCTGCGAGATCCCGATCCTATCTCTACTGCTACGTCTAGGCGTCATTCCATATCAACCGAAGCCTGGACAAACGCCGAGATGCCACCACTCACCCGATCCCCTGGCCGTCATTCTATCAGCGGGCCCTGTCATCCCGTCAGCCCGCTTCTGTTTCACGAGACCGTTACAGCAACAGCCGGGAGCACCACCCCGCCGTCACTCCGCTCGTCGGTCGTTCTGCCCGGGTCGTTCCACGGTGCGGGCAGTGGTTATGGTGGTGCTGGCGGTGGTGGTGGTGGCCAGGAGTCCGACTCAGACAACGACGTATTTTACACAGCCCATTCGAGCCAGGTAGACCCGCAAGGGAGTGACACAGGATCACAATCTCTGGGCGGCTACCGGGGAGACACAGATACCGACGTGGCTCAGGTGCCGGTCGAGGAAGGAGAGGAGGAGGAGCCCGCATACTCTGCCGGCGCATCATCATCATCACAATTAGCATCATTCCACCCTCCCCCTTCTTCAGGGGTAAACCCCCGGGTATCTGTCCGGGGCACCCCGAACCCGCCACTCGCCAGGCTGTACGGGGGCGCACTCTACGAACCCCATGCTCTGTCAGATATTGTCTCCGCGAGCTCACCCGATCCGTCGCCGACCTCACCGACCAGCCCCCAATCCGCGCTTGCTAGCCAAGAGTATTCGGAAGGCACTAGCACCAACGGCGGTCTATCGACTCCGTTGAGAACGGCCGCGTCCGCTCAAAGTATTCGCAGTCGACATCCTCGTCGCGTCAGTGGCCTGGCGGATCTCCGAGGGGCAACCCAATCTCAGCCATCCACATCCACACCAAGCCCGGACACTTCTTCGCCACAACCCCCGGTTAGATCACCACTCCGGGCTCAGGGACGCAACGGGAGTGGAAACGGAAATGGGAATGGCAGTGAAACTACAAACGGAGGCACAAGCAGCACCGAGAATGGGAACAGTGTCTTGAAAGAGAACGAGAACGAGAACGACAACGGGAACGGACACACAGAACACCCAGCAAACACACTCCCTAACAGAAACAACCAAGGGGTCATCGATGACCTAGAAACCCGCCTCGGCCGGCTGGAGCGGTCACACGCGGAATGGCTCAGCCGGTTGATTCCCATTATAGAGCAGATGGCGCAACACTCGGGATTAACAGGTGAACAACTGTGGGTTGGGGAAGAGCCGGGGCAAGCGCAGCAGTCGACATCCCAGTCGAGTTTCGACATGAGCCCTGCTCATGAACATCCGCCTCAGCCGCAGGAAGAGGGGGAGCATCAACCACATGAAACTCACGACAGTGACTCCGAGCGTCCAACCAGTCACCAGAACGGGAGCGTTCATGGAAGTGTCCATGGTAGTATCTATGGCAGTACCCATGGCAGTACCCATGGAAGCAGCAGCGGAAGCGGCAGTAGCAATGGCAACTCTAACAGAAGAGAGAAAGGCAAAGGAAGGGCCCGACCGCTGATCATTTGCCCCCCGCGTTCTTCCACCTACGAACCCAGCACACGCGCGACCACTTCGTCTGGAACAGACGGGCTGGCCGGCCATGACGGGACACATCAAAGGGAGAACGGGAATGGAAGTGGTGGAAGTGCTAGGAATACCCAAATGAGGGACAGCGGGATAGCCGGGAACGACGACCACATCACGCTCACTCAGTGGTTAGAAGGGCACTACACCACCCACGCGGAAAGCTCACGGAATGCAGCAGCAGCAGCAGCAGGGACATCAGGGACAGCCCAGCACATCCTCTCTGGCCCGGACATGTCTTCCTCGGACCCGGACCTGGACTTGTCCATGCTGCCTCCGCTGAACATGACGCTGGCGGACTTTGAGGTGGGTGGTCGGGAGTGGCGTCGTCATCGTGGTCCAAGGGGAAGTCAAGGTTTGGTTGGGGAGGAGGAGGATGATGTGGATGGTTCGGGAATGGGAAGGGTTACGACGGTCATGGAGGACTTGCTGAGAAACACGAGAACAGTGAGGTGAAAGGAGTGAGGGGGCGTTGGTGGGTTGTTTTGTGGCCTTTTCTGTGGTTTTTTTTTCCCGTGATCTTTTTAGGATATCTTCTCGGGGCTTCTCCTCTGAATTGGCTCGCGCAAGTGTATCTTTGTGTCTTCACTGTCTCTCCTGTGTTCGGTATGCTCGGAGGACAAAAAATGATTTAAATATTTATTTTTAATTTTGATTTTTTGATTTCTTTTTTTTTCTTTTTCTCCATTAAGATACCAAGATATCCATCTCTCCCGACCCCCGAAAATGCCATTAACCGTCTGATAGGGCCCGTGCAGACCTCGTGAGACAATCGTTGTAGATGGCATATTGATTCTCCGGGGTCTCATACCTGCCCTCCTTTTTCTACTTGGTTTCTCAATATTTCGGTTAAGTTCATGGCCAGCCACGCACCAACCGAGCTGCTCTCCGTCCTGCCGAGCTGCTGGTTTGTGAGCTGAGGCCATGCCTTCACTCTCCGGCATGGTGCGAACAAAAAGGGGCTGGAGGGTCAAAGTGACCAGCAGTCTCCTCCTTTGTCTCGGTCTCTGCCTCCTTTGCATCACGGCCACTTCTGCGCTTGAGGATGCCTTTGAAGTGCAAGAAACTACCATCGCGGAACTCCATGAAGCACTCTTCACGGGCAGCACAACATGCAGAGCGATTGTGTCCTCCTTTCTGGCACGCATTGAGGAGTTCAACCCCCGCATCAACGCCATCATTTCTCTCAACCCACACGCCCTTGATGTTGCTGACCAGCTGGATGAGCGAGTCGCGACTTCATTTCCTCAAAATGTGAACGTGACGGCCCTGGGCGCTCTCTTCTGTGTGCCCGTCCTCCTCAAAGACAACTTCGACGCTGTGGGCATGAGCACCACAGCAGGGGGCCGTGCACTCGCGGGCAACACTCCAGCCGAAGATGCCCCGACAGTGAAAGCCCTAATCGATGCGGGGGCTGTCATATTGGGCAAGACCAACCTGCATGAGATGGCCCTCGAAGGCCTAACCGTGTCCTCTCTCGGAGGCCAGACCCTCAACCCCTACGACCTCACCCGCACACCAGGAGGCAGCAGTGGTGGAAGTGGCGCGGCCGTGGCTGCCAACTTTGCGGTGCTTGCCACAGGGACCGACACCATGAACTCCCTGCGCAACCCGGCCAGTGCCAACTCCCTGTTCAGCTTCCGTCCCACACGGGGCCTGATCTCCCGGGCCGGTGTGGTCCCTGTCAGCTTCACCCAGGACACGGTGGGTGCCATGGCCCGCAACCCCCAGGACCTCGCGGTAGCACTTACCGTCATGGCCAGTGTGGGCGTCGACCCACGGGACAACGTTACCATGTTGGCCCCCCCCGAGGCACGGCACAGGGACTACACTGCTGATCTCCAGGCAGGGGGCAGTCTCAAGGGCCTCCGTCTGGGGGTCCTCAACGGGTTCTTCAACCACACGCCCTCGGCTGAGGCAACACCCGTCAACGAGGTCATGGCAGGCGTGATGGCCAAGCTCACTGCAGCAGGGGTAGAGATCGTCAACATCACAGACCCCCTGTATGACTCCCTCGCCATTGCCAAGTTAGACGTGCAGGCCTTTGAGTTCCGCGAGATGCTCGATGCGTACCTGAGCAGCACTGCCTCTTCTACGACTCCTAGCAACACCCCCCCTAGTAACACCAGCACGACACACACCACGTCGAACACCCACTCCCGCACACGCCCCCCAACTACCTTCCACGACCTCTACTTCTCCTCCACCCACGACTTTCTCGTCATTCCTTCCCAACACCACCTCATCCACCGCGCATCCAACCTCTCCACCAGCGACCCAACCTACCTCTCCACCCTGCAACGCATCCAAGACCTAACCCGTGCCCTCGACGCCACCTTCACTTCCCGCAGTCCCAATAATACTCACTTTCCCCTCGACGCCCTCATCTACCCGCAACAAAAAACCCTCGTCGTCCCCGTCAACTCCCCCTCCCAATCAAACCGCAACGGCATCCTCGCCGCGCTAACAGGCTATCCCGTCGTCTGCATTCCCGCAGGGTTTTCTCCCCCGCCGTATTCTGTTGATGCACCCGTCGGGGTGCCGATCGGCATGGAGATTCTCGGTCGGCCGTGGAGTGAAGGGCGGTTGTTGGAGATTGCGAGGCTTGTGGGGGAGGTGGTTATGCCTGTGAGGGTGGTGCCGCCGTTTGTGAATGGGAGTGTAGAGGGGAGGGGGTATGACGGGGTGCCTGTTGTTGTGCCGGGTGGGATTATGGGGGGTGGTTGGGAGGGGGTATATCCGATGGGGATGTTGTGACCCGGGCCTGCATTCTGTCCCGAGTATGGGGAAATTAGCTTCGGCATTTCAAGGGTTTAGTTACAGCGTTTCGTTAAGTAGGGAGCGGTCATCCTCATCTCGTGCCGTGATCAAGTCACTCCAATTTGACTTAACATAAACCTTCGATTTTGTACCAGAGCTATACACGACACTAAACCCAGGCAAAACGCAATTTTGTTACAATCAACAACACCCCAAAGCCAACACACCCAAACAGCTTCGTCCTCACTCTTGACAGACCAACCCGATTAGAGCTTAGCGGCCGGCTTTGGCGTCTCCTGAGACGTAATCTCGTTGTACAGCAGCCTACGTTTACCGTTTTGTTAGTTATCAGGTCTTTGGCACGATGTCACCCATCACAATAACACGCCGAAAAAAAAGGGGAAAACTCACGAGGTCAAAAAGTCAGCATAGTCCTCCCCAGTGACCTGGCCCGCAAAGTACTGCGCAGCCAGATGGTACTTGTTGCTCTTGGGGGCCTTGGACGCCAGCTCCTGCGCCTGCTCCTTGAGCAGCTTCAGCGCGTAGCCCTTGTCGACACGCTTGCCCTCGGCCGTGGTCACGCCGTGGCGCACCCATTGCCAGAGCTGACTGCGCGAGACTTCAGCGGTGGCGGCATCCTCCCTGATGTCGGAGGAAAACAAAATTGGTTAGCAACGGTCCACTCAGTGAGAAAAATCACCAGGAAAGCAGAAAAGGGGCAACGTACATGAGGTAGTTGATGGGCACGCAACCGACGCCGCGAACCCAGGCCTCCATGTACCCAAGGCCAATGTTGAGGTTCTTGCGAATACCTTCCTCGGTAATCTTGCCCGGCACGTTCATGTTAAGCAGGTCGTTGGCACCGATGCTGACGTCCTCGCGCCGCACAAAGAGCTGGTTGGGCGTGGGCATGTGCTTGTTGAAGATGTCCGTCGCGATCGCCGCCAGCGCCGGGTGCGCAACCCAGGTGCCGTCGTGGCCTGCGCGCACCTCGCGCAGCTTGTCCGCCCGAACGCCCTCCATGGCCTTCTCGTTTGCTGCCGGGTCGTCCTTGATGGGGATTTGGGCTGCCATGCCGCCCATCGCGTGGACCCCGCGCTTGTGGCAGGTCTGGATGAGGAGCTTGACCTAGTTGTGGGAATATCGTGTCAGTCGGAGTGCTTTCAGAAGGCTGAAAAGCAACAAGAGAAAAAAAAACGTACATAGGCATCCATGAACGGGACAGTCATGGTGACGGCGCTGCGGTCGGGCAGCACAAAGTTGGAGTTCTGACGGAACTTCTTGATGACACTGAAAATGTAATCCCAGCGGCCGCAGTTGAGACCCGAGCTGTGGTCGCGCAGCTCGTAGATGATCTCGTCCATCTCAAACGCCGCCAGGATCGTCTCGATCAGCACGGTGCCGCGGATGGTACCGCGCCGCATGCCAATGTAGTCCTGGGCCAGGTTGAAGGCGTCGTTCCACAGGCGGGCCTCGAGGTGAGACTCCATCTTGGGCAGGTAGAAGTAAGGACCGGAGCCGCGCTTGACGGCCTCGGCGGCGTTGTGGAAGAAGTACAGGCCAAAGTCAAAGAGAGACCCGCTCATGGGCTCGCCATCGACTGTGACGTGCTTCTCCTCGAGATGCCAGCCACGCGGCCGCACAATGAGCGTGGGCAGCGTCCTGTCGGTCCGGAGCTTGTACTCCTTGGGCCCTTGCTTGAAGTCAACCTGGCGGCGGACGGCATCGTACAGGTTTACCTGGCCGTTCACCATGTTGTCCCACGTCGGGGCGCTCGAGTCTGTCTCGGAAGTTAGTTGATCGTGATTCTCTCTCTGCCTCCCCTGCCAGCTCGGAGCCGTCATCCGACCAACTCCGGTCATTAATTCGTCCATTACGGATTACATACCCTCAAAATCAGCCATGTACGTCCACACATTGGCATTCAGCGCATTAACAACCATCTTGCGATCCGTAGGCCCCGTGATCTCAACACGGCGGTCCACAAGACCAGGAGCAGGCGGCGCGCCCTTCCATGTCGGGTCGTCGCGGATGTGCTTCGTCTCTGGCAGGAAATCGGGCAGGGCGCCGCGGTCGAGCTCCGCCTGGCGGATCTTGCGGCGCTCCAGGAGAGCCTTGCGCGTGCCGTTGAACGAGCGCTGCAGGAGGGCCAGGAAGGCAAGCGCCTCCGGCGTGAGGATCTTGCGCTGCGAGTCCTGGATGGGGCCCAAGACGTTGACGCCCTGGAGGATGGTCTGGGTGCTGGCCATGGTTGTTGGTTCGGTTTAACCGAGGTACGTGTGTGGTGTGTAGATTAGGTGCTGAGCGTGATAGCAGTGTGGTGACCTTGGACAGTCACACCTCCTGCTTTAAGCTTTGGGATTGTAGGGCAAGTAGGTATCTGGAAATACGGAATGTAAGTATCGACTTATAAATTGGATGAATGATGTTATATGAGTCAAGAAGAGGAAAACAAATTCCGAATTGGAGAACAAATTCCGAGGAAACCCGCCGATTGTTGAGTCAATATGAGATAGAAATGGAGGATACAATTACTCAATGGACAAAAACGGGTATGAGTGTATCAAGTCCAAACATGAAGCATCGCAAGGTCCCGGAGTAGTCCGAACACGGAGCGCTGAACTTACCGATAGGGCGGATCTTCAAATCCAATTGTTTGTTTATCCCCCGTCACTTTTTTTTTTCTTTCGATGACGACGTCAAGAGGAGAAACGGTTAAGGCAAAGGAAAAAAAAAGAAGAAAAGAAAAAATAATAACACGAGGGTCAAGAATAACAAGGGATGACGAAAAAGAGCAGGGCCCTCGCCAGACCGTCGGCAACGGCCGCTCGCCGCTCCAACGGCAATCGCAGCTATGCCCCGGCTTACAGTTCTGGCCCAAAAAGACTTTGGAGTGACTTGCATGTGGTCGGCACCGCGCCGTGGTTGGTGTAATCCCTGTCCTATTACCCCATCGCGCCCACAATCACCGCTATCTCCTCACCTCCTACCCCCATTTCGGTCAGTTCGGGCCTGGGGAAGAGGCGCCATTGGTCATGGCGGGGCTCGGTCGTGGGGAAGTGAGCGTTGTCTTCGTCGCCCGGTGTTGTACCTTCGTGCAATTGCGTGGTGTACTTGCATGTGACATTTGGATGGAATCCAAGAGAGCGGAACGCATACGGTGTAACCGCACAGTACGGGTAGGCAGTGAGGTCATCGACGGGTTCGGGACCCCGCCGTGCTCCAGAGCCGTTTCCCCGGACGCCACGATTCCCGAGCACGGCTATCGGAATCCGTCGCTCTTGTTACAATACACTACCGTGACTACATAAGTCCGACGCAGATGATGCTGATGATGGTTTAGCGCAACAAACAAGTACCTCAGTCGAATAACTATGCACTGTAAGATAACTTAACGTTTGGTGCGATAAGAATCCGTTCTCGGCCAAGGCGCCCCACCTCCCAGGGCTGTTATTTCCGGGGGAGAAATGCCCCACATAAAAGGCCAGAGCTCCGATCAGTGCCGAGGTCCTTGAGCTGGAAGTTGAGAGCCGATGAGTGATGAGGACCTTGGCGGTTCTCGGGTGAGCCGACACTTCCCGAGACCCGTGTAACCGCCAGGGACAGTACTCTCTACTACATAGTATGTATGTAAGTGCGGATGGAATGGTTAAGCGATGCTACAGCACAATGTTGCGCGGGAGGGGGGAATACTTTGTTGAATAGGTTACATTTTCTTGTTTTTTTTTTTGTCTCTATATCATGTTGGGGACAAGATGAAGTGGGCTTGTCTCTTTTCGTCCAACTACATTTGGTCCCAGCAACGTCGTTTTCTCGTGTATTTTGTATTCGAGCATCGCCCACATGGAAAGCCACCTCGCTGTTCGTACATCATCGTTAAGTTCGTGAAGAAACCACTAGATAAGGCTGCTCCTCCGCAGGTAGGCCCATCATCAAAACGGCGGATGCCTCGCGCTTACTGAGCATCGCTTTGTGTTGGCTGGGCGTTTATGTATCCGGCTGTAGAATCTAGCCCTTGTAAGGCTTGGGCCCAACCATGAGCTCAGGCTTGACGAGCGTGTCAAATTCCTCTTCGGTGAGCGCCTTGAGCTCCATGGCGCTCTGCTTCAGAGTCAAACCCTTCTTGTGCGCGTTCTTGGCTACCTTGCTGGCCATGTCATAGCCGATCTTGGGGTTGAGGCAGGTCACGAGCATGAGCCTAGTTGAGACCAGAGAGTTAACGAATGTTTTGACCGGGTAGCGGGTCAGGATGAATGTAAGAGACAAAAAAAAAAAAACTTACGACTCCTTCATAATGCTAGAAATCTTCTCCTCGTTCGCCTGAAGACCCGCCACCAAGTTCTTCTCAAAGCTGCGCATACCGTCCGCGAGTATCCGGACGCTGTGCAGCAAGTTGCGGATCACCAGCGGCTTGTAGACATTGAGCTCAAACTGGCCGTTCATCCCACCAATCGTGCAAGCCACATTGTTACCCATCACCTGGGCACACACCATGGTGAGCGCCTCGCACTGCGTCGGGTTGACCTTGCCAGGCATGATGGAGCTACCGGGCTCATTCTCCGGCAGCACCAGCTCGCCCAGCCCGCAGCGTGGACCGCTGCCAAGGTAACGGACGTCCTGCGCGATCTTGGTGAGCGACGCGGCGAGGGTGTTGAGGGAGCCGTGCGCCTGGACGATGGCGTCGTGGGCCGCCAGCGCCTCGAACTTGTTGGGTGCCGTCTTGAACTCGGTGCCCGTCATCTTGCTGACCTCCTCCGCGATGCCCTCGGCAAAGCCCTCGAACGTGTTGATACCCGTCCCCACAGCGGTGCCGCCCTGGGCGAGGAGCCGCAGGTCCGGCAACGCGCTCTCAACCCGCTTGATGCCAAAGTCGAGCTGCGCCACATACCCGCTGAACTCCTGCGCCAGGGTGAGCGGGGTGGCGTCCTGCAAGTGGGTGCGCCCGATCTTGATGATCTTTTTGGCCTCGAACTCGTCGACCTTGCCCTGGAGGGCGGCGCGCAGGCTATGGAGGGCCGGGAGCAGCTCACCCTCGATCTCGAGGACGGCGGCGATGTGCATGACGGTCGGGAAGGTATCATTGGACGAGGCGGACCGGTTCACGTGGTCGTTGGGGTGCACCGGCTTCTTGCTGCCCTTGGTCCCGCCAAGGATCTCAATGGCCCGGTTACTGATGACCTCGTTCGCGTTCATGTTGGACTGCGTGCCGGAGCCGGTCTGCCAGACGACAAGGGGGAAGTGGTCAAGCAGCTTGAGGTCCGCAACCTCCTGGGCGGCCTGCTGGATGGCCTTGCCGATGGCGGGGTCTAATGGAGAGGAAGCCCAAACAAGGCCCCGTCATGTTAGTCCCTCCCCTTCTGGGAATTGCACCAAATGTACAGTACCATGCACCACGAGGAAACGTAGAGCACATCTTAGAGCATATTTTGGAGCATTGCAGCAAGGGGAAAGAGAAGCAGCGTACCAAGGCCATAGCGCATGTTAACAGTCGCCGCAGCGCCCTTCAGGATACCGAATGCCCTGACAATGGGGGACGGCATCCGGTCCTGGGGCTGGTTGATGCGGAAGTTCTCGAGGGAACGCTCCGTCTGGGCGCCCCAGTACTTATCGGCGGGCACCTGGATCTCGCCAAAGGCATCGCTCTCGGTTCTCGTCTGGGCCGCCATCCTTGTCGCGCTGCCGTGGAAGTATCGCTGGTGCTGAATCGCGGGGTTCGTAGGGCAGGTGGTGAATGACGAAACGGGGGTCCACGATGATGCGCGGGAGCTCACTTTCAAGCATGTGCTACTGAGGGGCCGGACAACTGCCCTCGGCACACCTAGGCTCCCGCGCATTGCGGGCCCGGACACACGCACCGATCGAAGCATGGTGGAAGTCGCCCTGGCTACGTAATAAGGAAAGTTGGACCTTGTGACCGGGTCAGGAAGGTGATCAGACGTCTAAAAAGTTGCCGCAATGTACCCCGTGGCGCGTCGGGTTCAATTGAAAACACTAAAACCTTTTAACAAACCGCGAGGTTGACGACGATGCGCCAAAAAGAACGATCTAATTCTCTTCGTTTTTTTTTCCCGCATCGGTCGCCAAAAATTGTCGGAATGGGCGGATCCCGGTCGTCTCCGCCCCCAACGAACTTGTGTCTCGGCCCGGGAGATCCCGGATGTTCGCTCGCCTCGTGGCCCAAACCCCTGTCGCTAGCCGCTGTCCGGAGCAACTGGACCCCTGAAAACGGCCGGAATACAAACAAAACAACCGGAAAAAAGGGGCATGCGGACTGCCTCCAGAAGGCGACAAGATGAGAACAGTGGCTAGATCGGCGTAAAACTCGAATCGAATGAAACCACAGTCGCCGATCAAGAAGGCACATTCAAAATAGGGTCATAAACTGGGTGCCTGACGGTGTCTGTCGTAAAATGCACTGCGGGAACTGCGTCGTGGGGTGAAAGAGGCATTGGTGAGCACAGGAACGTGGGCGGCGTAGTGGGAGCGAGGCGGTTTTGGCCGCCCCATGCCGCCCAGCCCCTATCAATGGAAACGCATACCATGCCACGGGATCCTCGACCAACCCCATGGGCTTTCTACGCGCCTCAACCAGCCTCGCCGGTTAGAAAAATAGATGGCGCGGCCGGTCATTCCCTTCGCTATGAAAAATCCCAAACCGGATCTATGCTATGCGCCGGCCTATCTGCTGTTGGGAGTGACGCCCGAACCTCGACACCCTCACCCTGAAACTAAACGAGAAAAAAGGAAAGAAAAGATCATGGTAAATGGACATTCCACACAGTTATACATACGGCCAACATTATTGTCAGCGTTTACCCGGTTTCCGCCTGATGAACGGATCGGGTCCTTTCTTCGCTCCTGGTGGTGGGCCCTAAAGCAAGTCGTCAAGTTAATAAAAAGGTTGTCGGAGTGTAGTCTACTAGACAAGAATTTTACTCACCCTGCGTGCGTTAGGCCCTGGACCCGGGCCTGCATTCGGCCTAGGACCGTTGGGCGGTCGAATACGAGGTTGACCCTGTTGTGATGGTTGGGCTGGCGCCCGTTCCGGAGGTACGAGACCCAGCACCTCCATCGCAGAAGGGTCAACGGCAGGCGGAGGGTTTCTGGGCTTGCCGGGGCCGCCCGGCGCGTTCGAGCGGCCTCGTTCTGGGCCAGTGTTCGCCTAGTAGAAGCGGTTTGTCAGTAAGATTCCATCTGGACCAGTGAGGGGTCTAGGGTCGCCCATCTACTAACCTTCTTGGGGCCGGGACGGCCATCGTCATGGTCGTCCCGTGCTCGTTTTTTCCCAGCTGATCCAGCTGTAGACTGGATAATGGGCGCACCTCCACCCCTCGGCAACATCGTTGTGGCCTCGCCACGCTCGTTCAGGCCCCCAATTCCTGACCCGCGGTATGGGAGGGCGGCGGGAGCAGGGGTGGAGGGACCTGCCTGCTGCGGTCTGGCTGCACCGGGGCCTTGACGTGCGGGGGTGTCCATCTCTGAGGCACGATGGCGATGTGCACTCGCATCGTCATCCAAGTCCATAGCATGCAGATTTTGAGGCAACTCGGAGGGCTGCGCAATCGGGTATTCCAGCGGCACCTGGCGCCCACGTTGATCCAGCAGAGACATAATGTCGCCCCCTGTGTAGCGGTCGCGCTGTTTCGCATCCTGGATGAGTTTGTTCCAGAATTCACCTTGCACCAGCGCGCGGGAGTCACCCAGAATCCACAGCGATGATTTGGCACGGGTCAGACCGACGTTCATACGACGGATATCCGTCATGAAACCGATACCACCAGTCGGACTGGCTCGAACGCAAGAGAAAATAATAATCTCACACTCGCGGCCCTGGAAAGCATCCGTGGTGTTGAACTCGATATCCTGGGTGATGCCCTCGCCGTATGCGTCAGTGAATCGCTGGCGGAGTCTGAACAGCTGAGCCTTGTACGGCGTGATGATGCCGATCTTGCCCTTCGACTCGACCCCGCTATAGTCAGTCCGGAATCGCTTGTAGAGTTGCATGGCCACCTTGAGCTCTTCCTCGTTGACCAGTGACTGGTTCTTGGGGCCGCGAGACTGAGAACCCTTGACATCAAAGAACCGGTACGGACCCAAGAGTTCGCTTTGATGCCATGGCTGCACGCGAAGCCGGGCCATATCGGCGCCGTTTTGTAACAGGCCCTCGTAGAATTCCTTGCTGGGGAACTTGCTGATCTCCGGGTGCATACGATACTGCATGTCAAGCAGGTGCACGTCCTTAGCGTGGTTCTTCTGCATGCGCACGAACAAACTCTGGTCGTACCCATATCTCGCGGCCGACTGGGAGAGCACCGTGGGGGGCAATTGCTTCGGGTCACCGACCAGAATGCACTTGGAGCAGCCATACTTGAGGGGAATGAGAGCGCTCAGCTCCACACACTGCGCTGCCTCGTCAATGATGACCGTTTCAAACTCCACGTTGAGGTTTTTGAACATCTCGTGGCCACTACCGCTCAGCGTGGCACACAGAACGTGAGCTTTGTCGAGGATATCCTGTTGGATCTGCCGGCGCTTGATCTCCACCTCACGCGCGAATGTGTTCCCGTTGGTTTTGTTAGCATCGATCTTGGCACCGATGTGTGCTTGGCGACGCTTCAGATCATCAAACTCGCGCTGTAGTTTCATGGTGAAAGTGCGATTATCGCTGGCTCGGGCAGCCTCCAACTGCGGACGCAGCTCCGAGATCTTCTCCTTGAGCGCCCCCGCCTCCTGATGCAGCTTCTCACGGTCGCTGGGACCGCTGTTGTTCATCTCGGTGTCCATCCGAGCTTTAACTAACTCGTCGAGCGTCACATCTTTGACGGCAGCATTGATCGCATCACTCCGGCCCAGACGCAAGACATTGATCTTGTGAGATGCTCCGGTCATTGTCTTTATCCCCCCCTTCAGACGTAGCACGAGTTCATCCACGGCAGCGTTGCTGGGGGCACAAACCAGGAGCTTCTTCGAAGGCGCTTGTCCCGTCGGCGGAGCTCCAGGGCGAGTGAGCGGCACAGCACCACCATTGGAGGGTTTAAGAACGCCCGTCATGAGAGAGCCGACCATGGCAACAATAGTTTTGGTCTTTCCAGTGCCCGGAGGACCCTGGACCAGAGTAAAACCATCGTTCTCCTTCGCGTTCAAGATAGCACGCGCCTGGCCGAGGTTCAGTTGGTAATTATTCATCACCCCCTTGATCGCCTCATCGCTGAAGGTGAGCATCGGAGACGGCTGGGCCTTGAGCACTTCGTCCATCAGATCGTAGTACTGCAGGCTTTCCAATGCTGCGTACTCGCGTTCGATCGTTGTCATGTTTGTGATCTTGACAACGTGAAATTCCGCACCCGGAAGAAGGGCCGGCAAGATCTGGTTGCCCCTGGCGTTGAGCCGGTAAACAACTTCGACAATGTCCTTCTTGTACGTGGTCTTCCAGATACGCGAGAGACAGTGCAACTCCGTGGGCTGATTAAGCGGATCCTCTCCCCTTGAAACGATGACGATGTCCCCTTCTGACAAGCCCCGCTCTCTGCTAGTATTGGCCGGTACCGACGCGGTAACTTCCATAAACTTGTCGACAGTCATGCGACTCAGCACCTTCATGTTGAACGGCTTCGACGTGGCTTCGTCCTTCGACGTCACGAACGAACGCCATGCTTCGTTGATGAGTAGGGGGAAGAAAGTCTGCTTGTAGCTGGACGGGTCGGTGTAGGCATCCGAGACGCCCTCGCACCGGTACCCGTTGGGGGGGTCGTTGCCCTCGTGGAAAATGTCCCATTCCAGGATGGCCTGATGAAGGACGTCCATGGGAGGAATCAAGCGGGCACGCATGTCCTTTGCCGATCTCTGCAGCTTAACCTTCTTCACGGGGCCTCGCTTCTCGGCCATCATAAGCAGGCGTCGACGCTCATGGTCGCTGAGATTCTTGTTCCCGGCCTTGGCTTTGAGCGCTATCCGCTCGTCTTCAGAATCATCCTCCTCTTCCGAGGAGGATCCCACCATGATCTCGTCCTTGACAACAGGAGCATGGTCTTTACCTCGGACACCAGCCACGCCAAGGAGGCCGGAACCTTCTCCGGGTACCGTTTTGGGCGGGGCCCGCAAAGCCTTTGCTTTGGCAATCGCCTCTGCATCCCTCTTTGCTTTCTCGGCCTTTTCCCGTGCCCTTGCCTCTTTGATAGACATCTGATTGGCAAGAATGGCCTTCTGGTCGAGCTTGGGTGGCGGTTTGGGCTTTGTTGCCCCTCCTTCCTCCGTCAGCTTTGCCAACAGGGCCGACCCCCGTTTCTCGAAGTTGGGGGTAATGTCGGCGAAGCGGTCCTTGTGCGCCCCGGAAACACTGAGCGCCCCCTTAGAGAAGTCAATCTTGCTTTGCTTCAACCGCTCCTTGCCATCCTTATCGCCAGGTTTGCTGCCCATGAACTGTTCCTCGATCACAGCATCCTCCCCAAGCGCCTTGAGCAGCTCGATGCGTTGCTCATTGGTCAGATTTGTTTTTTGGAGATAGTCCACCCGGCCGTCAGAAAGCTTCCTCCTCTTCAGCATGCTGCCAAGGTGTGCCGTAGCGTCACGCGGCAATTCCATGTCATTTTGTTGCAGCCTTGTAAGCAGCTTTTTTACCATCTCGATGATGCCCGCGATGAGGTACTTGTCTCTAAGCTGCAACATGTCGGCGAGGGAAAATGCATACTTTCTCGGGGGGGCTAGGACGCTTCTCATAGCGTTTGCTGTGGCCTCCCCGTTCGTTTGTGCAGCATCGTCACCGCTGTGTTGGCTCAGAGCGGAGGCCACGACTCCGTCTTGAGCAAAGAGCTTGTTGCCCAGCTCCATCACGTCTCGGCAAAAGTCTTCCATGATTTTTTTGTCGACTTTTTCGTGCCATATCCTCATCATCCTAAATGAGTGATGGACAGTTTGCCAAGCGCATTCCCACCAACGCTTAACGGCAGCGTGTTCCTCTTGACTCAGGGTTCTGCGTCGCAACTGACCCGCGGAGGGATCGCACAAGCCGTTCAACACAAACTCGCAGCATTTCAGTGTTGGGAGCATATGGCTCCAAGGGCTACTAGCATCCTTCCTTGCGGTAACTCTGTTCACCGCTTCCGTGAACGAATCTAGGAAAGAACCGAAGTGGCTCTCCAGCATCTTCTCTACTGCTTCAGACGGTAGGCTTTCGCCAGTGGTCGCTTTGAGTAACTCGAAACCAGCCTCACGGATGGTTTCCTCACCGTGGATTAGTGTCGATACGATGGGATGGATGGTCGGGCTCTGCGGACCAGAGCAAAACTTGTTCAGGTCCTCCTGCTTGAAATCTGACAGACGACCAAGCATTCTTCCAATTGCCGTCGTCTGCTGCTGATACCTCTCGTTGAACTTTTGCTGCTCACGTTTAAGCTGTTCTTTCCGCTTGGGAATGAACCTCTCGATGCTTCTGAGGCGCAACGTCGCCATCAGCATGGCTTCCGCCAGCTCGACGTGGCCGAGTTGCCCGTACCAGAGCATCTCCAAGAAGCATTCCCACAACTTCCCCGAGTCGCGATTCACTGCGTCCTGCACTGGAATTCCCTTGATCAAGGCCTTCCATTCGATTTCAGTTGCTTTTGCATCTAGCGCAAGTGCGGAATGTATGATACCCATAGCCGTCTTGGAGATGCCGACGTTAAACGTGTCGCCGGGCTTGAGGCTAGCGGCGGTGATGATCACCTCGCTGTACTGCACCACGCGGTTGAGCAGCTGGTTGACCATGATCAGTGCGGTGCCGGTATCAAAGTCGTCTTCCCCATGCAGGTAGCCATCAAGCGACTCGCTGAGGGTAACTAAACCAGCGAGAGTGCAAGTAGCTTGAGCGGCTCGGTCGCTGCTGGGGTCTCGCCGGAAGGTATCGAAGAGGTGCCGCAAGAGCGATTCGCAGACATCCGACCGCTGCATCGAAGGCAGCGAGCGGATGAACGCCCTCATCCAAACAGCCAAAATCGGGCTCTGTGTTTCTCCCTCGGTGACCATCCTGTCCGGTACCAATGATTTGCTTAAGAAGCGTCGGAAAGCCGGGCTCTTGAAAATCTCCTCGACTAGTTGGCTGGGGGTCACTTGATCGAACGCGGACCAAAAGGCGCTCGGTGACTTCTCCATGAGGGCTTGGAGACTCGACAGAATCATGGACAAGGCTTCATCTGAGTCCGTGGAAAAGTGTTCTATCGCAAGGAAATAAACACTCGGGGTTACCTCCATAGCCCGGAGGAAGTTGATGATTTGTTTTTCGCTCAACGCTCGAAGAACGAAAGAGAAGCCGTGCCAGAACCTTCGGATCTTATCCGGCGTCGGCATCCCTCTTGCAAGGGATGACCTTTGGATCGCAGTAGTTAAATAAGGAGAGATAGCCCAATCCCATTCTTGATCCGAGATGGAGCCCGGTGTCCGCTTCTCCCAGGCGCACTCCGCAAATCTCTGTTTGTACGATGTCGAGGACTCGTCGAAGAGGAAGTAGGTCATTGTCGGAATGAGGCCGCCCTGCATGCGCAACGGGCGCCTTTGTTGTGTGTGCTCGAAAACATACGTGAAGTTCTCTGCACTTTCTGGGCGGGTGGCATACTCGAAGCTACAAAGTGCCTCGAAAAGGGCCAAGACAGCGGATGTATCGTGTCCAACCAACTTGGCCGTCGTCATAGGGCCTTGGGTCTCGAGAATTTCTCTCGCTCGCTTCAGGCCCTTGTCGATGCGTTGCTTGTCGAAATCTTCCAGCACCTTGCGCATATAATCAACCATTTCCGGGGCCAGATGTCTACATGAAGAAGGAATAATTAGCCTAGTCCTTGTGGCAATGCGAGGAACGAGATGTCGCTTACAAGCCCTTGAGGTAGGAGTCCCGGTTTCTATGCCAGTTCCTCACGCATTGGTCGCAGTGCATAAGGCAGGCCTCCACGGTCTGTGTCCAATTGTCCAACCATTCTCCAGCAACCTCTCTCCCGAGACCCATCAAAATGCTGAGATTGTAGACATTCTGAAACCTCGTTTCGTATTCTTCGATCCGGCGCTGCTTCTCTTCGGCAGTCGTTCCGCCTTCGTCGGGGCCAGGATCATCGTAAATTGAAGTATCGTCCTCGTCGATTTTTGGACAGCAGAGGTGGGCATCCGGCGGGCGATCTTCGAAATCACGATGCCACGCAATCGCAGCCTCGAGAAGCGCATTAGACTCCATGGTGGGACCGGTGAGGCGCGAATCGAGCTATCGCTTTGAATGGCGTTGAACTGAGATTTCGACTAGAAAATGTCCATCGAGGGGTTTTCAATCATCATTTGGCGAACTAAAGCCGGTTCCCAAGAATGAGGTGGACAGGAACTTGGGGCATCGGCCGCGAGGAACGGGACGATGCTGAAGAAGGTATGGAAAGAAAGCCGACCGGGGGCCGTTGAGTAAGAAAGGCGTGCCCAGCACGAAGAGAAGCACTGTTCGGCCCCCGAAATATCCCAAGGCTTCCCAAGAAAGATCCCGCCGTTGTGCCACCAGCAGATGGCTGCGAAACAGCAAAAGAAGGTGTTCCTTCTTCACTCTTGGATGTACGAATAGGCAAGGCGCCTTGGCGGGCAGTCGCGAAAGATCTCAATGCACGCGTTGAGTTGTGGGGCATTAAAGTGGGGCAAAGTAGCGCTGCTTGGCATCGCCCTCAATGGAGCAGTGGAAACGAAGGGGAGCCATGAATTCAAGAGACTGGAAGAAGCTACGAATCATTGCTAACTAATAGTAGGGTGTACATGTGCCATATTTGCTAGTTGCTTTCTTGAAAATAAAGCCGATGCAGGAATATCTCGCAAAGTTGTGAAGCCTCTCAAATCAGCTCTCCCCGTTCGTTCTTTGCCATGAATGTGGTTCTGATGCGTTTGCCATGCTTTGTTCTTCGCACCGGTTTTCTTTCTCACTCCCTCCTACTCTTACCCACGCGCCCCACTCTCCATTTTCCCGTTCCCAGCTAGACGGTTAAGCAACATCCTTTGTTCATAGGAGACGCCCATCACACTTCTTCCTCTTCATCCTGTATCTCCTCCTCCTCGTCAGTAGTCTCACCACTCTCAGAGCCAACCGCTTCGGCCCTAGTCTTCTTGGTCTTTACCTCCCGTTTCCGTGTCGAACCGGCGTCGTCTTTGCTCCGGTCAAGCAGATGCTCCAACGGGCAGTCGGGCGCCTCGTTCCAATCCTTGGTTCCTGGCTTGGTAATTTTCCTGCATTTGAAGCATGTCTGGCCGTGACGGATGAACAGTTGGTGAAGCCCATACTTCAGATGATCCGGGACCATGAAATCGCCGTGCCGGAAACAGTTGTCGGGATCCGTTTTCTTAGGAACCCACCCGAGCCACTGGCAGAATTTGTGGACGTGTGTATCCACGGCAAAGCTAGGCATCTGCAAGCAGAATAGAGTGACGCAAGCGGCCGTCTTTATGCCGATACCAGGGTAGGTTACAAACTTTGCGAGGGCCTCATCTTTGCTCATGCTGTGCATGTGGTCCAGAGAGAGGAAGTTCTGAGCGGTCGTCCCGGTAGCTTCCGCCTCCTTGCTCGGGTCCGCGGCGATACCTGGGGGCGGCGTTCTGCTTCTCTCTACACCTTCGTCATGAACCATGTCGAGAATTTGCTTGATATGGCGGCTTCTCTTGGGGCCGGTACCGGCGACCCGGATGACCTGTGCAAGCTCCTCGTGTGAAGACGAGCGGACCTTATCCCATGCGATGCTTCCAGCGCCAGTTCCTTCCTTTCGGAGCCCGTAGTGTTCAACCAAGCTCCTTATGGCCGCATTTGCACGAGCCATCTGGGTGTTCCCACTGATCAAGGTCCTCAGCAGGGCATCAAGTACGCAAGGGACCTCACCGCAGCCTGCGACCGTGAGAGACGCTGCGGGCATCTTTTCGGGCTGCTTCACCTCCCCGTGCAGATCTGTCAAAATCTTATGGACTTCCTCGCAGGCCGCAGCCGTAGGGACCCGTCGGTACGGGTATGGGGTGAACCCAGGCGTCAGTCCGTACGGGTTTTCCTTTCCCCTCTTCACCATCTGCCGATAGTTAGGGTCAAGGAGATTACTAGCATCAACAACGATATTCCCCGCAACTTTGACAACCGCGTTGTCCTTGATCGCAACACCCTTGATGAGCACAAGTTTCAGAGTATCTTTATTGAGAACATCCCTAGTTTCAACACCAACACTAGTGATACCCAACTTCTCGTTGGGTGGACTCAGAGCACTGGTTGCTAGTTGTTTGGCCGCCCGAGACAATCGCACGCGTTTGGCCAGGCGATGATCATCCAGGTTGACCAAGGTGTCGGTACGTTCTTCTGCTTTGATCACCAACGGGTTTGCTTTCTTAGCGCTGGTTTCGGAATTGGTAGTTACTTTGGTGATTCGAAGGGACAGGCGAGTCTGCCTGGTTTGTCCGGGAGTGTTGTGCTGTGACTGAATCACAGGTTGTGGGGCACCGGCAGCTTGACCTTGATGTAGGATCTGAGTATTTGACGTATTGGTGTCTGGCGGCAAGACAGATGCAGGTTCAAGTTGTTGAGCCTGTGCGTTGCTTGTTCCAGTTATCCCGACCCCCATGCCATGAGGTAGCTCCCAACCCCCTTTGACAGGCGGCCCGGCTTGCTTCGCATTGCGTTTGCGCTTTGACTTCTGGACACCCCCTTCAATCAACACGCCGGCGGCTGTGGGAGGTTCCCTCTTGAGTGTCGGTCGGATGGGCGCCACAACATTGCCGGTGGCTGTGGCATTATTGAGTCCGCTTGTTGCCGATCGTGTCTGCATTGTGAACAAAATGCTTTGATGCAGGTGAGGTAGGTAACGTTTAGTATCAATTCTAGTTATTAACTGTTGTTAGTAAATTTCTACGCCGATTGGGGCCGACCGACCCAAAGAATGCAAATGCCATTATAACAAATATGCCCCTGAGACGGCGATGAGGCCAGGGGCACCGCTAAGGATACCAACTCATTAAGCCCCATTGATATCTAGCCCATTTCCTAGGATTGTCTAAGACGTTGGCATGTGCCTCGCCCAGTTTCAAGGCGAACTAGAAGCAAAAGTAAATTGCAAGGTCCTGGGGAGTACCTCAAACTAACGCACGAAGTTCAAACTTAATTTCACGTCAATTGCGAAACAAGGAGCTGTAAGCGCCCAAACCAAACAAAAGCATGGAAGCATGGGGCTCGAATGATTGTCATACTTAAATCGGCGGCATTGGACCCCGCGGACGTCGTTGAACTTTCCCGGGAATGGAGCTCAAAGGCGCTGTAGATGGAATGGTTGACCGCTGCGCCCTTGAACTAAGAAGGGGTAGAGTAAAGTCGTGGTTCTTTTTCGTTGTTGGGAGGTTATTTAAGCCGCCATATGTCCAAGTCGGTGAACTGGAATGGTATTGCGTGAAACGCGGGGTAAAGGAGGAGGAGGGAAGGGAGGGTTAAGGCAGATAGTTGATAAACAGGTGGCCGATGGGTAGCCTAGTGTTCTTTCGTCCGATTTGGGGATGCCAATTTAAGTGAGTTGAGGCTTTGTTAGTGAAGTGTCGGTCATTGTGCGGGTGGGGAGTGAGGGAGGGGTTTGATGATGGGGGTGGCGGACGGCAACTGTGGAAGGGACGACCGTGATGCGCCTGTGCCCGAGTCAGTATTTACTCCGAATATTAGCCGTGACGATGGCGCTACCTATGTAAACAAAGGCAGCATTTCTCAGGGGACTATCGGATCGGAGTTGAGACAAGATCAGGGCAAGCTGTTGTGGCAAGTACATAGGCCCAGCCCAAAACTTGAGAGTGAGTAGAGGCTATGAGATAATCACATCGCCCTCAAGTCACCCCACCCACCCCGAGCGTCCCAGGAAACTTGACGTGCCCTGGGGGTATATACTCCCCAAGTCGAGGTCGATGTGAACAAGGCAAAACATTTGTGGAAGATCTTGTGTATCGATCTGATTAAGTCGCCGCGGAACAATTTGGGGGAGGAAGACACGACTTACACTCCTGGCTGTCCCAGCCTTGTAAGACCTCCCAGGGACCCATGCGGGTTCCTGAGCTACCAGGAGGGTTTAGTCTATGTTCTTGACAATGACCCGTGGGGGAAACAATGGTGCAATGGTATATCAACACTCGAAAAGCAGTACTGTCAAGCGAGCCTGGGTTCTTGAGTAAATTGTTCTATCTGGTGCCCCATTGAGTACACGGACAAGGTGCTAGGAGAAGTGCGCTGGAAGCGCACGGGAGTATGTGTCGAAGCAGCACAATGGGAGTGCCTTACAATGATATGACGAGACAGGCTCGATTAGCCGTGCCAATAACACCTAGGCAGCCCAAAGACTTGTTAGCCACAATTCAGGACTCATGGGTTCCAAACAAAATCCAGCGAAATATGTCGCAAAAATCAGAATAATTCTTCTCCTCATTGGAATCTCGGCAGTCAAGGTTTTGTCGAATTTAAAAGTCATCATATGAGTACATCGAACGATATGAGAATACAGAAATCAAGGCACTTACAAATTTTACTGATTTGAAATCTGCGACCGCCATGCGACAGATTGCATAGCGGCATAGTCAACTAGGACAACACGCTTTCTTGTCTTTGTTGGCATTGAGCCCGGTTGAGATTCTTGGGGAGGGAGTGTTGGAGACGAATTGGAAATTTTGGGGGTGGATCCGAGCGCTGGACCCACAAAAATGCGGAACGGAACGAGTAATTCTTCCCGGCGAAATGACTAAGGCCAGACCCTAACCCTGGTCTCCGTCGCAACCCCTATTTTGTTTACCTGCTCCTTTGTGCCCCTGAATGTGCCCCTGAATCGCCGTCGAGTTGCTTTCACGGCATCAAGCTCCTTTCGATCTCGTGCTCAGTCTTGACAAACTTTGTAGTCATACTAAATTGAGGTTTTAGAGTAATGTGCTTGGCCAACAATGCGGGGCCTGGTTTACAAAGGGCAATCTCTCATGCTTGTTATTTTGTCCCTAGGTAGTCGTCGCGCTTGAGGGGTAGTTCACAACCCATGATAAAGAGTGTTCCTTTCTTCAAGTTGCAAGATGCTACTTTTGCCAATGTATATCTTACTTGTTATTATTTCAGTCTTTCAATTGATTCTTCCTCATCCCTTTAGTCCACATCTAAGCTGGCCGCATTGTGCATCGGGGGTTCTGCACAGAGATAGGAGCCCTGTTGTGCGGGAGGGACGGAAGGTTAGAGATATTCGCATCTCATTTGATCGTGGCATGCTACAACTACTCATGGTTCTGCTTATGTCGTGATGCCGGGGCGGAGACCCCCGATGCAATCCAGGCCGGATTTAAGTTTATCTCAACCACCCCGAGCGGAAACTGAGGAGACAAAAAATGCATTGCTGGAGGATCCTTCCCCATATTTTGAAAATGAAGAGAATGTTGATGATTTGGTTCTCGTGGAGATAAAATCAAAAACAGCTGCTGTGATCCGGCCCGGCCCCAGCAAGAGGCAAATAAATACTCTCACACCCGTGCCTTTTCAACCTCCATTTCGCTTTTAGGTACCGAGATTCTAGAGCTTGTATGCGCCCAAACCTTTTATTTTTATACTACTTCAAGTTGCTTATGCGGTAAGTCTCAGAGTTTTAGCTTTTCCCTTTTACCTGGCGGACTCCAGCTGCTTCAGATTGTTAACCGCATCTTTGCAACCTTTGAGTCACGATGTCGTTGTCGTAGGTCTCAAAGGCATGCTTGATTGTCGTTCTTCCTCCATCAATTTATACGTTCTTCATTTCCATTCTACCTCCTTCCGACTTGTTCACACCCCTCTGCTTTCTATGATCTTTCCCGAACGGGGCTGCGAGGCCATGAACCCCGTAAGGGCTGGTCAGGGTCAACATTGATGATGGCTCAAAACCATTGGGGGAAGCTCGCACATCTTTCAGAATCCTTTTGTTTCTTGTTCTTGCCCTTCTCAACTGGAACGCCCGCACACACTTCAAACACTTTCTTTTCGTCGCATCTTGTTTTCATCGCATCTCGTTCCCCAACACCCAAAGTCTTACTTGTCCCATAGGTTCAGACGATGGCAAGTCAACGACAAGACGACGTCCTCCTTGTCGGAGGTAGTGCCGGCATCGACAATCCCATCACCATCGACGACGGTGACGATGATAACGACGTTGTGTACATTGCCAGGCGTGCCCGCCAGTTCGAAGAGGAAACCCGGGCGGGTCAAGAAATCCTGCGGCGGGTAGCCTCCACCAACCGATACCACGCGGAAGGCGCCCGCGGCGAGGAAAGCGCCCGCAGCGAGGAACTTAATATCGAGGCGCAGATCGAGGAGGTGCTGGAGGACGGGGTCGCTGAAGTGATCGACCTGACCGGGGATGGAAACCGCGTGGTGCCGTCTCGCGCGGCGTCGGTGAGGCCCTTGGCCTCGGTCGAGGACGAGGAGCGTGAACTCAACAGCTTCCTCCTCAGCGATGGGTCTGAGGTACGCCCTGGCCTCACCGTGGAGCTGGAGATCCCCATCGGAAAATTCAACAGCACATTCGTCCGCGTCAAGACCATCGTCCAACCCCGATCCAGCTCGGAGGTTGAGATCCGCGGCTTGGGGCTCACCCGAATCCGCGAACTAGAGGGCTTACTCTCAACCAACGAGAAGCGGAACGAACTTGTCGTCGTCGAGGAAGTCCGGCCGTTTAGCCCCGATCATTGGGAGAGACAAGGGTTGGTGAGCGTCAGCCCCAGCCAGATCGAGAAGCTCAGGAGAATGAGGATGACAAACGCGCCATTCCCGCAGCATCGTTTCAATCCCGATCTCAAGAAGAAGGGAAGAGCGTGGCTAGAGGAACACGGGCTCCTCGTTTGCCGGCACTGGTACCGGCTGCTCTACAACAGCAGCAAACGCGATAGGCCGACCGAGCATGTTCTCAGAAATCTGACCGAGAAAGAAGCCGATGGAGACTACACCGCATCCGATTCCATCAAGCTGATCCAGTGGAGGGGCGGCAGGACTCCCGGCGGCTCCCATATCCCCGGGCAAACCGGCCCTCCTGTGATCGACCTCGAAGCCACGGCTTCTGACCCGCCCGCGAGCCCCCCTCGCCGTGTGCCAGGGCAGAAGTATACCGCGGGAGACCTGTTTTGCGGAGCAGGCGGCGCATCGCGAGGGATCACGCGCGCCGGACTTCAACTCGTCTTCGCGGTGGACAACTGGGGACATGCCGTTCATACCTGGAAGAGCAACTTCCCGACACTCCGAATTTACCACATGGACGCCGAGGATTTCATCGCGGCAGACCACACCAGCCACACCGTCGACATCCTCCACCTCTCCCCGCCGTGCCAGGTCTGGTCCCCCGCCCACACCGTGGCCGGCAAAAACGACGAAGAAAACATGAAAGCCCTCTACACCTGCGCCCCCCTCGTCGCGAAGCACAAGCCCCGCGTCTTCACCGTAGAACAAACCTTCGGCCTCACCAACCCCAAATTCGCAGCCCACTTCCACCAGTTCCTCCGCGAGTTCACCGACCTCGGCTACTCCATCCGCTGGGGTATCATCTCCCTCGAAAACTACGGCGTACCCCAAACCCGCAAACGTCTCACCATCATCGGGTCCGCCCCGGGCGAGGCACTGCCGCCCTTCCCCGCGCCCACCCACAACGAACGCGGCACCAACGGCCTCAAACCCTGGGTCACCGCCCGAGCTGCTCTAGACCCGGCCGCCCGACACCGAGATCACCCGCTCAACCAGCCCACCCGGGCGGCAACCCCCCCGCCTAGACTACCCTGGAACGCCGACGGGTTAGTCAAAACCATCACGACCAGCGGCGGCATGAACTACCACTGGTCTGGCACGCGGGATTTCACACGACTTGAATATGCCCTGCTGCAGACCTTCCCCACCTGGCATCGGTTCGAGGGAGCGTGTGTCAAGAGACAGATTGGGAACGCGTTTCCGCCTGTGGTGGTCAGGACTCTGTATGAGCATCTGGTTGATTGGTTGCTGGAACAAGATGGGTTTGGCCGTGATGCTCGACGGGCGGTCCCGCTTGATAGCGTCGGTCCGGAGGATTACATTAATCTTGAGGACGGCGCGGGTGAGGTAGAGGAGGTGTTGGTGGTGGAGGAGGAAGAGGACGAGGATATGGTAGAAGTGGTAGCGGATGGGGACGATGGCCACGACGACGACAACGATGATGAAGCCGTCGTTGTGTTATCGTCCCGCCCGTCACCTGCTCCCCGTCAGCAGCGGAATCAACACAGAAGGCGCGTCGGCAGTAACCCCAACAACGGAGCCCCGGTTTCCGGCACCACCATCGCCATTACTGCTGCCACAGCTCGAGTCCACAAGAGGACCCGCGTCCCTCCCGCATCACCAGCACTCGCGCCTCACCGTCTCAGCGAGTCAGTCCGCTTGCTCAACCGCGCTGCAAAGATGGAAGAGGATGGGGATGATCATTCTATGGCGGATTCGGTCACCATGGGAGGTAGTTCAAGGGCTCAATCCCTTGTCAATATGAGGTCGGGGAGTGTTGAGATGATCGGAGCCACACCGATGGTGGTAGATGAGGAGGATCCTATCCACTTGGGTCCTATTGACTTGACGGCGGGTGAAGTGGAGTTGGGGACTGCTTGGGAACCGATGCTGCTTGACTGAGGGATGCATAGTTGCGCGACGGTGAGGCAAGGAGGGGGTTTATTCTAGTCAAAGGATTATTTACTTTATTTATTACGGATTGCTAATCGAAGTTGCGTGGGGGAAATCTATCGGTTTGAGGGGGAGGTTATTAAAGCGCAATACCACAGGAGCTTCACGAACGCCGTTCTATCGCTGCAAGGGATTAAGAACTATGCTTTCCCATCAACGCATCGCTTTCAAGTGAAATCCCGGACATTTCCGGGCGCGACGGAAGCAAACGTGAAACAACACGTAAGATAAATGTTGCCGAGTTGATTTATATAGGGCGACTTCGCCGAAACCCGTGATTAAGTATGAAATTTGCGCCTTGTGTCCCTGAAGCTCCCGTCCCTTTCCCAGGCCTGGATTGCAACCAAAACCAGAGCCAAAATCAAAACCAAAACTGAAACTCAAACCCAGATTGATTTAACAAACAAACCATCGACACTAACCGGTGCCGACTCGGACAATGATAAGAGCCTTTGCTTTATGAATCCCCAAAGACTAACGCCACGGATGCCACGCACGACCCTCAAAACGGGGTCTAACACCGCAAAAGGAAGGAAAAAGAAAAGTGACCGCTTCAAGTATTCCCAGCCCGCGACTTTATTCCTCCTCGCTCACCGAGCTATCACTCTGGTGGCCGGCATCTCCATCCCCACCGCTCTGCTGAACTTGTTCAAACTCCGCCGCCAGCGCCGCTTCAAGATCGCCAATGTCCTGCTCCAAGGCGTCGTCCCCATCGTCGTCTTCGTCCCCGTCATCAAATGTGTACCGATCGGGCTCGACGGCGACGGGGCTGGCTGCTCGATTCGGCTGAGGAGGACTATGCCGAAAGGGCTGGTCGTAATCATCCTCTTCCTCGTATTCGTCTCCTTCCTCGTATCCTTGGTCCTCGAGCTGCTCGGCCTCGTACCCGCCCGTCGTCGCGCTTGGGTTGAAATCGTCTTCGTCTGACTCCCTCTCGGCGGCAAATTCGGAGAACCGCCGAGTCATGGCTTTGAACGGCGGTACATACTGGCTCGTCGCGCGGAACGCGGCTGGGTTGCCCTCGGGGTATTCGACCGTCAGGCCTCCATCGTCATCGTCATCGTCTTCCTCGGATTCCACAGGCGATAACGCAGGGCGTTTCGGCTTCTTTTCTTCGGTTTGTGGTAACGTAGTTTCTGGTTGCTTCTTGGGCGCAGTGAGGTCGGGTAGCGTCAATTCCAATGGCTTGCTCTTTTCGGCCGGGGCGGCTTTGGACTTGGATGTATCACCACCAACATTCCTGCCGCCTCTGGCCTTGGTAGGCGTTGATTTGGCCGAGGTTGATTTCCCAGGTTTGTCACCAGCCTTCCCTTTTAGCTTTTTCGGGGTCGCGGCAGTCTTGACTTCGAGTTGGGGGAATTGTTGGCGCAGGCTCTCAACGTTGCTGTCAGCCGGCGTGCGAGTCACATTCATGTGGAAAGTAGAATCCACGCGATGCAGAACAAATGCCTTGCGGGCGGGATCGAATATGAGGACATAGTTGTCGTCATCGGTCGTACGGACGCCGTTGTATTGGTACTTGTCTCCGCGGTCGTCGAACCCGAGGTTGTAGGAGTCGTCTTTTCCGGACTTTTTCAAGCGTGCTGTGTTCGGTGCGGTATCTGAGGATAAAGTTGGCCGATGGTTGTCTACAATGGACGCAATCGTCAGTACAAGTCAGTGGCACTGGGAATCGGTATTCTGGGCCTTGGACGAGGCCCCGGAACCGCGCGTTGGGTTGGGAGAAGCTGACATCGAACGCCTGTGTATGTTTCTTTCGACGATTTCCCAAGCAAGGCGTCGCTAAGAATAACGGGATATTTCCCGGTTTTTGTCGGGTCGAGAAGCCCCTGGGCAGCCATCGCGAAGGGCCAGACCTGTGTTGGAGGATGCGGTAGTTGATGGAGTGCGATTTCGGGGAATGTGGAGGTTGAAGTTGGGAGCACGCCGTAACGAACAGGGGATCGGTCTGGGCGGGCATGGGAAGCGGTCAGGGATGGTCGCTGCAAACTGGCGTTACGTAATCGCCCGTCAGCAATTTCCACTCTTTCCGCGGTGCTGTGGGGTTCAGGTCAAGATGCAAGGATCAAGCGATCCGGTTGGGTTTCCCCGGATTTTCAGCCTTCTTGGCAAATGCGGGAAGGTTTTGTCTTCGGGTTTCAACACAGAAGCCGCGCAGGTTGCTGAAATCATGTGAAGGCGCGCGCTGATGTATTCCGACGTCTGTTCAACCTTTTGTGCGGCGGGTTCCCGTAAAATGTAGAAGCAACCTTCCGTCTGGAGTCCGTTCCTCAACAGCTTCCGAGCCGCCGCCTCATTGCGCCCTTTACCCCGCTAAACGAAACTGGACAAGCACATGCCGTCTGAAGGGTTTACAAGACTTGCTCCACCACGGAGGTTGACGATGACACCATCCTACGGTACAACTACATGGCATGACTCTGGCCATGGACAAAGGAGTAACTAGGTACAGTACTACAGGTACTTATCATGGAGGTGCGAGTCAAAATCTATGGGCCCAGTCCCCGCCTTCAAAAGTTGAAAAGTAGAACCCTCCCCCTTTTGCGCGATGGAAGGGTTTCGTTGCCCAACATGTCGGTCACGCCGCACCACACATGCGCGACACCCAACTTTGAATGACTCCTGCTGTGTAATCTGTGTTACATGCTACCCGAAGATCTCAGCACAATGCGATGGCGCACGTGCTTCCTCATACACTTGTTCCTCACGGGGTGCGCTAGAGCGGCATATCAGCTAGATTTGGATTCGACAGGTACGTTTTGCAGATTAGAGAACATTCGGCACGTGATTTTATGAGCATACACTAATACATCGGTCCGCGGCAGACTCCATGGCCGATATTGCAAAGTCGATGGTGAAAGACATGATGTCATTCTACGAGGGGAACCATCTTGGGGGCACCCCCGGCCTGCTCCCCAAGCCATATTACTGTGAGATACCGCCGAGTGAGGGGGATGTGCAAGAATTCCATCGGCCCATGCTGACGGAAGCGCCCGTGTCTCTCCTCAGGGTGGGAGGGTGGCGCCCTCATGGGCTCGCTTATTGACTATTGGTGCGTTCTGGTGGACGGGTTCGGTTCCTATTAAGAACCCTTTTGGGTGGATGGGTTCAGTTCCTATTAAGACCCCGATCGGGCTGATGAGCTGGACTCCTATTCAGGTCCCGAATAGGAATCTCTGTCCCCCTCCCTGCCTAATAGCTCTGGGTGTCAAATCCCGATCCCCCTCGCGTTTGAGGTCTTTTTTTCTTTCGACGGTGCTGACACGATAGCCCGCAGGTACTATACTGGCGACACGCAGTGGAACGATGTCGCTCAGGATGGACTGTTATTTCAGACTGGGCCGAACAACGACTACATGCCTCCGAACCAAACCGTGACGGAGGGCAACGATGATCAGGGTTTCTGGGGTATGGCTGTTCTCTCCGCCGCGGAAACCAATTTCCAAAACCCGCCGGATGGCAAACCGCAGTGGCTCGCGCTCGCACAGGCCGTCTTCAACACCCAAGCCGCCCGCTGGGAGACCCGGTACTGCGGAGGCGGGTTGAGGTGGCAAATATTTACCTGGAACAACGGGTACAACTACAAGAACTCCATCTCGCAAGCCTGTTTCTTCAACATCGCCGCACGGCTTGCGAGGTACACCGGAAACCAATCGTATGCCCACTGGGCCGAGAAGACCTGGGACTGGATGGTGACCACCAAGCTGTTGGACACGAGGACTTTTTACATTTACGACGGCATGCACATTGAGAACTGTTCCCGTATCACGCCGTATCAGTGGACGTATAACGCGGGCGCATTCCTCCTCGGCGCAGCAGCCATGTACAACGCCAGCACGACGGCCGCCCAAGCCGAAACCTGGCGGGAGCGCGTGGACGGCCTGCTCAATGGCTCGCTCCTCTTCTTCACCGGCGCCACGAAGGACATCATGACGGAGGTAGCCTGCGAGCCCGTCGATCTGTGTGATCTTGACCAACAGAGCTTCAAGGCCTACCTGGCCCGCTGGATGGCCGCCACGACCAAGTGGGCGCCCTGGACGTACGGCCGCATCAAGCCGCTGCTTGAGGCGTCGGCCATCGCGGCGACGTCGACCTGTACCGGTGGCGACAACGATCGCATGTGCGGGCTGAAGTGGAACACGCGGAAGTGGGATGGCACGACGGGCGTCGGGCAGCAAATGGCCGCGATGGAGGTCATCCTCGCAAATATGATCGAGCGTTCTCCACCACCGGTCACAGACTGGGACGGAGGCACCAGCGTCGGTGACCCCGCAGCAGGTGGTAATGGTGCTGGTGCTGATATTGGGCGGAAGGGCCGAGCATTCCACGCCGTGTCGGACGCCGAGAGAGCGGGTGCGTACATTCTGACGATCCTCACGATACTTGGGTTGACGGCGGGGACCGTGTTTGTACTGTTGGACGAGAATGACCATTCCTCCCCGGCAGAACGGCTCGCCAGGTCTCGAGCCGCACTAGTCGGGGCGTGCAGCAGCTGGGACTTTGGTTTGCGTAGGCTGCCGCGGCAAAATCTCAGCCAAGAGGAAGAGAAGAGACCGCAGCGGTCCAATAGCATCGAGCCAGGACGCCTTCAACCCAATAATCCCGCCAGCCCAACGGGGATGGTGGTGCATTCGTGCGTCCGGACAGTGGGGCCTATTCAGGTCCCGATTCAGAGGGTGTATCCGGGCCGGCGGCGCGTGAGAACAACGTGGTCCGATCCAGCAATGGCAACCGTGCCAGGGGCTGCACGTCGGGACGAGGGTGCCGACAAGACGGAGGGTAGCCGACAACAACAGCCACAGCCATCTCCATCTTCACCCTCCGACAGGATTCCGGGAAGAACAACGACTGTCCATAGAGTCGGAGCCAGTACCTTCGGCGAGGTACATCGGTTGGAGACTCGTTGGGAGGAGGCGTAATGGAGAGAATTCGCGCTTGCGGGAGAGAGATTTATTTTATCCTTTTTGGTTTTTTCTGTCCTTTTTTTGGTGGTTGGTGTGGTGCCTGCGTTCTGGTGGCCCCGAGTTTCATCGGACAAAAGATGGGGGACGTTGCACGGAACCACAGCACGAACCGCGTCAATGTCAGAGTCATGTGCATATGAACCGGTAAATGGGCCCCCATCCTCATGACCCTAAAACCACATTTTTCCGTTGGAATGGTGTCACGAGCCCCGTTCATTGGCGCTTGAATCCGTTCATATTAAGGTTCAAATAAGATAATTAACCGAGCGTTGCAGTGTGGTTACCAACCAAGCCAACCTGCAACCGACGAACTTCGTCCCCTATTCGTGTTTGCGTCCGGTCCCAAGGTCCAATGTCCGATTTGGACCGGTGGAATGAAAGGCAAGTGGGGTGGAAGAACTCGGGTCGGCCTGGGAATGGCGGTCTGGTGAGTGCCTTCCGCATGCAGAATGCAGAGATGCCCACGTTTTTCGGTCTCTCAACAAACTCACGTACAGTGTGCCACAGTGTATATCCAAACTCACTACGAGGTCCTCCTTCCTGTTCGTATCTTCCATCGGGATCAACTCCGAGTCTTGCGGCCAGCAAGCGGGAATAGCAGGGGTACCATGGAAGATATTGTATTTGTAACAAACTTTCGATCTGTTTACTGACTGATGAACATCCCATGGCTGCGGCTACCCGAGAAAGCGGGATTGCGCCGCGCAACATACCCATCTCCGCCCATGTAAAAGCACGCAGGAGCAGCGAAACGCTGCGGAATGGGCCCCCTTCGGCCTCGGCCTCATGACACCCAACCACGCCTATTTCACTCCCCACTCCCTCTTCCCGGTTTCTCTCTTCTCACCCCCCTCCCCTTCCCCCGTCGATATAACTTACCCCGTTAGCCCCGGATCCGGAAAGCAGTCTCACCAGAGGCCTCCATGCTTTCTGTCGCAAGGTCCGCAAGGGTTGCACGCTACCTTCAACTCCGCAAGATGGGTCCCCTCGCCTTGGCCACACTCAGCATACCGCTCTCTATCTGGGTCCTGTGGAAAGCTTCGCCTTGGCCTGCCATCGCCGGCGATAATAAACTCATTCCGATCTCATCCTACATCCTCTTCGCCGGCCTTGCCCTCCTTGCCCTACAACTGAACCTATCTCTCATCAACAGGCACCGGTTCAAACGCCGTGCTCATGCGCTGGGCTGTGGTGATGTGCCAGCATACCCGCACAAGGACCCCATCCTGGGGCTGGATGCCTTCTTCGATTCACTGCGTGCTCTGAGCAGCCACAGTCTCCTTGACCTCTACGCCCAGCGGTTCGCGTCATGTGGCTCTACCTACTCGATGACCGCCCTGGGTAGCTCGGTGCTCGTCACCAACGAGGTGGAAAACATCAAGACCATCCTAGGCACCAACATGGTCGACTGGCCCATCGACGGCCCGCGGCTCTATTGCACACTTCCCGTTCTCGGCCCGAACAGCATCTTCAGCAGCAACGGCGCGGCCTGGCACAAGGCGCGGGCTATGCTTAAACCATCGTTTGTGCGGAACCAGATATCCGATCTCAAGTGTTTTGACCGGCACATTCGCAACATGCTCGCCACTATCCCGGCAGACGGCGTGACATTCGATCTCCAGAGCCTCCTGTTCGACATGACCATGGACTCCTCGACCGACTTCATGCTTGGGCATTCGACCGGCCTTCTGACCCAAGCTTCACCCGCCGCGCAGCGGTTCGTCAGGGACTTTGAGTATGCCAGCCGGGAAAGCGCCAAGCAGGCCCGTCTCGGCCCCGTCCTGCACAAGTTGCCTCACCGCAAGCTCAAGAAAGCCGTGCGGGACCTGCGGGAATATGTTCGATTCTATGTCCACAAGGCGGCGGACGAGAAGAAGAACGGCTCCAAGACCAAAGACCGCGACTACGTGTTCCTCGACGAACTGCTCCTGCAGAACCCCCCGGAGGAGTACACCATCGATCAGGTTCTCTCTGTGCTTGTTGCGGGGCGAGACACCACGGCAACGGCCATGGCGTCTGTCTTCTACTTCTTGGCACGAAGTCCTACTGCGGTGGCCAAACTGAGGGAGGAGATTAAGACCATCGATGGCGAGTACCCAACGTGGGAGCAGTTGAGACACCTAAAGTATCTCAACAACGTCATCAAAGAAGGTTAGCTGTCCTATCTTTTCATTCCCGTTGATTCCCGGGTTCCTTCACTCCAACTCTCCCACCCTCCCACTCTCGCTCTTTCTCTCTTGACCTACAAATCTAACAATGTTTTAGCCCTCCGCCTCTTCAGTCCGGTGGCGACCAATTCAAGGACAGCAGCCAAGGAAACCGTTCTTCCCCGAGGCGGCGGTAAAGACGGCAGCCTGCCGGTCCTCGTCCGCAAGGGCACGCTAGTGCGGTGGTTGAGCCATTGTTTGCACCGGAACAAGGCTGTTTTTGGGCCAGATGCCGATGAATTCCGGCCAGAACGATGGGATGATCTCAGAGTTGGGTATGTGTTACCCTCCCCCTTCCCCCCTCTTCGCAAAATAGCGATCGCCAAGGCGCAGCCTATTGTTTTGCATCTAGTTGCTGAGATTGTCCCTTCTTTTTTTTCTTGTTGTGAAGCTGGGAGTATATTCCATTCAGCGGCGGGCCCCGGATCTGCCTTGCGCAGCAGTTTGCCTTGACTCAGATCGCCTACGCTGTGTTCAAATTTTTCCGGATCTTCCGGTCTATCGAGGCCAGGGATTCGCGGCCCCTCCTGTTGCAGACCAACCTCACGATTTTCTTTCCTTTTGGTTGTTTAGTAAGTGTAGAGAGGGCTTGAGTTGATGACTTGAAACGGCCAAATTAAGTTACGGAAGTTACGACAGTTATGATGCCAAGTTTTTTTATTAACTAGAGGGAACAAGACGGGAATGCACGTAGAAAATGGACATTCATCAGGGTTGGGTTGGCATGGTTGAGGGGCATTGGATGGGATGGTTTTTGTTGATATTCGTATTGCTTATGTTAATGGTAACCGACGTTGAGCGGGCGTTGATTCGCTCGGAAATACCACTTAGACACAAACACAGAAAAAATCCGAAGCCTTTCGACCAACTTGTGGAACAACTCCCCGATCTCTTTCGCGTTTTCGCTGTCCAGGCAATCCATCGTTTTCAGGGGCTCAGCTCGGTTACAGTACCCGCCTATCTCAAAACAGGGGGCTCTCTCATCTCAAGGCTCCTAAATGTCGAACACGGTGCAGCAACAAAAGACGGATTACATACAAGCAGTTGTCAGGCGAAGGAAGATTTCATGATAAAGTTTCAGTCCTAAGTTGAACTGGCGAGATATCGTGGCGTTGCACATAAAATATTTCGGGCAGTTATTGAACCAATCGAGCTGAAGGTGGGTGGAGACAAGACAACGCTTAAAAACACAAAAAAAAGAAACAACAATGCTTAAGGCGGGGAAGGGGGGTGTACCACACTCAAAGTGGCCCGTTTCTCCGATACTCCACGGCGCACTAACTCCGGTGTGCTGTGGTACCTCGAACCATATCGTATGTAGATCGTTACCTCCGAACAAGGAACCGCCCAACCCCCGTATGTTTCATTGTTTCACTGTTTCACTGCCGATTCGGCTTCGGGAGATACCTACTCCTGAATGCATGACCAATGGTGCCCCCAATGACACTCATTCGGCTCCCGATCGTGCCATCCTGCATGCGGCTGGCCAGGGCTTCCTCGAGCGCCGACTGGGTCACCGAAGCGTCTAGATACGGGATGTGAGTCAGTTGTTGCATCTCGAAAAAGTAAAATGTGTTGCCGAGCCAAGCAAGAAGAAACAGAAAAGAAAAGAAAAGAAAAAAGGGGTGTTGAGACTGACCATCCAAATCACTAAAACTGCTCCCCATACTCGGCGTCCCCTCACTCCCTTCCCGAGAAGTCCCCTTCCCTCCCCGCGTACTCGACGACCGCCCAGCGGCCCGCTCCGCCGTCCTTCTCGGCGACAGGGGACCCTGTTGCCCTGCCGTGTTTGTGCCCGGTGGAAGTCGCCGGTTGTTATCCGACGCCCCCGCTGTCGTGGGCCGATTCGGGGACTGCACCACGGCGGCCGACCCGATGGAGGAGTCTGAAGTCTGAGACTGCGACTGGCTGGCGTCGCCTACTGAGCCGTGCCGCTGCCGTTGGTAGGGTCCACGGAGAGTTGCGCCGAGGTCTTGCGCGTAGCCGGCGTTGCCGCTGCTGCTGCTTCTCCTGTGCTGGTGGCGAGTGTTGGCGGTTGGTGTGGCGCTGTTGGCTTGGGGGTTGTAAGGAAGGAATGCGGGCTCGGCGTCGTCGTCTTCGTCATCTTCGTCATCGCCATCGCCATTCCCGCCGCTGTATGGGTGGTTACCACCGCCGCGGGGATCTCTTGATTGTTGGAACCGGGGCGGGCGGCGGATAATGCGGCTTTGGACGGGACTGCCGGAACTTGAGGAGGAAGGAGATGAAGAGGTGGAGGCTGCTGGGCTGGGTGGAGCGGGTTCGGCGTCATCTTGCTGCTGCTGCTGCTGCTGCTGCTGCTGCTGCTGCTGTTGCTGATGGGGTTGTTGCTCTTGTTCCTCTTGTTGCTGAGCGAGCTGCAGCACGCGACGTCGCTGAGGATCACTCAGCCGTGTGGCCGTCCCTGGCCTGCTCCCTGACTGAATCTGGTGTTGCTGGGTTGGCGTTGGAACAGTCGTGTTGCCGGAAGAAGCCCGTGAGCTTCCGGGACGGATAGGGAGGGCGCTTTTGAGCAATGAACTGGCCGGGCCGGGAGGGTTTGGATCTTCCCCATCCCTTAACGGGGTGGCCGTTTCCTTGCGCATGGATAGAGCAGATGGAGCACGAGCATTCCCCAAACTGATACGTCTCGCGTGGTCTAGAGGTAGGATACCTTGCGAGCCGGCACCAGGCTCCCCGCCGGGCACTGGTGAGGCCGTGTTGGATCCTCTGGCAGCGGCGGCCTTCAGCATGTGCGCTTTGAGATGGGAAGTGTGGCGCTCCGTCAGGTAGTTGGCCATCTGGAGTAGGAACTCGACAGAGACGTCAAATTCACCGGCCCTAGCACTGTGTTAGTCCTGGCGCCCCTCATTCTCTGCCCTAAAAGAACGAAACTCACAGCCTAGTCCCTGAGGCGGTTCGTCAGCAAGTCCGTCTCAATATGTCAAATTGAATCGTACTTACAATCAACATTTCCTAACAAGGAATCAGATAAGATGCTCCATAACGCCTCCGACTTCTTTTCGCTCCAGTTTACCTACGCCGAGGAGGCGGACAGGTCAGCCTTCATAAGAAAGAGGTGAGAAGCACAGTGCGATACTTACTGTGCCCGGGTCGACAAAATCGCCGCGGTTAATGGGTAGCCGAATGTAGATATGATAGCTTGGTTCTCGATATTCTTCGGCAGGCGGCTCCTGGCCCCTCCGCCGGTCGGCGCCGGGAAGCTCTTCCCGTTCCCTTGATTCCATGATCTTGTTGTTTGATGAGAAGAGGAGGTTGAAGGGGGTTGCCTGGCCGTGTAAACCAAACACTCTTGGATGCGTGTTGATTGTAAGCGGGTTATGCGATTATGCGGGTGCGCTGTCGTTCATCGAGAAATCAGGTGGTCCGTGCTGGTGTGCGGCTGTGGGGTCTGAGAGCTTGTTGCTGGGTAGATTTGCGTGGGTCCCAGATGCGGCATCCAACACCCGCGTGGGCAGAGCATCTAAAAATTCGCGTCGCATTCACGTTGGACGAAATCGACAAATACAGTCAGGCCTCATTTGTTGCGCCGAGCTATTCACAGCACCCAGCACTGCAACTTTTCCTTGAAATTTTTTGGCAGGGTCCCCGCTCGCAATTTTATTGGTTGCACGTTTCTTAGTCCTTACCGACTCTCGCGGTTGTCAGCAATGGCCCCGTTGATTCTTCACAGCGTACCCGAGGAGGAGCTCTACGTAGGCGACGACGGTATCAAAAGGCCCTACGCGATGGTTTTCCCACAGTATGTCTATCCTATTTTATCATGGTATTGTACCCGGGACTAATTTTGATGTTTGCGCATCTAGGCAAGATGGTTCGCTTCGCTCGAGGAAGATCACGCACGAGACTGGGGCGTTTGGCAAGTCGACGCGCCGAACAAGAACCAAGACGGCCACACCCGCGAAACGAGAAGACCCCACGTCCGTAGCTGCAGATAAGATCTTTGGCGCCTGGGTCGCGAATCGGACGCAGAATGCGGCTCCAACGAGCGCGCCCACGACGGGGCAACGGAGACCAACACTCATTCCTTCGACGTCGTCTCAAAACCTTTCACAAGCCCAAGACGAAGGCGCGGCGCCTGCGGAGTCCCGGTATCGCAAACGGGAGCCGACCGAGCTCATCTTGCGGGGATACCGCTCGACCGAACAGCAATACGCCGTCCTGAACCGCTACGAAGAGCTCGCCGGCCGGATATGCGAAGACTATTCGCGCGAACCCCCTGTTGAGAGCCGTCGCTACAAGTCGGAGCTCCGCGATCCCGCATTTACGCGCCGGCGCCCACTGACTCCCGAGGAGCGCGCCAAGGTCAACAAGGCGGCTAACGGGGAGCACTGGGTGAAAGTGACGTTCGAGTCGGCCGAGGCAGCCGAGGCCGCCATCTTTTCCTCGCCACAAAAGATCCTCGGCCATCTGGTATACGCCGAACCATACCACGGGATCCCACCTGTTCAAGATGAGGCTGTCCCAGACCCGTCCACCTTTGGCAGCGGGATACATCGGACGTCATCACAACATAAACGAAACTCCCGAGTCCAGTTCGGCTTCGGCCGTCAAGCACAACAATCGGAGGCGGTCGACCTGTCGCCGCCACGGTCACAAATCTCTTCTTCTCTTACGGCCGACACGATGACGGTGGACTCAACAGCGGACAGTGGCGCCTCCTCGAATACCGTCGTCGGAAGGGCAGCCGGCGTGGGGGGGCAAGACCCGGACTTTGCTCTTCCAAGGGCGCAAGACAACCCCGACAACGATTTCTGCAGGACTATCCCAACCGCGCGCAGGGCCAAGCTCCTACCGATGGAACAGGCTCTTCTACCAGCGCCTTCGTTAACGCAGCGCCTCGCCAACCATGTTCCCTTCCTCATGTGGTTCAGCGGCGCCATGATCGGGAGCGAAGTGCCGCGCACGGAGCTCGGGGAGTTTGACTGGAACAGGGCCAGCCTGTACTGGAAGTTGATGTGGTGGTTGGATGTTCTGCTGGGGCTATTTGGAGGCGAGATTCGGGATGCGGATAAGGACGACTGAGAGGGAGCGACCAGCCTCGAGATTTCTTTTTTTGTTCTCCCTTACGCATCAAGTTACGTACCCACCGCAACATGCCTCTTTCTTTTGTGGCCAGGAACCTTCGGCTCGGGGATCTCACGTTAGGGGAGCGGGGTATATGGTGGTCTTTTGGCAGGCGCCTTTTTCGCAGCATTTTCTGGACGACGGACGGATTCAGGCGGTCCCGTAAGGACAAGTTGTTTATTATGTGACACTAGCGTGGGTTAAATATAATTCTCCATGACCGAGATGACTTCTAATTGCACAACCCCAACTCCCACGATCCCATGCACATTATTGTTGCAGTGAGACGTCTACATTGCCGAAAACCGAAGCCTACCCTACAAGCCTTCCAAAATTTCCACAAGTTCACGGCACCGTATTCATCTAACTGTTGATGGACCGTTGGTCGGTCGTATCGCTCCATGTTCCCTTCCGTGGCTGTGTGTGCCCCGGGCTTGTGCCGGCTTTGTCTTGCCCACCATGGTCAGACGATCCCCGGCGTAACCCCTCGTTGCGCCATGGATGGTCATCATCGTCTTCATCCTCGTCCTCGTCCTCGTCCTCTTCATCGTCATCTTCCTCATCTCCCTCATCCTCCTCGCTCTCTTTATCTTCCCCTTTATTCCCGCCCTCTTCCGCTCGGTCGTCATGGCCATCTTCCACGGCACAATCTTCATCAGCCTCTGCTATATCTTCATGCCCACGACAGCCACCATCATCTTTCCTCAAAGCGGACGTCGACGATGATGCTCCCGCAACTTCGTCTTGAATACCCCCCAGCAGATCCATCGGGTTCAGCTTCAACGGCTGCGGCTGTGGTGAAAACGGCCGGACATTCCGCGAGCGGTTGAACTCGGTGGTAGGAAAGACACTATCAGTATCACCGCGGTCCCGGCCCCTCGACACAGCGCTTGCAAGGCTCTGGTACCGGTCCGAGTCCCCCACCAGCAGACTATCAGACCGCGTCTCCTTGCCGGTAGAGACCCCTCCACCACCGCGCGCCGTGTCCGACCCGGAGTTGGTATCCGCTAATATGCTCTTAGGCGGCAAGATACTAAACAGCTTCGTCCCATCCCCCCCAGCGACCCCAAAACCCCCGCTCCCACTATTATTATCCCCCCCAATGCCCCCCTTCCCATCCGAACCCATCCCTCCGGTGAGGGGATCCTCCATCTCAGCAGCGAACAAATCCACCCCCCGCTCCAACACATCCTCCAACCCACCCCCCGTCCACCCCTTCCTTGCCAAACTCTCAAAAATATCCACCTCCGCCCTGACCAACGAACAACTCGCATCCACAATCCTCCCACTCGCCTCCTGACTCTCCCTCAGTAACGTCCGCGCATGCTCCCCATGCAACACCGTCAACCCATCCAACTTCCCCGTCAACTCCACCAAATGACTCCTCAACTGCCCTACATCCCTCCGTCGCTGGCGATTCATCATCTTCACCCCGTCCCGCTCTAACCGGCGGATCTCGCGCGACTGGGTCTCTACCGCGCGCGTGTAAGATTCTTCCTCGTCGTCGACGCCTGCGCGCCATTTGTCGAGGTCGTGGAGGAGGGGCACTTCGAAGGCGCGGTAGACCGTTTCGGAGAGAATGTGTTGGTGGTTGGCGATTAGGAGGTGTAAGCCCGCGGTGGTGAGCAGGGCGTCGGCTGTGCAGGTGCTTTGGGGGGCTATGAAGCTGTTGCTCATGCTCATGTTCATGTTCATGGCTGCTGTCGGTGGGGGGCCACCCCCAACACCACCATTATGGCTACCGCTGCCGGCGCCGGGAGGTGGGGTGGTCAGTTCAGCGCGGGCTTCTTTCAGACGGGCGCAGGACTCGAGAGCAGCGCCGAAGCTGGAGGCGGCGGTGGATAAGGAAGCGAGGGCGAGACGGTAGGCTTTGGCGCTGGCGAGGAGGTCGGAGTAGGCGGCTTGGGAGTTGGCGAGGTCGGCTTTGGTGAGGACGGCGTGGGACGGGCGGGGCGGTGGAGGGGGCGGGAGGTTGTATTGTGAGAGGGGGTTTGCGGTTGAGGCGTAGGAGTAGGTTGGGCTGGCGGGAATCGGGGGGAGTTGGGAGGGGCTTGGGGAGGGTGGTGAGTTTGCTGCCATGATGGGTCGGTGGGTGGTTGTGTGTGTTGTCGAGAAACGTAGGTTAGGTTGGGTCGTGGGATCGTGGGATCGTGGGATCGCGGGATCGCGGGATCGGGATGTCGGAGGAAACGGGAGTTTTGTTTACTTTGCGCAGAGAGGAGTCGCGATAAGCAACAGCAGGGTCCACACAGATCTTCGGTCCAGCCGTGGGGATCACCACTCAGCAGAGGCGAAGCTCGCACTCAGGAAGAAAGAGAAGGAACAAAGAAAAAGAGCTTGCAAGTTGTCGATGCATTCCGCCATCTCTGGAATGACGAGACGAAATTGTGCATAAACCTGGCTTGGACTTGCCTGCGGGCGCCCATGTGATGCAGGCCAGGCCAACAGCGGCACAGCAGCACACACCACAGCGGACCTCTGCCAGCGGGTCTCGTGCGTGCCAGGCGTGTGGCCACTGTCACCACCCTTGTCCGCCAAGCCGATTCGGCACGATACGGCGGTGCAAAACACAGGGCCGTCCAGTTACTTGGCAGCACCATGGACGCCGATGACTGGAGGACTGGGCATCAACAACACACACATTCACTCACCACTTGACGCATTGTGGTTGGATTTGACAGATTTTAGCACCCAAAGTCGCAGATCAGGCATCTATCTATCTCTACGATCAGGTATTCCGTAAACACCTAGAGCGCCTGCACAACACTGCAAAGCGCAAGGTGCATTGAATCCCCTCCCAGCCTGATGACAAAACAAACGTGGTTGGACTAGAGCTCGGATTTGCCCTCGTTGCTATTGCCCACGGCTGGCAACCGTTCTTTGAGGAAGGCTTCGACGTCGTCTAGTTCCTCCAGGCATGCCGAGTGCTCCAAGCCTCTGATGAGGAAGTCAGTAAAATGAAGAGATGAAGGGAATTGAACGAAAATAACGAAAAATGAAGATAAAAACAAAAAGAAAAAAAGCAGACTCACGGATATTCCTTCCGCGAAATGGAGTACCCCAACCCCTTCAACAAGTCAAACGACAGCCTCCCCAACGCCGTAGGCACCACCTTGTCCAAGTCGCCATGGCCCATAAAGATAGGTGTCTCCTTGTTAAACTCAGGCTTGGGCACCAGCTCAGCAAACTGGAGACTCAGCAGCAGCCACGAGGAAAGCGCAACGATGCCGCCGAGCCTCACCTTGGACGTGAGGCCGGCGTAGATGCTCATGGCGCCGCCCTGGCTGAAGCCGCCGAGCACGATCCGCTCGGCGGGGATCCCGGCTGCGATCTCATTCTGGATGAGCTCGTGGATGTACGCCTGGCTTAGCGTGATGCCGTCTTTGTCCTCCTTTTCGCGGAGGGAGTTGATGTCGCCGTCGAGTTTGTACTGGAGCCTGTCAGTACTTGCGACTAGTGAGCCCTGCTAACGGAAGGATCCCATCATAATTGTTGATTGGTAATTAAACAACTGCAATAAGAAGTGAAGAACCCACAATATCAAACCACCCCGGCATCCTCATCCCCCAGTTGCAAGTAATAGGAATGGCCGGCGCATGGGGCAGGATGAACTTGACCTCATCCAGGCGCTGGCGCCGGCGCCAGTTCTCTACCGCACCGGCCCAGCCATGGCCCGTATCTCCGAGGCCGTGGAGGAAGATGACGGTTGCGGTGTGCCGCGCGGTTGCCGGAAACAGCAATGGGGGGGTGCGTGAGAGGGACGACATGTTTAGACTGGACTCGACAGCAGGGAATCCGGGTCAAGGATTCTCCAGGTTAGGAGTTAGTTAGTTCTCGGGTGAACGACCTGACGGGTCGTCGGATCCGAGCAATCTTTGTTAACAGCTGGGAAAGCGGGGCTCAGGCGCTGGCCGAGGCCCCGAGTCTCCGAGTCTCCAGGGGCTCGCCAGCTGCTGTAGTTCAGCGGCTCAGCGGCTCAGCGGCTCAGCGGGCTGGGCTTCGTAATCAGATGAGAGGGTTAGGGTATACCGCGCGCTTGAGTGGGCCAGTTTCAACATCAGAGATGGAGTTGTTTAACAACAATTACCAAATGCTTACCGAGCCTAGACCCAGAGCCGCGCGCGATTCCAAAGCATGAGACAGTTCTTCGGGTTTGTAGGCTGGAATGAACCATAAAGTGTCCACAAGCAAGGGAAGGAGGTAGCGGAAGGATACATATTCCGATGAATTGAGTTGTCATGTTCAGGCTGTGGACGCTGAGACACCCCGCTGTGTTCATTCTTTCGTTCATCATCCTCATCGTGGCTCTCTTCAGTTCATCGTCTTTCCGGGCCAGGGCCCTACCGGCGTTTCGTACTCAGATCAATACTTACTTGTCTTTCAAAAACGCTCAACCGATTCACACGATGGCGAAAGCACCAGTCTATTTCTTTAGCCATGGAGGGGTAAGTGTTAACTGAGTACAAAGCACATGAATTCCCAAACTTACAGCACCTTTACTGAGCCAATGTAGCCCAATGTCCAGTACGACACGAAGCACCCGGCCTACTCGGTCCTACAATCCATCGGCAAGGAGATCACGCAAAAGGTCAAGCCCAAGGCGGTTGTCGTCTTTTCCGCCCACTGGCAGGCCGAGCCCAACAAGATCCATCTCAACAATGCCGTCGACACCGACCTGATCTACGAGTAAGCCCCTTCCCCCCCTTTTTTACGCCTTTTCTTTCTCCTTTTTTACATGTTTTTGGTTTCATTCCTGCGTAAAATACTGACAATCGACCAGCTTCTACGGCTTCCCTCCCGAGTTCTACAAAGCCACCTTCCCCAGCAAAGGCAGCCCAGAACTCGCCTCCCAAATCCTCTCCCTTCTCTCCTCCGCCGGCATCCCCGCCTCGGGCCAAAAGCGCGGCCTCGATCACGGCGTCTTCTCCGGCTTCAACGTAGCCTTCCCCCCCGACACCAACCCCCTCACCTGCCCGCTCGTGCAAGTCTCCCTCTTCCACAGCGAGGACCCCAACGCGCACTACCGGCTCGGCCGCGCCGTGTCCGCCCTCCGCGACGAGAACATCGTCATCATCACCACGGGCATGACGGTGCACAACCTGCGTGATATGCGCTTCGCCATGGGGAGCCCCACGCCGCTGCCCTACGTGGTGTCCTTTGACGAGGCGCTCAAGGAAGCGGTCGAGGCGGATCCGAGCGTGAGACAGGAGAAGATGGCGGCTGCGGCTGCGCGGCCGGATGCGAGACAGGCGCATCCGTGGATGGATCATTTGATGCCGGTGTATGTGGCCGCGGGGGCCGCGGGGGAGGATAGGGGGGTGCAGACGTGGACGTTGCATGAGAGTAGTTTTGCTTGGGGGCAGTATCGGTTTGGGGAGGTGCCTGCTTGATCTCATCTCTGCGTTCAAACAGCTTGGTGGGCGTCACTTGGCAGGACCCTGAAGGGGGTTGTTTTGAAGTGTTAGGCATTAAGCAAGCTTGCTATGCTCTTGTCTAGCTTCTATACGCCGAATTGGAACCTTTTTGGATCACCCATGGCCTATAACGGCCTCTATACCCTGTCCCTCCTAACCTTACACCACTGACGGTGTCTCTTGAAAGACACCATGTCCACCAGATAGCCCCCTAGTTTTCCCATCTTCCATTCCCAACGCAGGTACTGAATAACCATCCTCACCGATGGCCTCCAGGTTTCCGCCGAGTTCATCGCAACGCCACGAGTGGCCCGAGTCCCAGCTGGCGGTTAGATGACAGTGACAACAGTGTCATCCACCAACCCCGAAACATCCCCGAGAAACAAGCTCGCGACCACCGACACCCCCCCAAAGGCGACACTACAATAGTACACCCACGGGTACGCGCGAGCGTACACCTCCTGCCCAACCTTGACCAGCTCCGCCCAGATATCCTCATCCACTCCCGGCAAGAACCGAATCTCCCTCACCAACGAAACCGCCGTCAACTCAATGACCTCCCCGACCACCTTCCGGTCCGTAATCCCCATCCGCGCACACGCCACTGTCAGACTGGCGTATAACTCCGGCACCAACCTCTGCACAAACACATTAAAATAAACCGCATACCCCACCGCGCCCCCCACAATCCTCACCGCAATCGTCAACGCCGTCACCGTCGCAATGACCTCACCGCCAGGACACAACAACGTCGCGAGCGTCGACACCGGGATCGTGATTCCCCCCACGCCCAACCCGGCCACAAATAGCACAGGGTACACGACGGTGTGTAGGTTATGCGGATTTGGGGTGGCAAGGGCGAGGCAGCCGCAGCCGGCGGTCATGAGGCAGGAGGCGAAGAGGAGGAGGAGGCGGGTGTGGCGGGCGCGGAGGAGGGAGAGGAGGGTGAGGGAGAGGAGACAGCCGGTGAAGACGCCGAAGGCGAAGGGGAGGCCGCGGAGGCCGATGCCGATGGGACTTTGACAGAGCAAATCAGGGTTAGATATGACCCATCGAGCAAGATATGAGGGAGGGTAAGGGGGGAGGGGGACGTACTCGTGTCCGTAGACGTTATAAGCCTCAGGCGGCCAGAGCAGGAGCACAGAAAAGAAGTTGGCGCCCGAGATAAAGGTGATGACCATGGTCAGGGCCAGGGTGCCGGGTGCCTTGCTCAGGTTGCGCGGGACCATCGGGTGGGCGGCGCCCCAGAGTTCCCACGCCACAAAAGCGACGAGGAGGGCGAGGCCGATGATTAGGGGGGCTAGCACGCGGGCGGCGGTCCAGGGGTACTACCGTTGTCAGTCTCCAAAGATAGTGGGTTGTGAAAGGGAGAAAAGGTACCTGATATCCCCCACCGAGAATCCCAACCTCAAACCCAGCCAACCCTCCAATCGACAACAACCCCCCGACCAAGTCCGTCCTCCTCAGCAAAGCCTTCCTCTCCCCCCACGTCCGCGGGCGCGCATGCAACGGCGGCGGGGGCGTATAAAACAACGCGGTAGCCACCAGTCCCAGAAACGTCCAGACAGTAGTCAGCACGGCAATATACCGCCAGTTGGCGACCGACGCGATCAGCTGGGCGTACATGGCGGATGGGAGGAAGGGGAGCACGGTCAGGACCATGCCGGCGATGTAGTAGCCGCGCCGGGAGAGGGGGACGAGCTCGGCGGTGCCGGCTAGGGCGGTTAGTTCGTTGATGCCGGTGCCGATGCCGGTGATGGACATGCCGGCTATACGTACACGTCAGTTCCTTGCTTTTTCAAAGATGTAAAAGATGGCACAGAAATAACAAGAGTTGGGCTGAGAGAGAAACATACCGATAAACATGTCCATGCTATGGGCCGCGCCGCAGAGGACCTGGCCGAGGATGATGGTGATGTTGCCGGCGATGGCGACATAGCGGCGGCCGAAAAGATCAGACAGCGCGCCGACGAAGGGCGAGATGGCGGCCGTGGCCAGCAAATTGGCGGTGATGGACCAGACCCAGTAGCCGGCGCCGCCGAGGTCGCGATAGATGTACACGGGGGCGCTGGCTATAATTTACAATGCAGTTAGCAACGCTTCTGGTCTGAGAGAAAACACCAAGAGAGGATAGAAAGAGAGCAAGAAAGAGAGCAAGAAAGAGAGGGAGATAATCTTACCAAACAGATACAATGGTGCCTGGGCACTCGTCCACATAAACGCCAGCGCAACCAAAGCCAGCCAGCGGTTGACACGGCTCTACACTGTCGTCAATAAAAACAAACCCACAACATCCCACATCCCCCCCAAGCATAGAACCGAAGAACAAAACAAACAACAAACCTTGCGTTGACCCTGCTGATGACCGCCGCCCTCCTCAACAACGCTGCTCTCACGACGGGACATCATATCCGCCGAAGTTCTGACGTGAAGTTCCATGCCGTCGCCGCTATTATTACCATGTTCGTCCACCTCGCCGCCAGAGACATTGTTATGATTATTGGTGTCGGTCTCTTTTTTGGCCACGTCTGGGCGACGGAATGGCCACCCCGAAAGTCGGATGGAAGGCAGAGGCGACATGCTGAAGTCTCTCCTCTTTTTCCGGGCCTTCTTCTTCTTCTGGTTCTTCTGGTTCTTGTCCTTTGTTGTCTTGACTTTGTCTGGGTCGTTCTGTTTCTATTGTTTTGCTTGCTCGCTTACTTGGTTTCTTTTCGTCAGGTAGCTTGTCTTGTCTTGTTTGTCCTGCACCCGGCCGTAAGCTGTCTCTGCCCTGTACCATGTTGAACTCCGCGGGAACTAGCCTTATGGAAAGCACAAACCAGGAAGAGGAACGGGCAAAAAGAAAAGGAAAAAAGGGAGTTTAGGCGACTTACCTGTGCTATGTCGGGCTACGACTGGCTGGCTTGTTGGTCGGGCTGAATATATTGGCTTCCTGTAGTGTGATGGTCCGATAAGGCGCCACTTCGTGTTGTGTGCTTCGTGCGCCGGTCCTAACTTGGGGGGAGACGCCAGGAAAACAAGTTGGGTTAGGGAGAATAAAATAAATTTGTGCGTAGTTTTTCCGAAGGGGGTTCCTCTCTCCTGGAAATTATCGCCTGATTTCTACGACAGAAACCCTCGGTGGTGTGAAGACTCCTGTAGAGGCAAGAACGGTTCCAAAGCCCAAGAACATGCCCTCACTATCTCCAAGGACCGATAACACCGGTGCTGGTCTAAGAACTTGCCTCAAGAAGAAGGTGGATGCATGTCATGTCATTGTCGGGTCAGATCCGAGACACAGAAGAGCCCTCTCGAGGCTGCTCGGTGGACGGATATAGTACCTGCATACAAGAGAAACCACCAGGGGGCACAATAGGGCCGGTCCTCGTTGGATCTCGATCGGCACATTGCCAACACCACAGCCAAAGAGCCGCTACCATACAGAGAGAGAGAGAGACTAGGAACTAGGAACTGGGAACTGGAAGACTGGGAACTGGAAGACTAGGAACTGGTTGTGCAGAAATCTCCACTGCACGACGAGAACGACAAGCGTGCGAGCTGAACCACCTCTCACACAGACACAGACACAGGCCAGACCCAGCTCCAGGCAGTAAGTTGCTTGTCTGTCTCAGCCAGATGTCTTTCTCAGCAGCATGTCATCTGCATTCCTACCTACCCCATTTCCCATTTCCCATTTCCCCTCAGCCAGCATATGTCTCGACCCCGGATGGACAGGACAGGGCAGGCCTGATGCCATGCGTCTGCAGGGTTGTTCGCTCGGTCCAGAATACCTAGCCCCTGGGTTGGTGGTACAGGTTTTCCATTCCACGCGGCTAGGCTTGTCAATCCCTCGGTTTGCCTTTCCCTACCCAGCTTCGAGAGAGTAAAAACGCCGAACGGCTAGCTCAGATGACGAGACTGATTTCCCAAAAGGCAGGAAGTAAAACCAGAACCCGAGCCGGAAGATGTCCGCGGCTAGCTACCTACCTTACCTTACCTTCCTTACCTACCACTCACCTCGGAAGCCAGAAGCCAGCCCCGGCAAGCAGCAGGTCGAGGTAACACACAAAGCGGCTGCCGGCTGCATCCCTGTTGCCCTTGGTAGTACAGCAGGGGTGGGAATCGATCCGGTACGTGCGAGACAGCCATTTCGGAGGTGGATAGATTCCGGGGTCTAAGTGGATGGGCCTGGGAAGAGAGGGAGGGCCAGAGAAGAAAGGGGAGAGGTGTTGGGCATCTAAGACAGGTGTTGGGTTGGTGATACCATGCCTTCATACTAATTATGTGTTGTGTAAGTGATGGTAGTGTGGAAGGGGTATCCTTGTTCCATGTCTATGTTCCTGGAGGATAGGGTAGAAGAGCTGAGAAATGGTTGCAACCAACAGACCAACACGCATAAAACAAGCTTATCCAAACCTTTACTATGGTTAAAAGCGGCCCGATAGACTCGTCGGGCCGCGAAGAGACCGGGAAGTGGCCGAAGACTAAGGTCAAACTTTTGAAATAGCACATTCTGAAATAGCACATTCTAAAATAGCAAAACAAAGTGTGATGACCTTCACCGCTCACATCATCGCCAGTGTGTTTTCATGCGGTCTTCCGGAGATTTCGACGGCAACCCGCGGTCGTGGCACGTCCATGCTCTGCATATCGGAATGGGGTATTCCCATTGTGGATGTGGCGGGCATTAAAGTCGCATCCGACGGGATATTGTTGGTGGGTTCCGTGGCCTGGGGTATCTTGTTGGATGCTATCTCGTTCTGGGTTTCCTCGTCGGTAAGTCTCTTGTTGGATGTGTAAGGCAGCGAGTCTTTTATATTATCTGATTCCGTGTGTCCTTGTCGGCAAGTCTGTTGTTCGATGTCAAGTCATCCTCAGAATTTCTCGTGAAATGTGGCAGTAAAGCAACAAGAGACAACCAGAATATTGCGATAGACAAATAAATTATAGATAGCAAGACCCGTCAGAGCCAACAAAAGAAGTCGAAGTCGGCTAGTACAACGTAAAAAGAAACTCAATAAAAGAGACGTGCGCTCTCCAAGCTAGGCCCGTTCCGAGCCATGGTATCAAATACCGATATCCAAAGAGTTGGTACAATAAACAAACAAAATCCAAGCCCAAGTGGTATCCCAAAACGCCAGCCGGCCACCAAATAACTCTTTCCTCCACAAATACACGTTCAACTCACTTTACCTTTTGCCCCTTACTTCTTAGAGGTCATATTCATCTTCAGAATAAACCCCCAAACAACCCCCCAAAACACTCATACCCAAAAAAACCCCTGAGACCAACTACAAAGCATAATTCTCCGTATGCAAAAAAATCTCCTCCAGCATCTCATCCCCCCAAATCTCCGCCTGCAACCTCGCCACCGTCGTCGCCACACCAACCCTCATAGCCGGCGGTCCACAAACAAACACCGCCGTCCTCCGTCCCAAAATCCCCCTCCCCTCCGGCCCCCCCGTAGCCCACTGCTTCAGCATATACCCCAAGTCTGGCCGGCCGTATTCCACGCTCCATCCGCTGTCGGCATCAATCTCGTGCGGGATGGGGAAGGCGAAACGCATCAGGGAGCGTTGGAAGTCGGTGGGGGTTTCGGGGAAACCGAAGTCGAAACCTGCTGGGGGGCCGCCGCCGCCTATGGTGCTGGTGGGACGGGGGCGGGTGAAACCGTTGGTGGTGTTGGGGACGTTGGTGCGGAGGTGGGCGAGTTCGGGGGGGCGGAGGTCGTTGTTACCCTCGGTATTGCCTTCGGGGTTGTTGTTGGTGTTGTTGTTCTGTTCACCCTCCTGGTCGTAATGCCCCCCCTCGGCATCAGTCGTAGGCTGTTCCTTGACATCAACCGGGTAGTCCGCTTGGCCTTGACCTTGACCTTGACCACCACCACCGCTGTAAGCACCACTGTGACGCGGCTCGGCAGCGGCTTCGGACAAGATCTGGCTGTACCGCTGTCTACCCGCCGGCGGTGCATAGTTAAAGTGCGGGGTGTTCCCATCAGCGCGCGAGGCACCGAGGGGCGGGAAATGGAACTCGCCGTCACTCTTTTTACTCTGGTGGTGGCTGCCGGATGAGGTAGAAGGAGGAGCAGCAGCGGCAGGAGCAGCTCCGCGGCCTTCGAGTTGACGGAGTGCTTCCTCGGCCGGGGTCAACCCGCTGTTACCCGGCGGTGGACCGGGCGGTGCCGGTGGGATGGTATGTGGTTGGAGATACTTTTGCTGCGGCAGCGCTGTAATGCGGTCCTCGTCTTCGCGCCGCAGTTCCTGTTCACGGTCTGGATCCCCCTGCGCCTCGGCCGCGATGAAGGCGCTGTTGCGCTTGCTCGCGATGCCCGCGACGAACCCGTCCAGCTTGTCGTGGAACAGGTTACTCAGGGGCCGGGGCGCGCGGCCTTGGTACCCGCTTGCGGCTCCCGGTGCCTCCTTGTGTCGCACCGAGGAGGTAACAAAGAACTTGCAGGTGACGCTCTCGGGCGGAGCAGCCTCGCGGCAGATGCGCAGTTCCTCGCGGAACCAGTCCATAGCCTCGAGGCGTTTGAGGGCCCAGACGACCACGATCTTCTTGGTAATGGCTTTGCCGTCGCGCATGCGCTTGATGAGGTTCAGCAGCTGCGACATGAGCGAGGTGATGCCGCTGCCGCCGGCGATGAGGATGCAGGTATCAAACGCGGCCAGCTCGCGGCGCATGCCACCGTAGGGACCGTCGAGAAAGGCCCGGTAGGTGTGGAAGGGCCCCTTTTCGATGGCCGTCTCGAGCACCCGGCGAGTGAAGCCGCCGTAGGGGCGGAACACCAGCACACAATCACGGTACGCCTCGCCGTACTCGGAGGGGAAATCCTCGCTGCACAACGACGAGATGGTAAAAGGGTGATTCTCCAGCAGTGAGATGCCCGGCATGCGCAGGTAGACGTACTGACCCGGCTTCCAGCGCATCTGGGTCGGGATGGTGATCTTGATGGCGTTCTCGGTCATGATGTTGATGGCGGCCTCGTCGCCAACCAGCCAGGCCATGCGCCAGGGTCGCACCCAGTTGAGGTTCCAGAGCCGGTAGATATTGCACAACACAATAATGCCCGCCGACGCGCCTAGGTAGCCCCACGACATGAGGAAATTCTTGGTGTGCCAGAACAGCACGCCCACGTAGATGTACCCCACGGGCGCGTGCAGCAGCGAGAACAACTCGTATGCCGTACGCCGCAGGATGGGCAGCGACCCCACGCAGAGCCAGCACAACGGCACGAAGCACGCGATGCCGGAACCGTAGATGATCATGCCGCTGTCGGGCGGGAATAGTGTTTGGAACACCTGCATCCCGCCGTCCTCCCACACCGGCTGGATGAAGAAGGGCACCATGTGCACCAGCGACATGAACAGGCACAGGTACGCCAGCCAGCGGTGGAACACGTTAAGACGCTCCGGGCCGATCCCCGTGATCAACGTCAAGACGTTGGCCTTGGTGCTAGTGGCCACGATCCAGGGGGTCATGGCGACGGCGATCATGCCCGACCGAATCGCCAGCGGAGGCGACCCGAAGCGGATGCTCTGCCAGTACAGCGGCTGCTGCAGGAAGCAAAACACCGTCACGAACGAGAGCGCGATGAACACGCAGAACAGCACCGCCAGCGAGCTGAACGTGAACCGGAACTTGGTCCCCGGCACCACCACGTCTGGGATGGGGCGGTAAAACACCCATCGGAACAGCGCCAGCGTGTCGTTGACGAACCCGACCGAAGAAAAGTGCGCCCGGGGCTTGAACTTTTGGTCCTCCAGTCCTCCCGACCCTGGCTGTGGCGCCTCATCCGGAAAGAAATGCCGATTCGAATCGGCGATCGTGGCGCCCGTCGCGAGCGCCGCAGACCGATCCCACCCGGGGTCGAGCGAGTACAGCGCCTGGAAGTGCTCCTCCATCTCCTGCTTGTAGATGGCCTGCCGAATCTTGTCCTGCCAGTAGTGCCACACCCGCATCAACACCGCCAGCAAGCCGATCGCCAGCGCAAAATACGTCCATCCCAGCCCGTACTTGCCCGACTCCGTCCATGGGTCCAGCGTGAGCGCCTGTACTAGGCCGGGTGGGCTGTTGGGCGCGAGCGGGATGTTGATTCGTTTTGTGAGATGCGCGAGAGTGTCTGAAGCAGCGTCGACTGCGCTGCGCAGCGCCGGTGGTATTTGCGCCGCCATTCTGTGTGTTTGTGTATGTCTGCGCCTGTGTCTATGCCGTGTTGTGGTACCGTCTGGTCTCCGTAGACACCGCCGTGTCGACGGCACCGAAGCGCGTGTTGTGCCAAGTCTGTCTTGGGTCTTGCCGTCGAGATTCAAGATGATGATGATAATGATAATGCCAAGGGTGCTGGTGCAACATCCATTGAAGAAAGAAACAAAAAGCTAAAAACAGGAAGCGATGTCGACAAGCCGGGAAGGAACCGTAGAGAGAGAGTGGATGGGCGGGAGGGAAACGCGAGAGAGGGGCACGGAGATACAGCTTTGCGCAACAGCCCCTGTCCTGTCTCTTGACACAGGTTGTGGTGTCTCTGAGAGTCTGCGCTGCTTGCCAAAAGGGTGAGATGAATTTGGCCCCAATTCAGCTGATTGGCGCGCGAAGCTGCGGGAGGATGGGGGCGGGTTTCTCTTCCCAAGCACGTCTCTGGCGTGGCTATCGTTAACAAGTCGAGTTCTTCAGTGAGCCTGTCCGAAAACTGACGGAAACTTCCTCAAAACAATGGCGAAGGCAATCGAGTCCCCGCGCCGAGCTGAATCTCCCGGCTGAAGATGCGCAGAGCAAGGAGGAGGCACACCCGTCAAAAGGTGACGGCGGCTGTGCCGGTGCTTTAATAATATTGGACGAACCGAGCTGCACGGGGGCACATCCGTATCACACACGAGCCGAGCGGGCGGCGGATTTAACTAGGGAACTGAGCTGCGAGCTGCCATAGAGAGAGAAACCAACAACCGAATCGGCAGGGACAAGATCGGGAAGCGATTTCTTCTCCTGAACAACCGTTCCGGTAACGTTAGAACTACGCTGCGTGCTGCACAAGCGGGCGCTAGGCCGCGAGAAAACGACCGGCTCGACCGGGCTTTACTCCCGAAGCCAGCGATCTGCGAGTTCTTTTCCCTGGTGTTGCACCAACGGCCCGGGGGACACGCGCATGCCGCAACGTGCGGACAAGGGAATCTCAGACAGTCCAGACTTTTAGCTTGTGCTGCGTATCGTCCGCCGTAAACCCGGATGAAATCAACAAGCAAAAAAGATGCGCGAACGAGCACCCACAAGGCGCATGATATTTGTCCCCCAAAAACCTGTCAGATGAGGTAACGTGCCCCTAACACACCTCGTCCAGTGAGAATCGCAGAAGTCGATATCTGCAAGTCCCGAGGACCAGGCCGGCCCACCGATGTGACCGCCTGCCTGACCCTTTCAACCATCCAGAGACCAGCCCGAGGCCGAGCCAGCTTCCACTCAGGTCGCTCGCTGCAGGAACTGAGCAAACTCAACTGGCGAACTGCCCAGTGCGATTGTGCAGTCCTTCCCCGCTCTCCTCAAGCGACCGAGGAGGCGACCTCATCCAGCAACCGCGGGGGATTTCTCATGCAAGACGGCATTGTGATTTCTCGCGAGGCCCCTCCCAATGCAAAGGTCCAAGTGTCGAATCGCGTTCGAGAATCGAGGTGATGGGTTGAGATGCGGTCGAGGGTCTTGGACGAGTCAAAAGCCGCGAAGGCGTTGAATGAACCAGGGACCAGTCCAAGCATGGACAAGCATGGACAAGCTCACAAGCCAGGCGAACCAGTGTGGAGAGCCCGCTGAAAGAATAGCGAACGGGGGGCTGCCGGCTTGCAGGGGGTCAGGCGGTAACAACGGCGCGTTCATTGGCTCCCGGGCTCTCCCGCATTTTCCCTTTGGTCTGTGTCTTTGCCGTTTGTGGTTGATGGTCTGCAGGGGACGCGGAGTGGGGTTTTTGATTCTTCAGTCGGACAGCGTCGTGCCTGAGTTCCAGAATGTCTTTGTTCGCGAGCGTTACACTGACGGGTACACTTTCGTACAACATATCCCTTTCGTGATGCGCCGACTGGTGGATACGGATCGGAGATGTCGTGCATCACATTGAACCATTGAAACCCATGCGCCTAACAAATAAAAAGGGGACCAAAGACTCATCCCATTGCTTCTTTTGCCCCGACACACTGGTTCGGCCGCACCTTGTAGCCGCCCGGAACTGTGATTCGGGGCAATAGATTGTGTGCCGAGCACCTGACGCCCCCTTTTGTGGCCGCCGCCGGTATCGTCATGTCATGTTGGTTACGAAGTACAACCTGTTGTTCCCCGAGACCGAGTCACGCGTTGACAGGAGAAAGTGTTAGGGGCTTTCGCTACTCGACCAAGATGGAACATTTGTAGAAAGGGAGTCGTAACTGAATAGCTAGACATGCCTTCAACTAGTTCTCAAGAAGCCCCATCTTCTCCCGATCAAAAATCAAAGCATCCACATCCACACTAGTGTCCCGACCCTGCACCATCTCCGCCAACACCCGTCCGGTCCCGGGGGCCATGGCAATCCCCCAAGGCCCGTGACCGGCGGCAATAAACACCCCACCCTCGGCGCCCGGCCGTGTCGTCACCCCGGCGCCAAGGTCTTGATCCCGGATCCGAGAGATAATCGGCGCCCCCCAGGGCGTGACCGGCCGGAAACACAACCCCTCTCTAACAATCTCCAAGTCATCCCCCTTGTCATCCCCTTCGGCCGCTCCCACGATCTCCTTCGCCGCCTCCCGTAGTTGCGCCAAGGCCTCCGGGTACGGCGTGGCCTTTCCCTTGGCCGCGTCCGGGAGGGGCAGCGTGGAGGAGTTCAAGCCTGCAAAGTAGATGTGTCCCCCGACGCGAGAGAACATCTCCGGGCAGAACCCCTGCGCATGGCTCGTGAAAATCGCGTGGCACCCGGCTCCGCTGTTCGCCAACCCGGTATGCCACCGCGGCGATTTGAGAACTAGCGAGTGTCCCGCCAGGCTCCTCACGGGGATGGGGAGTAGCTCTGACGACGGGAAAAGGGTCTCAAACACCTTGCCCGTCCATGCCCCCGCCGTAATGACCAACCGCGAACAAGGAAGTTCCTCCTCCTTGCCGGATGACGCCGACTGAGTAGTATCCTTCACACGCACGGCGGCCACCTCACCCTTTTCGCCAACGCTCACAGATACGACTTGAGCCGGCTGATGCAGCTTCACCCCACGGCTAACACACTCCCGCAAAAGAAACCGGCAAAACAGCAACGGATCAACCTGCGCCGTGGTCCCTTCATCACTAATCAGCTCGATCCGGTCCCCTTCCACCCGCCGCAGCCACACGGGCGTTTTCTCCCCCGCGAGACTACCAGCCTCCACGGGAGCCGCATCCGCCCGGCTCGTCCCATGACGAAGCCAATCGTCGCCCCGTGCCTGACTGCCGCCGCTGTTAGCCGACGCCTCGTAGCTGACACACATCGATGGCGCGTAGCCCCATCGTTCCCGGCCCCCGTGTTCCTCGGCGAGCCGGCGGTGTTCCTCGAAACTGAGCGCTCCGAGGGCCGACAGGGAAGGACCGAACCAGTCCTTGGCGAGGAAGCCGCCGGCGTAGCCGGAAGCGGAAGAGAAGAGCTCTGGCGAGGCTTCGATGAGCTGGATCGTGGTTGGGTCTTGGTGCTGGGATAAGTAGTAGGCTGTAGAAACACCGATGATACCGGCTCCGATGATGACAGTTGGGTGAGACATTGTAGGAGAACGCTGCTGGGGTGACTTGGGATCGTTTTTGTGAAACAACAGGGGGGAGCACCAAGAAGCAGCAAAACTGATATAGTAGACTTAATTATAAGATCTAACAGGAATTAAATGACTAACACGGCGTCCGGGGCCCCGCTTCTGTGGAAATCCCGGCCCGAGGAACGGAGACGGCATCCCCGGCCGGCCAGGGACAATCGTTCTTCCCCGCTCCCCACATGAGTGGAGGGGCTCCAAAATTCTTGGGAGCCAAGGAGCATGAACGCGCGGAACTTGGAACTGAGCTTGTTCGAACCCCAAACAAACAACTGGAACGCTATCCCATCACGTGAGAACTAGAGCTCAACTAGAAAATGGTATCAAAGGTGATCATTGTGACCGGCGCAAGCCGCGGCATCGGTCTCGCTGTCACCCAGTCCCTGCTGGACGCCTCTCACAAGGTTGTCCTCGTGTCAAGATCGACCGAGCAGCTGGAGAAGTTGAAGGAACGCTTTCCGTCACAGGTCGCGTACCTTGGCGCCGATTTGACGGTCACTGATGTAAGGAATACCGTTTCCCGAGATGATCCAGAACAAGATTGGGACGCACGACTAGAAACTGACGTCCTTAGATAGACCGCGCATAGGGTAAAAGAGCTCGCCATCCTCACGTTCGGTCAGATTGATGGGGTTGTAATCAACCACGGCGTGCTGTCTCCCATGACCCGGATCGAGAATGCATCAATTGAAGAGTGGAAGAAGCTGTACGATGCCAACTTCTTCAGCGCACTCGCACTAGTAAGCCCTGGGAAGCTTGGGATCAGAAACCGCTTGCTAACACTTGACAAGGTCAAGGAAACGATCCCCCACCTCAGGGCTTCCAAAGGCCGGATTGTGTTCATCTCTTCGGGTGCCGCTACAGGCGCTTACACCTCATGGGGGGCATACGGCTCCTCCAAGGCGGCCTTGAACTCCCTGGCCAAGCACGTAGCTGTGGAGGAGCCAGACATCACGTCGGTGGCCATTAGCCCAGGCAGGGTTGATACTGATATGCAGAAGGAGCTTCGAGAGAAGGGCACCGAAATGCGCAAAACGGATTACGAGACGTTCAAGGTGGATTTCGAACAAGGCAGGTTGATCAAACCTGAACTGACCGGCGGAATTGTCGCAAGGCTTTCCCTCGGCGCCAAACCAGAACTCTCTGGCAAGTACCTCAAGTGGGATGCCCCAGAACTGGCAGAGTACCGTCTGTGATTGCGGAACACATAAGATCTGTCACCTTGGCTGTTAGCACCTGACACAATGCTAAGACATGAGGAGGATGGAACTGAAGGTGGAAAGGGCAATCAGAGGTAAAAAGAAGGCTTTATATTTCTCAACATCGGAGTGTTCAGGATTAGCATGGAATATAAAGGTGTTCATCAGGCTGCGCATTCAGTTTCACAACGCAAAAATGTCACCTACCATTTCCAACGGCGCCTGCCTCCTTCCTCATGCCCCCATCATCGACTGGTCAAGGCACTAATTAGCATGCTTGCCCATTGTCAAGGAGACGCTGTCTAGCTGCATGCGAGGTGTTGTAGGATCAGGTGATGAATGTCCGTCATAATTCGTCGGTATTGGAATGAATAGTACAAATTTGAGCATCATGTCAAATACGGGTCGGTCGAAACAAAAGCTGCTTCAGGCCTAGCAATTAGGACTGCGTCATGTTAGCATTGACCCTTCAAATGCTGCAAGGGACAATAACATTCGCGGAGCGCTAGGCTTGGGTAGATCAGGTATGTCGTTTGGCTTGACAGTGTCTCTCACCATGTGTAGGTCTGATAGGGGCGACACAGAAAGTTCATCATAGAAAAGCCAGGCAGGCGGAGGAAAAGAAAATCTTGCTGAACTAACCTTACTTGCAATTGAATGGAAGGCGTCCTGCTTATCATCCCAAAAATCACCCAGGAGCCGGGATACTGGCTCCGAGGCCGGTTGTGAAAAAACAGAGAGTGTCGAGGGAAAAGTTAGCTTTGCTGCGAACGCGTTTGTCCAATGGCCCTATTGATGCAACTTTTTTCGCGTCGGTGCCGGAAGAACAATGGGGGTTGGAATGTGGATCATAGAAATTTTCTCGTCCCTGCTTGGAGCGGAGCGTTTCGTGGCTGAGGCGCAGAGAGGCCCTGGAGGAGAGGGGCCTTTGCGCCCACTTGACGCCACAACAGGTGGGGGATGCGTTTGTGCAGGCATTGGCAGCTTCGGTTCGGCACCACACGGATTTGGCTGGATTGGGGGAATGCAGCTATAAAGGCTGCTTGCTCACCAACCCCAAGCAAAGGGACGCCTAGCTCTGCCTAGCTGACGAACCATGTTTGTTTATCCTACGACGAACTTTATAACCGGCATTGCAGGAGAAATCTTCTTTCCCACTGAATCTAGAGTCGTTGTTGCTCTCTTTGTCCCCGAAAACACCCCACTTCCGTGTCGGTCGTGCCTTCGAGTTCCTTGAGGGGCTGGCACCCTCATCATTATCATCATCATCATGTCGGACCACGAGTTTGGAGGTTTGTGTTCAATTTTTCATTAGTTTCAATTTCTAAGTCATCCGCGGTGGATCACACCTACGAATATTATAGTGTCGTTGGTGTTGTTGGTCTGCACTTCAACATTAGAATCTCACCAAACGATCTGCTGTTTTGAAGCTGCAAAAGCCATCAAATTGTGCACTGCTTGTACATTCATTGCCAAAACCGCATTTCCAAGCACCCCATTCTGTGGTTCTCGAAATGGTCAAACCTCTATCGGCCACTGACCGGTACTGGAAGCGTGTGGAGGAGGGTAGCGAGAGTAGTTCTCACACTAATTACCTTCTATTTATTTCTTGTCTCGTGGTGTCGGGATTTCGATTTCACAGGACATACTAACATATTCTAGGTAACGATGACCTCTCGCTCCCGAAGGGTACGTATAGATAAGCTCGCCTTCCTGAGCGGTTTCGATTACCGAGTTGCCGTCCCCCTAGCCGCCGCTCTCATAGCAGCTCCCCATAGTAAGAGCTATCTCTGTGGTTGATCAGACGCTAACCCCATTCAAGCGACCGTTCAAAAGATTGTCGGCGAGATCCTCTCTACGTCGTCAGGAATAGCGTTCTCAAAGGACGCCCGGGACGTTCTGATCGAATGCTGTGTTGAGTTTATCACCCTCATCAGCTCGGAGGCGAACGAGATCTCAGAGAAGGAAGCCAAGAAGACGATTGCGTGCGACCACATTATCAAGGCTCTCGACCAACTCGGGTTTTCCGACTATGTTCCCGCTGTTCTTGAAGCCGCTGCTGAGCACAAGGAAGTCCAAAAGGTATGTCGCCCGATCTTGCCCCACGCTTCGCTATCGATGTTAATCCGGGAAAGCAGGGCCGCGAGAAGAAAGCAAATAAACTCGAGCAGAGCGGCATGACACTAGAAGAATTAGAACGTCTCCAACAAGAGCAGTTTGCCGCTGCCGCTGCGAGGCACAACTAATTATTCTCAACGGCGAGGTAGGGAGAGTGCCTCCCCGCCTCACACGGTGTACATACCAGCAGTTATGACGGAGGTGTCTGGCGTTGCAGGAGGAATGGTGGTAGATTTTGTAGTTAAGGCTAGGGGCAATGTGCATTATTCGGCGTTGGAGTACAATCATTAGATTGGGAGGGCGAGCGTATAGATAAGTTTGTTGTGCAATCGGTCAAACGTTACGCACCACCTGCCATGACGTTTTACCTGGTCGCATCTTCGCACCCCCGCGCCACATTGTTTACCTTGCCAGGTAGACCAAAACGATTTCTCCTTATCCATAACGAATGCGTGGGAGGCAAAAGAGGGATACGCCAGCCGGCCGTGATACCAACCAACGCTTACGAGTGGCCGAAGGGGAAGCAACTCCAAGAATCACAAAAGCTGTATTCGGACCCCCTATTCCGGTACAACCTCAATTGGGTCCGGCCATGAATGGTGTCTTCCCCCGAGTAGTATTCCACAAACCCATGCTTTTCCAGTCTGTTCACCTCCTAAGCGGAATCAAGAAGCTTAATAGCCGTCCTTGCCCCACTTGTTCCACTTGTCATGAAGTTCCTACGGCAGACATGTAAGCTCCAGAACACCCCCCAAAAAGACAAGGAGCTCGTACCTTGGGAAGCGAGACGTTAGGAACAATGACGACGTTGACAGCACTGGGGGCGTCCTTCGGGGCCGCGCTGGCGTCACCACCGGGGTGGTACTGGTATTTGCCCTGTGTCGTCGAGTTGGTCTCCCACGGCATGCTGTTCTTAGCGAGGGGAACGGGGCTCTCGGATGTGGACGTGGTCGGGGTACGGCCTGTACACAAGAACATGCGAGTTAATACAACGCCACCATGCCGCGCCAGTCTGCGAGATCGTCTGCTGGCGCCCGGGGGCTCGTTGAAGACTGACCGAAGTAGTACCCAGCACCAGCGAGAGCGGCAACCATCACGCCACCCAGAATCTACAGCGTGCGCAAAGTTCCACGTCAGCTTTAAACTCACTCCTGCCATGCCCTCCAGATAGCCAAGTCGTCTGTCTCGCTCCGGTGGTCGGGTTGTCCAAGTAATTTAACGCACCATAATCTCGGGGTTCCGCTTCGACTCGGACTTCAATGCCTCCTCGCCCGTCGCCAGGCGGCGGGCAGTGGTGGTGAACGCACGGCGCGCAATTAGGGAGGCCATTGTTGCGATTATCCTGCTGGATTGGGGTATCGCGGGAAGGATATTAGCTGTGGGGTGAACTGGTGCGTTCAAGGCTTGGGAGTGTTTGTCGACTGATTTCATCGAAGCCGAGCTTCAAGGTTGCTTGGCATCGAACATTACATAATTGAATTGGAACCCCCTCCAGAGCTCCTTACAGCTGCTGCCATCTGCCAAATTTGCACGGACCCTCTGGCGGCTCCGAGACAGCTTGGGCCCCCCGGGCCTTTTCCATGGCATGCAATGCAGCTCGGCTTGGCCCTGAAAGAAAGGGAAGCTCAAGAGTTTCTTTTTCCACAAGAGGGGCAAGTCATTCCATGTTGAGATTTCAGCAGGGTTAGCAAAGAGATATTGCCTTTTGTACTTCGTAGGCCATTCCTGCTTTGTTTTTTGGGCTGACTCTAGATCATCGGCAGGCCAACATGAGATTACAGACCGTCCACGGAAGGCTAGGTGCCTTTCCTCTTTAAGCTTGCTCAGCAAGGCCCCAGGGGCCCTTCGTCACAAAACCCAGGGGGAGGCCCCAGTCAATGCGGTGCAGCCATGCAGCACCCGAGTGGGTGAAAAAGCAACTGCCAGGCTGACCAACCAGCGAGCTGGTGCTGCCGGAACCCCCATTCCACTTGGGCAACCTCGAATCTAGCGCTCGGACGAGCTCAGGAGGAAAGATTCATCGTCCAGTTTGACAATTTTCTCACGACACTCCTTCTTGCTTCCGAAGCGTATCTCTCTCTCTCTCTCTCGTTTTTCTTTTTTGTCCTGACTCACAGTTTCTTCCACTCCTTTATACCGCCGCTACCGTGTCGACCACTCCCTTCGCTGTGACTTGGACCCAGCACCCTTTTTATTTCTTGGGTCACTCCAATTCGGGCAACAGACTGGATTGTTCGGACGGCGCATCACTGGAATGCGCGCGGGCCTCTCCGAGTCCACACGAAACTTTCGCCAAACCCGCCTCTAAGAAACACTGGATCGCGCGCTCGTCCCATCCCCCGGCCGGTTATGCTGTCGCGAAAAAACGAGTTAACGAGCGAGACACAACCGTAACACCCGCGACGCAGGCACGGGTTCCACGATGGCATCAGGAGAGGGAGTGCCGGGCGCGCTCTCTCACTCCCCGGCCCACGATGACGGGTTCCCTCAGTTCCCGCGATCGGAACGCGGCGGCCCACCGAGTATCATATCCTCGCGCATGACGGATATCATGACAGAAGATGGCGAGGCGGAAACACAACAGGGGACCACCAACCACAGGTTGAGCGCGATCTATGGCGATAGTTCTTCACGCCCGGAGACTGCGAGGACTGGTGTATCACAGCGGGGCCCATGGGCCCAGGGTTCGCCCCTGCGCCGCGGGCTGTCAGGGAAAAGAGTGAGCATCAACGGCAGTATGGGCGGCACATCGTTGGGGGCCAGGCCAGCAAGTGCAGTGAGCAAAAGCCATGTCCCAACGCTCACCTCACACGCCTTCTTCCGGCCCATGAGTTCGCAGAGGCTGCAGGCTCAGCGAGGACTGGCGCGGCCGACGACGATGAACCGGCAAATTGGGCTGCAGGACGAGGGAAGCGAGCGGAAACGAGACAGCTACATTTCAGATCAGGCGACCCGGATTGGCATACAGGGCTCAGAAGCGGAAGAGGAGACGGGTCTACCCGCCTCCCGGGGTACCGAGTTCACCGAGCACGAGCCGTACGATCGCGGAACAGCCAACACCAGCCCGACGCAGGGACCCCATCCCACACTGAGCCAGACGGACAGCGTCGGGCCGCTGCACAGGAAGCCCGAGGGCGCACGAACCCTCGCGCTCGATATCAACTCTACGCCCAACGCCGTGGCGAGTGTTCCAACGCCTGTCCGCACTCCACGCTCCATGCGATCCAGTTTCCTCATACCAAGAATGGAATCGGCCAGCGGTAGCCGCGAGATGCAGGGTGGGGAGAAACTGGAATCGCTAGCCTCGTCGCCCCAACTCCCGCCCAGCCGAGACCGCGGGAACACAGCGTCCGGAAACAGTCAGACCTCGAAACTCGGTCGCAATTACGAGTACTTCCTTGGCAACACGGTGTTCTGTCTGGGTGGGCGTCTCCAAAACACCAGACACCGGCCCGTAAACATTGCAACGGGGGCCTTTGTTGTCATTCCTACGGCCCTTTTCTTTGCCTTCTCAGCGCCATGGATCTGGCACAACCTTTCTCCCGCGATACCTATCATTTTCGGTTATCTCTTCTTCATTTGCATGTCTTCCTTTATCCATGCATCAGTCACCGACCCAGGAGTAAGTGTCTACTTACCAGAAATGTATCCGAATGCCTTCAGTCGCTAACACACAACTAAAGATCCTACCTCGGAATGTGCACCGCTTTCCGCCTGTGGATGAGAACGAGGATCCCCTACGGCTTGCGCCCCCGACCACGGAATGGGCTTTGATCAAGTCCTCCGACCCAGCAACTGCTGCCATGGAGGTTCCTACCAAGTACTGTCGGACGTGTAACGTCTGGCGGCCTCCCCGTGCCCACCACTGCCGCCTTTGCGACAACTGTGTTGAAACCCAGGATCACCACTGTGTCTGGCTCAACAACTGTGTTGGCCGCCGGAATTACCGATACTTTTTCACGTTCATCAGCAGTGCTACGTTCCTTGGGATATTCCTCGCCGGGGCGTCATTGGCACATATCCTCGTGCATGCCAAACGCCAAGGCATCCCCACGACCGAATCTATCAGCCAATTCCGCGTTCCTTTTGCCATGGTCATCTACGGCTTTCTCGCCTTTCTCTACCCCGCCGCGCTGATGGGATACCACGTATTCCTCATGGCCCGAGGCGAGACGACCCGTGAATACCTGAACTCGCACAAGTTCCTCAAAAAGGACCGGTATCGGGCCTTCACACAAGGCAGTTGGTTCCGGAACTGGTTTGTTGTCTTGTGCCGCCCACGGCCGCCAACATACTATCGGTTCAAGGGCGCGTATGCCGAAGGCGACCAACGACTCGCCACTCGCCGCCGCGCCCAGCGGCCCCCTCGACGGGAGCCGGACCCAAGAGAGGGTCTCGAGATGCAGGACGTCGGGCCACAGCCGCGGCAGATCGCGACCGGTTTCGCAGGTCCCGTCGCGGTACGAAACGCCACAAACCCGGCAGCTAGCGGCGGGTCCTAATCCGGTGTACTACTACCGACTTTGTACTTTGTATTTTCTTGTCGCCACACTTCGGCTTGTCTCAGTTCCTTACACTTTTGCTTCAACCAGTCGATGTTTTATTCAGTCACTCAAAGTCGTTTCCTTTACCTCTCGCTTTCCTTCTTAGTATAGTCCGAGTGTATGGTGGTGTGTCGGCAACGGCGTTAGCGATTTCATGACTCTTGAACCAAGCAAGATAGATGGGACTTGGTGGTGGTGGAGGAGGTGGTGGTGGTGGTGAAGGCACAAGGCCTGCTCTGTTGTCTGTGTAATGGTTGGGACCCCATCGTTTATATACCTACTATACCCCTATATCGCTCACCGGAGTGGAGCTTGTTGTATGTTACTCTCTCTCTAGGCTGCTGCATCCATCGCCAGCTGAGACTTTTCGTTTAAAATTTCAAATTGATATACTCCGTCCCCGATAAAAAGTGCGTTACTTAGCAGCCGCGTTTGAACACAGGTGAACCACAGGATCTCCGTATGAAGCCGTTGCAATGAACCCCGAGGAATATCAATGAATGCTGGCTCCATCCGTATATAGTATTCATAGTTTCAAAACGGGGACGCCGGACTGCAACTTCTGTTCGATAAGAGCACATCCTAAAATCGCAGTTACAGCCGGATAGTACAATACCATACAACAAACACCCTTAGACCCAGAGCCCGATAGAATGAGAACCCCCTTATTTCCTAGTTTCGCCCCCTTTTTCTCTCACTAGCAAACCTCACTCTCGCCGGCCTAATAAATAAAGGTCCTGTGGACTCGCGACGCCCCCCCGCCTAAGCCTAAGAAACAAATTTGGAATAAAAACAATACTCCTAACCCACGAGTTGAACCCGGCGAAACATACCCCTCCGAACCTTGACATCCTACGCATTGTCCGGGGCGGTATCCGCCGTGGCCTCCAAAGAGACATCCTTCACAGGGACTGCTTCAGAAGGATCCGGGGAAGCATTCTTCGAGGACGACTTGACTTCGCCATCACCGGCGCCCTCACTCGCCCCACCAAACCCAACCGTAGCATCCTCCGGTGTCACAGCAGATGCATCACCAGTGACGGTAGCAGGGGCGTCCACGGCCGTGCTGGCGGTGGGAGTGGTGGTGGTATCCTCGCCCTTGATGTTTGAGAATCCTTCTTCATTCTTGTCATTGCCAGGGTCATCGGCCGACACACTCCTCCCATTGCCGCTGCCGCTGCCGCTGCCGTCGCCGCTACCGTGAACGCCCTCTTGACGGTCAAGTTCGCGCTCGAGACTACCAAGCAGGTTAAGCCCGTCATCCTCATCGGCGGTGGCGGCTGCGGGAGTTGGCGAAGCGGTTGACAGTGCGGTTGCCGCTTCGGGAACAGTTGAAGCATCCAGAGTTGTGGGGGGTAGCGCTGGGCTGTGCTCGGTTTTGACGGGCGGTGATGCGGATTTAACTTTTGGGACCGGGAGACTGGTCGAGGTGGGCTCTTTTGATGCGTGTCCGGATTGGTCCACAGGTGGGCTAACTGATGCTGGCTTGGAGGGGGTCCCGGTGGCCAAGAACGCCGGCGCTGGCGGAGAAAATTCCGATGGTCGGGGTACCGCACTCTCTCGCAGAGAAGGCAAAATCCCGTGTCCCGTCGGTTTGGACGCATGGGCCTGGGTGGTGGACGAGGTCTGCTGCTGAATGTCTGCGCGGGCCGCTGAGGCAAAGGTGTTGGTGGAAGGTGAGATCGTGGGTGACGGGTCGGTTGGCGATTGGGTCATGACGTTCTTCAAGGGGCTGCCTCCGACTCCAGCAGAACCGGGATGCGGGACCCCAAGATTGCTCAGACTGGGCGGCGTGAAGCGGGCTTTCGGGATGGTGACCTCTTCGACCTCTCCTACGGTAGTCTGGGACTCGTCCGGCTCCTCGACAGAGCTCGGTTGGATGACGTCCATCATTTCCGAATCCTCGGCCTCTTGTGCCTGCTCTTCGGCGCCACTGCTTTCGATCTTTGTTGTTGTTGTTTCGCTTTCTTCTTCGGGCCCGTGGTCTTCGTCTCCCTCCTCTTCTTCATCACCTTCACCGGGTTCGCCCTCTTCCTCGTCGGAAGCGACGCCAGAAATGTCAACCATCTCGCTGTCGTGGTTCGTGCTCTCCTCGGTATCCTCTCTTTTAATTACCTGTTGAAAGGACGGTGATTAGTAACCAGCGTGAGAGAGGGGTTTTACAATAGCTCGAAGACTTACATTGGGACCGACAGACTCTGCTTGGACTGGAGTACCATCCTCATTCGTAGCCTGCGATCTGGTGGCAGGTAGTGGGATAGGCAATTTGCCCTTCTTGCGCCCGCGACCAACGCCTTTGTTCTTGCGTTTAGGGGGCGGAGGCCTCCGTCTCGACGGTGTTACCTGCTGCGGAGCTGCTTCCTGTTGGGCGGCCGCTGGCGCCGGCACAACAGTCGTTGAGATGATCTCACCCTCAACATGCTGTCCATCGGAAAGCGTAACAGTTTGCTCGTACGGGTTTCCGGCCGCATCGATCCGGCGAACGGTGGCTCGAGTAACCGTCGGCCCTGCGATCTGCGGGACGGCCGCCCTCGAAGCTAGCGTGACCGTGTTCTTATGTCGCTTTGCAAGGTGTGATGTCGTCTGGCTCTCCGCATTTCGCGGCACCTGCTTCCACAGCTTGACCGTGTACCCATCGTTCGGTGGTTCCCAGTCCTTCTTCTCTCCCTTCACTGTGTCCAGCTCGACATCCGCATCCTCCTCTTCAGTCGGCGCAGAGCGCTTGTAAAGACGGCCGGACCTCGCAGCACGGAGCAATTCCTGGGTGTGCGGCGGCAAGAGGTTGAATTCCCTCGGCATGCCGTATGGAAGGTCGGCTGCCCACCGGTCGCCTTGCTGCGTCGTCTCCTGTTGGGCCGAGGGTGCCACAGTCACCCATTCCTGGCGCCATTGCCTGACCGGAAGACCTACACACCATACAAGCATCCTCAAGTCAATTGACTACTCCACGGAAAAAGGTGGTGTTTGGGGTATTTCGGGTGACGTACCTTCAAAGTCATCGGGTTCAGGGTAAGCACCAGCGCGGGCGCTCCGGCGGGTCTGTGTCGCAGTCCGAAGTTGCTGCTGACCCTCGTTAGCCTTACGATTACAAGTGCGGCCCGTCACTTCAATTACCGTGCGCTGCATCGCGATGCGAGGTACCGGTGTACCGGTGTGTCCAAGTTCTAGTCTACGTGATCCAAGCGACAAAGCTGCGAGGCCAGCTCCTCCGTGCAGACGTCCCTGCCTGGCGTTTGGGCCTCGGGGCCAATGATAACGCTATTACTCGGGAAAACGGCGAGCGCAAGATACACTTGCGGTCGGGTATGATGCAATTGGCGGCTGATGAGATGAGGGTGTGAATAAACAGTAAACTTTGAACCAGATGTGAGGCGTTGGCAGATTTGTTTCCTCGCGTCGCAGTCGCAACGCGCGCGTTTGACCATTGGCGCATCTCAGAGTCGTGCCGAGTTAGATCCTCGCTTATTACGATGCACCGCTAAAGGGTTATCGACGAGTCAACGTCACATATATGCGTTAATCCGATTTGTGACTGTAAAACCGGCGCCAACCGCCACATGGGAGAGAGGTCTTATTTTCTCGAGGTTGAACTTTGGATAAACGACATAAGACATACGAAGGTATTCAGACCTCTGGCAGTGAATTGTGGGATCTCTCCCAGGAGTCCTTCTAATAATACATCCCAACCTTCTCTCCGTACCTCAAATCTCTGGAACCCCGTTGTCAAGGAAAAGCTGCGTTAGGGATATAATGAGATGGAGGCTGGGTAACACAGTTCGGTCATCCCGGGACCGGCGTGTTGGAGAGTCGGGGTGGTGGGAAACAAGATCGCTTCGTAAGACCCTCAGTCCCAACTATCCTCCCAGTCAGTATAATTCCTAGCTTCAGCCCAAGAAGGATCCCAAGCGGAACCACTCACCCGGTATCTTTTTGTCTTGTCGTTTCGCCATGTCCCGCTTCGTCCTTCCCCTACAATAAAACATCAGCATCCCGCCATCTTTACCTTGTAAATCGCCGACCGGGAAGAATGAGACTGACCGATATCCCTCCTTCTACCACCAACCGGTTCATCTCGTAGAACTGGCTGATCACCGTCTGGCGCTGTAATTCCAAGGCACCATCAGCAAATGTTGCAAGTCAAAAAACCCCAACCACGTCATCCTATCCCTTACCCCCTTCCACCCGCCCGCCCTCCCGCAAGAACTCGAGAAAACCCACCTTCAACATCTGCAGCTCCTTCTGCCCCTTTTGCACAAGCTCCTTCACCTTCTGCTCATCCTGTACAGCCTTGTTTTCCCGAAACGCATCCCTCGTGCGGCGGCGGGCATATTCGCGAAAATTGTAGGCCGAGAATTGACTCCCTTGGCGAAGAAGCTGTCGGTACTACATGTGGCGAAAAGGAAAAGGGAAAAAAAGATTAGTCTTCGTTTGGAATGGGACACATAGCCCGTCAATCTAGTTAATGGGAGGCGGGGTACAGAGCATGCCGTCTTGGCCAGCGACCGTAAACTGCGTGCGTTGTCGCTCCGCAAGCTGGGAATGTAATGGAAATCGAGACGAGGCGGGGAACATAACCCACCAGCGAAAGCACCCTCTGTGCCGACTCCGGTTTCGCGGCGACCTGCGCGGCAGACATGATCTTTTTAATCTTGCACCGGGCTTGTTGAAAAAAAAGACCGGGCGACGTTGGGGGATGTTGTTCGTGGAACCCCAGAAATTCCTCGGCGTTAACAGCGAAAGCTCCAGCGCCCAAGTTCGGGATAATCGGAGATGGCACGTCTTATCGCGGCTTCTCGGCGTCTATCTCGATAAATGCATATAAGGGGCGACACTCATCCACCAACTCCGGAAGACACAATTCTGGGGATTGTGTTACGCAGTGTTTGAATTGAAGCCTCAAGGTTTGTTTTCCGAGCCTCTTAAACTAAAACTGTACCCGGTCTCGTCCAAAATAAAAATAAAAATGAAAGTCCGAGCCAGACGTCTAGATATAATGAAGAGCACCATCCTCCCCCGTCCACTTTTCCGGCAACCATATGTAGCCCGGCGCCTGTTTCAACCTGTAAACTCCCATCGCTAAGGCCCGCCCATAATAAGCAGATACACTAAACCTCCGACATTCCACTTCGACCCAGTTCTACCGGATCTCAATAGCCGTACATATCACCACCTCCAGCCCAGCTCTGGTGTTGAATGCCCGTTGAGACCCCGTCCGACATGTAGTATCCCAGCTCATGCTCGTACCCGTCATTCATAGCCAGTGCCTGCTGTGGATAGTATCCCTGTGGTGCCGCGTGAGGATCGTAAACGGCCCCTGGCGGCGGTGGCGGTGGCGCGCCATTCCCCGAGACGCCTTGCGCCGGCGTCGCGGCAGTCTGGTGAGTAGTATCAAAGGCTTCAATGAGCAGCCCCAATCCGTCAGCGGCCGGCCGTTGCTGGCCCCCGGCCACTTGTGGTGGTGCTTGGCCTCCATGAGGGACGATGACTTGTTGTGGTGGCGGTGGCATGTTGGGCACATGCTGCGGTTGGGGAACAGGGAGACGGAGGCTTGGGTCCGGGTACACCGTTGTCGGTCCGGGCTGCTGTTGTGTGTTAGGGGCCGTCGTGTTCGGCGTTTGGGTTGGAATGCCGCTTTTGCTGTCGGTAGCCGGAGTTGAGAGGCGCGGTTGGATCGGCTTGACAGCTGGGCGAATTGGCGTTGCTTGAAGAACATGGGGGATTGGTTCTCTCTGCGAGCGGTGGTCAGTTTTTTTTTTTTTGTTAAAAATAAAAAAAAAAAAAAAAAAGCAAAGAAATTCGACCGTAAGGGTGTGACTGCACTTACGCTATCATCCATGCTCCCTTCTGCCCCAGCGGTCGTTGCGTTTTGGGATTTATGGAACCTTTCTAGATGATCGTACCAACGAGATGATAAAGGCCATATGTTCTGGGTGTCGGCAAGAATCGAGAGGATGCGTTGGACCATCACGGGAGCATTTCGTGTGATCGGTAAATCGTAAAAGACTAGGAGACCGTAAGAATCCATGGAGAAGATCAGGGGTTGATTGAGTTCAAGATGAACTGAGCACTCACTATTCGTAAACTTGCACAGATAGCACGCCAAAACACCACAGGTGTAGTAGCAAAACACCTGCAAGATGAAACATCAATATCGCTGATATAGCAAAGCGGCTAGGGTATGCTTACAGCCATTTGGGCCCCCGGGCCTTCCTCTCGGGATCTATCCGCGTAGTGCGTTTCGATTTGTTCGTACAGGATGCTTACGTTCCAAAACAGCTTGGTCGCCATATTGTGCCAAAAACCCGTCAGCTCAGGATCGGATTTATTGTCAGATATCATCCTAGAGTGTGCGGACCAGGGGTCAGTTTAGTTGCCTAGGACAGCTCGGGACAGCAGCCGGACTTACTCGTGCAGGTACGCTTTGCGAATGACAATGTTGCAGAGGCGTGTGATCATGGTCACACTCAGGTATCCCTACCTAGGAGTCAGCAAAAACCCGAGCACATGGTCAATCATGAACATACCAGGTCTTGTCCTTCGTGTTTGTAACCCTTGAGAAGGAGAGGGCTCCATCTATGGTCGTTCGGGAGCCCATCTTCCCAGTCAGCTAACCGTCTTTCCATTTGGGCATACTCGCTAGTCGGGTTCCATGGCTCGGGGCTCCGATTGTTGTTGACAGCTCGCCGGTAGATGGCGCCCCAGTATTGGTGTACCTGGATGAGTGTAGCGAACAGGGATCTCCCTACGTCGGCAACGAGGGCAGGATTCTCGAGAGCCGGCGGTGTGCCTTCAAGGGCGGCCCTCGACTTTGGTTCTCGTGCGTTCGCAAAGTCGTCCTCGTTGCTAGGAAGCAGAGCTGTAATATCGCTAGCCGACAACAACACGGGTGAATGAGGCCCCGAGTGCAGGTTATCCTGGCTATGCAGCATCCACTTTAGTGAATTGTTAGTCCTGCTGATGAGAAGGGAAGGCTACGGGCGTCGAAGGCCTTAAGGGTAGTCGCACCAAAGTCCTCCGAGCGGATTCCGCCCGCCTAATCAAATCTTTGGTGGGATTCGGAATGGCATACGTCTCTTCCCGATGTAACTGCATCAAGGTTGCCATTCGCATCGCAACCGCCATGTTGATCTATTTCTTCGTTAGCAACCCACATTCTAGTCAAGGGGAAGAGGGCCATGTGCAAGACGTGAACACAACACCACATACCGAGCTCCGGTGTTTCATCCCGCTCCCTTGTTGCGCGATGCTCAGCAGGTAAAACCCCTGGCATCTCTCGAGAGAAGGCTCCTTGTAGAGCTCATTTTGGGCGAGGGCTGAAGCGCGTTCCATGAATGTCTCAGAAGCCTGCACTGCGCTTCCATACCGCTCGACCAACGCCGGCGTCAGTCGAGCCGAGATGCTGAGAATACCCAACAAGAAAAAGACGCTAACGGATCGGTGCTGGGTCCGGAGGCGCTCTGGGAACAGTTGTTTTGGGATGAAGCCGAGTTGGAAGTAGTAGCGAGTAAATTGGGCCACCGACGCGATTGTCTCCGGTAATGGAGGCAGAAGATTCCAATCGTCAGAGTTCCGAGTGAGACTAGATGCACTCGAGAGGCCCGCGCGTGGCGCGCCGAGACTGTCCCGGCTCTCACGGCGAGCTTTGGTTTCCTCTCGCTTCTTGCTCTTCTCGGCCCTCACTCGAGGGTGCCGATACTCGCGGTCTTGATCTGGTTGGCCGCGGACGGGGAAGATGCTTCGAACGCGCAGCATTAGCAGGGACTGCAACTACACAAGTTCAAATTCAAATAAACTGGGTGTTGGCTCTCACCAATCGCCAGGGCCGAGACCGGCATCTTCACAAGACCGGCACGGTGGTTTGGCTTTATCGTGGTGACATTTGCTCCTCATACGGCGGCATCTAGCATTGCACGTTAGGTCTCATATCCTCCATCCTTCTCATCGCATTAATCATCTTCATCGCCAGCTCCATAGCTAATAAGCGAGCCCCGATGCACCTTCAGGTCTTCAACACAACCCGAGTGACCGTTGGAAGTAAACTGCACTGTCTTGCCGGCGGCAAGTCGCGCGTTCACATAAAAAGCCACCAACTGCAGGACTCGTAATCGTATAAGAAACACGCACCTTCGGCAAGCGATTGGGGCCCGTCGCCGGATGGGCACCGCCTGGCCAGTTTCCGCAGACTGAAGCTGCGCCGAACCCGGGTTAGATGGAGACACCATCGACTGGCTGGGCGGCTCCATCTCGACGTCCATTTTGGCGCGTCGGGGCCGCTCGTCCGAGCTGAAGTGCCGTGTCCGGACGCCAGATGCGGACAGTACCTAAGAAAAGGGTATCTGTCTTATCGTTCGAAATGTGAATTATTTGGATTCCAGAAGGCGTGCCTTGCCGGACGAATGTCGCGGTGAGGTGGGGCGAGGTCTCAACTGTTGCCGGCAGGGCAATACAGGTCCAATCTGAGGGCGTCAATTGCCAGGACGAGCTCCAGCCGAGAGAGCTTGTTTGCGGCAGGTGGGGAATTGCCGGCCGCTGCCCAGGCACTGGCAGGCAAGAAAGTTGTAAAAGGGAAGCAGTACCCGCCTTCTTGTGTGGACAGTTTTCCGCCAGGCATCAATGGTTTGATGAAAAGGAAAAAAAGAGGCAGCGCCCAGTCTCGCCAGGCTCCCAGTGCAAAGCTTCGGGAATACGCGAAACCTTGAAAATCAACCCGGGCCGAAAAAATGGAGACTCGAGACTCCGGGGTGTTCGTCTGGGGCGCGTCCAACCTTGAAAGCGTGGCACACAGTGGAGGAAAATGAACAAAGGCTTGACAGGCAACAGGACACGGACAGTTCTGGACATCACCGCTATCGAAAGTTCCATTCGGTTTTGCTGGGTTTGAGCTTCACATGTCCATGTCGCAACCTGAACACCCACCAAACCCCCGGACTCAGATCGGGAAAGCCCCCGATTGGAATTTTGGTAAGAAAACCCCATATTTCTGCAGTGCCTGGAGTGTCATCCAAATTACGCACTGTGGGTGGGAATCGTGACTCCCCAGCAACAAACCAGGGTTCTGCATGGGGTGGGCCTGGAGCCGGAGCATCTTGAGCGGCCTGAACTCAGGTGCTCAGGTCTTCTCCAAGCCCTGATGTTCAATGCTCTGGTGATCGAGAGGCCTCGCAATGTTGGAATTTCAAGTCCTTGCGTTTAACGATACCACCCTGTAACACCATGGTTGCCTGCCTATACGCTTTGAGTACCTAGGTAATCAATACACATACACTAGTCCTTGAGGAAACCCAACTCCTCCACGGATGACACAGCAGAGGAAGAAACGTCTAGGAGGAAACTAATATAAGCCGTCACTCCCCACTTTCACATGAATACATTTTTGGAGGTCCCGTCCTAATAGACCAGGCCGTCGACATTTTTTCGCGTTGTACATACCCCCCGAAACCTCCCATGGGGGCATCAACGGGTTCTGCGACATTGTGGAACCTACGAAGTATAACGGGCCAAACCAAGCAATTATCGGGTGCAAAAGTGAAGACAAATTCAGCAAATTGTCAAAAAAAACCAGAAGAGCGGTGGCCGGATAAAGTCTCAAAACACATCCACAAAAAGTACCATATTTCGTCTTTGCTTCATATGATAGTATGCATGGGGGGGGTTCTGTTCGTAATAGCGTTTCCCATCTCACCGAGCATCGGGTCTTTCGTCTACTCGGTCAAAATCACGCACAACCAACACAAGCCATTCTGTTCCGCGCCTTCTTTTGGGGGTAATGATCCGTTTCAAAATTCTACATGATGGTGCATTTAGTCCCAAGCCTCAACATCCTAGAAGCCTGGGACAGTACATGGGGGTTCTCTATCCTCATCCCAATACAATTCGCCTAAAACACGAGAGGACATTGATAACAACCGAGAAGAAGTGGGGGAAGTAGTGAAGTGACTTCTAGGGGTATGGTGTCATTGGGGAAGGTGTGAAAGAGTCTATATACACATTGTCTGTGCATCTCGGTGCTGTGTGGTGGTGGGTCGTGCCGTGCCGTGACATGCCAGGTCGTATCATCTCATTGCGCGTGTACGTTCTGCGTCAGGTGGGCGGGGATGGTGTTAAAATGTTCTTCTCGGGGCTTTGTCTGTTGGTGCGTCAAGCCATGGAGACGGCGCCGAGGCCTGCCAGGAAGCCCTGGAGGGGTGGTACCAGCAACACGGGCGTAATTGCTGTGCTAGCGGTGAGTTGGGGGCGCCGTCTCTCACGTTTGCTGCATGACCGTCTGTGTGCCACCGATTTGCCTCTTGACTTGTTCGCGTGCCCAGCGAGCCGTCTCTAGGGTACGGGACTGGAACTCCCGGTTTGCGCGCGTCTCCTTGATCATCGCCGTGACCCATTCTTGGCGGAAAGCATCAGCCAGCTGGCCGTTGGGGTAAGCGTCCGCGAGATCACTGCGGAAGAGTTAGCTACCTACTGTTTTTCCATCTCTCAGCGGATATAAGATCACTTACCCAATCACGCCCATCGCAGAACGCATCAAAGCCTCGCTGCGGTTAGCATCGCTGGCAATAGTGTTGAGGAGCTCAAAGATAGAGGACACAAAAGGCTCCAGGACATTTGCTGTGAAAATCACGTTAGCATTGAAAAAAAGCCACCGACAGGATGCGTTCATGCACCTACTTTTGCCGCTCGCCTTCATCGCACCGATGATTCCACCCCACGCATCCATAATGCCCTCACGAAGAGCAATGACGTAGTCAAACATCTCGTAGGAGCCGTCGGCGCCGGTAGTGATCGTGGCGGCTTGTTGCAACACCTGGGCGACAATAGCAAGGTACGTCTCGAAGTGGCCAGTAATGGCGCTCGCAATATCGCCAAAGCACTGGAGGATCGCGGGCTTGAACTGGTTCGCAAGCGCAGCGCTCTAGAAAGAGGTACATCAGTCAGTTGAATTACCCCTAAGAAAGAAAGAAAGTTATTAGGTGAGGTACGAACCCTAAGGTTGCTCAGCAAGTAGTTCATAAAGTTGTCGCAGTACGGCTGGCTCCGCTCGCCCAAGGAACGGGTGATGTCGCTGACAAGGCCAATAGCCATGGAGCAAAGACTCGGCTCTTCCTGGTTGGCGAGGGCGTTGTAAAGGAATGGGGAGAAGGCGTCCATGTATTTGGCAAAGTCTTCTTCCATCGCGTTGGCGAGACTGCTGATGGTACCAAAGACTGATTCCGGCACGCTCGACTTGCCGTTCACGGTGCTCAGGATCTGCAGAAGAATCTGCATGATTCTGTCGCCCTGGGGGGCAATCTCCTTATCCACGCGTTGGGCAACGGCCTGCAAAACGGTGCAGAGGCTCGTTTGCATGTCCTCGAGAATGATCCTGTCCTCAACGCTCACGACCTGCTGCTGCAGGGGAAGCGTCTCTTCCAGGCGTTGGATGGCCACTGTGCAGAGCGACGCGACGGCGCTCAAGCTATCATTAGCGGCACTTTGCACGAACACGTTCAGGACTTCATACGCCGCCGTCCTGACAGAGGGTTCGGCGTCCATCCTTCCGGTGACCGTCAACAGGTTGGTGACACTCTGGTTGAAATGCGGCGTAAGCGGGTTCTGCGCAGCGCCATATTCGCCAGCGAAACGCTCGGCAACGTTCATCAGTGCCCAGCAGCACGATGCTGCCATCTTGGGGTTGTTGATCAGGCCATTGAACAGCGACCGAACCAGAGGGTCCAGGTGTTGCTCAGGATCAATTGCCTCGGAACAAGACTCGGTGATCCGACCAAGTGCATAGGCTGTCGAATCTCGTACGTGAACGGATGGATCCTCCATCATACTAATGAGTGGTTGGATTCCAGACTTCACGATCGGATCCAACAGCTTCTCCTCTGGGCCATCCATAATGGCGCCGAAAGCGGAAACTGCGGCGTCGCGATGATGCCAATCCTCATGGCGCAGGTTGGCCTCGACGAACTGAATGACCGGCTGGATGACAGCTGCCCCAACCGCTTGAGCATACAGCTGTAGTGACTGGTAAGCGGCACGCGAGATGTTGTATTCGTCGTCGCCAGCATCTTCATCCTGCTTGGTCAAAAGGCCGAGTAAGACTGGCACGACCTCGTTGGTCGCGACACGGCTGAAGTTGTAGAAGGGCCGCATCTGGTCGGAGCTCTCGACTTGCGCATTGTCATCCTCGATGTTGATCTCCTCTTCGCAGACAGTGCTCCAGAATTCAACCGCGAGCTTGGCAACATCTTCGTCGTCGCTCTTCATGCCTAGGATAGTAAGACCAAAGAGAGCCTTCTCCATGTAAAACCTCATGTTCTCGTAGTAAAGGGCCATGATGCGGTTGAGGCAGCCAAAAGCGCCTTGCTGTATCCGCGAATCCTCGGCTTGTGTAGCCTCACAGACGACCTGCATGATGTAGTTGCGCTCCCCCTCGTGCTTGAAGTTGTTCCCAACAAACTCGAGAGAATCACCAAGGGCAGTGATTGCAGCGAGACGAACCTCGCCATTAGGTTCTTCCTTCCGCGCACCTTGCACAACAGCGGTCAAGATGGCGTTGGAGTGCGCCACTAGGCTGGCTCGGAGCTCAGTATCCTGGCTCTCGCAGATGAAGCCAATGGTTGTCAACGAAGACTGCTTCTGGTGCTGCGTTCCTTCACTGACGTTGCGCACAAGCACATGCATGAGATCGGGCCACTGGTTTCGGGGAAGCTCGATAGCGGCAACCGCAGCGATGACTTGGGCCGTCGCCTGACCAGCCTGGGCGTTTGTAGACGACAGTGTCTCTAGGGCCAACTGCTTGATGCGTGTCTTGGAGTCTTGATCGGTTTGGTTGAGCCATTTTGCTTGCAGTTCGGCCTGCCTGGCGAATTCGCGAGCGGTAAAGGCGTTCTTCAAGGCAATACCGGCGGCGGCTCGAATATGCCCTTCGGTGGAGTCATTCGCAAGGGCTTGGACGAGTGTGAGGAGGTATTGCGACTAGTATTCCAGAAAGGTCAGAGCCAATAGACAATAGTAGGACGAGAGGCTAGGGGGTATCTTACAAAGTTATTCTCGGCGGCGTGGTTAAGCTGTTGCTCGGCCGCATTTCGCAGAGTCGCGTCTGGAGGAATGTCAGATAGGGGGACAACGCGATTGCAGGGTCTCGCCGTGGCCTTTGCTTTCCGAAGAAGAAATTTAAAAACATAGGTGACTTACCAGCACTCAACGAGTTTGTGAGGACAGTGTTGATGTCCGGTGCGCCTTCCATGGTTGCGGTCTGGATGCTGAAGCCAGAGATTGAGGTGATGGAAAGCGGGGGCAAAGGGGAAGAAGAGGAAGCGTTGCCAGGGAGAAGAACGAACAAGCCGTTCTCAGCCAAAGTTTGCGCGGGACACAGGCGGGGCCGCTGGGATCCACAGGGCAGTTATCGGACAGACCAGAGGTAATGGGTAATGGGCGCCAAAACCGCGGTTGATGTCTCGACAAAAGAAAGCAGTGTGCGAGGGATAGTGTGAGATGAACAGATCCGAGGGCGCGAAAGCCTACGGGTGTTGAGGCGGTAGGTTTGTGCGGTGTCCAAATTTTTGTGTCAACAATTGCAGGTCCCGTTTGGTCAGGGTGGATGCCGCCAATACAACACCCGACTGACGACTCCCTCAAACCTTCCCAAAAGATGATTCTGGGTAGACGAAAATTTGCGGGGAAGCGTGAATCACGAGGTGTGTGCTGAGGGAAACGATAGGGTAGTGTTAAGTTGTCTGCTAAGAGGCACGGAGCAGATGGAGAAAGTTAAGTATGGTACAGATTTCTTTCTGGTCTAGGTTCGAAGGAAGGTTCGAAGGCAACAAGAAAAGCGGTCTTTGGGATGATGCGGAGCTGGCAAAGCAGGCAGGCATGTGCGCGTGGTGCGGATGCAGCAAAGCTGCCGTGGGCCTAGGCGCTCAGATCTCACGCACTGTATGGTCAAAGCCTCGGCCACCCAAACATACTTAGAGATGCCAAAATTCAACACAGTGCGAAATAGTGGAGGGCTCCGCATCGAGTTTGACAACCCCACACAAGATGCCGTTTCTAGCTCGACTCAGGCAGAGTGTTCACTGGGATATCGTGCGCCGTGCATTGTGCAAAGGTCCTCCCTCGAATTTCACTCGCCAGCGGGCAGAACACCGCTTCTGTCTTTCTTGGTTCCAACTGGTAAGATAATACCTAAGCCAACCGTCAACTTGCATCGTTTGTTGGCTGGCCCAACAACTTCGGTATGCTTTGTCCAGCTCCCTCTCAGCAAAACGGCGGGTTTGGTGGGTCCGGGGGGGCAAAAACACACACAAGATGGAAGATCCACGTGAGGCCGCCGTGAGTGATGAGGAGACCTTGAGAGGTAGGTCACTGCTAACTATGGCCGCCCACCACCATTTGCACAAGGCAGGGTCGTACTCGAGAGGAATGGAAGAATAGATTAAACGTCTTGAAGCTGTGTGCATCCCCCATATATTTCCTTCTCCCCTCCCCTCACTCTGTAACTCAGGTACCAAAAACACCTAATACATGCACCATTGAACGGAAACTTCTTCCACTTTCTGTTTGATTCGTGATGAATTTGTATCGTCCATGGAGCGGGCACGTATTCTTCCACCTGTTGAATAACTATGGTAAGTGTAAAATCCTAACAAAAAGGAGAAAAGAAGGGAAAAAAGCAATACATAGCATGAGTACTCCCTATTAACTCCGAATCCCCCTTTCTTATTGACTCACTCAGCTGGTAGCCGCCCGGCCGGCACTTAAAACTGGAGATGTCGACTCCAAGAAGTAAAAAACAAAAGCCTGCGTAGAGTTGCATGAGGTGCGATAACAGTAGTACAAATTTATTATTGTCACTTCACTCCTATCAACTATGATGCGACGCTCCTTACTATTGGTAGCAGCAAGTACATGAGCCAACTTTTGTGATACCCTCCATATGATCCATTTTTTTACCCCAGAGACAATAGAAGAATGCGAACAACAAATCTGGTCAAATTCAAGCACGCCCCAGATCTCTCGTAGGTCATTCGAATCAGACCTAATCAGCCCTCGCCGCGAGACTTGTGACGATGTCGGGGACCTGGGCCGACCCGTTGGCGCCCTCGCCGGCCGCCTTCGGGATGACGGGACTTCCCTGTCGGCTCGGAGTAAACTGCGCCATATGTCAGTTGCAAAACCCGGAAAATGGAATGAACAGAACCTAAAAAGAAGACTTACGTTACTCGCTGCACTCAGGAGAGCGCTCAGGGAGCTTTGTACGACATCTTCGTGGAGGCCCACACCCCAGACCTTCTGCTTCGTTCCGGCCGCCGTGCACTCAATGTATGTCGCGGCCTTGACATCCCGTCCCCTCCCGACGGCGTGCTCCTTGTAGTCCTGGACATCCAGGTCAATGCCGACCTTCCGGAGGGCATTGGCCAGACTAGAAATCGGCCCGTTACCACGGCCGCGAAGCTTGTATTCGACGCCGTCAATGGACACAACACCTTCAAAGACTCGCCTGAAGCCAGTCGTATCCTGCGTCTTGCCCGGCTCAGGCGGAGCGGGGGACGTGGAGCGGTCCGGTGCAATGGTGTAATCCACAATGTTGAAACGGGCGGTCTGGGTGAGGAAATAGGTCTCCTTGAACAGATCCGTGATTTCCGTCGGGAGGAGTTCCCGACCTCGTTTTTCGGCCATGTCTTGGACCACCTTTGAAAACGCAACCTGGAGGCCGCGCGGTAGGTCGAGGTACAGGTGCTGTTGGATGATCCAAGCAGCGCCGCCCTTTCCGCTCTGCGAGTTGACGCGAATAACGGCCTGGTAATCCCGCCCGATGTCCTTGGGGTCGAGGGGGAGGTATGGAACTTGCCAATAGTCCTCGTACTCCTTCCCTTCGTCTTGGCGTACCTGGAACCCCTTTTTGATGGCGTCCTGATGGGATCCGCTGAACGCGCATACTACCAGAGAACCTCCGTATGGAGCACGCGGGTGTACCTCAATCTTGTTGCACTCCTCTACTACCCGAATGACCTTGTTGAGATCGGAGAAGTCGATGTTGGGGGACACACCCTGTGTGTAGAGGTTCAAGCCAAGAGTCACGAGGTCAACATTACCAGTCCGCTCCCCGTTTCCGAACAGGCACCCTTCAACCCGGTCAGCGCCAGCCATCTGTGCCAACTCAGCCGCAGCCACAGCACAACCACGATCGTTGTGCGGGTGGAGAGAGACACAGATCTTTTCCCGCTCAGTGATATTTCGGCAGAAATACTCGATCTGGTCGGCGTAGACGTTTGGCGTGGCCATCTCGACGGTAGCGGGGAGGTTGAAAATAATGGGATTCTCCTCGGTGGGCTCCCAGGCCTTCTTTACCGCCTCGCAAATCCGGACCACGAATTCCGGGCTGGTATCGGAGAATGTCTCTGGGCTGAATTCGAAAGCCCATTCGGTGCCGGACTGCGAGGGGTCATCCTTGGTCAAAGACCGGACCAAAGCCGCACATTTGCTGGCCAACTCGACGCTCTCATCTTCCGAGAACCCAAAGACGATCCTCCGGAAGCATTCGCTCGTGGCAAGATAGATGTGCACGATGGCTTTCTTGGATCCCTTGAGAGACTCGACCGTGCGGCGGATGAGGTCCTCTCTGCAGGGTGATAGGACTTGGAGCCAAACGTCGTCAGGTATGGCTCCTTCGGTTTCGATCAGACGCCTTGTGAAGTCGAAGTCGGTTTGTGACGCCGACGGGAATGATACCTCAATCTCCTTGTAACCAAGGTCGCAGAGCAGCTTGAAGTACTCCCATTTCTGCTCGCCATTCTATTCGGACCTTGTTGTCAGCCAATTGCTAAGGTCAATGCCTCCCAGAGGTACTGTGTGACTCACCATGGGGTCAACCAAGCTCTGGTTACCATCTCGAAGGTCCGTTGCCAGCCACCGAGGCGCTTTGTCGATGGTCTTGTTCGGCCATTGGCGGTCGGGAAGGTTGAGAGGTGGGAACTTCTTGTATTTCGTGGAAGGATCTTTGAGCCTGCCAGCGTAACGAGTTAGAACCGACGTTTATTGTAGCACCGATGGGCTAGGGAGGCTGTGGTTCGTTGACTTACATCGGCATTTTGGCTGGGGATGGGAAACAACCCAAAAAGTAACACTATACAGTCGAGGGACAGGACAGACTTTTCTCGAGACCAATCGCACTTCGCTTCGCGATCCGAATCTCAACAGGTCCAAAAGGGCAATCCGTTTCTTCCGTAGATGACACTGACGTGGGTTGAAGATTTGAACAAAACAATGCGCAGATCGCTGCAAGTGGGGAAAACAAAACGGTTACAAATGGCTATTGAAGGGGAGACCTTGAGTCATAGGGACCTGGGCGAGGAGCTTTCCAAATTCTTTGCAAGTGCCTTTTTCCCGAGTTAAAGAAAACGGAACGACTTAGCCGCAAGCTTACCCCACCGCCGGACAGACTTCCCTTCGCCACCATTGCCGGCCAGCACGCGAGTCTTTGATGGAACTACATCGGTTGCGCCGGGCAGGAGGCATTGTGTGTTGTGCGTTTGGCGGGGCTCCAATGATCTGACAACACAGCCCCTCCTTTCCTCTTCATGTTGCAGCCATTGCGCCTGGTCGAATTAGTCAAGTTGTCATGGACAGCCAGTTTTCCTCCGATTACGATACTATTTTAAGCAACTATTGCGAATTCTTCGAAATCGGTTCGGACCCCGAGCGCATCGACTGCTTCAAACTCTTTTCAGTCCACCGCAGGCAAGCACATGCACATGCTGTGATGTCCCGGCTGTATTGAAGAGCCGGTTTTCAAGTTCTCAAGGACAACCACTCACAGCACATGCGGGTTTCCGCTGCATGTGGAGGCCTTCATCTTCCCCACAAGCGGGGCACAGTCTTGACGGCCCAGGGGCTCAGCGAACATCGGATGTCAACTTCCAATGGCGAGACTGAAAGGCGAGCGAGGTTGCGAGGTAAGAAAATCCGTGTGGGGACTTTGCGTCTTGACGATCGGAATTTGTACCATATGTATTATGTTAGTCGAAGGCCTTAGAGATGACATGACACTGCGTGAGCATTCCATGCATTTCATTTGACTAAGGTCATGTAGGAAACGTAACCTTATTGGGCGTTTCAATGTTAAAACATCCGACTTTCGGCTTTCGGTCGTTCAGGAGTCAATGATGTGGACGGCCGGAGGCCGAAGACCTGAAGACGAAACTCTTTGTCATGGACGGTTCACTTCTTGTCAAGTCCATGGTATTGTGGACTTAGACTGTTCAAGTTTGATCAGGAAGAACATATATTGGTATAAAACCCCCCAAGCCCTACATGCGCCGTCTTAACCCGCTGCTCCAATGCTAAACCCACATGATATAAAACTCGAAAAAAACCGCCCATCTAGACCATTGTCGCTCTCTATTTAGCGGACCGCTCGCTTGATTAAAGAGGAAGAAAAAAGAAAAAAAAAGTGACAAAACAACAGCTGAACCCAGCAAGATCACCAGGTAAAACTCTCCTCCACAAAATCCACCACCGTCCTCTGCGCCTGCACCTGGCGCACAGCATCCCGCACATCATCCGCTAGCCCTCCCGGACCGCACACCGTCACACACATGGCGCCCCTCTGCTCGCCAACCTCCTTCGCCAACAACATCGGAATATTCGGCCGCCCGGGGAACATCTGCACCGTCGCCGACCGCGAGACGACCTGGTTGGCGTTCTTGGGCCGGGTGACAAACAGGCGAATCTCGAGAATGTCCTTGCGGTTGGGCATCTTGAGAATCTGGTCCATAAAGGGGCGGGCCCACTCGAGGATCTCGTAGTCGCGCAGGATCCAAACCAGCGTGACGCGTCGCGTGGCGGCGGTGCCTGCGTTGTACCCGTTGACCAGGTGGCGGACGTAGCTCATCTGGTGGGTGATGCCGGTCGCGCCGGCGAAGAGCACGCAGTGGCCGTAGCTGTCTAGGTTGTGGTGGCCGGCATAAGGGCCTTCGAAGGCGGCACGCATCGAGATCTCGCGGTTGCCTGGGGCGCGGGAAGCGGCGTCGAAGAGCTTGCGGGTGAAGCCGGTGTGGGCGCCGATGATGAAGGATACGCTGGTTCCGATGACCTGCGCCGGGTTGCGGGGCTTATCCTTCTCGGTGGTGGGGAGCATCTCGTCGTCGCGATGGTGGTGTTCAAACCACGCGATGGAGAACGGGTGGGATTCCCAGCAGTTGACGCCCGCAAATCGAAGGTAGGCATGCTGGCCCGGCTTGACGTCGACAAACCGTGGGAGGCGCATGGTGACGCGACAGGCCTCGCCTGGCATGGCTTCAACGGTGGCGTGGGTGAAGCCGTGGCTCGACCAGTTGAGGTAAGCGAGGCGGAACATGCGTGCAGTTCGTTCCGCGACCCAGATAGCCACAATGGCAAAGATCCAACTGGTTTGCGGAAGGCCCCCGGGCACGCCGGCTGTGACGCAGTGAACCCAGGTGCAGACGAAGACGATCAAGGCGAGGATGATGTGTACGTTGAGGAAGGTCTCGTAAAATGCGTGGCGTACCGGGGAGAAGGCCAGGATCAAAATGAGGAACATGGCCACGGTGCCAACAGTGCCGGAAGAAATGAAGGGCTCGCCCAGGATTCTATCCTTGACGCCGCTCCATCCACCGTCGGCGACTTGGACGATGGCCCACGAGATGAAGTGGATGATAATCTCGACGATGGCGATCCGCCCCATCCACCGATGCAAGAGATTGTACGTGTCGAAGCTCACGTTGAGAAGCCCGATCAGCGGGTTGTTGCGGCCCGCGAAGATGATGAGCGGCACCATGCTCACGACCGCCAGCGTTCCGGAGCGGCCCCGGATTTCGGCGCAGAGGGCGTACTTGTTCTCGACTTTCCAGTGGAGGACGAACATGTAGGCAATGTTGCTGGCGAGGTAACCGAGAAGGAGGAGAGCGTGGAATCTAGAGGGAAGTGTTCCCATGTTCGCGGCGCCGGAGAGGCGGATCTCGCGGTTGTGGCGTTTCCTCCACAAGGGCGCGTAGAGAAGCTGCTTCTTCAACCACGGCATTTTGTTCCATTGCGTCCGCTTCCAAAAGTCCTGCTTCTCTGCCGGCAAAGGCATGGCCGAGACCAGTCTGAGCTTCGCCCACGAGAGTTCGCCTATCCTGATGACAAGCATGATCAGGCCAACGATGCCTAAACTCCACCAAAGTACCTCGGTGAACAGCATGTTGTTGACTTGGTTGACGCCATCGAGGCCCGTGCTGTATTGGGAAATCGTTGAACTTGGGGTGGCCACTCCGGCCGGTGTCGCTGTCGTCGTAGTTGGTATAGTCGTAGCTCGTGGCTGTAACGGCGCAGCCGCGTAGCCGAGTCCCCGGTGGGGGAGTGCGGGCTCCATTGTGAAAGGAAAGAGGTCGAGAAAGCCCTAAGAAGAGGGGGGGAGATGCGATAAAGTCGGTTCAAGAGCAGCTTCGAGGGACAAATAGAACACAAAAGCGCCCACACTAAGCCGCAAGTTACTTTAGGTGACTTTAGCACGCGACTGTGGACCGGTCCGACGAAAAGTTGTGTTATTGAGAAGCGAATAGTCCCATTGTCTGCTGAACGTTGAACAATAAGTAGAGAACAAAGGCGTTGCGGGCCGGCTCTTCTCTGGCCGGTCGACGGGATGAACAAAGTGAAAACCCCGGCTGGCTCCGCGACAATGGTCCGATCAAAGGGATCTGTCGAGCACAGCGTGGATCCGGGCCGAGGAGGTCGTCGCCAAAGTTGAGCCTGAGGAAACACAGGAAGGTTTGTTGCTGGCGGAGAAATAACGAAGTGAGTCCGCGGATGCTTTACCAGAAAGCAGGAGCCAGGTGTGAATGTTGTTTCATCCGGATTCAGGGTCGTACTCGATAAGCGTGAAATTCCAAGTGAGGAATTCGGATCTGTCACAAACGAATGGGAACAAGACTCAAGAGATTGAGATGAAATGAAAACAGTGTGAGATCGGCGTCGATGCAAACCGGTCGTTGTGGATTGGCTTCACCCCCTGTTGTATCGCAACACAGCACCGCTGGGCGTGTCAATCTTGGAAATGAGACAAGAAAACAAGAGACTGTATAAACTGGAGACCAAACCAGTCGGTCTTCGCTGTTGAATGAAAGTTGTGTGGTTGCCGAAAGGAGGCCTAGCGAGTAAAAGGGCAAAAGAGAGTCAAGGACACACAGCCGCGCGCATCTGGCCGACACTCCTTACCTTTATCAAAATGCGCAAGACATCAACGAGGCCGCCCCGCAGAAGGCTAGATCGATATCGCGCCCCCTGAATCCGAGAAGAGGATTTCTCTCGGTGGGACTCTTTCCTTGGAGATCCATTGTCGGCCAACCGAACTCGCGGAAGAGTCTTCCCCTGCGCCAAGTACACCTGCGGACAACACTCAGGTCAGCAAGACCCTGGAAAACACCTATCAGGCGGTGCCTGACGTCCATTTCTCGTGGTGTTCTGCACAACCCAAGCGGAGGTGCGGAGGCACAGAACCGGGGTCCTGGGTCGAGGAACCGGGATGTCCTGAACTGGCCAAAATCATAGGGTGAGGATGGCCTTGGCCCACCGACGGCGGATTTCAGAATTCATGCAGTTGAAGGGGGGCGAGCATTTTGATTGGCTCAGTGTTTGATCGGGCGTTTCTTTGCCCCTGCCCAGCCGGCGATTCCCACTGCGGTAAGTGCCTTGGCCACGACACCACGCAAACAGGTGCAAAAAGCAGTCTTGCCCTTCGTTTAGAGTACGAAGACTTCGGTCCCATTCCAGCCGACGCGGTGGTTTCCCTTCCGGTGCTTCGACAACGTGGCAGATGAAGAAGATTCCAATGTGTTGTGCCGAATCCGCCCGCTAAAAACCTGAATTGCGGTGTAGCAAGGAACGGAAAGGTCCCCTCTTTTGTCTTACCACAGTTATTCGTATTTGTTGCCGGTCCAGAAGCAGGCACCCCCACCTGCAGATAGGAAAGGCGCGCGCTTGCGCTACCGCAGCACCGATTTGAGGAAACACCCGTTTTGGCAACTCAACATCGTCGTCGGCGGCTCAAGACGCGAAAGGAATGGGTAACGGCTCCGCTTATGCCCCCCCGAACTCGATCAATATTCGCAACATTGAATGTACAGATATTCCAGGCGGTTAGGTAGGTGGCTTAAAGGGAGTTGAGGGCCGCCAGCTCAATGGTGCAGCCGCAGGACAAACACCAAGGAAGGCTTGGAACAGCCTTACTTAGGCCGTTAAAGCGTCTTTGTCGGCAATCGCCGAGCATCTCATGATTCCCAGCCACCACAGTACCTCAGAAACAAAGAAACCTTGCCGAACCTTTATCTCTCGAACACCAGAGCTTCCATTTTCTCGTGACGATCTGTTTGAAGTGTAAGTCCTTTGGGTTTGAGGCTTTCGAGAAACGACTGGGTTCGAGAGCCCTTAGATTATGAGTGAGATCTCAATCTGGAAAGATGTAGACGCAAAGAGAAGTTGCATCGATAATGCTTCGGTCTTGTCCGGACCTGATACTGTCCAAGCTCCCATGTGGTTGCATGGAATCAAGTTCCATCCCGATGCGATTACACTACTGTGCCGATACAGTAATCCGTACTGGTAACACTGTGTGCGGCCGTGCGCTGGAAATTTCCGGGAAACGCCAAGCATTCAAGCATTCAGGAATGCATCGTTGACTGCCGACGGGCGACCGCGCAAAAGAGCTCAAGGACATTGTGCAACTGCTCCGCCCGCAGCGCCCACTGATCGAGGCTCTGCTTCCAGCTTTTCGACCATGGGCTCGAGCGCGTCAAAACCGGCCGACTCCCACGTGTGGAGGGGGTACGTTCAAGTCCTCTCGGAGCTCTCCTTGCGCTCATTCTCGCCATGTTTACAAAGTAGACTAACCGAAATCCCAGGCCGCCCCAGACCGGGGTGTCACAAAACCTCCTTGAGTCCATTGAGGCTAGCAACGAGGTACGTTGTCTCCCTAGTTAGCCGCTGCCCCGCCCTATCCAGCTCACCAGGTTTCCCACTGCAGACCGACGTCTCCCGCATCCAGTCGCTCGAGCTCCACATCCAAGAACGTGTCACCGCCGAGCTGAAACGCCTACGCGAACAAGAAGCTCAGGGAGTCCGTGAGGCACAGAAGAAGTTAGCAGCTGAGCCCGCCGAACAACAAGGAAGCGAGGCCGAGGGGAAGCTTAGGGGGGCCAGCCGACAGGAGGTGTCCAAAGTGATCGATAATCTGCGGGCAAAGCTGGAGGAGAGGAAGCAGCCACGGCAGCTGCCCGAAGCCCTTGAAAGCGCACAAAATGAGGTAGTGCGGTGTCTCCGCGAGAATGACCGCCGGCCGTTGGACTGCTGGCGCGAGGTGGAGGCGTTCAAGGAGCAGGTCAGGAGGTTGGAGAGGGGCTGGGTCGATAAAGTTGTGAGCTAGGTGTGATATGGGGAAGGTGGGAACCAAGAGGCGGCGGCTTGACGTTATCAGGTCGGGGCTATATACCACAGATATTATGTACAAAATAGGGCCAATATCCAACACCGCGGCCCGATCTTCACGGATGCGTTGTAAGGAATAGAAGTCTGGAAAGCGTTAAAACAACATAGCACTAGACAGACGGTTGGGGAAGCTAAGCAATATTTAGTTGCAGGGATTCTATGGTGGGAGCTTCTGTCTTCACGGCTATCTCCTTTTTCAGCTCTTCTCGGCGTCGGAGCCCCTCTAGCCGTTTACGCTCCCTCCTTACTTGCGCATCCTCCCAGTCATCTTTGCCTTTCGGAGGTGTGAAAGCTGCCTCCAGCGCCGCGCTAAATCTCGCAATCCTCTTGTCGTTCTCTGCGAACCTCTCGTTGGATATCCGCACAAGAGTTTCTAGGTACTCAGGGGAAACGGTCAACTGGCGAACGCCGTTTGTTTCTGCCCCGATGAGAGACTCGAAAGACAAGCCCATAGACCGCACGGCCACCATCGGCGTCGCTTCTTCGTCTGGCTGCCGCGCGAGGAGGCTCACAGCACCAGTTTCGCGGAACCCAGCCTCCATACCAGCCTGGACTACCAGCTGCGCATGCTCAAGGGACGCAGTCAGTATATGTAATATCTGTAAAATTGTATTAGCTTGTTTCGCCCATCACATATCAGCAGCAATACCCATTACCATTGGTTCGAACTTGAAGTGGATGAGCCTCGCCGCGTCATCCAAGCCGCTCCCTCCGGTTGGTAACCCCCCGTTTCCACCTAACAGTAGCTTCTCATACCCTTCCTCAGCAACCCCAGCACGGTACTCCCGGGTCTGTATTGGGTCATGAGACACAAATAGCCACTCCCCGCCCCCCTTCCCACCAGCAGAGCTCGCACTCCCACTCGCCACACTACCATTCCCACTTCCACTCCCGACAACCGCTGCCACCTCCATCGACCGGCCGCCTTCATCCTCAACAACAACCCTCCCACCCGCAGCGCCACCGTCCCTCTCCCCAGCCGTGCTCGACACAGCCGCTTTCCGGCCCTCGAGGTATACACTGACTCTGCCCGCACAACTACTCGTTGTGACAAGACCCGCGTAGGTGGTGTTGATCTGGTCGATTAGGGCACGGATGCGGACATCGACTGAGCCCTTGGGGGAGGCATCGGTGTATTGCTCATCGGGCAGGGCGAGCTGGGAAAGGATTTTCTGTTTTCTGAGGGTGAAGGCGGGACCGGGTGTTCCAAGATTTTTCATGTTTTTCAATGAATCCAGGTTGGTGCTTTTTGTCTCGGGTTTGTTGTCCAGGTGGAAGAATTTTGGGTCGGCAGAGGTTGATTTGGGATTTGGTGATGGTTCGGATGGGGAATGGAAAATGGAGGTCACGTGCTTACCATTAACCCCTTTGACGATACATATCTCCCTACCTAGGGGGGTAAATCATGAGGTTAGGTAATAACAATGAATCTTGGAATGCGACGGGATTCCCGAGTATAATTTGGCCAGCCAAAAATCACTAAAATCATGAGGTCGTCAAGCATCAACAATTCTTAATGGTGGGAACAAGATGAGACAGAATTACAGAAGGGGACAAATTCATAAATGGGACCTTCCTGGGAGCTGTGACATGTCTATTTTCAGCACATGTAAGAGAGAAATCAAGTAGATGAGAGAATAGGAGGAGGGTGTGGGAAAATATAACATTGAAACAGAGGACGACAACTGAAAACGAAACGCATCCCACGCCGGCCCTCTATGGCCCGCCCTTTCACGGTTCCGTCCCAATGTTCGATGATGCCGTTGTAATCCAATGACAAACGCATGAAACCACTCCCCTGGCGGGTGGTCCCGTCTTCCAGGTTGCTCATACCACGCACCTTCCGTCCTCCCCGCGACAGCCATTCCTTTATAACCCACCCTTTCGCTATCAGTTTCCAACAACCTCCCCATCCGGCAAATGCCCAACCGCGGATGGCGCATTTAGGGGGGTGCAGGAACACTCGGTGCTGCCTGCTTGCTCCCCTTCCTAAGTTCGATTCAGGGAGGGGGCACCACAGTAAAATTCTTCGGGATTTTCGTAGCTGTCTACAACCTCCCCGGAGGAAGTGGGCAGTGAGCTTTTTGTGTTGTTCTCTTTCTTATTATTATGACGCACGCAGGGGCCTTAAACCTAAGACCAGAGACTAGAGAGAAAGGTAGAAAATACGATAGGGTAAACAAAACTTTTGTAGAACATCAGAATTTTGTTAAAAACTTAAAACTAACACAGCCTCAAAACACAACATCTCAAAGATTAGCAGCCAGTGCCGCCGCACTTCCAGCAAGAAGCATCGCTGCGGTTGGCACGGCACCGGAGGGGCCACCGGCATTAAGGGGTATCGTAGCGGGCACAATCGTGGTTGTAGGCACGATACCCGAAGTCAACGGAGCATCTGCTACAGCCGCGACCCCCTCAAACGCAGGTGCTTGTGTGGCAGCGGCCGGGTCTGGAGTAGCCGAAATATTGGCTGGGTTCAGAACACTGCGTAAAGAAAAAAAGCTGTCAGAACAGAAACAAAAACAGCCCCCAGCTTTTCATGAGTGTGTGTAGGTATGGGTATGGTATGTAGGTAAGGAAAATACACTCACTTATCCAACACGTGCACAACTCCATTACTCGTCAACACATCCGCCAGCACAACCTTTGCCGAGTTGACAAAAACCTGCGTGCCATCCCGGCGAACGGTAACATTCTGCCCCTGGAGCGTCGCCAGCGTAATCTGGTCGGCACTTAGAAGATCGGGGCTGAACTGCAGCTGCCCCGGCAACACATGGAATCCCAAGATGCTCGTGAGGTCCTCGACCGACAGCGAGCCCAGCGCAGACCCGATCGCCTTGAAGGCGTCGTTTGATGGAGCGAATATTGTGACGTCTGTGAGGCCGTTGACGGCGTCGACTAAGTTGGCGGCGGTGAGTGCGCCTGCGAGGGACGTTAGTCCGGTGTTGATGGCGGTTTGCCCGGGGTTTGCGGGTACGGTGAGAACGGTATCGATGACGTGGACGATGTTGCCGCCGTCGAATGCGACGTCCTAGGACAGACACATGATAGGTTAGCCCCGTTGGGTTCCGGAACTCGACGTGAGGCGGCTTGACCTTACAGGAGTGACCACTTTGGCGGCTTGCTTGAAACCCGAGAGTATTGTCGCAGAGCCATCTACCGTCACTAGTCCAACTCTTTGCCCCCCGGTGACGTTGGTGAATGGTGCTCCCAGCAAAGTCGAGGGGAACTGTGGGGTGGCCGAGAAGGCGCTGGACAACAATTTTCCCACTAGCACATGGTATTGCAGTACACCAGCCAAAGCCCTGGGGTTGTTCATCAGCTCTGCTGATTTGGGATTTCTAGCCAGAAGATTGGCAAAGGCAGTGTCGGACGGGGCCAGGACTGTGACGTTTTGGGCCGTCGAGAGCGCCTGGACAACATCCGGGACGAGGGTGAGGAGATCTACTCGGGTTAGGCTCATGCTTGGTCAATGTCAATGGAGAGTTCAAGTCGGAGTCCTTACTAGTGAGAGTGCTGAGTGTGGCGTTGTTAGCTTCAAGAATGGACGCCAAAGACTGAGCCGAGACAGAAGCCACGAGACTGAGGGGGAGTAGACGGGAAAGATGCATTGTCGCAGGGTATCGTGGCTCAACCTCGGTCAATAATTATTTATTACCTATGTTACGGACGCAGTACAATGTTGGCTGCTGGATATGAGGGCGAAAAGTCTGTGATAATATATACTTTGGTAAGGGCATCTGAAACGCAGCAGTGACTCCGTGCTTCCGGTATGAAACGAAGCGCTTGCTCGCCCTAGATTTGCTTAGGCCATCTCACGATAGCTTCAATCAATAGATCTACCGTAAAAGTCGGCAAATGCAAATGCGAGGTCAAATAATACGGCATGAAGGGGGGAAGTTTGCCGTGTTCTTCGAACCAGACAGGCTATCACTGGCCCCAGCACCCTCTATTCTGAAATCGGCGGCCAATCTGGGACACGATGGCCCCTGCCCAGGTACGGTAGCAGACCGGAACAAGGGAAAACGGCTTTCCGTGGATGATATTTTGGAATTGAGGGCCCAAGCCTTGACTCCGGAGCCGGTCGTGGCATAATCACCTTGACCTTTGCGAAGCATCGGGTGTCGGAGCTGGGGGATCACGGCAGCCCCTGAGCTTGTTCCCGAGGATCGGTAGACCGGCCGTTGCCGCTGTGCATCCTGCGACTGGTCCTCAGTATTGACATAGTTCTAAAAAAGGAGGATATGCAATTTTCGGTCGGGATTCCAGCAAAAGGGAGGTGTTGTTGTGGAATCTGCTATTGAACACACCATTTAACTTGCGATAAACAAATGCCTGACGTCAACCCTAACCCTATCGCCTCCGAAACGAACTTGATGACAAACAACCCCGGAATGGACTCACTCTCGATGATCAACAGGGGGCAGGCTGCGCACTGGCATTAGGACACCGGGTGTGTCGACATACGCGGCACCAAACATTCCAGCCTCGCGAACAAAGTAGTATCGATCCAAACCGGTTGACCCCGGATATGGGCGGCTTGGGCGATGGCCGACATGGTTGGGGGGTAAACGGGGGTTTTAATTGGGGGAGATTGGTGGGGTAACATGGGATTGATGGAAAAGGCCATGATCACGGGAACACCTGGAAAGTTTAAACCTACCTACCTACCCAACCTCACACGCTCGTCGACACTAGTAGTTCATAAGAGATATGTATTCTTCTTAGCTTTCTTTATTTACTTGGTTCAACAGCTTGAAAACGCAACAGACAAAAGATTTTCAATGCAACAGATCACCATGCTGTCCGAAACCCACGGCCCCCAATGGCCGCGATAACCGATAACGCCGACACCAAGCACCCCAAAACGCCGTTTGAATGCAAATCATCCCAAATGCCATCATCCCATGCGTGAGTGACCTCGTTCCCCTTGATACCTAGTTTTCCGGACCCCCCCCCCCCCTTATCATCATCATCATCAACGTGAGAACCCTCGTTAATACCTCCAACCTTGAAATGCTTAAGCAGTCTGCTGCTGCTGCTGTAGAGCCGCCTGCTCCAACAACTGAGCGTAGCGGCTTTGCTTGTTGTGGATGCCGCACTCGGTCTTATCCTGACCCTTCCACCGGCCAGCGCGCTCATCTTCGCCCTCACCAACAGGGACGGTAGAGTGCCAGTCACCAACTGACTTGTAGCCCCGGTCGAGCAGGGCGTTGTACGGCACCTTGTTCTCGTCGATGTACGCCTTGACCTGGCCAAAGGACCAGTTGGCGAGCGGGTTGATCTTGATCACACCGCGCTCGTCGTCTAGTTCGATGACGCTGATATCGCCGCGCTGTCCGCCCTGCGACCGGCGGCGACCCGTCAGCACGGCGGCCACCTTGAGGTCCAGATAGGCGCGCTGCAGCGGCTCAACCTTGGCGATCCAGTCGTACAGCTCGGCCGACATGTCGTACAGCTTCTCGCCGTACAGGGCCTCGAACTGGGCGACATCGTCGACATCTGCTGGCTTGAAGACGTGCACCTTGACGTTGTAGCGCTCCCGGACGCGGTCCACCAGCTCATACGTCTCCTTGAAGTGGTACAGGGTGTCGAGGAAGATGAGGTCGATCGGTTGCGGGGTGCCTGACTCAGCATCCAGCTTGGAGAGCATGTCGACGGTGACGAGCCCTGTCAGGCCAAAGGCCGTGGATTGGTAGAGGTTGGGGAAGAAGATCTTGCAGAAGCGGAGGATGTCCATGGGGTGGAGGTTCTCGAGTTGTTTGTTGAGGTGCTTGATGTGTGGCTGGGTGAGGGATATCCGGGGCAGGCTGACGGTGGAGGCGTTCGGCGAGACGAACCCGGAATCGACGGAGCCATGGTCCCCAGGCGAGGACAGCTGAGAAGAGGTTTCGGAGTGGGTGTCGGCCATGGTAGATGATGGGGAAGTCGAACCGTTATTGTGGTGGTGGTGTGTAGTGTGTCTACCTGTGTGCGTGGCTGGTGCTAGTGGTGGTTTGTGGTTGGTTGTTGGTTGTTGGCTAATGCCGCAGGAAGAGGAGGCGGGCGAGGATGATCAAGTCTCAAGCACTGAGCGGTCGCGGGGCTAGTTGTTTGCTGAGATAATGGTTGTGGGCAAAGAGCGAGGGAAATCGGAGAGCAAGGGGGACCGAAACCGCAGCAAGAAAATGCGTGTCAAAAAGGCGGGAAGGGGGGGGTTGCTAAAGGGGGTCGGGTGGTATTAAAAAACAGCACGGAAGAAGGGAGGCCCGTTCGAGCGTCTCGCAGGGTTACGAATATCCAAGAGCAAATTGCGGGATCTTGGGTCCGGCAGGGTGAACGGAGCGAGGTGAGTATTCTACTTATTATACGCATCACCAGCCATGACTAATGCCTGCTTTTCAAGCAATCTTGGTCATCACGAAGAGATCCGAAGACAAGACCGATCTGGCATTGGCCCCTCACCGTCGAAACCGGGTCAGCATGCCACCTCGGAGTGGAGGCACAGTGAAAGGCACGTTTTTATGAAGCTTTCATCAGAGTGGTGGTGTTTTCAGCGAGGCTGATCACGACATCTGGAGACTATGTGATTGGCCGATATGGTCGATTTTCTGTGGGGGTGCCGGTTCCGCCGTTGTTCAAAACGGCACCCCTTGTGGCAAGCACGCAAGCACTCGGCCCAGAGAAGGCACCATTCCTTTCACGAATCACGGAAAACGCTGTGTGCCTGGCTTGGTGTCTTCTTGCCGAGACCCGGCGGTTCCGACGATCATGTTTTGGCGCTGTGCCGCCGTTTGGGGCAAGCGAGTTGAGACAGCATCGAGCAGGCATGGAATGTTGAGGCATTCGACTTGATGGCCGTTGTGAGTGTAACTAACTATCTATGACTGCCTCGTAAGTAACTACCTTTAGTAAGCCGGGCCGCACTCGCCCTTCGTTTTGAGTCGAGCAGCGGACCCAACAAGCATGATGTCACCGACGGAACAATTCTGACAAACCCAATTCTGCCCTCCTGTTCGTCCAAACATCAACAAAACTAAAGTCCGTTTGCACGCCGGGCAGATGGGAGAAGACTCGGTCGTCTGCATGGAAGCTCGTTCCGATCTCGAAATGGACGCGGCTCGGCGGCTCGGCGGCTCAGATTGAGACCGACTCCCGCGCCACACGGACCGTGGGGTGCATCATGGGGAGCGTGGCATTCGTGAGCATCGCCCAATGGCAAATGGCTTCAGAGGGACCCTTGAACATGGGGACCTGATAAAAAGGTCGCGGCCCCAGCAGGTCTCACCACCCGTTTTCTGGAGAAAAGCCTCTGACGTCCGCCAGGGGAAATCCGGCTGTGTACACTACTATGTACGGATACATATACCGTAATTGCCGATAACTTGGGTAAGTGACACTTTGCTAAATTGACTGTGTATGCGGTCGACGGAGCCAAGCACGGGGAATGCCGTCGAGCAGAAAATTGTGTATTTGCGCGCTTCGATTGCTTCAAAAATCGATCTGTCCAAGGCGGAAACATGTCCGCACTCCGACGATCGTGACAAAACGAACGGGGAATCCAAATAGAAAGTATGGCGGGTTTTGGTTCACCTAAAGAAGGAAGGTTGTGGGAGGTTTTTCCGTCCGAAGACCGACTCCGGCGCTTTTTGGCCGGAGGATGATCCGACGTGTGCCAAGCAAATGGCGGGGTCCTCTTCCTGCCGGCTTCCCGTTCCCTGAAAACACTCGAAACGCGGGGGCATACCGATTTTTTTTTCCCGCGGCGGGACTCTTCCAGAGATTGCAGCAAAAGGTGGCACAAAGGGGCAGCTGCCGGAATTCACAAAGGCTAACGAGCCACTCTCGCAACTTTTCCCGACGTCGTCATGGCTGAGGAAACCGGAGCGTCGCCCCGCCAAGCGCGGCCCTCGATGACTGCGACCATGCGGAGCAGCTCCTTTCTGAGGGACCATCAACAATACCGCCCGCAGTACAAACCCGAGAACCACTACGGGATTGACACCGTCGTGGAAGATCTACGAGCAACTTCCATCTCCCCGCGGGACATTACTCCCTTCAAGGGCGTCCCTTCTCCCGAAAACCCCCCCACGATTGTCGAGAGCGGCGTGAGCCACGGGTTGTCGCATCCCAACTGCACCCCGCGAACCGGCGCGCACCTTGATAAGCTTGTCGCGACACTGTTCTACCGATCGTCAGCACCCCGAGCCTCCAATGTGATCCCGTCCCCGCAGAAGGGCCCGTCCCCGCAGCCCAGCCGGTCCCCCTCGCTTCACGCTGCTGCGCCTGCAGTGCCCGCGGCCGAGTCCGACATCCCCCCGACCATGGCCCCGAGTAGTAGCCTCGAGACATACCCCCTAGAACCTCCTGCAGCCGAGCCCGAGCCGCTCGACCACCTCTACGGCTCTTACGTCACCCCCATGTGCATCGCCGCGTTCTTACACCTCATGACGGCCTTCCCGTTACCCCCCAGCTCCACCGACCTCACATCGGCACACCGCTGCCTCAAGCTCGACCCCAGCCAAGAAGAGCACCCTGTAGTCGTCGAGCTAACCGTCGCCCCGGCACCCTCGCCCGATTACCTGTCCCTTGCCGACCTTCGCAAGCACGAGCTCATTTACCGTTTCGAGCGCGAATGGAACGTGGACGTCGCCCTGCGCGCCGACACCCTCTGGCGCCGCTACCCGCGCCTAGTGGTCTTCGACATGGACAGCACCCTCATCACGCAGGAGGTCATTGACCTTCTAGCCGCCACCATCAAGGATCCGCCCGATCTTGCCGCCCGCGTCGCTGATATCACCCATCGCGCGATGTTGGGCGAGCTCGAGTTCGACTCAGCCTTCCGTGAGCGCGTGAAGCTTCTCACCGGGCTACCAGCCACCATCTTTGAGGAATTGCGTCCCGTATTGGACGTGACCAACGGCGTGAGGCCGCTCCTCCGTGCCCTGAAGAGATTGGGTGTCAGGACTGCCGTACTCTCGGGGGGGTTCCTGCCGCTTACTAGTTGGTTGGCTGGAGAGCTGGGGATTAATTATGCACATGCGAACGAGGTCGTCATCGACGAGACAACGGGCCGCTTGACCGGTGAGGTTAAAGGCCGGATCGTTGGTAAGGAGCGTAAGCGTGAGTTGTTGATCGAGATTGCTGAGAAGGAGGGCATCCCTCTCGAGCAGGTGGTGGCGGTAGGGGACGGCGCCAATGATCTGTTGATGATGGAGGCCGCGGGGCTTGGTGTTGCGTGGAACGCCAAGCCGAGAGTACAGATGGAGGCGAGCGCGCGCATCAACGGGGATAGTCTGTTGGATTTGCTCCATCTCTTTGGGTTTAACGCTGAGGAAGTTCAACAACTGAGTGCTTGAGCTTCGGGAGGGTTAGGTTTGGAAAGGGTGTTGTGGGTGGTCTTTTAGGGGTCTTTGTAGGGTTTTTGTTCTGCGCTGTGTGTGGAGTTGGTGGTTTCCTGGCTCTGAGGGTATCGTGAATCCGAGAGAAATCCATGCTAAATTTCTTCAAAATGAATACCAAATTATGTATTCCTGGGAAATGCGAACATAATGTTGCTCGACGTCCTGATCTTGAAACTGAGTGTTTTGTCTAAGCAATATCGAAGTTGGCCCGTTCCCGAAGCATGAAGAACTATAACTCTCCTTGACAGATTGGGTGGTGGCGGTTCATATTTAACCCTCCGTCTCCCGCCGTGATTTCTCCTGCGATCGATCGAACCCGGCGGCGATCTTGACCACTTTCGACACAACGGCCATGGAATCAAGACGAGATGCCGCTCTACACTAAAGTTGGACAACCAAAGATCGCGGACGCTTTCTTTCCTCTCAATCTAGCTGGAATAGAATCAAGTCCGATCTAGCTTTTAGCCCGGAGGTAGTTAGACGTAGAGTAATGGGAAATGCTTGGGCTTTCCGATTCTCAAGACGTTTATTCCAACTCTAACCCGCCCGGGGCATGGCCGAAGAAGCATCACCGGCGAGTACCCTTAGGGACGAGTTCATAGACCCGGCCTCGAGCTGGTGTATCAAAAAGCTGAGGAAGCATTTAGTTTTACGAATTCGGTTACACTAGTCTCACAGTCGCACTTTACTTTGCAGTGCCCGCGCCCCTCGCCCCCCAGCAGGAGGCCGAACCCAAGCACATGTTAAAGAGAGGCGAACTCATGCGGGGTTATCGAAATTCATGTTGACGGAACCAAATGGTTGGTTGCCTGTGGCATCTTTACGAACCGTTCGCTCATATAGTACTGGGGACACAAATCGCTGGCCGTCAATGGGTTGCAAGAAGGTTGTCCCTGAGGTAGGTCCATCACCCGTAGAGAGGAAGGGAGTATGCTTTGTCGAAGCGAGATGCTGGCGAGCCGAGTAGTGTATCCGTCCTGCGGTAGCGAGCCTGGCTTGCGTGGATGGGTTTGGGGGTTCCCCTTGGGATGGCCTCCGCAAAAGCTTATCAGAAATCCTTGATCCATGTCGATATCATGAACGGGGAGAAGCAAGCCTGCATGAATTATGTACATTTGGCCGAGTAAACCCTAACCCTGATCTATCCGATATCCAAGCGTGCCAAGCTGCATGTCGGAGTCTTGGCATACTTAACCCCGCAACCCCACAAGCCCCAAACCTGAAGAAAAAAATCGATGGAGAGAACAATGTGGATATTATGAGAAGGCTAGCTCTTTTGCGCTTCATTAAAATGCCTATATAGTATGAATTCCATGCGAGCGATAAGTACACCATCGAGCAAGTTCTTCTTTACTCCCCTTATTTGGCCAACCGCGCGCTGAACTGCCGCCTCGTGACGAATCCGTTGTTCGAGGTGGGCCACCCCGCCGTGCCCCGCGGTCGCTTTGTTCCTTCCTGGAATTATTGCAACCCTTCCGAGGCAAATCAAGAAAAATTCTGAACCTCTGCGCCACACCTCCCGCCGAATTGAGTGGATGGGAATTGAATGCGGTGTTACGAGCGTTGAAAATGAACTTGAAAGAAACGCGAGAGCGCCGAAGTCATGTCCTCGGATCTGAATAAAATCTCTACTGTGAAGACTGCCACAGACATCGGCACTTGGAGCTTGACTCACGCCGCGAACTCCCGTCCCAGATCTGTGCTCCACCGTCACATTGTCAAGGTTGGGTTGAGCGCCAATGCCTAATCCCCGGGGAGTCGATGCCCATTCGGCGATGAGTCCCACCCGCTCCTGCTTGACCACCGGCATGACACGAACCAGCGTCTGTGGTGGCGCTTGTTTGAGAAGATCTGTTTTGTCGAGGGCACCTGGGCAACGAGAACAAGTCACATATTGGTGGGGGTCGATACAAGCCCCTTTCAGTGGTTTTCCAGGGGAGCCCCGCGCGGTGAAGTGGTTTCAAGCAGGTTGGAAATATGATAAGGGGCGGAAGAGGGAAAGGTTTGCAGGCGTTACCGAGACGACCAAGTAGAGGAGATCAAACACTTTGCCTGCCTTTTTTGCCTGCTTTTTCGAGTACATTTGGCAATCTACAAGATATCACTCATCATAGCTTAATGAACATGCTCTCTGTTTTGGATCAGACATCAATCAACATATGGATACCTATGCGGAGAAGAGTATGCATACGCCTTGCGGGTGTTTGTGCTTGTGGTCTGAACAAGAAGCCTGATCGCGGGGCTGGGCTGGGCGGCAAGAGCAATTCGTTTGGCAAATTTGAGGGCTTGCCCCACTTTAGTCGAAGTTTTTGTGCTGCGCAACCCCACTAACCCGCCTTGCCCCTCCCGGCCTGGCCATAAAAACTTTCAACCCCTCCTCAAAATTCACCCTCCTCTTTTTCTTTTGCTTCGTCGTCGGCATACCTGATTCGAGCAATCACCTGCCACTTTCCAAGTGCGTTTCCCATCATCGCGCGACTCAAACTCAAGGCGAGCATCATTCCTGACCTTTTCTAGATTTCATCCTGCGCAAGTCGCCAATTCCGTTCTCAAGAACATCAACACCGCAAAAATGGGGTATGTTTTCTTCCTCTCAGGCTGCGTCCGTTTTACAGAGAAGCCACCGAATGCCTAACACAGTCAACAGCAAGGAGGACAAGACCCATCTCAACGTCGTTGTCATCGGACACGTCGACTCTGGCAAGTCTACGACGGTAAGCATCCCAATAGATTCGCTAGCAGGTTCAGCCGCTGACTTCATCGCAGACTGGCCATCTTATCTACAAGTGCGGTGGTATCGACAAGCGTACCATCGAGAAGTTCGAGAAGGTTAGTACTATTCCCAAACCTCGTTGACGATACCCTATGGGCCGTTTTCCCCAACATTCAATCCCATCACTTTTCCCTCCTGGCGATGGCTTTTTTTCTTCTTTTTGTCTGCCTTGTGGCTACCCCTCGCTTATCAAAGCGGGGGAGGGGCACACAAACACAGATAAGCAAAAAAAAAATCCGAGCCACCGCTGACCCACTCACCCCGCCTTGCTGATCGGCCAACCGCACGTATTTGGCATTCGCTCAATGAATTGAGGCTGACACGCGAGACAACAGGAAGCCGCTGAGCTCGGCAAGGGTTCCTTCAAGTATGCGTGGGTTCTTGACAAGCTCAAGGCCGAGCGTGAGCGTGGTATCACCATCGATATTGCCCTCTGGAAGTTCGAGACCCCCAAGTACTATGTCACCGTCATTGGTATGTGCCCCCCTCTTGCCACCACCGCCCCGATCTTTCGCTTACCCATATCCTTCCAGACGCCCCCGGTCACCGTGACTTCATCAAGAACATGATTACTGGTACTTCCCAGGCCGACTGCGCTATCCTCATTATCGCTGCCGGTACTGGTGAGTTCGAGGCTGGTATCTCCAAGGATGGCCAGACCCGTGAGCACGCTCTTCTCGCCTACACTCTGGGTGTGAAGCAGCTCATCGTCGCCATCAACAAGATGGACACCGCCAAGTGGGCCGAGGCGCGTTACCTGGAAATCATCAAGGAGACCAGCAACTTCATCAAGAAGGTTGGCTACAACCCCAAGACCGTCGCTTTCGTCCCCATCTCGGGCTTCAACGGCGACAACATGCTTGACGTCACCACCAACGCTCCTTGGTACAAGGGCTGGGAGAAGGAGGCCGCCAAGGGTGGCGCCAAGATCACCGGCAAGACTCTCCTCGAGGCCATCGACGCCATTGAGCCCCCCAAGCGTCCCACCGACAAGCCGCTCCGTCTCCCCCTCCAAGACGTGTACAAGATCGGTGGTATCGGAACGGTCCCCGTCGGCCGTATCGAGACTGGTATCCTCAAGCCCGGCATGGTCGTCACCTTCGCTCCTTCCAACGTTACCACTGAAGTCAAGTCTGTGGAGATGCACCACGAGCAGCTCACCGAGGGTGTCCCCGGTGACAACGTTGGCTTCAACGTGAAGAACGTCTCCGTCAAGGAAATCCGTCGTGGTAACGTTGCTGGTGACTCCAAGAACGACCCGCCCCTTGGCGCTGCCTCTTTCTCGGCTCAGGTCATTGTCCTGAACCACCCCGGCCAGGTTGGTGCCGGTTACGCTCCCGTCCTGGACTGCCACACCGCCCACATTGCTTGCAAGTTCGCCGAGCTCACCGAGAAGATTGACCGCCGTACCGGTAAATCTGTTGAGGCGAGCCCCAAGTTCATCAAGTCTGGTGACGCCGCCATCGTCAAGATGGTTCCCTCCAAGCCCATGTGTGTCGAGGCTTTCACCGACTACCCTCCCCTTGGTCGTTTCGCCGTCCGTGACATGCGTCAGACCGTCGCTGTCGGTGTCATCAAGAGCGTCGAGAAGGCTGTCGCTGGTGCCGGCAAGGTCACCAAGTCTGCCGCCAAGGCTGGCAAGAAATAAACGGTTTCTTCCCCCAGCAAACAAAAATCTCACTTCCTGGGTTCGGCGCCGCATGGGTCTCATGAGAGATCGCGTCGCGGGTTTACCCGCAACGCAACTATTGGTATGAACACTCGGCCGTTTTGGTATGGGGCACATCGGAGGGTAATGGTCGGCGCATCAAAACTTGTCACCGTGTGCTTGGTACAAAATAGAGTCTCCTAGAAGTGATCACGAAGGTCATGATCCCAAACGTTTAGTTCCGTTCTGCTCTCAACTCGTGTGATGTGACTGTTCTATTTGTTATACCTAAGACACCCCGACTACCATAAAGCCCCCTCTTCTCTTCTTGTCCTATCTATACAGTGAACCAATCTCTAACGTGTAATGGATGACCTTTGCCGGGGCTAATCTTCGTTGTTTGAACTTGTCAAAATGTGTAATACTACAGGGCGACATCATTGAATCCCACCGAATGGTAGTAAAGTTCTACAATTGTCTAATGTACAAAACCTGCGTGCCAATGTGGTCTGATATGCAGTGACTACATCCATCCATCATCCATCATACATGCCCAAGTTACCATCTCTCTGTGTGTGTATAAATGTATATGTGTGTTTTTACAGTGAGTGTCTTTACGACCGCTTAGCATGCCACTTCAACCGACCCTGCTCACCCACAATATCCCGCACCGCGCGCATATACTCCTCCCACTCCAGCGGTTTCGCCATAAACTCCGCATCCAACCTCGCCTGTGCCTCCGCCAAGTTAGTATCCTGCAAACTGTGCGAACCATACGCGGACCCGAGCGCGTGCGGCCGCACGGCGGCCTTGTGGAACGACCCGTCGTCTTCTAGGTCCTTGTAGGAATCCGCGTCGTCGACGAGGGCGTAGGCGTCGTCGATGCTGCTGCTGCTAGCCCCGCTACCGCCGCGGGAGGCGAATTTGTTTTGTTTGGGGTCCGAGGGTGCGACTACGCGCACGGCGTCGAGGGAGAGTTCGGCCCATTCGCCGCCGTGGCGGTGGGCGTCGATGCTGGTGTAGCGGAGTTTTAGGTTGCGGTGTTCTGCGGTTACAGTGCGGCGGATTTCGGTGGAGGAGAGGACGTAGTCGAGTTTTACGGGGAAAGGGGGAGGTGTGTCGGGATCGGAGTCGGAGTCGGAGTTGGTGTTGGTGTCCGGGTGACTGTCGGTGTTGGGGGTGGTGGTGGAGGAGGAGGGGGAGGAGGACGACGGGACAACGTGGTGGGGAAGCTCGACGCCAAGCAAGACGGGCGGCGTGTTGATCTCGCCAGCCCACGGCCGGAGGTGGGATTTCTGGAGAAAAGTAACTATCGACGGGGTATAGTCACTGATGCTTGACCCGGGAAGAGAATAGTAGTGTTGCTGAATAAAACGGCAATCGACTGCGGCGGTTGGGAAAAGCGCGTCGCTTGTGAAAGTACTTTTGACGGCCCGCACGGCGATAATGGATTGAACCTCCCTGTGATCTGCCTCCACGTGGACTTCGAGAGCTGGTGCCGAAGCGGCGAGTTCGGGGGAAAGATCGGGAGAAGGCGCAAAACGGATGACAGTGGTGGTGTGCCAAAGACCTAATTCGTGCAGATTGTTCGGCAGATTGAGGCTGCCTAGGGCAGGAAGAACGGGCAGAAAAGTGCGAGGAAGCATCTCGTCTGGTTGCTCCGGAGGGTTCGGTGCTTGGGCTGGTCCAGCGGGGGTAGTATCCTGTTGTGGGCGTGCGAACACGACGTAGCCAAAGACGGCGCGCGTGTCAGTGTGCGGCTGGGGGGACCATCCTGGTGGGCTTTCGACCACGTTCAGATCACCGCCGGTGGCCTGACCCGGCATGCTGGGGGGCTTTGCAGTGTCCACCCGGCCGCTTTCCTGGTCCAAGTCGAAGGGGAGAGAAATAGGTAGGTTTTTTGGTGGCAGGAAGGGTTTTGAATGGAGCACGGGGGCAACCCATCTTTCCCATCTGGAAAAACGTTTGTGCCACGGCAGTTTTCCAGCCTGACTGAATATAGGGAGATACCGGCCGTTTTGGGTGTCTTGGGTTTCGTCCTCCGGAGTAATGTGGACTAACGAGGCGGCCGCACGGGCGTCGTCTTTTTGTGCGTTGTGAAGAAGCCGTATGGCGGTCTCTCCCGGGTTCTCAAGGATTTCGGCCTTGCCCTCGAAGTCCATCCATGTGACCTCGAGCTAAAAGACCGAGCTCGTTAGTCCTCTCTCTGTGCTCTACTCCAAAAGGGGGCGGGGGGAAGGGGGGGGATAATCAAGCGCTATGAGAGGCACTCAAAGCCCGCATACCTTCTTACTCGACTTATCGAGGCGTAGGGCCGAGTTGGTCAGGGACCCGAGCTCCGTGAGAACACGAGAGTCGAGAAACTTGGGAGATATATCCTCGACATTGAAATCGGCGGTCTGAGTCTTCGAGAGAACATCGTCGACACGGCTAGAAATCGATTCGGCCGCAGGCTTGGGGCCGATAATACAAATCGTACGGGTTTCTCGGATGAACTTGATTTCCTTCACGTGGTTCAAGATGGCCTCCGGTAGGGATTCCAGCCACTTGCGGTTGCCAACTGTGGAATCGGCGCGACACAATTAGCAAAAGCAAGATCAGAGAGATCAGAGAATAAAATAGGCTCTGGGGAAGCTAGAATTAACATACAAGCCACTAAGCCAAAATCAAGATCACTCAGATGTATGCTCATGTAGCCATCCTTCTCGAGAACCCTCTGGTTGGACACATCCCAGCACTGCCGGAGGATTCGGATTGCGAGTCGCGTTTTGGACTTCATCCTCTTTGTAACGTAGCCATCGAGACGCGGGTCAGGTTCCTGGAGCGCAGGCTCCACGATTGGGATCCAGGGTTCACGTTCCAGTATCCAGGGCGGTAAATCCGGGACAGGGTCTTCTTCCCCGCTCAACTTCTTGATGGATTGGTATTCCTTTAAATATTGTGATAGTTGAGCGTTGGTAAACCCATCGGTTATATTCCTACAGAGCCGGTTGAACTCGAAATCCGTGAGTGTGGGCGCGCCCTCCGGTTTGAGCTCGTGGATGTTCAGTAAGATGTCGTCGAAGGCCTCGGCAGCCTCTCTGCTTCCAAGGAGTTTCGCAGGGTCAACCGCATTGGCAGGGTCGTCCTCCTCCTCGGGTTCGGGCATCCCTCTAGCACTCGCCACGCCTTTCTCCCTCAGGACAATGACGGAGCCAGGCTTTCCCAGCGTTTCAACAGAGAGGCCCTCCTGCTCTGGGGCGACGAAATGACCCCTAGAAAAGTACCTCCGCGGCAGGGGTGGAGGTATTGGCGGGGAAGCCGGCGACTCTGGGCCGGGCGCCTCAGGGGTATTGTTGTCAATGCCACTGTGCCCATCGACATTGGTGGTGCTTGGGGCCTCTGTGTTTCCAGCATCGTCTTGAAAAGGAATTTCGGAACCGTCTAACTCGGCATCGTGGCTCAAGTTGTCGTATTGGTGATCGCCAGAAAGATTCTCTCGGGAATCAGGACTGGCGTTCAGGCCCAGTCTCCGCCCCTCATCCCTCCGGTAGCCCGTCTCGCTGGCGTAGTTCGGACGGTCATAGGTGCCGATATATCGTAGACGAGGTCGGAGGGGTAAAGGCAAGGACGAGACAGTCGCAAACGATGGTCGTTTCGAGGGGCGGGCTAACTGTAGCCGGCACCTTAGGCACACGAAGCCGGCGCTCCCGGCCACTCTGCGGCCCAGCATCTCGGCGGTCGATTCGGCTGGTCAGCGGCACTTCAGGGCGTGGGAGGAGTGTCCATGGTCGACGATTTAAGACAGACTGAACGCCTCTGGTGGATCTGATGCATCTTTGCGACAAAAGATTTTGAGTGGGTCCATAGTGGCATACAGCGGACCCCTGTCTGCTGCAAGCGGCATTCCGGCAGGCAACTTGCTCGCTGCGGGATCAGACGCGATTTGGTCGAGCTCAACACGCGGTTCAATTCCAAGAGTGCAGTAATTAACGTCGCCCCGTCAGTGAGCCGGCTTTTCGGAACGTCATACTTCTTTAATATCTTTTTACGTATTATCGACGCTGCAGTTCCCCTTCCCACCTGCGAAGAATAGGGCTCCTTTTCCCCTCCTCCCACACCCCTCGCCTCCCGCAGTACAACCCACAGTTGTTAACGAGCTCCCCGCACCATGTCTGCGCACCACCGACGATGGCGGACGCAAATCTCGGACGATGAAGACGATGAGGTGTCACAACAACGCCCGCCGAGCCCTGGCTCTGTAGATGGCGATGGCGATGGCGACGAGCAGATGGGGGGTGTCGGGCAACGAGACGAAATCAGCCAGCTGGTCAAGAATCTTGTGCGCTACGCCCTCGCTTGCGAGTACTCACGCACGCCCATACGGAGGGAGGGAATACGGGATAAGGGTGAATCACCTACCCACCGGGTCCGACTGGTCAATAAGAGAGGCGATTGCTGACTGTTCCCATAGTGCTTGGCTCCCAAGGGCGAGCGTTTAAAAAAGTGTTCGCCGGCGCGCAGAAGCAGCTCCGGGCGACATTTGGCATGGAAATGGTCGAGCTCCCCACTAGGGATAGGAACACATTGACGGCGGAGCAAAAACGGAAAGGTACTGCTTCCCAAGTCATGTTGTTCGTTGTCGCCGTTTCAGCGCTTGCTAACGCACCTCTGCCAGCTGCAAAATCCCAAAGCCAACCAAAGGAAACAAGTTCCAACAGCTACGTGCTCACCTCCGTCCTCCCCGAGCAGTACACCACACCCGCGATCATCGCCCCTTCCAAAGTCGGATCCGCCGACGGCGAAGCGTCCTACATAGCCCTGTACACAACCATCATCGCCATCATCACCCTCAGCGGAGGCAGCCTCAGCGAGCCCCGACTCCGCCGATACCTGACACGGCTAAACGTCGTCGAAAATATGCCGAGCATGAACCCCAGCGACGAGACCTCGCCGAGCGAGCGGACAGACTCTGTTCTCCAGCGCATGATAAAACAAGGGTACTTGCTGAAGGTGACGGAGTCTCGGTCGGCGGGCGATGAGGACGCGACAAATTGGTATATTGGACCGCGAGGCAAGGTCGAGGCTGATAACGAGGTGATCGCGGCATTCGTCCGGACGGTCTACGGGGGGTCAAATGAGGAGCTTGAGGGGAAGATACAGGCTAGTCTGAAGGTCAGAGACCGGATGGCGGAGGAAATGGATGTGGTCGAGGAGGAAGAGCCTGCGGCGCCTGAAAATGGGGATCCAGGGCCAAATACACGGAGGAGCGGAAGGAGGCGGCAGACGGCTGGGGATGAAGATGATGGGTAATTTGCCCTGCAGGTCCAGCTCGGCTTTTGGGGGGGGCAAGATACATGGGCTGGGGTCGGGGTATCGAAGCGCTTTGTATTGTTGATCCTACTCCTGACTTGACTCTTCGAGTACGGGAAGTATATTTAGATTTCTCCACGTTCCGTCTCGCGACGGCCTTCCTTCACCATAACGCAGACCTTCTCATATCGTTGAAATGACTCTGCCTCCACTTCCCTCCTTTCACCTTGTGCTGGCTGGTCGCCTCGGGGGTTGGTCATCGACTAGTGGCTGGGACCGGGGTCCTGGACTGATAGAGAGTCATATCCATGTGTTCTTGTGTTCTTGTCTTCGTCTCCGTATACCTCAGTCACCTCATGACGCATCCTGTCGAGGCGCCACAACCCCCTCTTCGCCCTCACGGGGCGGCGGTGGCCCAGCGGGCTGCAGCATTTTCTGTAGACTTGTTAGCAGGCTCCAGACCATGGCTGAAGACGGACCGAAAAGGGCGGAGGACCGGCGGAAGCCACGTACCCGAATCATCTGAACGCGCACTTTGGCGACGGGTTCGTTCTCCGCTAGCGCGATGTAGGACAGTAGTGGCGGGTGCCCGGCGATGCTCGAGTATGTGTCGCGGTGGATGTTGGTCTTCCACTCCCAGCTGGTTGTGTCCGGGTGTCCCGTGCCGATGTACTTGGCCTGGAGGCGCTCGAGTTCTTGTTGGTTGCGGAGTTTGTCGGCCTGTTAGGAAAAGTTGATTAGCATGGGAAGATACTATTTCAATACAAAGGGGCTGCGAACCATTTTTGGATGTGTTTTTTGGTCCTATGGGACCGTCTTCGTCGTTTGTCGTTGTGTGGTTGTTTTTCTGGCGCTCTTCGCACCGCTCAACGCCAGGCACCGCCAAATCCTGGGGCCCGGCCACTGCACAAGTCTGGTCTTGGCGCTGCAAGGGACGGGTGGAGTGGGTCCGGGGGACAGGGCTGCAGGCACATCTCACCTGTGGGTGATCCGTCACACCTGGATTTATCTGGACATTCTATAAGAATCTCCAACTCAACCCTTGTGGCGGAGAAGCACGTCGGTGCTTATGCAAATCTGGAGATTATCGAAATAATCTTCCAGCGAGTGTCCGACTGCGTTTTCTATTAACTGCGCCCTCGCTCCTTTCACAGACAGGGATTGAGCGACGGTCCCAACCCTTAATCAACGCGAATCTGTCACGACAACTCATCCAATCTCGAACTCTGAATCTGAGTCTCAGCTCACCACAGGCGCCAAAACCCGTCGCATCCATGCCTGAACTCATACTCCAGTCCGCCCGCGCGGCAACGGACAACAAAAATCTCATCGCCGAAGCTGCGCAGATCCAATCCACCTGCCGCGATCAGCATCCCGACACAGAGGCCCTTCTTGCGTGCCCACAATGCTACGGAGCCGTTCTGGAAGCCTTTCGAGCGCACTTCTCCGGCCTAATTTCAGATGGGCAGCAGCAGCCATGGCAGCGGAAGTGGTTCACCTCCCGATCCCAGTTCCTTTCCGAAGTGAACGCCTTGATCGATTCCGCTAAAAAGTATCAAATACCACCATCCGTCATCGATGATCGTGTACAGGCGGAACGCAGCTGGTGGTACACTGAGCGGGTGCGTGTCTCGCTGTTGAGACTGATGGTGGAAGACCCTGCATCGCGTGATGCGGTGTTGGAAAAGCTGGAGGATCTACCGGCGGAAGCGGATCCGGTGACCTTGGCGAGAGAGGTCGCCGAAATCTTGACGAAGGGGCGATTCGCCGAGGGGGATGGAACCGCAACGGAGCTGCTGGCGGAGCTAGCGGCAGCGGATGCCGACCCAACGAAATCAGGCAATGTGTTGTTGACGGACGCACTGTTCAAGACCGAGGACGGTACGGTCCCGGAAGACCACCAGAAGTATCTTGATATGCTGCTACAGCAGGGGTTATCAATGGAACAGGTGGTGGACCGGATCCTGGATGAACGGCAGACGGCCATCGGAGCACGAGAACAAACCGACAAGCTAGACCAGCGGCTCGACGAGCTCCGCAGGGCTAGGGCAGCGCACGAAGCACAAAAGACGCGCAAGGCGCAGCGGAGGGAAAGTCTCGCGCAACAGAAACTGCCCGATGAGCTATACGAGCTCCCAGATTGCGCCGTATGCGGTGATGCCCCCCGGACCGAGGACTACTTGACCTGCAGCGTCTGCGCCATCCTCGCAGCAGCCGGTGCCCGTGCTGGGCAAACGGTATTCTGCTCCGAGAGGTGCGAACGACAAGGACACGTAAGGCTACCTAACCACCATTATCCCGATGACCTAAACCATCAAACAAACTAACAATTTCTCCCCACCCAGATCCCCCACGCAGAGACACACACCTGCTCCTCCGGCGCAGATTGCATCCAACTCCATCAACCCCCCCATCCCCACTCCCACGACCTCCCCAACGGGAAGAACGACTCCTCCTCCTCCTCCCAACAACCCCAAGATACCAACGGCGACATCCCCATGACCGACGCCCCGCCCACCCCACGCACTCCCCTTCCCCCTCCCGCTGCTGCTCCTCCCAGCTCCTCCTCCCCCTACCCCCCGTCCCAACCCCCCCAAACCATTCTCTTCTGCACCGAGTGTCTCACCACCTTCCACCAACCCATCCTCTGGTGCTCCCCCGCCTGCGCCGACGCCAACTTCCAGTCTCACCGCGAGGGTGTACATCTTCCCGAACGGAAACGTCTCGGTGATTCGGACGCCGCCGCTGAGGCGGTTGATGAGGCCCAGTTGGAATATTATCCCGTGCCTCCAGCTCAGAATGGTGAAGATGCTGCTGGGGCCGCTGCTGGCGGTAGTGGTGGTGAAACTGGAACCGGAATCGAAAACGGAAGCGCAAACACAAGTGAGGGAAGAAAGTACCACGCCAAGGATATCACGGCGGTTACGACGAGCTTAGAAGAGGCTACGAGAGAGTGGGAAGAGAAAACCAAGGTCCGGTTACAGGGGTTGGACTGAGGGAATGAAGGAAGCGGGCCGGATCTTCAGAGGGCCTTGATGCCATACATACCTGGTAAATATTGGAGTGCGATACCATTCGTGTATTTGTTGCTCTGTGTTGTAACTGTAAATTTTGTCAACGGCAGGCCAGGAAAGTCACCGAAAATTACAAGACGCTCTCCAGGTGAATCGCACCGCGGGAATCACAATTTTACATCACGTAGATACCATGACACACCTTCCACTAGATGTCAAGCGGCATGGGACTTCTCACACTCACAAACACCATGAACCACGTGCGAAACAGGGAAACCAGTTGCTAGTTGCCGGGATAGAAGACACTGTTGCTTGATCTAGTGAGATAAAAGAACAACACCACCCGAAGATATTAAGGGCCTAGCTGCGTACGGATCGTTGCGGTTCGCATTCTGCCCTACCTGCCAAGACCAGACACGCCATGAAGAAGTGCAGCAAGAAAAACTGGAAAGAAAATGAAAACTATTGAGAGGCGGCACGGCTCGCACAGTCGGGTAACAGATATCCATGCCCTTTGCTCCAGAGTTTTAGTCCAGAAGACAACGCGAAGAAAAAGGGGTATTCCATGGTAGGCCATATCAAAAGAAAACGTAGTACATAAGAAGATAAGATGGCTGGTTCGGAGCCTGCGGCATAAGCCAACATTTTAGAAAGACATGATTCCCATGATTTCCGAGCCTCGGTCGAAGGGTGAGGAGTGTGTGTGACACACCTGCCGTGGCTCTCCAGGTTGAGGGACTTAGGATGAAGAGTCGCGGGCTGTTAACCAACGTCGGGCAAAGAAAAACAAGGGTTGAGAAATTGAAATGGGTATGTTATCGTCGCGATCTGAGGTCCAATCGACTGGACGCGGAAAGTGGAAAAGAAGGAAAAAAAAACACCAAATCGGCGGCTGGCGTTGTCGGGTGCGGGAGTTGCAACAAGGCGAGTGAATGCTAAAGGGCTAGCGGGTACGGCCAGTTAAGCATCCGCACAGTTTCACCGACGAGGCTGGGTCCCCTGCTTGAGCCTGCTCGTCCTCCAGCCCTCATACCACTGCTCCCTGCTAAGCTCACGAAGCTCGCCTCGCCACTCGCTGAAGACAGTCTCCTTGAGCCGAACGAAATCGCAGTGCTGCTCGTTGTACGGATCAGCAAATCCCCACGGAAATTGCCGGCCGATAACATCGGGCTCGTAGATGTCCGGGCTCAAGATCGAGAGAGGCAGGAAAGGGGCCTCTTCTTCCTTCTGGTCATCTTCTGAAGTCTTTTTCTGGCGGGGGGAGCCACTGGAAAGTCGTTTGGACTTGGGGGAAGAACCATGGACTGGGATAGGCTGCTCTGGGTCCTGCTCGTCGGTTTCAATGACAGCGTCTTCGTCGCTGGGGTCGGACACCTGTTCCTCGTCTACCTCATCGATCTTGTTGGAATCGGTAACCGAGTCGTCGTCGTCATCGTCAAGGCCCAGAGCTTCCAGCGGGTCAAGATTTGCTTTCTTGAGGCTCTCCGCTACCGTCTTCTTCAACATGTTCATGTGTTTGGTGGTGATCGTATCGGCCTTGGCGATGACCGGGATAACTGTCGTCTTGCCTTGCAACGTGCGCAAGACCTGCAAATCCAGGTCTTCATCTAAGCCGCCCAAGATGCGACTATGAGGGTAGTGTTTCCCTCCATTGTGATGGCCTTTTGTTGCCGCGCCTCTAGCTGCGGCGATGTTCCGGTCAAGGCGGGACGGATCCAGGACAAGGAACACCGCGTGAATGTGGGTATCCTGCACGCCGGGAGATCGGATCACCTTCATCTCTTCGGCAAAGGTCTCTTCAAACTTGCTCTCGAGAAAACTTGACATCTCGCGGAGTTGCAGGTCCACAACATTCTTCTCCAGGCCCTCCGAATCCCAAAGCGTTAGTCCAATACGCTCGCTGTCGATTTCGGTCTCCAGATAGTGGGGGATGAAGTTGCCGGAGGGGGCGACCCTTGGGGGCTCATCGGTATCGGACGGAATCTTGGACCGCTTCCTCGCGGGGAGAGCGAGCGCTGTCTTGAGGAACTCGAGAAACGAAGTTTTGCCCGAATTGGCAGTGCCAACGATGAGGATGCTGCGGAGACAAACTGGTTAGCATTGTGTCTCGGTTGAAGGGCAGAGAGAGAGCTAAGTAGGTATATGCGCGGCTTACTTGAAGGGAGTGGGATCCTTCCTCCTCCGAACCCTTCTAGGGCTGTTGATGGTACTGATGGCGCTGCTCGCGTAGCTGTAGCGGCCCCTATGCGCCATGCTGCCGGCCCCCGCGTAAGGATCAAAGCCGCCGTTGGGAAGCGGGGGGTGTTGGAGGCTGATCGCGGAGCGAGGCGGGTCGATTGAAGCTCTGGGTGTAGCAGACGCCATTTGGTCGGCTCTTCCAGAAACGATGGAGATGGAGTCGGGACGAGCATCACTGCCGAGACCTAGCCCAGGTGTAGGAGCGCCATTGTAAAGAATGGGCAGGCGCGGTGGGGACCGAGGAATAGCATCACGCTGGCGCTGGAGCTCCAGCTCCCGAGCAGCCTGCTGCCTTTTCAGGTCGCTGCTCTTGCTGCGACGAAGTAACATTCCGAGGCTAGAACGACGAGGCGGGGACGACATTTCTTGTTCCAAATAGACCTGGGTATGTGGCTAGCGGCCGCGCATAGGTGAGAAACCTAGGCGTGCGTCGCTGGCGGAAGGCGAGAGTGAGGTGAAGAGGGCAATTGCAGCTTGAGTTGTGTGCTAGGACCTGGGTCGGATACGATTAGTCTTGTGCAGGAGGAAAGAAGCTAGCAAAGGAAGGGATTGGTCGCGGGAAAGAACAACGGCGCGGGGCCGCGGTAGGTCGGTGCCTTACCTTCGAGGACAGCCAAGCTTGAAACACAGTTTCGAGGGCGGGCGAACGAGAGCACTATCCGGTCTCTGATGACCCGCGATCAATTGTGTGGGCGCTTGCAAAGCGAGCGTCGGCGGGGGATCGGCGAAGAGGGTAAGTCGGAATGCTTCTTCTAGCGGCGTGAAGACCCAAAAGCACTCTTCGTTTTTCCTGAAAACTAAATATGACGTGTTAGCTGCTTGCGATCCCGGCTTCTTGGTTGATCGCGACGACGACGATCGCCAACCACCCCAGATCGACAGTCCTCCGCGAACATTGTTGCAAACCCCGCGACTAGCAGTTTCGGTTGCGCCAACATCACGAGCGACTTCCACGACAGACGCGACTTCCCACTGGCGCTTCTCGTCCCCTACTGTGATCCTGGTCCACATCTGCAGAGTCCGGTTGCGACAAGCAAAACAAAACGCCAACGAGATCCCGTTGGGATGACGGCGGAAAATAAAACTTACACAGGTTCTCACCACCAAAAGAGCTTCAGCTATGCCCTACCTGGCAGCTTTGGACGACAGAAGACAGCGAGGAGTCGCACACGGATAATGTTGAGTGGAGACTTGCTCGCGCAAAGAAAATGAGGGAGTGACAGACCAGGTCGTAAAGTGCCTGCGACGAAAACGATCGTACGGAAAGGAATCAAAAAGCGCGGTGATGAAGCCTCCGGGAAGGCTCCAGGGAAACCAGCGGTACGACAACGGACGGTCGTTCGAAGATGATGGAGAGGGGTGCAAAAAGAAGAATGCCTCTGTCAGGGGCGCGAAAGGGAAAAAAAGACGGCAAGTCAACCGCTCGCGTGGTGAGTGAGATTGGCCCGGCGCTTCAAGCCTGCCCCGGGAAGCGGCCGAAAAAGGTACTTCGCGGAGCGCAACCCAGACCAGGGACAAAACAAAACCGACAGGACCCAAGGCTGGAACGAAGCTGCGCTTTCTCACCCTTCGCATCCTTGACGGATTCAGTTCCGCCAAGCATAACTGACGAGGGTGATGGCATCTCTTCTGACTCTTCACCAGGTTGCAAAACTGCACCTTCCCGTCTGCTGGCGCCTTGAGGCATGGAATACCCCCAATGATCCCCCCCGTACTCTAGATTTACCAGGTATATCAGTTATATCAGTTACTTGGTGTTCGCGGGGTCGCCCGAATCACCATTGGCATACGTTACGAGTGTCGAGCCCGATTGCGTTGGCTCTACATCGTACGCCCTCCGCTAACACTTGTTCACTTTTCCAGATCATCCCTCTCAGCAGAGAGACAGCGACACTCTGGGCCTGCTCTGGCCAGACACCGAGATGTTAAAAAGTTGCCCAGCAGTGGTGTAACTTCCGGCAAGTCCTTGCCCCACATCGTGCCCCTTTCCACTGCAGCCGGCGCGCCAAAACCAGCGCCCTGGACCGCTGGTCAGACGCGCTATCCAATCAATGGTTCGGGATCCCACCTCAACCTTCCGTTGGAGGACGCGCCGGCCAATTCGCTCTCGGAGGAGAACCTGGCCGTCACACGCCATGGGAATAATTCTTCCTCCCCCTTCGGCCGCATCTTTCTCTCGGTATTGTTTGCCTGCGAGTTGTCCTATGGGACAATCAAAGAATCGAGACCAATATCCATTCACTTTGTATTAGCAGACTGAGCAGTCGACTTAGATATCGGCATCACGCCACCTGACACAGATAGAGTGGACCCAGTCCCCTTGTGGAAGTTGTTGTTCACCTGAAGTCCCACAAGCCACGTGCAAGCATCCGCCCTGCGACTCGCGAAGTTAGCCAGGGGGAAACAGGGTAACGGGGTCACAGTCTGAGACTTTTAGGCGGGGCCTTGAGGAATGTCCTTCCCCAGCAACACATTGTCCTCCACGACGCAAAATTTCACCGAGATGGATGCTATCACAACATCTCTCTCACATGAGCCTTGAGAATTGGTGTTTTGGGAAACACAAGAGCGTCCCGGGTTGGAAGTCGATGAAAAACCTGCGCTGCAACGCTCCAATTTCTTACCCCGGGCTGGGTCGGATTGGTGGGGTCATGGAATCGAGTTTGGCGTTGTTTCAAATTCAAACAAGGACGACTTGCCCCACACAATGGCCAGCAAGCTGCCCAGAAAGGCAGATTCACTCCCAAACCACCCTGCAGGGACATCTTAGCCGGCAGCCGAAGACGAGCCTGGATAAGAATCCAGGTGAGATCTTACCAATTTAGTACATGTTCTGGAAGTGACAGATCCAACGGTCGGTTTACGCGGGCATGGGGTTCCAGGGATCGAAGCACAGCGCCTGCATAACCGCAGAAAGCAACTGGCACAACAATTGTGCTCAGATATGTGCAGCGAAGCAGTTAACTATAGTTAGTTAGATCAGACCCGAAATATCCCTCATCCTCAAAGCCACAAATCGTCTCGTGGAAGATAGGAGTCAAAGTTGAGATGTAAGACCGGGGGTATCCATCTATTTGTCTAGATCTAAGGTTTGGGAGGGTACTACATGTACACTACTATACAGAAAACAAAAGTGTGTGTGGAGATTTCATTAATTACCATGCCAGTCGTCGTCCCGAGCCGCTCATGATCAAGTCGTTACCCCCCCCTATCCTTCGAAAACATCGTGCTGAAGTTCAACACCAAACTCCTTTGCCACATCCTTCAACCTCGCCTCCATCTCGTCTTCCAAACCACCTCCCCGGCCAAGCAATTGCTTTAGTCGGAAAAAGTAAAACGCAATGTCCGACAGGAACAAAACGGTCTTGAACAGCAGATGCTGCCAGATGTTGACCATCCTTTGTCGGAGTGGCAGGTTGCGATCCTGGAACAGCGACCGGCTCGCCCACTCACCCATCATCTTGATGCGGTTGACCGGGGAGCCCATGTAGGCATTGTTGCCCTGCACGATGCGCATGTTCCTGCCGATGAAAATGAGCTCCTTTGGCCACTTGTCCTCGTCCGCCAGCATGTCGCGGATGCCTTGCTTCATCCGCCGCTGCATCTCGTAGTGCTTCTGGCTCGCCGTCCTGCCGTCTTCCGTCGAGGCCATGAGGTCCCTCTGCAGCTGCTGATCGCCGCCTTCGTACGGCCGCATGAGCGTGGCCGATGCGAACAGGTCCGAGGCTTTGATACCCCATTCTTGGGTGATCTCGGCGATCTTCTTGTTGTCGAAGGTCATCAGGGCCTTCCAGAACATTCCGTATTCGTGCCGGAATTTGTCGCTCATGTACACATAGAGCCCGTGGTCGATTAACACGAGCTCGGGCAGGCCGTTGGGTAACCGCCGGATAAAGATATTGCCAGGGTCTGTAAAAAGTAGAAGGTAACGTTAGTGCATCGCGGCAAACAAATTAAACAAGCGAACAATACGAAACAAGAGGTATGTAGTGCGGGAAGTCCCGGGAGGATAAAACGTACGAGGATCACAGTGGACGACACCCCATTTGAAGATCTGGGCCGAGAATAGATCAACCATGGTCGTCATAACCTCCTTTTTGGACACACCTAGACCTCCTTTCCCGCGGGGCCCTCGCCACTCCGTCCGTTCCGGCTTCAGTTTCTGGCTGTGCGGGTTCTCTCTTAATTCTCGGCGGATCGCCGCCATATCGGGAGGGTCTAACTGGGCGCCATGCACGCCCATAGACCCCTTGCCGTAACCACCCCGCCAAGATTGGGTGAGAGCTTCTTTATCCCAAAGTCGGACGCCCTCGATCCATTCCGTAGTGAGGACACGCCTGGAGCTAAGTTCTGGGTATACGGGAGGGACATAGACCCTCCCTCGTAAACTAGGCTCGTTGTTGACGAGATCACGCATTACTTCTGAGTTTTTGGCCTCGTTTTCAAAGTCGGTTTCGAGCAGTAACCGTTCGGTGATGAATGGTACGAGGGAATATAATGGTAAATCGAACCACCAGGTGTATACTTTCATAACCACTCTGCGAGTAAGTAGTAGCGTTAGCAAAACAGTCACTGCCTTTCTGGATACAAGCAGGTGCAGAAACGGAACCCGGACGCCGCGTCCACAACCAAGGGAGGACACTGAACAAAAAGACTTACTTGAAAGACCACAAATCCCACCCAATCTGCTTCGCAATCTCAGGCTTCTGAATCTTAACCGCCACCTCCCGCCCATCCGGCAACCGCGCCCAATGCACCTGAGCAACCGACGCACTCGCCCTCGCCGTCCGCTCCATAACCCCTTTCCCCTCCACCCCCGCAAAGCTCACCCCAAACACCTCCTCCACACTCCTTCCCCCAAAGTCATCCCTTATCACCTTTTCCACCGCCTCCCACTCGTCCTGCGGCGCATCATCAAACATGCGCGCAAACATCCTCTGGAACTCCGGCGGCAGCACCGCGCTCTGCATAGCAATCGCCTGCCCAATCTTCAAATACAACCCCCCATTCTCCCTTAGCAAATCGAACAGCCTCTCCGCGCTCCGCCGGTGCAGCTCCGGAATCTTATCCGCCCCGCCACTCCCAATAATCGGCAACGGATCCGGCCGAAAGTTAAGCTTATAATCCGCCGCGACACGCAGGCCCGTGCCAAAGGTGCGCAGCGAGCGAGCGATCCCCGAGGCGTACACCTGGCGGTCGACGAGGTAGCCTGTTCCGAGCACGGCGGAGAGGATCAACAGGCGGCGGCCCCAGCGGCGGGTGCGGTGGAAGCTGCGGGCGGCGCGGGGTGCGCCGAGAGAGGAGGGGGAGGGTGGACGGAGGGGTTCGAAGGGCCCGCCGCCGGAGGATGGGTGGGGGGTGAGGCGTCGGGGGGTGGAGGATAGATGGCGGTACAGGGTTGGGAGTGACGAGGTGTGTGCGCGGATGCAGGTGGGCGGGTGCAGCAGCATCGTTGTCGTTGTCGACGGTGATGGTAATGGTAAGGAGGTGAGCCGTCGACGGCTCACGCGAGCTAGGCCGGGATGCCACATTTTTTGGGGGGCATGCGAGGGCTTAGATTCGCTCGAAGGGGGTTACTGGTAACTTAGTCCATTGTGATTATGAAGGTTATCGGGCGGGGACAATCGAATCCGGTGGTGAACGTTGGGTCAAAGGAGGGATCGAGCGAGGCTTGAGGCAGGATGACAATGTCTCGGAGTTTCGTCGCTGACGACGGGCAAGCGGGCACGCGGGCTTGCAGGTCAAGATCACGCCCCACTTTTTGCCGCTCCGTCCGGTCCCACCAGGTTGATACGAACGGTGGCCCAGCAGGGTGACCTAACGAACAAGAAGCAACTTATTAGAGCCAGAGGATGTCCGATATCCGAATGACAAAATCCAGGCGTCTCGGCGCCAATGGGGGTGGTTGAAACAAGCTTGGAGCCAAGCACCCATTCGATGCGGTTGAGCGTGGGATTGCCCTTCACGTTAATCTTAAAAGCCAAGCCCGGACAGCCGTTGATATCTTGTTATCCCCCCCTTCCAAGAACTGAAAAAAAAAAGTGGAAGCCGGATGATAGTATGTATGAGATTGACGGCCAAACATACGTTCGGACTGCGGCTGTTGAGGTTCCTAGCCGGAGGTTGACCAACATGTTACACTAGTGTCGCGAGCGCCGCGCGAGGAAGTCGTAGCAACGGGGAACGGTTCGCCGTCAAGTGAGTTATGTAGGAGAGGGCCGAAAGCCTGCGAGCAATTGAAACAAAGGTATTGGGAGAGCGCCAGCAGGTTGAGATATTTGTGATAGCTTTATTCGTACCTGGTAATTATCTACACATATGCGAGATCATCCCTCAGCGCCTCTGTGTCCAGCCTCCCGGCAGATCCATCCCTCGGAAAGCTCAAGTGTTTCTCGTGCGATGACATCGGGTGTTGACATCACCAGAACAAGGGAGCCCCGCCGTCCGTCAAGTCCAGGGCCGATCTGCAAAAAGGTCTCAGATAGGTGGAGTGGTGGAACCGCGCCCGAAACAACTAACTTATCGGAATCAACACCCACATGAGATACTTCGTAACTTGCTGTGGCATCAATTTTAACACTCTCCCGTTGTGTGTTCAAACAAACGATGTTGGTATGTGTGTGGTTGGCAGATTTTGTCGCACCGTTCTAAAGATGCTCATGCGGCCCGTTACGCGTTGCGCCGGGCCTTGCAGAAGTGGAACGACGGTTGAAAGTTCCGTCTGTCTTCTTTGGGCCGATCATCCGTCCGTGTCATTTCCTGCCCTCGGCTACAGAGAACCGATTGATGACCTGAACAAATGTATAGCTACTTAGTATTCGTAAATAATACGATACTTGGAAGGACAATGCTGGGTTTCCCGGATCCCAATTCTCTTGAACGACCCTCGCAAAGGCGAACTTTGATTTCTCGTCCCGTCTGTCGTGTCCCCTTGTGGCGGAGCTCACTGCTCGCAAATTTGGGACTGCATTCAGGCCTATCGGCATGATTGGCCGACGCACGCGAGAATGAGTGGGGTTTCCCCATGCAAAGCACCCGACGCTAAAAAGCTGCAAGTTCGTCCATCTCCCTGCAACGAATGCATGGGAGCCAGGCCCCGGTCCACACCACTCGTCCCCGGCCCCACGCTTCTGGATTCGTGAGCCCCCTAGCATTTCCTTCCCGCGCTCCCACCTACCTCAGGTCGTCTTCGTTGCCTCACCACCAGCGCATTGCACTACATGCGTCGAGCGTCAGCCTTCGCCGCCGCTCATTCTTCCAGGGAAATCCGCGATCAGCCAAAGCGGATATCGACTACGATGGCCTAAATCGACCACATCGTCGACACGCCGAAGCGACTCAATCGCGATACACACAACTTGTCCCCCCCACCTTCGCTCCTCTCCCATGTTTCGTCTCGGCAGTGCCGCCCACCTTTCAACAATTCCACGTCAAACCCACGCGGTGCAACCATAACAACACCACCCGGTCTACGACGAGAGTACCATCCTTTGTAACCCGCGTCGTCGGGCTTCCTACCGAACCGCCGCGTCTTGAAGACGTTGGCCTTACTCTTCCAACACGACGACAGGCGGCCGTGTGCGCCGTGAACTCCAAACGCCACCATGTTACGCCCTGCGACACCGTTGTCGGTGTTGCTGTTTGCGGCTTTCGTTTTGCTCTTGCTCTCGGTGATATCGACCCCTATTATCAGCGCTATCCCCCTCGGTAGCTGGGAAGGAATCGACTTTGGCGTCTTTGGGTACTGCAGCTCAAGTGGCTGCACCCCCATTGAGATCGGATATGATGTCCGTAAGTGATTCGTCCCTCGACCGGCAGTTAACGAACGCTTTTCTTCCTGCGTTGTCACCCGAAAGACTTAACTGACCAGTTGGACACAGACTCTCTGCACGCCTCCGACTTCACCCTCTCCGCGGACACCCGTTCCACTCTTTCCAGCCTTCTTATCGTCCACCCAGTCGCCGGCGCCCTGACGCTGGTCATGTTCGTCCTCGCCGTTGTCGCTCATTTCCACAGCCCATCCCATTCGCCCAAGTACCTCCTTGTGCTCTTCATCGTTGGCATTCTCAACTTCCTCATCTCTCTCCTGAGCTTCCTGGTCGATGTTCTCCTCTTTGTCCCCCATATCGCCTGGGGCTCGTACCTCGTCCTTGCCGCTACGATTCTTGTTGCCCTTAGTGGCTTGGTCGCTTGTGCCATGCGGAGGACCGTGGTCGGCAGGAAGGCGAGGCAGAAGCGCATTGCACAGAATGCCGAGATGAGCGGCGAAAACTACTACAACCGACAAGCCCAGGAATCCACCGCGCCTGTGGCTTCGTCCTCCGCCTTTTCCCCAACCGTTCCTACTGTCAGCGGCGCCAATGGCGGCCCCGATACACTCCCCGAGTTCGCCTCGTTCGACAAACGAGACGACCAGAGCAGTGACGAGAGAATCCCCCTAACTGCAGCTCGGAGTCCGTCCAGCAGGTCGCATGGCAGATTCAACTCGGACCAAACAACCTACGGAAACGACGCTTCCAATCCAGTCGACGGCGTGGCACTGCGTGCCATGTCGACTACCCCTGGCACTCGCGACCAGTATGGGAACCCCTTACCCGCCCAAGATGGGTATCCCATCAGGACGGGCTCGATTGAGCGCATTGGCTCGCCGGCTCGCGGCCCTGTGCCTGCTGGCGGGTACCGCGGTCGTGGCGGTTACCCAGGCCCCGGTCGAGGCGGTGGTTATGGCGGTTATGGCCCCCAACCTGGTGGACGTGGTGGTTATGGGCCGCCCGGTCGTGGTGGTTACGGTTCACCCGGCGGCCGGGGAGGCTACGGACCCCCTCCGCGTGGTTACGGCGGCGGTTCCATGAGGGGCGGGCGTACTCCGCCCCCGCCCACTTACCAAGGGTCACAAGGCCCATATGACAGACGTGGCCCGCCTCCGGGTCCTTACGGAGCAGGGCAACATGGTGCAGGACTATCGCCCGGCCCATCGTCTGCCTCGGGTGGCTATCAATCTGTGTCCAACCTCTCATCTAGCGGTTACGAGGCCTATACCCCGAGCAGGGAGGAGCTTCCCCGGGCTGAGTCTCCCCCTCCCCTCCCCGGAATCGACGATAGCGTCGACCCTCCCCGGGCGGTCGAGATGGATGCATCCGCCAACCGCCCGGCCGGTGGTCAAGGGCCTGCTGGGCAGCAGTACCACATCCGGGATAGTGACTCGGATGTCGCTGGCATGTTGGCCCTCCAACAGGCTCGGACTTCGGAGGCGGACCGCCACATGAGCGGTACCTCAAGCAAATACAGCCAGGAAGAGTAAGCCACTACCCGTCCCCCCTTCCCCCCTTCACACATAACCTTCTCTAACCATCTTCTTCTTAGCAACTACGTACCGCCGCGCCAGGGATGGACCCAAGGACTGAGCGGAAACTCCCCCCGCGTGCCCTCCCCCTTGAACACCCGCCGCCCCCCACAGCAGTCGGCCGCCCCCCCCGCTGGTGAGTACTACGAAGACGTGGACCCCCGCTTCGCCGAGCCCTCCTCCTCTGTTCCGGCCCAGGTCCAGAAACCCGCGACGGCCGCTCTCAGCACCGCGACTAACGCCTACGAGGACGCTCCTCCCCCGCAGGGTTCCCTTAGTCCCGCGGCCTCAGAACGTTCCACATTCACCTCCATCTCCCAACGAGGCGTGAACCCACGTTGGAATCCTGCCCCACCACCACCTCTCCCTCTCCCACACACCAGAGGAGCACAACCCCCACCACCAACATCAACAACAAGAACAGCCGTGCCCCGACGGCCACTGCCCCCCGCCGCGGCGGCAGCGCCAGCAGCAGCAGCAGCACCCAACCCAACCGACCTCCTTCTCGATTCCAACCCTGATTTCGGACTTCCCAGTCGCGGCGGTGCATCCAGGTCTTAGGTGGTCATGGTGCCGGACTGCGCTTACCCGTCAAGGAGTCATTTTCTGCCACGCCAGCATCGGTGATCGCCACCGCCGCCGGCTACGTAAAATAAATCCAGGAAGAAGGGAGTTTATCTGTCTCTCTCTCGGGGAAGATAGAAGAGAGAGAGAGCGGGAAGGGAAGTGGCGGCAACAGACGAACAAATTCACAAAAGGGACCTTAATATCTTCTTTTCTTTTTCTTCATTACATATTCTGCACCAGCAGCAGCGGCAGCGGCAGGGCAGCGTAGGCTAGGCTAGGCTAGGCTAGGCTAAGACGGGCATGTTGTTAAGCTAAACTACCTAACCAGCGAGCCGCTTGGTTGGTTGGTCCAAGGCGAAGGGCGTTTTGTTTCTTCTTCTTTTTTTCTCCCACCCCCAACTTCCTTTGGTGGTCGGTTGCCTTCTTCTTGTTTTCTGTCTTGTTCTGTCGTTATTTTTGTGGCAACCCCTTTTTTCTTTCTTCCTCTTCGCCCGCCTCGTATATACAATACCATACCATCTTTCTTTCGTTCGTGATACGCTAGGGGTTCAATTTAAAATATCCCGGGGGGGGTTGTTGTGATTTAAAAGTGGTTCTAATTCTACTTGCCATGGAATCCGGTCGGTGAAGTACAGTATGTGATTCTCACTTGACCCAATCGTTGTTGATAAATCGTGGAATAGAGTTTGCAAGATGGATTCAGATGAGCTAAGGTAGTGTGTTGCAAGATCGTGTTTGGAACTGGGTATCCTCATTACCTGGTATGTACCTAGGTAGGTTCTAACGCCCAAGTGTGAATACCATCACAACATGTTCCACAGACACAAGCAAGGGGAGCTGACGATTGCAAGGCGGTTGTGTAGCTATCTAAGCAACGTGTTGATAATCTACAAAGTCCTCGGCAGTGAGGCCGGAGGAGGTCGTTCAGCCAAAAAGAGAAAAAGGAGCCGTCCAAAGCAGCGTTGCTACGTCTCCAAACGCAATTGTCCTGCTCGCCACCAGTCTGAGTCCAAAACAAGTATCCGTGTGTACGCCCATCCCCCTTACCCCCTTTTTTTCTCTGTCCTATAAGGTAGGGCACCAACCTCCACCGTAATACCTGTTCATAACCAGCCTGACTGCTGCCGCCATGTCCCAAATGCTAGCTCCATGGTTTCATGGTGCCGAAATAGATGGCTCGGTTTCCCAAGAAAAGAAAAACCCAAGAGCATCAGTAACCCCACTGATGTTTCCTAGCCCCCTCTTGCTCCCTCAAACGCACCTTCTCGGGCTCGTCGAAGAAGCTCATGTTGCCATTCCCGCTGGTGTCGATCCAGGCATCGTCCGCCGGCACGAAGCGGTTGGCCCAGTAGTTGTTGGTCGGGTTATCCAGCTTCCTGCCCGGCTTATGGCTCGACAACGTCCTAAGCGCCATATCAAGCAGAGGCTCCGCAGCCTCCGCCTCACTCATCTCGTCGATGTCCTCCTGTGTGAGCTTGCGGGGCTGAACTTTCCCATCCGCACCCACCGGTTCAAGGAGGCGCTCACGGGCTCGCTGGCGCTCTCCACCAATCACGCCAATATTGTCCCCTAAACGGGGGTAATTGTGGTCCCGTTCAACTTGTTCCATGCTCTTAACTAGACGCTCTGTGCCGGCGTCAAAGGCTCTGGTGGCCCATTCGTCGAATGTTTCTTGTCTACCAAGGCATTTGGTGTACCAATCATCAAACGGTTCTTGCCTCTTAAGGTATTTGGTTTCCCAATCATCGGCAATGGGCATGTGCCTTCCGTCATAGTTTGAAGGGAAGCCATTCGGGAAGTACTGCTTCACCCTGTCAGAAGGCAGAGTGTCATACACTTTCCGCTTGTTGTCCTCGAGAGACTTGTGAGCCTTCTCAGACACACCCGACTCTGGTCGAGGCACCAGGCCAAGTGGATGAGACTCGGGACGTGACACGAAACCGTGGTGTCCCTTGTCGCCCGCCAAAGAAATCGAATAACCTTCGGTGTCCGTCTCATTATGACCGTCGAGTGTACTCATCGTGCCAGTACCGAGATTATGAAGTCCGCTGGGCCGCTTGGACGGGTAGAAGGTTTCTGAAGTCGTGTCTCCAACATGGAATAACTTTGGCCCAGAGCCCGCTGTTGTAGGTTTGAATGCTCGTTGGCCGGGCGGGCCGGCCTTCAGGGGTTCAGGTGCCCATGCCAAAGCCGGCCTGGTGCCATAGTTGTTGGAAAATCGGTCCTTGGGTAAGTCAGGAATCGAAGGCGAGAGTGAGGAGGGCGTGCCTGGGCGGCTAGGTCCGGGGATCGCGACGCGAGCTCTTTCCAATGCATCCTGGGCGGCCTTTTGCATGGGATTGAGGAAGGACGCCAAGCTCTTAAGCCCCCTCGTGGAGATTCGCGAGGTTAGTTCATTCTGATCGGTGGCGCCACCACTAGTCTTAAATCCCGAGGGTGATGGTAGGTTTCCTGATCTGATGTTGGAGGCTGCCATGCTGTACCCGCCTGATGCGGTACTTTCGAACCCTCCGCCTTGGACCGGGGTAGCGGCTCGATCGTAGTTCTGTTGCAGCGGCGAGTATTGTTGGAGGATGGATGCCGTCGTTGGGGGTGACGGCGGGGCCTGGTCACCTAAAGACAGCGTCGACAGTAAGGCGGAAAACCCGGCGAAGTCCCCCCGGGGTGGAATCTGAATATCCTGCAAGTGCCGCTGCGCTCGCGAGCGGCGAGCGGGTGCTTGGAGGGGGACTGAAACCTTCGGATCGTAAACTGATCCAACAGTGTTATACGTCGGTTGCCTCGCTGGGCCCGCGGGCGTCGATGAAGCTATCGTCAGGTTAGAATGGAGCGCTCTCAAGAACAAGAATGCTGGGGCAAAACATGAAGTGCGGTTGCAGGGAGTCGGGAAGCAGAATGCTCCCGGTGGAAGCTGCGATTTAGACCACATGCTGCCCTCCCACAGAAGCGGCTAGGAAAGTAAGAAGATTTGGGAAAGATTAAGAAGAGTGAGGAACTAAGAAGGAAAGCTGGGAGAAAATATGCGTACCGTGAGACGCCTGGAGAGGCTCCTCCTTGCCCAGACCAGAAGGCCGCAGCGGGCGGGCAGCCGCCGAATGGTCACGAAACATGACCTAGGCGGGTGCGAGATGTCGGCCAACAAGCTTGTACCGCTGGCCCTGTCGCTTCGAGAGACCAACAAGACAGAAGCCGCAATCCGGCGAAGACTGGATGCTTCCAAAAGCGCCAAATAGAGGCAGATGAATGAAGGTGAGAAGAATCTCGGACTGACCTTCCCAGCGGTGGAAGCTAGGTCGGCAAGCGAGGAACACAAAATTCCCCATTCAAGGTTCTCGGAAAAGAAGGTCTGGGAGGGGGGGTTTGGTGTAAAATGTTTGGGGAAAGGGAAGGAAGGTTGTTCGCAGCTAAATAAGAGGAAGGCGCACCTTCCCTATCACCCATAACTCGGCCAAATCGCGGGTTTATGGTTCCTTCCATCCAGCCCTTGTTTGAAGCTTGACGCACTGTAGGCTTGCACAATGATGACAAAAACACCAACATGCAGCAAACTAGAAAGAACCATACTGAAGGCGAGTTGCCCAACGGGCTTTTCGGCCTCAGACCACCTCACTTGCAGCAATGATGTGATAGTCACAAGGCTAGCAGCTTGCTTCCCCGATAAAAGACCTGGCGTATTGGGTTATCAAACAACAACACCTCAGCGGCCGGATCAAAAACACATGACTTGCTATCTTTCGGCTCGGTTCAACATCCCGAAGGTGGGCACACCGGCCTTCCATCGACCTCCCAGTGGCGTGGTCCCGGGTAGTACCTCGTCTCTGTCGTTACGAACAGTCAATACCCGATTTGGGTTCGGACGAAGGTAGCTGCAGTAGGGTGGTAGTCACCTCGGCCAAAACAGAATCTACTTTGCCTAACGACAGCAGACAAAGGGCAGTCTTCCTCAAGAAACCCAAGGCTAAGGTGTCTGGGCGGCAGTTTGGAGGTTAGCAAATTGTTGTTGGACGGAAAGTCATAGCAGGTGAGGATTCTCACGCAAAAAAAGATGCCCACAACTAGAATCTCTCGCCTAGAACAATCCAGGTACTGACTGATACCTTCAGCAGGCCGCATTTCCCTCACACTAGCGACAACATGGCGCTTACGCTATCATAAACCGTTGGTCAAGTCGAGAAACCGCATCACCGGCTTTCTGGATTATTTATAACGATGTTGAGACTTTAACGGCTTTGGATTCATGGCAAGAAGCATGGGCTGCCGCCGCGAATGGCGCAGGGGAACAATCCCCTTTGCTAGGCGTATTATGGGATCATCGGGGACATCGGCTCGACCACCGTCTTGTAAACAAGTGAGGGTTAGTTATTTATTGGTAACGTTTTCGGAATAGCGTTAATTCGAACAAGACGACACGCTAAACGAATGACAGTAGACACGCAAGGGCCTGGCATCCAAGAGACCCCAAGACCGATCCCTTGGGGAAGTTGGGATTAGGTTGGCTTTCTCGCGGCCAAATTATGCCATTGGGTGGTACCGTTCGGCGCCCATGACTAAATACCTAACCCAGCTGACAGAGTAAGCGTTTGTCGGTATCAGCGGAGACTGCCGGGGCTTCCCTTCCTCGACGCGGCCTCCCATGAGCTGTCCTCACTGGCGATCGCCCGCCCTCGAGTCGGAGTTCATCGCAAGGCAATTCGCTAGCGGGGCCACGGATGGCGGTCGAGAGAGGCGTCAAGTCCCTTCAGCTTCCTGTCAAAGCGCATGACACGTGCTGCTCTGCATCTCGCTTCTCTTGCCGCTTCTCTTGCCGCTCCTCAGCAATTACCGTGTCGTCTTGAGCGGTTGGAATACGCTTTCAAGGTACGATCACTCGCACTAGCAAAGGGATCTCTACTGCCTATACTGGACTTCACCCAGTGATTTTCAGTACTGCGGTAATGCTTGTCGCTTGTTGTGAGAGAGATGGCCACGGAACCAGGAGTGGTTGTGAGCAGTCGTCGGTTTCTCAGCTTCGTCGCCCGCCCCTGGTAGGTCCCTCGGACCGGAGTTTGACCGCAACGTGTGATTCGGAGATGGCCTAGGCTTGAATTGGATCATCACTCACTCATCACCTGACCGCTGCGGCGTCGCTCAAGCAGCCCTGCCGTGTCTCGCGTAACGCTCGATTGCGTGTGTTCTGCTCTGGTGTCCCTGCTGCGTGTGGCGCGGAGGAGGCGCCCCGGGTTGAGATCGAACACAAAAGGATAGTTACCGGAGCGGTCGTTGTTGGGAGAGGTCATGCGAACGAAGAGGGCAATATCCCCAACGCTCGACATTTTTGGGGTGGGTGGAATTCACCCCCGCTGCTGGATGTTATTTATAATCGCATCGCACTCTCCACAATCGTGGTTCCGGGTTCAAGGTGGCATCGAGGGGAATGGGGGTCGAGACGGGATGCGGAGACGTGGTGCTGGGACAGCAACCTTCCTGCCCTGTCACGTCAACCCCACCTGCACTTCCAAGTTCTCCCCATCTGGTCTTTGGAAAGGCCAAGGCCTCGCCAGTCGCTGCAGTCTCACTAAGCCCTGCATGGGCCGGTCTGCCCTGTTGCTGTGGACCCCCTAAACCAATTCGCTGTTGGGGCGGTTGACAAGCCTAAAGATTCACCTAGGCCCCATGCTGGCGGCGTCCCATCTGATTCAGTGGTCGGGGGAATTCCATGCGTTTGTCTGATCCAATTCTCCCGTCTCGAAGCCGCCCGTTCGTCCTCCTTTCCATCTTCTTGTTAAGCTCCCAGCTGTGAGAGAGACGACGACGACGAAATAAACAAATATCGCATCATGGATTATTCGCAACATGCATTTTTCCCTGGCGCCCCGCCATACCAGTTCATGGGACCCCAAGTCCCGTTAACTCCCTCGCATTCCAACTCCGTAGCCTCAGAGGACTTCAAAACCTCGTCGCCTCCGGTAGGTTGCGCTCTCTTTACCCTCACCGTGGAATCGTTGGTGGATCGCGAAAATTGGCAACGAGAATCATCCAACGAGGGGCCTCCCTTTCGCTTTTTGTTCTCGTTCGGCAGTCAATCGCGAGACCTTTTCGGTACCTTGCTTGGGAGCCAAACTCCGCATTTTCGATTGCTCCTGGGGCCAGTAGCGCGCATCTGACTGCAGGATGAGAGGCTTACACAATCATTACTCAGGAAATATTTGAGCGATATCCCAACGGCATTCCTCCCGAACAGTATCAAAACTACGATGGATATGTCCGATTCAATGCTGGACAAGCTTTTCCGGGGCCACCGACGCCGCCGGGACAGCTCGGTGCTGCGGGAGTCCCCGGCAGCGGCACTGCCCAGCAGTCTGGTCCCACCTCTGAGATCACAAAGAACGACTCCGACGACCTCGATGCGAGCCGTAGGCAGGGCTCGAACTCCGAGGAGGATGACCTGACCCCGGCCCAATCGAGGCGGAAAGCCCAGAACCGTGCAGCGTATGTACATGCCGTCAACCTTATCTTGCCGTTCCCATCACCGATCCCCCCAATCACCGATTTTTCTTCTCACACCCCCTTTCCCTTTGGATTCCTTCCCACACCACCCTCCCCCCTTCCCCTCTAGCCTTGTACCGACATATTTCTTGATGTGGTTTCGTGACCGGAGTTAACCGAACGCCCGCAGTCAACGTGCATTCCGAGAACGCAAGGAACGCCATGTCAAGGATCTCGAAAGCCGGCTACACAATCTCGAGCAGGCACAGACCGAGGCCGCGACGGAGAACGAGCGCCTGAAGCGCGACCTGCAAAAGATGGAAACCGAGAACGAGATCCTGCGAGCGACATCGATGGCCGGCGGTAACTCCGGGTCGCCCGCTGCGGCCGCACCCACCACCACCGGCCCGATGCAGTACAGCCCCACCGACTTCTACAGCAACGTCCTCCAGGGCCATGCCAACAAGTCACCCAGCCACAGGATAGTCACGAGCGAGAAGGGAGAGCGTTTGCTTGCGGCAGGCGCCGCGTGGGGAGTTATTGTCAACCACGAGCTGTTCAAACGGGGGCTTGTCGATGTTAGCGTGGTCAGTGAGCGGCTGAGGTCCCAGGCTAAGTGTGATGGCCAGGGACCTGTGTTTGAGGAGGGCGCCATTCTCCAAGCCATTGAGGAGAGCGTGGGGGAGAACAGCGATGAGTTGATATAAGCAAGGTAACCTACCGAGCCTTTCATCGCTTAGCGGTTTTCATGTTAATGTTAGCTGCTGGAGACACGATGGATACGCGCAACACACAAGGTAAGAAGAGCGAGCAAGCGAGGACTCACGACTTGGATGATTTGTCTTGGAAGACATAACTTGTTATTTTTTTGGGAATCTTTTTTGCCTTGCTATGTCTGGCGTTTTTTTTTGGAAATGGAGCGCTTGGAAACGGTGCATGAACACACGGGATGGATGATTCGTCCAAGGCCCCGTTGGCTTCCAGTATAAGGGATTGCGGTCATTAGAACCGCCCAAGTTCTTCTGATTCTCCCTTGTACTGTACCATATGGGGCTAAGGGCTGTCATTTGGTACATCAGGTTGTTTTAAATGTGTTTAGTTTAGTGTTAGCAGGTTTCAACTCCAGCACTTTGATCATTTACAGCTAGCTATTTGTGTTTGGATTATCACAGCCATCAACTTCCAGGAACTCCGGAAGGGTATCCGAATACTTGAGCGGACCAGCCAGAGAGGAGAAATTCAAAAGTAGGAAAAAAAGAGAAGACCACCCGTTGTACGCCTCGCTGATAGGGCGCATTCCGTTCTATATACCATCCATCCATGCTCCCCATCCCCAGCCCCCTAATATGCCGTCCATGGCGTTGAAAATAATTACCCACAACCTAAAGCACTCGCCGCCATGGGCACTGGCCCCCCTTTTTTGTCGGACATGCATCGAAAAGCCCAGCTCTAACACCTGTTCTTTATCCCCGCCCCGGAGGCGGAGGCAGAAGCCGAAGCCCGCTTACTTACTGCTTCTTCTTATCCGCCTCCTCTTGGCCCTCCACCCACGGGTGCTTGATAGTCAAGCACCAAATGTCCAGGTAATCGCAAATGGTAACGATAACGTCCACCACAAAGCTGCCATACACACCAACAGCCATGCCAAGCATGCAGAACATGAAAGCCACCTGGTACACCCCGTCACCTAAAGCCGAAGGCCACCCAAGCCACGGTACAGGAGCATGCTGCAACAAAACCGGACCCAGCGAGTCAATCACGCCACCCGCCAGCGGGACGACCATAACGTTCCAGTAGGGAAACGGCAGCTTGACCAAGTGGGCCGTGATCATTTGGCCGACGGAGTAGGCATTGACCAACCCGGCGAAGATGGCGAAGGGTATCAGGTGTGCGTGCAGGATGGTGGGCTGCAGGTACAGGTAGGTGACGATGAGGGCCCAGGTGGTGAAGAAGGGGAGGAGACCGACAAGGGCGTACCGCGAGCGGTCGCCACGGGCGCGCCGGGCGCGGATCACGTTGCGGGCTGACTCGACCGTGTTGAAGACCAGCACCACGGTGCCTTGGACCATGTACCAGTCGGTGAAAGACATGTTGTAGAGGAACTCGGGGATGGTTTGGCCGGCGAGGGACTGGGGGACGCCGACGGTGGAGAGCATGCCCTGGCTCCAGAAGGAGGCGCCGCCGAGGAAGCCGGTCAGGGCGTACACGGCGACAACGGTGAGGATGCCCTCGACGGGCCCGTTGACGATGCCCAGGGTGAGGGTCTTGGTGTGGTATTCGTCCCAGGTTTGGACGTAGAAGGTGAGTAGGCTGGCGAAGAGGGTCGCTACGGTCTTCCAGCTTTGGCCCATGTTGGTGGCGCCGGCGAAGAGGAGGACTTCGAGGCAGGTGTTGAGGGCGTCGACGCCATGGTCGAAGAGCTCGCCGAGTGGGCCGGACTGGTGGGTGCGTCGGCTGTGAAAGGGAAAAGGTGTACCGGTTAGCGATGCTGCAGTCCCTCCTTGGCGGGGTTGAGGAAGGGTAGAAAATTAAACCTACGCTTGTGTCCCGTCTACCGCATCAAAGGTCTGGTACAGGAAGAGGCCGATAGCCCAGCTGTAGTAAACCCAGGAAGGGCAGTCTTGGCTAAGTGTCGGGTTATACCAGAGCAGCGTCAGGAAGTTGGCGATCACGAAGGTGAAGCCCGAGAGTGTGATGAGGTTCGGGGCCATGCCCATGGGGAAGCACTTGATGACGACATTGGTGTAGAAGGGCTTGAGCACGTAGCGCGACAGCAACGAGTGGTCAACGCCCGAGTATTTGTATAGCCGCAAATTGGGCAGGTATTCCTGCCGCACGTAGACCATGGCGGCGACGGCGCGGGGTGTTGGTCGTGGTTATCTCGGGATTTGGATTCGGGGCTCTCGGAGCTTCGACAAGGCCTTGGCTTGGGGTCCGGTGTTTCCCTAGTTCGTCCTATGTGCGGTTGTTGTGCTATTATATACCGAGGGTGTAGGGATAGTTTTTGAGGCTCGACAGAAGCTTCGTTATCCGTCTAGATTGGCAGAAAAAGACAGAGGAAAGAAACGGAGGGGAATGGAGAGTCGCAGAGTTGGAGTGGGTGGATCGGCTGTCAACGTCAAGTTGGCCGAGCTCTCATAGCGATGGTCGCTTGGCGCGTTTCCTTGGTTCTTTCTTTAATTACACGCGACAAAGCGAGCTAACAAAAAACGTCATTCCAAGCAACACTACAATTTCTGCCCACCCTTCATCACAATGACTAGCCGAACGAAAAAATATCATCTGAATTTCAAATATCAACTACCCTTGAACAAGGATGCATCAGATATTTCCTCAATGAGTTCTGACGAAGGGCTTTCGAAGTTTATCTCCACTTTGCTGTGTTGGCAATGGGGCTTTTGGTCAACTTATTATTTCCTTATCGATAACGAAGCCGGGGAGCCGGGGTGTAGGACATGGAACGTCATAACACTTCCCAGCTTGCGATGCACCTAATAAAACTTATTCGGCTTAACAATTCAGCAGCATCCACGACACGATGCAATTAGCTCTCAAATGATTATAACTACTGGTTACACTAAGAACTTTTCTCCCCATGACCAGTCATCTCCTCCCGCCATTGACTGATAAATAATCCACAATTCCCCAGATGGAAAACCCCCTACCATGCGCCTTTTTCCATACCAAACGCCACGCGCAGACATACAACGGGAACATGCAACCGTGGGAAGGAAACCACAGGCTTAAACGGGTCGTATCCTTTCCCAGTCCATCTGCCAACCAACCAGTACAGATATACAGGTATGTTCCAAGGCAGGAAAACCAACTCCCGAGTCGTTGAACTCAAGTAGGTGTAAGTAGGGATAGACCGCAGACACAAAGCCATGCCGTGCCGTCGCCCAACCCAAAACCGAGTTAGGCCAACCGAGCAATTAGCTGGCATTCCCAAATCGCCTTCCTTATCTCTCCTTTTCAGAAAAGACAACTGCCCAAGTAACCCCTGAAAATGGTTCCCTCAACTCCAAGAACCAATCATCAAACCCCCCAAACTCATTCATGACGAAAACGCCATCAAGCAGTTTTCATCCATCACCTTCAAGAATTCAGCGTCTTGATCATCATATTGACCTTCCGCTTGTCAGTGACGAGCAGGGAGCGAGCGCCGAACGAGGAGTTGATCGCGTCCACCACCCTGTGGAAGCTGCTCGCTGCGCCCTTCTCCTGCGTAAAGCGCGCAATACTAAGGTGGTTCCGCTTTCCGTGCTCAATGACTGTCATCAACTCAACGGCAAAGGCCACCTCCTTGAGATTGAGATCTAATAGAGAGAGGAAAAAACCATTAGTAACCATGGGATCCTGCAAATGTTATGCCCGAGATTAGGAAAGGAAAACTTACAGTTCTTGGAGCCCACTCGAGCAAAAATGACATTGCGCTCCTTGTCAACCTCCACATCCCGAATGCCATACTTACGCCACTCTCGGAGTAAGATAGCGACCTCCTGCCGGGCGCGTCTCTTGAAAATATTAAAACAAAGATAGCGGATGGCAGGCTTGATGTGGAAGAGACGAGCCAACCAGTTCTGCTGGACCTCGATCTTGCGGATGCTGCCGTCGCTCTCAGACCAGATGCTGCTCATCATCCGAGATTCCTTGCTCATCCTGTTCTTCTTCTTGGTCCTCTCGTTTCGGCGCATGTCATCGGGATCGGAGTCTGTCGTCGTACACACCAAGTTAGCAAAGACGCCCGTGTCCTTGTATTTCCGGCCAGCTGAACAGCATTACTCACCTGCAAGTGACATCTTGGCCTCCTCTTTGCTGCCCTTCCAGAAACCAAACCCAAAGGACTTCTTCTTTTGCGGATGTCGGCCTGACACGTCGTCGGTAGACCTCGAGTTGGGTCGCTTGAGACTGCTGCCGCCATCCGACGGCACGCGTCTGTCATGATATGCGTTGCCATGGTCATCGGTACCGGCTGCAGCGGTAGAAATGGGGACATTAGCATGTTCCTTGGAGGAACGTCGGAACCAAGACGAGACCCTCTTCTGAGGGGCTACAGTATTGACATCGTGACCATTGGCGATGGTGTCCGGTTGCTGATATTGAGAACCAGAGTTCACCCGTCCTTCCTGGTTCTGGGCAGAGGAGCCAGCTGTGGCCTGAGCACCGTTGTTGTTTTTGGATGCTTTGCGAACGTTTAGAGGTTCGGGAACTTGCACCGGATAGTAATGAGCTCCCAGTGCGGAAGGAGAGTTGACCACTCGGATCGTGTTCTCAGCCCGCGCCAAATAGTCCAAAGCTTGATGCTCAACACGCACAGGGGTGTTCAAGGGTTCAGGAACGAAGCCTCGTCTCGTTTCGCAGCGCTTCTGGCGGTCGCCCGGCGTGTTCTCAGAAATTGAAGGCAGTTGTCTCGCATCGCCCCTTGGGCGGTCATACGTCGGCTCGGAAACAATTCGGCGGTCCGGACCTATAATGCTTCTATTGGAGCTGTTGGACTGAACCTGGAGTGATCGCGCCGACGATGAAGTAGGCTCAGCTTGCCCAGGCACGGCCTTGCGAATCGACAAAGGCGAGACGGTATCCCGCGATGGGACGGGCGGCAACGGCCTGTTATCCCACGGACGAGGGGCAGCTCCTAGTCCAGGAGTCGGGCATTCCTGAACAACAGGGAGGGTTCCCAGGGACAAAGCGAGGGGACTGGTCTCACGGGAACGACCTCCAACTTCATCAGGTTCCGGCAAGAGAAGTGAGCTGCGGAAAGCCTCATCACAATCACGGGCGATGCGGTGGCCGAGCTGCTCGAGCTCCTCAGTCCAGAAGAAGGTATCACTCGTTGTGTCGCCGATGTCGATCATCGATCGAGTGGTCGTAACTTTATATGTAGGCGGCTCATTCACCGGGCCACGAGACGATAAAGTAGCACGGTCGATCTGGGAGGCATCTCCTGCGAGGCTAGCCGGAGACGCAACCGAGGCACGACGGCTATGACCATTGCGGTGGCGGTAGCTCCGACTCCGGATGCTCGAAAAGTCCACGGAACGCTTGGAACGATTATTGGCCCGGACACGGGGGTTGCTCTGGTAGCTGCGAATAGAACTCATGGTGGCCAATGACGAGCTCAACTGGCCAGTGGTGCCAGTACGTCGTGAGCCTGGGCCGCCCCGCTGGCGAAGGGAACTGTACCCCGAGCGGTACGAGCGGTACGAGTGTGAGACGCTGGTTGGGGACTGGCCCACACTCGGGTTCGGCGAGCTGCGGTGGATGACAATTTTGGCATGGCTCGCTTGTGGACCGCAAGGTACACGAGATGCATTGTACGGATCGTAGCTCCGGATGGTACCGGCTTCGTCCACGTCCGGGACATTAGAGATTACTGTGAAACGAGAAATGGTCCGAGTATGGCCATTCTTGCCGGGCTTCGTGAATTGACAAGTGGAAACCCGTTTAGCCCAGTTGGGTGGTTTGAGGTGATGAAAGTCGCTCTTGGAGATTGGCACGTTGTTGTTATAGTTCTCTAGCTGGGCCTCGCGGTGGCTGTACAGAAGCCAGTAAAAGAGTTTCTGATCGTTCGGCCTGGCGTGAGGGATTTGATTCATCAGCACATATTCTTGTCATGTTCCACGGATCATGCATTGCTAAAAGCCACCATAACTCACTTCTCCTGCCGGAGCTTCTCTTCCAGGGCGGATTCCGAGTACATGTGCCAAAGAGCTTTCAGCTGGCGGAGGATCTGGATGTCTATCTCGTCCGGGATGCGGTCGCTGCGGATGTCGCTTAACACGGTCTCGGACATGCCTTCCCAGGCCTGGTACTGCTCAAGATAGTCGTATTTCCTGATGAGAGCATGTCGCCACATTTGCTTCATGACGATACGATGAGTGGGCTGCGCCACCAAAATCCGTTTGATGAGATCTTTCGCCTCTCTAGTAAGCTGTGGGGGCATCTTGTAGTCCGCCTTCTTGGCCTTGGCTAACATGGCTTCCATGTTCGGTTCGTCAAACGGAAGACAGCCTGCCAGCATGGCAAACAGGATCACGCCCATGCTCCAGATATCCACGGCAGAACCCTTGTACACTTGATGACGGAGCAACTCTGGGGCAGCATAGTGAGGACTCCCACAAGCAGTTCGGAGCTGGTGAGTGGAATCCTGCTGCAACGCTGCCATGCCAAAATCGGCGATCTTGATCTGCCCATTCGCTTTGAGCAGGATGTTCTCGGGCTTGAGGTCCCGATGGCAAATGTTGAACGAGTGGCAGTAGTCGAGGGCAGTCATAATCTGACGAAAGTAAAAGATAGCTTCCTCTTCCTGGAGCGGGCCGTGCCAGTTGATGAACTCGAACAGGTCTCCTTTCTCGACATACTCGGTGACCATGTAGCTACAAGAGTGTTAGTGACCAAGGCAAAGAGAAAGGTCAACTTTTGGGGTACATGAGGCTTACATCTCGGATCGGTTCTCCCAAATGTCCAGGAGTTCAATGATGTTTGGGTGACGAATGAGCTTGAGAATGGCTACCTCCCGCTCAATCGCCAGAGGCATCCTGCGGAGACCCCCATCGGCTACAGTGTTCAGGTTCTTGTAGTCGATGTTGTCTAGATTCGCTAGGCTGCCAGCCTGGGTCATGTAGGCAGTGCTTTTGGCTACAATCTTGATGGCAACCAGCTGGTGGGAAACGCGATGCCGGGCCAGGCGGACACGAGCCGACGATCCCTTACCCAGCGTCTTCCCGAGCTGCCATGGGCCGATGTGTGTCTTGAGTTGGCGTGTGCTGGACGCGGTAGACGAGACGTTGGAAAATTGCGAGACGCGCCGAGTATCTGGTTCTCCCCGGGTGTCTTGAGGAGCGGGAATCAAACGCGAATCGACAGGAACCGGCACAGCCGGCACTGCTGACGCCGGGGCCCGGGCCGGATCGCGCTGGCTATAATCCTCCGCTGCCGGATTGTTGACAGTAATGGTAGGGTTGGAACTGCCATGCTGCCTGCTCTTAGGCTCGACCAGGATGTGGTTTTCGACGTCTCCAGCCCGGTGCTGGCGGCGGTTAGCGCGTGACGCTGCGGTATAATTCAGGCGCTGTGCTGCATCGCCCAGCGGCTTCCGAGATGCCGGACGCTGGGACGAGCTGCGGCGATCCATGACGGTCAAACAATTAAAGATTGGCCCACTGCATCATTGGTTGATAAACCAATCGGGAGATCCAGTCGAGCGGGAATTAAAAAAAAGGGAAAATAGAAAGGAGGAGAGGGGGACGGGAAGGTGAGGTGGGTAATCGGGATCAACTGCCGGTTCAGGCAAGTCGTGGATTGGGGAGAGAAGGGGGGGGGGGGTGTTCAAGCCAGGCCCGGGTGGAATGCGCGGGAGCCAAGTCCGTGAGCACGACACGATTACCTGTACTTGAGGTGGTCGTAGGCTTGAGAAGGTGCTTCAAACGAGGAATAGAGGAAAAAGGTGTAGGAAGTCGGGTAGGCGACGCGGGTAAAAACAACAACGCACAGTCGATGATTGCGAAATCTAGGAAACCCAGACGTTCCAAAATAAACGGAAGTAGGCGAGTCTGGAAATCGTGTTTTGCTTCAAGAGCCAAATCGATGGTGGAGCGCCACAGTGCAGTGACCAACGCTGTGTTGGAAGTGTCCAAATTTTGGGAAAGAGGTGTTAACGGCGCTTGCGCAAGAAGCCCAAGTGTTGGTCGCACCGGATACCCACACTAAGGACGAAAGCAGCGCAAATGATAAGCGCTCAAGGCGCTCAAGCGCCTGTGGAAAGCTGCGTTAACTGCCTTCCAACGCTTACATCAGTCGTTGCCACACTGTCTAAGATGGCATGAACAGTCCATATCTTCCATCTGAAGGGTTGGACCTCGGCCGGGCCTGGTTTTGATAGGAACTCGACAGCGGCCGGCGCGGCTACCGCACACGCGCCCCGAGACGCGGATATTGAGGTGGTTAGAACATAGGTCAGGTCAGGATGCACCTTCCCGGCTTATACGGGTATTATGGGTAGGTGGTCCGTCGGGCTTGATGGAACACGGCTGCGGGCCAGCGGACTCGAATCGAAGTCGTGGACAGATACGGAATACACAGCACTGGATAATATCAGCGAATAGTTCATATCGCCTGAGGGGCAGTCTTGCCGCCGTTTCACGAATTGGTACCGCATGATTGACCCAGGACAAATAATATGAGAGGTAGATAATATGGCAGATGGTACAGAGGCAGGAGGAGCTTGTTTCAACCGGTGGCCACAATCTCGCTGATCGTAAAGGAGTACAAAGACCGAAGGACTACCGGGAGAATCGTGATCATGGGAGAGCGGAGAAAACCTAGAAGGACAAAATAAAAAATAATGATAACAACTCAATCTAGACCATCGGAAGCACCCAAGTGTTCCCAATCGAAGTTGAAGTTCTTTCAAGGGCGATCTCGCCCGCCTAAGGTCATACATACTATGGTAGTCGACATGTTGTATCATGAAGTCGCGGCGGTTGATGAGGTGAAGTTCAAAAATGTGGGGTCAGGAACATGGAGCTAAAGCGAAGATCGCCACGTGCCTCCACAGGTCCTAGACAGTGCGAAGCAAGGGTACCAATACTGGCCCGGAGTACACGACGTGGACAAACATGTAATCGCCGTTGTTTTCAGCCACCCCCGCCCTCAACCAATTCTTCAAGGTGAGCCTGGTGAGAATTCGGAAGCCCCCGCCGGTAGTGTTGACTATTGAGCCAAGCATTTCCAAGCATTTCTCAGCCATTTCCACTCCCCGCACCGGGTTGGGCCCCCTGCGATTCGTAAACTCTGCCCGTGTGTTGACCACGGTAGGATTTAGACGTCGTAATGCATCAAGGTAACGCTGCGGTGCTGACATTCTTCAAATAGATTGGACCAAGGTCATGCGGTTGGCGTTTAGCAGGACAACCGGGGAAATTAAAAATCACCCGCACCAATGAAAATACTACGAGCCGACCAGCCCGGCAGCGCAGCCGGGGGTGGAGAATGGAAGCCCGAGTTTTGACGGCCGCTAGAAGCCTCGAAACGATAGCAAACTCAATTGGGGAAAGAGGCAACATAAGCGAAAGGACCAGCCACCACAGCCGCCCAACAGGCTGAACTGGGCGTTTACCGTTCGCACAGTAACCTCACCCCGGAGGCAAGGCTCGGGACGTGGCCCGGGGTCGGGTCGAGAGGAACCTGGAACGATAGTTTGCTGCAGCCCAGGAAGCCCAGAAACACGCAGGCTCTGAAAGTTCCATTGAAGCGGGCTGGCATCCTACCATGGTCGACCAATGGGCCGGACGGCATGTGCTGACGGCGAGCCGGGAACCGAAGCATGGAAATCTTTTTATTCATCTGGGACCCCTTCACATTCCAGAGAACCGCTCGATATCCTCAGTCTCAAGTCGCCGCCTAAGATTCAATAGCCATACACACAGCTCGAAGTCATGAAGCCTACCTCATTCTTCCTGTTGACGGCCGGTGCTTCCGTGGTCACGGCCCTACCCAAGAAGCCTTGCCCGCCGCGTGATGACACGCCCAAATGCGAGAAGCCAGAAAAGAGACAGTCTTGGTAGGTTCTGACTTGCCCGCCCCTCACGTCAAGATCCAAGACGCCCTGCTTTGTTATGAGTGCCGCTAACAAGCTGTTGTTAGGCACGACATCACTAATGATGAGAGGAAGGCTTACACCGACGCCGCCGTCTGCCTTCTGACTTCTCCCCAAAAGCTTAACAAGCTTCCTGGTGCCCAGACCAGGTGGGATGAATTGGTTTCCCTTCACCAAATTCATGCTTTGCAGATTCATACGACCGGTCAGTTCCTGCCCTACCACAGGTACTACCTGAAGACGCTTGAGTTCCTCCTCCGGGAGTGTGGGTACAAGGGCGTACTCCCGTAAGAGACAATCCATCCATCAACTTGTTTTTCAATGTTTCCTCGTTGTTAACACTCAGCGTTTAGATACTGGGATGAAACCCGGGATGCCGGAAGTTTCTCCAAGAGTGTCATCTTCGACCCGGTCACCGGATTCGGCGGAGGCGGCGCGGCGCAAGGCGGGTGTGTGCCCGACGGCCCCTTTGCCAATTTGACCGTCAACATCGGGCCGGGTTTCGGGTCCGAGCCCCGATGCGTCAACCGTAAATTCACGGACTTTTTCAGCGACCAAACCGGAGCGGACTACGTGGCTGCTGCCCTCAACAACACCGACTATGCAGGCGTGCTTCCTGGTATCTACGCTGGGCCGCATCTTTACGGCCACATGTCGCTGGCTATGATGGTATGTATTCACCCACATTTTCTAGTAATTACTGTGCGGTTCGTACTGACAACAGCCAGGACGGCAACTCCATCACCTCGTCTGGCGACCCGTTGTTCTTCATGCACCACGGCTTCGTCGACAAGATGTGGGCCCAGTGGCAAGCGGAGGACCCTGAGGCCCGCCTGAAGGATATCTCCGGGCTGAACGCCCAGGACCCTGATGTTGGCTTTTCGGAATTCCCTGGCGGCATGGAAGAGGAAGCGAAGATGTGGGGGCACCCCAGCGCAGAGCTCCTGGCCGTCACGCCAGACCCTCAGGCTGGTGACGGTGGCCCGAACATCACGCTGAACCACATCATGTCTTCCCTGGGCATCATTCCTGACGCTACTGTGGCGGACGTCATGAGCACGACGGGTGGTTATCTTTGCTACGAATATGAATAAGAACTAGACCGAGTAGCTTAGTTCTGGGTAAATACCAAATGCATCAGAATGCCTGCGCGCATAACCAGTATAACCGAAGTGTATGTTCCCATTTCTATGAGATTATCAAGTCCCAATCTTCAGCGCTCTCTACGAGTCAACGCAAATACTGGCAGCCCAACCCCCCATTTTCTTTTGAGAAGGATTTTGACATGACCGGACACACCGCCGGCTGGCTTGAACGGCACGGCGAAATGCCGAATCTGGTGTCTACTTCGCGCCCCACCAAGCAACACCCTCTCAGCATGCGAATAAATATAGGAATGCTAATACCGGAAGGGCCATGTGGGCGGACCGGAAGAAAAGCGCCTACATGTACCGAACTACCCACCACGTCGGAACTCGGAAGTACCTCCTGTACAGTACGTCTGCACTGAGGCGGGACATCCAAGTGGGGTATTCGGAACACCCCCCGACCCCGAATGCCCAAGCCGGCAGTGTATCGACAACCCTCGGTACTCTACACGTGTAGAATCCTGAATGCAACATTGGGAACCCCCATTCTGCACAGCACTGACAATTGCGCCACCACGCGCCCCGGGAAGTGGGAGGAAAGAAAACAGGCAATCCGGGAACCCATCAATCTATCTTACCAATGTGCATTTTGCCTGTAGCTGGCAAAATATGTTGTTGGGTCCCAACTTTATCAAGCTAAAACCGGGCGGCCAGGGAAGTTGTTAGCACAAGCGGAGCAGGCGTCCGTCGCCTAAACAGAGAGATCGGCTCCGGGGTTCGGCATTGGCGCGCGCGCCCACCCGGGACCATGTCACGCCTGATGGCACCTTGTACCTGGTCAACCTGGTCGACAATTTTGTCGTGACGCCGTGATGGCCCTGACGGGGTTCATCTTCACTGTTACATGGCATGAACAAGCCCGGGTGATCGGGGGTTTTCTCTCTCTCCCTGCTCTTCCTCTAACTCACCCATGCTACTATGGTAAGGCCAACATATCTCGGTTCCTTCGCCATAGGTACCATGAGTTACGTGTACATATAAAGACAGTCCAAAGTCAATATTGCCGCTTCATCTGTCCTGTCAGCCCCATTTCGCCCGCTGACCCAAAGCCCCGAGGAGAGAAGTTGTACATACTCAACAGCAAACAACCATGCTCAGTTCCGCCCTCACAACTCTACTTCTCGCCGGTGGCCTAGCCTCTGCACATGGCCCCGGTCACGACCATGCCCACGAGCAGGCCGTACGCCGCCGCTTCCTTGATATCCACACGAATACCCTAGCCCACTGCGCCGAGAAGCATGCAGCCAGCGGTGTCCAGGAGCGTGCAGTCCAGAGGCGCGAGAACCGGGCCCGCTCGTTGATGGCGGCGTCGCCATCCGGGGCTTTAAAAGGTGTGTTAGTGATTGGTGGGGGTGATGAGAAGATAAAACAACGTGAGGCTGACCACTCCAACAGCCCGGCAAACTTCCTCTATCGGGAAATCCCACAAGTCTGACAAGCCGTACGATGCGACAACCGATCCTAAGGAGGTCTTTGCGGACGATAACTCCTGCGTTCTGAGTCCTGAGACAACGGAAGGACCGTTTTGTGAGTCGATAGGACCACCGCGGTCCATTTGTGAGGAAAGTGAGGACTGGGATGACTGACTCTGGTTGTGTTAGTTGTGCTTGGTGAGGATATTCGGAGCGACCTCATCGATGGTCAACAGGGGGTTCCGGTCCACCTCGACATTCAGCTCATCGACGTCGAGACATGTGAACCGATCGAAGGCACCTTCATTGAGATGTGGAGTGAGTTTGGCTTCTCTCTTTTTGTCGTAACGTCCCGGCATCCTAAGTAGTGGCGGAGTTATAAACTCTTATACACAACTTTGCTAACCGGCATGACGTGACAAGACGCCAACTCGACAGGCGTCTACGCCGGCGCGCTAGCCGTCGTCAACGGCATCGGCATGTCCGACACAGCCAATCTCGAACGGACCTTCCTCCGGGGCGCCCAAAAGACAGACGCAGACGGTGTCGTCCAGTTCCAGACTCTCTTCCCAGGTCACTACGACGGGCGCGCCCCCCATATCCACGTCATCAGCCACTTCAACGCCACCGCCCGCGAGAACAACACCCTCTGGGACACCACCGTGACCCACGCCGGCCAGGTCTTCTTCGACCAGGACCTCATCGCCGCCGTCGAGCAGCTCGAGCCCTACTCTACCAACCAGCAGAACCTGATGCAGAACGCCGCCGACAGCATTCTGTTGCAGGAAGCCGCCACGACCGACCCGTTCTTCAACTATGTGCAGTTGGGCGAGGATCTGGCGCAGGACGGCCTCTTTGCCTGGTTCCGCTTTGGTGTCAACACGACTTTCACCCGTGAGATCATGGCGACTGCGATGCGGTACGAGGAGGGCGGTAAGATGGTTACCACGAACCCCAAGGTCCCAGGCTTGGACCAGCTTTTCCCAGGTGGGTTCCCGACGGCCTACCAGCCGGGGTGGGGGGGTAACGGACAGGCGCAGCCGACCGCGAGCCCGTAGGGTACTGAGAATTAGGGATTTGAGGGGTTAGCTGTAAATTAGCCATCACGATAAAGTATATACTGAGTGAGGTTTTGCGTGAAGAGGCCTGTGATGACGAGAAGTCTACAGGGGATTGTTGTTTAGCAGGACGTTCCGACCCATGTGTTGCAAGGGATTGAGACCCCTGGATTTATTCCAACCGCAGCGCCCGGCTGGTCTTTCGAAGTTTGGAATGCTCGAGGGGATTCAACCGGATCGGTCCCCCGTTCACGTCGATAGCCTGAGAACCGCCTGGTTTTCTGACCGCGATAACAACATCGGGAAACTTCGCATGATCGAAACGTACCGTCTGATTCGTCGTTGAGCATGAGATGAAGTTCAAAATAACGTTTAGTTATGTGGGTCAGGAACGGGCGATGGGCTGCTTAAGTGAGAACCCACGTGGACACGTGCCCCACCGCTAAAAGAGAGTGCGAAGTACGCGAAATTTGGACGCGACGCGTTCGCTTTGACAATCAACTAAATCTCCACCCCGCAACCCCAGCGTCAAACCATTGACCACAATCATGCCACCGAATTTTTGTTGCCAACGACATCCGAACCAGCCATTCCGACACAATCTTGAACTTCCCCTTGGATGAAGGCTGGAATAGCCGACGAACCCTCCGAAATAAAACCGCCGACGGGCCGCCCTTTCACCCGCGCAAAAACGATGAAACGGTCGAGGGAGGACGATCCCTTCGAGGGTCTGCGGTTAAGAGGAGGCGATGAATCCCATGGATTCAGTCAAGAAGTAGAGGAAGAAAGTTCGGCCGACGATGAGAGGCCTCCCCGACGATCGAGAGGCCCTCGCCCACGAAACCGGGTCACACCCTCCGGGTTTCAACCGGGCGCTATCGTTCGGGTCAAAGTTCAAAACTTTGTAACGTACGAAGAGGCCGAGTTCTTCCTGGGCCCGAATTTGAACATGGTGATCGGGCCCAACGGAACCGGGAAAAGCTCGCTAGTTTGCGCAATTTGCCTTGGCTTGGGCTACGGATCGAATGTCTTGGGCCGAGCGAGCGCCTTTGGCGAGTTTGTCAAGCACGGGAAGGACGAGGCCGACATCGAAGTGGAGTTGCAGAAACAAACCGACGACCCGGAGAATTACGTTGTCGGCCTCACGATTCGACGTGAAGATAACAGCAGGAGGTTTACCATCAATGGCCGGAGGGCTTCCTTGAAGGATATCCAAGAGCTTATGCGGGCCTTGAGGATACAAATCGACAACCTGTGCCAGTTTCTGCCTCAAGACAAAGTCGCGGAATTCGCAGCCCTCACGCCGATAGAGTTACTCGAAAAAACTCTGCACGCTGCTGCGCCCGAAGAAATGATCAGTCTGCGGAATCAGCTAAAGGACTTATTCCGGTTGCAGAAGGATACCGATCACGAAGGGGAACAGATCCGCGAAGAATTGCGCAAGATGGGGGGGCGGCAACAAGTTCTCCAGGCCGACGTTGAAAAGCTTCGGGAGAGAAAAACCATCCAGGAGACAATCGAGGATCTGACAAAGCTGCGGTGCGTCGTCAGCTATGAGGAGGCCCGTAAGAACCACAGTAGGGCAAGATTGCGCAAGGCTGAAGCCAAACACGCTCTTGAGGAGCTTCAACGCAGCCTGGCTCCGTCACTCGAAGCCGTCAATAAGAAGCAGCAGTATCGGTCCAAGATCAGCCTGGTGGTAGCCGACAGACAACAACGGCTGGACAAAGCACGCTCCGCGGTCATTGATGCCGCTGAGACGGTCACGGCTGCCGAAATCAAGTGTCAAGATCTGGTCACCAAGAAAGAGACCGACCAGAAGTTGCTTGTGAACAAAAAGAACGAGATCGGCCGCCTCCGGAAACAGATTACGGACCTAGAGGCCCAGCTTCGCCGCGTGCCGCCCGAATTTGACGCCGCGAGCTGGAACCGAAAGATTGTAAGTACTCCATGATCTTCCGAGCCGATTGCTACGAGTCCACGCTCACCACTCGCAACAGCGAGAGCAACAGCATCTGGAACGTGAGAATGCCAAAAAGCTCGAGGAGCTGGACCTAGAACTTTCCGACTTGACGCGTAAGTCCCAGGAAGTTCGACAGCATTACCATGGACTCGCACAAAATCTCAAAGATTTGGAGTCCCAAGACGGCCAGCTGTTAGCCCAACTGAAGAAGCACAATAGCGACGCCTTTGCCGGCTGGGAGTGGCTCAAGGACAATCAAGCCGGCTTTGAGAAGGAAGTTTTCGGCCCGCCCATGTTGACTTGCTCCGTCAAGGATGCCCGTTACACAGATCTTGTTCAGTCGATCCTCCAACCAGAAGATTTCTTTTGTTTCACGGCACAAACCAAGGAGGACCATAAAAAGCTCAGCGACCAATTCTACAAGAATATGGGTCTCTCCGTCACGATTCGATCCTGTTTCACGCAGTACAGCGCATTCACGCCGCCTTTGCCCAAGGATCAGCTGCTGTCCCTGGGCTTTGATGGGTACGTCACGGACTTTCTAGACGGCCCAGAGCCGGTGCTAGCCATGCTCTGCTCGGAGCGCAGAATACACGTATCCGCCGTAGGGTTGAGGGATCTCGACGATGCGCAGTTTGAGCAAATCCAGCAGGTTGGGAGCTTATCCAGTTTTGCTGCCGGGCGACAATTCTATCGTATTACCCGCAGGCGAGAGTACGGCCCGGGAGCTGTGTCCACGCGGGTCACCCCAGTCCAGAAAGGCCGTTTCTGGACCGATCAGCCGGCGGACACCACGGAGAAAGCGGAGATTGAGAAAAAGATTGAGGAAATCAAACGGCAACACGCTACATCCCAGGCACGGCGCGACGCTATTGCAGCGGAACGCGGCACCCTACAAGCGGAAAGACAGGCGATTAAGGAGAAAGAGGTATGGTTGCTGGTCATACCTGTCACTCACTCGCGTGTCAACACCTCGCTAACAGTTTAGGGCAGACTGAATTGCTTAAGGCGAAAAATGAGCTACAGCAAGAGTTCAACAGCTGGAAGTTGTTACCAGGAAAAATAGGTACGCTGACTGGCCTGCTGTCGACGCTTCTGTTTTGGAGAGAAACTAACATCTTTGACAGAGAAGGAGCAAAAAAGCCTCGAGGAGGTCAAAGACCGGCTTATGGAAGGCAAGGCGCAGCTATTCGAGCTTGAAAAGTCGTATGTCGAGGCGGTTTTAGCTGTGGCGTCCGCTGTTCTTGAGCATAACAAGAAATTAGGTCACATCCGGACGGCACACCGGGCGCTATTGGAAGCCCAATTGGTCATGATAGAAGCAGAGTCAGAGGTGACGGCGCTCAAGGCTAGGAACGCGGAGACCAACCAACGACTTGAAGATGCGAGGAACTTGGTGAAGCAACTGAGCGAGGAAACGCAAAAGCTACGCGATATTGTTAGGGAAGCTTCCGGGCCCGCCGCCGAGGTGATGAGCGGAGAGACCACGGATGATATGAAGCGCAGGGCTGAAGGGATGACAGTGGGCGACGTCGACCAGAATATTGCGGCGGAAAAGGCAAAGCTTGAGGTCATTCAAGCCGGAAACCCAGCTGCGCTTGAAGAGTACGAACGCTACGCTGCCAGGATGGAGCGAGAACAGGCCAACCTCGAAGCTCAGGAGGCCAAACTGGCCGAGCTGAACAACCTCATACACGAGATCAAGACTCGATGGGAGCCGAAATTGGAGCAGCTTGTGGGCCAGATCAATGATGCTTTTAGCTACAACTTTGAGCAGATCAACTGCGCGGGCGAGGTGGGCGTCCATAAAGATGAGGAGTTTGAGAAATGGGCCATTGAGATCAAGGTCAAGTTCCGGTATGTACTCCCCCTCCACTGTAGCTGGGAAACCAACGGGCCAGTGCTAACGGATTCCGATCCAGCGAGAACGAAACCTTACAAAGGCTAGACCAGCACCGCCAGTCCGGCGGCGAGCGGGCCGTCTCCACCATCTTCTACCTCATGGCGCTACAGTCGATGGCCCAGGCACCGTTCCGGGTTGTCGACGAGATCAACCAGGGTATGGATCCCCGCAACGAACGCATGGTACACGAGCGCATGGTGGAAGTGGCGTGTCGCGAGCACACGAGCCAGTACTTCCTCATCACGCCCAAGCTGCTCTCGGGGCTGAGATACGACGAACGCATGCGGGTGCACACGATTGTCAGTGGGGAGTATGTTGATCGGGCAGGGACGGAGAAGATGAATTTTGGGAATTTTGTCAAGATTCGGCGGCGGTTGGCAGCGGGGCACTAATGGGCAGGAGCAAATACACTACACGCGAGTAGCTTGCGTGGACGGAGGCCAAAGATGAGGCTAAGTGCTTCCGGTTGCTTCTATCGTGGCTTGCGTGGATACCTGGATACCAAGGCGGCGTATGGGGGCCTAAGGGGATGAACACCAGGGCTGGCTCTTTGTTTACTGGACGAGATGAATGTTGACGACCTACACGTGTACCTGCTTGATGAACCCCACCGTGACATACATACACGTGTATTCCGGAACATCCTGGACTGGATTTCTTCATAATCCCTTCTCCTTTGATGCCAAGACAGAGAGCAACCGTTTGGACCCACACATGGTTTGGCGGCTCGACCTAAGACCAGGATGCAATGACGTCAGGGATATCCTGCGGACAAAGTGCTCCGGGAAACCCCCGAGGCCACTCCCGGAGACCACGCCGAGACCAGCTCAAAGTTTTCCCGACATCATTCAACCGAAGAACAAGGTGGTTTGGGCAGCAAATGGTGGCCCACCGCCCGCGTGTGCTGCAAACGATGGGCAGCCATGATATCACTGGCTGAAGCCACAGTCGGAGAAGGCCCCGCTTTGCCGCTTCTGCGGCTTGTGCAGGAAGAAAATCTCGAAGAATTTGGGAATAGCAGAATTCATGATGTCGTGACGTCATTACTTAATGACATCTGCACAATGTCGTACCAGCAACACGAGTGTTGAGAGATGTTGAAAATGTATATATCTTGTCCTTAGGTCTCGATCTTTGTAAATTTATATTCGCATAACCGGACCACATTCATCATTTACTCAAACACGAGAAACACCATCAATTAGAAACAGAGCCAACTTGACCAACCTCTATCAAATCACCTATCAACACAACCAACCCACCCAAAAACAAACCCCACCACATCACTCAAAATGGGCGCCGTCGTATCCTGCGTAAGCACTCCTCCCCCCTCCCTACCAAAATAATGTAATAAATATCTAACACTGGATAGATCCAATCCTGCATCCGCACAATCGGCCGCACAATCATGGCCATCATCAACGGCATCGGCGGCATCATCATGGCCATCGTCAGCGGCATTGTCACATTCCTCGACACCATTGTTGGGTGTTTGACGTGTAACACCTGTGGCGGACACCGTCGGCACCGGGGTACGAGCAGGAGTGGAAGGGGTTTTGGGAGGAGGAGACATGTCGGACGGACTAGTGCTATTTAAGGGTTCTGGTTTCTAGAGGGGAAGAGGGGAAGGGGAAGAGGGGGTGGTAATGGAGGAGGATAAACGGTTGCGGCTTTCTTCTTCGACTTGTCTTGTTTTGTGGATGAATAGACGCGCGAGCGAGCTATGAGATACCCAATACCCGGTACGAAGCATTGGTAACGAGTAACGACGCACACGTGAGGGAGACTGTATGATCATGAGGCGGAGCGTTTGGTTACCTGTCTGTTTATTTGTTTAGCCATTTTCTGTTTTGAGCAGATTTTGCAGCATAAACTATGGATTTAATTACCAAGAACGGGTCATCATCTTGAGTGAAATATTGAGTGACTGTTTTGATCACGCAGCTGGCTGGATTCTCATGGAACTACCTCTCTCTCTGGGAACAAGTAATTATACCGACCCCTAGTCGTCATCTAACAAATCCTTCTTAAAGAACCCGCAAATCTTCCCCGCCGCCTCTCTCCCAACAATCGGATTCAGCTCCTCCACCGTCATATTCGCAACTTCCCTAATGCTCTCCACCTCCAGCACCAAATTCTTCAAGTTCTTCTGCGTCACCCCGGGCACCGTCCCCAACATCTCCTGCGGCACGGGATTAAACATCTGCCCATTCACCCCCCCTTGCCCATCCTCACTATTGTCTAGACCAGCCCTTACAGCAGCAATCGGATCCGGCTCCGGCTCCTTGTCCTTAATCCTCGCAAAAATCTCCGCCGTCTCATACGGCGACGACGACCAAATAATCCTCAACCTCGGAAACGCCAACGTCAACAACACAATCTTACTCTGCAAATCATTCCCCTGCGCGCCCGCATTCGCCAAACTAATACTCGACATACTCCCCGACAAATCCGCAAACGGCTCCAACGTAAAACTCTTATTCTGATCAAACTCAATCAACAACATCGGATCACGATAATGCTGGAACATCGCCTCGCACTGCGCAAATAACCGGCCGTCTTTGAACGAACTGATCAGGTCGCTGATGCTTTTGCGCTCGACGCAGATGTGCGGGGTGAGAATGTAGTCGCCGACGGTTAACATGCAGGGGACGATGATGGTGGAGCGGCCGTGGAGGAGGGAAGGGAGGGAGGAGCGGAACTCGCGGACGTCCACGACTACGCGCGGGGGTCGGGCGGTCGCGGCGAGACGGCCGCCGCCGGCTATGCGGGTGTTGACCGTGCGGAGGAAGGCTTCTTGGGGGTCGTCGGCGCCGCCGGGGGTGTCGGTGGTGGTCAGGGTGAGGGACATGCTGGCGCGTTCTTTGATGAGTTTTGTGAAGGCGTCTTTTTCGCGGCGGACGGAGGAGAGGTAGCGCTGTTCTTCGACGGAGCCGCCGTAGTATAGAAAATAGACGCGGACGTTGCGGTCGTTGTGGGATGAGCGGTAGACTTCGACGCGGCGGATGAAGGCGGCGTCGGGCTCGTACATGATGATGTACTTGGGCTTGATCTCCTCTAGGACGTGCTCGTCTACATCGCCGTTGTAGGCATGGATGACGACGAGGTCTTGCATCTCGTACAGTTGGTAGTAGTCGTCCATGTCGTCCAAAGGGTCGGCGACGATGTCTTCTTTTTGTTTGCTTTCTTCTTCGGTGATTTGGATCTCGGCCATGAGCTCGGCGACCTCCCCGGGCTTCTCAAAGTGCTGCGCAATGCTCCCATTGTCAAGGCGGCCCGGGGCGGTCCCAACCAACCCTCCACCTCGCATCCGGCGTCTTTTATTGGGAGGGGGTCGGTTCTTGGACCCCCTCAACCGGGGATCGACGGCACCCGTGATGGCTTTGTGGTTCTCCGAGAACAAGCTGTTATTGACCTGGGCAAATTCCCGCTTCCACTTCAGATAACCCCGCAACCGTCTACGCATCATGAACTCAGCGGACGGCTTGTCCGCGTCCGGGTCATGGAACTCCTCGACTTTGTGTTCCGTTTTGGGCCGGACGTGCATCGTCTGCAGATAGTCCCGGAGCTGCCGGCAGGTGTCGGTGTCGGAGCACATGATTAGGATGGTCCCGTTGGAGTCGTCGCGAGCGGGGGGCTCGAAGTAGAGGTCCCGGTCGATCTCTTCCAGCACCTCGGCCAAGACGGCCCATTTCGGCTGTTCCTCGAGCACCGGCCGCAGAGCGTCGATGTTGGTGGTGTTTGGTCCGGCTTTTTGATTGCTCGAGTACACCCGCCTCCTTGCGGTTTCGAAGATGGTCTGCGCGGCGTCGAGAAACAACCAGGGCGACTGGGTTTGTCTCGTCGATCCGGGAGGGGGGGAGTGAGCCATGTGGATGGTGTCGAGCTGTTGCAAGAAGGAGACTGCGTCGAGAGCCAGCACCGACTGGAGCATTTCTCTTAGAACGGTTAGGTCGCCCACGATCTGCTTGGTTTTCCAGCTCACCCGGTGCCAGTTGGGATCGAGCTGGCGGCGAACAATCACATCAAAGTTCTTCAGCAAGGCGCTATCGAGGTTCCAGTCGTCCATTTCCAACCCCGTGTTGGCCTTCTTCAGTTCCTGAATGTTGATCTCCACACACTCCATCACGGCATGCTGGATCTCTCGCATGGCATCGGTCATGGGGACCTCGAGCTCGATCACCTCGGCCTTTTTCTTCCCCTCGAGCGCCTGCGCAACGTGGACATGAAACCGCGGCCATAGCGACGCCTTCCGGAGGAACAGGTTCTTCATCATGTTGGTCAGCGGCGAGAAGCCGGTGGTGAACGGATCCGGGTTGTCGGAGAAGGCCTTGAGAAACCCGGCCTTGTTCTTCTGCCGGTAGACCCGGAGGATAAAGGCCTCGAGCGACGTGGCAGTCACCCGATCAGCGTGCAGCACGACCATCCCAGTAATAGTTTCCGGGCGGAGGAGATCAGTCAGGACATCAACCACCAAAATCCGGGAGGTAATACTAAAAATCCCCCCCGCCGCGTACATCTTCTCGCGGGTCGCTACGCTAGTGAAATCGGTGTTGACGACGGTGAGACCCCTTGCGCGTGGGGACATGCTGATGGCGGCGTGTTCGGCCAGGGCTTCGCCGATCCAGGCGTTCTCCCGGTCGCCGGCGCCGACGATGACGATCAGGTTGTTGCCCGCGGCGTCGTACGAGTGCAGCAGATTGGTGATGAGCCGCATGAGGCCGAGGCCCCGCGCGAGGACCACGAGCTCATCTTCGTTGCGCAGCTCTTCGAAGAGCTTTTGCTGGTAGATCTGGGGGTGGTGAGTATGAGTAAGCAGCGGGGATGAGAAAACGTGATAGTTTCAAATGATAATTTCCTGAAAAATGAATATATTTCGTTCTTGTCTTTCTTCACTCCACGATGTGTAATGTACGTACCAGAGGCAGCGAGAGCTTCACGGGCTGCACGGGCTGTGGGATCTCAGCAGCCGACATACGGGGCGCGTTGCTTGACGTATGCCTTCAACGTGGACATCCTCCGTCTCTATGTCTGGGAGCAGTGACCAAACAACCAAGGCGCAGCGGACGGGAAGCGATGGGTGAGCCTGTGGCGTGAAGCCTGGGTCGTTGATTCGGTGAGTATGTGTTGGTGTGGGCGTACGGAAACGGTACTGTACGCCGTGAGCTGCCTGGTTGGCGGTATTGCCAAGACTTTGACTGACCAGGGCCGCGCGGACCGGGGCAGCCGACGTCATCATCATGCGCCATCCAAACCTCACAAAGCGAGTAACGAGTTTTAAAAGGCGTGAAAGCTGTTAACTTTGTACTTCTTCTTCTTACTTTGTACACTTCTTGACCTACCCACCTACTACCACAGTAAAGCACCAACGCTACCCATTCAAGACAAACATCGAACCTCAAAAACACCTGACCCACTTCAAGATCAGAACCCCCTGCAAACATGGACGCTTCCAAGATCACCCAGCAGCCCGAGAAGGGAACCAACCAGCCGGTAAGTCTATCTGTTTTAGAATATTGGCCCTAGTTGAATACCACTTAGCACACACGACTAACATTTAAAGACCGGCAACAACCCAATCAGCAAAGCGGCCGAGAGCCTCAAGTCGGCCATGCAAGCGCACTCTGCGAACCCCGGTCCGGCCGTTCCCAAAGACTTTAATGTACAGCAAGAGGGGACAAAGGAGGAGCGCCGGGCGAAGGCGGAGGAGCTGAATAAATAGTGGGATTGCGGGTCAAGATCTAGGTGGTCGAAGCATATCACAGCTGCCCATAGATTTTCTATCTGAGAAATAAAACGAAATATTAGTTCAATTTAAGGAGGTGTTCCATGTCTCTTGTGTGGGTTGGTTGTGTGAGGTCAAGGTCAAAAGTTACCTGATACGAAATACGGAATACGCTGTGGAACCTTGGAAACGAACGGAACCCCCACTTCCACACACTGTGGCTGGGCAGAGCTCGCGGCTTGGCAAATCCCCACCAGCCCTGTCGGTCCCCTGAATCGTGTGGCGCCCATGATGCTCGCCTGAGTCAAGGAAGCTTCTCCCGGACTTGGCCGTTTGCGATACGATACGCCTCGATTCTCGTCTCTTTTCAAAGTTGCCGTTACGGCTGTTCGCCCTTTTCTGATTGTTTTTACGCTCTCCAGCCGCGCACCGACGAAATATCCCGCGCGGGCCTTATTCCGTGCGAATCGTCAGCTGCCGGCTTCTTTCTTCTCGACAGCACAACGACGTCGGAGGAAGTCCAAGTAGAAGTTGAATGCAACCCGACTTCCCACTGCAGCTTGGCGGGTACAATTAGCGCTGCCTATCTGTCGCTGACGAACGCTGCCGCGCAGTGACTTGCTAACGAGTTACTTGCTCACGCCACCACAATATTCTTTTCCCCGCGATTCCAATTCCGACGATCTCTTGGGGCCATCTTCCCAATTTATCAATTTATCCCGCGACTCTTCCTCGACAACAATCGGTGAAGCCCCTCAAAACCGGAGGGGCGTATAACCCGAACGCCGGCCGTCGTTATCTTCTTTCGCCATGCCGTCCATACTCAACGACGACGACCGCGAGACCGTCAAGCGCTTCGTGCCCAAGCAAACCAACAAGATCCACGCCGTCGCCGTCGCTAGGCTCTACGTAGCCCACCCGAACCGGTCAAAATGGGCCTACACGGGCTTGCAGGGCGCCGTGGTGCTGGCGAACGATCTCGTTGGGAATACGTACTGGGTCAAGATGGTGGATATTTCGGTAGGTTTGACGTCCCGGTTTGAGGTCACTGGCGGGGTGTTTAAAACGACTGATATTGACCACGTCGGTAGCCCGGGAATCGGGGAGTGATCTGGGACCAGGAGATATTTGAGAACTGGAACTACAACCAGGACCGCGTCTTCTTTCATACCTTTGAGCTGGAAGAATGCCTGGCTGGGCTGTCCTTTGTCGACGAGAAGGAGGCGAAGCAGTTTCTCAAGAAGATGAACGACCGGGAAAAGAACGCGAGCAAGGCGACTCTGAAGACGCCATTTGGGGGCGCCGCGCCGACGAGCCACCACAAGTCGCACGGGCTCTTTGGTAGCATCTTCGGCGGACATCGTCACTCCTCGGCGCCGACCCCGCCCGACTCGCCTTCGCGCGTCCCCGCCCCGCCGAGAGACCACCGCTCCGGGAGCGTCAACGGCTACCACGAGCTCCCTGCGCCCCCGAGGTTCGAGAAGCTCGACGCCTTCGATCCTCTGTGGCGAGAGCACTTTGGCGAGGATCTCAGGTCCAAAGGCCTCACCGACGACTTTATTCGCGACAACCAGGACTTTATCGTCGACTTTCTTAAGCAGGAACAAGCCGCCCAGGCCCAGCAGCCGGCATCCTCTCCTCCGCCTCCTCCTCCTCCTCCCAATGGCGCTGCCGGTAACCTGAGAGCGCCTCCTCCGCCCCCTCCACCCCCAGCAGCCTCCCACGCAGCGCCGCCGCCGCCACCGCCTCCGGCCCCGAGAAGAGGAGCCGCCCCTCCACCACCACCCGCGCCTAGGCGGTCCGGGAAGATTGAGCCAGAGCCGGCACAGGCCGAATCGCCTCCGCCTCCAGCTCCGGCTCGGAGGTTTGCCGTGCCTCCTCCTATAGCAGACGCCGGGAAGTTCGCCCGCATAGAGCCGCATCGCGCGGTGCCGGCTGCCCCTGCGCCGGGGCCGCCGCCTCCACCACGACCGCCCAAGACGCCCATGGAAAACGCCGACCCGTCACACCGACACGCCGTCCCGCCCCCCTTTGCCGGCCCACGGAACGTCCCGCCGCCTCCTCCAAGTCGCGGCCCAGTTCCACCCCCACCGCCTTCCCGAGAGCCAGCCTATTCAGCTCCTCCTCCCTTACCCCCCAAGGCACCGCCCGCTCCCAGCGCACCTCCGCTGCCGCCTCCAAGCTCCCGTCCGCCCCCTTCACTCCCAGCCAGGAGCCCAGTCCCCCCACCTCCAGCCCCTCCACCGTTACCCTCCTCCCCCCCCCCCCCCCCCCCCCCCCCCCCCCCCCCCGCACCACCTCCCGCACCACCTCTCCCTACCTCCGGTGCCCCCCCGGCACCCCCACCGCCTCCTCCACCTCCCATGTCAGGCGGCCCTCCCCCTCCTCCAGCTCCTCCTCCTCCTCCGGGTCCAGGAATGGGCGGCGCACCTCCGCCCCCTCCTCCTCCACCTCCTCCCCCCTCTGGCGGTATCCCACCCCCGCCTCCCCCTCCTCCCCCACCAAACCGCGACTCCGGTTATTCCTCCGCAGCAGCCGTCCCGGCAGGCGACCAAAGCCGGAATGCCATGCTCGAAGGTATCCGCGGCGCGGGCGGGATCGCGGCGCTCAAAAAGGTCGATCGGTCACAGATTCGGGATCGCAGTGGTGCGCAGGTTGGTGGTGCCGGTGGTGGGGGGGATACGGGTCCGCATGGGAGTGGGTTGCCTCCTGCTGGGGTTGCGCCGGGGGCTGGTGGAGGGGGGATGGCGGATGCGTTAGCTGCTGCGCTACAGAAGAGGAAGGAGAAAGTTAGTCGGAGTGGTAAGTTTATTTCTTTTACTGGTCCCTTTTTTCTGGTGTTGTTCCGGTTGGTTTGATAGAAGGAAGAGAGAATGGTGCTAACGGGGATGTAGATGATGAGGATGATGATGACGATTGGTGAGTGGGAAGAAGGGATATGCAGGACAGGGTATGGGGTTAGAGGTTTAAGGGTTGGGTATAAGACGCTTTATGGTATTATGGGATTGCGTCTGGCTGGGATGGATACCTGGTGATAGAAAGAGAGAGATAGAGAAAGAGAGAGGGAGGCCAAATCCGAGAAAGCGAAGGGGGAACGAAACAGGAGACAGGAGACAGACAGAGCCTCATGGAGGCCGTGAGTGATGCGTGAGACAGGGAACAGACAGAATGGAATTACATCAACATAGGTTGCATCGGTTACATGGGCGAGCACTTTTGAAAAACTCAGTTGTTCCGGTCCCAGGAGATTGGATGTGTTTGGTGCGATGAGATGGGGAATTAAGAATTTGGGGATGCCGAGCACGGTGTATGATTCTTCAAGGAGTTAGGGATGTTACCCCGGTGAGCTTGGTTGGGTGTTGAAACCACTGGGCCTGGAAAACTTCATCGTTCACTAGCAACTATGTCGTGCTCAGGGCTGTTACTGTAGGGTTCTTACTCGAGCAACTTGGGCGGGGGACTTGGCTAGGGCGGTATCATTCTTGTGTATAGGAGCTAGATAAACAGAGTGAGAGAAGTCGATCATGAGTATGATGTGTAAAAGGAGACTAAGAAACCGGAGGACCTTCATTGTGAAGATGTTAAACCAGGTATACCCATGGACCCTTCTTGCGTCGGCCGGACTCGGGCTCAAGAAATCGGCGACAACAAGCCATTGAGTACTAACAGTTTTCTTGGTTATACCGGGCAAAGGCAATACGCCTAGGCTTTCCAAATACTCAGACGGCCCCATTAGAGTCTCCGGGTCGGGTTCGTTTGCAAACTTATCAGCCCCAAACTTGCCCAGAACTCTAGTCGATTCGTGTGAACATCACACACCGGCTTCTTCAACATGACAGTAAATCCAGATTTACCCCGATACCCATATAGAAGCTAGAATCCACTGCAGTTCAAGTTTGAATCCCTGTGAACGTTGGAGCAAGGCCGCAATTCACATCAGCACTGTATCATCACAATTCGCATCGATATCAGCCGTGTATTACCCCGAGTAAGAAGCCGAGACCAGAAAACAAGTCTGAATGCAATCAATCTATTACCGCAAAGAACTAGGCTAAGCCCAACTCCATCAACAAAAACATCAACAATCAACAACAGTAGTCAATCAAGGACAAAAAAAACGACAACAACAACAAGAGGGCAAACCCAGTGGTGACGTCTCTCCCATCACGACCGAGCTCACCCCTTCCAGCCCCAGTACCCCTACTCCCGTAAAGCCCGCGGATCGGGATACCCACCAACTGTCGGGGAACACATTTCGGTTGCCGGGAAGGGCGACCAAAAGGTTTTGAGAGAGAAGACAGTTTTTTTGGCTTTCCGTGTCCTCAACATCTTTTGCTGCAAGTAAAAGAAACCGAGGCCAGAAAGGGTGGTTTCCCGCCCCGCGGGCAGGGGAAAATATTGAACGATATGCGTGGTAGGGCGGACTGCTTTTTGTGGATGATTTCTTTTTTGTTCGAGGTTTAAATATCGTCGATGACGACCTCCTTGCCGCCGGCACCCTCGCCTTCGCTCTCGCTGTCGCGGTCCTCGTCGAATTCGAAACCGCAGTCGCCGTCTTCGTTGGGGCCGAAGGTGTCTGTCTCGTTGATCTTGGCGTTGTCGGGGAGTTCGCCGTATGCCTTGCTGAGGGGGTGTTAGTGGGCTGAGCGGGGCAAAGTCATGTGTGCGAAGTGAAGCGGGTAAACAAGGGAGAGAGGAAAAGAAGGGGGCGTACAGAGAACGAGCCTCGTCGGCAGAGTATTTGAGGATCACATCGCCCTTCTCGTCTTGGTACTCGCGCAGCGAAACGAGAATGATGTCGCCGTTGTTGATCCAGATCTTCTTCCGGAGCTTGCCGCGAATCAGGCCGAGGCGCTTGACACCGTCGAAACACTGCAGAGATGTTAGCATTTCGTATTACTTCCCATTTGCGACACCAGAAAGTCGGGGTTGGAGTAATCGTACCAGGGCCTCGAGTCTGCCGTTCCCAAGCATCTTCAGGACCTGGGCATATTCTTGCCCGTCCTCCTTGAATGTGAGTTCGCGCTTCTCATTACTGTGTTCCCGAGTGTTAGCAATGATGAAACAGTAAAGACCCGACAAGGGAGTAACTCACTCGTTCTCGTTCTTTCCCCTACGACGGTTCTTGCCGCCCTTTCCCTTGTTCTTCGGCATATTGACGGAGCGCGCTCAGGCGAAAAATCTGTGAGCGAAAATCGAGGTTTTCCGGAAATCAAACGTGAGAAATTTCTCACGAGACTGTTATGGTCGGTGTTGGCGCCGAGCGATGCCGATGAGAAATGAGAAACAGGCCGGGAGAGGGGCAAGGCGCAGTGGGGGTTTTATAGGGATGACTCTTCGTGGGGCGCAGGGAGCAGGGCTGTTGGGTTTCGCCTTTTTTTGGTGTGGCGAGTGGGACGAAACAGCGCTGAAAAGAACGAACGAACGCGGGGCGCTGCATTAGGTTACACAGTCGTCCGTTTATCCCGCCGTAGTCCTTCGTAGCGGGCGGGTCACTGGGTCAGCAACAGAGGGCCCGTGCCCTCCCTACCGACAGTGTGCAGCGTAAAATACGATGGGGCTGTATTAGTGAATTACAGTAAATTTGACTTTTTGACTTGCTCTTTTTTACGAATATTTGTTTGTTCTTTAACAACACTAAGCATTTACAAGATGAAGAACGCATACACGCAATAACATAACCCCCGAGCAAAGCCGTGCAAGGAGCCTCACGGAAAACACAATGTTTCGCAGTACATTACGACGACTGAGACCGCCACAGCTAGCAGACAATCTCCCGGCGCATTTAACAAACCTTCAACTGCCCGCCCGCGCGGGCGCAGAAGTTGGACTAACCGGGAATCAACCTCATTTCATGGTCTGCGACAAAGTCATCAAGTTCCGAAAACAACACAAGGTCTTCCTGCCCTTCGGCCTCCGCACCGTTCCCGGTCACCCCCTAAAATGCCCCGTCCGCGTAACCTTCACATCAGCTCACGTCTTCTCCTTCTATCACATCAAATACCTCGGCCCTTGCGAACACGCGCTCACTCAAATGCTCCTCGACGAATACGCCGAAAAAAAACGGGCTCGCTCCCTCTGGGTCTACGCCCAAGCCGCCTCGGTGACAGATGGCAGCAAAGCCGTCGTGCGAGTGACCAGCGAGCGGATAGTCAAGACGGCTACCCTGAAAGCGCTCAACGCCGCTGGTTACGACTCGACTGGCTATCGCTTGGATGGGACGGGGAACTTGCTCTATGGCACGATGCGCGTCCTCGTGCTTGAGCCCAAGGCGGCGGTGAACATGAAGTTTGAGACACTGGTCGAGCTTTTGCTCTCTGTGTTTAGGAAGGGGGTTCCGGGGCTTCGTGTCTTTCAGCATCCGGAAGATGAATCTTTGACGCCGTCCGAATCCGAATCGGCTGCTTGATACGGCAAGGGTCATTAACATTTTGATCTTGGCTATTTCCCGCCGGGGCTAGTACCGCGGGGGAATAGGCACGTTTGAAGCCTTTTGGCGCGCAAGCTGGCAATCCCCTCCGAAGAGAGTTCAATCTCTCCGTTGTTTGGCCCCCCAATCATAGGCACTCCAGTCACCAAGGGCCATGAAATGGGTCTTCAGGGCTTAGCTTTGTGCTACGAAAGTTAAAAACAAGGGGGCTTTGTCTCTGATACTGGTTAGAAGACAAGAACCTACAGAAGGGACGGGAGACGGCCTGGTATCATGCTACTGGAGCTTGGGGGTTGTTCGTGGACCAAACTTGCTTTGCGATGTCCGGTCTTTCAACACCCCTTCTCTTGCAATAGCATGTAATGGCGACCTCCGAGCCCGGAATTACGCACATTGGGCATTGGGGTGGAATAGGGGCTTCACGGTTTACCGATACGTCCACACGTCAATCCTAACGGCACGACAAAAACAGGAATGATCAGATATCGCTACACAATGTCCATGGCACACCTCAAACCCACACGCTTGTCCAGTCTACGCCTTATTCTTCGCCTCCACCGTCTGGATATACTTGGTGTGCAACTCTTGGACGGCTGGGATTATCAGGCTCTCAATTTCTGTGTCCGGTTCACCGTCCGGGAGGCTTTTGGGATCGACCGGCTCATCCTTCTCCACGGCGGCCGTAGAGGCGTGGCTTTCGGCCGGGTTCGGAATACGAATCCAGCGATCCGGAGACAACGGAGAGACAAAAACCTGGGCCTGTTAGCTACGTCTGCCCCAAACCCAGGTAGACACCGAGCAGCGTGGGAGGGGAGGGATAATGAACGTACAACTTCCCACTTGCGTGTCGCCCTGGAGGTGATGTGTTGTTAGTCTCGGCGTGTTAGCGGCTGGTTGGGGAACGGTGGACCTACAGCAAGTTGCCGATCACGAGATGATGCTGGTAACGGTCGAGCGAGTACTTTGCCTTGTGCACCAGAATCTCAGGATCTGTCTCGAGCTTGAAGGACACGATCATGCCCTGGGGTGACCATCCTTCCACCAGATTCTTCAAGAACTTAGGTACGGGGTCCAGGTCGATGACCAGGCTCTTGCTCCTCGGCACCGCCGGCGAGGAGTCGAAGTTGTCAAATGTTTCTTCATCTTCCGTCGTCTTTTGCGCGCGAGCGTTCTTGGACTTCTTGAAAGCTTCGGCAACATCAGTGCTTTGGATTTTGTGCTCAGACATACGCTCCGGCTAGTCACTCAAGTCAGTAAATTCTGTTTCCCCTCCCATCTTTTCCTCCTCTTCGTGTTCTAGGGGTTCTATTACTGGAGGAGTTCTTACCGGTACGAAGAAGTCGCTGACAGCAGCAGCCAAGTACAGCAGCCCACTCGGACCCAGGGGTTGCATTAGTTGCGCAACGCTGCGCAGCTCATGCAAGTAGTCAGAAATACTGACGAAAGGCAGTACCAGCAGTGTGTTGCGATCCCGGGCGTTGCGGTATTTCCTCAAGACATGCAGCATCCTAGCCGCATCCTCGTCGCGGGCCACAACGCTCCCATCGGGACCCTCCCGGAGAAAGTCGAGAAAACAGTCGGTTGCATGGCTGTAGTGGCGGGAGAAGGGAAGGAGTGAGAATTGGCGGTGCCTGTTCCATGCGTTAGTCAGGGCCGACTTATGAGGGGCCAGTTCACCTCAGTTAGAGCTTGGGGACATTACTGACAAGAAGATGACGGCGTAGCCGGCCTCCAAAAAGTATTCGGCACTTGTCTGAGGAAGAAATCAAATCTGTCAGTATCTGTGCTGTAAGAACACCAAGCTATAAGAAAGTAGAGCCGAAACTCTTAAAGTGGAACAAAGCATTCCTGCTGCTCAGTCTTGAGGACGGGTAGGCAGGTATGAGAGGCCAATGACACTTACAGCCCCGCGGGTTCCAGCAGAGAAGTTGTCAATGAAACGGACAGTCTGCTTCTCTACGCCAATGTTAGCGACCGAAACCCGCAACGCCAAATCCAGAATTAATTCATACCAAGCGGCACCGTTGTCCCCCCTGACGTAACTAACACAAGTCGCCTTTTTGCAGCCGAGTGGAAGTTGATGAAGTCACGAGCAAGCGCAACATGCTTCTCTAGGTCTTTTGGAGGTGGGTTGGCGGCAAAGTAATGAGTCTCAGCCAGAGCAGCCAGATCCTCAGGTGGCGTCTCGGTCTGGATTTGTGATAGCATCGCGAAGGCTTTGATGAACTTAGGTAACTACAAGCACCTCAATTTAGATAAAAAACTGATGTAACAACGGGAACGAGATGAACGCAGTCGAGAGAGGGCTTTTTGTACTGATTGTAGTTGGCCGGGACCTCAGATACGCTGTATTTCTCGTCCGATGGTGGGGTTGCGGGTGCTGGAAGCTCCCCGCGGCGGGTACCTGTAGCTTGCGTTGCTGCTAGCCTTGGCTCACAAGCTCGCCTGGGAAGCAGTGCTCGGCCACCAAAAGAAGTGGGTCTGGTTGCGCGTTACTTGCCAAGACGTCTGACGCAGGGATGCATGAATGGATGCAGGTGCCCCCTGGCCAGGGACTCGAAGTTTCCAGCTTCGAGACACCAGCTCGACAACCACCAGATACCAAACTCACAACACTTTGTTAATACATCACGGACGGTCCATGGTTTCGAGCTCTTTCACGCCCAAATCGAGGTAGCCAATTGTGATTGCTCCCAACTCCGTTGCCCACCAAACACCTTCCACTTCCGCCGCGATGCTGGTCTCGCTCACGGTCGGCAAGGTCGACGCCGGCGTCACAGTGCTGCTCACCCCCGACAAGCGCTTGGTATGTGCAACTACCGGTCGACTCCGTTAATTAAGGTTCTATTTCTCACGCCGTTAACCCCATCAGATCGAATTCCCCTCCATCCTCCTCCCTCCCGACATCGCATCCGGCTCCATCGTCGACATCAATGTCGCGCGCAACAAGGACTCCGAAAGCGCAGCCGAGCGCTCATTCCGCGAGCTCCAAGACTCCATTCTCTCCTCCTTCGGCGCCGCCGAACCTGCCACCCCCGTGCTCCGCTGCCGAAACGCGACCCAGACCAGCGTGGTACTCGAATGGGATCCCATCCAGCTAGCCACAGCCGACCTCCTCAGCCTGGCACTCTACCGCAACGGCCAAAAGGCCGGCAACATCCCCAAGCCGCTGGCCATGCACACCACCAAAATCAGCGGCCTCGCCGTCGACACCGAGTACAGCTTCCACCTCGTCCTCCGCACGACAGCTGGCACGTCGGCCAGCCAGCGCGTGACGGTGCGCACCCACAAGATGACGGACCTCAGCGGTATCACCATCACGACGGGCCTGCTTCCCGCGCCGGTGCGCGAAGGGCTCGCCGCGGCTGTTGAGCGTATTGGGGCTAAGATTGTGGATGGCGTGCGCATTGATACGACTCACTTTGTGACGACTGAGGGCCGCGGCTTGCTGTGGGAGAAGGCTAATGAACTGAATATCCCGATTGTGCGGCCGGAGTGGGTCGAGGCGTGCGAGCGTAATGGCCGCATCCTAGGCGTCACCAAGTTCTACCTTGATGCTGTTCGCGTCGGGCCCCCATTTGATGAACGACCCGGCACGGCGGGGACGACGGGTACAGCTGCGCAGGCAGCGTCGCCTCCCCAGCCAAGTCCACCGCAGAATGAGGCGGCCAGGCCGGAAACCACAGCAGGGCAAAAAGAGGAAGGCGACGACGGTGAGGAGTCGGACTCAGCAAGTGAGGATGATGAAGAAGCAGGTCAAGAAGGGGGGAAGGAGGATCGGGAGGAGCAAAAGGCGAGAACTGGTGGGCAAGACGAGCAGAAAATGCTAGCGGACGAGCGAGATGAGAAGCAGCTTGTATCGCGGCCGAAGCCAACGGTTGAAGACGAGGCTGAGGAGGACACGGGGAGCAAGCCAGCGGTTGAGGATGGGAAGGGGAGTAAGTCGCCCGGGGACGGTTCGTCCTTTCAGGATGTTGCTCTCTAGGTAGATTAATGGTGAGAATGAAGGGGCGTAATTTTTACTCGATACCTGTCTAACATGCGTGCGCATGACCTCTCCTCCTAACTGGGCACTCTATTTTGATCTCATATGCAGATATACTCCGTCTGAGCGTTGTTTTGTTCGTGTTAGTGTGAGGGTTGATGGGTTCCTCGGAAATGTCTCAAGAAAACTATGTCCATAGAGCAACATAAAACATCTCAAACCTAGCAAATATGTACAGTACACCCAATCCAATCTATACAATTTTCAACGCCAACCTTAAACCTACATACACGCCCACACACTCTCCCTCCCTCTCTCCCTATCAGAGCTCCTTCTTGTCCTTCACCGGTCCCGACCCAACCTTCTTCTTCAGCCCTCCCGACCCCGGCGGCGACTTCAACCCAAACAGCACCAAAGTCGCAACCCCCGCAATCCCCACCGCACCCACCGCATAAGCCATCTCCCTCCCGGCCCACCAATACACACTCGTAAACAACACCGGTCCCAACCCACGCCCCAGTTGCCCCCAACTCCTCAACATCCCCAACTTCCCCCCACGCTCATCCTCCCTCGCCTCAAAACTGCTCAGCGCATTCAACCCCGTCACCACCGTCGCCGACGTCGTGGCCAGGCCAGTAGCGGCTAGATACAAACCTGAGACAGACGAGATGCGCGCGAGCAAAGCGAAGGAGACGAGGCAGGAGATGACGCCGATGCGGACGGATAGTAAGGGTGGCAGGCGACGGGTGACGCCGCCTTGGAGGAGGGAGGCGACGAGGCCGATGTAGCCGAGGAGTCGGCCGTTGTGGGAGGAGGAGTAGGAGAAGAGGTCGTAGGTCATGAAGGGGAGGGAGAATTCCATGCCGGAGAAGAAGAGGAGGAAGGTTAGGTGGACTAGGTTGAGGAGGAGGTGGGAGTTGGTTCGTTGGAGGGGTGTTTGGGGTTGGCGCGGGGTTTTGTCCTTGCCAGCATCGGCATCGGGCTTGTTGGCCATGGAAGGGAGTGTTTCGGGCAGGCTGAAATACAGGTAGACAGTCTCGGTAACGATCAGGAACAGCGAGACACCAGCGGCGGTAGCGAACGGGTTGGCAGCGACGGTAGCGATGGTGCTGAGCCAAGCGCCGAGGGCGGGGCCAAAGGTGAAAGCGATGGAGAAGCATGCGCCGATGAGCGCCATGGTCGAACCGCGGCTGTTGGCGTCGGAGATGTCGGTTGCGATCGCCGTGGCAAGCTGTACGTTGCCTTCGGACAGGCCGCCGACGACGCGCGAGGCGAGAAAGGTTCGGAAATCGACTGCTACCACCCAGAGGAGGACGGAGAGGATGTTGCCGGCCATGCTGGCGAGTAGGGCGGTGCGTCGGCCGTATTTGTCGGAGAGTCGGCCGATGATGGGAGATGCAATGGCTTGGAGGAGGCTAGCACACACATATAAGTGTTAGTAGTCTGCGCTTGAACCTCTGGCATTGGATGCGCAACGTCGACAACACCTACGAGAATAGACTCCCCAGAGCCCCGCCTAGCAGCACAATATCATATCGCGAGTCGATCGGGCGCGCAAAGGCAGCCTTGTACGCATTGAGGTACCCGAGCACATTGGAGAGCAGCGTTTTGGAAGGCGGCGCGCCGGCATCGAGCGGAGCTTCGACATTGCGGTAGAACTCGAGCAGCTTCGGGAAAAGGGGGAGGATGAATGTGAAGGAGATCTGTAAGCTTTGTTAGAACCCAATGCATTAATTCGTAACCTGAGAAGGAGGGAATTGGCCTACGAGATCCAGCAAAAGAGAAACAAAGATTACCCGCAACACCCTTTTGCGGGTGCTGGGTTCGACCGGTGGTGACATGTTGCAGTGTGGTGCCGACTCTGATGACCACAATTCGGGATGTACTACGGCAAGCTTGAAGCTCCCAGAATTTGGTCAAGGACGAAACAAAACAAAGGACAGCAAAACACGAAGCACCAAGTTAATGTACTATGACCAGCACAATACGAAACAGGAGGCTTTTGAAACAGTCGTAAGTCAGTGGCTTTGCAATGGACGGATCGCCCCCAGCGTCGCAGCGTCGCAAGCGTCAAGCTGTCAACAACGGAGCTCGCGGCTACGATGGCTTCCGCTCCCGCTGCCGCTGCAGGTCCAGCGGGCCTTCTGGCGTATTTGCCCCACTACCCGTCAGCCTGACGCAGGGCGAACCAGGACGGATACGCGGCGAGCCGGGCGGTGCTTTCCGAGAGATCCAGCTCGTGTCAGCCACATATCAGCCACAGATGTTTGTCAGTTGAGCCCAGCCACATTCGCAACTCTCAAACCCTAACCCTAGTAACAAGGAGAAGGTTCGGAATTGCTGGAAGCTTTCGGCCTCTTGACATCTTTCCGCGCTCCTTAATTCGGACATTCTCACTCTTCGTCCTCACTCACCGTTCCCAGGCGCGTAATAACTGTCGAAGTTGGCTCTTTTTCCAACTCATATGTAAGTGCTTCGTATCGATGGAGGGATTATACACCTTTTCCCCACGGGCAAGCCCAGCTTGTTCTTGTTGAGCAACCCATTGAGGAATTGAGCCGGCTCGACGGTCCGGTAAAAACAGGAATGACGCCGACCCGGTCTTTGGAGTCCCCGCGGCCTCAAATCGGTTCAACTCATGGTCCAGCCGCTTCCCCACAAAACGATCGCGATAATCAGGCCTTAAGAGGGGCAGCTTGAGGGGCACGCTCAACCCGTACATCTATCTATCTGACCACGACCCCAACATTTTCTCCCCACGCCGGACGAAATACACAACTCTAATGTACAGGTGCATGCACGTCCGCACACAAGACACACAAGACACACGCAAGACACGCAACACGTAATGAAGCTTGATTCAACGGCAGTTCTTCACGATCGTGATAAACAAGCATGGCCCGCAGGTCCATACCGAACTAGCGCCGTTTAAGCACCGCGCTGTGACGTAACAGACTTTGGTGGGCGAATGGGGGATCCAGCACTCCCGATCGTTCAGCTGCCGTGTGCCTGGACACCTGCAGGAAACCAACTCGAGCCAACTCAAGCCAACGTCCTTCAGCCTCCCAACTCAAGACTGGCTGGAGTTGGGAAAACTGGAGTCGATACCAGATGCCAGCTGGCTAGCGGATGCAACGGCGACGATCTCTCACACTCTAACGGCTTGAACGACGTGACGACTTGGAAGAGATCTCGATGCGTGAATAAAGGTCGCATTGGAGGGCCTGCAGTGCTGGCCAGGTATCGCCACGCCGAGGGGCCGGGTAACGTTCGGTTGCAAAGCTTGACTAAACAGTAGTGTAAAACCTGTTGAAGCCGATCGAGGTTCATGGGATTCTCGGATACGAAAAAACAAGGCGGCCTCGTCCTCGGTCAGTGTGGGCCTACTGGGCCCGCCGGCGCTGCGAGAGTTTGGTTCTGGTAACGTTAATTCTGGTGTCATACATTCCCGTTTGTTTGTGGGTGTCGGTCCGGAGTTCTCCGCCCAATATCGAGCCGGATCGTGAGCAATCAACTTCCTCCTCGGTTTAGCCGGCCACACACTTGCTTTTGGTCAGGTCCACTAGCATCGTGGCGCCCAGTTTCTTGGTCGGAGATGCAGGGCCAGGGACAAAGTCCCGGTGGCTGGTTCGTGGTCACGGCGGTCTCGAACGTAGTGCAGTTAGTATATGCAAGTCTCCAGCCTAGGAAGTCGGTAAGGTACATACCGTTGGCTTGACAATGGATATGACGGGTCGACTTCAAGGCCAAGTAAGTGGCTGGTCCCAAGCAACCAAGTTATAAAGCGTCTCGTTGTCTGGTTTCCTTCCCGTGTGCTTCCTCTCTCTCCCACTTCCCAGGCACAGTTCACTCGTTTGACCAGTCTCTCGCTACACACGGTGAAACAAACTCACCATCATGAAGACCGCCGCCCTAGCCCTCGGCGCCCTAGCCGCCCGCGTGGCCGCCCATGACCAGCCTCCCTTCTCCCTCGGCTCGCCCACCGTCGACCTCCCTACCCCCTCCTTGGCCCCGACCAGCTCAGAGGATTCCGAGCCCTCAGACACCACCCAGTGGACGACCAGCACGGTCTACACCACCAGCACGCAAACCGTCACCAGCTGCCATCCCACCGTGACCGAGTGCCCCCCCCACAGCACCGTGATCGTCACCGTCACCATCGCTATCAGCACCACCGTGTGCCCGATCACTGAGACTCCTCCTCCTCCTCCGCCGACATCTACCGAGGCACCTCCGCCTCCCCCGGAAACCACCACCGAGGCTCCTCCCCCGCCCCCGGAGACTACCACTGAGGCTCCTCCTCCGGAAACCACCACCAGCCAAGCCCCCTCGCTTCCTCCTCCTCCCCCGCCTCCCCCTCCCCCGCCTCCTCCTCCGTCGACCACCGAGGCCACCACCACCGCGGCACCTCCTCCTCCTCCTCCTCCTCCCCCGCCACCGCCGCCGGCAACCACCGTGCCGACCCTGACCACGTCGGTGGGCACCACCTTTGTGCCGCCGAGCCAGACCAACACCGGGGCTCCGCCTATTGCTACGGGTGGTGCTGGTGTGCAGAGGGCTGGTGGGATGATGGCGGCTGTTGCTGCTGTTGTTGCTGTGCTTCTTTAAGGGCCTGCCTCCAGCAACATCTGAGAGGAGGGAAACTTATCTTGTTTGAGATGGGTTGTAGATATTTGGATGGGTTATGATTTACACAATGAGGGCGGGTATAATAGGAAGGGAATGAGTTAATATGAGCTATGACAAGATTGATAGTTATTGGCACTCGGCATTACTGACTTGATGTGGGTTTTGTCTATGCTACGAGGGGAAATAAACCATGATTTACTTGAACCTGATTCCATATGATATTGGACTGGTAACCCCCCCGAGGGTGAAGTGTTGTTTCTATGTCGGGGAGGGGACTTGTCCGGTGAACAATCACGAACTCGACAGGTCCGCTTCCTCTCAACTTCAACCGAATCCGGGCCACCTCCTGCTTCCCTCGCCCTCAATGTCAAACCATTCCTTCCACAGTCCGGGTCAGAGCAGAGCCAACACAGCGAACCGTGAAAGTACAGTAAATTGCGAGCCGTTGACCAACACTCCCAAGCCGTCAACTCAGAACCAACCAACCAACCACCCATCATTTACACACATAGCACGCAAACCGACGTCCCAGAGCCAATGGCAATACACCACACCAAGACGGCCCAACCACCCCACAGCTGAGCAAATAATAAGGCACATAATATCCCTAATATCCCCACACGTACCACTGTTCTGGCATGTCCGGCCAACACAACACGGCTGCAAAACCGGTTGTGCCTGGCAGACGATGCAGGTCTGTTGTGCCGGACGGCCTCTTATTCGACGGTGAGTGGTAGTGGCAAGGGTGGATGGAACCGGCAATATAATAGAACATACCATGCCAAGCTTCTGTTGGGGGCTAGATGCGCATACACGTTGTGTGGTGACGCAGGTCATTCATTGGTCTCGGCATGGTCGGGCGCGAGTCTGCGAAGTGCAGATGTTTTTACGGGCTGTTGGATGGGGAGTGGTCGTGGTGAGTTCTGTGGCGTGTTTGATCCATTTTCGAGGTTGGTTCGGGATTGTCCTAATGGCCTTGAATAACAGAAAAATCAGCATATTTGGTGTCTTTCCCAGGTACAATATATGCAAGTGTGTAATAGAACGCTCGTGGTTTGCCAACGTATCTCCCTCGCCTCTAAACTTTCCGTTTTCACGGCCTTCTTGCTCAGTGTCGCGATCAAACCAAAAACAGACTGCCCATCAGGAACAACATCTGCAATCACACCCAGCACAACTACCAGACCACGCTCACGCAAGCGCCGTCAACCGCTTAATCACATCCTCCACCCGAGTAGCACCCCCCAGCAAATCCCTCCCCGCGGCCCAGTCCCTTCCATTATCCCCAAGCACCACCAACTTGACAATATCCCCATCATCACTCATAACCAGCCGCCCAGTCCGCCCATCCGCCCACTCAATCGTAAGCTGTTTCGCGCCAGCATCCGCAGGCGTGATATCCACCAGCCTGTTCCGCCGCCTCTCCAGTGTAGATTCCCCTTCTGTGATTTCTTCCTCTTCACCTCTCTCAGCATCCCTCTCAGCGTCTTTCTCAATCCCCAACTCAGCCGCCTTCCTCAAATCCGCCACAACCCCCAACCGGTGATGATACCTCACCAACTCCCTCCTCAGCGCCCTCGCAAACCGCGCCAGATCTTGCTCCTTCCCCCTCCTTTGGTCTTTTGCCCTATCCCCGTCTCCACCCTTTTCTCCCCCGGAGACGGCCTTCTTCGCCGCAGGCCCAGGTAAATACCTCGCCGCCAACCCGGCAAGCGGTACACAACTCGGGATCGTATGCCTATGCACACGCAGTCGCCTGCTCCCGCTCTCACGCCCACGCCCCCGGCCTTGGGTCTGGTTCTGATACGGCCGATTCAACAGTACATAATAAGGCCGCAAAAACCGCGACCGACTGACAACCTCAATGCGCAAACCCAGCACAGCACCGCCGTCTACAGCATGGGGGTCTGGGTCGCGAGCGCGGAAGGTGGTTAGGCTGGCACAGGCGCGGTAGAGACATTGTTGGGCGTGGGCTTGGTGTTGGTCTGCGGAGTTGGTGAGGCGGTCGCGGTCACGGTTCTGGGTGTCTTGGGTTGATTTGCTGCTCTTTTGTTGGGGCTGTTGTTGGGTGAGGAGCTGGCGTGTGGAGGGGGCGGTGATGAGGGTGGAGGTGTGGACGCGAAGTTGGGTTTTGAGGGAGGAGACTGGAGGAGTGGTTAGTGAATCTTGTTCAATGGGAATGAGGGGGGTAATGAAGCAGAAACCTTTTGCTTGGAGATCTGCGATCTCGTCGTCAAGATTGGACTCCATTTTAGTCTTCAGTTGAGCTTCACTTCAACTTTGACGCGTCTCGGATTTACCCAGCAGCGTTGAAAGGAGGTCCTGCGCAGCGTAGGATGCGGAACGCTACTAGGATCGATATCTCCGTGCCAGGCAGAGAGTGCGAAATAAGAGTAAATTGCTGGTGATTCCGTAAGTTCTCAAAACGCAAGACGTTATCTTGTTCTCAGGCTTTGATGTTTGTTTTATCCTCAAAACGGAAACCCCTTGTCGCCATGTGCTCGCGGGGGCTTGGCGCACTCCAATCTGGTCGTTCTCTTTTTGGTTCTGGGCCGCGGTCGGTGCCCGCTGCGGATCTCCAGGCGTTGCCCGATCTGGCAGTCCTGATGCACGTCGAATTCAGGAACCGAGACGAGAGAAATTCACAAAATTGATACCAAGACCGGAGCCGACGATGGAGTTGAAAGTATACAATGTGACGCAGGGAACACATGTAACAAGAAATCAGATATTTCTAGTTTTCGAGTCTTCTCGCACACTAATTCAGTTCCATTTTGAAGGACCCCTCGTCAAATTCCATGTTGCCACACGCAGAGGCCACCGTTGCAGGAGCACCCCAGCCGGCGAGGTTCCCCACATCTGGGAAATACGGCAGATGCCCAGCGCTAGGCCGCCCTATGGCCCCGAAAATGCTTCCCCCCAGGGGGTCCGAGGCGCCGGATCAGGGCGACGTGGCCCGGACTAGGTGGTTGCTGACGGCGAACGGTTGAAATTTCGCCGAAGACCTCACGGACTGGACGTCCACTCTCACGGGCAGCCTCCTGGAAAACGCTCCTTTCGTTTCTTGAACATCAATTTTCTTGTCTCTCGTTTACCAGTTTTCGGGCTTCTCCCAATCCCACAAGAGCGCACCCGACCGATCGAACCCCGTCTCGTCGAGATCTCCAAGCGATCACAACCGTCCCATCCTCCCCCTCGACCCCCCTGGTGCCCACTGCCAACGGCCCGGTGAATCATCGCACAATTCCCATCCTTCATCCCGCCTTATACAGATCCGTCTTACGTTGTACTCTCCCACACCAAACCTTCCTATGGGTACCAAGTCCCGCCGGTCGAAATCGCCGCCGCCGACGACGACCCCGAACGGTTCCATCGGGCGCGCTTCCGGGCGAAAAACCAACGGCGACCTGCCCAAGATGAACACGGGCAATGTCGAACTGCAACGCCGAAACATCTCCCAGGAGACCTCGACCCCGGCCGCCGCCGCCGCCAACCGCATGGCCCGCGAGTCCTTCACCCTCGACGAAGACCCCGTTCCCAAAACGCCGACGTATAACAACCATGGCTTCTTCGACCTACCCAAACGAGACCAGCGGAATTTCGGCCTGCTTGTCCTCCTCTACTTCCTCCAGGGCATCCCCCTCGGCCTCGCGACGGGCTCCGTCCCATTCCTCCTGAAAAACCACATGTCCTACGGCGAAATCGGCATCTTCAGCTTAGCCTCCTACCCATACTCCCTCAAGCTCTTCTGGAGTCCCATCGTGGACGCCGTATGGAGCCCCAAGGTCGGCCGGCGCAAGAGCTGGATCCTCCCCATCCAGTTCCTCTCCGGGATAGGCATGCTATACCTGGGCTCGGTGGTCGAGGGCATGATGGAGATGACGGGCAAGCCCGGCGGCCCCACCGTCTGGGGTTTCACGGGATGGTGGTTCTTCCTGGTGCTCATGTGCGCCACCCAGGACATTGCCGTCGACGGCTGGGCGCTGACCCTCCTCACCCCGAGTAACGTCTCCTACGCCTCAACCGCCCAAACCGTCGGCCTAACCGCCGGCCACTTCCTCTCCTACACCGTCTTCCTCGCCTTCTACTCCAAGGACTTCGCCAACCGCTGGTTCCGCACCGTACCCCTCGACCACGGCCTCGTCAGCCTCGGCGGGTACCTCACCTTCGCCGGATGGGCCTACATCCTCGTGACCGCCGGCCTAGCCTTCCTCAAACGCGAGGAAAAGACCAAAAACGAAGACGGCATCTGGGACGTCTACAAGATTATGTGGGGCGTCCTCAAGCTCAAAAACATCCAAACCATCATCATCGTCCACCTCATCGCCAAAATCGGCTTCCAAGCCAACGACAGCGTCACCTCCCTCAAACTCCTCGACAAAGGCTTCGGCACCGAAAACATGGCCCTCACCGTCCTCATCGACTTCCCCTTCGAGATCGGCCTGGGCTACTACGCCGGCAAGTGGTCCCAAGAATACACTCCCATGCGCCTCTGGTGCTGGGGCTTCGCCGGCCGCCTCGCCTCCGCCCTCGTCGCCCAATTCACCGTCTCCCTGTTCCCCTCCACCGGCGGCGTCACCCCGACCTACCTCCTCGCCGTCATCGCCCAACACGTCTTCTCCACCTTCACCAACACCATCATGTTCGTCGCCGTCTCCGCCTTCCACGCCCGCATCGCCGACCCCGTCATCGGCGGCACCTACATGACCCTCCTCGCCACCGTCTGCAACTTGGGAGGTACCTTCCCGCGCTTCTTCGTCCTCCGCATGGTTGACGCTTTCACCAGCGCCACTTGCATCTCCCCATCCACCCCCCCCTCCGAGAAGCTCTCCCCCCTCGCCGACCTATCCGCCCTTGTGGGAACAAGCTGCGCCATCCAAGCAGACAAAGAACGCTGTCTCGCCGCCGGCGGGCTATGCGAGATGCAACGCGACGGGTACTACCTTGTCAACATTCTCTGCGTGCTCATCGGCGTGGTTACCTTTGTACTGTTTATTCGTCCTAAGGTGTTGCAGCTCCAGTCTTTGCCGTTGCGGGCGTGGCGGTTGGGGTCGTCGTCTTCGTCTGCTTCCCCGTCGCGGTCGAAGTACTGAGACTAAAGCTAAACCTGGCTTCTTGTATGAGGTTTATTTCTTGTGTCCCGCCCGCAGTGTAAATAGGATTGGGGTTGAAAAACGGGGAGGGGAAAGATCTAAACATAACAGTGTGAGACGCTTTGGTGTCCCAATGTACATACACACATATCAGAATATAATTCTCAATAATACTCAATCCCTCTTTGGGACCCCTGTGAAACAAAGGACATCTTGTCCATGTGTCAGACACCCAAGGGCATCAACAGTCATGCCTGATCCCGAATTCAAAGCTAACAAGCCACGCCACCAAAGCCATTCCTTACGCCGAATACGCCGAATATGGCATTACTTGGTAGTACGTACCTGACGCCGGTTGGCCTGGCGCTATGTACAAGACAGAAGCAAACACACGATTACACGACCACACGACACAAGTGCAGATGGACGACTTATATTTCCGCAACTCTATGAGAAGTATTTCCAGCCATCGAACCTGCGCCAGGTTCCGATGCCCCATGGAAATTCCCAAATCCTTTCTAAAATTACATGCAGGGAAAATATGCGCAAAATTCACTCCCAGCCTTCCCGATGTCGTCCACCATCCCAATACCAGCCAAATTCGAGGCTCGTCAAGCAATGCTGGCGCTGATTTACCAGTTGTGGACCTCCGGCTCAGTCGAGCCACTGGCACCCCAACCGCTAGCGCCCTCAGCATTGTCGCCGCCAGCTTTGTTCCAGTCAGAGCCACCCGCAGCGGCATCGCCAGCATCGCCACCGCCGGCAGCCCAGCCTCCATCGGCACCATCGGCACCATCGGTACCATCGGCACCATAGGCACCACCGGCACCACCGGAGCCATACATGTCTTCCTCAAAGTCCGAATCCGCCTCGAACTTCAAATTCTCCTTGGTGGCACCCTCGGGAACATACTTCTCGAGAAAGTCGGGAATCTCCTGGTTGGTCTCCATCAAGGTGCGGGTCAACACCGAAGCAAGGGGCTCGTCCCTGTCCGAATAGAAGGAGGTCGCAAGGCCACGGTGGCCAATACGACCGGTTCGACCTGTTGTGATCAGACACTAGCAAGAACATAAAAATCTCCTAAGGGGCAGACTTACCAATGCGATGAGTGTACTCCTCGATGCCGCCATGATCAATGGACGGCAAGTCGTAGTTGACCACATGCATCACGTTGCGCACGTCAATACCACGGGCAGTGACGCCTGTGGTCACGAGAATGGGCCACTTTCCACTGCGGAACCCACGCATGGCGGCCTCGCGCTCAAGCTGATTGCGATCGCTGTGCATAGAGGTGCACGGCATGCCCTCCTTGAAGAGGAAGTCATCGACCTCCTCGGCGGCGCGCTTGGAGTTCACAAAGATGATCGTTCGAGTGGGAGGCAAGGATTTGATCAGGTCAATCAAGGCCTGCCTCTTCAAGGACGGGTCCACGTAGACGATGGTCTGCTTGATGTTAGTGTGCGAGCTGCCGGCACGGCCAACGCGGAGGCGAACATGCGTTTCAGCTAGATGAGTTCTAGCCAGGTCGCGAGCACCCTTGGGGAAGGTGGCAGAGAACAACATGTAATTGATGTTGCCCTCCTCCTGCTCTGTTTAAACAAGTTAGTACTATAAACCCATCTTATCTTCGGGTTCAGAACGTACCACCGCCTGACATGATAGTAGTCAGGTCATCCTTCCAGTCATCCATCAACATCTCATCGGCTTCATCAATGACCATGTAGCGGACACGGCGAAGGGTCAAAGTCTGAGGATTGTTGATAAAGTGAATCAGACGACCCGGGGTGGCAATCAAAACATCACAACCCTTTTGAAGTTGCTCCTCTTGCTCGCGGAAACCTCCACCGCCATAGACGACGCAGGGGCGCAGCATGGTACGGTAGCAGAACTTGCGAGCCTCGTTGAAGATCTGCACCGCCAGCTCCCGAGTAGGGCTGACAATGACCACCAGGGGCTCGGCGCGGACCCTAGGGGAGACTCCCTCCACAAAGGTAGCAGGGTTGGGGCGCGGAGCGGCCAGCTTCTTGGCCTTCCCCATGAGCTTGTTCAAAATGGGGATCAGGAAAGCAGCAGTCTTGCCCGAACCTGCAAACTTGATAAGAAAACATCATCATTGGCCTACGTTACGAAGAACACTCACCGGTCTGTGCGATACCAATCACATCATAGCCGAGATGGATGGCCGGCAGGCAGTACCGCTGGATCGGGGTCGGGACATCATAGCCAGCCAACTGCACGTTCTTCAACATGGCAGGGTGGAGGCCAGCATCCTTGAAGGTTGCAATGGGCTGGACGCGGGTCGGGCCTTCCTGAGTCAACTCGATCTCTGAAATTCTGTGGCTATGGTCAGTGGCATGCTCTGGTAATAATGAGAGACAACTTCATGCTCACCCCTTGAAGTCGATGCCACGACCATCTTGACGCTTGTCAGGCTGGCCAAAGAGCTCGATCTCGAGGTCCGGGAACTCGGGACCAATATCGCCCTCCTCGCCATTCCACTCGTACACCTTGACGTTGCTGTCCCACTTGTGGCCGCCAGAATCGTTCTTGGCGTACGCAGTGTAGTCGTATGGAACAGGATTAGCCCAGTTGATTGGCTCCGTCGCCGAGGTGACGATCTGGTCGTCGCTAGTCGGCATAGCTCCACGAAGCTCGGCAGTGCCAAAGGCACCACCGTTGTTCGTGGTAGTGGCGCCTCCGGCCTCGGTCTGGGAGTCGGCCGGGCCCCAGTTCTGATCAGCCATAATCGATCGAGTTCTTTCCTTCGCAGAGATGAAAGTTAGCAGAACATTTTTGACCGGTTAACTGAAAGCGCTCTTGCGGACAACGAGGGTAGTACTAAGGCAGGCCGTTTGAGGGAGGTAGGCGGCAGGTGAGAGACACACAGGTGGTGTTTGCCAAAGGCTTTTCTGTGGAGGGTTAAAATGGGAAAGGAAAGAGGAGGGAGGAAATTAAGAATCCCAGAGGCGACGAAAATAAGGGAAACCAAAAGGCAAGTTGGAAAGTGGCAACAACACGTTCCTGCCGGGAGATGAAGCGACCACCCTGAATGAGGAAGGCGCACCCAACGACTCCCGGTGTCCCTAGCGGGAACTCGCGAGAGACAGGCTGGCTCGCATAGCTAGTACCGTGTGTTGGGTAAGACTGAAAGTCGGATACGCAGCCAAACGCAAACGCCTGCCGAGATAGAGAAAGGGAAGGCCCGACGGGACGGTGGTACGATACGGAGAGGACATAGCCACATCTCGTATGTTCTGACCGATCTTCCACAATCGGCTCGGTACACCGAGGCCTTGAGAAGGCAAGTCGGTCGGCCCGAGTGGTCGAGGGAAAACAGAAGGACGACTTCATATACAAGGGATGAGGACTAACCTTGGTTGATTGAGTCTTGGGTTGTTGAACGAGTCGAGTCGAAAAAGCCGACAAAATTGCAAGACCACAACAGCCCAGTGAACGAAGGTGCAAATCTGGTTGTGTGAGAAAGAAAAGGAAGAAGTGGAATGGCAGTCGAGTGATGGGAATTTATACTCAGAGGGCAAGGGCAGGAAGCTTCCGGGCCGTCCTACTGAAAGATGAAAATTCTATCGGCCTAAGCTTGAAGGCAAACCGAATCTTCCTAGAAGTCGACCACGATCTGTATCCGGTGCCGGGGTTGAGTGAAAGAAGGCACGGGTCTTGTGCAGCTTGCCCGGAAAGAATAAGACCCTCCAGTCTCAGTCTCGGCATTCAAGAACGGCGTGACCACCTAGACAATAGAAGGCAGTGGAATCTAGATAAGGACAGGTCAGATTCACATATCCTATTTGGGAAACAAAACTCCTACCATAGACCAATGTGGCAATGTCGTGAAAAGAGTTTCTTTCATGGTTCTTGATGTATAGGGTAAGTGTGGCGCTTATTTAGACTGTTTACAAAGCGGTCGCTAGCCGCGTCACCCGTGGCAGTGTTTGGGCTTCAGTTTCTCCGTCCCTTTCGCTCCTTGAGTCTATGGGGGCTAGATAAATGAAGTTATTCTTCTTGATCGAGCAGGCGTTCATGGCGAGGCCCAATCCTGACGTGATTGTATGAAGGTTACAAAACAAACACCAGACAAGTCCTTTTGAGGAAGGGCATGCTAATAAGCCATCTTCAAAACTAAATTGGGACAATACTAACAAGATATAATAATACACCATTCAGACATATGCCCTTAACTGTTCAATAATCTAGAACAATGGATGAAAACCGTCCCAATGCATCACAATTCTCACAAAATCCTACACGGCCCAGATAGACGCCATAACCCCTTAAAAACACCATACCCAGTCTGAGGTTATTGAAGCCCAACACATAGCGTTCTGTCAAGTGCAGCAGCAGCCCTTCCCACGGTTCCCCCTTCTTTCTTAGCGCTCTCCATGCCAGAGGTAATGGCGGCCCGCCATTTGGTATCAAAAACACGCTGCCGCGCAATACGGTCGGGATAGATCTCGCTGTCTTCATCCCTTGGTATGCCAAATAGGTTGAGATGGGCAAACGGGCTAGGTGTGCTCGGCAAACGGTAGAGGTTGTTCCAGTAAGTTGTCGGATGATATGGAATCGGTGCCTCTGTCCGGAAGCCAGTTTGCAGGAACTTGGTTAAAACTTGAATTTGCCTTGCCTGGGCCTCCGGGCCGCGTTTAGTACCGAGGGTCGCCTTGGAGGCGGACGTCCAGCCTTGGTTGCTTATACCGGCTCCAACATTAGGGTTCCATCCCAACATAGAGCTAAAGCTGTTCAAGGTTTTGAGCCAGCCGCCGGGGCACGCCACCGTCTCGTCGCCGGCAACATCAAGTAGCCATTCCATGATACTCAGCGTATCGCCGCGAATGTCAGTTGACAGATGCGTCATTCCGCCCCGAACGTACATCAGGACCCTCTCCACACAAGGTGCGACCTCCGTCGGCGGCAAGGCCCGAAATAGCTTGAGAAGCTGGAGGCGTACCGACGCCGAGCTATCCGACATCAAAGGTAGGAGCTTCGTCAAGACCCCCAAAGTCCCGACAGGATTGTTAGGTGGATGCGCAGATAGTTGGTTGGTGACGTAGGCCAGCGCATCACGTCTCTGGTTGTCCGATTTTGCGTTGACAGCCAGCGTGAGGTTCTGCTTGAACTGCTCGACGGGGTCTTGGCCATCTGTTGCAAGAGTTTGCTGGTTGACCACGATAGCTATCGTTCGTCAGCGCGCCTGCTTGCTGGAATTTGGTCCAACACAAATCAAAACGTACATTTGGCTTTAAAACTTGTGTCGGTGAAATTGGCAGCCTTTGCTTTCACTTTTCCAACCTTCAACTTGGCTTTCTAAGCCGGGGCAACATGTGAGTTAACGAATTGGTAACGATTGGCTCCTCCGGGCGTCCTCTGGGATTCTCACCTGGAAGTCCTTCTTCTTCTCCTTCTTCTTCTTATTACTTGAGCCCATTTTGGCTGACCGGCAGCCAGTAAAACACCGATTACAATATTTTGTATTCTGGGTGTTCTAAAAGAAGTCCGTCCCAATCCATGCAAGTTGGAAGGGGAAATTTTAGCGGTGTAACTTGGCAGAACCGGGGACAGTTACAGTGTCTTGAGCACTGTTGGCACTGTACGACTCAAATCACTCCATTTCAAGAGCCGAACTCATGGGAATTATGGGCGGTGGATACATCAAAAATGAGAAGCATGTGGAGGGGAAGTGTGCAAAAGATAGAATCAAAATGTTATATGTGTTGCTTCTCATGAATTAATCGGGTTTGGTCGTTTAAGACACACAAACGGTGCCGAAGTGCGCCGTTTGTTAGCTTGAGAGGTCAAGGGTAATTCAACACAGTGCTTCTCTCCTTAGGTAGTTAGTTACCTTTGTCTCGGTCGCTTGACAATACATACACTTCTGGGTCGAAAGCCAAACTCTCCCCCGAAAATATCGACCCGCTCTCTTTGGGTGTAGAGGAAGAACATAAGCGGTATTTATACACGGCGCCATGTCGGACACGGCCTTGGTATGAACGAACTCCCAGAAGTCGCATCTACTCGCAGGTCTAACCTCACCATAGGGCGCGGGGCCCGATGCCCTCGACGAGACGCTGGGCCGTCTGTCCAAAAAGCCAGGCGTGAGAGCGACCATTGCTCTCGACCGGGCCTCGGGCGCGATTTTGAAGACAACCGGTCAAGTTGGCTCAATCCGGGCCACGCCAGTGCCTGTGTCGCCAGCACCGGGTGCTGGTTCCTTTTCCGACGAAGCAAATGGGGAGGATCTCAACCGCGACCAAGGCGCAGAGCAGCTGGCTGCCATGATATGGAATTTTGTCAGCAACGCCGGGAGCTTTGTCCAGGAACTTGACACGGAGGTATGGTTAGAGAATGGTGCCCTTTCCAAACCCGATGCCGTCCATCGTCGAGTTGGTTACACCGAGTTCCGTTGTTTATGTGCTAAAACGACTCGCAGGATGAGGTAAAATTGCTGCGGTTGCGGACGAAGAAGCAGGAATTTGTCATCGTGCCCGACACAAAATATCTACTAGTCGTCGTGCATGATACCTCCGCGTGAGTTTTCGAGGACGTCAATGGGCCCTCTGGCTGCCACATCAAAATACAAGTCGGTTGCCCTATTGATGCTACTCAACCCGAGCCGCTAAACAACGAAGAGCAGCCAGTCTGGACCCACAAAAGCATGGCAACGCGTTGGATACAATACGGTCTGCCACCTCAACGACACACGAAATGTCAGGCAGGAAATTTGGTGGATGGGGTGGGTTTCGGGTGATGACAGGAGCGGCCAGTGTGATAGTGAGATGCTTCCATTTCTCCGGGATGGCTGCTGCTCACATGCTGAGGACTGAGGTGATTGGGACGCGGCGTCATGCTTGACAATTGCAGTGGAAGGACAGCAAGGGCCCGTTTCGACTGGTCGGTGGTTGCGGGCCGCTGGGGGAATTAATTTAACTGCCTGCTATCAAAGGAACGGAGCGAACCTAGGTGTTACACAGAGGATTTAGCAAATGCAGAGCAACAAACAAACTCGCTCATGTCACCCTCCCCGATGAAAAGGCCCTCGAATCTGCGTCTATCGATATTCGGTACAGCGAGCCCAGCTTGCCCGGGTAGTGTTCGTGCTTGCGATCTTTTGCATGAGTCGGGGATTATTTTTGCGAGTGCGTGGAACGACAGTCCTCCTATGGGTGGCCGAATTAGGGGTCCATGCGACAATGTCGTTCTGGAACCACGGCACCCCAGGCGCATGCATCAAACATCCATGGAATCAGCGGGCCAAGAGAAGTCTCATCTCTGTCATGATGCCGCCCTGAGCTTTGCATCGAGCCCGGGCTCGAAACAACCCTGACCACCTATCACTTTAATGCTCCGCCCTGCGACTTGCCATGGGAGCATAGCTGCGAAAATGACGGGAACACCCCGGCGGGACAAACTCTCCACTCAACGGTCGCGTTGGCGTCAAGTACCCGTCATGCAGGATGCGCCAGGGCTCTTGACGACTCGGGGCTCGACTTACCCCCCCTCGAGCCCCTTCATAATAATAGGGACTGCCTTATAGTTAAGCTCCTACGATGATTAGCATTATCGTCTGGCCATCTGGCTCGTACCTCCGCTGGCACGACTGCTTGACGATATAATCTGACGCGCCGAGGACGTGTTCGACACATGATTCTCGCTCGGCCTCGTCTGCGGGGCTCGTTGAGAATAACGTCAAGATCCCTTAATTCTTGTCTCACGCCTTCATTCGACCCTTTCAAGGAATCAACGCCTGCTCCGACTGTCCTCGGTTTTCTCTCCTCCATTTCTCATCGAGGCTTTCCCGGTCGTCGCTCATACACTCCCGACCGTAGCGAGGAGGTGTGCCAAGAGTCAATTGCTCTCCGGCGCTGCAAGTTGCCGTCTCACGGCTAGACACGACGGAGGTGCAAGTACACTAACTAGGAGAGCGAAGCTTCGTCTAGGCCTCCCGTGTGCCCCACGAGGCTGCATTAGCTCCAACTTGTCCAGGCGCATCGAATTTCTAAAATGGCCCCATTCTCATCATTGAGGAGATCGCCCCGCGGTCTAAAGAATGAACACCGGGGCGTTGGAGATGACGTCAAGATCCCAAACAGCCCGCCATCGCAACAACAGGAAGGCATTCAGCCCGACAATAGCTCGGGCGCGGCGGATGGCACGATCAAACGACGACGAGGCTCGTTCATCAAGAAAGATCTGTTGCACAACCTCCGGAATCGATTTACAGGGAAGCCGGCCCTTCTGCGGGGATCAAGCTCTCAGGAAGAAGAGGTATGTCAGAAACGCAGTGCCTATTCTGGACATCCTACCACAAACATTCAACCCTTGTTTCTGTCCCTGCGACCCTTCGTCATGCACCGTCGAGGCAACCCCAAAACCCAATGCAACTACACCAGTCAATGGCTCGACCCGAATGCTTTTTGCCGCGTGCAGCTTGGGTTTAGCTCATTAGCTGTGAGTATGGGGAAGGGGTAAGCCGCGCCAAGCCTAAGCTGTCGAAGATCAGAACGCTTTAGGTCCCGTGTCGTCACTCCTCCCCCCGGAAGGGCGAGCCCGCGTGACCACGGCATGTTCCCCAACGGTTCCTGCGCCAATCGTACGAGCCGTCTAGGGGGAGTTGCAGAAAGCCACCACCTTCGACCCCGACGAAGCCGGTCAATGGCTTCTTCTCATCAACGGCCTCGTTCTACGAGCAACTGGTGTAGTGAATGTGAAGTTGGCTGACTGGTGGTTTTTGTGACACAAACCTTCAGGTTCCCGGGCTCTCAACCACAACGTCCACAACACCGTCGGCCCCTCCGCCAATTCCGGTGAATCCGAACAAGCCGCTACCATCGCCACCTCCTCCGGAAAGCGAGCAGACCAGGAAACCGCCGGGCAAAGTCCCTCTCAAGACCCGCCGCATCATGTCCATTCTCACCGAGTCCGACATTGAGAAGCTTTTCTCGGGGGCCCCGCAATACTTCGCCCGGTCTGAGGGGCATTACACCGGGGCGCCGCACCCCTCGGTGGCCTTCCCATGGGACGAGAAGCTGGAGATCAGGGACCTCGCCGACCACTCGCAAATTGAGGACAAGGCATGGAGCTCTGTCACAGCATGGCCCCATATCACTCGCGATGTGAGCAGTGACCGTTCTGCCGCCCAGCGAGCTTCCGAGGCGAAACAACGGGCTCACTTCTACCCGCGATGCCGCGAGCGGCCGAACATGCTGAGCATGTTTGGGCTCGAAAAGGGGAGTGTCGGGTACCAGGCTGCGCTCGAATTGGCTGTGAGCGATGCCCTGCAGGACCAACAGTGGGGGTTTGAACAGTTGGGAACGAGATTGCCAGCTATCGTTGACCAGCGCCAAAGAATGCTCACTTCCAAGAACGGCCTACGGCACGTCGAGGAGAGCTTGATCATGGATCGACTAATTAAAAATGGGGAGAGATATGGGGGGAACTTCCCGTTTACGGAGCAGAGGCCAAGCGAGCTTTACAACGAGCTCTTCCTTCACCTCCTCCATCCGCCGGCAAAGCCGTTGGATCCCCGTGACCCTTACAACCTTTCAGTCCAGATCCTAGCCTTGGTCAAGGTCCTCGCCGCACCGAATATGTGGATCGACTTCTCGCACCCGGAATGGCGCATTCGAATCGGCCAGCTCTTGTGGGAAACCCCAGGGGAGGACAACAAGGAGGATGGGTCATCGACCAAACCAGCAGACTCCTCGAGCGATGTTCACGAGGAACGGTATTGGTTGTTTCTACAAATTTTACTGGCCTGCGAACTGCTTGTCCGGCTGGATGCGATCACTGAAGGTGATGAACTCGGTGTTGAGACGATTCGGCCGGCTGAAATACACAGGTTCGAAAAGGAAGCAAGCCAGGCCGTTAAGTGGTCACTAATTCTGGCGCGAGTATGGCTTGAGAACATCGAGATCATCAAAACCGCGGCCAACACACCAGCAAATGCCAACGAGAAACCGTCAGGCTGGCTAGCTACCCTAACGAAGCACATGTCGCTAGCGCGTGATCATAGCTCAGAAACGGGCCACCATCACCACCACCCCCATCAACTATGTCACTGCGCGCCCGCCTACGCCATTAGGGGGAAACATGTCCGACGACAAGTCCGCGGTCTGGCGCACTTTGCTAGACGACTGAAGTGGCCCGAGGCAAACTCATGCGTGTCTGAGATTGCCGAGAATTGCCGCTCTATAGTGGACGGGAGTCCACTGAATACCCCTTTCGCGAGTCCGAGCAGCCGGGCGGGCAGCCAACGTTCGTCATACTTTGGGGGGCAAAACGGGAGCTCGCAAGGGCAGTATACGCCATCTCGGAGAAGGAAAATATCGGCCGCTCTCTATCCTTCGGGCTGGCTATCCAAGAGTTATGTGTCCGGGCTGATGTTGCCCGGGGAAGGCATTTGCCATTTCTTGATGGCTACCCTGCTAGAGAACGACGCGGCGGCCCTCTCAAAACTAGGACCCATGGCCAATCTGTGCGGCGGTTTCATTTACTCAGGAAAGAGTTTCTGGAGCACGTCGTGTATTGTTGGTCGAGTTTTGTGTGCCGGAAAGGGCGCCGTGGAGTGTATGGGCTGGATATCCAGCGATGTCGTTCCACAGGGCCTTGGTGATCGCTGGGTAAATATCGAAGGAGAAGAAACTCGTGGTATGAAATTCCGACGCCCCCGGGGTGACCGGCAACATGGCAGGCTGACCCAAGGTGTCTAGATGACGCACTTCAAATCGACAAAAAGGCTCGCCTTTGGGGCAAGAAAGCAATCGAAAAAGAATCCAGCGTCCTTGGCAGTACAGATCCCACATCTACTCTTCCAGCCGACTTTATCATCCCTTACGAAGGTGTCTACCCAGACAACCCACCGCCTACCCTGGATATTGAGCTGAGGGGATTAAACCTTGCTGTGTTAACCGAGCCTATTGGCACGGCTTCTACGGAAGGTTATGAAGTCACCCCAACATCGGATCTTAGTAGCGACGGCCAGGCTTCGGAAATCCGTACATACTCCGCGGCCGTAACCTTCACGGTAACCGATATTGACTTGGAAGAGTCAACGGAGCACACTTTTACCTTGATCAAGGATATCAACTTTGTGACAGCGCACCCATGTGTGCCCTCTCAACATGTAAAAGTCGTAAAGTCGCCCTCCAGCCCTACCATTCAGCAGGTTAATCTCCCCGGTGACTCCTTCTCAGGCAAAACAGTCAGCGTAGTCGGTAAGCATACTATTCTCCTCTTCTCCCCCTTCACAATGCTTTCCATTCTCGAGCTAATAACCTCCAGGCCATCCTCTGCACAAATTCTTCACATACATGACACTCCATTTATCCGAGCTACTCGCAAAGCGCGAATTTACGTTAGAAAAGTTACTCAGTAGTTACTCACCAACCGGCCACAGCGTTGCCCCTTCTCAACTTGACAGCGCAGCCAAAGTACTGGTGGTCGACTGCATCACAGGCTTCCAGCCACAACCACAGGAACACGAAATCCCGCTCTCGCCCGTCGTCAGCCGGACGGATAGTAACACATCTGACGTGTCGGTGTCGCCCAGTTCGTCCAATGTTACAATCAATGGAAATGGCGACGGTGACGGTGGCGCCGGAGGTGGAGGACCAAGCAACAGCGTTTTTGAAGGGGCGCTGGAGAGTGCGTCGAAGAAGATGCACTCGGAAACACGGCGGCGGCAGTTCGGGTCGGACATGGAGATACTCGTCAGGGCGTTATGTGCTGAGAAGGGCTGGAACGCACTGATCAGTCGGCGCAGGAGGGGCTGTCTAGGGTGTGCCATCCGTGAAGCCGGGGCACTCGGGTGGAAGGTTGTTATCCGTGTAGACTAGGGCTGGGCGTTGGTTGGTGTATGTGTTATTGGCATCTAAAATGTTGGCGAGCGGGTGGGCCTGATGTGGGCGCTGTATCTTGTAACACAACTGTTTGATACCTGTTAATCTCCAATTTGGGTCTATATCTACATCTCGATTCTCTCAGGCCGGCCTGTGGACTACCACGGGTCGATTCTCGGCGGTTGCGGTTGCTTCGCCCTGGCCGTGGAGTTGGTGATGGTTTCATTTTTTCGAATGATCAAGAGACATCGACGCAAGGATGGAATCCGACCGAGTCACCCATATGAAACGCTCTTGGTGATATTATAAACAAGGCAGCGTAACCCAATTAGAGATTAGGATAAAAGCGTGCGACTTAAAGATCACCCTGAATTGACCACTCCTTCCAGCCCTTCTTCTCCCCCGGGAGACGGACCTTCTCCCATTCTCGGCGTGTGACGTTTTGCCTAAGTAGCCATCCTGCATTAGTACTCCGGTTTCTCCTACTGCATATAAAATCACTCCGCGAGGCGAGGCCATATTGGAAGCAGCAAGGCAAAACATAACCTACCACTCCTCCACAGGAATCCAACCGATGAAAGCGCGATCTCCAAACCCGCCCACCCAGTACACCTGCTCAACAACGAGCCGCGCAAAATGAGCCTCGTGGATCCGATTACCCGGGAGCCAGTACTTGGCGTCTGGGTGCGAGTCGACGTAGCACTTCGCAATCTGGGCACCGATCCCACTCTTGGGGTCGTCGCTGCCTTCGATAGGCTCGAGGTGGCCGAGCAGGGAGAAGCGCGGTAGGTTGGCGGCGGAGTAGGGGAGGGCGATATCGTGACCGTCACTATCACCACCCCCGTCGCCATGCCCGTCGCCGCCGTTGCCGTTCCACCACCTAAATAGATTCAGGTAGGAAGAAGCCCAAGCCCAACTCTTAATCCGTTTCGCGGGCGGATACGGCGGGGCCCATTGAACCGCCAAGCTCACATTACTCCCAGCCGCGACGTTCTTGAAGGTAGTGCCAATGCTGATAGCGAGGATAGTCGGGTTACCGACGTCGTCGTCTTCTTCGCAATCGGCGATATACTCCATCAGACCGTACGGTAGGCCGCCTAACCCTTGCGGGCGCCGTTCTCGCGTGGTTGCGTCATCGGTATTGGTACCGGCATCGGCATCCTCCGCTGCGCTGTGTTCACGTTTATTCTTATCGTCGGGGAAGACCGTGGAGAGCGTGCCGAGCGGGGTGAGGGCGAGGATACGACGGCCGAGGACTGCGGACTCGTAGGAGGTCGGGATCCGGGCTTCGCGGGGGGTTGGGGAGGCGATGGCGATGGCGGCGGTGGAGGTAGTCGCGCAATAGGAGAGGAGGGCACTGGCAATTGTAACGGGTTTCATAGCGGATTGATGCGTCTGTCGAAGTCTTTATTATCGTGGTATTAATGGACTATATAAGTAGGTAGTTAAGGGCCAGTTGCGAGATGCATGGTTTGGATTAGAACGGGGAGTCCCCCATCGGATCTTCCGGTCCTTTCGGGGGGGCTCGTCCTTGGCTGCCCGCCTCCTGGCCGCACACCCTGTTTGGGTACATTCGGTTCCATGTTGCGGGCCTTGCCGGATGCTCCAGCGCAAAGGTTGCGTTGCACATGCTGGGGATTCCATGGGGCCAAGCCGTCTTATCTGATCAAGCCCCGGCCGCTCTCACGTGGCGGCGGCCGTTTGCCTGCGCTCCTCAAACAAACGCCCGTGTACGCCGTGTCCGTTAAGAGCCCCGTAAATTGCATCATTGCGTTGTTAGAAGGCGCTGAGTAGACCCTGAAATCTTGGATTGGATTGCACCTTGCCCGTAATCGCAGTCCAGCGCTGTGACAAAAGTTCCAAACAACAGCGACTTACCAGAGGAAAGGAAAGTCAGGTGACATATCACGTGATTTGATGACTTCGCCCCTTGTCAGAGAGAAGCCCCAACACGAGCCCCTGCCCCGCCAGACTCCCACAATTATTAGGTAACCAAAGGATAATCCGCAGAAATCGCCCGCCCCAGGAGACACCGGTCGCAGACTCTTTTCCCCGTCACCGTCTCCTCCATCACGCCAACCAGAGAGTTTTCGACAACGATCATTCAAAATGGGCAAGGTTCACGGAAGGTAAGGACATTCGTACTTGATGCTGTTGTTTTTGTGTTTGAATGTATTGCTGACTTTCTTGTTCTCTAGTTTGGCTCGTGCCGGTACGTTTCCCTCGCTCTCGACGACAGTTCTATCGACGACCGAATGAAACTCGTGCGATTGAGATTTATCGAATGGACATCTGACCGGCATGCAGGAAAGGTCAAGTCTCAGACCCCCAAGGTTGAGGCGCAAGAGAAGAAGAAGACCCCGTACGTTCACCCGATAATCCCGCCAATCCCGACGCGACCGCGACCGCGAGGAGCCACAGATAGCTAACAGCCGGATAGTAAGGGTCGCGCGAAGAAGAGACTCACTTACACTCGCCGCTTCGTCAACATCACGTTGACCGGTGGCAAGCGCAAGGTTAGTTCACTTCCAGAACGACAAGGAAGAGAAAGGGCTGGCCATGCTGACATGTTTCTCCGGATAGATGAACCCCAACCCCGGCTCTTAAATTACCCATTCCTTTTAAATGAAATTCTACAACAGGCGGCAACATCATCAGGGAATGACAGCCATGCTTGGGGAGAGCTCGTTCGGATACGTCGGGCGAAGCCTGGAGATGAGGATGGCCTTGTAACGAAAGGAGGGTGGGCTAGCATCTGGAGGTCACCAGGTAGCAGTAGTCTTAATGACGCTGGTTTTATAGCATGGCTCGTCTTTTCGTGCTCTGGGAATGAGAAACGGTTTAAGGGAATTTTTGCAACGCGATCTCTTGTTGAACAAAGCGACCGCCGGTATTGAAGTTCAGCGTTCTCCTACAAAAGTCGGCCTGCTGATTGCCAGGGAAAATACCACTGTTTATTTAGCATCTTGATTCACTCTGGACCCCGAGGCCAGACTGTATTAGGTGCCAGGACACGGCAAGTTGGAAGGGCGTGCCGATGCTTGCGCAGGTAGATGTTACAGCAGTTGGGACTATGATAACTCAAGCCCCTCGGTCATTTGCCAGGCCTCGATCAACTGGATCCATGACCGTACATTCCAATCATCATCGCCGTCGCAGTAGAGAAAGTGCCCGCCAAAAATTCCGATCATCGTCGTGGTAGGCATAGTCCAACTGCGCGACAGCCTCCTCCAAGACGGACTTCCACAGGAACGGCGGCCAGTTTCTGAAGCACTCCAACTCCGCCCATAGGAGCAATAATGTCACCATAAGCTCCTTGTCGCTTAGGGTAATGATGATATCGAATCCCCTCTTGGCTAGCTGTAAATGAGGTAATTAATAAGGAAGGATTTGACTAAATATTTGGAGTCAGAAACCACTAACCTCCCACGACCACGCCTGGTCCAATTTTGTGGTGACGCCCCCACGAACCAACCAGAACGTCGTCTTCGCCACTTCCCAGTCAAATGGGCCCGTGATAAGTCGCTCCGGTATCTTGATCAGAGGATGAAGTTCCATGTAGCGTGGTCTCCAAGATAGCGTTGTGGGTTGAACGATGGACGGGGATAGTCCTTTGATTTCTACGCTCAAGATAATTCCGCAGGAGGCCTTGAACTCGTCCCAGTCCCGTTGGAACAAGAGATCTACGTCGTCCACGTTCCCTAAGGAAGGACGAACCGATGGAGGTATGGGGGAGTCTAAATGTCTAGGGAGGTCGCCAGGTCCGCCATTCTTTCGATACCATTTCTGCTGCGCCTCGAGGATAACCGCCGTATTCACCCATGTGCAGGCGAGCACTGAGCTCTGTGGTTCACGCACAGTTAGATCGTTCATCTTTCACGCTCGTTGACAATAATGGCGTCCAGATCTGGAAAAGGGCGCGAAGGTCCACAAACCTGGAAATCCGGATCGCCGGGAACTGATTCTGGCTTCAGCAACGGGTAGTTAACTGCCTCGAGCATCCTATTGTTGAACCGCACTCTCTCCCGGGTGCATCTAAGAATGGCATCGCTCTTGGGGTAGCCCAGCCACATCTCCCAGGTGGGCTCAAAGGCGGCTACCAGGAGCTCACTCATGAAGGACCGGGAAGAAAAACGATAGCCGATTCGCAGGCTACTGCGTAGAAAGTTGAGATTCCGAGACATGATTATGATGCGTTCAAGAATCTCGGTGGGCAGTTCCTCAATAGCAGCAGCGGGCTTGCTTGACTTGAAGCGCCTCTGAAGTGGCTGAGGGATGTCGTCCCCGTCTGCGTCTCGCTGTCGCTTCTTCGACTGTCGCTTCTTCGACGCCTGGGCGGCTGGCTTTTCGGGTGGTTTCCATGTCTTTTTGTGAGCCAATTTTCCTTTCACCTTGATCGGTGTTAACTTCATCTCTGAGGAGTCGAGCGAGATAACCGCTAAGGCTCAAATGCGTGAGTGAGTGTGTTGAGGGTCGTAAAAGAGAGACGGACGCTGAAGAAGTAGGTGAGGCCGGCTCTCGAAGATGAAACTAAAATGGCACAAATTCAAAAGAACTTCTGTGAGGTGGAAAATTGTGTCAGGGCGATGGTTGCTACCTGGTGAATTTCTACCAGGTGCCCCAACATTTTGACCATGAATAGACGACGGCAGGCACGGAGTATAACTGACTTGAACACCAGACGAGGACTGAGAACCAAGAATAAGAATATGGGTTTGGGCTTGGCAAATGGCTTAGTAGGCTCACGCCCCTTTCTTTGATATGCTAACGCCACTCCCCGCAAATGGGGTGTGCGGGCTTGGTGAAAGGGGCGTAAAAACAGACCTGATAGGGGGTGATCACATCAAACTGGACCCAGACAAGAAATTCTGCAGCGCCGCCCACTTCTGCACATCGAACTTTCAAATTTGAGATCTTGAACAGTTTGAGCGACAATCGCAACGGCCCCCGCCGAAGTGACCAGCTTCACGGTGCTCGCGATGCCTCCGGCATTGAGACCAGCTGTGCCATCGCAGAGGCTCCTGAGGTTTCTGCGCGCCCAGTCGGAAGGGCTTGGTGCTTTCGCAGAGTGCGCCGGCGGCCGGTTACCACCTCGACGCCATGCTTGCATGTGCCCCGCGAAGACGAGATCGCTTGACAATTACTCGACCACCCCGACCACCCGTCACGAACCCACACTCCAGGCCTCCTTTTTTGGTCTCCGCCCACTCTTCCCGAAATCGCTGACGAGACAGCGGGGTACCACCCCGCAGGAGTCCAGTTCTGCCGCGGGGGCGCCTCGATATGCTTCTTCCGAACAAAAACCGCCGAAGCTCAATGGCCGCAAAAATGGCGGCAAACCAGTATGGCAAGAGTGGCTTTTTGGGTCCGAAAAACAACGGGGGGAGGGACGGAAGGACGACGACATTAGGGTGCGATTGGAGGAGGAATCCGGGTCCATCTTCCAGAGCAGGTCTTTGACCGCGAAGGCGGCACTCGACCCAAGGTTGAGGTGTACCGAGGTAGACGGGACGGGGAAGGTCATAATGGTAGATGGTGAGCTCAAGAAGAGCGAGCTTATCGCCAGGGTAGGCAAATGCATACTTAGTAGTGAACTGCGAGTTCAGTTGCTAACAAGTTGCCGTTTTGTAGTACGGGTTACTTCCGCGCGATCTCCGAAAGATTGATTCCTCGAATCTTCCACATATCCTCGTTCGGCCCTCCGCTATTCTTCTCAACCTCCTCCATCTCAAAGTCCTCATCAAGCACGACCGCGTCCTGTTGTTCGACGTCTACGGCTCCACCTCGTCGTACCCCCAGTCCGCATTCATGTATGACCTACAGGGGAAACTACAGCAAAAGCAAACCGCTAGCGCGAATAGTCTGCCCTACGAATTCCGGGCCCTAGAAGCGGTTTTGATGTCCGTTACCGCGGAGCTCGAGGCCGATTTCGAGTCCGTTCGAGACCCGGTGATCCGAATTCTGAGTGATCTAGAGGACGATATCGACCGCGAGAAACTGAGGATTCTTCTGGTCTTGTCTAAGAGAGTTAGCACGTTCGAGCAAAAAGCCAGGCTCGTCCGCGATGCTCTCGAGGAGCTTCTGGAGGCGGATGACGATCTTGCCGACATGTACCTGACCGAAAAGATGCACGATCTGATCCGAGGCGAGGATGACCACACAGAAGTTGAGCTCCTTCTGGAGTCGTACAACAAGATATGCGATGAGGTGGTTCAGGAGGCGAGTAATTTGGTGTCAAGCATCAGGAATACTGAGGAAATGTGAGTGTTTTTTGCGCTGCTCTTCCAGCCGTACAAGCCAAGTCATCCTCTTACTGATACCCTCTTTAGTATTCGAGCGATCCTTGACGCCAATCGCAACTCACTCATGCTGCTTGACCTCAAGTTCAGCGTCGGCACCCTCGGCCTCGCCATGGGCACCTTCCTAGCAGGCCTGTACGGCATGAACCTCGAAAACTTCATCGAGGAAACCAACTGGGGTTTCGGCGCCGTCACGACCGTTTCCTCCATCTTCTCCCTCTTCGTTTGTTGGTACGGGCTGGTGAAACTCCGCAAGGTCCAGCGCGTCAAGATGGGCGGCGGCGGTGTCGGCGGTTTGCGATCTCAGCACGACTGGTTCTGTGACGACGGCACAAACGGCCTGCTGAATCCTAGCAACCGCGAGCGGTTGAGGCGGATCAACATGATCAAGAGCGCCAAACAAGTGCGGTCCCGAAAGTGGCCGTTCCGGTAACGATTTTCCCCCCTCACTCAATATTAGTCGGGTGGTGGTAGACAATTTGTAATCATGTACGAAATAGACCGGCGTTGGGCGGCTTTGATATTTTGTCGGGTCAGGGGAGGGGGGGACACAAAACTCGCATCATGTTGGATTTGGGGCTTCATATTCCTGTACGTAGATACGTGTACAATAACACCGGCTTTTCGGCGGTTCTCGCGAGGGCCTCTCAGCTTATGGCTTACTGTTGAGCAGGACTCTTGGCCTTTTGATATGACGAATCCAAGGCGTTCCCACGAGGCGTTCCCTCGTGGGAACAGTGACATTCCCCAACCGAGAATCGTGCTGGGTAATCCGAAACCCGGAATCAACAACGACTAAGTCCCCGAGGCAAGCCACATGCCGTTTACGTTCCTCTGCCTGATCCGCCAAGGAATCTCAACTTCAAGTTGGCCAGCGGGGAGCCACACTCCGAAGGGCACACAGACGAAGTCTTGTACTTCTAGATTCGGCTGTCGACACCAACAGAGTCCCTGGTCCTGTTTTCCTTGGGTTAAAGTATCGGTTCAGATAAGAGATCCCAAGGCTGACAACAGGCCTCGACCAAGCCCCAGAAAGGGGAGAAGTCAACGAGAATGCATTCATGCGCAGGTATCTTGTTCCAGGGATCCGGTGAACCACAAGCGGAAACGAAGCGAGCCACCTCCTCTCGCCCACCGCAGCAGCGTATGAGAGAGTCACAGCAACCGGCGAGCTCAAACAAGACTACTATGTGCCGAGGATGTGTCAACAAACCCTTTTAGCGAAGAGCCCAGGTTCACCACCCGTTCTTACACAGTACTTACCCCCTACCCCGGGACGCACAAGATCCAACAGTCCCGAAACGGGAAATGGCCGGCGGGATAATAAACAATAAATAAACACCCTTGGTGTCAGACCAGGCACGTAACGCACTTCCACGTACACACCAGTAAGTCAACACCAGCCAAAACAGCCCCCAACACACCCCAGGGGGCCGGGAGCGGTGGACTTCCAAAGCAACAGAGAGAGAGACCCGGAATCTCGCCCGACCCAAACCGGACCGAACAGTCCCCCCTCTCTCGAGACTCCCCTAGCCAAGCAAAAAAACATCGCCACAGACGCCGAGTCTTCCCTTCTCTTCTCCGAGCCGTGACTGGTACGACCTCCCCTGCCCTGTTGCCTTCGCATCAACAAGAGCTTACCCAATCCATCTCGCCGCTCGCTGGTCCGTTTTCTCGCCCTGTCTCTCTCTCTCCCTTTCTCCCGCGGGAGGGACTCACACGGACACGGACACCCACCCACCGGCTCACCAACTCCGGGTGATCCGAGACTGGACTCCACAGGAGGCGAGAAAGAGAGGGGGAAAAACGTAACGTAAGGGGTAACAGGCTGAACGAGGTTGGGTTCGGTGAACCTGCGAGATGGGTCCTAGAAGGCCTCGTAAGGGCAAAACAAAACGGGGAATAATACCTCTGGATTTACACACCACAAGCCATGACGGCACGACCATGATGTACGACATGATGATAGCGCCGGGTTCAACCGGCGGGGAAGGCGGAAGCCAGCAACGAGCGATTTAAACGCCAATCAACCTCAACCTTAGCCCATCACTCTGACACCGACGACGGCGAGGCACTAAGGGAGTAGCGAAGTCGGGGTTCACGATGGTGTGTGTGTGTCCGCGCAGGTGTGCGCGTGTGTGGGAGGTTCAAGACAAAAAACGCGCGAGACCGACCCCGTGGCGTGTCTCCCCTGCTGCTTGGTGCTTGGTGAATCACTCAAGCCACTCACCAAGCACTCAAGAAGGACCACCCCACTCACCCACCCACTTCGACTGAGTGGGTGAACTCAAACTCAACCCGATTGCCACAGGGAGGTTCGTTCCATGAGGCAAAAAGGGAGAAAACGGAGCACAACGGCAAGCTGGGTCAGAAAGGAAAAACAAAAAGAAGGAAAAAAAAAAAGAAAAAAAAACTGACCTAAAAGCCCAGTCATTCGTTGGCCAGACCCTGCCCATCGCCCCTCCCCTCCGTTGTTGCCTCCTCCCTCCGATGACTCACTCGGAAACCCGACCCGACGCGGATGTGTGGTGAACTCTTGAAAACTGAATGGCTCCGTTCCCTAGGCAACGCCAACGCCAACGCCAGCGTTTCGTGACTGACAGCGAAACGGGTATCCCCTTTTTTTCTCTCGGGAGAAATCGGTAACATCTTTGGCCCTTCGAGGTGGATGAGAATGAACGAAAGTGGTAAGAATGAGTTTGCTTCAGGCGCGCGGTAAACGATAGGTCCAAATGTGCTCGTGAAAGAGCATGGTATCATGTGTTCTGCTAGCACTAAAGTCCCGGACGGTTTTGGGAAGTGATCCCTTGATGGAGGTGGTTCCTTCCATCTGTCCGACCGTTCGAGGACGAATCCTCTCCAAAGACGCCGGTGAGGAACTCATCCTAGGTGTTCCAAATCCGTTTTATGATGCAAACCGTCCGGAGGCAGAGAGCGCGGAAACCCACACCCGGGCGTTCGCGTGTCTCTCCTCCCCCGGCGGGCGCATGAAAAGGTATCCGGCCAGCAGGCGTCCCAGTTGTCTTCTGGTGCCCTGGCTCCGTCCATTATGCTCCGAATAACCACCCCGTTTCCATCCTCGGCATGAGCGCCGTTAGTAAAACCGACGACCGAAAAAATGGTAAAAGAAACTGAAGGCAGTATGCTCAAGCACTAGATCCACTCCATTTGATCGTACACAGGATAGCAACAACAACAACAACCACCGTTCTCTTCGCGTGGAACGATTTCAACCAGTATTCCACCGCCCACCCTAATGCCCACCAAGAATATGCTGTTTCCCGTTCCGTCGATCCAGGGCCCATGCAAAATCAAAACGCAGCGTGCTTTTCGCCCGTTTTCCCCTAGCCACCATCTAATCCATCTATGAGCTAGATGTTTCCAAGGCTGGTTTAAGTCCGGAGTCGAAAACTCCGTTTGCCATAGTTTTCCCTCTTTCTCCTTTCCGAGAAAGAGGGGTTACAAAGAAAATGTAGAATCACAAGGGGTAGTGCATAGTGCGAAGAGAAGAAAAAAAGGAGAACATAGTGTTGGTATGTGCGGGAAGGCGCAGCGATGGAATATTAGACACAATGAAGGTTTATGCTGCGATACGTCCAGAAAGGCGACGTTTAGTTCAAGATTCCATCCCACATACCCGGTCCGCCGTATCCCCCAACGGCTGGGTGAAGGGCGGAGATCCGGGACGTTCGGGAGGCTTCAGTTGAGCAGCACACTCGCTTGGAGCCACCACGAAGCGTGGGAACTGGAACCTGAACTCGGCTGCGGACCATAGTTTCTGGCCAGGAGCCGCTGCCTTGCTGACCGGCAAGCATCTCGCGAACATCATCATGAAGTGAGTTTGATCTGCCCCGCTTCGACCCGGCCTTGAAGGGAACCGTGGACCGAGCAGAGCCAGACCGTTGAAGCTGTTGAAGCGCAAGGGCCGCGTCGTCAATTTCGCGTTCTCGGCGCCCGAGTGGTGTCTCCAGTGGCATGTAGCCAATGTCCTTCCCAGCTGGGATCGTGTAGGACTCCGGCGACGAGGTGATGAACGCCTCGCTGTCCTCCGGGACCGAAGCAATGGTGGGCAGCGCGCTTAGCCTCTCACCACCCAACTTCGCAGAGCGATATCGCGCCTGGACGTCCAGCTTAGACGACGGCGCAGTAATCGAGGAAGTAGATGAGATCGAGGATGAGCGCGAGACCCGAGAAGAATCGGATACCATTGATTCGGGCGAAGACGCAGTGGAGACCGAGTTTGCAAGCGACGAGCGCCGGGGGACACAATTGATCGGGGAAGACATCGCCGACGGTGGCCATCTGTCAGTGGACTGCGCAGCGACCGCCATCGACGCCTGAGCCATAGCGAGGCTCATAGACGAGCTCCTCCGGAGGATCGAGGGTCCGGTACCCACAGCAGGAGTACCGAGCCCGCTCACCTGAGGAGTCAAACGCGGGGTCGGGAGGAGGCCGAACGCTGGAACGGCACGGCCGGGGGCATGTGCCACGGACGGAAGAGGCTCCATAACCCTGGGAATACCAGTCGGTGCCTTTGCCGCCGAAACAAGCTCAGCGTCAAAAGCCAGGGCGGTGGGGCGTTCCCCCGGGGGTGTGTATAGGGACCTCGGGGGAAGCTCTCTTGAAGATGTGCTGACCGGTGACCAAGGGATAAGAGCACTCAAGTTGTCCAACTCGGGAGATAGGCCAAGGATAATGCGCCGGAAGTCGCTGCACTGCCTGTCATAGACAAGCTGCGCAGCCCCGCCAGGCGAAGGAGGTTGACTAGGCGTGAACTTGTTGACACAGTCAGCCCACCGTTTGTAGGTCTCCTCAGTGACATGAAGGTTCCAGTTGACAGCCAGAAGAAATGTCATCTCGTTCTGGTTGATCTCGAGAGTATCAAGACCCGAGATTTTGCTCCAAGCGCGAGCTGAGTAGTTGCGGTCCTGAAGGTACTTGGAGGCCAGGATCAGAGCGGCAAGGAACATGCGGCGGCCGCACTGGATGGCCTGACTCGAGCGCGAATCATCGGGCTGCTCCGTGGTGAAACTATAGCACGGAACATGCGACTTGATAAGCACCAAGTAATAAAGAGCTACCTGCAGCGTCGAATAGCTGGTCCGCGAGCGCCGGAGCGTCTCTTGGATGAAGGTGCGAAGCGGCAACACCGCATTGCTACCGTTCTCATTGCGCGGCGGAACTGATGACGTCGGCCAGATTGCCTCGACAATGTGGGTAGACGTATCTGAAGGTGACATTGAGCATATATCTTTCACGATGAATGTAAGCGGATATCCTTACCGACAAGATTCTCGACGAAGCTAAGCTTTCGGTCCGACTGGCGCACAAGCGAGGGCGGCCGGCCGGTGCGCGATGTGGCCGAGGCGCACGTCCGTCGGGGGTTCGGTCGATATTCGGAAGGAGGAATTTCCAGTTGCGCCGGAGGTTGGACCTGGTGCTTGGCCCACGGGGCGCGGGTCTGGGAAACGGGCTCGCAAAAACTACCGAGCGAGCTCACCGAGGTTTGAGAAGAAGAAGGGCGTTGCGAGGCGTAATATGAATCACAAAAATCGGAGTGCGATGTTGCGGCGGTCGAAACCGAGTCGTCGGAATGTTGAGACGACACGTCAGACCAGAAAGAGGAAGCGGATGAGGAAGCGGAGGTGGCTAGCGAGAGATTGTAGGGCGCATTGTTGGCGTGGGTGTTGGAGGGGATCGGGTCGTAGATTGCGGGCATCATTGTGAATTAAGGGGGATGGAGGCGCGTCCAATGACTTCCAGTCGCCGTCGCGCGGTGTCTACCGGATGAATCGAGGTGCTGAACAAATCGTGAACCTATCGATATGCTGGGTCTGCGACAAACCACATCGGATGTCGCAAAACCGGGAACGTCGAAAAGGAAGGTGGGCTTCTAGAGCTGGGCGCAAGAAGCCGACTTTGCACGATGGGACAGACCGGTAGACGAGGCGGAGACGGCGACTGGGATAGATACAATGCTCTCAAAAGGCATCGTGTGTAGAACTTTCGTTAGGATAAACGGAAGTGGTGGGGGTTATATGGCGGTTTTAACACCCGACCATATGAAGGTGGGAGAGACGATGACGATGGTGCGGCCTTGTTCGACGAGGGGTTGCGACTGCGACTAGGATCGGTCGAGACTTTGAGGCTGGTGGGATCGGAACCACAACCACGGGTCGGACTGCAGCTGGATTAAGGTGCGTTCGAGCTATGCAGGTACCATGTGCGTCTTAAAGTAACTTGGAGGGTGTGGCTGGGAGAGCGTTAGATACATTTAATGACGGGCGATGTCGTGTGGGTTATGGGGGGCGGCGGCGATGTGACTCGTGAGTGTGAGTGAGGCGTGTGTGTTCGGGCGCCTGGATTCAGGTGGCCGGCTTCGGGTGACCCTTGTCTGGATGACTCTTCTTGCAGTGTGGCGAGGTCCAGGTACCGACCGAACCGACAGTTGCCGCTTGCAAAAACCAGGTGGCTCCAACTGGCAGGCGTGGGGCAATGTGTGTGGGTGTGACCAACCTCTGACGGAAGCCTGAAAACGGGTCTCTGACTTCGGAAAAAAAGGACTGTGGCGAGTTGGTCGGTCACCGCCGTGGTGCAAAATGAGTGTTTGATGACTTGTCGCCGTTGATTGCTGTCTTTCCTGTCAGGGAGGCCGGTGGGTTCCTCGTTCTGGTCAGGGTTGGTTTGAATGGTAGCAAGATGGCCGGGGTGGTGGATTCCTTTGAATATGGGCTAAGAAGGGTTGGCAGCGTAAAAGTATGAAAAAGAAGCTGCGCGGTCTTTTGAAAGCGCTGCTGGGAAGGAAGCGTCGTCCGTCGGTTTGTTTTCCTTTGTCGCAGGGAGCAAGTGAATGCCTCGCGAGAAAGGGAGCCGGCTCAAAGGACCAAACTGGGAATCATTGGAAAGTGGAACAGAAGGGTAAGAAGGGTAAGAAATTAGAGGAGGTCTGCGGAAGAGAGACGAGTAAAGCGGAAACGTTGTGAGAAAAAGGGACGAGTGAAAATTGAGAATTGAGAGGAGAGATGATAGATACACAGATCTCACAAGCTGACTACGGGAGAGCCGCTTCTTCCTAGATCTTAAAGTTGAGCATCGTGACTGCTCGATGGGGGGGAAGGAGGAGAGGAAGTTTCTCGGTACGGCACTGGCCTCGTTTTGAATGGGGTGCGCTGGGACATTGGAGATGCCACGGGTGCTGCAGCAAGCCCACAGCCAGGTTTGCACCACCGGCCGACGGGACCTCCACCTTCCTGCAGGTCGCCCACACCTGGCCTCAGCCGTCCAGAATAGTCAGCGTGTTACACGGGTGCCGCTTGGCAAATCCTCACACAGTGCAAAATCCGTTCCTCTGCACACCAACCTCGAAGGATGCTATGAGTTCCCCATGTTTTGCCGTCCACCGTTTTCTCTCGCTCGATCACTGTAGTAAACGACATCCACACTCTTCCTGAGCCGTTGGCGCAGCCCGGGCCGCCGCCCGAACCTCAGCCTTTTCAGGAGCCAACCTCGTTATTCTGCGTAACGTCTAGTAGTCCTTCGCGGTCCAGGAGTGGCATGATGCCCCTCCGAACACTAGAGAATGAGAAAATGGATGCCTCGCAAATGAACCCACCTGTCGGCATTTTGCGAACAGGCACACCATCCTTCTCGAAGCCCTCTCCTCTCACACCACTCTTGACTTGTCCGTTGAAAAGAAACGACGGTGCAATAGCGCTAGCATGATTGGCCCAGATGTTGCACTGTGTGTGTGCTCGCTCGCCCGCCTGCGCACAAGTCAAACCACCCCTGTCTAGCGCTACTGTAATTTCTCAAAGTGGTCTAGTGTGCCAGCATGGCGCAGACAAATCCCAGCGTCATCCAGCATCGGACAGTCTCCGTTCCATTCCTTGGCCGAGATACCAACCAGCGTTTTTCGCGATCATTTGTTCATCCCAAGCAGTTGGTGTTCCATCATCTCGGGGGTGGTGAACGCACGAAACGGGATTTCATTATCCGGGTTTCTGGGGGGGATGTTGAGGTTTCGCGGCGCGGTCGCACTTTCCAGGTCGACAAATCGCCTCTGCAAAGAACTGGAACATCAAAGCGAGTCGACTTTCATTTTTGTTCCCTATTTGGCTGAGTTGAGTCACCCCTTTTTCGATGTCAATCTCGGCGTGCTCGGCCAGCGCGTTTGTCGGCGTCTGTTGGGAGGGGAGAAGTCGCCACAACCGGAATTAGGCGTGATTTACGCCACACTGATTAACAGCTTTTTCGGGCTCCGGACACCCTCACCTGCGCTTCCTTGCCCCCTTCTCGACGCGAAAAGATATACACTAGACGTTAGTTAGAGGAGAAGTTTGGCCTCGATGACTATTCGTCTGGACAAAACAGTTGAGGTCGAGGCCATTCGAGAATCGTCACTTCGTACACACTAGCACATGGTCACCACTTCGGACGAAAACGGACAGAGGGGGCGCCGCCGCTCATATCCAGATGGCCCGTGCCCCCATGATTTCATCCGGCCAAAAGCTGAGGAGGCTGCGTCCCAGTGCCTTTGAATAGAAAAACGGGAGGAGATTTGGCTTCAACCTTTCTCTTTCCTCGGCCAGGAGGCCCTCCTACTCGAAGCGCCGACATCCATTTCCAGGCGCGCATAACTGGGCTGTCGAGTCAGTTGCCAACCTCTCCGTCGATCGCATAGTTATTGGAGTCCCGCGCCGCTCGGGATCCCCCACATTACGGGCGGGCTGTGCTCCATGAAACGCCAAAACAGCCCCTCTCATTGCCATTTCACAGCCCGGCGCATTGCGTTGGTTTCGCAGCCAAGCCCACACAGAACGCGCTCGGGGCCGCCGGGAGACGACTCGTGACACCCTCTCTGGAGTCCATCCATCAGTCACTGTTATGATTCGATGCAGGGCGAAACCTGGCGAAAGCGATAGCCACGCACACTCAAGATCTGAGGGTTCCGTGTCCGGCTTCAGATGACTCTCCATATCAGAAAGCAAAAGGGGGCCAGGCAGCGAGGCGAATTCTCGAAAAGCCGGAACGCCTCCTGGTATGCGAGATTTGGTGCTGGCAAAACGGTAACTCACGTTCGGAGGTGCATGGAAACGCAAGGCTCAACCAATGAAATTCTCGACGAAGCCCCGACCCCGCTCGCGGCCCGTCACCACCTGCATGGCCTGGCAAACCAGTTCTTGAGCCAGTCTCGAACCAGTCTCGCTATGGCCAAGAAAAGCGGCACATCAAGTCCCTGGATAAACTTACATTACTAGAAAAGCGAAATAGGACCAAAAAGAATAAACCAAAAAAAGGGAAAGAAGACAAAAAAGAATAAATCCAGACAGTGAAAAAAGGACAAAAAGAGTATATCAATCAAAATTTATTAAGAGTTTATCGAATGTTAATGGATTGGACTTGAGCTAGCTGTTTTAGGTAGTGTGCCACTTTTTGTGGCCAGAGCGAGCCAGTGAAAGCGCCAACACCTTTTCCCCAGCTAACCCCCGGTCTAACTAAGAAAGTTCATGGCGAGGTCGGTGACGCCTTGCACGATGCAGAGCAACCCAACCCAAAATCCATTTACAAGTGACGGCGATGCTAGTCAAATGCAGCAAGGCGGAGAATGGGCCTTGTCTTGGGTGAAGTGGCCCGGCGCCCCCAATCGGCGGACCAAGAAGGAGCCGAGCGAGGGAGGTGATTTGGCCCAAAACACACTTCCGACCTGGCGATGACTCAAACGGAAATTTGCCTTGTTTGGAACAACCAAGGAGCGCGCGGTATCGGAATGTGACGACGACACAGCGAGAACAGCCCTCGAGCTTCCTCCCCAGCAGTGTACCAATCATTCCAACGGTCAGCTGATCGACGAGCAACTAGAGGGCGAGATGGTCATTGTCGTGGACTCGATCCTCACACTCACAAACCGGCCCCCGCGCAGCTCCGATACGGCTACCCCGCAGTATCCTCATCGGGCGCTTCGGAGCGGCGCTTCGAACGAGTCTCATTCCATAGTATGAGAGTGGATTCCGTCAGCAAGCACATGATCAGCCTTGCCGTACGTCTTCTGTGAGCAAGGCCGAGTGAAGGAAAAAAAAAAAACGCCTTCACTACCCTGATTGGGTCGTGTAACCAGCATGCTAAGGCTGGCAAAGTGTACTTCACCTCACAACACGCGGTGGAGTTGCACCCGACTTGAACGACGCTATCTCGTGTACACGTATTTGTTTTCTCCTGGAAGCCTCGGTGCGAGGGGGAGCCTCGCGTTCACGTCACGTCGCGGGTGACTAACATACGGAGACCGTGGTGGCGATGAATACCGCCGACTTGCGCCGAAGGGTTTTCGTCAGCTCGCTCAGGTTCAGGTGGGGAGCGGAAGGGCCCAAGACGAGAAGCGAGCTCTCGTCATCTTCAGGTGAGGACCTCAACCTCATGACGGAGCGATTTTGGGCCGGGCTCTTTTCAAAACGCCATGCACCCAGCTGTCTCCAACCCTAAACCCCTCCACCACCCCAGCCTTACCTTGTTACTCGTCCAAGAGGGGACACGGTGCCTTGGAAACAAACAGGGAAAATGACACAAGAACGACGGCCAGGGGCTGCTGTGTTGTGCTGTGTCGCGTTTTCCAAACAGTTCGAGCATGGAGGAGAACGGACCAGGGTCAGGTTCCAGGCAACAGGACTTGTCACCTTGTGTAAGATCACCATGCCAGTCCAAGCGAATAATCGTCTCAGTCATCGGAGCCGAGACCCCGTCATCCTCCACTCAACGGTCTTGAGTCGTAAAATGTCGTAGAAGTTCAGCTGAGGTGGAGGGATCGGGGCGAGCGAGAACGATGCCTTGCTTCAAGTTGATGAGGTGAATCAGTATAAGGCTGAACGGCGGTCAACATATCTGCAACGCCATCTGCCTTCGACGACGAAAGCTGCTCTTCGTTTTGATTCATCTTGCGAAAACGCGGCGAGGACTCCTAGCAGTTCTCGGGGAATTCTCACCTCGACGTAAGGCAGTCAAACCCGTGGTTACTCATGGTGATTCATGCTATCTCACCGAAGTTAGCCGCCCTCGCCTCCCTTACCCCGTTACCGCCGCCGTGAGCCAGAGAGAGGCAATGGAGCAAAGAAACCCGTGTGAACCCGTGTGTCTACTGTCCCCGTCGTGACCGCACATGACCGCTAGGCAGGCGCTGAGCTGGCCACGACCCGTTCGTGAATCGTGATCAAGCCAAACTTTCCCGATGACACAAGACGGGCGAGAGAGTGAGCGAAGGAAGACTCAGGACAAGGCACACCACCTTCTCACCAGGGAGCCCAAAGTGTCAATCGGCTGAGGGATCCTTCCAGGGGCGGGCTTGTCATCTGTACACGTAGCACTGGGTTGTTTCCTTCCGTATAGTGCTGTTTTGTTCTTATTAGTGTAGTGAGGCTGATGGGAAGTGGATTTATGACGCGAGGTGAGTCGGCCGATGAGAATAACAACACCGCATGGTTGAGGACCTAAGAGCGAGCGGTTGGGTAAACCGTGAACCAAGTGTCAAGCTCAGTATCCGTAGGGTAGTGGCTCTTCCCACAGGCGGATAACATCCTGGCTCGTGATATTGATGAGGAGAATTCGGAGAGGTCGGAAAAGGAATATAGTCGCCGGCTTACGGTCACATTCCGATTACGTCAAGCCCAGTGAAAACGATGCTGTGCGGAGCAATAACGGTGTTGCAGCCGTCGAAGAGGGTGTGGTGGCTGCAAGGAAAGGGTAAATCGATATAGGAGACACAGTTGTTGCGGGACAAAGAGCGGAGTGGTTGGCTGCAATTTTATTTCCCACTATGAGACCACCTAGTTTTACACAGCCTGGCTTATGACTGCCTAGCAGAAATGAGATTTTGGTTTAGCTTTTGGAGGCTGCTCATTCTGATCTCATGTGCAAGCATTTCCCGCAAAATAGCTAACCGCAAGACAACCCACAAAACAAATCACCTAAGACAACAGCGTCCCCCACGAATGGAATTGGACGCTGAGCTTAAGCGGCCATGTACGTCGAGGCGTCAACACCCTCCTTGGGGAACTCACTAAAATCATAGTTAGTGGACTGCTCATCAACACAATTTTGGTTGAGCTGAATACGTACGGAAGGGCAACCTCGAAACGCTTCTCAATTTGCTGCAGAACCTCCTTGTCCTGGTCGGTGTTGACGAAGGAGATAGCAAGACCCTTGGTACCGAAACGACCAGCACGACCGACACGGTGCAGGTACGAGTCTGCGTCGGCAGGCAGGTCGTAGTTGATGGCGAGGTTGATGCGCTCAATGTCGATACCGCGACCAAAGACGTCAGTCGCCACGCAGATGCGCTTGTTGAACTCCTTGAATTCCTTGTACCGGCGAATACTGCGCAAAAGAGCGTTAATAAGATAAACACGATATGGACATGATTAGGGTCAATACATACCGCTCCTCCTGGCTAACGCCGGAGTGGACAGCAATGGAAGGGAAGTTGCACTCGCGCAACAACTTGTCGAGCTCAGTGGCACGAAGAGTGCTCTTCACGAAGATGATGACCTGGTTGAACTGGAGCTCATCAAGCAGCTCGTTGAGCTTCCGGTTCTTCTCCCTCTCCTCAAGCGGAATGTAGTATTGCTGAAGACCGTGGAGCGTCAACTTGGTGTCCTCGTCGACATAGTGCTCCGTGGGATTCTGCATGAACTTCCGGCAGATGGGCTTGATCTCATCGGCAAGGGTGGCAGAGAACATCATAACCTGTTTCTGCTGAGGAGTGGCCCGGAAGATCTCCTGGACATCACGGCGCATGTCTTGGGCGAGTCAGCAAGTAAGCACTCCATGGTCGAAGCGTCGGTCGGCTAAACTCACCAATTTGGTCGAGCATCTTGTCGCATTCATCGAGGACGAACATGCGGACATTTCCGAGGCGCAGGTGCTTGTCGCGGACGAGGGCGTTGAGACGGCCCGGGGTACCGACAATGATGTGAGGGTGAGAATCCTTGTTCTTCAAAGTCTCGGCGTCTTTCTGGATGGGAGTACCACCGTAGAACACGCTGGTCTTGATATCGGGCATGTACTTGCTGAATCGGTTGTACTCGTTGCGAATCTGGAATGCCAGCTCACGAGTGTGGCACATCACCAGGACTGAGCACTCCCCAGCGACAGGCTCAACCTGTTGGAGAGTGGTAAGGACGAAGACAGCCGTCTTTCCGAGACCGGACTTCGCCTGGCAAATGATGTCGCCTCCAAGCATGGCCTGGGGAATGCATGTCTGTTGAACTGTAGCCGGGGCCGTATTAGAACCGAATATGTGAATGTGATGAATACGGCGGATGGGGTCTTCAAAACAAAGATAGGCCCGTCCATCGTCGCAGCAAAGAATAAGCAACTCCTCCACCCCAAAAACCTTGGGCGCCGGTGTTCTGTACTGTTTCCTCAACCGCAGACGAAGCCGTCCGGTGTCTCCTGTGTTTTGCGTCCATGACGCCACCACAAAACGTCGGTGCCATTCCGCGATCGGTGGCAATTGAGAGTGGTGTCGAATATTCGAGTCCCACGGCGGCAGATCCGATGGTGTGGCGCCCGGGGGCAGCCATCCATCGAGCCCATCGCCTTCCAAAACGCCAACTCAACCCCGAGCATGATGATGGCCATCAATTACAAGAGGGCTGTGTGCGCTAGTGCTCGACAGCCCCACGAGGGGACCGCCAGCTTCAGAGTGGAGGATGCAAACCAACGGATGTCTCATGGCGATGACCGGTCGCCGCTATTGTCCGTTTGTACGTTGCACCGACACCATATCTCGCTCCCGGACGGCTTTTGGTTTTTCGTGGCGTCTGCCATTTCTTCTTCTTCCTTTTGCTTGCGCGATGGACGGACCCGTGGGGAGGGTGGGAGGAATGAACGAGAGCTGGGGATGAAACTTGTCAGGACTAACCCTCCGACGGATGCTCGAAGCCGCAGTCGGCGATGGCGCGGAGAAGCTCGGGCTTCAAGAGGAAGTCGCGGAAACCAGTCGAGTGGATGCCGACGTAAGAACCCTTCTTGTCGACATTCTGTGCGGCAGCAGCTGCGTCGCCGTTCTTGCCCTTGGCTGCCGGGGCGGCGGCATCGTTGTTAAGCTCATCATCAGAGTAGTCGATGAGATCCTCCTCGCCAGACATGTTGGGCGATTTGTGTCGGTAGCTGACGCGACGAACAGGGAAGGGAAAAAGTGAGTTTAATAAGGGACGTGGGGTACTGTCGCGATTGTTTTAAGGAAACCGAGATACCCGAAGCCTGGCAATGGAGAGAAAATGTTGTGATGGTGCGCCGAGAATTAATTTCTTTCCAACGGTGGATGGAAAGTGTTGGATGAATGAAGGCGGAAAGGCAGGGTGCGAGGACAAGTCAATGCGTTCCAGGTTGTTCGGCAAGCACAGCCTCAAAACCTGAATGCGGCCAGTCACTGGGGGCCAGTTCTGCGCCAACGTGTGGCTTAGCTAAGCAGCAAAGCTTGCCGCGCATTGGCGCACGAGCCACCTAGCTTCGTGAGGTTACACAGCTTTTCATTGTTTGCCAGCTTCATTGAGCAATGAAGTTTTGAAACACAGAGAACAAACAACCACACACCTCAAGTCCGCAAATCTTAGCTGGCATCCGGCAAACCGTCTAGACCGTCATGGCCAAGGGAAAGCCCGGCGCCAACGTGCAAAACAGAGCCATCTACTCGCGCATTTCTTTTCTTCAACAAGCTGCCTTCACGCTCACATCTATCGACAACGCAAACCCGCCTGCGCTAGACTGTCAATCGTCTTCCCCTGGAAGCCCCAGTAAATCTAGTCCCGTATTAGCCCTCGAAGGCATGAGTAGGCGCCTAGCAAGCGATTTGCGCTCCATCTCGCTCAAAACTCGGATTCGGCTCAACCCGGCGGTCAAGCGAGTGATCTGCAAGTTTTGCGATTCGGTTCTCATTGATGGGGAGACCTGCACATCTACAATCGAAAACAAAAGCAAGGGCGCCAAAAAACCGTGGGCTGATGTCCTAGTTCGAAAATGCCGGACATGCGGGCGAGAGAGGAGATACCCGATGAGCGCGGGCAGGCCGAAACGGAAAACGGAACGGCAAGTCGTGGGGCAGCCCCATGAAGTACAGAAGCAGCCAATCCCAAAAAGTTAGTTAACGCCGTCCCGAAACTATGTGTGCGTTCCGAATGAGTCCCCGAAGCTGTATAATGGTCGCGGGATACCAACGCCCTCCCCACCGTCCCAAACTACTACATGAAGCCGAGACACAAGACCCTTTCTCCTCTTGTTGCCCGGTCTACCAAAATGACCCTTCATCCTAGCTACACGGAATCCCCGTGACGGTCCCAGTGTGCTGGGCTTTGCATGCCCTCGTCAAGAGTACCTGCTGGGCCCGGGCCGGGTTTAGAGGTTTCTAATTTCGCACGACTGTTGATCGAGACATGATGATCGTGCTTGATCCTGACTTCATCCGTAAACATCTGCCCTCGCAGCTGGTGCCGTTACTGGGCATAACGAGACTTCACTAGTCCTGGCCAGGCGGCTGAGAATTCGCCTTCAAATCCAAGCCCGCCTTCATTGCTGTTGTTGGACAGACTCCTCTCCAAGTACCTTGCTCGCAGCCATAAACCTGCCACACATTAGTAGGCACGCCCGGGTTCTTGGCTTGGTCAATAAACCTACATGCCAGCGTGCCAGCTACCGAGCCCACGCATGGACTCGGCTTGCACGCTCGTCATGCGTAACAAGTTCTCTGTGTCGGCTAAGTTCGCTGAGAGTTGCGCCAGCTGCGATTGGAGCTGGGCCTACGAACCAAGGAGTTTAGATTAGCGGTTGTCAAAGGGTCGCTTGGGTGACGAAAGTATAATATACGTCATAGAGTTGAATAGTATATGGGGGTTAACACGTACCAACTGCCTAGCCTTCACGGCACTTCCTGACGACGCCATAGACTGACGCGTTGTCGTGTTGGTGCTGAAGTTCCGTGACGCCATGATTTGCGCAAACGGTCAAGGACCGTTATGTTATGGATAAATTGTTCCAGATTCCGCAATCTAGCGTCTAGGAACGGTCAAATATGAGTTAGTAAATTTGCTAGACGGTTCAGTTGTTTGATGTTGACGTTGGCTTTGTTTGTTGTCGGAGAAAGTGGGGGGCAACCCAGTGTACCCTAACCCTGGCAGTGATGTAATTAAGTCCTTGTCTGAACGAACCTCAGGATGAGCCTACAATACTTCAAGAAGAGTAGGTCTATCTATACAAGGCACAGTATGATGCAGAGGCTTCCGTGACCCTATAATTCGGCCTACGCACTCAAGCAAAATATAGTCTGGGAAAAAGAAACCATAACGAAAAACAGCTAAAGCGAGGGAAATAGCTTCAACCACAAGAACCCAACAAAAAGCTCACCACCGAACCCTATCCCCATCCGTAAGGATATCGGTCAGTAGCTACGAAAATCTTCCACCAGTGAAAGATTTTTCTTCGCTGACCCCGGGAATCGAACCCGGGGCCACTTCGATTTACGGCGGCACCGGCGATGCCCCTCCCAATACCGCTGGGCCAAACACGCTATTTGGCACATTGGGAGGAGCTGGTGACAGTGCGTGCGAGAAGGGGGGTTATATGGGGGGGTGGGTGGTGGGAGGGAAGGTGCGGTTTTCGTTGGAGCTGGGGACATCCCATGACAACTCACTTATGGATTATACACGACCAAGGCCAGTGAATCACTTGAGATCCCCGCTAGGTGTTGCCTCCATCCCCGAGGTTGGGCACCCTCGGTACGTTCCCAGCGACCGGACTAGTAGTTGGGTTTAGGAGGTGGAAGATGGATTCTGTCTCTCTCTCCCCTAGCCTTTCTACCCTGACAACAAACGTATCCTTTTCCTCCACCAGCCGGGCAGTCAGGAAGAGGTATTATAGGGTAATGCTCATACTCGGAGAAAAATGGAGAGCAACCCGAGCTACACACCTTCTACACCAACAGGGCGATATCATAGGCTTCGTAGACGTCCGTTATGAGGTCAGGGAACTTTCCGGTTTCAAACACGTCTGCCATTGTACGCGCGCTCGAATCATCAACATTGAAAACCACAGAACAATAACCACAGCAAAAAAGCAAAACAAACGAATTCATAAAAACCAAGACAGACCCAATAACAATTGGACAAAAGAGACAAAATGCCTATGTACGTGATACAAAGAATCTCCAATGCAGAGTCAAAAAAGACAGCGCTTCCATCATCCTCCTCCTCCTCCCTCTTTCTACATGCCCTGCCCTGATTCCTCGTTCACGTTGTTCATCCTTCCGAACCAAACCAAGGCCCCGTCTTTTGATCCAGAACAAACATCCCTAGCACCGGACTAACCGGCGGTTCAGAAGTCAAAAACACATTATCCCCAGTCCCCAGCCCCCCCGCAGCCACCTGCCATGATTGTCACCACGAACACTAAAAATTATAGAATGGAGGGGTTGTGACGCGCGCCGAACGGGCTCCCTCAACAATACACAGGCCGCCGCCGCCGCAGTTGTTGCTGACCTCGTTTAGTAGGTAGGAACAACGACCACCGCTGGAAAAAACAGGGGCAAAGAAGAAGAGAGGAGAGAAAAAGGAGAGAGAGAGAGAGAGAGAGAGAGAAATCCGAGCTTTGGTCGTCGGTAACCGAAACAATTAACCCAAAATACCGGCCCCCCCCCCCTTGGTTCCCCTTCCAACACTCGTTTGCGCTTTGTTCCATCCACACCGCTCCCTCCCCTTTTACCAAAAGAAAGCCAAATGCCAGAACCCAACCTCAGCACCGCCATCGCCGTCTAGAAAAAAGAAAAAGAGTCCCAAAAATGCAACCACCACGATTCGTTCCCCTGCTTTGCGCCATCATCGGTGCCACCCAATTCGGATATTATGCGCTTCGAGTAATTATGCTAGAGCACCATACCAGGGCTGAATTTCCCAATCCCTTAAGAGCAGTGGGTATCATGAGTTCACGAGATAATGATCCATTAGGGTAGGCGTCGAGAGACCCGGATCCCACCCAGCCTCATTCCACTTCTTTCCAACAAAACCATCCGTCAGCATCCAGAATTCGAGCATCGGTCATTCTTTCGCCGTTGGCTTTTTACTTGACGGCAATCGATGAGGCGTTTAGCGGACGCCAATCGGCGGACGGGGGCCTAAACTGCTCTGGCTGCTGTGCGCCGAGGGCTCCGAGTCGAGGTGGGCGGAATCACCACTCCCCGCGCTGGCGCTCGCACTACCGGTCAGACTTCGTGCACTTTTCGTCTTGGGTGGATGGAGGGCGCTCACCCCAGCGTGCTGCTCGACTTGTTGTGGTGCCACAACATTGCCGTGGCCGGGTGGATAACGGGGCATGGGTTGCCGCATGCCATCGGGAGGCGATGGGCGCCCGCCACCACCGTTCATCTGCGGAGAAGGATGAAAGCCATTTGGCGGCGAGGGACGCCCGCCTGGGACACCCCCGCGCATCGACGGACTATATGGATTCCCCGGCGATTGGCTGCTAACCCGTCGGGCCCCATTCGGGCCCATGGGCGGTGGTCCTTGGTTGTATTGGAGTTCATCGAGGCGGGCGGTCGTGAGAGAGTTCGTCCTAGAGCCGGCGTGCATTGCTCCCCGGTCTACCGCCCCATATCGGTTCGAAGTGAAACCCAGTAGAGGGTCGTCCATGATGTCTCCATGCATAGCAGGCGCTCCGGCCATAACCTGACTTGAACGATTCCTGCCGAAGCTTGGCCGGAACCTACTGCGCGGGGGGCCGGTATCTTGTTCTGGATTCTTCCGGAACTGCGCGGCACTGCTCGGCGCCTTCCGGTTCTTCTTGGACGTAACACTCATCATGTCGAAGTTGTCGGGATCGATCATGGATGCCCCAGAAGGAAGAGGCTCGAAAAGGTCATCGTCCTCATCGTCGTCGTCGAAGCCACCCGTCCGCGAAGCCGGGGGTGGTGGGCCGCGCCTGGGACCTGGGCCCATTCCCGGACCCATCCCCGGGCCCTGCCGCCTCAACCGCATCTCGTGCTCCCGCAAAGCAATCTCCCGCTGCCGTAGTTGCAACTCCTTCTCCCTCAAAGCCATCTCGTGAGCGCCAAAAGCGGCTTCACCCCCCTCGGGAATGTCATCGTAGTGCATTAGGTGACCGAACTCTTCCAACTCTGCACCCTCCATTGAACCACGTCTCGACGGCAAGCGTCCGTTAGGCGGCGGCCGTGGGTAGCCATTCGGAGGTCCTCCATTCATCGATACCGGGGGTCGGCGCATTCCTGGGCCAGGGGGGCCCATCGACGGATTCCTGGGGCGTGGCCGGGGCATGCCGTTTCCATTCGGCATGCCGTTTGGCATAGGCCGAGGAGGCCCCTGGGCCGACATACGCGGAAGCGGGGAAGTTGCGGAGGGTGACCCTGGCTGAGTCGGCGCTGCGAGCGTGGTGTCGATTCTTGGGCGGCTCCGGTTAACCAGATTAAGGTTATGGAGGATGGCGTAGAGGGCTTCGATCCGCGGGACTTCGATCTTGGCCTCCTGAGCCATCCGTATCGGAGCGCCGAGATATGTTTCCACTTCCATGGGTCGCTTTGCCGTGTAATCTTGCCACATAATGTTCTCGGTCGTTGATTTCGCAAATTCATCGATCGTGTTTTGTTTGAACTCTGGGGGGAATTTGCAGCCCTGCGCGTCTGCCAGAGCAAGCAGCTCGTCGAGAACGTCGGACACTAATTTCGGCACACCAACCTTCTCTAGAAGCGCGGCATATTCGGGGGTTTCGAAAATCACCGTAAGAGGATGGAAGGCGATTGGACTAGAACAGGTCAGATTTCGCACACTTTAGAAGAAGGGATCCACGAGAAATACACACCCAATAACGCGCTCGTATTGTTGCTGTCGGATGTTGGAGGAGACCTTGCAGTCCACTTGGCCCGTACTCAATGTCATAGCTAGAGCCTGGGCCATGTCCTCCTGTATTGTGGGTGGGATATTGGCGTTTTTGTTGGCGGCCCCGACCCAGATTTCCGTCGAGCCCTTGTGCTCGAACTCGCTCGAGCCGAGCTGAGCGAGCTCGGCCCCGCAGACGAGCGAGAGCACCACATTGGTAGGGAAGCGTTCTTCGATCGCAGACTCGAGGCCAAGGGCATGAGTTGTATTCACAAGAATGCAGGTGTGTTGGGGTGTGACGACGGAATCGATCACCGATGCGAGGTCGTAAACGTCGGGGAGTGCCTTGATGCAGAGAATTACGTAGTCGAATGGGCCTTCTCTTCGAGACGCAGCCTCCTCTGGCGTCCGTACGACTGTTTGCCCGTTCAATTAGTATAAGTAGGCGCGGATGCAGGGTGGACGGGACGTACCATGTCGGGGCTTGAATCGTTCATTGCCAAACTCTGGGGACCTGGCGCTTGTTAGTACCGGGGGTAGGAGAATCGAGAGAGGAGGGGCAAATCCAGCGAGGGTTGGGCGTACTTGAATGATATCCCGTATTGCGATACATGCTCGAAACCCGTCTTCCAGACGAGCGTTACGTCGCAGGCATTTGTCGCTTGGAGTCTCCACGACAGGAAGGCGGAGACTGGATTGCCCCCGACTGTGACAACGCTCATTAGCTCGTAGTCAGACATGGCTGGTGGTGGAGTCGAGTGCCCAAACGCGACTATCTCCAAGCCGGTTTCGGTCGACGAGAGGCAAAGTAAACGAAGAAAAAGAAAAGGAAAACAAGCACAAAAAAAGAGAGTGGTGGTGACGAGCGAGGCGGGCTTGAAAGAAAGTTGAGACGGGGGCGGGACAATGCGTTAAAGGTTAAAGATGGGTGTGTCCGAGGTAGCCCACTCTTTTTGGGGGCTAGGTGCTGGAATTCAAGAATCCCGTTCGCGCATGGCCCGGGGACGGGAAAGGGAAGGGGGGGCAACAAAAAAAAAAAGGGAGCGGAGAATTGGCACAAGAAGCAGTTGTCACGACTTACCTGATAGGACCTTGAGTCGGGGTGTCATGGATGCCATGGTCTCTAGGCTGAGGCCCGATCCGGGATAGTGGGCCGATCGAGTTTCGAAGCCGGTACAGGTGTGGATAGAGAGACCTGCGGTGGTCTTTCTTGCAAAAAAAGTGCTGAACCGAAATGGGTAATGATTCTGGGTTTCACCCGCACGCCCTCTTGTGGATTCTTCAACCTCTCGCCTCTTTTCGATCTCCTTTCGGCTTTGTTTTTTTCTTGCTACCCCTTTCTTTTCCCACTGGGCTCTCCCTTGTGTCTCTGCCCACCCCACGGGCCGCGGATGGCGGTCTCACGGGCGTGTTGATCTTCCGAGTGTGTGGGGGGTTTTGGCGATGGGCTGGATGTCTCAGCGCTCGCGCCCGGGTGTTGCCCACTGGCGTTGCAGATCGAAGAAGGGCTGAAAAAGCGATGGACAAGAATCACACCAGCCAACCCACTCAGCTGCTGCCTCGCCTAACGGGCGGTCGGGCTAGTTCGAAGAGGCCGCAGGACCACGACCGAATATCGTGCGCACTTTGCCTCTCTAACGTTAGCTGCCGAGAACGAGAGCCCCAGGGCCACCCCGACAACAGTTGGTTGTGGAGACGAAGTTGACCGAGCCTGTGGCTATCAGCCAGCACCACGTCGTCAAGCGGACGGCTTGCTGCGTAATGAAATGAGCGAAATGTAAGTTTTCGACGCAGTCTCTCTGTGGTGTAGCCGCCACACCTAGGGAGATCCCCGGGATTCGAGAAGTTGGGTTTCAGAGTGGCTGGCGGTTGGGGCGCTAGAGAGCCGTGACGGATACTGCCGTTGATAGGCCACGGCGTGTTGAGAGAAGGTCTTTGTACTCCCTCTCAATTACCGCGTGCTGCAGTTCTGTGGTTTCACGACAAGTGCCGTTTCGTGGCGGGCCAAACTTGTCGAGCGCGGTGGGTTGATGCAAGACTGTCGAGAGAACGAGCGGGCAGACAACCTAGGAGCGAGTGACGAAAACGAGGGAGTGGCCGACAGCCAGATCTTTCGAGACGCTGCCAAGCGGCGTTGCCGTTGGTGCCGGAACAACGGGGACAACGGGGGCTAGATTCGTCGGTGGTTCCGCCGCGACAGCTGGACGAGCATGCAACCCCTGTGCGTCAGGGCGAAATAACACAAAAAAAGAAGAAGAAAACGGAGAGGATATACGCGGAGACATAAAAGTAATACGGATCTCTTCTTTCAATGCGGGCGGAGGTTTGGCAAAGGGCCGGCCGAAGGACAAAACTCTTGTTAGGCTACTCAGGTTGTTTTGCCTCTAGATGGAATTTCTCGCGTGGCACTGCAACGGGCGGGTTTATTCCTGGGGTTCCAGGTTGCGCCCGTTGGCCGTTCAGGTAAATTTACTGACGAATGCCAGGCGCGAGTGTGGCAGGTGTGGAACAGGCTGACGGATTTGAGAGGTGCCCGGAGGGCGGGCAGTTCGGTTGCGAAGGTGGCTCAGAGAGTTACGGGCAGCAAGTACGGATACAACATTCTCAGAAACCTGGAAGGCGGGCACACACAACTGCCCGGACAAGTCTTGCCTTGTTCAGGATCGACGACCTGAACCAAACCAGAAGGAAAACGCTGAAAGCAAGAAACAGGTACAGTTAAACCAGGACGGGAACTCCTAGGGCCTCTCGGCATACGGATGGGCAATTTTCGTCACTTTGCCCATTTTCCGCTCTTTCCATCACCGCACATCCCCAAGTGTTGTGGTCAGTCCATCAAAGGTCAACTTCTCATCGTTGAACTTCCCGAGTGGAAGGGAATCTGGAACAGCACCAGGGCTCCAATCTCGCGGTCGGGAACAATCAAGCCCCTGCGATCCCCCTCCCCTGGTTCTCGCGGACCCACCCTGTGCGCTTTTCGCCGTTCGACCGGGGAGGAAAGACTTTGGCGTCCAGTTCTGGGCAAATTTCAAGGAACAAGGGTGGGGTCTTTCATGACGCAGTCTTCGGCGTGGCTTGGACGTTGAAATCCACATCTGTCTGTCTGGTCCAATGGTGAACCAGAATTGGTGATGCAGGGGATCGAGAAAAGATACACTACGAATTGGAACCGCCTTGCTGGTATCCGTACACTACGGAGGTATCCGTCGTGTAGTGTATTCTGAGTTTATTAGGGGTTTACTGCTCGAAGGTGATGAAGCGCCAGACTGGTCAACGTGAGTTATAAACTATAAAGCATTGATCTTTTAAACCACGCTTCGGCTTGAGCGCGAGACAGTTTGTCTTGATCATTCAACATGACACCACTGCCGGCTATCCATTGGGCTTTCGAAGACGGCAGAGCCTCCGCCCGCGCATTCACACCCCCACCTAAGAATCGACCAGACATCAACTCGTCATCAAGCCTCATACCGCCGAACACGTACCAATTCACCCGCCAGCGTCCAATTTATTTCCAGTGCCGGCCCTCAGCTGCCATCTGCGAGCTCCCCGGATACTTCGGTAGTTATTCCTCGTCGACAATGACCACAAAGGCGTGGAGGGCCTCCGATAACACAGTCAAAACGTGGGGCTGTTGTTGGGTAATTACAAGTACGAATACGCGCAAGTGCATGGAATTGGCAAGGTAAAAATGTGAACAAGTTGTCTCGGGCACCCCTTGGCTTTCTTTCCGTTGCCAAGCAATTCAACATGCACCTCCATCCAGAGCGAGCAAGCCCAAGTCCACTACACTTGTCAATTGGGCAGCAACCTGGCTCCCTTGTTGCGGAAACTGGCAAAGTCCAAAATGCCTTCCGTCTTCAATCCCTTCCTTCAATTGGCATCTTCCACGACACCAAAAAAGGATACAACGATACGCCTTGTTTCCCCGGGCCGTTTCTCCCCCCTTCCTTCCCCCAATGTTACCGAGAAGACGAGGGATAGCGGGGGGGACAGAGCCCAACGCCCCTTGTCCAGCTGGACGATCGCGCATTTGAATGACGGGAAACTGGGCTTGGCACCACGCAACATGCAGCACGTCGCGGGGTGCTCCGAACCGGGAAAGCCTTCAATTGGAGGTGACGCAATGTGGGATGGGAGAACCAGAACGGTGTCCCAGTCAAGACCACTCAACGCACCGCCCCACCTGTACCTGAAAAAAAGTTAATTCCAACAAGGGGATGAACGGGTCAGCGAACTGACGATCGCAAGGGCACCGCGATCGCCAGGCCCACCGCTCAAATGTCAATCCCCAGAAATTGCATGCCTGCTCGGTCGGTAACGCCAGGAACGCCTATCCACTTTTTTTTTCCAACTCGGTTCATGAAGAAGAAAGCATCGGACAATCGAGGTGGGGAAGAGGAACTCCGAGGAGCCAGCGAGCTGAGAAAAGAGGCAGAGATGAGCGTGGATTTTCAGTTTGCCATGATGAATCCCTCGGTCAGTTTCCCGTCAACGTTAATATCAAGGAAATCAATGATGCAACCCTTTTGATGCCTCGCTGCCCACATGAACTCTCAGTGGAATACGACCCACGAGTGTGGTAAGGAGCATCAAGCGCGTCGAACAGTGCCGTAATTTTTTGTCAGACCGCCCTCCTCCCGAGGCTGCCGGTTTTCAGTCTTCCCTGGTTAGCTTAACTTTTCCCATAATCCAGGAAAGCACGTTTACCTCTTCGTTCACATGGTCAAGGTCCTCTCCGACCGAGGTGAACATCCACACTCGTCAAGTTTTGTTGAGGACCCATTTAGCTATTTGCAGTTCATTTACACAAGTTCTTCTGATACAACTCTGTTGGCAGCCGCAGTACTGTAGGATCTCGTAGGCTGCCATCTTTTCGCGGTTCAACCGGGAGTTTTCTCCGCCAAAAGCCAAGTACAATGCATGGGAGAAACTCGATTAACTAAAACACAAGGATCATATCTCGAAACCCCCTCAACCTCTTCCAGAGATTCCAGAGACTTAGACTTTCTCTGCCTCGAGTCTGCCTGGCCTTCTCAGCCTCCCGTCCTTCGTTCGTCGATAGGGCCCCGGAGACAACACCGCTATCAAAAGATCCCCGGGTGTGCCCCACGGCGTCATCCGTGCCTCTTCAGGATTGCATTCTGCGACAGCCAGGGGCAACCCGCTTATTTTTGGCTTTGCAGGCGAAATATCGTTGACCGGAGTTTGCTTCCCGAAACTGCCTTGTTTTCTATACATTTTACATTCAGCCCCCAATTGTCTGTCTCCTTGTCTGCGGCGCCACGAGACGTGCCCGTTCGCTAAGTAGGTCGGAGAGGCACTTGACGCCGAGCAATCCGTCCTGGCTTATCAAAAGATCAGAAGTGCAAGTGACACGACGACCATGCTATGTAGACGGCCGGGCTTCGAGCCGTGCCTACTTGCCAACAGAGAATGCGGTAATATCTCACATGCTTTATCTCAAGCCAACACGAAACCCTCTTCCCCCGTCCCGTGTTCGGTCTACACTACCTTGCATATATCGAAAGACGGCAAGGAACAAATACGAGTTATCTCAAGCAGCCCGGTCATCTACCCGCCCGTCTCGGCTTGTATCAAAATAAAACCCCATAACCGGTTAATATTTACAGGCAGAATTGTCAGAAGAAGAGCCGTTATGGAGCCGTCTTGTTGGCCGTGCCGAGTCCATTTCTTTGGCTAATAAACCGCTACCTTGGGAGGCAATGTGCTCAAGTCTCGAGAAGGAGTCGATTTTAGGAAATCTCATTGTTACATTTATCCCGTTTCCAACCCCGAGAAAACAAACCAATCGCTGAGCCCAACCTAGCCGTCTTCCCTAACGAAAGCGTGACCTTTCGTGGCGAAAGAGACTGTGGAAAACCCCCCCGTCCCATGCCATTGGGTTGTTGCCCCAACGACCGGAATTGTTCCCAAGATATGGTGTTGTTGATGTTTACTCCCAATGGAAGCTCCCGAGGTTCCACCAGCCGGCCCCAGAAAAGAAAAAAACCGATGTCACACCGGAGCAAGATGTTAGTTATCGTCCGTCACACAGAAAGGAACAAAGACACGGGAAGCCAGGTGTGACCTCGCGACGAAAAAGATGCGATATCCCAACTCCGTCGGTGAAGGGAAGTTCGGCAGTTAGTGAAGTTAGCTTCTTGACTCTCCGATGCTTTGGGTTAGAAATGTCGAGGGGACCCTGGTAGCCATCGCTTCGCTTGAACCCGATCCCAACCCCAGCCTGCTTGGAAAGGAAAGTCGGGTGTTGGTTGACCCCCACGCTAACTAACACTTGGGATCGACTTCAAGGCTTCAATCGGTGTGAATCTGCTTTTTCTTTTTTTTCTTCCCTTTTCGCTTTTCATCTTCGGTTACCGGCTCGCCGGGCTAGTGTGTCAGAGCACCAACACACGGGAATGAAAACTCTCACCCCCCAAAGAAACACCATCATTTCCTTTCGCATTATCACCATTGGTGCTCGGCAAAAGCTGACTCTTGACGAGATCTTACTATGTACCCGAGATTGATGTTGCGGAGGAAGAGCAGCCCCTGTGAGCATCGACGTGGGGACGGCTTATCTCGCCGGGAACAAGCAACACAAGCTTATAATTATAATGACCACCCGGAGAACTAGTTTTGTAAAACTTGAGGCGGTGGAACTGAGGCACCGTGACGTCCAACGTTACGTCGGCGATATTCACGAATGCCGTACCCCAATTTTGGTTCCCGCCGTTGTTCAACCTATATCTTCAGCGAAGATGGCTCTCCCCTTGAGCGTCCTGTTGATATCAGAAGCCTCTTGCCAACCTCAACATAAAAAGAGGCTCCCCCAAGGAATCGACTGGCACCCGGCCGTGTAACCCCCCGTGCAAAAGACCTCGCTGGTTTTATTGGACCTAGCCTTGAGGGGCGGCATATTGTAGCGTAAGAGGACTCGCAAGCTGCTTGGTTATCTGTGCTGTGAGGTTCGTGATTATCTATCAAGGGAAGCTTACTGTTCGGTACATCATTGCTGGTTCCTTTCTAACGGCTGTCATATCATAATATCAAACAGCCAGTTTATCGAGGCTGTGTGTGTGACTACTCGCCTAGTTGCTTCAAAGTCGACCTCCACATATCCCCCAGGTTAGTTATACCACAGTTCGCGGGCTACACAGTATATAACCCTACCGAATCCCCCGTTTTGTTACGACACATGACTGGACCACCGTGTCAGGGAACGAGGCACGAGACACACATCTTTCTCCCCCCTCATCTGGGTTCCGGCCCTGAACTAAGCTGGGGGGTGACGGGCCGAGCCACCAACTAGCAGCTAGTTACATAAGTAGTAGTAGATGTGACAGATGGGAAAGGTTGTACATAGTACATACACTAGTGTTACCCAAGGAGGAGTGAACCGATCCGGAATGACGGCTGATGCTAGTACCACAATGTTCTTCACCTCCGGTATTGGGATAGTGCCTGGGAGACATTTATCGAAATAGATCAACGTACTAGAAGCACATGGAAGAGGTCGTGCCATACCAAACACAGTACGCATTCCAAAAGATATGAGATAAACTGCCTCCTCGAAAGTCTGACCCTCCCGGTTTTACCTGCCTGTGACACATGAACATGAAAGCGGCAAGTTTACAATCGTACCTCTCTTGAAGTTCTATTGTCTATGGCTTCTAAATCCCTTAGTCAACTCCTGCCATTCCAAACCAGCAATCCAAATCCTACCGTGAAACGTGCCACGGCCTGCCAGCTACCCGTCATCCTTGTGCTGCCCAGTCTTCCCGTAGCCGCGTCGCCGTATGATGGTCCTATACCAAGGATCTGGGCGTGTTGTCCGCTGGGTTTCCATGCATAAGAAGCTCTGGCCTGAGTCTCTACCATTCTCCGTAGTCCTCCACCGAGGCCGTGAGAAAGGAGATCTGCCATTGTCCCCTAATTATACCCATACCCTCCTTGCCACCCAGTATCCCACGCCCCATGTTCGATCGAGTCTAGCCAAGTGTGAAATCGCCCCGCAAGATCATACAACGCCCCATCAAAAAACCGCCCGTAACCCCCTCCCAACCACCGCCGACCGCACAGCCCAAAACGCCCCCGCAGCACCAAGATACAAAAAGCTCGTGACCAAAATCAGCCCCAAATAATCCCCCCTACTCGTCCTCGACACCTGCTCCATAAGCGGAATCCCCAACACCGCCAAAAACGAAGCCACCGTATAAAACGCACTATAATACCTCCCAAACTCCTGCGTCTTACACAACCTCCCCACCACCACAGGCACCAACCCAATACTCCCGCCACTCACCAACCCAAACAGAACCCCAAACAACATCAGCCCGGGCCTCGTGAACCCCGCGGGCAGCGCCACCAGAAAGCAGGAGACGGCACCTGCGAGACAGCACGCGATATTGACGTTGAACGGCCCGACGCGATCGGCTGCCCAGCCTAGCGCTATGCGGCCGACGACGGAGGACCCGTTGACGACGGCTGCGACGGTGAAGGCGTCGGTTTGGGTGGCGCCTTTGCCGAGGGCGTAGGCGGACATGTGGCTGAGCGGGTAGAAGGAGGCGAGTTGCGCGCAGCAGAGGCCGATGAGGGTGAGGTAGGATCCTCGGGCGCGGAAGATGCGGAACGTGGGGTGGGGGTTGGAAAGGTCGCGTCGCGGTGTTGGGACGGGGGACGAGGAGGAGGAAGGCGGGTGTGGTGATAATGATGATGGGGGGAGGCGGTTTGAGCGGATGAGGAAGTTGGCGGCCACGGCGAGAACGAGGGAGATAATTGCTAGGATGCGCACCGCCCACAGCCAGCCGAGGTGGAGGTAGATGGCGTGCTGGATGAAGGGGAAGACGACGGCGCTTGCGGAGGACGCGGTGGCCGCGATGCCCATGGGCAGGCCGCGGTTGGCTGTGAAGACGTAGGCGACGGAGGCGATTGCTGGTGTGGAGAGAAGGGTGCTGGTGAGGCTGCCCAAGATGCCGAGCGCGGTGAGGATGCCGATAGGACCCATGCTGAGGCTGGCGAGAAGCAGGCCGATGATGAGGCAGACTGTGCCGCTGCCGAGGAGCCAGCGTGGGCCGTACAGGTCGAACAGAGGGCCGACGTAGAGCCCCAGCAGCAAGCTGGTGACCGCATAGGCGAATATGACGCCCCCAATCGCGCCGGACGTTGGATTGGTGGTTTGGGTGTGGACGAGGTATGTTCTGAAGGTGCCCAGACTATTGACGAACCCGAGCGACGTGAACAGCGCTAGCCAACAGCCGAGCACCACCAGCCACGGACGCAGTCCGCCGTCAAGACATCTCTCGTTGGGTCCGCTGGTTCCTGAGTCTGCTTTGCCGAGAAGCGCGTTGATGCTTTCCGAGGGTGTTGGCGCTGTGGAGTGTGAGGAGGTCGATGTCTCGTCCAAACTGTCGGTGTCTCCAACGGCGCCGAGCCGGGACGTGCCGACTACGAACGGCGATTTCTTGGCGATGTCCTGCAGCTTTACCCCTGAAGATTGGCCGGCGTGGATTGACATATCCATGGCTATTTTTTCTTTTCTGGTGTTTGATAACCTCTGCTAGCGGAATTGAGGACGCGCCCGGTTGCGACGAGCGAGAATACTGCCTGACGAGACGGAAAAGGCTCCAGGGACGCGCCGGACGGCGTCGCAAAATACTTCCAAAAGGCGACTAGGTCTAGGCAGAAAGACAGGGAAAATTTCAGACGGTTATGAACGGCCTCCCCAATCGCGTCGTCAGCGACATGTCCTTAAGCTGATGCAGCCGCCATTGACAACTTGCCAACAAAGGGCTCACCGGAGTAGGTCGGCGGGTTGTTGGTTAAGAAAAGGACAGGGCCTAGACCCCCACGAGCACGAGCGAGTTGGCCCGACTTTTATTAACCCTGCCTGCGGAGGTAACCGGCCATCTCAAAGCCCCCCTGCTTTAGGGAGGTCGGTAGGCGCTGAGCTGAGAGAGGCGCCGCGGAAGCACCTCACGGCCACTATCCATCGCATCATTCGAGCGGCTAGAGATAACGACTTCAAAGAACACCAATGTTTCATTGTTCAGATATTTTGTTCAACTCTCCGCACATCTGCACCCCTGGTACCACAGTGTGTCGGTTTCAGGGGTTTCATTGTCTCTACCTTCACGAGACCCGCTTTGGCGGTGGAGTACTCTGTACCTGGAACCTGAATTGTCAATTCCAGCATCTCTCAACGGACGAAACAAGCCGGATTGGAACGGCTCATGTCGTACGGCGGTCAAAAATTGTCAATGAAGACGATGCAAGGGCCTTGTGAGACAAAAGAGGTTGCAGAGCGGTGATGATGTGTTCCCTGAGACTCGTCAGCCCTCAACTGCCGTGTCCGTTTGCGCGCACTGACGGCCATTCAAGACATTTCGCGTCAGCTCGCTCGCTCAGCCCCTTATGGGCTGTGCAATGGATAAAAACATCGTCGTAACGGCATATTTAGGGTAACCGGGGAAAGGGCGTGATAGAATACCCCGGTTTTGCGAGCGGTGTATTTCCGGGGTGCGCGATACACATCTAGCTCAGTTTTCTTCGTCCTCGACTTCTTCCATCGTCACTCCACGACGACCCGAGTCTAGTTGGTTCGGCTGCGGCTGCTCGGGCAACTGCCCAGTTGCTTCAGAAGCACGCATATAACCTTCGCTCTCTAGCTGGTCAGCCTCCTCCGGCTCCAAGAGCCCACCTTGGCCCTTCCCCTTCTCGATTTTCACCCTGACCGCTGCAGGCATGAAAGCGCTGACAGCCTCCTTCCGAAGGTCCCTGACAACCGGCTTGGCCTCGTACACTGTCTTAGCTTCAACGATGGGCGCAGCGGGATTTCTAACTTCCTCCCGTTCCTGATGTTGTTGAGTCTCAGGCGGTGCCCGTCCGGCGTTTCTCTTTGCCCGTCGCTTCGCGTACCATTCGTCTAGTATTTCCTTTGGAATTGGAGGCGGGGTGTCTCGTGGCATAGGGATCCTCTTGACATCGTCGGGGACATCGCTATCGCTGCTCGAGGCGTCTTCGGCATCCCGTCTCCTTTTTCCTAGCACACCGTCACCCCCGGGCCCTTGTCTTTGTGGCCCGCGCCCAAACTGCGGTGCTTGATCCCCGAGTGCTTCTCTCGCTTTCTTCACCGCCTTCAAGTCCTTCTCTAGAGCTTCGAGTGCTTGCTCCTCGTGCGCACCGAGTTTGCCTCCGTTTTCCTTTCGTTCTCTGAGATCGTCGATCTGCTGTTGTATCCTGGCCGGGTTGCGCTGAGCTAGCTTCTCGTTTCTTCGTGCCTGTTGCTCCGACTTCCCTACGCGCGCCAGGGGTCAGCGAGAGGAACGGAATATTTGAGAGAATACCAGGTGGCAAGGGGAAGTAAGTACCTTTCTTGATTGCTTTGGCCTTCTCAGCTTTGCGCTGGGCCTGGACAGGGTTGAACCCGCGCTCCTTCACCATGGTAGGCAACCTTTTGACTTCTCGATGGGCTCACTGGAGATTAAAAGGAAACGAGGCCGATTATGGATGTTCTCTTCGCAGAACGTTGAATTAAGATGGACGTGGACGAGTTTGGCACTTGGCACAACGCCGAGCGGCACTGAGTGGAAAGAAAGTCTCCCGTCACCGAAATTCGAAAGCCGTCAAGCAACGCGCTGTCAGCTGTTCCGCTCAGCGCCAAGGCAGGGAGAACGGGGCCTGAGCTGCAGTCAGGTGGCACTGTGCCGGTCAAGGAGGTTCCACCACGGCGCGCGACAGCTTCGTTCCATGCAGGCTGGCTGTCCGCGTTTCAAACAGGGCGACGCTCCACAATTCAGCTGGGTTGCTCTTCCAACCTTGCATGTTGACGTCTTGGTACCCCGCCCCCGCTCCCTGCCCAATCAATCTGCCTCCAGTGTCACTGAATTGGGCAAGAGCACTGGCGCGGCGTGACTTTGGGCGCCATAATTTAAGCTCCTCTCCATTGTTTGGCGCGGCATCTCGTCTGCAGGTGATTCGAGACCTTTTGACATCATCCGTCTGCATTTTATCGCGTCGCTGCCCGCGGCAATCCCAATCCCTTCCCGGTATTGTTACGGCCAGCCGCTTGAGGCGCAAACAAGTAGGATCGTGAGTGACGAATTCACCAAATTCTCGATTCTTTCTTTTTCCCCCACCATTCATTGTCGCGGATCGCCCGCGCGCCATGGCCAGCTTCATGGCCAATCTATTCCCCGGTGGGAATCTGGACAAGACCGATGCGCGCCCCGCCACGCCGACTCGAAACAACAACTTCATCACCCCCGTCAGCACACCACAAGGCAGCCCCAGCAAGAGAACGGTACCCCCCGGCGCCAATGAGCTCCCTGTTGCCCTGCAGGGCATGAAGATCAACCCGCCGCCCAGCGCATTCGACACTCCCGTCAAGCTCAGCCGACCACAGAGCGTTGCGGCACCGCTTTCGCCAGGCAAGAATAACCTGCAGAACCCGGAGGAGGGCTCTTCATCAACAGTCGACGATAGCATACTTCGCAAGGGCGCTCCCCGGTCCGGCAGCCCGGTAAGGAATCAGAACCAGAACCAGAACCACGGCCAAGAAAACACCCCGCCGGTGCTCCCTCGCGACCCATTCACCGAGCCGACATACCAGCCCAGCCATGCCGCCGTGTCGCGCCAGGAACTGTACCAGCAGAGGGACCGGCCGCCGCCGACGGTACGCCGGTTCAACACAACCCGCGGCCTAACAGCGGAGGAGCGAGAGCTCTTAAAAAAGCCGGGCGTGAAGCGGCTGGTCAATGTCACCCAGCTCTGTAAGTCAAGACGGCGTCCGGCCAAGTCTATTCCTTCGCAATGGTGATACTAACCCGCGCAGATTTTCTCGACTACTACTTCGACCTCTTGACCTACGTCGGCTCACGACAGGGCCGGCTAAACGCATTCCGGGAAGAATACCCCGTGCCGCCGGAGACGGACGAAGAGACGTACAATCAGATGTGGTCCAAGTACACCGGCCGCGAACGCGCCAATCTCCGCAAGAGGCGGGTGAGGTTGCGCCACGCGGACTTCCAGATCCTGACCCAGGTCGGTCAGGGCGGATACGGCCAGGTCTTCCTGGCCCAGAAGAAGGATACAAAAGAAGTGTGCGCCCTCAAGGTCATGAGCAAGAAGCTGCTCTTCAAGCTCGATGAGGTTCGCCACGTATTGACAGAGCGTGACATTCTGACCACCGCCAAGAGTGATTGGCTGGTCCGCCTACTCTACTCCTTCCAAGACGACAAGAATATTTATCTTGCCATGGAATACGTGCCAGGCGGCGATTTCCGCACCCTTCTCAACAACACCGGCGTGCTCTCCAACCGGCATGCGCGCTTCTACATTGCCGAGATGTTCTGCTCTGTCGACGCACTCCATCAACTAGGCTACATTCACCGTGATCTCAAGCCGGAGAATTTCTTGGTCGATTCGACGGGCCACGTCAAACTGACCGACTTTGGCCTAGCAGCCGGGTTCTTAGCGCCTGCTAAGATTGAGTCTATGAGGATCCGCTTGGAAAAGGCGTCCGAGACCTCAGTCCCCTTCGGCAAGCCGATGGAACAGCGCACGGTGGCGGAGCGCCGAGAGGGATACCGCACCATGCGCGAGAAGGATGTCAACTACGCCAAGTCGATTGTGGGCTCGCCGGATTACATGGCGCCGGAAGTTCTGCGGGGTGAGCAGTACGACTTTACGGTCGACTACTGGAGCTTGGGGTGCATGCTTTTTGAGGCCCTGACGGGTTTCCCTCCTTTCGCGGGCGCGACGGCCGACGAGACGTGGCGCAACTTGAACCACTGGCGAGACGTGCTGAAGCGACCAGTGTGGGAGGATCCGAATTACTTCTTGAGCAACCGGACTTGGGGCTTCCTTACCACGTAAGTTACTACGGTCTCTCCGGCGATGAAATGAGCAAGCAAACTAACAGTGAGGGTATAGTTGTATCAACTCACGGTCTAGGAGGTTTTCCAATATTAAGGACATTTTCGCCCACCAATACTTCGCCGAGGTAGACTGGGAGGTACTCCGCGACACCAAGCCGCCCTTTGTGCCCGAGCTGGACTCCGAGACGGACGCGGGCTACTTTGACGATTTTAGCAACGAGGCCGACATGGCCAAGTACAAGGAAGTGCACGAGAAGCAGCAGGCGCTGGAGACGATGGCGGAGCGTGATGACGAGATGAGCAAGAGCCTGTTTGTCGGCTTCACTTTCCGCCACCGCAAGCCGACTACCGACGAGGGCACCCCGCGCAAGCCAATTCCGTTTGAGGATAACGCTTTTGGTACCATGCTGTAGTGTCAGCCGCGGGGGCCTAGGTGGGCGGAACACCCGCGATATGGAGAGCCGCATGCTCCAAGGTGGGTGCCGGAGTTTGGGTTGTTATGAGATTTGAACAAGAGAGGAGTTGGGGGAACGGGGTGATATCTTGACGGCATAGCGGGAAGTTGGGGTTGATTGGGACATGGTACGGGTGAAGGGCTTGTTGTTTTCCTTTCTTTCTTCTTCCCCTTTTTCTCTTTCTCGGGGGCCTTTCCCGCTACCCGACGCACCTTCATCAAGGTGATTGTTCTGTGTTTTTCTTATCCCGCCATTGTATGTATGGCTGCGTCGGCAGTCAGGAGTTGCGTGTTAGGTGGGGATTGACAGGAATGGGCATGTGACATGGGAAATGGATAGAGTGGCCGCCCGCCCGCTGGGATACGGGTGGGAAGGCTAGGCTAGGTGGGGAGGCTGTGCCGATATGTCGGCGTGTTTTGTTTATAGTATAAAGTGTCGGGTGAGGGAGTTGGGTTGAGTGTAGTGAGTGTAGTGGGTGTAGAACAGCTGTACCACGTACGATATTACCACATTGTATTGCATGCCAGGCATCCTAGCCAGCTCACCCAACCCGAATGTGACGGACCGACTCTGTCTGCCCCGACGCGTCATTTTGGTGATACGGGGTACGGGGTAGGGGGGGTGTTTACCCCACAAAGCTACAAAGTTATGGGCTTGGGGGGATGTTGTACGGGGAGAGGTGAGTTGGGGGGGATACATTACACAGACGGGTTGTGGTTGGGGTTTGTGGTACATACATGCCACGAATTATGGACTCCTGTTGAGTAGACCATAGGCAGCCAACTGTAGGTTTCCGTAGATGATATCTCGTTTCTTGATAGCAAGACCGAGGACCCGTTACCCTTGACATCATCTGTCGTTCCCCGAATTTCTATCAACGTGGCCCCTTTTTTACACGTTAGACTTGACTGGGTCATCGAATTGACCCGTCTTCAAACTGGCACTGGCTCAAACTGACTGACACGCAAGCTGTGGTAAGCTATACCAACAACCACCCCCGGCGGAGTCAAGTTGAGACTTACTTGTTTGAGTTTGGGGAATACAAAAAGCACAAAGCCTTTACAGGACAGCACAGCACAGGACAAGGCCTCAGGTTCAAGTGTGTGAGAGGATACGGTTGGTGCATCGGACATTCCCCACGTTGGTGAGTCCGGTGGTGGGATGCATTTCTGGGAAGGGGATAACATGGGCGGGTGGATGGTCATGTTTCTGGGTTTCTGGTTCCCGGATTCTGGGTCGGTATGAGAGAAGCTCACTTGGTGGTTTTTTTTGTGAATGATGTAAGGGTTGTTTATACCATGAGTTGGGATTGACGTCGCGAGGTGGAATATCACGTTGATCCAACTCCGCAGTAGGAATATTGGTGGCAAGCGAGAGGATTTACGTTGTATGGATCGCATATATTAGACTAATAGAGTAGATAGTTCCTCTTATCGACATTCCTATCTTCGTATTCATCCGTCTGCTACGTTGGCCCATTTCCCCGAGCCTCCTCACCAGCAGCGGCATCTTGGCATAGCCGACAGCGCGCTGCGGTGCTACCGTTGTCCCCGGCACACATGGTTTCCAAACCGCCGGTCAGAGCGATACAGCAGTTGGCATGACGACAGGCCGCGCGGCAAATACCTATGTGGCGCCGAGTGCTTTGGTCCCGAGGTCTCGGGATTGATATTTTGTTCACTTACTCACGCTCAGCCCGGCGGTGATGTTGCGTAAAGGAGGGGGGGGCTAGGCGACTTCTCAGCTGCTGGAAATGTACGGGAGAGGGTGTCGTTTGCCTATTTATAACAGGCTTTCATGGCTGACTGACTAGATGTCCCTCGAGTCTCAGCATCACGACCTGGTTTCCTCGTGTGGATCATTGTACAAGCATAAGATCACGCGAGTTTCTTCTTCCTTCTTTTCAGATCCGTCCAGCCACCGTGGTGTCTTCGACAGACATCTTCACTATGAAGAGCTTCCTTGCAGCCACGCTCTTTTCCCAAGCGGCATTGGCCTTTGCCCCGTGGTGGGATGGTGCCCCAGACTGTGCAGTTCGTCCCCCACATACCAACCCAACTGTCTACATATTTGGCAAAAGCCTACCCATTTGCTGACATGCATCACTCTGTCACTAGCAAGACTGCTTCTCCTCATGGTGGTCATCCTCCACCGCCTGGCCAACCCCAACCGCCTACTGTTCCGCCAGTCAGGGCGCCTCCGTGTCCTCTTGTCTCGCGGCAGCCTGCTCAGCCACGCCCACGGCTGTGACCTCATATAGCTCGCTATCCTCCTCCCTATGCGCTCAGTGGTCGTCTTGTAGCGCTGCGGGATCGACTGGCGTGTACACTATCTCCGCACCTGGTACGTCTCTTCTTTACTCCCTCCATACAAAGCACTGCTATAAACAGAAAAGCTGATCTAATAACCCCCAGAAATCACCGCCGCAACCGGTACCTGGCCCAACCGTCCCGGTCATTGGCGCGGCGACCCCAACGACCCCAACAACGACGACAACAACTGGAACTGGGACGAAAAGCACACCTCCCGCTACGCCCAATGGACCCGCACTTGGTCCGGCGGCGCTTACACCGTCACCGGCTGCGAATTCGACAACAGCCCCTGGGCCGGCGGACCGTGGGGTTTCGGCCCCGGCCACGGCGGCCCCGGTCTCGACTCCCCCTCTCGCGGACCCTGGGCGCCCTGGGGGAAGGGGTGGACTTGGCATACTGTTACGAGGACTGTTACTAAAGTGGTAACTATTTCTGATGCTACTGCTACCGCGAGTCCGACGGGAACAGGGACAAGCAGCTGGACGGGGACAGACTCGATCGAGCCGGGGGTGGTGTTGTCGACGAGTGTGGGGGTGGAGGTGTTGGCTTTGGCGGAGAGTGATGGGATTACTAGTACTAGTGTTGTGGCGTCGGGAGCTCAGGCCACGGAGACGACGGGGACAGGGACGGGGGGTGCGGCCGCCGCTACTGGTACTGGTACTGCTACGGGTACGGGGACGTCGGGTGGGACTGGGATGAAGGAGGGGCTTGGGGTGAAGATTTGTGGTGCTGTTTTGGGGGGGTTGGTGGTGGGTGTTGTTGTGTTTCTTTGAGTTTATGGGGTGGTGTGGTGTAGTTCTGGGTTGGGTTGTGGGTGGTGGGCTATGTTGTGTTGTCTACTCGATTCAGGGGTAACCAGCCGGTCGATGTTCTGTGGCTTTGGATCTCACGAGAACGGGTGTGTTTCATGAGTATGATTATACAATTTATACGATCCAGCTTCAGTCAAAACTTATCATAATTTTCTCTTGTTTCAGTCTCAGAAAAGACGGAAAGATAAATCACCGCAGGAAGGGGTAGACTACCCCGAGAAACAATGCATGCCACAGTTACACAAGAGGGATGAACACTGACCCCAAGCGGAGACAGCTTGAACCAATAACCATATTGCGTGAAATTTCCCTCCCGCAGATGGCATAAGTGTACATCCGAGGAATTAGGGGGACGGGACTCGAGGAAATTATCCTGGAGGCCAACTATTCAATCCCAATCGAGCGAGATACTTCCTGCACTCACCCACTACGAGGAATGGCGCAGCCGAACTCTGAAGGCTCACTCGGGTGTGACAACGCCACGTTTATTCAGAGATTTGGAGTTCCAAGTTCATGGTCACACCGTAGGCTGCGCAAACTATTAGTTTTTGGGGGCCATATAAAAGCCCGACGTGAGATCCGTGTCAGGGCTTGCAGCCGTTTCGTGAAAGGCTATGTCATCTCCTGCGCTTTAACGGATCGGGCCACCTCACAGGTACCCTTTTTCAAATCGAGATACGTAATGCAAAATGTATGACATTCAGCCACCACAGCGTCGCGGGGTTCAAAGACGAGGCTGTATCCTCAAAACAGGGCTGCTCTTGGTTGCTGTCTTGTACAGTATCGACACGAAGTCCGGAGATGTAATGCGCTCACCCGTGTCAGAGATTGCGAATCTGGGCCTCCCCAGGATTATCACGCCCTGAATTGGGCGGCAATGATAACCGCTGCTGCGGCATGGTGATAAGGGGACAAGGCAGAGGGAGGAATAAGACCTTGGCTTCGGGGTATATAAGAGCTCCTTACCCCAGCGCGGTCGCTGTGTTTTTGCCCTCGGGGTTACCGGAGCGCCGCGGTGCGCTGGTCGTTTTTCATGGCGCTTGAGTCCGTTACTACTACGAATCTCTCCCTTTCTGTGTTTTTCAACAAACATTGCCTCTTCGTTCTCGACCTCCATCTCCGACGATATGTTACGGCTCAACCCCCCAGGTCTAGGTCAGGGTCCAGACCAGGGTTAGGGTTACTCCAACCCGGCCCGGGAGAATTGACCTGTCATCAACCGGAACACGGTGAGTCGAGGAATCACCAATTAACCCCCACGCACGTCCCATGAACCGGTATCAACCCCAACCCCCACTGGGCGGCTTCTGTGAACCGCCCCCGTTGGACATTGGACATGGGTTCGATTCGGGAATCAGCCTCCGGCAAGTTCTTTTTGCTGGATGGAACCAGCCGCAGAAGGAGTCCGGACCGGGAAGCACGGTGGTGGTCGTGGTCGCTCGACAGACCGGGGAAAACGAAGGCGCGCCACGGATTGTTTTTCTTCGAGGATGCCGTCCCCCATCCCAAAAGCAGGCCCCCGGGACGAACGGAAAATCGATGGACGGGGGCAACATTTGGAAAAAAGAAGAGGGGGGCATGTGTGCCTTCAAGACACGAAATGTTTCCCTTCAGCTGAGCTCGAGAAGTCTTGGTAAGTCCGTCGTTTTCCTCTTGTGGTTGAGAACACCACTCCCAGCAAGGCGGATCGGTCCACGTCGTCCCAGCCCAGCCGCTCTCCGTTCAAAAGCTTTCTTATCGGCGGGTCAAGCACCGAGGTGAGTGGATGCGGGCATTGGGCCCGGAGCGGTGGGGAACGACCAACCACTGAAAATGGAATGATGGACTCTCAACAAGGGAAAACCCCGTCGCACCAAAAAGCCCGTTATCACCAACGGCCCTGATAAAGGTGTGTGGTTCCAGTCCAGGCCATCTCGTCTCGTTCGGAGCGGAAACCAACAGCCTACAGCCTACACAGTAGAGCGAAATCGGATGCCCACCGCAGGCGCCCCGAACGTTCCCGTCGGCTTGTACTGTACTGTACCTATTCGACGACTCGAGGCCCGGTTTGCGGGCCGATTCCGGGACGGGGCAAGATTTGAAAGGATCGCTGTGTGGAGAGTTCGTTCAACCGCATCCATCAGCGATTCAGCGTTGTCGGGAGCGGGCCACCCGCAAGGCTGCAAGTTTGCAAGGGAAGCAAGTGTCTTGTCCCGGTTCCTGCCGACACGCCGCGGTTTCATGGCGGTGCTGTGAATGCGAGCGGCCCTGGTGAGGAGGAACGGTTTGGGAGCCGCCCGAGTTGAGCTTTCCGATGGGGCCAGCCTGCTCCCCCCCACCTGGAAATTTTGAATTTAGCCTTTTGCTCGCTCTGGGAGATCGTCCTCCCGAGCGGTCTGTAGTCCCTGCATGTAGCACTGTGGTTAGGGTTATCGCAGATTCCTCTATCTACCCTTTGTCCCTCTCCTTTCGAGGTTGTAGAATGTGATGTTGAGCGGCCTCGTTTTGGTTTTCGTGTCATTCAGCGACTTCCAGATGGGAACAAGGCCGTTGCTGGAGACGACTCCCCTGCCCGTATCTCGTGGTTGGAGGGTTCGAAAGTGGGTTTCCCATGTACAAGTGGGTCGGGCATATGCGCTAAGATCTCACTAATTTAAGACCCTGACTTGGGCGAAACGCGAACATGTGCTCCAACTTCTGCGTGTTCCATCCGTGGACGGAAATATCAGTGACATGTTCTGTCCGAACATACTTTCATGTCTCTGAATTTTTTGATCCCGCTTGATTGAACAAGACAAGTTTCCGAGCAGGCTCTTCTGTGTCTCAACCATTCCATCGTGGCTCGGAAATCCAAGGTTAAAAGCGGCAGAGCAACGCTGAGGAGACTCGACGAGGTCATGAAGAACACTTCCAAGCTTGATTGTCAAAGTGGGGGTCCAGCGCCATGCAGGCGCTTTTGGAGACCCTTGGCTCGATGTACTGGGTACTTGTATCTTCTGCTGCTTCTTGAAGCCGCCGGGATGTGTGGGATGTGGGAAGGTCTTGGCGTGGTGGGGCCTGTCCCCGCGCGCGCGTGTCCTTCCTATGGAATGCCGGCTTGTCTCGAGCTTGTCCAGTTCTCTGCGCAGATGTCTGTTTTCGGAAAGTCAAGACTGCCATTGTTGTTGTGGAAGGGAGCTAACCGTAGACACGGAGGCGCTTGGATGGGGATGAGGGAAAAACATGTCGAGCGAGAAGTGGTGACATGGTCGACAGTTTGGGGGACTAGTGTTGCGTTGAGGAGGAGAGGCCGAACGGCAAGGCTTCCAAATTCCTAAAATATACCTTCGTAGTGTGGGCACTCCTGGAGGATACGCTACCTCCCGCTGCCACCCTTATCTCTCTCCCTCTTCTTTGGAAGAAGCCACAACGCGGGACGTGGCCGGGTAGCGTACCAGCCGTCGGAGCAGACCAGGTAGACGTAGGGAATCATTCGACTGACTTTCAAGGGTTCTCAGTCCCATCCCGTGTTGACTCTCTGACGGTGAGGTTGGGGGTGCAGCCGCTGGGAGCCGCCATCCCGCGTCGACGTTGAGGGGGGATTCTTCAAGCCGAACTCAGTCCCGCTTGTCCCCTGATCCAGTCCCGCCCGCCAGCAACACGACCAGGGCATCCATCAGCAGGCGGCCCCGCGAGCCCCCAGGTGGGAGATCTCTCACGTGTAGGCGGACCAACGCCGACGGGAACCGGCCCGTCGTGAGTAGCTACCTGGCTACCCATCCTCGCTCGCGGTGTCCCACGCAACGATACTTGACAACCACCGTCCGGCGGTTCGTGCAGTTTCTTGTTCCACTGCATCGTCATACTCTGTTTGGTCGAAGAGGGCCGGCGGTCACCCCACCCCCAAGGAGACCGCCGCCGGCGTGGGCTCGTGGCTCGCGTGGTGTGCATCCTCAAAGTCTCGGCCAATGTGTGGGGTGCATGTTGCTCCTTTGTGAAAGCTATGACGACCTCCTGTGGAAAGTGGCCGTCCGGCATCACCCCTCGCTGGGCCAACCATCTTCCCCCACTCCATTCTTGCCTTTCTTGGGGACGTGGGTGCCGCCCGGAGGACATCGCGGTTGGTTTAAGGAAACAATATGGAAGGAAGCGGGTCCGGCGTTAGGTGGGGCAAGTACCGGCGACTTTCGCCTGTCGTCGACCCCCCTCCCAACCTCAAGATCGCCGCCACGGGCAGGGTGTTGAGCACCTTGGGTCTGAGCCAGGCCCTCGAGGATGGATGATTTCCCGGGCCGAATCAGCCTTTTTGTGATGTGCTTCAATCATCAGATGAAGCTCCGACGGCGCACTCGCCACGACCGGGTGGCCCGTGAAATTGGAGGTGGTGAAGTCAAACACAACTCCCCGTGTTTTCTTTTACACAGTTCAGTCCAGCGGTCGTCGACGGCCGTTGACGGCGTTTGGAGAAGAGCCTCGGTGTGTGGCGGGGCGATTGAACGATGGGGCGACGGAGTGGAATTATAGCGGGCCCTGGGAGGCGAACCCGATTTGGACCCCTTGTCCTGGTTTGATGCAGCGCTGCAGCGGCGACGACGACGTGGGCCTTGCAACAACCTGAGCTTTGCTGTGAAAGTGAACCAACGGGAGGCTTTTGGTGTTGCCTTTCCTCTACGACGAGTTAATGTGCATGTCAGCCTCGGCGCAGGTTCGACATATTTTGTTTTCGAGAATAACATCAGAGTCCTGTGGGATTTAAGCTCTTTCAACTCGGTTTTTGGACACTCGTGGACTCGCACACTCGCTCTCGAAGCTTCCCGTTCGCACCTTTCCCGCTTCCATCCTACCCTTTTAGGGCTTCCTTCGGGGGCTTTGAGGGGTTGTGTTCCATTCCGTGTCAGCGGCGGCGCCGGAGCAGGGGCCACATCTCTCTTGGTTTCTGTTCTGAGCAAGCCTACTGTGAGCAAGCGGAGCCTGTACCTGGATTATTACCCAGAAGGTAATCAACCTGCCGGCCGGCCCTTCTTTATTACCATCTTTTAACCCATCGAGAAACGTAAAAGCGAAAATAAAGGTTTCGCTTTGCATTACCTACACCCGCAGGTAGACATCCCCGTGCTCAATTCCCAACGCCTTTCCCCTCGTCGTCCCAGTACGAAGTAGAGGCCCGGGTCAGAGTCCGTCCTCCGTCCGTCGTCCTTTCCCCGCGCGAGACAACGCACTGTGCGGTCTGGCGGACGCTCCTCCCACAAACAAGACCGCAAAGCTGTTGCTACTTTCGGATCCGGTGGGTGGTGCCCGCACACAGCACCCACCCACTTTCACTGCACTGAGGTGTGCTGCGTCCTGTCCGGGCCCTCGAAAGCAGCAAGAACCTGGGACACTGCACCGCAGGGGCGGCCTGTGCTGTGCCGGGCGTGGGGAAGCCCAGAACCGAGGGTCAACGCTTCTTCTGCGCCAGCCCACCGTGGTGATCCTCCCTACCATCTTATCGTCCCCGTCCAGGCTTTCTTCTTTTTTTCCTTTTTTTCCTTTCCCAATCGAGGGTTTCTCCCATTGCAACAGCAATGGCAGGAACCACGACAGACCCCTTCGCGGCCTCGAGTCCGTTGGTCCCGATGCACCATCCCACCATGACGCAGCACGACTATCGTTTTCCGCGAAGGCCAGACGACGCCGGACCCCGGAAATCCGACCTGCACGGAGCTTACACGCCCGCACCCGCTCGGTCGACAATGACCTCCACGCCGATGGCAGCACCACCCAGGATATCGACGACGGCCGCATCAGCCACGATGATGGCAGCAGCGCCCGGTACCTCGCGCTCGGGTGCCTCTGGTGCCTCTCGGTCTGGCGCTGGTTTGCATGACGCCCGCCTAGACCAGCCCCTGACTCACGGGGGTGTCCACCAAAACTTGTTGCGCACCGCCGCCTTCCCAGCGTTTCAGCAAAGCGCAGCCCGTGAGGCCCAGAACCTCGATGACATGCAAAGGCAGGACCCGTTGGCCACCCAGGTGTGGAAGTTCTACGCTCGCACGAAGCAGTTTCTCCCCGCGCAAGAGCGCATGGAGAACCTGACGTGGCGGATGATGCATGTCAAGTTGCAAAGTGCAAGGGCAGCAGCGAACGCACTCAAGTACGTTCTCTTCCCCTCGTCTTTCAGTGGCGATTTCTTCCTGTGCGGATTGTGTGTCGTTCGTTCCTCGTCGTTCGTTCCTCGTTCTCTAGGAAATGGTGAAAAAATATAAATTGAGTAGGAGGGATTGGTTAATGTTGGAAGGAGTCGCTAACCTTGCCCGCCCACGAAGAACTACCCGAGCTCTGGGCACGCCTGCGAATGTTCCCAGCGGGATTGCGCAATTGCGCCAGTCGTCAGATCATGCCCCGCCATCGTCGGACCCAATGAATCTGGACGACTTCATCCACAACGACAATGTCGGCACACCGGCCGGCCTTGCCCTGACCCCGACTCCGGAAACCATGCGCCAGGCCGAGGAGCGGTCGGTCCACTCCACCGCCGCCGCCATCCCCATCAAGACCCGGAAGGACCCGGCGCCGTCGTCTTCCCAGCAGCTGGCGCCTCAGTCCGTACCCGTTGCTGCACACCAGAGGGTCCAGGACGAGTTCGGCTCTCTCCCGCGTCACCCACGCAAGACGAGCATCGACGAGACCGGCCTGCGGGTAAGTTTGCGCTGTAATTATTGTGCTCCAAGTGATTGGTGGAGTTTCCCTCGTTCAATCCATTTGCGCTTTGCGTTTTTCTTTGACGATGTATTCTCTGCTCTTGCGAAGTTCCGACTAGCCCTGTGATGGCGAGCTAATGTGCCTGTGTTCAACCCTGATAGACCCGAAAGCGCCCAGCCAATTTCTCACCCCACGTCCCTGCTGTGAACAGCGGACTTGCAGCAAATGGACTTGATGCCGATACGGAACTTCAGGAGTACTCGCTTGACCACTTACACCCGCCCAATGGCCTGCCGCAAGCGCCCAATCAAATGGGAGTCCCCTTCCCGCTCGATACCTTCCGCTTGGGGAACGATCTGGGTCTCAGTTCTGCCGACACCTTCCAGCAGCAGAACTTCTCCTTCTCCCCGGCCACATCGCCCATGGTCCCTAACGATCCGTTCACCAATCTCTACAACCGTCCTTCGGCGCCCTCGGGCTCCCTCGGCGGCGCCGACTTCTATTCGCCCCCGGGATCTGCTTACCAGTCTGCGGTCTCTACCCCCCATCCCCTGACGACCGAAGGGGAGGGCGGCTTCTTCTTTGGATCCATGGGCCCGGTTGGCCAACAACCGTACCGCCCTGTTCACCCGGCCTTCAGCAATCAAATGGCTCAGCAATATCCGTTTGCTCCCAATGGCAACCTAATGTTTCCCGCCGCCTCTACCGGCCCCGATGTTTCGGGCTTTACCGCGCCCATGTCATTTGGTCACGTTGACCCAGCGCGGGTGTTCCAGCAGCCGGAGATACCAGCCCGCTCTCCTGCTGTCGGCTTAGCACAGGAAAACCTATTTTCCTTTGGCGGCGATTCGGATGATGAGGAAGGGGGTGCGTTCGCCGACCGCAACATCCCGGTCCCCCAGAGCCTCTCTCCGCAAGGCTTGGAGGACAATGGGTTTGACGGCTCCTCGCTGCAGTGGGACCCATCTCTTCCCGGCAACTTCAGCATGCAGGCGGCCAGGTATCCGGCCGGGCCCACCCGGAAACAAGTGACAATAGGCGGCACAACGACCGATTATGTCGATCAGAATGGCGAGTGGGAGGGATCGGGCCTGAACAGGTCGCAATCCCAATCTTTCCGGGGCTCGAACGGGCGCAATGGTAAACTTCCCCGAACAGCATCCACGTCCAAGTTGCCCGGCCGGGGCAATAATACGTTTGATCGATTAGCGGGATCGACACCAAATTCACCGCCCGCCGATGCGTCGAATCAGCAGCCGGGCTTTTCTTCTGCTACCGCGAGCCGGCCGCCGTCCCCCCACCCGGGATCAAGGCATGGTTCGACAACCAACCTTCAGACTGCGGGAGGTGGGCAGCTGGAGGGCAACTCCGATAATAACAACAGCAGTACGAGTGCTAGCGCACCCACAACATGCACCAACTGCTTCACGCAAACGACCCCATTGTGGCGCCGTAACCCGGAGGGCCAGCCTCTCTGCAACGCCTGTGGCCTGTTCCTCAAGCTTCACGGCGTGGTTCGCCCGTTGAGCTTAAAGACGGACGTAATCAAGAAGCGGAATCGCGGCTCGGGCAGCATGCCCGTCGGGGGCAGCAGCACTCGGTCTCGAAAGAACGGCGGGACCTCGGGCGGCATCACAAAACGAGGTTCGGCGTTGTCGGTATCCTCTACCGCCAACCCCCCTCCCGCTCCTCCCGCGCCTGTACAGGCGACAACACCCCCGGCTGCTCAAAACCGCGCTGGTAGCGCCAACGACGGTGAGAGCCCTGCCAGTGGTGCCGCATCCGCCGGAAACACTGCCGGCAACACGCCCACGAGTTATGGCGGCTCGTCTACCCTGATAGCCGGTGGCAAGGGTGTTATCCCCATTGCTGCCGCGCCGATTAAAAACCTGCCCGGGCCTGGGGCAGCCTCTTTACCACGGACATCCACTACGTCTTCCTCCTCGAAACGTCAGCGCCGACACAGCAAGAGCGTTGCGGTAGAGCAAGCGCTTTCGAGTACGGGCATGGACATCGATAGCCCCGAGAGCACGACAAGCTCAAACGAAGCCGCAATGTCGATGGCGCGACCTCTGGGCTCTAGCTCAACGCACGGCTTGGCTTCGATGCAGCCCAGCTCGAGCAGTCTGAGCCTCGCAGGTGGCTTTGCGGGCAGCAGCAGCTCCACGCAACGACCCTTGGCTGGCCCTGGAAGTCAACGCGCCGCGCCGCAGGAGTGGGAATGGCTTACTATGAGCTTGTAGATGTCATTATTACGAAAGCAGGGAACCAATCAGCGGGGAAGGGATTTTACACGGACTGGACCCCCTTTTTCCCCGCCCGATTCGGAGGAGCTTTGGCGCGCGCGGTCGGCTCGTTTGCCCACTAAGTACCGTTCTGCCAACCCATTAGGCAACGGAGTTTGAGACATGGGACTGGGACCGACTTGGGCGTGAGGAATTACACAACATTGCAACAGTATACATACGGTCATGAGCTAGGGTATTTTTGTCATAGGGTTGGTGCTGTACTTACCGACCTACTCGTTCCGTCGTGAGAAACGGCCAGAGAGGAGTAGGTCATCTCAACCCTTCGGTGTATCGTTTCTCTATTATCTTTCTTTCTCTCCTTACTTTTGGGATTTGGGATTTGGTTTTTTTGGGATAGTTAGGGCAACTGGAACCGGGGTTCGGGGGGCTTGACGGATAACTCTTAGAGGGGGCTCGGGCTGCAGGCTGCAGGCTGCGGTGGACGGCCGAGTAGACGATCGGGATACCCTTCCTTAACTGGTCCACTATCTACGTTCCGGGAGTTGTTGTTTTTTTCTCTCCTTAAGGGATGATGGGAAGGATGATGCGATGACACGAGGCTCGCTTACTGTATGTAGTCTGCATGGAGTTGGGGAATGCGCACAATGGAACTGCCAGCGATCAGCTGTACATTCATTGTATAAATACGACAGTTCTTTGGTTTCAATGCGTGGATGTTATCGTTTCCCGAGGCGTGTTATCAAGCGAGGTGATCTATGTTTGCAAGTAGTGATTTCGTGTAGAGAGTGGGATTCCAAGACGGTTCGGGATTCAACTGCCACCATGATATGCATCCACCGCCGGTGATTCACTGACACCTGTGAGTAGTTGAGTGTGTAACTACATGGGATATGAATTTTTGGTGTATAAGTATCTAAGTATTATATATTAGATGTTATTTTAAAGGCGGCTCATCCACCAGTGTCGTATTGGTCCTCTGTTCTGCTGGGAGCACACCGTCGGTTGGATGATGCTCATTTGCGCCGTGGATGTCGAAGTATACCCAGTACCTGAGGTGTTTCCGCCCAACCTTCCCAGCCGGCATATGATCTCCATGTTTCATCCCATTTTACCCACCATCATCATCATTACTCCCATGATTACAACACCCCCCTCTCAACCCTTTAACTCCTAACTCAATTAATTACCTAACTATTCTTCACAATCCCCCAAACCCCGCCCAACTTCCTCCCAACCCCCATCCCATACCCAACCTCCACAACCCCCCTCGCAAACCTCCAACTCCTCTCCTGATCCCCAATCGGATACTGCATCGCCCCCGGAATCGCCGTCCTCACCCCCCACCCAGCAAGCCCCAACACCCACCCAGGCACAACCCACCGGTCTTCACAAACAGCCTTGATATTACATAGTCCGCGCAACCCTTCCTCCCCTGCGAACCGGCCGTATCCGGATCCGGAGACACCGCCGAAGGGGAGTTGAACCGCGTAGGTGGCGCCGAAATCGTTGACGGCTACCATGCCTGCTTTGAGGGAGTGGATGAGTGAGGGCAGGAGGGGGTCGGTGGGGGAGGAGAAAATTGAGCTGCCTAGGCCGAAGTTGGGACTATTCGCTATCTTAAGTAAGGAGGAAGAAGAGGAGTCGGGGCAGCGCATCAGGACCATGATGGGCGCGAAACATTCCTCGTTGGCGATGGCCATGTCCGGGGTGACGTCGACGAGGAGGGTGGGGGTGAAGTAGTGGCCCTTCGGGTGGTCGGGGTGGGTGAAGCGGGTGCCGCCGGCGAGGAGGCGGGCGCCGTGGGAGACGGCGTCGGAGATGAGGGCTTCGAGGCGGGTGAAGGAGGTGTCGGAGATCATGGCGCCGATGTCGGCGTCTGGGGTTGGGCCGCAGCGGAGGGCGCGGACGCGCGGGGTGAGGAGGGAGATGAGGCGGGGGTAGATCTGGGGTGTGGCGATGATGCGTTCGATGCCGATGCAGTTTTGGCCGGCGGCTTGGAAGGAGCCGCGGAGGAGGATTTCGATGACGCGGGGGAGGTCGTGGGCGGGGAGGCTGTCGAGGATGAGGGAGGCGTCTTTGCCGCCGAGTTCGGCGCAGACGGGGATGAGGGCTTTGGCGGCGGAGGCGGCGACTTTGTGGCAAACGGGGCGGGAGCCGATGAAGGTGATGTGGGAGATGCCCGGGTGGGAGGTGATGTGGTTGGCGGTTTGGGGCCAGCAGACGACGGGTTGGACGAGGGAAGGGTCGTGGCCGTGGGCGGCGAGGGCGCCGCGGACGATGGAGGTGAAGTAGGGGGAGCTCCAGGCGGTTTGTTCCGAGACTTTGACGAGGATTCCGTTGCCGGAGAAGAGGGCGCTGATGACGGGGCCGATAAAGTTGTGGAAGGGGTAGTTCCAGCTGACGAGGGCGGCCACGACGCCGAGGGGTTCGTAGTAGACTGTGTTGCGCTTGTAGGCCATGAGGAGGTTGGTCGGGCGTCGGGAGGGCCGCAAGGCCTTTTCGCCGTGGCTGATGGTCCACTGGAGTTTTTCTACCGTCACGAGGATCTCGCCGAGTTGGGCGTCCACCATGGTCTTGCCGCTGTCGAGGCAGGCCACGCGGCAGATCTCTTCCTGGTTGTCGAGTACATGCTGAAGGATGGTTCGCAGCACGGCGCGGCGCTCCCGGAACGAGGTGGTCGCCCACTTGGTTTGTGCGGTCTGGGCCTGCTCGACGGCGCGGTCAATGGCGTTTGGGGTCGAGGGGTTCACGAAGCCGAGGAATTGTCCTGTCGCGGGGGCATAGCACTGGACGGCGGTTGATCCTGGGGCCTGGTCGGTGAGCGCGGTTAGCCATGGACAGCAAAGAGAACAGGTCAAGGCGGGTAAGAAACACTCACCTTAATTGTGGGCTCCTCCAGAATCTCAGCGTTCTCGGGTGTCTTGGGTGACGGGATGATGTACCGGATCGGTTGGTCGTTCTCTCGCAGGACGAGGTAGAGGACGACGAGAGCAGCAAGCGCCGTCCCAAGGAATGGGAGAGTATACTTGGTAAGGTCGGGAAGATCACGGAGCTCGGGCAACCTAGCGTGTCTGTTAGATCGGTCGCAGTTCAGATCGAGCGGGTATGGGCCGCAAGGAGGTTGTCGTACCCGAGTTCATCGGCCGTGGCACGGAGCTGCTCGATCAGCTTCTCCGGTACGCTGCTTGCCATTGTCGCTGCTGAAGCTGTCCGGTGTAGAGATTGAACTCGTCAAGGGCCAATCGTAAAGAGAAGTGTTCAATTCGATCACTTGCCGAGGTTGAAAGCGGGTGGTAAGGAGGCAGTCTTGCCTTGGTCTCCTGCAGCGCACTGCGTGACCTATGGCCAGCACCGCGTCCTCAGTCGAAGCCAAGATCACTTTTTAATGGGTCAAAGACTCGAAAGGCTGTTGCATCAGGGGGCTTGGCAGGGGTGCCTTGCAGCGGCCATAAGGGTTCACAGGCCAACAGCGCCTCTTGGCATTCACTAGCATTGGAGCTTTTGGTTTGAACAGTTCACGTTCTGGGCCGGGTGAGAGATATTCAATACGCAAACAGTAAAAGAGGACAATTTCAATCTAGGCTTCTGCTGTAACGGAGTATATATGCAAAATGGCTCTTGTATTGTACAACAACACCACCACCACCAACAACAACAATGACAACAATGACAACAATGACGACGACGAGCAACAACAGCAAGCAACAGCAAGCAAAAGTTCAATATCGGCTTAGCGCGCATAAAGCTTTCTTGCCTCCTAGCTTCGAAAATGCATTCCCATCCAAAACGCCATGGTACCATGAGGACGACCGAGAAAACAATAATAAAATAAAAAGAAAACAGGCAAAAGCTTCTTTGTCTGCCGGGAGATCAGGGGCCCATAGACAGAAGTCCAATTGCTAGGGACAGCTGTCCGAGGGACCCTGACTCACCGGATCTCAACTTTTCCATCGCTTCCTCGTTAGCAAACCTCCCGGCACCATCTTCATCCCTTCATCTTCTCCATCGATAACCACCAGGCTCGTGTGAGTGTGTGTGTGTGTGTTTGTGTGTTTGTGTGCGTGAGTGGGTGCGCGTGCGCGCGTATGTGTTCTGTGTGTTCTGTGTGTAGGGGGGTATCATGCAACGTTTCTCCATGAACGCATTGCATGAGGCTTCCAGAGAGAAAAAAATCTAACAAGATGGGTAATCAAAAAAAGAAAAGGAAAACAAGATGGAAAAATTAGAGAAACGAATAGCAGAGAAAACCAGGCATCGGAACCACACCGGACGGGGCATTACTCAATATACAGTCCGAAACTCCATCCTTCCTCCCTCCCTCTCCCGTCCGCCCGTTTCCCGTCACTTCATATTCATGGGTCAATACTCTTTTTGGAGAAGGCCGAGAGGCCCCGCTTCCGAACCGTCGTCAGGTTAAACCGCCGCTGGCCCGGCAGTCCTTGTGCCGAATGCGTCGATTCGATCCGGCTGAGGCGCGCCGCCGAGGTGAAATCGTTACTTGCCTCGAAGCTGGGTCGCACCCGGTCCATCGATCGTCGCACTCGGTCGTACGACGGACGGCAGCGGTCTATTGATGGGCGGGTGACGGCCCGCTCTGGCTCTTCTCCGATTTCGTCTTGTTGTTGTTGTTGCTGCTGTTGCTGTTGCAGCTCCGCCGAGGCCCGGCTCATGATGTATGTCGTTCCGTCGCTGCCGTTTTGCGTGCGCGTGTTGTGCGTCGCGATGGAGGGCGGGTAGATCGGGCGCCGGTCTTCGTCCACACTGGCGTACTGGGCGTGCTTAGCTTTCCTACTGCGGCCAGACAGCTTCCCAGACGACGACGAAGACTTGGCCGATCCGCCTTCCACACCCTCGGGCGTGCCCGCTGCGGCCGCGGCAACCACAGCTGCGTCGACCTCGGCGTAGTCGCCCCGATTCGCCTTTTCGCGGATGATGTCCACGTCGTACGGGAACCGCTGCTTTTGGATCGCCTTGATCACCACACGTGGTAGCAGGCAGATAGCGGGGGTGACAATCAGGCACATCCAGAACGTCAACTCCTGGTAGATCTGCGGCGCTGCTTGGTAGAAGCCGGCGGCATATGTGAACGCAGTGTAGACGCCGGTCCAGAAGAAGATGAAGACGTCGCTGATAAGAACAACCAAAAGCATGAGCCAGTCCCATCGGTAGGTGTTGATCAGGATGTATGAGTTGATCGTTAAGACCGCCGGGTGGGCAATGTAACATCCCAATCGCGTGCGCTCCGCGACATCGAAGCTATTGTGGGCCGCAGTAGTTGTCAAGATCACAAAGATGTACGGGATGAAGAAGCTCATCACCGATTGGTAAATACCATCGATCATGTACGCCCTACAAGTACCATGTTAGTGAAACTGGGGAGAAGAGTGGTGATGATTTCAAGGGGTGAGGTACTGACCAGAACTTGGTTTGAGTCCACTCCTTGCGTTCAATGCCGCGTCGGTACAGCTGAGGCACCGCCAGCGAAACCGCGTCGCTCACATCCTGGTCCAAGACGCCCATAAGGATAACGGGGACCGAGGTAAAGAACAGGTTGAACATGAGGATATACGTGTACTCGAAAATGTACGAGATGTCGAAGTCGGTGAAGGCCTGGTACCAGAAAATGGACCACGTCCACACCATGTTCTTGTAGAAGAAGTTGCTGATCGATTCCGCCAGCCGCCGGTACGACCACCGGCCGTGAACCAGCACCAATCTCTGCAGAAAGCGGAACTGTCCAATGGCATAGTCGGCCGACATGACAGCCTGTCGCCCTTCCAAGCCGGCAATACCGACGCCGACGTCCGCTTCTTGAATCATGGCCACGTCGTTGGCGCCATCACCGATGGAAAGCGTCATGACATCGAGGCCCGTCTTGACCATGGCAACAACGGCGGCCTTCTGTGCAGGGCTGACACGGCAGCAAAGCACCGACTTGCACTGTTTGCACAGCAGCAGGAACTTCTGCTTCAAGGCGTCGCTGAGAGCCCATCTCAGCGTGAACCCATCGATGACGAGCGCGTGCGTGGCCGCTGGGGGTTCATGGTCCTTCATCGCCTTCTTCAGTTCCTCGTCGCTGCCCGTCATCCGGAACTTGGCGAGGTCAGCGTTAAGTTGTTCTTCGACCATGGCGATGTATTCTTCCTCGGTTGTCAAGCCGGCCTCGTCTTCCTGGGCCTGCAGACGGAGGAGGTCCATGTCGTTGTTCAGGAGGTTGCAGGAAAAGCCGATGTTGATGGCCGTCTCAACTTTGTCGCCAGTGAGAACCCAAAGCTTGATCCCGGCGTCGCCCAACAGCCCAATGGTATCCGGAACGCCATCTTGAAGACGATCCTCAATGGCGGTTCCTCCAAGCAAGGTGAGGTCACGCTCGATCCTATCGGCCACCTCCTCCAGCTTCTCCTCACGGTTCTCCAGGGCAGTTGCTGCAAGGTCGTGCTCTTTCCGGAATTCGCGGTACTCATGCTCCGTCAGCTCCTTTTGGGCGATACAGAGTGTGCGGAGACCCTCCACGGCAAACAGCTCCAGATGCTTGGCCGTCTCTTGGCGAAGTTCGGCCTGCTCGCCTCGTTTAAGACGCGCATAGATGATACTATCAGCCCCCTTACAGAAAAGCATAATCTTGCCATCCGGCATCTTGACGATCGCACTCATCCTCTTTCTACTCGAGTTGAATTCAATGGTGTTGAGAATCGTGTAATGCCTGTCGGTACCCATGACGTTGACCTCGATCCCATCGCTGGAGGAGCCAAGAACGGTGAAACCCATGTCTCGTGCCGTGGCCACTAGCGCTGCCTCATCAGGGGATTGCGCCTTGAAAAGCATCTTGGGGGGGTCGCCCGGTTGTTTCTCAGCGATGACGGTGTGGCAAAGGGCGAGTACCAGCATGAAGTGTTCGTTCGCTTGTTGTTGCTCGGGGCCATGCTTTCCGGCGAGGTCGTCGACAAAATCGGGGGCGATGAAAGTCAAGTCCTCTTCGTGGAGGTACGGGTTGTCGTGAAGTTCGCGAAGGCCACGGATCGCCCTGACCTTGGCTTGGGCGATTTCGGCTCGGATCGTCGCCGCTTCCTCTTCGACGTCGATTCCCAACCTCTTGTTCATGCCGGCTTGGGCCTCCGTGTACGCCTCGCCGTATGGCTGGCCATTGATGGTGGCCTTCTTGAACTCCATGACGTTCTGCGTAAGGGTACCCGTTTTGTCCGAAAAGATGTACTCGATCTGGCCAACATCATCCGAAATGTTCCAGGATTTGGGGATACACGGCTGGTCGATTTTGTCGTAGTACATTCCAACGTCGCTGTAGATGAAGAATGCTTGCAGGGTTCTGACAATTTCGAGCGAAATGTAAAGCGAGATCGGGACCAAGTTCTGGAAAACAATGACGGCAGCCCAGAAAGTGATGAAACCAGTCAAGCCGGGCGTGCCACCAATGGATCCCCACTCGAACCAAGTCAAGGACGCGTCCGACTTACCCCACGCGATGCCGTTGGCGATGGCCGAGATCAAACACATGATGAGAAGGATGCCGAAGTTACAGATGACGTTAAAATTGAGCTCCCTCGCAATGCGGGCCCGCTTACTGGGCGTAATGCCGGCATTCATCATGATCTTGGTGTCATGACCGGTAAAAACGACGATGCCCAGCGCCCATTCGGTGTTGCGGAGATTGCAGCCTCGCAGAAGCATATTGTCGATACTGATGGGCTCGGACATGTCTCTTGGATCGGCCTTAGGATCCCAAGGGACTCTTTGCTGCCACTTGATCGCGCCGTTGTACTTGTAGAGATTGGGCTGCGGCGGCTCGCTCTCCACGACGAACTGGGCACGCTCACAGTCGCGTGCGTGCTTCAATGTCCGCCCACACCGAAGCGCGGATCGAACCTTGAGGTTAGTCTCGCCATCCAAGTTCTTGGTTTCCACGTAACACGCCCCGTCCGGGTCGGAGGTCGCCAGGATGATGATATCGGCTGGGAGCTCGTCGTTGTTGTAAATGCGCACGTAATCACCGACAACCAAATTCTTCCAAGCATCGCGGTGGAACCGAGCATTCCCAGAAACGGTGACATCCGTGTTGATCAAATCACCCTTCAGGTTCTGCATAAGCATGGTCTCGTCGTCCATTGCAGAGGAGATGGTGGGCATATCCGGGTCGCGAGGCACAGGCGATGGGACTGGCGATGGGACTGGGGTCATCTGGATATCTTCGTGGGCAGAAGCCACCGATTTGCGGTTGCGAGGTGAAGCGCTCGGTTCCCAGGGCGTGTGCGTGGTCTCGATGGACATGCGCGGGTCCGCCGAAGTGAAGGTTTGCCGAGACTCGTCGTTCTTTTTCCACAACCCTTCAATGCTGTGCCATACCGAGCCGAAGAACCGAGAGTTAGCCTTCTTGAACTTTCGCCACGAAGAAACATTGTCCTCTTCCACGTTGACGTTTTCTCTGCCCAGCAAGCGGTGGACCGGCGCGTTGTTGAGTTCATTATCGAGGATCGTTCTCCGGTAGTCTTCGATCGCGTCCTTGATGGCCGTGACAACAATAATAAAGATTAGGGGGACTGCGTTCAGCCCAGGATTGACACCACCAAAAATAGGAAATATCTAATCATTCATTTACCCGTTAATGATCTGTGTTCGCGAGGCGGGAGCGGGCGGGAATTGGGGGGTGAACTTACAACTAAGATAACGACGAACAAGAAAAAGATATTGGCGATATTTTGGAACTGGAAGAACAGGTTCTTGGGGATGAAGGACAGAGGCGTGTACTTTGCGGTACGAATCTTGTTTCGTGTGTAGTACTGGAGCGGATGCCCTTCCTCGTCTTGGAGCTCACGGGGCAACGGAAGACCAAAAAACAGTTGCCTTGGCCCAGGACCATCGCTAAGTTCTTCCTCCTCGACGGCGGCTTCGTCCTTAGGCGCGCCATCCACGGCGTGCGAGATTTCCGTTCCTCCAGATGCCCTCTTCTTTTCGTTCGCGTCGCCCTTGTGGTGTTTCCTGCCCATCAACGAGAGCCGTTTCATAGAGCTGCTCTTCACCGTCAACCGCCGCGTTGCCCATCTCGATCTCTGTACCGGCACCCCGAGGCCTGGGCTGGCAGGATCTTCCACTCCCCCTTCCGGAGGAGACGCCATGGCGGTGGGATCGCGGGCAGCGCCCGATCACCCTAAAATGCGGCCAGGCTGACGAAAGTCGACACGATCGTTTTCCCACGCCGTCCGAGTGAGCGTGTATTAAGACTATATTGAACGCGCGCGCGGAATACGGGACGGTGTTGTATAGGAATTCGTCGTCGGGAAGTTAGTCGCGATAAAACCAAAGAGGTCCTTGTAGATTTGCCTCCGCGTAATCAAGACGGAAGCGGCAACGATTGGACGGCAATCGGCGAGCCACAGGCAAAATCGGAGCGGACGCGGCAGGCGGCGCCCTTGTTGGTCGATGCAAAGGAGGTGGTGAGGTTTGGGGAGAGATTTTGACGCGCGAGCGGCGTTAAGGACGTTGCCGTCGACGGGCTCGGGCGGGCCGGAAGAGTCGGGGTTTTGCAAGCAGCGAGGAATGGAGAGAGGACGGACAGTTTCCCGCACGATAACTGGCCGTACACTAACTAGACACTTGCCAAACCCCGGAAAGCGAATCTAGGTGCTCCCCAGCTCTTGTCGCATGAAACAGGACGAGGAAAAGGGGGGGGCCTTGAACGGCGTAAATCCGTACTTTTTTGCGAGAAGCAAAAAGCCTCCGGCGCCGCCTTTCTTTCGTCCCAGGCGAAAAAGGCCAGAACGGCAAAACCGGGGGGAGCAGCCCGCGAGGATCCCAAGCGTGTCCAGGTCCCTGAACATTGGTCAGCGCCCTCATTTCGCGGGCCAGGTGTGGGGCTTGGCTTGGGTCGCTTGGCTTCTTGGAAGCTTCGGTCTTTTGCGAAACTCCTGCATCCGAATGCGTTCTCCAGATTCCGTCCGGGCGTGACGTTGGTTGGGTCGCATGCATCACAGATGCTCCGGTATTTTTTGCTCCCCTTGCAGCCAAAGCTGGGCGAGAAACATGGCTCCGCGACTTACTATGATTCACCAGAGACAGCTCATTGTCACTCACCCGCTGCAACGCATCACGCACTTCCTTCCTTTTTTACTTCGTGGGCTTCCGTTTCTCTCTTTTTTCTTGTCTACTACATAGCATATATTTCCACCCTTGTTTTTCGCCGACTTTTCGAGAAAATCCTTCATGGGTCCTACGTAACGGAAGGCTCGGTAACACAACACGCAATGGCAGGCTATGTCGTTTTCTAGCGGGGCGTTGCGGCGGAGACAAGACGGGGCGGCCAATTTACCACAGGAGCGCATTGGCGATCTTTTGTCACGGACTGAGTAATCTTCACCGCACAGAAAACAACGTCCGGCTTTGAGCAATCTGGCCCATTTCGGGTTTTGGCTGAACCCCGGGGACCGACCGGGATTGCCGCCGTCTCCATCTCCTCCACCGATCCGCCGACACATGGCTACGATTTCGTACCTGATCCAGATCGTGGGGTGATGAGCGAAAAGGGTATTTACTCTTGAAGCCTATGAATCGACTCTTGCCTTCTCCCGTGCAGCGCGAGCGCCCTCCATCTGTTGGTCTTACGGAAACCGAGACCAACGGGCTGCACCTGCCTAACAACACCGCCACATGGTCGTGGCACTGCACACACATTTGAATGACGAATCTGTGTCGACAAGAGAGAGTTCGCAGCAGCGCCGCCGTCGTGGTCAGACTCCTTTAGATGTGCACAACGCCTGAGGACGAGGACGGTACACGTAACTGGCGAGTATTCTTTTTGAAGAACGGCTGTGCCGCGACGTTTTGTCCAATCAAGCCTCATGAGAGAACGATCCAGCTCACTGTCCAACCAGCCCTTTGTCGTTTCGGTTTCAATTCGAATCCGAAAGAGACAGCCTAGCCCCAATACTTCTAAGCGTTCCCGGCTACTTATTACTGTCGTACGAACACGGGATCAGAAGATCTTGGACCACGGATGAGGTCATTGAGCTACACCCTTTTTAAAGCGAGCAATGAACCACTATGAGTTCAGCCCTCCCAGCAACCCCCGCGATCGGGTGTAAGTACGAAATAAGCTTCCAGGCCCGCCAGGTTCTCTCAAGTGGGCAGCCCCCCTCCTCGCGTCGCCGACTAGTAGTGTTGCCGGGCAGACAGCCCCAAACGAAATTCCCGGAAACGGAAAACATCTGTGGTTCTAAGGAAGCTTGAATGCGAAACCCACGGGGCGTCTGTGCGTGCATTCACAAAGGAACCGGGCTGGAATCAAGAAGTCAAGTGGTGTGCTCTGTGCGCCTTGTTTCACGTCTTTTTAATTTTGCCCGCCTTGTTCCAGGATCCGCCTCTTGGGAACCATTGCCCAACTGTGTAAATTACGCCCAGAACTGTAACAAACTAACGCCTGGAGCCTGGTCCATTATCCTCAAACGCGACTCCCTTCTCACAACGCGTCTGACCGCCAAGACATTAAACTACCTCGTCAAGCCTACACCTTTAACTTCTCAACCGGACTCAGGGATCACGGAACCGACAGACCGGCAACGAGATGTCGAATCAAGGCAATATTACCAACTTTTTCAAACCCGCACCAAAGCTGCCGCAGAGCCCGGTACCTGTAAAGGAAACCTCAACTGCCCCGCCCCCACCCTCGCCTTCACCTCCACCTTCCTCTTTCTCATCATCACCACCAGTACCACAACCGACCGTTCGTGATTGCAACGCGGTAATCCAGGGTTCGGACGACGAGGACGACGACGCAAGCACCAGCTCTGATGAGGATTTCCCCGAACTGTTCTCAAAACCTCTCCCAGCACCAACCCGACCCCTCCCCGACCAGGCACCGGAAAAAGATGTCGGCATCTACACGACGCCGAAGGCAAAGCGAAGAGTGCTCGAGTTTCACTCCTCACCCTTAACGATCAACACCAGACACAAGTTCGACATCAAGGCACTTCTCAAGCATGCGGCAGCAGACAACGCCGTCGAGGAGGGTGAGCTCCGGACGGCGTCTCTCATGGCCCCAAAGTCTCCGACAGTGCGCCGGGCCGCGGAACCGAACGGCGCGCAAATCAACTTCCAAGACGCAATGTTGGGAGTTCTATCTGATCCCGAAGACAGCCAAGGGGAAGGAGCCCGCAGGCGGTTACTCCAGGCGGTGAAGCGAACAGAAGCAACGGTCGGCGGCAAGGAGTGGTACTTTTTTGATCGCCGGGCTCCAGGTGACAGCAAGGCGGTCAAGACGCGACCTCCCTTCCCCAGAGGCAAGGCGACCGGGGTATGGTCCTTTTTAGAACCCGAAGAGCACAGGACCGAGGTGTTCGCGGACGGCCTGGCCTACAATGTGCAATGCCGGCTCGGGACGCTGCCCGACGAAATCTTCAAATGGGTACTATCCGAGGCGCCGGTCGAGAAGTCTAAAACGCTCCGAGATGAGTATGTGCGACTTCTCGGTGTTAGTCCGGATCAGGCACGTCGCGTTCTCGATGAAAACGCAGTTCTTGGGCTGTTCCAGGACCTGGGCGCCTCAGAGAGAGCGCTTGGTTCGGGTCCTCAGCTAGACAGCTATCCAAAGGACGGGGCCCCTTACCCAGAGCAAGATCGGGGCAGTCTACAAACGGTGCTTCGCATTCTGTCGAGGACTGCCTACGGCTTGAGCACCCCGGCACTGACGCGCGCAATGTCGATTCTCCTCCGTCTCGGCATCGATAGTGTCGTGCGCGAGGATCAGATTGTTGCGACAGAGCATCAAGATGCATTGTTACAAGTGGCGGCGGTAGTCCCATGGAGGTCATGGAATGATTTTGTGAGTATCCTTTTGCAAATTCGTAGGCTTGCTGAAACCAGGCGACTCCTCTAACCACCTTGATCGTAGTGCGGAGAGGTAAGCGAATCGTTGTATAACCATACGCAAGAATACACACTCCGCTGGAACGCTGTTTCCGCAATTCCATTACTACATCCCAAGTTAATCGATCTGCGCCGACGCCTGGCGCTTGTTTTTGTCTATGACGACGCTCGCCGGGGGTTCTCCTCGCCTGATGAGACCTTCAGCATCCGGTCGGTCATTGACCGTCTCGATCAAGCCGATGAGTTCATCGTAGACCGTACCAACACGGACTACTTCGAACTCCTGGCACTCTCTAAACTGTTGAGTGTAGCCATTGGTGACGGCTCACCGCCCGCTGACAACAGCGGCCCCGAGGCTGTCAAGCATTACAACGCCGAGGTCGACGAACTGTCACAGAGAATCAAGTTCATGTGGTCCAATATCCATGAACAGGGCGCCGCGTACATGTCAAGACTCGAAGTACGCGTCCAGCTCCGGGATTTTGAGCGCAAGCTACAGCACGTTGTGCGCACACGGCCGCCTCCTAAAGAGGACATATTCGGTCTCAACGGTGTTAAAGAAGATCTTGACCGTCCCAAGCAGCAGCAGTTCATGAAGAAGTTCTTCAGCAAGGAAGTGCCCCCTCCAAAAACTCCCCCAAAAGGGCGTTGAAAGTACAAGGGACAGGTTTCGGTGAACACTTATCCTGGATTTCCCATCTTGTTTGGTCTTCAAGGCTGCCTCTTCTATTCTGTATCATACAGCTCCCAGAGATACCCTCCGTCAGTGACCAAAGTAGCTCATCTTGGCCTGGCGCTGCTTTGAACTCATGTAAAGCAAAGCAAACAAAAATTTATTCCCAAACAGGCTTGACATGCATGAATCTCAACTGCACTACGGTCATCCATCTTCCTCAACCACTTAGCAACCACCCCCACACCTAACTAACCCCCCAACCGACCCCAGCGGCTTGGAATGAACGAGCGACCTGCCTTAGTCGTAGAACTTGCGGTTGGGGTTCTTTCCGAAAAGAGCCTGGCGCATACCCGGCAAAGCACTCTCCCGGAGCAGGTCCAGTCTCGCCTCGAAGGTGTTGTTCAGATCAATCTTCCCGTTACCCCCAACAACTACCACGCCACCGGTGCTAAAGATTCTACGTCAGCAAACTGTACCTCAAATGCCACTGTACAGGTGTAATGATGCTTACCTCCCCTCCGCCACATCATTCTCCTCATCGATCGTCGCCTTCACCTCAGTGCCCACCTTCTCCTTGTACTCAGCCGCAGCGGCATCAATGGCCTTGCGCACAACCTCATAATCCGCCTTCCGCGCCCGGATCTGCAGTTCCGGCTCGCCCATGGCGTAGAACCCTTCCAGAATGAGACCCTTCAGAATCTCCTCGTACCGCGCGGCGTCCTTGGTCGCGTCAGAGAGCTGCTTCTGCGCGGCGGAGAAGATGTCGTCGAGGAGGGCCTGGCGTGCACCGAGCACACGCAGGCGGGTCTTGTTCGCCACCGTGGACCGCGTCGTCTGCTGTGACAGGGCCGCCTGTTTGAACTTCTTCTCGTATGCCGTGTCGATAGCGTCTATCTCTTGTCGCACCAGCTTGGACTTCTCAATGGCGAATTCTTCGTCTGCCTTGATCTCGATCTCGCGGGCTTTCTCGGTGGCTTCCTGCTTGATGAACGCTGTCATCTTGCGCAGCTCTTGTCCGACCTAATCCTCGTAAGGAGACATCGCTTGTTAGAATTTGTCCTCTCTCTTCTCTCTTTTGCCTTTACCCCCACCCATGTTGCTTCGGGAGGAGACAGTTGTGCGGTCAAGGGTGGTGGGAGTCGCTTCTCGAGGAATTGGGAGAGAGTTCTTGGCTGCCCTCCAAAACGTATTTGGAGCTGGGCCATGGATTGCCGTACCTGGTCGTCGGACAAGGAGTGAATTTGAGACATCTTAGTTGGTGGTTGATGTTCTTCGGAGGGGGGTTCGGTATGGGCCCCGGTCTACCAGCCTCGAGGATGGGGACGAAAGAGGGAGCGGGGGTAAAACGGTGAGCTTCTGGGGCGATTCTGAAACTCGCCGTGATCTTCAAAATATTCGTGGCTGTCGGGGCTCGCTCAGCACGTTTTCGGGCTCGAAGGGTGATAGCAAATGTCTTGTGAGTTTCGTTGGTGCTGTGTGGTTGGTGATGTTGACGGGAATCAAGATGCCGACCAACAGCGCCGTTGACGCAGCTCCTCCAGGCATGGATGGCCGGCCGCAGCGGCGCGGGCTGACGGCACTGGGATGCAACTAGCCGCGCAAGTATCAGCCACAGTTTACCGCATGCTGCAGCCGATAAGATGTGGTTACGCCACATTCGGCAAGCGCTCGAGCCACAGTCTCAGACATGCGCGACACGGACCAGTCGCTGCCCCAACAAAGTCCAGGCGCACAGTGCATTGGCTGGGAGCGTCACCAGCCAAACAGCTGCGTCAGAGGTGGTCCATGGTCGTCGTGCCGTCAGAGGACTCGCTGGGTCTTTTGTTTCATCTGGATTTGTTCTTCCACCGCCCCATCTCCCAAAAGCGCCCCAATACCCGACAACCCTCTCAAGCGACCCATCTCTCGCCGTTTGCGACAATCCGATCGAAAAGAGAGACGCCCCGAGACCCGTTTGTCTCATATTGTGCCGCACCCGGTGCGCTGCTGGGTTGTATTCAGGCCTCTTCCCCCACGACGGGCGGCCGCGCCGCATGATCGCTGGCCACGACCCGTGGTCCTCGACACCGGCCCGGACACCCACCCACTCGCTTCGTCATTTCGCCCGCGCAGTGCCGTTTTACACGCCAAAGGGCGGCGTCATTGGTCGGCATTTGGTATTCCGATACGACGTCGTTAAGAAGCCGATTAAAGGGGAAGAAGCGGTCCTGTGATCGGGTCCGTACGGGCAGTTCGTCCTAGCCGGCGACCGGCCACGTCCTGTACCACATTCAGCCCTACGAACCTTCGAAAGGAAAACCTCGCGCCCCCGCCACGATTCCTACCGAGCCGTCGCATCTCTACATTGTTCCCCACCACATGCGATCGCGATAGTCCGCCGCCTTCAACCTCTTGCCGTCGCTGCAATGGGGCTCATAGGCGGCATCTCTCCCGGCGGGAGCATAGCTGTAAGTTTGGCCGGTCCGATGCACAGCCGTCCCCCTCCTATGGTTTTGAGATCGCTAACACCACGCGAAATCGTCTAGCTCGGCATCATAGTCGGACTTCTCTCCACTAGTGTTCAGAGCCTGGGTCTCACACTCCAACGAAAGTCCCATATTCTCGAAGACGAAAAGGTACCCTACGATGTTCGACGCCCACCATATCGACGGAGGAGGTGGCAACTTGGGATGGGCATGTTCATCATTTCCAACGTCGTTGGGAGCTCGGTCCAGATATCTATGCTCCCATTACCCGTTCTCTCGACCCTCCAAGCTTCGGGCCTCGTTTTCAACTCGATCTGCGCTACGCTCATATTAGGAGAGCCGTTCACAAGGTGGTCGCTGTGGGGGACACTCCTCGTCTGCGGTGGCGCCGTTCTAATTGCCGTGTTTGGGGCGATCCCATCGCCGGCGCACAAGTTGAGCGAACTGCTGGACCTCCTTGGTCGGCGGCCGTTTATCCTTTGGATGTCCTTCCAGGCCGTATTCGTCATCGGCTTAGCCGTCGCAACGGAACTCGTGAGCAACCTCACAACACTAATGCAGGATCCGCGGTTCCGGCTCGCGCGAGGTTTCTCGTACGGGTGCATAAGCGGGATCTTGTCGGCGCATTCTCTTCTAGTCGCCAAATCAGCCGTTGAGTTAATCGTCAGGACGATTGCCGACGGCGACAACCAGTTCATTCATTGGCAGTCGTGGATACTGGTTCTCAGCCTCGTCACGCTTGCCCTCACACAGCTATACTATCTACACCGCGGCCTCAAACTCGTTTCGACATCCGTTCTCTACCCCCTAATATTTTGCATTTACAACATTATCGCGATTCTCGACGGGCTCATCTACTTCCATCAGACCGACCTCATCAACCCTCTGCGCGCATGCCTTATTGCTCTCGGTACCGTCATTCTCCTATCCGGTGTTCTCGCGCTCTCTTGGCGCCTCAGCGACGAACAACACACGCCCGGTGTTGGGCAGTCAACGCTGGCCCCTGGCTTGGGGCTGATCGAAGACACGGATGGCGAAGAGGAAGGCGAGGATGTCTCGCTACGCTCTGCGCTCCTCGGCGAAGGTGAGGGCGAGGGCGAGTTACCTGCGCAGTCCAACTACCAGACGTTTGACCCATCCACATCTCCCGACCTTTCCATGACACCGGCAGCTGCATTACCCCGAAGGCAAAGCTCTATGGCGCGTTCCACGAGGACTGTATCAAACCGGTGGCAGGAACAGGCCGAGATCTGGGATGAACTTGAAGATCGCAACACGCCAGAACCAACCTCGCCCTCGTTTAACCGACGACAGTCGATCACCTTGCCCGGTCATAGGCACTCAGGCTCCTTCACCGGGAGAAAGGGGGCAACAGATTCACATCGCCCCAGCCAGTCTGGTGAAGCCGCGGAGGAAACCGAGCCATTGATGCAGTCATCAAAACAAGCTTTCAGGAGACGGCGGAAATCTACCGGCTTCCCAGGTTTCACGGCGAGAAAGACAACAGGCAGGAAAACACCTGGTGGGATATCAGAGGCAGCCCGCAATCTGTTTGGATTGAAATGGTGGGGCAATAAACCAAGGTCGACTGATTCGCCGAGGTCGATCTCCGGGGGCTGGACAGCGCCCGCGTCGAGGGGTGATCTAGAGTCGGGGCTGGCTGGCCCTTCGTCAGAGACCCGGCCGCCTTTAGCGGTTGACCCCAGGTCAAATCTGGGGTCGGGCTCACAAAGCCCTGGGCAGGACAGACCCCCATCTTGAATTTAATCTTTTTGTTCCCTTTTTTCACCCTGGTTGCTCGGCTTTTTATTGAAGCTGGATTCGCATTGGTGCGGCGTTTGAGGTATAATATTGGTTTTGGGTTGCAAGGGTTCGCTCTTTGCGATAGACACAGACAGGTCCTTAGGCATTTTCTATATTCAAGATACCACGATTGAGGGGTTTTCACCATATGTTGAAGCTTGCACTGTGCACAGAGACGTAATCTAGAGACCTCCCTATCGTGAGGTGAAGGCGGCGTTTAATGGGATTGGGTTGCCAGGCAACGCGACAAACCATGGTTGTGCCGCAGGTAACGAGGAGTATAAGTGGTAAGCGCCGCTAACTTTGCCAAACCACGCATAAATGTTCACAACCCAACCGCAGCACCAACCGTATTCCCTATCCAAGAGGTTATACGACAATATCCCCTAGTCCCCAACGAGTTCCCAGTAGCCAATCATCCCCTCACATCAACCCAAGCCGGTCCGTAAGAATCCGCACCTCCCCCTTTAACACCACGAAACAAAGCCCCTCAACAACCTCCATCCTTCAAATCCGGCCATATCCGTTCTTCTCATCGATATGCTGGAACCTCTCTCGTTCCTTGCGGTCCTTGAGCAAACAAGCGGTAGCCATGATAAAAAGGCCATCAAATCCAACAATACCGAAGAGGGCGGTGAAGATGTTATCAAGGAAAACGTTCGCAAAGCTCGAAACGGGCGTGGCACACCCGCGCTGGACGGCCGCAGAAGCCTTGCTGGTGCACATGGAATCCGTAACAAAAGCGGGACTGCTGCTGTTGAAGTATCCGCAGCAGTTGAACTCGACTTGCATGAGACTCTTAACGTCGTTGGTTTGCGCTGCAAACCGCGGCGCGAACTCTTCCCTCAGCTTCAGGGTCTGGATCCATATGAAGAGGCCGAGAACCATGCTGAATATCAGGCACACTACGGCGATGTAGCTTGCGAATTTGAGCCATTTGCGTGACGAGGTGGCAATACCGGGGAGTGTGACGAGGAATGCGAAGAAGACGACAGCGGCGTTGGCGATACCAGCTAGGCAATTGTTAGCATCGACCTCTTCATTCTCGAACAGGCGGTTAACGGCCACTCACCTGTTAATGGGAAATCTTGATAAAGCAAGTTCCTTGCCGCCTGGGTCCCTTTTGTTGGTACCTCATCCTTGATGTTGTTGACGATGATAGAAAAGGCGAGGATGACCACGCCCATGGCCAAAAAGAGGGCGTCCGCGATGAGATACGCGATCAGGATCTTGTTCGCCATGGTGTCTGTATTGACTGTACTCCCTCACGGTACCGTCAAAACCGGCCGTTCGTATCCGCCCCAAGTAATCCCTTCCCAGACCAATTCCTGGTGATCGATGACGACCAGCGTCGACAGATTCCTCCGCTTGCAAGGAGTGAGTGAAACGGGCGAGCTCGACCGGCAAACTCAACGCCGTTCAAGAATAAAAAGAGAGAGGCGGTAGTAAAAATTTATTAAAAGAAGGTACCCTCAGAAGCGAAGAGGGGAGAAAGAAGAATCCACGCTGGGTAAATCAAGCCATCGAGCGTGGGCAAACCCGCTCGACCGATACGCCTAACCTGGTGTGAAGGTTGCGGCGTGTCTACCTATCCAGCTAGGGACGGACGGAGGCGAAGTGAAGGTAAAAACAACACAAGAAAAGAAGACAAAAATTTAGACAACGAAAGAAGGGAACGAACTCTTAGGTTCAACCCAAAACTGCCAGTATTAGACAGGATATCCCTACTCCAAAACAAGAAGAGACTGTGGGAGAATACAAGAGAGGAAGTCTTGGTGACGGTTGATGTTTGAACAGCCCAGCCAGGAACTCCGCTGCTTGGCATCGCCTCCGGGCGGATAATGCAACCAGTCAGAACCCAGAGATATCACTTGCAAAAACGAAAAAGCACCCAAAAAGAACAACTCGTCGCCCATGTGCTCCACCAGGGCGAGTCAACCGCCCGCCTCAGACCGTCGCAAAAGGTGTTCTGCGTGGGAGGCTCGATTCACGCTCCGTGACGGCAGCGGTTTCAGATCACGTCGGGAGACCAGGGTTTGGAGCATGATGGGTGGTCGAGGGGGGCGGTCCGCACGGGCCTCCTAAAACTGGAGGCGCCGACCTGGCAGGCCCAACGTTGCACTGGGCGCCAGACGATCATGAGCATTGGTCCACGGGCAGTTCAGATTGAGGACCCTTCGAATCGAACAACTGACATCCAGCGTCAATCACTGTCGCAGGTCCTCCACGAGCGATTCCCAATTTGTGGATATCACGCTTCTTGACTGAGTTGTCTGAGGGTTTCTTGAACTTTGTACACTACTAAACTATAAAGTTGACTCGTCGGTAGCCTCCTCGGAAATGGTGAAGACGGGACGCAGCAAACGTGGAAGCCCCATGTTTGAACATCGCCCCATGCGAACAATGCGCATTCAAACCGCCCCGTCTCAGAGCATGATGCACACCCAAAATGCCTACCCCCTTCTTCAACTTGTGACAAATTTGCCGACAAAGACCTGTGCCAGTGGTTTTTACGTGTCAAAATTAAACCAAAAATTACCCACGCATATCTTGGTCGCCATCTACCGTGTCCATTTTCTGCGCATTTCGTCCCAACAATTCGCGGCACCAGCTTCAGGTTCGTGCCCGTTAACTTCGGAATCACAGATTGCACCGAATGGGGCAAGAAAGATGCTGCTGAAGTGAATGGGGCGGGAGCTTGCAGAGCGTCTCTCTCGTCCAATCATGTGCCATCAGACTTTCGTGTTCAAGCAACTGCACAAACGGGCGAATCAGAGTGCCGCCTGCTTCCGTAAGGAGAAATTTCTGTGCCGGCAGGCCGCTTGTTCGTTTTTGGAGTTTGAACGCACCACTGATTTCAACGGCCCTTTGGTGAATCGCGAAGCCGGCTCGCTGTGGCCAAAAAAGCGGCACACCCAAACAGATAGCTCAAGTCCAATCCATTAACATTCAATCAAATCTTGGTAAATTTTGATTGATTTACTCTTCTTTGTCTTCTTTCACTTTCTAGATTTATTCTTTTTGACCCTTTTTCACTTTTGTAGCAAAGCAAGTTATCCAGGGACTTGGTCTGCCGCTTTTTTTGGCCATCGCGAGGCCGGCCCCAAGACGCGATTGATGCCCCTCCGCCCAACCTTGAAAAGTAGCGTTGATGATTACGGCCCCTTATGCTACTCCAAGCATGAAGATCCTAAGAGAATGTTTAATAAAGACATTCGCACCCCCACAAGCAAGCAGGCGACGGGGCATCACCGCTGGAGGATGAGGAGTTCTTGTCGGACAGCGGTTGACAGTTGTTCTCTTCCTTCGGTTTGAACCCCGCCCCTTTCTCGCGCAGAGCGCACTTTGGTGCTGGCGAATCCTCGGCCACCCCCGCTTTTCAACCCTTGCCTTGACGCACGCCGGCGCCCAGCGACGCCAGTCAGCCCAGGGGGGAAGGCGGCACAACAACAGCAGCTTCCGGGGGTCCCGGTTGACAATCGTGTTCTGGCCCTGAGCTTTGTCGTGGCTTGCCTTCCTCATGGGCTTCTTGGTACATCGATATCCTCGGCCGTTACGATTACTCCGTACGGAGTAACAGTTCGTTGTCTTTTGGAGGAGAAACTCTCGTGGAGAGCGAGTCTCGGCATCTCTTCAGCTGCCAACAATTCGTACAACTCAGCCCAACCGCCCAGGCCTTCGGCTTGTCCAGCCTCGACTCATTATCTCATTTCTCTCGATCCGAGCAATTGAGTGTAAATTTGATCGTCCGTCGGGGGGTAAGCTTGTTGCAGCAGGGGCTTCGCAGCGCAAGGAGGTCGTCGTCGTCGGCACCGACCAGCTGGCGGACAGGTGGTCCAAGCGAGACGGGATCAGGCACTTCTTCCAGTGTTGGTGACCTGGAGGTGGGTGGCAGGCTCGCCTAGATTCGAGACTGCGTTCCTTGGAAGCCCGCATTGCTTCCACGACGGCTCGAAACGCTATTCCGCGCTCACTTGAAAGAAACAGTGCTCAAATTAAGCTTGATCCCAATCAGTAACCTAAACCGTGGACAGCAAAGAGGTTTCGCGGGGGTGCAATTCGATGAGCAAGAAGCGTGCTCGTGTCGCTCCGAGGCCGAGCAACCCACGAGACGAGTGGGTGGGACGGCAGGCTGAGTCCCACACGCCCGTCGCGGCCCCAAACCGAAGGCGCTGATACCTCGACAGCCAGCACCCCGCTGGGCCACCATTTGTCTCTAGCAGGACGCAAGTACCCTGCCGGAAGGCTTCCGCGAATAAAACACGCGTGGCGCAGACGAGGGTTCTCCCTTTCATCCTCGAAACCCTTCCAAAAACCTCCTCTGTGATGTATTTCCAGCTCAAAGCCATGCTGGCTCGCGGAGACATAGACACACAAATGGAAGTGGAAATACAAAACCCGGGGAACAGAAACGCGATTTCCCAACATGAACTCCCCGTTTCCTTCCCCCCCACACACACGCTCCTTCCTTGAGCGCAGGGTTGTTTGCACTGGGCAGCCCATGATCCTTCCCGCCAATCTCCGGTGCCGCTCTGGGTCCTTCAACACAGTGCCTCATAATAGAAACTGACTGTGCGGACTGATTTCACTCTGGCTACGAGAGGCTGCTGACACCTCAGGAGACTGCCTGCCCGACCTTCAGCACCTGCTTTGCTCCCTGTGAAAGTCCCCCGATGCTCAGCCAGGGAGGCGGGAGGAGAAGAACACAACACCCATATAACGATGAGACACAGGTTCTAACTAACTAGTTAGTCTCAAGAATGCAGCAGCAAAGAACAGCAAGTCTTTTGTCACGTGAGAATCCTCGATAAACTGCTGGAGTGTTGCATCTTGTGAAGTCTTCATCTCAGGTTCTCTCCTTCGCAATTGCCCAGGCGCAGAATCAGCTGCAGCATCGTGCAGGACACCAGTGGTTAGCGCGTTTTCCTCCCCACCCTCGCCCCACCTGCCACCAGCCCCCCTTCACTCCTCGCACGGTGCGCCTGCTGGGGCGTCGCTCCCCGCCCTCGTTTCTTTAACTGCCTGGTCGCGGCCCGCAGCCTGCGTGCCACCACCTCGCTATTCTCTTTTCAACCATTCTGCAGTCGCCAAACCCATTCGGTCAAGGTGTGCAAGGGACTGATTCTTGACGTTGCTCGTTCCTGACAGGAACACGCCATCCAAAAACGTCCCAAGCCGATCGCCGCCTCGATCTTTTGAAGTGCCGCATCGCATCCTCCCCTCCCTCGAGGAAAACTCGAGTGTTGCACTGTCGGCAACGAGCACTTTTCCTGTCAGCAGCACAGTGATTTGGCCTGCATGCCACACGATACCCGGGAGCCCCCCAGCAAATAAAAATTAAACGTGAATTTCTCGCCCGCCTCGGCGACCACACCAAACTCAATCCAGTCAACGCCCAACCAGGTTTCTGCGACAAAAGGCGACCTCTCCGCTCAACTCCAGATCAAGTCTAGGCCATCGGCACAACGCTCAAAACAGCATCTCCACCGTTTTACCTTTTTCGTCTTTCGTGATACCCGAACAAAAAAAAATGGCCGACATCACCGATCAACACGACCAAACCTCGCCCACCGAGCTTGACGACGGGCATTCCGTCGGCAACGGCAACCCCAACGTCGAGGCTCGCGGCATCAAGCGCGCCCGCCCTAGCGCGGCCGACGACGATGACGACGACGATGACAAGGGCGGTCGCGAGCGCCGCAAAATCGAGATCAAGTTCATCAGCGACAAGTCGCGTCGCCACATCACTTTCTCGAAGCGCAAGGCCGGCATCATGAAGAAGGTTTGTTTTATTAATTGTCCCTTGAGCATCACCCCCTTCCTTGCCCACGCAGGCGAAAGTGCGGCATGCATTGCTTCGACGCGTCGCGACTTTGTAAAGTATCGTCTTTTTCTTTTTGCTAATGCAGACCTCGCTTGCCAGGCCTATGAACTGTCAGTCTTGACAGGTACCCAAGTCCTTCTTCTCGTCGTGTCCGAGACTGGCCTCGTCTACACCTTCACCACCCCGAAGCTGCAACCTCTCGTCACCAAGGCGGAAGGGAAGAACTTGATTCAGGTACGAGACACCCCCTAGTGTCGTGACTTTCTTGCCGCGTGTCCGCGATTATACTAACGAGCATTATAGGCCTGCCTGAACGCCCCTGAGCCTCCGGCCGGCGACAACGGTGTAGACGACGCCAATGCCGTTGACTCTCCCGAGGAGCCCACAAGCGCACATTTGCCCCCGCAGCAGAGCCGACCCGGTATTCCTCAGGGCCACATGCCTCCAAGCTACATGCCCAACGTTGGGATGGATCCCCAGCAAGCGCTGGCCTATGGCTACGTGCAGCCGCAACGGGGTGGCCAATACATGCCGCAATCCGGCCTTCAGCAGCATACCGGTCACCAGTCCTGAGCACATTCATGTCGACTTTCATCATGACTTCAGTTCATGCGCCTAAATACCCAATACTCTAATGCATTCGTGAATCGTCATCTTTCGGGACATTTGTGGAACAGCCTTGGCCACACCTAGGCCTTTTCAGTCCGGCGTTTCTTTGGGGATGTCTATGCTCATTCCATCTTTTTACACATTTTATTTCGACGATTTTGCTTCTGTTAACAGTACTTGCTCCCTCGTTAGCGAGGGGTGAAACCCGTTGGTCGCGCTAAACCGCGATCTCCGCTACGGGGAGCGCTAACCTCCGAAAGGAAGGGGAGAGAACCACTCGGCGGGAGGCGTAGTAGGGCTACTTATTAGCGCTCTGGTCTTTGGAGGTTCGGTTGCACATGGTGACGTCGGTTGCTGCGTTTTCCAAGGCACGCTTGTGTCTAGGGTGCTCGCTCAATGTGTTGTTGTGTTTCTAGTTGGCAGCGGTGGGACGAGATCAACGACACCCATGAGTTCATATCACGAAACCCGATAGGAGGTCAAGAAGCTGATCGGTGAATGAATAATATTGATTTTCAAGCCATGCTACATCGTTCAACAAGGAATAGGGCCCTTCATGTGATGATGTACCATCTAGAACTCGCCAGCTCTACTTCTCCATATTGATTGTATCATGTCGCTCTTCTATCCTCTCGATGTAAATCGGTTTGTTACTGCATCGTCACGATGCCATAAATGGCTGCTCCTCTCGCATTCCACTTACACGGACCAGATGGGAAAGTTTATTTCCTGTTTCGGCGAGGATTTCCGGTTTGGGAAGATGCTCTTACCACAGACGTCGATTTCCATACTCAGCCGATTTGTGGAGGGGATAGCGGGGCGTTGCTATGTCCGCTTTTTTTTTCTACGCTTACTAGGGATGATGTAAAAGGTGGTTTGGCACCTTGGTTTTTTGTAAGGGACGGCGCTTCTGTGGGTTTTTTGTGAGGTTGGAGGGAGGGTGTTGGTAACAGAACGTCGCGTCTTAGTGAAGGAGAGCGGGGACGGATTCCGTTTCTGGAAACTATAGAAACATATATACCGCGCTTGCATAATTGGATCGTTGTAATATGATCAGAAGCATGATGCATTGTCTAGAGGGACGAGGCGCCCATCCTCAACCGGGTTGTTTTTTAAAAAGATACCCCCTACAGCGCGGCCGCCAGGTGAGGTGGTTGTTAGAGGACTCGGGAGAGATACAAGACGCGAATTCGAGAGACCTCTCATTCATTGCTCTTACACGATGCATAATCTAGACCGATGAGGAAATATTGACCTACAGCCGGCGGCGAAATACGGCGCTGTCTCGGGGGTGTGTAACCCGATTCATGGCCGTTCCAGAGTGGAAATTGAGGAGCAGCAGTGGCGCCGGCGGCTAAACAACGGAGGAGAGTGATACAAGGCACGATGAGTTGTTAGGTATGTGTTGCTCAACGTCTGAGACATTGGGTTCGGTTTACGATGCCGAAGGCTGAGAAACAAATGCATATGTTGTGATACCGGATGCGTCACCAATTCCTTTTTTTGCCTAGGCTGAATATTGGGGACGATCAACGGGTGTTCTGGCGCCATGGAACCCCGTAACTAGCAGAGGCTTGTAGGTATATTGAACTCTGTGCGTGTTTTTCGGCGCTGAAATATTCCCGAGTTCACGTTGGAGCGGTCCTTTAACGGTCTTGTAACAACACACCGGATAGGGTGGTTGTAATTGATGCTAGCGTCGCCGAGCCCTGAATACTGTACTATATATAGCACGCCGGTATATGAACCACAGTCAGTAAACTCCACTCCTGTCTTCCTGCTACATTTTCTTTTGGGGGGGTTATAGCAGGTGATACAGCAGGAAGGCACACCCAAGAGCCACAAGCTATCTAGAGTTTGGCGTGTTGCGTTCCCTCACATGGCTGATCACGGCTCCAGACATTCAGCACCGCTTGAGTTAAGTGATGTGTAACAGATTGAGATGCTCCTTCCCAAGCCTGCTTCCCTTCCTCTACCTACCTTGGACCTTCCCGTGTATCAGGCCGAACCCTCCGCAACCTCATTAGGTACCTATCCACGATTTTCTTGTCAGCCTGAAAGCCCTCCTTCCAGAGTCGGTTGGACGAATCCCCCCTATACGTTAGAATGTCCGCAACCGGCCTATCCTTTGGCCCCCCCTGATTCTACCTCATTTTCCAAGGCCCATGATCGTCTGCCACCACGAGGCTGTCCATCCTCTGGTGCTGTCCCACCGTCCGTGGCACGTGCCCGCTTCCTCGACGTATTTGTACATCCAGACGCCGTGCCGTCATCATCCCCCCCGTCCGTCCCCGAACCCGTAATGCTACGCCTTCTCTTGCGGCTTACGGGCGACGCGGTCTCATCAGCGAAACCTTCGGAACACGCTTCTTCCTCGTCCGTCTTCCTCCGCTTGTCGGGCGGGCTCGGCGATAGCGCTGGTAAGGACGAGGGGGCCCTCGGCTGCCAGGACGGGGCGGCTGTTTTGGCGGAGCCATCTGTAGCGGGGACGGGAGTGGGCTTTCCGGCGTTGCTTTGGTCTGGGGATTTTTGTGTTGTCGCAGTAACCTCGTCTACCCGATCGCTAGGAGCGGAGACGGGCGAAAGAGGGGGGGGGAAGATGGGAGCAATCGCCGGCGGTTGGAGGGGCTTGGGCGGGTACGGTGCTCGCGACGTTGTCAAGAAGGGACTTCAGCGTCTTATTCCCGTTCGCGGCTCTTTCACGTCGCCTGCGCTCACGTAGCTCTTTCTTACGTAGTTCTCTCTCGCGCTTGTCGCGGACGAAACCTTCGAAGAAGTCAACCATATTATCGAACGCCATAGTGCGCGACATATGGGCGAGCGCGGCCGCCCTGTCCCATCTTGTGTCGTTTTTGGACACACGAGGCAGCTTGGAATCCGTATCCAAGGACTTGCAGTTGGGATCGCCGCAGATCGGTTCTTCGGTTATCAGCGTCATCATCAAGCGACAGACGTTAAACCAGGCTCCCTCTAACTCGTGAACTCGCTTGTCTCTCCGCTCGTCCATTTTCGCGTAGAATGTCCCGATATCAGGCGACTCGTCGATGCATTCACGAACGTCGACAATGAACGCGCCAGGGTCTTGGATATGGGAGGTCCTCGTGTTAAAGCGGGCGTGGAGCGTGGTAAAGAGATCGGTAGGATGCATCTCGAACTTCCACCATGGCCACCGCCGGTGTCGCTCGAAGCCGTAATCTGGTGTCGGAAGAACCCCGCTCATGGCTGGCGTAACCCGTCGTTTGTCTTGGGGAGGAGAGTTGCTGGTATTCCCTGTCGCTTGGCTTGTGCCCAAGCTACCATGGCTTTGGTTGGTTAAGTTGCCGAGGAAGGTGACCAGCGGCGCGCCTTTGGACGTGGCTCCCGAATACGCGCCGTTCCATACCACCACTGCAATCTCATCACCACGGGCCGTGTAATGGATTCGCGCTACCGGTTAGCCTAGGGCTCGTATCTACCTACTACGGCGGCCCCTCAGGCATCTCCTATATATCTTGCTCCTGCTACTACTATAGTGCCGCTAACCTCTCAACCAACCCCTCTAGCCCAATCCTCTGAACCGGATCGTCTATCACCATTACCCCCACCAAGCCGTCGAGCCCGGACGAAGGAGCATTAATGGCTTCTTCAGCAACCTGCTTGACAATATTTTGCCAAGAGTTCATCATTTTGACCGCTTTTGCCTCCCGGTTGGCCACTTCTAAGATGTTGAAGTATAGCTCCTTAAAGTGCCGCTCAGGTAGGCGCAGCCGCCCAACGATATATAACATCACCACGCCCAGCGCAAACACGTCCCCCCGGTCGGCCCCGCTGTCCACTCTCCGCGTACTCGGGCGGCACGTACCACGGTGTGCCACCTGTGTTCACACTCTGAAAGGCAATCTCCGATGACACCCCAAAGTCGATAACCACGGCCCCACGCTCACGTGAGAAGAGAATATTACCCGGCTTGATGTCGTTGTGTACGAAGCCCTGGTGATGGATGTAGAGGAGTGCCGTCGCCGTATCCGACAGTACACGTGCGTGGTCCGCGAGCGTCATGGTATCGCAGCGGTACTGCAGCAATGAAGGCGCGTCGACATTTTCCATGTAGAGCGCGAGGAACCTCGCGTCGTGGTCGTGCAGACGTACGACCGACGCCTTTTTCTTTCGGGTTAACTAGGGCGCAGGGGAGATAGCAGACTGGCTGAAAGACATGGGGAAGTGGAACGAGGGCGAGACTTACGTGCTGTGAAAGTTGCGAGTGGATCTTGACTTCCCGTAGCCACACCTCAGCCGTCCTGCGGAGTTTGTCCCCCACTGTATAAGATTCCCCCAGCGCGATAGGTCCCGATGGTGAGCGAACAACCTTGACGACCACGAGTTGTTCGGGGACCTGCGAATGATGGGCCGAGAAGACGTGGCTGTTCGACCGTAGCGAGATCCTCTTGTCGTAGCTCAGCGTGTAATCCTCACCATCGGGCCCGAGAATCTTGGCCGTATCGCCTGTGTGCAGTTCCTCGAAGGGGTGGCGGAACCCGGCTACGAGGGCTCGAGCTTCGTCACCCACGGCGTGCTGATGCCGCGGCTCTGGGGTGGCCGCCGCTTGGGCGACGAGGGCTTCGGGGGCTGGCTGGAAGACGATACTCGCCTGGTCAACCCTCTCATCCCCGAGTCGCCCCCTCTTGGATTCTCCCGTCAGCTGCGACGACTCATGCGGTCTCTTGGTTCCCTGGAGCGCTAGCCTAACGGGCTCCTCTAACATCCTAGTAACTGTGATGTTACGGCGAGGTAGGATGGAGAGATTGAGAATAGCATCGTGGTCGGGCCCCTCGAAGAGGGCCCAGGACCCGAGCTCCAAGATATCGGATAAAAACGGCAAGATCTCAATAGACTAGCCCAGCTGGACGAGGTTGCCGGCTTCTTCGACCAGCTTGGCCACAACAGGCTTAGAGTGTTTGTTTATCAGGACGGTTCTGTCGGCGACTGGGTCGAATGCTAGCATGAACTGGAGCAGCGTGAGGACTCCGCCAGCCTTGGTAACCTTGATCGCGATAGCCAGGTCCCTTTTGGACTGAACCGCGGCTAATTTACGGAAGGAATTAGGGTTGGAAGCATCCATACCAAGCTCAATGTACGGCTGCCGGGCTATCGTCCGGTCGGTACCCGCCGGTATAACCTCGACGGCGATGGCGCGTGAATACTCGATCGGGATACGAGCGCACGGATGGGGTTGCGACGGCTCCTCCAGCCGTAGCATCGACGCGGCCCTCTCTCTCCATCCTAGCCATCTCGCTTGATGTAAAAGGGTTCGTCGAGCCCGAGGACCGCATCGGGGAGGGGCCTTCTAGAGCCTGGCTGGGGACCTGGATGCCACGTGCCTGTAACATATGCCCTAGCTCTCCCGAAGAAACGCGGTTGGTCTCGTCCGAGCCTCCATCGGGATTGCTATCGTTGGCGGCTTGCATGTTGATGTCGGTTTACAGAGCGCTGATGGGAAAGCATCCTCAACTCTATGACCCATATTCGAGCCCAAATAGCAGCCCAAAAGGCGCTCCCAACCAGAATCCTGTACTGCCAGCATCACGTGATAAGTCCATTTCCCCCAGATCATTCATTCGGTGAGTTGAAGAGGAGGAAAGGCTAAGGCCTGGAAGGGCCGTGAGGCGTTGGCAGGCCGGGCGACCAACTACATATTTCAAGTAAGGTATCGGGAGCATGGCTACATTTGTGTGTACACCCAGTTACCCAACATTCAAAAATATAAAACTCAACGGACAAAGGCTCAATTTGCGTAGAAGTATGATCAAAATGTATACAATCGACATGACTTCCGTATTTGGGACACCAACTGCCAGACTTCACAATCGCATTGACCCGACGAGGCACTGAATCGATCAGCCGGTTGATCAAGCCCCAGGGCAACCTGTGGGAGATGCATAAACCACATTGACACGCGCTTGGAAGGCAGTGTAAGTCTTGTTATCAACAAGCTAGGTAGGGAGCCTCTTCATGACATAACGTGACAAAGGGTAGCAGGGCCGAACTGGAAAGCCACCAGAATTCGCGGGGCTTCATATTCGAGATTTAGTCATCCGAATGGGGAAACACGACCACTAACATAGCGACCCTGATCTTCAGATGTGGCATAGCCTCCACGGTTTGTGTGCAAAGCACTGACTACAGTGCTGAAATTTGAATCTGGGGTTGTTCTTACCCTGTTTGTTTTTTGTTGTTATCAATTTGAACCTTCGAGGCCGTGCTGAAATAGGAAGGCACCCCCTAAATAAAGAACAAAGACTTGTTTTGGAAGGCGCAGGTTGGCATGATACGCGCGAAACCGTCATAAAGACGTTTAGTCATGATAACAACCCAACCTACTTGGATCGGGCGAGTTCAACATCAACCCGCGAACTGAACGGGTTTGAAGAGACTCGGAAGCTCCGAGTCGCCGGACCGGAACCGGTTACGCAGAACGTGGAAAGACTCGGTCTCGGATCCCGGATCCGGAAGGACCGCCGGGGCGATGAGGCTTGGCGCGTTCGGTGTGGGGGAGGAAGTGCCATAGCGCTCTTGCGCCATGGTTGGAGTGCGTGGGTTTGAGCAAGTTTCTGCGTTTCTGTTGGAGCTAACTACGCCGCAGCAAGGTATCGGTACTTTGTGCCACCTCGACACCAATAGAGGGAAGGCAGCTTGAGGAAGACGCCGACAACGTTGAAGATGGCCTCGCACAACGCAAGAGAATTAGAAAAACAATAAAAATTAGATAAATTTCACTTTGGCGAAGAGCCATGATTGCAAAGGCCAAAGGCCCCCATCCCCGTAACTCCGTGCTTATGTCAATAAATGATCCAAAAAAACAATTGCTCCTAGAGCGCGCGCTGCTTTTAGTGCTCGCCGACCGTAATGAACCTCCCAACAAGAAGACTCCCGAGGAACGTCCCTCCCAAAACCGAGAGGAAGTATCCCACATTCATCGACATCACGGCCAACATGCTGCAAACGAGTCAATCTCTGTATCTTCCGGTAGAGATAGCACGGGAAAAATAAGAAATAAAAATACTCACAGCAGATACCCGACTCCCACAACAACCGTATCAATCAGCGCCCGCGCCGGATCAACACTCAACCTCCACGGCCTGGAATGGGTCCCAGCCTCATGGTTCCTCACAACCAGCACATTCTCCTCGATCCCATTCTCCGCCAGCACCATCGTCATCTTGCGGGCGGTCTCGTCACGGGCCAGCGTATCCGACAGTGGCGTCTTGCCGGCGACCACCACATACCGGCGGTTCAACTCGGCGTCCAGCCAGCGCCGCTCCTGCCACGACTTGAACGCCAGGAGGCCGCGGAACAACACGGCCAGAACGATGAGGAAGATGCACGTCGCCGCGTACGTGCCAGTGTTGCCCGGCGTCCAGGCTGTTGAGTAGAGCGGGGTGGCCATGGTGTTTTGGAATACTGTGGAGTGGCCGCTGCTCATGTGCATCTCGTCGCTGCTGGTGCCGGTCCCGGTGCTGCCGCTGCTGTCACCCATGCCCATGTCCGTGTCCATGTGGTCATGGCGAGGGAAGAGGAATGGTGAGGACATGATTGCGGTTGGCGTCTTTTTCTTTGGTGTTGTCAAGACGTGTTGGTGGTAGTAAAGGGTTGCAATGTCGGGTTGTTGTTCGAGTGTCTCGGCGTTGAGAGTTTTAAGTTGCTCCCAACAAGCTGGGGTGAGACAGTGGCGTCGCGAGTTTGGTGAGAAGTAGCCAAGAACGGGACTCAACGGCTTGGTGGAGATTAGGACGAAGTAAATATCTCGTTGGTTGTCGTGCCAAGGATCTTGTGTTCTGCGATGAAACGAGTAGTTATCGACTCGAGAAGAAAAGAAAGAAGAACAAGCACGAACATATGGAGTGTGCAACGGTCAAGTACTTTTTGGTAATGCGATCAGCTCCTCTTCTGGAGTGGGAGACCGACGAAACTTGCTCAAAATGCGGCGCGGGATGTGCGGGTCAGCCCTGTCGCATGTGCGCAAGTTTACGGATAGCATGGGGAAGACTTGATGAACCATGTTCCCATGCACAAATGGGTGGGACTAGTTAGTTGTGCGATGGTTTTGTTCTTGGGAGCTCCCAATGGAAAACATTCTTCTTCTGCAATTAAACGCAGCGAGCTTAGACGATAGTTCAGGACGTGATTATTATCTGAAGAAGGTATTCCGATTCGATTCTCATCCCAAGACTGAGTGACGTGTGGTTGGACGGAAAGCTTGAATCACATTGCCCGTTAAAGTACCGCTACCCCGCTAATAAATCCTGAGTGGGAGTTTGCTCGTTAGCGGGCCCCACACCCACTTCCCACCTGCCGAGCGTGCATCGACACCACTCACCATTTGTGCCATTGCAATGTTGCAATGAAGTCGAAGGACACGAGAACACACAATGCGACAACTCTGCGAATAAACATAATTCACCCGAGTTTCCCCCCATATTCCGCAACAAATAGTAGGCAAGTCTGACATTCGTAAAGCCACAGTTGTCGATTCCATTGTCCAGTGCGGGAACCTAAAGCCGATCCTAAATTATACGGACATCGACTTCCGACTTGGCGTTATCACTTCCATAAACCCGTGCAACAGCAGGCGGCTCACATCGCGCGCTTGGGCGACCAACCGCTCAGATACGTCTCAGAAAAGCTTGTATCAATATATCAAGCCTTCACCGATGAACGAATCGGCGTCTCCTCAAACGCGGTTATCTGCTGCTGCGAACCGAGCCGTCGGGGGGGTTGCATCCAGGTCATTTATCCATCGTCAACAGATGGCGATCTCCTGCGCGCCTCCTCTTTCCACCTGTACTATCTACAGAAAACCGTCGCTCATCCTCTGCCCGCATCTTAGTGTAGGCCAGCCATGCAAGCCGTAGCGTCCTATGGAGGCGATCACTCCGAGGGGCCGCCGCTGTCGAAGCAACGCCGGTATGCAGGGCAGCAGCCTAAGTATATTGCTGGCGGCATCGACCCACATGCCCCTGCGTTGGATTCGAGTGACCCGGTGCACCGGGGCTCTAATGAGCCTATTTTGACGTCAAGTCCCGGTTGGCCTGGCCGTCGTGGTTAACGCCCAGTCTCTCGCTTGTGATGAAGAGTTGTGGCTCCAAAAGTTAAACGACACACGAACGCGATTTTCGGATCGCCAACATTGAGATATAAGCGGCTGGTCACCTCGGCGTAGACATTCCTATGCTTACTGTAATCATCTTAGAGGGACCCATAATTGCTCGAAATCACCGGTCTGCCTTGTGGTTCCAGAGGTAGCCTTTAACGCAGTGTGATGCTTTGAGCAGCCTGAAACGCGCCATGAGAACGTTTCGCCCAAGTGCCGGGCGGGTGTGAGCAACATATTCAAATAAGAGCTTCGGTGATGGGCAGCAACATGAAAGTTTCAGATCTCAAAACGTGCTCTTTCTTGCTCTCGACGGAATAGGCGTCAGAGGAACTCAACTCAATACGAGACCCGTAACCTGGTAGGTATGTGAAATATCTTGGTCTTTACCTTACAACAACAAATCCCCAGGGTGTCGGAGACTTACTCTTTCGTGACTTTTGTCTTCATCCCCCACGGGATCGGATGAGTTCGTGCATATGGGTTGGATACCCTGTCCTGTCGCCGAACGAGCTGTCCAGCTCCCTCGGCATACCTTAATTATCGACCGAAGCTGTTGAACATTAGTAGAAGTTGATATTTTCTCCAAAGCCCGGGCGACCTTCATATCATTCTACTTCGGATCGGGCCATGCCAGACATAGCAGCCGTGGCCCAGGTGTTCCCCTCCGAGTATGGGGCATCACTACGGCATCCGTATCGGTTGAAAACCAAGTCTACAATGCTGCTCTTGACAGCCTTAAGAGAAGTTCACTAGAATGTACATGTGAGATGACGTGCTGGAGAGTCTGGGGTATTTTACCCGCCTCACTTCGTCACAAACCCTCGACTAACAACGGCGTTCTACGGAGCTAGCCCTACCATATGCCCCGGTATGCACGTCAAAGTCCCAAGAAAGTCCGCGCTACGCTCTCTAGCTATTAAAAGAAAAAGCCTCGAGGCACGCAGGCCGATAGCGTTGGCCACCGTCGGTGGCTTACACTAAAGCGAGTGAGCGAGCAAGGCACTGCCCGATTCCTGATCGAGCCACGGCTGAACCGAACCGCGAACTAGGGAATTTTATCACCCCCACCTTGAGAGTATACTATAGTTCATGTTTGCCCCGAGTTCGGTTCCTTCCCCGCCTTGGTTCAGGTTTGGAAGAGCCACCTCAGCCCCTCCCGCTCCTGTGAACGGTTCAGGGGTCGGGGTGGCCTGGCTGACGCCCCCTCCCCTTTCAGTGTGGGCTTGTCTATATGCTTCCCACTATCTTGCTTACTGCGCCAGATCCTCGATGGAATGGACCGGTCAAAGATGCCAAGTCAAGGAAAAAGTCCCTCGAGTTCAGCTGGATATATCCCCCCGCCCACAAAAAGACCTCCAGCAGCCCATATCTCCGACCAATGATTCCGATGTATGATTCCGTTCGCCCTCCTTTACAAGCCTGGGCCACACCCACACCACCAAGGCGGCCGTGCCGAGTCCCGAAAGCATGAAGAGAAGTCCAATGATCAAAATTGGCACATAGACGAGACGACCGATTCTTCGTCCTAGAGGGTCTCAGTCTATCCTACCTGAACATCCGATCCACAACCGGAAAAGGAGGGGGGCGTGTGCGGAATGAATCTAGTACGGCGAGAGATTTTCAGTAGTGAAAACAAAAATAAGGTCACAAGTCATTGGAACAAGGTTACAACAGTTCCCGTTGTATGCTTCTTGACGGTTGGGTTCGTTGGCTTTACTTACCTAGCCAGCTGCTAGCACCCCTGACCTCCAACTTTCCTACTTAGTCGAGAAGGGAAAGAAAATAGAGGAGAAAACCTACATTAAAGGGACGGACGTGGGAGTCAGAAGTGGCCAAATTCACACATTGTTGAACTATCGTTATTTCACCCTTGCTCTTCCGCTGTCATCGGATCGACCAGTGACAGTAGGTTGTCTACTTCCACAAGCTGTATTCAACCTCAATTGCTATGACAACGATGGCCGTTGCCAAGGGGCGCGTTGCGGAACTGATATTGGACTGTATCCCACCACTGGGCGAAGCCTTGTCCCTATTCAAAGAGACGCAGCAGCATACAACATTGCTTCCCAAATGGCAGTAAAAAAAGAAAGGATATCAATATGTCTGGACAGTGATCCGAATATCTATAATAACAAAAGTCGCTTGCTGGGTATTTACAGCATGACGCCTACCGATGACAGCGGATCTCCTGCGCTTATCCGACTCTGTCCGACCTTCTGGTATAAATGCTGGGATATAAATAGTATGTGAAAATCCCCTGTGGCTCGGGGACGAGAGCCTGTCGCACACCTGACCTAGCGCCAGATTAAATTCCAAGCCAGTGTCAGTTGATAAGAACCAAGTGGTATCAAGATAGACCAAACAGATTGACCGACTCGGGGCGAGATGTTGAAAATCAAGGCCCAGAGTTGTGTCTCCTCCCGCTGTGATGGGACCACGTTTCTTTCGTCCATGTTTCCGACAATAGTGCATCGTCTCCGGTACCAACTCATTCCCATAGTTGCCCCTTGTGTATGCTACGATCCAGTCGTCGCTGGTGACGCCATAGGTCCCCATTTCCCCGCCTGGTGCTGAGCTTCTAGTTTCCTTCCGTATCCGTATTCCATGACGCCGTGAAATGACCAGTCAAATTAGCAAGTTATGTTTGAGGCCGTGTGGCACACAGCCAGGGGTATATGTGGAGGGGTTGCGTTTGCTCAAGTCGTCGCTGAGATTGTGGAGCGCGAGTGCTTTCCGTGTCCGATCATGGCGAAGTTCAAGCCTCCTTCTTAATCATTGTGGGACTATCACTTTTTCCGCCGGCGGTAGTGGTGCTGCGATCGTCCGAAGTATTCTCACTGCCGCCCGTCGTGGCGTTGCCAGCCCCGGGAGGTGAAGCCCCATTCCCGCACCCTTTAACCAGCTTGTGTCGCTTGATGGAGTTAGTAACTATCACCTGGCTCCAGCACATGAGGATCCTCAAAGCTTACCTTGAGGGCATCTTTCCTTGAGAACCTCTTCTCGCAGTCAGGGCACCCGAATGGCTTAACGGCCAAGTGTATCCGTTGATGCCTTTTCAGGTCGTGATTCCTGTTAAAGGCCTGCTGGCACTCGTTGCACTTGAAAGGACGTTCTGACTGCGGTGCGGGCCCGCCAGGGTGGTGGACGTAGAGGGGATGTGGATGGTGAGACATCCCGGGGTGGTTGTTGTAGTTGGATAACCCTGACATCCCGCCGACCATAGCCAGCGGCGCGCCTGGATGGTGCATGTTGCTCATCACTGGCCCCGGAACCTGACTGTAAGGGGGGTACGAAGCCATGGGCGCAACTGAATGGGTGCGTCCACCTGGATATTGCATTGGTGGGACCATCGCTGGGGTTGAGGGCGCGCCGCGGGGGACTGATCCGGAAGGCATGGTCGAAGAGGTTGTTGGCGATGGTTGAGTGAGAGGCGAGCTGTAAGAGGGGAAGCCAGATTGTTGTGGCGCTGAAGTGTGAGGGTAATATGGCGAGGTGGGCGGGCGGTAAGGCCCGCTGTCTTGTGTTCCAGCTTGCCCCGGCTGTCCTTGACGTGCTGTATCCGGAGACGGGTTCCCGAGCATAGACTGGCCGAGTCCGGACTGATTCCCCCCCTGACCACTAAGCGGGGAACCGAGGCCGTTTCCTCCCCCAGATTCATGACTGCCAGCTCCCACCGGACTCGAAAAGTTCTGCTGGCTCTGGTAAGGATGTGGTGCGGGTAAGCTCTCCCCATTCGGTGCTGACGACGAGGCACGACCAGGAAAGTGCTGGTGGGAGGGCGAAGGCGCTGAGCCATATGATGTCGGTGTTCGGTTGTAAGGGGGTTGAGCAAGGTTTCCCGAGCTAGTTGCCCCGGCGCCCGAGTTTCCGTATGTGTACGCCGAAGGCTGGGAGAGCCCTGGCGTTGGCCAAGAGCCGGTCATGTGGCCCGAGTAATACAATGGGCCACCCGTCTGCGTCGTGTGGGAGTTGCTGGCGTGGGAGCCTGACGTAGGGAAGCCGTTGGACACTGTCCCTGAAGGAGTCAGAACATTGAGACTTGGAGGAAATGTGGATTTTGCTGTGCTGGTGCTGAAGGAGAACGGGGTGGAGTTGGACGAGGGCGTCGGCGAAGGCGGCCTCGGGGCAGGAAACGATGATAGTCCGGATCCAAGACGGCTGCCCCCCGGAGTGGTGGCCATGGCCGAAAAAGGGTAACTGGGGTATCTCGTACTGTGTGTGTCAGGAAGTGGAAGTGGTCTCTGCGAGGCCACGGCTGAAGCTCCCATGCTCTTCCGTTGCTAGATGTGGCTCTCAGGGCTCGTGAAGTTGACAAGACGCAAGGAGAGCACCGTCCTGTCGTTAGTTTTGGTCTGTGTAAGTCTTCGCGTCACCGGGTGGATCCGGGCTCGTGAGTGTTGCTGGCGTCAATAGTCGAAATGAGGGAGATCGTCAGGCACCGGCGTGCTCTTGGTGTCGAAGTTCCGGCTTGCTGGGCTGGAGAGTGTAGTTGAGGAGGATGAAGTCCGGACGTAGTTGAGTGAGTGCCCCGAAAAGGCTGAACCTATAGGCGCCGGGTGGAGGACCCTCCGGGGGAGGGAGGGGGTCGCACAGCTTTAATGCTTCTTGTACTGTCCTCTTTGCCCGACATCCAGATGTTTGGGCTCGACCATGAACAAGGTGTGGAGTGTCGATCACTGTCCAAAATATGATGCTCCCGATTATTGGATATTGCAGTTGTCGAGTTTGGGGCCCTTGTCGGTTCACACTTTGGGGGTTGCCGGGGGGTGTGTGATGGGAAAAGCCGGTGGTGTCTCTTCTTGTCTTATTCCTGCGAGGGGCCTCTTTGAAGAAGGCGGGAGAGCTTCAGATGACGGTGGCCGTTTGGGGTGCCTGCGGTTGAAGTTCCCTCGTGCCTCCTGCCTCGTGCGTTCGCCGTCGCTTGTATTTATTACGAGGGGTGTGGGGGATGGGAACAACTGCCTAGAGTTTTGGGGAGCGGGAAGGGGGGGTTTTCGAGGCTAGAAGGGAGTGCTCCTAGGTTGGTTTTGACTCTGTACAACGATCCTGGGATTCCTAGGGTCGCCCAGAAGACCTTAGCGCGGGAGGGCTGAAAGACAGCTGGGAGGCTGCGAGACGAGCGGGTCTCCCGTTTTCTTTTTTGCAGTCAGGTTGGAAATTGGGGTCTCAGGAGCCGCGTCCGAATCAGTGGTTGTGAGATACACTGAACGCCGGGACCACTGGCCGGAAGTCCAGAATGGGACACAGAAAGAGTCACTACGCAAGCGGAACAAATTGGCGGTGCAGATGATTTAAGATGAACAGAAGTCGTGATCCGTCCGTCCTCCACCGGCTAGGTAGGTGCCGACTTCTACTCGTATGTTCCGTGCAGGGCAGGAACAAACACTTTGCCTAGGCGGACCCGCCCCCAACTTTGGATTCTTTCGCTGGGCAGGTCTAGGCCGGAGATTTCTGAACGGCAGAGGAAGGAACGAAGCCCAGGGTCGGTCATCGCTGTTCTGTGGTTCGTCAGGTGGCCCGACAATGTGGCCTCACGTTATCTGCTGGCTTCCACTTTTCTCAATGCCAGGCTGCCCTGGATTTCAAAAGAAGGCAAGAGTGAAGGGGCAGGTGTTCTTTTCCTCTTCTTCTCCTCCTCCTCCATCTCCTTCCTATTCCTTCTTTGTGCCCTTCCGCCTTCGATTACTGAGGCCATCGAAGTTCCGAACGCGAGGTTGCCATTTTGAGGGGAAAGGACTCAGTTCCCCGGACAAGGGGGGGGGGGAGTGGCCGGCCGGGGGAGGGCTGTCCCTTGCGTGGAAACGTCCCGTCTTTTCTCGGGCAAGGAGAGGCGTCAACAGAGGGGGAGGGGTGTTCATAGCTACGCGCTTGTCCAGAAACGTACAAGTCCCAGAAAGGTCCAGCCCAAGCAATGACCTCTTGATCCGGCCTAGCCCAAGTTTCGATGACAGTCCTCAACCATGCTACTGAAAGGGAACTTGGAGCGTGGATCAAGGTGGCACGAGGTGGATGCCATCGTTTTTTGCCTTTCTAATATCAAAAGGAAAGCGCATTCCCCTAGGCCCCGTAGAAACGGACGACTTTGATTCAAGTCTAGGGAACGGACCCTTTCTCGTGGACGGGAGTAGTGAACAAGCGGACGACCACCCGTGCCACTCGCCTGCTTGCCGCCTCGAATTCGTTTTCTCAGGGGCCTGACTACACTAATTGTCCGGGGTCAAGACCGCGTGCTTTCTTGCGTGGGATGTCCCCAGTTGCCTTAACGAATTCGCTTATCTAACAAAACGTGGCCGAAGTTCTAGAAAGCTGGTCATTCACATTTCTCCCACGAAAATGTGACCGCAAATGTCGGACGTGGGATGGATGCGCCCTCACCGAACGGCCGGTATTCAACCAGGCAAAGCGGCTTGGGGGGTTTTCCACGTCGTCTGTCAAAAAAGCATGATGATGTGTGGCAGGGGCTAGGATGCACACCGGTTGAACTCTGCCTCGTCTAACCGTCCGCGAGCGCGTTATTTCTTGAAGTGGCCGTCCATCTGGCAGGCAAATTCCTCAACAGCATGACCTGGGGGACCGCCAATCGGACGATTTTGGATCATGGAAACTCTGCGCACGGGCTGAGCAACAAGACGTGAGAACAGAGTTCTGGCTTGGTGGATGCGAGCGGGCGGGTCGCTTGCATGGTCGGGAGACCCAGGAACCAGTTCCCTGGCAAAAGCCTCAACTGGGAGTCCTGGTCGCTGGGTGTCACTTTATCCCCCGCTTGCTTGGCGTGCACCCTTGAACGAAAGACTTGCTCTCATCGATCATCTTGGGAGACGTCTGGAGGAGGTGTACTCTGTAGTTACTGTGTAGTTATTCGTATGGCACCGTCTCGTGGGCTGCAGCCTGTGATAATTCGGCTTGTCGATAAGGGCTGATGAAGGTGCCTCGAAGATTTCAGAATCAGAGGATGCCCAACGTTGGGTGCATGGAAAGGAGACACATCGCTGAAGAGAGATCAGCTGCGACTTCTCCTTTGGTCGTTGACGAAACAAGCGAGCGAACGACCTGCGCAGCGCGGCAGGATTGTGTATTATCACCCCCGTCGCTCAGCACGGGATATGCAGAGACGTTCCCGTCCCGTCTGCGTGCAGCGGCGACTGGCAGCCTTCCCATGGGACCGGCGTTTATGAACGCCCGCGCGCGGCGCAACGAAGTATCTGCTTACTTCTTGATCACGTCCTGCAGAGCGAGTGATTCGCTACGGCGTCCATGTGCTCTGCCCCTCTTCAGAGACGAAGCTTGTTTGTGTTGGACTTCCTACCCGGTGTCGCGATGGGGGCGATTTTGGTAGGCCATACGCACTCTTCTTCCTAGCGGCACAGCGACGGCATCCTTGGAGCCACCTGGCTCTCGTGGTGGTTGCTCTCTGCTGTTGTCGACTAAAACCATCCGCATGCGCGAACACGCATTCAGCTGAGGCCCGGGATTTGATTACAGGGGGCAAAAGGGGGGGGGGGGTGAAGGGACGGTGGAAGCCAGGGCCTTTCTCCCTGGTCCAACGCTGGTTGCTTGGATGGTCGACAGCTTGGACACCGACACGGGCATGCGGCCGTCTGCAACGCACTGTGTCTGGCGAATTCGTTTTTCCACAGACAGTCGCCAAGCGAGAACGACGGGTGCAAAAAGAAGCATTTGCGGTGCAGACCAAATGTGGTAATTTGTTGTTTGCGAGAGAGGAAGACGGTCGATCCTGTGTAACTCATGCAGAAAGAAGCCCTTTTGTACGGGCGTCCTTTTTTTCGAAGTAATTGAGCGAGCCGCACAGTATGTTGTCGATATCGATGGGGAGGAAGAGCCCCAAACCCTCGTGTAGAAAGACCTGAAAAGACTGCTGGAGAAAAAAATAAAACGAGACCTTTCTCCATTTGGGAATTTTTGACGAGTGGGGAAGCAGGCGGCCAACCGCGCTGGCCTTCGATCCCTAAAATCGCTCTTGACGCGGGCGACCATGAACCTTGCAGATGGGTTCTTGGTTCTTACCCCCAACTTCTCGCCTCGCTTGCCTGCCCGTCAATTTCGTTCGTGTGATCGGCTACATCCAGCAACCCCCGGACCTTCGAATGAGAAGGATGGCGTGCCGCTTGTCACACGCACTCTGACTGCGTGAATGCCCTTTTGAGTCGACTTGTGCGACTTGAGCTGACTATCCGGGAGTCTGCTTGGGAAATGCTGACCTTCGTCGTTCTGGTTTTGGCTGTTTCGGAACCGGGCGGGGGGTTGTCGACACGGCGATCTCGCTCGTTCGCCCTCTTTCATCCACCTCACTGGGGGCAGACGCTACACTACTCGCTTGCGCTGGATTTGGGCGATTGATATTAGAGCTTGTCCTGGACCCTGGAGCCGAAGCTGCGTGGCGTCAAACAAGGTTAACGGTAATCAGAGACGCTAAGATCCGTTGCGAGATCGTGGAGAGTGGCGCCTCTCAACTGGCGCGCGAACGCATGCTGATGTTCTGCGTGTTCTGGTTCCCAGGAACAACAATCTCGCCGCTGACGATCAGGGGATTGGGATGTCAAAAATAGCGACACACTAGCTCGAAAGGGTTCCGGGCCAGCGTCCGGGATGATCATTGACAGAGCGGAACCGAATGGGCTCCGATCGTTGCTGTTTCTTCACGGGCAAAATCTGGTTTGGAAATGCGTGAATTCCTTGCCATTTGATTAATCGCGCGGAAGATCAGGTACACGTAGCGATTGGGAAGTAAAAAAAAAAAAAAAAAAGGTTCTCTACCTGGCGGCCACAATTCTGGCCGCACCTTCCAGGGGCAGTGGACAAAGCAACGGAAGTTGCGATGGATCCTGGGTGTGGAAACGATATGGTCAAAAGCAGTTTGTCGCAGCAAGCCACAATGCGGGATCGTTTGGTGGACCGAAGCAGGCGCCGTTCGAGGCACGGACCTGTCCATCATCCTATCCACACAGTATCACATTTAACCTCAAGAACCGTGTTGCAGAAGAAGGAAAGATCTCCGGCCTGATGTGAAGAGCAGAACCACCACTTGAAGGTTCCAGGGGGGCCAATTCTCACCCGTCGAAACCGAAGTGCCCAGTGATATTTTGCGCGCAACACTCACGCCGGCAAACACCGTAATTTCACGACCAAAAGAAGCGAGAATCAGCCAATATTTGGCTGCATGTTTTCGGGTATTGAGGCGCTTTGTTCTCGGCACAGGTCGCCGCAGCAGAGCCCCAGAAGGCAAGAGAGCCTGCCCTATTTCGGCGACGATGGGCCCTGGACTCGGACTGCTTCATGCGCGTCTGTCGATTTGTGCAAGCGACGAATAATTCCCTAGGAAATGAGTAACCCTATTCGTAGTGTAAGTGATCCGGAACTGACTGCCCTTGGGCAAATACCAGGTTGCTTGTTGGTGGAAAAGATTGGGGTCGTGCTTTTCAGGCCGGCCGCCCAGGAGGGGCTCTTCAATGATGCTCCCTCCTTCAGCAAGACAGCTGCAACGTCCAAAGGACCGGCGGCCGTACTCCGTACAGACAGAAGTACATGCTTGGCCGCGCATGTTGGCCGCACGTGTCTGGCGCCCACACACCTCCAGCGGTGGACGGAAATGGCGTCGCTACCGGACGGGCGGGTTTGAAGCCATTCCTGGGAGCGGCGACCAAAAAAGCCACCGCCCGCCTTCCTGTTAACACCTGCCAAAACAGGACAGCTCTCCACAGATTTGACACTTTAGGCTGCAGCCAGAGGGCTCACCTTAAAAACCCGCTTGGGACCTGCATCCACCGCCCCCGATCTGAGATCTGCTGCCAGCGGGCCCGGTAGCCGCCATCAGCCGCCGTCAGTGCGGCCGGGAGCAAGCCGGGCACAAGATAAAACCCCGGGGCTTCCAGGTTGTTTTCTCTGTTGGTTTGCCGACCGACCGTTTCGGACCAGCGACAGACAGACAACAAAGAGCGAACGCCTTCTTACATAGTACAGCTCGACAAGATGAGGCAGCATTGCACATCTTTTGGTAGGACATGCTTTGCTACCGGCGAGCCGAAGCACAGATCGACAAGGACCGTCGGCTCAACCTGCTGAGAGAATGTGCTGCAACGGGTAGCGGCATCTGCAATCAACGCCGGTCACACAGTCCGAACGCCCGTCCGTCCGCCCATCAACTAATTATCTTGATTCGTGTGAGATGCGATGTTGAAGAGCCCCAACCCGGCCCACGGCCGCTTCCACCCGCTTCCGCATCCCCTTCATGCTGTGCACCCTTCCTCGTCACGGCAGTAGGCATTCCGGACAACCGAGCTCTTCACCCAGCTTTGCACGACACAAGAAGCAGCCAACTTTTCCCAACCTTTTACCACTTATCCTGCAATCGTAGCCGAGGCATCGGCCAAACTCTTGCTTTTTTTCCGTCTTGACGTCTCGGATGATGTTGATGGGCTGCTTGCCGGGGGGCTGGGTGGTGTTTCCTCACCGAGCAGGACAGACAGAGAGGGACTGGCGATCGAGGATTCGTTGGTCGAGAGAGGGGATCTTCGAACCCGGCTGACCTGTCGGGAGTCCGAGGCCTTAAACAATGCAGCTGTCATCACATGGATCAGAGTCTCTGTGACCCTACTACTATTACCCAATGCCAGAGCAGCGGAGAGTCGAGTTGGGCCGAATGTGTACGACGTCGGCTGTCGCGGTGACTCGTCGACGGGGAATTAAAAAGACAACCCGGACCATGGTGAGGGAGTACAAGAACCAAGACATCTTATCTTCTAAAACCTTCACTTGATGGGTGCAACTGCACACACACAACACACACACAGGGTTTCACATCCGGCCCCGAGACTGGTTGTGTTTGCGAGCCAGCTGTGTTAACATCTTCGGCACGAGCCGGACAGGTCTGCTGGGAAGACAAGCCTGCTGAAACGTTCTCTGACATTCGCAAGATTGCCATCCATCCATCCATCCATCCATCCCTTCATCGCCATGGTGACTCATATCACATGGGTCTCATAACGCAAGCCTCCGACGCACCGAGCACAGATAGTAGGCAAAGCAAGTCTCATTAATCGCAGTATCTCCTCACTCATGATTATCCCACATCGCCTCCATCCACAAGTATCCGACAAAAGAAAAGCTGAAAAGAAAAAAAAAGGCAGGGAGCCTAGGAGTATAAATGGAAGGAGTGGAGGTGCAATAGCAATCTGTGCAGTGCGGTAAACATCCGGCGACAGAAAACGAAACCAAAACGCGTGTAAAACGGAAAATAGGTAGGCGAATGTTAAGCAGTGTAGGGCAAAGGGGGTGTAAGTAGGGGGTATCATTCAAGTACAGACAGACTCTTCTCAACATTGGGTCGCAATCTGCTTTGGGTGTGTGCAAGGGCTGAAAAGAAACAGAAGTAGAGGTAAGTAATTGAAGAAGAACGAAGTTGAAGTAAAGTCGAACAGGAAAATGAAAAGTGAAAAGAAAATCAACCGCAAAATTAGAGGATGAGAAGGAAAAAGTAACACGAGGAAATGAACCAAGGAAATTGAAACGCAAAATAACCCTCCATCCATCCATAGCCATCGCCATCATATCTGTTCTGTCCCCATCTTCCTTCCACAGTTATTCCTCCCACAGTTCAGTTTCTTCCCATCCATCGACTCAAGGAAAAGGTAACAAAGGAAAAGTGATATATGTGAGTGGAGTTTAGTCCTTCAGACTCTCTTCCCATTCGCCCAGAGGACCACCCCCTCAATCCTCAAAAAACCCCGTATCATCAAACTCCTCAGCAGCCTGTGCATCATCATCATACGCGCTCGAGCGCATCATAGGTGGCGTGACCGGGTCAGCCAGCCGCCTCTGCGGGGGTGTCTCCGGCTGCTGCTCTGCTGCTGCTGCCATCGCGGCGGCCGTCATTGTCGCCATTGTCGCGGGGGCTTTACCCCTGGCTTTATCGGAAAGCGAAGGGGAGGCTGACAAGGGAGGGGGACGAGGCCGGTTGGCGAGGTCTTGGGCTGTGAAGCGACGGCCGGTGTTGGAGAAGGCTGAGGGTTGTTGTTGCTGCTGCTGCAGCTGTTGTGGTTGTTGCTGGTATTGTCTGGCCTGGACGGCGGCGACGGTTGGAGTCTGGCGCATGTGTGAGGATGGGGGAGTCATGGGGTTGTTGGTGTTGTTGTTGCCGAGGAGGCTACTAGGGGTACGGCTAACCTTGGAAGGGGTAGAGTTTCGTGGGGCAGGGGACGACAGAACGCTGCTGAGGTCTCGGTTCTTGCGCCAGTTACCCCAGGCCGCAGCAAAGGGTCCGACGGCCTGGGCGACGCGGGGCGTGGCGGCCTGGATGGTGGCCGCGATGTTGGGCAGGCTGATAGCCGACCCGCCGTTCATCGCTCGCTCACGCTCTTGCTCCTCCATCTGGAGATTGGCTTTGAGGCGGATCGCAGCGTCCTTGACGGCGTTCTTGTCGTAGTCATCCCGACCGAGGGCACCGATAATGTCCTGGAGGTCTGAATGGCGAACGGCAAGCAGCTCGCGCAGCCAGATGATTTCGTCATCGCGCTTGGAGATCTTGGTCTCCGCATCAGGATCCAGCTTAGACAGTTTGGACTCGAGGTCCTCGATCCGGTGCTCGCGCTCTTGCAGCTGCTCCTGCAGGACCATGATGGACTCCCGCAGAGCTTGCGGCGAGATCTTCTCGGGCAGGTCGAGCGAGCGAGAGGCGCCACCAGAAGCCGCAGGCCTGGGCTGGGTCGACGTCGCGGCCGGCTCGGGGCCGGGGACGACGGACTTCGCAGCCAAGGCGGCAGCTCGGGCAGCCTCCTTCGCAATCTCGAGCTTGTCTTCCAGATGCGCGACCTTGTCTTGCAGGTACTCGGACTTGGACGTCGAGATGCTGAGGCGCTCCAGCAGGTTCTGCTCGGCCCTCTGGGCATCCTCAGTCGTGTTGTTGAGCTGGCGTTCGTAGCGCGCCTGCAGGTCCTCGACCTCGTTTTGGTGCTTGCGGACCAGCTCTTCGTGCCCAGCCTGCTTCGAGTTCTGCGCCTCTTCAAGAAGCATTTCGTGACGAGCCTTGGCAGTGTCCGCATCCAACTTAACTTGGTCAAGCTGAGCCCTGAGCTTCGACATCTCGTCCTCGAGCTCCTCCCGCGCAACGTTGACCTGGTGGTTAGCCTCCTCCACCTCAGCCTGCATCGCGTCGCGGGTGCGCTGGACCTCCCGAGCGCCTGACTCCCGGGCCTCCTGGAACTCAGCCTGGTAGCGAAGCGAGTTCTGGTGCAAGGTGTGGTTCTCGGTGCGCAGTTCAGCGAGCAGACCCTCGAGTCTCTTACACTCCGAGACAGCCCGCATACCCTGGCGTTCTCCCATCTCCAGCCGCTCCAGCTCCGTCTCGATACGCTCGCGGGTCCTGGCCTCGGCCTGCAACCTCGCCTCGAGAACCTCTTGCCGCGCAAGCAACGCCTGCTCCTTCTTCACGCGGCGAGAGCTCTCCTCGGTGATCTGCTTCGCCGCCTGGCCCATCTCTTCCTGGATCGAGATGAACTTGGAGCGCAGCGTGTCGCGCATGCGTTCGTTCTCCTGCAGCTGGGTGCCCAGGGTATCGATGAGCTTGTGCATGGCCTTGTTCTCATCCAGGGCCTGCGCAAGATCCCGGTCGCGCCGCTGGATGATGGTGACAATGCGATCCGTCTCGGACCGCCAATGCGCGGTCTCCTTGCGCGCTTCACGGGCCTCGGCCTCGAGAGCGTTGACGCGATTTTGCGCTTCACTCTGCAGCTGGCTCGCACTGGCCTGACTGGCTTCCAGAACGTTGAGGCGCATGACGTGTTCGGTGTGGACAGTCTCGGCGGCGTGGATCTTCTGGTCCTTGTCATCAACAAGCTCCCTAAGCCGCGTCTCCTCTTCAGATGATATCCGAAGGAGGCGCTGGACCTCAGACAACCGGTCTTCAGCAGCTCTACGTCCTTCGACCTGGTCTTCAGCATGATCCTCAGCAGCCTGGATCCGATCCTGCATGTCGTTGACGACCTGGATCAGGGCATTCTTGTTCACCACTTCAGCGTCAAACTTGGCCACAGTAGCGTGAAGTTCGCGATCCGCTTCCGCAGCCCGGTCTTCGGCCGCCCGCCTGGTAGCGGATTCAGTCTCCACCTTCGTTTGCTCAGCGCGAAGTTGTTGTTCGAGCTCAGCAACACGAGCCTGGAGCGCGCCCAGCTGCTTGTCCTTGTCTGTGGTCGACGGCGGAAGCGGCACCCGGTGTTCCACGACCTCCTCGACGATACTCTTAATATCACTGGCAGCGAACGCTGGCTCGGCCGGACGAGCAAAGTGCTCCTTCATCTCCTCAAGCGCCTTCAGAACCAAGGGGCTGCTGTCAGCGGGTGTGGCATCCAGAGAACGCGCTTCGGTCGGCTGGTTACGGCGCTGCGTAGCAAACGCGTCAAGCACGGCGGCCCGGATCTGATCCAGCCTACGATCCCGGCGAGGGCTCATAGAGCGCGGCGGGGCAGTGACCTCATCGTCCTCATCGTCCGCGTCGCTTTCCCGGACTTCAGCCGATACGCTACCACCTTGGTCCCGGCGGTTGGACGCAGTCCTCTTCAACAAAGAAAGATTGATGCTGTCCAGGGTGCGCTCAAGAGGGCCGAGACGGGCAGCAAGCAACCCGCCGACCAGTTCGTTGACACGACCATCGAAGAAAGCCACGCGCGATTCGAGCTTGGTCTGCTCTGACTCGCTGAACATGCCTTCCCAGTCACTAGCGGGGAGGCTCTCCCCGACGTTGAGGTGGCGAACAGCGCCTTCAACAGACTGCCCGCTGCGGGAGGGGTCGACGAAAGGATCCTCCAGATCCGTAGCCGGCTGGTGGTCGTAGTCGGCTTGGCTCGGGCTGGGCGCGTCACTACGGGCGTAGCTGGGAGGGAGCAGGCGAGTAGGCGAGCTATCTCCAACGACCAGCGGGGACGGCCGAGTGGGACTGGACTCGCCCCATTGAACCTCATGCTCCTCATCGTAGGTCCTGTTGACGCCCATGTCCGGATCCTCGTTCATAAGGCGCATAACCTCGTCGATATCAGCCATGGACGGCCCGGCGTCTGCATCGACAGCCACGTTGCCGGTCGGCGGCTCGGCATGCGAGACAAGGTGTTCAGGCTCCTCGTGATCGGGCTCGACGTGCGAGACGACAGGCTCCTCGTGATCAGACAAAGGCGAGACCGCGCGCTCAACAGGCGCAGGCTCGGTCTCCTCCATAGGCGACGGGGGAGCAGCGAAGCGCGAGGCCGCGAGGCCAGACCGCTTCACAGGCGGAGACAAAGGGGGCTGCTGGGCATATCGCGAAGCAGAAAGGCCCTTTGCATGAGCGGGCGACGGAGAAGCGACCGGTGACGGCGTGGTGGCCGCGAGCTCGGCGACAGGAGGAGCCGATGGGGTACGTTCGCTCTCCACTGGGGTTCCAACAGATTCCACCGACTCTTCGTCTTCTTCGGCGGCGGACTCGAGACCCTTCTCGATTGGCGCTGGAGCCTCTAGCTCAGCGACAAAACCAGCCTCGGGAGTGACTGACCGCTCAACCGGTTTATCGGCAAGATCATCCGCAACAGGAGGCGTAGCGTCGGCTTCCTGGAGGTGGGTGTTGACCCACGTCGCGGCACCAGGGACGAACGCGTTCGCAGTAGCAGACAAGGATTTCTTATGCCCAGGCTTGAACCGCTCATCGGACTCAAACGGCTTCGCTTCATTGAACGCCTGGGCCTCCGAGTTATTGTTGAACTCAAACGGCGCCCAGGTAAGCGTGGCGTGATCCACAGACGGCTCTGAGGGGCTGACAGTGGCCTTGGTATCCGTGGTCTCCGAAACCATGGTCGATGACATGGTCATATCACCCGTACCCAGATTGGAGTCGTCAAACGACTTTTCCTCCGCAGGTATACCGTCGTCTTGAACGGACGATTCGGTGTGGGAGGGGAGAACAAGCGTCTCTTCCTCGTGGGGGTCGGCAAAGAGTGGAACGCCGTCGCCATCCCCGACGTTCGCCCGGGCCCTCTTGATGCGGGATTCGTCCACTAGCGGGCGGCCTTCAGCATCGTACTGCGCGCCGTTCAGCGCGGGTGACGGCTCATTCACGGGCGGGACGACCACCGCTGCCGGCTTCGTCGACTTCTTTCCGAACTTGCCGTGGTCCGCGCTGCTGAGGTCAATAGTGCCGAAAATGCTGTTTCGGTTGCTGCCAGTGTCCGCACCCGACATGACGGGGCTCGCGACAGAGGTAGGCATCGACTGAGGCGTGAAAGAGGGAGCATCTGGGCGGAACTTGGGACCGGAAGCTGAGAAGCTGAACTCGCTCTGGCCGGGTGAGAAGACCGGCGCGTTCGCGTTGATTTTGGAAGTGCTTGTCACGGTCGAAGGGACCAACTGGGCCGGGCCGACAGGGTTCACGCCCGCGTTGAAGGCTGATGGTTGGAACGTGTTGCTCGAAAAGCTAAACGCGCCAGGGTTGAAAGTGCTTGTAGGGTTGAACTTGAACTCTGGGGCCTCCACATTGAGTTTCGAGAAGGACGACACGCTGCCCTGGCTCGGACGGGCCTTGTGCCCTCCCTTAGCAGAGCCACCCGAATCACTACCAAGCCACGGGTTGCTGCCGTTCGAGAACGCGCGTTGGTGGGCGGCAAGCTTGGGAAACTCCAAAGCCTGTACCGGCGTGCCAAGGTTGCTCGGGTTCGTCTCGATTTCGTCCTCCTCGGCTGGTTGGGCAATCTGCTGCAGCGTCGGCTTGAAGCCATTCTTGTTGGAGGCATCGTCCTCGGTAAAGTACTTTTGAGACAACGAATGCCCACGACTGTGCGGCCGGGGATGGTGCAAGACCAGACCATCCGCATCACCAGCAAACCGGTGAGATTGGGAGTTAAACTCGGGCAACCGTTCACCAGCAGTAGCACCTCCAGCACCGGCCTCCGGCTGGCCATTGTCGTTGTGTGGGCTGTAGTCCTGGTCATTGTCCAGTTGCGACCGCATTTGCTCCTCCAGATGGTACTCGGCCTCGTCGATCTCCCTTTGCAGACTGTCACTGGGGTTGTGGCTAACAAAGCCCTGCTCCGGCTTGGTCGGTGGTACCTCCACAGCGGCAGTTTCTTCGTCAACCTCGCGCAGTTCCTGCAGACGGGGCGAGGCCCTGACTGGTGGCTGGAATTGGTGAGGCAGCGAAGGGTACTGGAGCGATTGGTGGCGTTGATGTGCCACATGGCCAGGGATCCCGTCAGGAGAGAAAGGTGAGGTCGGGGACATGATGGCGCCCAGGTTAGCGAGTGAGGGAGAGCCACCACGATGCCCATGCTGCAACATCATTTGCGGAGACCAGGCGAGAGGCGAGGAGACCGAGATCGATGCGCGGGGGTTGTATTTACCGAACGGCCCCGGCGAAGCGCCGGCCGGAATACCAGGGCTCTGGGAGGCGGACGTTACGAACTGGCCAGGGAAGGGGAACCCAACAACCGCCTGATTGCTTCCCGCCGACGAGGTCGGAATCGGTGGCGAGAACGGAAGCGGCGGGTATTGCGCTGCGCTCGATGGCTGTCTACTGTTTGCTGACGCAGGAGAAATCGACGGCAGTGGGGGCTCCTCATCTCCGAACGAGACACCAAGCGCCCGGAGTTTCGCCTCGTTGAGCTCCTCAACGTATCGCTTCCATGCTACAAAACACCGTTAGTGTCTAGAAAAAGAGCTGCATATTCCGGCTCAACGACACATACCGTTCAAATCTGGAAGAAGCACTTTCCAATCGCCCTGCCTCCGTTCCTTCACTAGATCCTCAGGGTCTGGCCAAGCACCCCTACTTTGTGATTGTTCATTTGTGTCCAGCTCGATTATGGGCTCATAGAGGTCAAAACCACTGATGTCGTAACCTAGCTGCTGCCAACTCCGAAGCATGCCAGAAACATTGGCCTCTGACAGGGGCATGGGGCTTTCACCCGGCTGGCCACGGTTATCATCTCGAGGGAGAAGTACGAGGATGTTCTTGCCCTTCCAAGGCACCTTCTTCTTGAATCTTGGTGTTGACGAGGTCGACGACCTCTTGATTCGAACTGGTGTCGAGGTGTTAGGCCCAGCATGGGGGCCTTTTGCGATACCGTTTGGTGCTCCATTACGGTCAATGGTCGTCGGTGTGCCAGGATTCTCAATTTGCTTTGTGGTGGGGACAAATTCCTTGACGCTGTCTGGCGTCGGGAGGTCGTCTGAAGAAGCCATCTTGGCGGGAGGTGAAGTGATGGTCGACTCGCTCAAGTGCGACTGTCTGAGCGTCTCGATGCTAGTCTGCTTGCTTAGTGCACCCCGCGAAGTCTGCCGGCTTCGACCTTCGTTCTTCTTCCGGCTTGCCTTGGGTGTTCGCACGCTGTCGTCGCCCAGCCAAGCAGCTTCCTCGCCGCCGGAGAAGGAGTCGCTCAGTGAAGAGTTCTCGCTGTCCCCGTCGCTGAACCAGTGACGCTTTTCCTGCTCGTCGGTGCCGCCGGCGGTATGCTGGCGGATCCAACCTTCCGTAATACCGTGGGCAACACGCCGTGCCCGGTTCGCGAGGACGGCTGCCGCAGCGCTGATATCCGGCAGGCGTGACTCCGGTTCAGCGTCTTGTAGGGGTGGCGCCGGCCGTAGAAAGGGTGTCGGAAGCTCCAGGCGATGGATGGGCGAGTCTTCAGACGCTTCGCTGCTCTGGCTCTGGCTGCTCGAACTCTGGTTCCGGAGATGTGGCGGATAGGGCGAGCCCCACTGGTTCGCGCCAAATTGTGTGGCGGCGTCGTCGTCCGACTCTGGGCGGCTATCTGGCGGTGTCCTCAACAGCCCCAGGACGCGATCGGGTAATCTTGGCGCAGGGAGAGGCGGGAGTTCGGGGGACGCCTCGCCGTCGGCGGTTGATGCGCTGGAGAGCGCAGGTGATGAGGCAGCCGGTGATGAGTATGGGTCCCAGGCCCCTTTGTGTCTTTCTTGTGCTGGTGCACGAGGGGGTGTTTGCGGCGGCGGCGTTGTGGGTGACGTTTTTACGGATCTTGAAAAAAAAGTGCACGTCAGCTTAGCCGTGGTTGGGCGCCGCTGAACCTGTGGGCGGCGTAGCACAACCACCTATGGGAGCCTGGCTCACCAAGAACGAGATCAGAGCAGACGAGTCTGCACTGAATCTCTTTGACTCCCAAAACTCCACACAATACAGCGGAAATGTCTCGTCACCCCGGAATCCACAGCCCGGTTATTGGGTCCACAGCCGAGGGCGGCGGTGTTGTCGAGCGAACCGGTACGCGACGCGTTTTCTAGAGCGGCAAAGTCGGTGTGCTGGTCGAATCGAAATAAGGGAGGGGGCATAAATTAAAATGGACCTATGTTACGGTTTTTGGTACAATTAAAGGAGCGACAAGAAGACATAAAACCGACGGTTAGCGACTTTGAGGCACATTGAAGCGCGTCCGCTGTTGTTGCCGGGGGTGGTAGGGAAACTGGGGAGAACTCGAAGCCGACGCCACGCACAAAGGGAAACGCGACGGGAGGATGGCCGAATTAAACGGTACGGGGGAGGCGGAGGAGTCGTGGACTCGTGGGTCGGCGAGCAGTAATTTTTCTGGCCGGACGAGCTCCGTTTAATCAAGCACTTCCCTGTCTGGTCCACATGCTTTATTCGGTCATCTCCTCTGATTTGGCGGATGGCAGGTACCTGCTAGACTGATCGGGAATTGGACGAACCATTGAGATTCGCCCCCAGATCAAGGTCACTCGCAACAATTGCATCACCGGGAAGCTCAATCGAACCGAGGAGCGGCGGCTATCGCCTGGTCTTGGGGGGGGAACCAAATGCATCTCTTCAGTTACCGTTAGTATTGTGTGCTTTGGGCCGTTCCCAAGCACGACGTTGGACAACGGGAAGGAGCCACGACAGCCGTGCATGGCTTCGAACCCCTGTGGGGGCTCCCCTGAAGGCGGAAACGGAAGCAGGCGAGGCAGGGGCCACGAATGGCTTGCTGCACGAACAGCTCACATCGCACGGGCACATGAGGCACGTCAAGGAATATGCTGGCAGTGTCATCCTCAAGAAAGTTAAAAGAGAAGATAAAAAAAAAACCCCTCCACGCATTCATCTCAATCGCCAAGCGGACATTTTGCGCCTGTTCCCGACAACAACCAACAATGTTTCGTCTCTTCCCGCGTCATATGTTCTATGTCAGACACTCATCGAGTCGATGACGAAGGGCAAACTTCACAACATCTGACCCGACTGTTCAAATGACCAAATCGCGACGCGCCTAGGCGAGCAACGACAGCCCAACCAAGGCGGACGAACACCAACACGAAACAACAACACTGTCAGCCCGCCAACTCACTGTCCATCGCCTCAGAGCGGGTGGATCTCACCGGCCGTCACGATGCCTGACTGGTGCCCGAGTGAAAAAAGGTCTTGCTGGCAAGCAGACTTGATTGGCGATTCCAAGGTTCCTCCAGCGCCATCCAGTGCGCATTAGAATCCACCACAAACAACACTGTTGGCCAGACAAGCCAGACAGAAGCCGCATTCCCGACGGTTTCAACTGTCGTCCGTTTCCGGGCCTAAAGGACGGAACCTTGCATCAAATGTCGCAAAAGTAGTCGAAGGACGCATCCGAGCTCACCACCATGGGGGCCGAGAAGGCTTTCGCGCTCGCCGAAGATGCTGTACTCTTGCACTGCTCTGCTTTCCCCCAAACAGTTCCAGGCCGTTCGTCAGTCCCGTCCATTCCTTGATGGTTCTTGCTGGTCTGCTGCTGCTAGACAGGTCTGCCACAACTCACCGGTTTGCCGGTCACAATCGCCGACCTTGAAATCCCCAGTCCCGTTATTGGCCATATCGGCACAATTGTTCTTCTGGTTATCGCACGCCCGATTCGCAGCAGTGTCAAAGTCTCTCTAACCGTGCTCAGCACACCACTCGTTAGCAAACGCTTTCTTTCGGCCCTCTAGGGAGAACAAAAGGGCAAAAAAAGACACCAGCTGCTAGAATCTGGTGTCATGGAGTTAGGCTAGCTGGGGGGGACTTACAAAGGTATCACCATCAACTTCGAATGGTCGCTCCGGGTCCCCTGAGCTCAAGATAGCCGGCGCGGCGGCACCACCAAGGGCGCCCGAGAAGGCCTGTAAGTTTGTCGTCTGTTGTCGAGGTAGGATCATGCTCATGCCGAATTCGCTGCGGCCGACTCTCCCGTTCTTGTCTATCGAGGCGATGACAAGAGCAGGACACACCGCAAGGAGGGACAAGGATTGGATTTGCATCGTCGCGGAGGGGCCCTGCCCAGTAATTAAGGGATGCGTGAGGCTCTATTGCCCGTGCTGTATTTGTATCTTATCGTATCATCCGTCGAGGACGAATAGGTAAGAAACTGCCACGGGTAGATATATTGTGAAAAGTAGTGTATCAAGAAAGCTGTCACCTCCAACTGTGAAAATCAATTCTCGCCCACATACCACATATCCTTAAACAACTTGCATTCGTTCGCCGGGACTCTTAGATCCCGACGCCAATGGCCACCAAAAGTCTAAACGACGCCAGCACGGCCAGTCACCACTCAGCCGCGCTCAAGCCGTGGATGAAACCGTCTTGAGACGGCCGTGCTCAACCGTTGCCAAAAAGGGGTGGTTCGTCTGTGTTCCGCGTTCTCCAACACACGTGACCACAGAGACACGGCGATGGTCCAATCTATTTGGGCCGTCTAAGATTCTGAGAATCTGAGGATCTAAACGGAGGGAGATGGTACCTAAATATTTACACGGGTTGACAAGTCCAGAGCTCAAGACACAGGGCTCATGGATTTCGTAATATGTGCATAGTACATCGCATAACGCGCATCACATAACATAACTAACGCAGGTCCCATCGGCGGCGCTCCGGCTCGCGGCGGACGGAAGTTCGCGAAGGGAACCGAGCTGTTTCTTGAACGTATGGCGTATGTATGGGGTTGTATATTAAAAGGTCTTACACACAACGCGCGCAAGGTATTTTGTGCAGCTATCATAGGGGATCTACCAAATCAGATTCGGCCGTGAATGAAACAAGCCATCGAAACATGCCTTAAGAAAATGGAAGAAGAGAAAAAAAAACGGTGTGAGGGAATGTCGGTGAAAGGCTTGATCGTCTGGTTCGCGTGCCCGTGCCGGGTTCCCGTCGAGGGAAAAGTGTCTCTCCATCCATCCATCCATCCATCCATCCGCCTAACAAACAACGTAAAAGGGAATAAAAAGGTTGCAGCTTTCACCCATCTTCTTTTCGTCTTTGCCGCTTTCTTTCGTGATCTCGGGGAGCCTTATCAAATCATGATCGGATACCCCTCCCCTAAACCAACCAGCCTGGCTTTCTTCCTCCCTCTTCTTCCTCCTCCTCCCACGTGACGTTGAGATTCCATCGGCCCGGCACGGTTGTGGTGGTGACGCGATGCTGAACAAGGTCCCATTATGCTCTCTTCCAGATGCCGAAATGACGCCTGGACGGATGCAGGAACCCTCCTCCCCTCCTCTGTTTATCTGAGAGAAAAAGAAACAGAAATAACTCCGGTGCGGCGCTCCCAGTGAGATGAATGAAATCAAAATCGAAGTTGTTGACAAATGAGGCAAACCGGGTGAACCGGTAACTGAAAGAAGAGCAACCGGTCTTTATTTTTTCTTCCCTCCTTTCCATTCCGCCAGCTAACAAAGAGCAGGACAGACCAAGCCAGCCCGTTTAGAAATTGGCCGCTGAGTTAACCTGCGTCGGCGCGTGATAACTCTCAAGGGTGCTCTGGAACGGGGTGCGGCCAGCCGTGGAACCGCTAGTGTCGGGCTTGCTCTCGATGTGACTACCATAGTCCATCAGGCCATCGTTCTCCTCCTGGTGCTTCTTGCGACCCCAAATGCGCCAGGCCACCAGCGCCAGACCGGCCAGGATGATGGCACCACCCACGCCGACCACGACACCGATAACCGTGTTGCGGGTTTGCGTGGGCATGCCGGATTCCTGCCCGCTTTCGCCATCCGCGAGGCCCGGGGTTTCTGTCGTCTTGGTCTCGCTCGTGTAGGTTACCGGGGAGCCATCACCACGGGTGCTCGTGACGATGTGGGTGATGACGTAGGTTGTGGGCTCTCGGTGGGAGGATGAGCTCGATGTGGTCTTGGGTGGCTGACTCGATGATGAACGGGTGGTCTCTTGCTCGGAGCTGGTGGATGTCGGCTTGGATGAAGTCTGGCTTTGTGTCGACGTCTGAGAGCTCGATGTGGTGGTCGGAGGAGGATCTTCTTTTGATGATGACGAGGAAGTCGTCGAGGTCGACTCAGGGTCCGAGGTCGTAGTTTGCTCCGGCGGGGGTGTCGATGTCTCCTCCGGCGGCGGATCGGACGATGTGGCGGTAGCGTCGCCAGTATTCGCAGCCCCGCCAGCGTTGTCTGCGTTATCTGCGTTGTCTGCGCCGCCCACGTTGCCAGGAAGCTGTCTCCGTTGCAATCCCTTCGCGCCGCTACCGGCAACGCCGGCGCCCGCAAAGGTGGCCTCCGCGACGGACATCGCGGAGAGGCTCACGACGAGCAGCCTAAGCGCCTTGTTGAAGTGCATGTTTGGTGGGCTTTGATGCGAAACAGGGTGTGGTGAAAGTGTTCTCGTGAAAGAAACCAAAGCCGGCAGTTTCTCCCTTCAGCAGTTTGTTCAAAGGCGTCCGCTGGTTTCGAGGATCGCCCAGCCCGAGCTGAGTTTCGGACGGATGGCGACTACACTAGTTCGAAAACACGCAGCCCAGAACACGGCGAAATGAAAGATTTGTCCGTGTGACCAGAGTGGGTCGAAACAACTCACGCTGAAATTGCGGGAGGTTGATCAAACCAACGGCGAACGAGGTGTTCGGAAAAGAAGTGTGAGATATCAAACACAAATCTCGAAAATGACTAGGGAGCGAAGGCAGGGAAGTACAGGAGGGAAACGAGTGGCCGTTGTGAAATGGTTTTCTTGAAGTCGTGTTTGAGGGAAAGAATGGGTTTGGGCGAAAAGCCGTTCATGTTTGCAGCTTGCGTGGAACGGCCTGAGAAATGCGGACAGGAGGGGGTTGACAAGGATCGTTAGGGGGTGGGGACCGCGGGAGCAAGGGGAACCACTTCGGGGCTCGTATCCCGGGGGTCCTGGCCGGGATGGGGCCGCCAGGGCAGAATGGAGCCGTCGCGTGGTCGTGAAGAGCCACAGAGCGCCAACTTCACCACCAATGGAACATCCGCCTTTCGGTCCCCTCCTGTGCTTCTATGCGAGCTTCCAGCATTGTCTCAAATTGTTCAGTATTTTTTGGGTTTTGTTTCATCCAAAGTTGAAATTTTTCCAGCGTTGCCGGTTGTCCCCGTTGCCCGATGCCAACAGTTTTGTCGATCTCACATACCCGGCGGCCGGCCGACCGCGCTGTGGAATTGTTTGCGGCAAGCAAAAGAAAAGAATGAAAAAAACGTGACGCAGGAGGCGGTGCTTGCTCGGCGAGTCGAACCGGTTCATCCGACGCCACCCACCAATGCTTTGCGCAGCGGCGGGTCGCGGACCTGCACATCATGGACGCCATCGTGGAGCATTTCGTGCATTTAGTTCGGCCGCCGTCTTTCCGACTCACATCATCGTGCAACTCGTGCTTCTCGATGTTACTGTGGATGGCGCTTTCATCTCCATCGGCACCAAATTTTTGTAACGGCTTTTTCACAATTCTGCAGGGCGGTCCCCAAGTGCCGGCTGGTCTTGGCCAAAAATAGCCGCCGGGGACATTCGGGGCACGGGGATCACCTTTGCAGGTGAGGCAGGACACAGTCATCAATGTGAGTTTGGCAGGTTTGGGTCTTCAGGTGAAGCGGCGCATGGTTTCGTTCGGAGATCGCCAACAAGGGCTGCAGGGCTGCTCGGGCTACTCGCATCGTTGAGGAAGGCTGTTGATGATCGACCGAGTCGCTTTCCCCAGTGATCGTGGCTCAGACGATACCCCGAGTCCCTGAGGAAGATCCAGGATTGTCCCAGCGGCCGGCGACCGCTCCCATTGGGATGAAAACCGGTTTGGATGGTTTCGTAGGGTTTTGCCAGTTGGCAATTGGACCGTGCGAGTCCTCGCCAATGCTTGGAGGCGCAGCAATAACGTTACTGTGAGAATCTCGTCGGATTGTTACATTTGTGTCGCCTGCCATGACTTCTGAACAGCTGTTCATCCTTAGTAATAGCATTTTAAGACGTCAATGTAACTAAACAGCCGGGTTGTTCTGTTCAAAATCATGCGGGTGGAGAACTCTGTCGTACTTGGTAAACAATCCGCGAGAAAACAAGCGTGCTCTACCAATTCGCTGGGCCGACTCGTTCCAGGTGTCCTCAACATTCTTGACAACCTTGCTTGAACTAATTTATACACAACATGTCGACAAGCGAGGCAAGGAAATATTTCTGAAAACTTTGACAGTTAATTACATCATCGTATACTATTTCGGGAACTGCACTAGAGGGAGAGAGTTGAGACTTAACTTGTCTCTTTATACAATACTGAAATTGAGTTATGTTTTGTTGTTAGTTGTTGGGTTAACAAACCAACCCCTGGCAAACTCTGGTGTGTGCCGAGAACAAATGATTGAAACTATGGACTTTGAAACAAAACGTCTCCTACTTGCGCACTTGAGGTTCAACACAGATTCTAAGTCAACGACGCTTCTATGGTGTGATTGATATCCCTATCACCAACCTTGCCGTCGAGCCGTCCGTAGCCATTCCCTACCTGGCCGAAATGTTGAGTCAGAGCTGCTCACATTGTCAACCGCCAGACGCCTTGTACATACCACCCATCCCAATATTCCGTAACAGCAACATCTTCCAGGATGATTAAAAGGATTAACAGTTAAAAGATCGTACCTTGCGTCTTTTATCCACTGGGATACGTTCCAATGATATTTTAGGTAGGTATATAAAGGGTGTGTGTTTTGGTTTTTCTTCCGGGAGACCACAACCAGGAATACAGATAAAGACTCAACTTGATTGATTCACCCAAGCTTCAACCCATCTCAACTAAAACAGGAACTCTAGGATAGCGTATCATCTCAAAAATACCGAACGTGAAACATGCTAAGCATGTTAGTGATAGTCGGAAAGTAGACGAAGTCTCTCCCACTTTATGTTTGAGTCAACGGTACCATTAAGTAGCGGCCTGGGCCTCAGTAAGCTTACTTTATGAGATATTTGTCACACAGTGGTCTACCCTAAGGCAGGCGCTGCTTCACCCAGAACCCTTCCTACCTCCGCCTCGCGCTCCTATTCCTCCCAAGGGGTGTCTGCTATATAAAGTATGAGTCGGCGTAGCCTCTGTCTTTGCAGGAGAAGCGGAAGCCTGACGCGCATTGGATGTCCCACACCCATTACTTCACCCTTTACACAAGCGTTCCAATATAGACTACGACTCCTAGAGAACCTATACCATTGTCTACTCTCCGTCGGAAGCAAGGAGTGTTAGTATTCGCCCGTCCCTCCCACCAGTTGGTAGGTCAACTTCTTGATCTAGGCTTCACTCTTCAAAGGCCTCACAGCTAACTCATCGAACGGGCGTTGATGTCGGCGTTGTAATTAAGAGGAAGCCCGAGAGTACCCAGGGCCTCATCTAACATGGACGGGTCGTTATGTACGTTGACTCACATACGGTGGATTCCACGGCCGAGAATACTGTAGAAGGTGAAAACAGCGAGTGATTTACGGCATCATGGACTCAGCAAGGAGAGCTAACGGCGTCGGACAGTGACAACAGGATGGACCAGCGGGACACCGAAGCCCAAGCGACCTCGCTTGGCGAAGGTCTGCTCCAGCTCGGCTTAATGCAGTGCCTTTGTGTCGTTCATTTGAGCCGGGTATCACCACCGACAGAGCGTCTGTCAGCACGGCAATTTCCTGAAAGGACCGAAGCCACCGTTTCAAAGTCCAGCTCGGAATTTCTCATTTGCGATGTCCTTAATCGTCTTGCGTCTTCCACAGATGCTTGAAGCCGAAGACAGTCTTCTGCCTTCTCCGTGTGGCAGAGTGGGTGACGGCAACTGCCACGGCGGGAACCTAGTCTGCGGTAGAAATGTCAAGATATCGGTCTGTCGAATATACGTGTGGCTGGGTGGGAAGGGGGCCGGAGGTGTCCGCGGAGAGCCGACATTTCAGCCAGAACCTCTATTTTGTAGGTATGAGCCGCTCTCTCTCGATCGCCGCCCTTAGTTAAGCGGAGAGGAGAAAGCCATCATCGATCCCTTTCACTTCAACCAGGACTTGATCCACAGGTGCTCTTGTAATGTGCATGGTTCTCAGTTGGGTCGAATTAAGGTGTTGTACTTCGTACTCCACAATCACAGGTTTAACAGCGCGCCGCGCGGCGCTCGGAATGGTTATTTTCAGAAATTCTTTTTTCATAGGACAGGAGATGCCCTTTACTCGAGGAGATGAAATGAGGTAGATGGAGATTTTGCCTTTTTCTCCCGGATCAATGACGGAGAAGCTGAAATTTTGAGGCCGAGTTCCCGGGTTCGCGACGTTTCCGTCAAGGCGTGCAGGACGGGAAAGGGAAGCGAAGTCGTGAGGTTGATATAACCGGCATCGCGAGACAACCAACAAAATTACATAAACCAGCTGATTGGTCGACGCTGCGAAAACGTGTATCGCGTCGCGGTCTCGATCGTCCCGATCACGTCGGTCGGTGTTGAGAAGCTGAAGAACAGATGCGTGGTCCGGGTGTGTCAACTGTCAAGTTGGCCCTCGGGCATGCCCGGACCAGGGACCAGGGTCCATGGGCGTGTGAATGGAGACACCCCTGCGGGGCCGAGACACAGCGTAGCCCTGCCGATTGATCCGGACCTGATCAGCGCAGAGCCTCACGGCCAAGAGAGGAAGTGATCGAGCAACCCCGCGCAAAACCGCAACCCAAAATCACCGAACCTGGGGATCGACTGCTGGGGGTTGACATATTTAGCTCGAACGTCCTATCTAGTTTCGCGCGGAACTTATTTTCGACTTCAAAAGTATTTTACTGTGTAGGGACGCGTCTTGCTCAATTCTGCAGCAGGATTCCCTGAAAAGGCCCGTTAATAAGCGATCTAGCGGTTTCCCCAAAAAAAACCACACCGATGGTCGAATGAGAGGGAGCAGAGAACTTGTGCGCGCGAGTCAGCTCCACCGGCGTCCCGAGTACGCTTTCTGGCTCACCCTTCCCACAAGATAGACGCGGTGAAAAAAAGCTAATTTAGGACTGGCGCCCGGAAGAGTTGGTTCTTGGGAGACGCGGGGGACTTGTGTCAAGAGCAAGTATCGGCTTGGCAGGGGCTGACTTCCTTTTCTGGACGTGAAAAGTGGCTAAACCCACCCATCGGCTCTGCGGCTTGGTTTCTCCGTGCGTGGCGACATGGAACCTGCAGAACGGCCTGGCCCTTCCCCAACTTCAAGGAAGGAGCGTATGCAAGGGGAAAAGGAAGCCAGCGAACCTACCGAAAGATCTGTGAGCGCAGAACCTGAAAATCGAAACCATCGTGAGACGAGAAGAAAGATGGCTTCAGCATGTGCTGAGCTCATCGCCCGAATATTGATCGATGATCGATGAAAGCATTACCACGGTGAGGAATGAGCCTTGGGGAAGCCCAACTTTCACCTGCTACTTGGAGAGGAGACGAAAGTCATCCAACCAACCAACCAACCAACCGACTGACCCGCTCATTCATCAATAATCATGCATCCATCACACTCTACCGGGCCAGCGGTCGGGAAGTAGGCGCGGGCGTTTGCGCGATAATTTCCATCTCCTTGCTTCCAGACCCCCTTCCCCCCCTCCTCCTTCTCCCCCGCTTCCAGGCTGCCTGGCGGAGACTTGCCCAAACGGTTGTCACCCACCCAGCATTAACTAGGTGACAGAAGCATCGTGAAAGCCGGTTGGAAGCCCTCCCGGGCTACCCCCTGTCCCTCGGTGCCGGAGGTCTTCGGGGATACTATGCAGAGAGCGAGAGAGTGAGAGAGAGAAGGGGAGAAGGGGGGGGGGAGGGAGGTTAGGTCCGGCCCGTAGGTCAGCAGCATGTCTTCTGAAAAGTCGTAGTGCCCTCACTCACTGCTTTCCCCTTTCTCTTTCTCCGTCCAAGTCAACACCAACACGGCCAGCGTTCCTTCGCCGTAGCAGACGTTTCGTTTGCGTCCTTTCGTTGTGTGCGTGTTCAGCACCACACCACCAGTCACTCATTTCTACAGAACAGCCCGTTCTTTGGCCGTTCAGTCACTCATTTTCTGTTGATATCCCCGTGTACATACATACCACACCACACCTTATTGTTAATATCACCACTCCATAATGTTCACCCGGACCCTCACCCTCGCGGCCCTCGCGGCCACCTCGGCCCTGGCAACTCCCGCGGTCAATGTGTACTGGGGACAGTCAGGCGGAGCAGAGGACAGGCTCAGCAGCTACTGCGATGGGTCCATGGAATATGTCACCGTCGGCTTCATCAACAACTCTCCCGAGAACGACCCGTCCGGCTTGGGCTATCCCGGCAGCGATTTTGGAGTCCATTGCCAGGCTTCCAAGTACCAGGACCCCAATGGCGTCGACTCGAAACTCCTGAACAAGTGTGGTCAGATTGCCGCTGATGTCCGGTACTGCCAGAAGAAGGGGAAGAAGGTGCTTCTGTCTATTGGTGGTGAATGGAACCCGCCCAAGTCCGACTACACCATCTCGAGCGGTCCTGCTGGTGAGGCTTTTGCCGACTTTGTTTGGGGAGCATTCGGGCCTTACAACGACAACTGGGAGGGAAAGCCTCGTCCGTTCGATGATAACTATGGCGCCGAACCGGGGGAGGAGCACTTTGTTTTTGATGGTTTCGATTTTGACATTGAGTACCAGTTCGGTAAGCCAGCCAGCCAGCCTATTTTGCCCCCTGGATAACGTGTGATGTGAGAACAACCCGTCACTGACACCCCCTTTCTCTTGTTTAGCGGACCAGACCGGTTACGTCGCCATGGTCCGCAGGCTGCGAGGCCTGGTTAACCTTGACACGACCCGGGAGTATCTCATCACGGCGGCTCCTCAATGCCCCTTGGTAGACGAATACTTCCAAATGAAGACCATCATCGACACGTGCCAGTTTGACGCGCTATTCATACAGTTCTACAACAACCCGATGTGCGCCGGCGTCGACAACAATAACTTCGATGCCTGGGTGTCGTACCTCCAAAACACCCCCAGCAAGGACGCTAAAATCTTCCTCGGCCTCCCTGGTTCTCCAGACGCTGCGCAGTCGGGCTTCTTGCAGCCGGATCAAGCTAAAACCTTGATCAACAAGCACAAGAACAAGCCTTCCTTTGGTGGTGTCATGGTCTGGGACGCGTATTTCGGCGGCTTGCAGACCGACGGCAATGGAACCCCCTACTACGACCTGGTCCACAGCTTGGCCGGCGGAGCGTCCCCGACCACCACGACGCCGTCACTCCCGAGCTCGACGGCCAAGGTCTGCACCAAGTATTACACCGTTGTCTCCGGAGATACTTGCTACGACCTGGCCAACTTCTTTGGTATCACCTTGGACGAATTGATCAGCTACAACCCTACCCTTGACAGCAGCTGCGGGCTTTGGGTTGGCCAAGTCCTTTGCTTGGGCATGGGATCGCCGGCTCCTGTCACCACCACCTCGGTCACTAGCACTTTGATCACCACTACCAAGGCGTCGACCTCCACGAAGGCGTCGACCTCCACGAAGGCGTCGACCTCCACGAAGGCGTCGACCTCTACGAAGGCGTCGACCACTAGCAAGGCGTCGACCACTAAGGCCGCGACTACGACCAAGGCGACCACCACCAAGCCGTCGACAACCTCCAAGGTGTCGACTTCCACCAAGGTATCATCGACTACCAAGGCGACTACCACTAAGGCCGCGACAACCTCAAAGGCGACCACTACCAAGCCGTCGACGTCCAAGGTGTCGACCTCTACGAAGGCATCGACAACCTCAAAGGCGACAACCGTCAAGCCATCAACTACCAAGGTATCGACCTCCAGCAAGGTGTCATCAACCATCAAGCCATCGACGACCAAGGCCGCGACTACTACCAAGGCGACCACCACCAAGGTGACAACCACCGCGAAGCCGACCACCACGAAAGCATCGATTTCCACCAAGGTGACTACCACCAAGCCATCGACCACCAAGGCCTCGACTACGGCGAAGGCGTCAACCACCATCAAGGTGACTACCACCAAGGCGACCACTACCAAGGCGGCCACCACCAAGCCATCGACTACGGCCAAGGTGTCGACGACCACCAAGAAGACGACTGTCACCAGCAAGGCATCGACCACCAGAGCGGCGACCACCAAGGCCACGACTACGGCCAAGGCGACCTCCACAAAGGCGGCCACTACCAAGGTGACTGTCACCAGCAAAGCGTCGACCACTAAAGCAGCCACTACTAAGCCATCGACTACGACCAAGTTGTCGACCACTAAGAAGACGACTCTTACCACTAAGGTATCGACCTCCGCCAAGGCGTCGTCGACCTCTAAAGCGGTCACTACCAAGGTGACTGTCACTAGCAAGGCATCGACTACCAAAGCGGCCACCACCAAGCCATCGACAACCTCCAAGGCGGCCACCACCAAGGTGTCGACTTCTACCAAGACTTCGACTAGCCTAACTTCGCATAAGGACATCTCCACTCGAGACGGCGCTCCTGCGACTTCCGCCGAGAGCACCATCGAGGCCACCACCACCACATCGGCCGATGTCACCTCGACGACGGCTAGCGGTGCGCCTGCTACCACCTCGGTTGATGATGATGACAGCTGCGAGGACGACCAAACTAGTACTTCCGCAGTCGAATCTGCGACCACCACTGATTCTTCTGCCTCTGCTACGGCCACCCCTGCTACCACTGAGTCTGCCGTCGAATCCGTGACCTCCTCGTCTAGCGGCGCCACCATCACTGCGTCCGACAGCTGGACCACGTCAACCATCTACTCAACCACCACGTACACCATCACCAGCTGCGCGGCCACCGTCACTGACTGCCCGGGCAAAATCGGCCACGTCACCACCGAGACCATCATCATTGGCACCACCGTCTGCCCAGTCACAGCGACCGCGACCGCGACGGAGGCGACGACAACCGCGCCTTCGTCGCTCCCCGAGGGCTGGACCACCTCCACCGTGTACTCGACCACGACCTACTCCATCACCAGTTGCGCCCCGACAGTCACAGACTGCCCGGGCAAGGTCGGCCAGGTCACGACCGAGATCATTGCCATTGGCACCACGATCTGCCCCATCACCGCTAGCGAGGGGTCGCCCAAGCCGACTGGTAGTGCGGGTGGTGAAGGAGGGGACTCGACTACCACTACCTCCCTCACCAGCACGACCACCCGCTTCACTACGCTGACGTTGCCTAAGCCCGCGCCTACTACCTCTGTCATTGAGGAATTGCCTTCCTCCGCGGTGTCGACTGGTCCAGCGGGTGGGTTCCCCGTTACTAGTGCCGCTATTCCTAGTGGTAGCAGCACTGGATCTGTGGGCGCGCATCCTGTGACAGCTGGGGCGGGACGTAATGCGGTCGCGGCGGTTGGGGTTCCGGGTATGTTCGTTGCTGTTGGGTTGATGGTGTTTGGGTTTTAGGTGAGCAAGGACGGATGCTTAGGTTTCATGGTCAGGTTAGGTTGGTTTGTGTGCTTGTTTTGTTCTGTCTGTCGTTGATTACCTTCGCTGAGGTCGTCCCTTCGTTGGTGGTGATTTGTAGATGACCATCAGTTAGGACGACATCGTTCTTGGTGTCGTAGTTTGTTGGTGGAACTCATATTACGTTAGGCAAATGGTATTGCTTGAAAAAGAGAAACACGTGCCTCTTGTGCATTGTATTGACTGTAATCCGTAAGCAGATTTGGTTTGCTCTGGCGAAATACCGGTTTGGCTGGAAAGGACAAGATCCGAGCAAATCCATGTCTCACGGAAAGTTGCCGGCTGTCCGAAGTAAGTTGATCTCCCTCAACTTGACTGCCGAATTCTCGCCTCAATAGGGAGTGTTGCACGGACCGGGGAAGCATGTTTAACAGCAACATTTATTGAGATGTTGATGGACAGTAGGTATTTGGTGTTGAATTTTTGTTGGCAGGAGTATCGATTTTGATGGGATTGAAGTTGCCAGCCGTCGCGTGCTTGCTATTTGGGGAGGGCGCCTCAAGCCGCGCTTGGTCGCGCTTCCCCAAATCTGCTTTGTGAGAGCCAGCGACCGGAAATATCCAATGAGGGCAACTTTTTCCGACTCATTGGGGCATCGGCCAATCATACAAGGCTCATGACCCACCCCTGTGACCAGGGACTTCGGCTCAAACACCCTGTTGACCCTCGAGTCCAGATCGCTTTGGACTTCCCCGGTTTGAACCCTTGAATCATTATTCAATCGGTGCCCCAGGAGAAGTCGCCCAAGAAGGGGCCTGGAGCCGCCTCTAACCGTCAAGTTGTCGCCCGGTTCGAACCAGACGAACGAACGACAGTATCATATTGAAGCAGACGCCGGTCACTTCGCTGCGCAGTGAAGTACCGGAATCTCGGACCCCGCCTGCACACCAATATTGTTGTCCGGGCAGAGCACCCAGGCCATTTCCAATGACCCCCTCTCTTCGTCAATTGCTTCACGATGGCCACCATCGAGCCATGGCTCACAAACCTCCTCAACAAACCCCGGAGTCCTGATCTCCCTCCGATACAGACCGCATCCGCCGCCGCAGCGAACCAGCCGATTTCCCTCCCCCCGCTTGGACCCGAATTCGCCAGCAGCACCCACCGGCCTGAGAGGCCTGCTCCGGTCCAGGGGCAGATTGCCCCGCTCTCCACGCTCGACGATGGCGGCCATCATGGGAAACCGCACGCTAGGCCGGAGGAGTCGTTCGCCCTGCACACCGCGTCGATCCGACCCCTCCAGCTTTTGCTCCGCGAACCCGATCAAGGTCCGCCGGCTATCCCGCTGCGGAGCCTTGTCACCGATGCGCCGGGGAGCCCTGATGATACCTCCACCAAAAAGCGCCATCGGGCCTTTACCACCAAGGAAGATTTTGTCCAGCTACCGAAACTCCCAAAGAAGCAGAAGTCGGCGCAGCAAGTAGTACCTCCGATCATCGCCGGCCTCCACGAGCCTCCTCCCAATGCCGGCGTGTTCCCTCCCATCACCTCGACGTCCTTTGACAACGATGAGAACTTTAGTTTGGCCCCGTGGAAGGATACTGGAAGTGCTCAAGACGACCGCCCGGTGTTGCTTCCTGCGTTGGACATCGAACCGAATGAACCTTCCAGACCGAAGCGGCGCCCCATGAAACCCCGAAGAAAATGGACGGAAGAGGAAACAAACAATCTTCTTTTGGGGGTGAGTCGGCATGGGGTGGGGCGGTGGACGACCATCCTAGAGGATCCTGCCTTTCACTTCAACTGCCGCACTGCTGGCGATTTGAAGGACCGTTTCCGGACATGCTGCCCCAAAGAGTTGCGGCTGACTGCAGCTGAGGAACAATACGCGGATGAGGAACCGGGGCCGGTGGTGGCTGGTGACGGGGGCGTGAAGCATAAAATCGGTCTTCAGTTGGAGGATATTCTTCAGCCAATTGGCGATGATAGTCAGGACAACGACGGCGTTTCCCCATCTGCGACCGGCCAGGATTCCGATGCGGGGCCCAAAAAGAGGAAGCCGCGAGCACACCGCAGGAAAATGGAAGACTTGGTTGAACTCGGTATCCACGGCCCGTTTGAAAAGTCTCACAGGCGGAAACGCCGTCCTTTCACGAAACAAGACGACGAGGAGATTCTGGACGGTCTCCACCAATATGGCCCCTCTTGGACGAGGATCCAGCGAGACCCCAAATACAACCTCTCTAGCCGGCAGCCCACGGACTTACGCGACCGCGTCCGGAATAAATACCCGGACGTATACGCCAACATCGAGAAGGCTAACATGCTCAAAGAAGTCCCCCGTGGCAAGGCTAACCTCCTCGAGCCGTCCATCAACATGGCCACTGAGGGCACACGCATCACAACTATGCCTCCGCCGTTCGAACCCTCGTTAAACCGGTCCGGCTCTAGGGAGGAGATGCTCGTGCGGCGGACGACCAACCCCATAGCCTACGAGTCCGCCGAGTCTCTGCCCGCCCTTGCTGAGCTATTCGACATGAGCGAACCCCATGGCCCACCGTCCCTTCTCACAAGTGCGCCGGAGATGGATATCAGCCATTTGTTGCTTGACGACTCCCATACTAGTACCGATCGTCGTCTCGGGCATGGAAGGTGAGCTGTCGCTGCCTTGGTGTGAATGTCCCTTTTTGGTTCAAGGCTTTGGCTCCATTTACGAGGCAATCTTTCGATTTCCCCCGACCTACCTCTCGGTACTTTGTTCTTTTAATCTGGCGTTCCTGGGAGGTTTTATGTTTTTTCTCGTTACTAGCCGCCGCTGAAACAGCCGGCCGCGGCTGGTATTCCATCCCTTTCAACAACATTTGAGTTTAATACTGCAAGTTGGGGCCAAAATAGGCGTTCCTGGGCTAGGGATATAAATATTTACAGGGTAGATAAGGGAGCAATCTCTGCGATGGATGAGAATTACCTTCTCACTCACTCGGGTACGGGCTGATATCGTCATCGCTTCCTGTCTTTTCAGTTTGTTTTTTTCTTCGACAATGTCTGTCTGGGTAGTTTAACTCATTCTCGGGCAACCATGGGGTAATTGAACGATCGTTTAATCGGAATTCTTGGCTCAATAACAATTTTTCACAACAATCAAGACTCACCAACTGATCCCTATGCCCCTCTGCTCTTGGAGATCGCACGCACGGCTCAACCCTGGAAACGCAACCTTAACCCTGAGGCATTCCCCACAAAATGTTTTCTCCGCAATTTTGCCCTATTCACCGCCTTTGGATCCCCACCGAACTCGCTAGGGCTTGGGCACAAAACCAATTTTCTGATTGATTTACTTATCCTTCCCCCTCGCGGCATTCCTTTCACTTCCATCGACCAAACATCGACAACAGCAGTCAAGATGGGCAGAGGACCGTAAGTATCCGACTCCGAATGTATTCATATAATTTGCATTGCCAATTTTCAATTGAGAATTTGCATCGACGATTGCTCGGAATTCTACAATTTTCTGGCTCTGCGGCGTCAGAACCGAGATCTCGAGATTTCAAAATGCTAATTTTGAGCCAACAGTAAGAAGCACCAGAAGCGCCTCAGCGCGCCGTCGCACTGGCTTCTCGACAAATTGTCGGGTGTCTATGCCCCTCGCCCGTCGGCCGGTCCACACAAGCTCCGCGACTGCATGCCCCTCATCGTCTTCATCCGCAACCGCCTCAAGTATGCGCTCAACTACCGCGAGACGAAGGCCATCCTGATGCAGCGCCTCGTCAAGGTCGATGGCAAGGTCCGCACCGACAGCACCTACCCCGCCGGTTTCATGGACGTCATCACGATTGAGAAGACTGGCGAGAACTTCCGCCTTGTCTACGACACCAAGGGCCGCTTCACCGTCCACCGCATCCAGGACGAGGAGGCCAAGTACAAGCTGGGCAAGGTCAAGCGTGTTCAGCTCGGCCGTGGTGGTGTGCCATTCTTGGTTACGCATGATGCGAGAACGTGAGTTCTTCCGACATCTGTCAGCCGTTGGACCAAGCTTTGGTGGATCGTGGAGTGCTTTGCCAAAATTCTTTTTTGGCGGACGCGACACGATCCAAGCGGGGATCTCTTCGGTTGGTATGTCAAAATTCTTTTCCCATATGCTAACGATAATCGGCAGCATCCGCTACCCTGACCCGCTTGTCAAGGTCAACGACACCGTCAAGATTGACCTTGAGACCGGCAAGATCACCGACTTCATCAAGTTCGACACTGGCTCCATCGCCATGGTCACCGGTGGTCGTAACATGGGGCGTGTCGGTGTTATCACCCACCGTGAGCGTCACGACGGTGGTTTCGGGATTGTCCACCTGAAGGATGCCATTGACAACACCTTCACCACCCGTGAGAGCAACGTCTTCGTCATCGGCAGCGAGAAGCCGTGGGTTTCCCTGCCCAAGGGCAAGGGTGTTAAGCTTACTATCGCTGAGGAGCGTGACCGCAAGCGCGCCAGCACCCTGGCTGGCCACTAAATGGCCTAGCTACAAACATAACGGAAATGGGCGGGGCAATGGGTTGCTGATCTTTCAAAAGCATACTGGATGGAGTACCGGATGTCACTTTAGTTTAGTCTTTGCAAGAGGCACTCTTGCTAACTGGTATACCCGGGTCTGGGATCGACCCGTAAACTGGACTGCCCTCTTCCGCATGAGCCATGGCCTTGTTTTGTTGATACTGTACATGAGGTGCCTTGCGTCACATCACTTGTTCCGATGTAGTGGACTAATGTAGGGCAGGTCTCGTCGGAGCCTTGCTCCTCGGCGAACTGCATTTCCCATGCTGCCGCCCTAAGAGCCAGCCACCCCCACCCAAGCGGTGAAGACCGTAAAACTCTTGTCACATTATCTTCCAGCCTTTCTTCTCACGTGCCCTCATCTTGATTGTCATTTCTGTTTTAAAGCGACCCGAGGTCAACCGGTATCTGGAGGACGTCGAAACATGAAGCTTTTCGTAGTGTGTTACCTCGTGGGAATTTGTCGGATGTTGTTCGCCGGATCTGAGACAGTGGGATTGTCAAACAACTTAATCTACGATACCCGCTAGTGTAATTCATCGCCGGTTCGGCCCGGGCAACACTATGTTAGTTCACGACTGGGAGTTTAGTTGCTCTGGGGCATACGAGAAAGTCTCCTCTACCTAGCTTCAGCTGTGGAGTTGGGATGTTGTTGGTCTCACCTCCATCGCCAACAATAGCGCCTCTTTTTATATGTGCCATGGATTTAACCATGGACTTCAGCGTCATCCCACCTTTTTTCTTCTCTCTTTTCTGTCCACTCCCCTGACATTTTTTTTTTCATTTTCTGGCTTCAACCCCGCCGTTTCCGATGGTTGTTGTGTATTACCCCTGTCAAACCCCCTGCGGGACCCCCGCACTGCACGCCCCCAAATCCTGACCGAACCAGCAGCAAAGAAAATCCACCGCCATCTGCGCCATCTGCTTTCTCCTGCGTCAGTCTCGGCTTTTGCTTCTTCTTTTTTTTTTCTCCCCGAGGGAGGCGCGTCGTATTGAACCCCCACGCAATCTGGTCTTCCAAGCATAACTCCTGTACACGTGTAGTGTCGCCTGCACAAGGAGGATTGACAGGGCAGGGGTTTGGTGACAGGCAAGACAGGGCAGTGTTGTTGTTGAAGATCTGGATCGGGCTTCTCCAAGTTTGATGGAGGCTCTGGATCATGGCGGTGGAGGCAAACAACGAACGCGAGCGGCGGTAGGCGCGGAAGAGGGGGGAAGCAGCGGGCCGACTCAGCCCTTCCTTCTCCCCTCGCTCTCCTGGTATTTCGCCGAAAAGTGTCGTACAGATTACGAACTTTTTCTTTGGGTGGTGACCGGGAGTGACATCTGGGAACGCTTCCGGCCTTTTGTTAGTGAAGCGAGTCCGGGTTTACCGAATCGAAGTACGGTGTAACGAATATTTGTTTGATGAATTGACAGGGATAAGCAGCTGACCGACTTCCGGGAGAAGTTTGGGGCGGTTGGCGAGACGTCATTTACACTCGTCGGCTTGAGTGTGTGAAGAAGTCGTAGCTAGAAATCCTCTTGGCAAGGTATGGGGTTGGTGGGGATGCTCAGCCAGCAGCCTCCGGTAGTCGTACCACTAGTGTACTCTGGGGTATTGCACATTCAGATCCCAAACAAGAGAGCCGACGGAACCTAGGGCGAGACTCGTAATTACCCAGTTCTCGCCTAGCAGACCGGTGTACGAACGTGCGGCTAAGGCTTACCTATGTGTTACGTCGTATCCATTTTCGCGGGGCTCATCTTCTTGAGAGATGGCACCCGATATCTGGAGGACAAGGTGCCCCCTTTGTGTCTCCAACCCCGGATTTTTTGAGTGGCACGGACGAATCCCGAGAGACTGGATACGCGGGGAACGAGGCTTTCACAGAACGCTGTGTGACCTTGAACCCAGGACCGTTCCGACCCCTGCTAGACTTTGATGTTGCCCTTCTGACGACCCACGACGAACGACGAACATGTTGGCGATGGGCCTGCTTTCTCTCGGAATTGTTCGTGGAATCCTGTTGGATTGGTTCAACCGGATAATTGGAGTCCTTTCCCATTTCACTACATAATTGGGGTTGGAATTTAGGAACCTCAATTACTCAACGCGTAGTGGGTGGATGATCAATGGAAACCACATGTAGGGCTTGATGTGCCTTGCATATCTCGCGTACATCGCTCCTCGGAAGTAGTTAGGCACCGTGGGGTGGAGATAGTCTCGGGCCTCGGATCGAGGGTAATGGAATGGCAGCCGGCTTTCGGTAGGCGCCAACATCCACTTGGGCATTTCATCGCTTGCTTTCGTCGAGATGCATGCAGCGGCCGAGACGTGGTGGGACCGTGGGGTATGATTCGAAAACTGACATGTTGCCCGTCCCGGGACACGCCCACGTGAGGTGTTGTAATGGTGAGTAAAAGGCATAAGCACCGAAGCAACTGGCCCCGGCATAAGCGGTTGGGAGTAGCATTCCTGAGGGCTGCAGGTCGAGCGTTCGCGCGAACCGTAATCCATAGAGTACCTAACATACTATGTAGGTAAGGGAGTGTACAGACATACGAATACAAATACGGTTCCAGGGCCAGTGGGTCAAGCGGTTGAAATTTGTGGAGGGCAATATTCGAGGAACCCGGTTGAAGTCTTGGCGCCGATCGCTCCTTGCCGATTGGGGTCTTGTGTCTTCGGTGAAGGCGCTGTGTCACTGGAATTTTTTCCCTTGATCATCCTCCAAGGTTCAATTCCTCAGCTTCCCATCCTCCAAATTCCTCGACCTCGGGGTAGCCGACTGGGTTTCGCGGAACTGAGGCGGTGTGGCCTTGGAAAACTTAACAGGTTCATATTTCCTCCGGAAACCCCAGGCGTGAGGAACCTCGATGAACCAATTCCCATCCCATGACCTTCCCCGCATATCGGCTGCACGATGGTCGCGTGGTTTAAACCCATTCGTGGTAAGTTGGGGTTGTGAGATGCGACATCCACGTCATGACTCCGTTCGCCGGATACATTATCCTTTGAGAGACACAAGGGTTCTTCCGCATCGAGGTTCTTCTACACTGACGGAGCGGGTGCGGCGTGTGGTTGTTTGTCTTCTTCAAAGCATGGCTCGTCCTGTATTGCTAGTTACTTGCTAGCTGGAGGGAGTTGAGGGCTGAAGCCTTGCTTCCCTGAACCTGGATTTCTTTCTTGCATCGGACCGCTGGTTATTTTGAGTCCCGCGTTCCGTCTGACTGGGTGATATTGCCCCCCACGCCCAACCCGCCGAGTGGTTTTTTTGCGTGGGTGTGAAGTTAACGAACACCGCTTCCACCTTTGTAAGCCACAGCATTGCTTGGCCGCGAGCTGACTTGAATTTTCTTCCCTCCGCAAATCTCACACTGCAGCTGATTGATGCGCTAATTAGTTTTCTGCCTTTGTCGATGCAGTCCCCCCATGCAACGCATCTGTCGTCGGCTCCCTTGCGCATAGCAGTGGTCTGGCCAAACTGTTTCTTTCCGCCACTGGCCCCTTTCTGCTCACGATCTGTATCACACCTGTCAGCACCCCCTCTTGGGTTCCGGTTTCAACGCCTCAACCGCCTTGTGTCCGCTGAACATGGCTTAGTCTGCCGACCGCTTGATTGGGTCGGCTTCTGCTCCACAAACCTGCACACCGGACCAAATGAGGAAAGTCAGAGGTCATCTTAAATAAAAAGAGACGACTCCAACCACCCGGCCCGGAAAGCGTCCTTCCCACTTACGAGGACGGCAAGGTGGTTGACCCAGAAGAAACAGAGGAAACCCCAGTTCTCGCCCATTATGGTTTTACCGTACCCCTAACCTCAAAGCCTCACGCGACCCGTCCTGTTCTCCATACCGTTGGTTATTAATATCCTTGCTTTCTCATTCCCATCGTCCGGCCTGGCCTGTTAGTTAAAGTCACACTTTCCCTTACCTATTTTATCCTGAACCCGAGGAACCATCAAGGAACCCAAGCTCAATTTTTGCGCCCAAGTAGCATCGGAGAGAAAGAGTGGGTATCTGACGAAGACCCCCCCTCTTGGATTTGACCACCGTAGGCTGGCTGGTACGAGAAGTCGCACATCGCACCCACTTCACCGGAAAACTTCGTCCGATATAAAAGTGATCGAGTACCCGAGTCTTGCGCTGCCAAGTCGTACCAAAAATCAAGGGAGCCAATCCGGATATCGACACCGCCCGCCCCCTTGGTATTTACCAACCAAGTCACAGCAAAAAAAAAAAAAAAGCCCGCGCCGCGCATCCTGCGGCTTCCGACCTGCATGTCTGCGACCCGATTTACCAGGGCGGCGAAGCCCCTCTGCCGATCCCTCGCCGTCAACCCCGTCAACCCCGCAGCCCGGCGCCGCTTCACCACCACACCCGTTCGCCGGGCCGCGACCGGCTCCGGCCCCGGCCCGAGCCCCCGAATTGCTCCCGGGTGGTCGCTTTCCGGCGTTTTTGCCATTGCTGCCGGCGCCGGCTTGCTCGGTTGGGTTGTGTCCGAAGCCCGGCATGGGACCCTCCCCGGTGCCGTGCTCTTAGACGGCCAGTTCCCAGGGCCCCGGTACGCTAGCTTGCGGGGGATGGAACAAGTACGTTGCCGTGCCGAACTTCTCGGTTGATGTGCTTCCCGATGCTGATAATTGGGATTTGTCTAGGCGCTAGAAGAGATTCGCCAAGAAATCAGTGAGGACATCATTTCCATTGAACCCGAGGATTTGCACGCCCATGGCTACTCCGAGTGGTCGACGGTCAACCCGGAGGGTCTACCGGTGGCCGTTGCGTATCCGCGGTCAACGGAGCAAGTATCGACTATCGCAAGGATTTGCCACAAGTACTGTGTGCCTATCATCCCCTATTCAGGAGGCTCCAGTCTCGAGGGCAACTTTTCCGCCCCGTTTGGCGGTATCAGCGTAGATTTTGCGTACATGGACCAGATCGTCCAGTTCAATAAGAATGATATGGACGTTGTGGTCCAGCCGAGCATCGGATGGCAGGACTTGAACGAACAGCTCGCCAAGATGAATAGCGGGCTCTTCTTCCCTATTGATCCTGGTACGAGCCAAGCTTCTCCTTTTGCTAAATGTTTTTCTTTTTCGCTTGCAGCATGATCGTGACTGACACCTTAGCTAGGCCCGAGCGCCAAAATCGGAGGGATGATTGGCACCAACTGTTCTGGTACCAATGCCGTCAAGTATGGGACGATGAAGGACTGGGTCATCAACCTAACAGTCGTCCTGGCCGATGGGACCGTAGTCAAGACGAGACGGCGCCCGCGGAAGTCCTCAGCCGGTTACAACCTCAACGGTCTCTTCGTCGGCTCCGAAGGTACCCTTGGTCTCGTCACCGAAGCGACGCTCAAGCTTGCTGTGATCCCGGAGGAATTCTCCGTCGCTGTTGTCACCTTCCCCTCTATTCGGGACGCTGCGTCCGCCGCCGCTGGGGTGATGCAGCAAGGTATTCCCGTGGCTGCTATGGAGATCATGGACGAGGTCCAGATGAAGGTTGTCAACATGGGCAAGGCGACCGCGCCGAGGGTCTGGAAGGAGATGCCCACCCTGTTCTTCAAATTCGCTGGTACAAAGGCGGGCGTCAAGGAGAACATTAACATGGTCCAGAAGATTACTAAAGCCAACAAGGGCAGCAACTTTGAGTTTGCGAAGGACGCGAGGGAGCAGAAGCTTCTTTGGTCTGCCCGGAAGGAATCTTTGTGGTCCATGCTCTCCCTGCGCAAGGAGGGTGAGGAAGTTTGTAAGTATCGACTGGGCATGTCATTTCCGACAATAGGGGCTGACTGTTTTTCTTTTTTTCTAGGGAGCACGGATGTAGCTGTGCCATTCAGCAGACTTGCCGACATCATCGAAGTCAGCAAGAAGGAAATGGACGATCTCGGTCTTTTTGCCAGCATCCTCGGCCATATTGGAGACGGCAATTTCCATGAGAGCATCATCTACAACCGGCAAGACCCAAAGGAAAGGGAGAAGGTCGAAGTCTGCGTCAAAAATATGGTAAAGAGGGCCTTAGATATGGAGGGCACTTGCACAGGCGAGCACTCTATTGGCTGGGGCAAGAAAGAGTCCCTTGTCTGGGAAGTTGGACACGACACTCTTGGGGTTATGGTTAGTTTTGAGCCCTGCGGTGGACTGGGTGTTATGCTGACATTTTTCACAGAAAGCCATCAAGGCGGCTCTGGATCCCAATTGGATCATGTTAGTCCCCTCTTTCATATCTAATTTGACAATCTACTAACGAAACATCTAGGAATCCCGGCAAAATTTTTGATAGACACCGGAAGTAAAATAAAGGGGGGTGGCTCTGAAGGGCCGACACAACAGTACCCCTGCATCTTGGATACACCTACACAGCATTGGGCAACCACATCTTGGAAAGTAGCATCGAAGAGCGGAGCACGGTTGTGGAAAAAGCGGAAAACAAAAGGAATTGCATTGCATTGGTGTGCTTGACCAAAAAAAAACAAGCAAACTTGAGCATTTTAGTGAGGTTACGAGGGTTAAAAGGCGCACAGCTCTGTCCAATTTGAGCTATTCCATTTATTTCTCCAATTTTGGGCGGGCATTTGCTGCTTTCATGTAACTGCATTTCTCAGAAGTCAGAATTGGCTAGCTAGCAGTGTTTGGATATTTACCTAGCTAGTCAAAACAAGAGGTGTGCCCCTGCCCCTTTTCCTGCTGTGGGCCATAACTTGCAAGTAACTAACAAGTGGGCAGAACGAGTTCAATTGATAGTATACTTGCTCCTCACATCCCTTTATTCACCAACTGCTCATACAATCTCTGAAGAGACCGGAGCCGCCCACCATCGAGCCTGGCGCTCAGGTTTATCGCAGAGACTCGGCACCTCCGCTACACAACACATGTCCCAAGAACCTGTTGTCGGGATCAGCCAGTGTTCAGCACACGCCACTCATTTAGATTCACCTGCTTTTCTACACAGGTAGTTACCCGTCAGTTAACTTCGAGGAGTGATTATGCAGAAGGGCATTGGATAGGATAGGGTCCGTGCCCAACGCCATCCTTTCAGTGGTATGTTGAGATCCCATATTGGAAGGAACGAGCCTTTTTGCCCCTCCAATTGCTTTTCCTCCTGCCTTTGTTCTCTGCCTAAGGTACCTGAGGTTTCTAAGATAAAGCACCGAGCCTGAAATCTAATCCACAAACTTTACCCGATCAAGGGACGGAACAGCAGCTCGCTGTCTCCCGACCGGATTTCATCTGGAACCAGGCAAACATCCGACAGATATGCATGCAGCGTCCCGTCGGACATTTCACGATAGTCAGCTAAATACCATACGGTTTGGCTTGCGGTTGCATTGGGCCAAACAAGTCGGCACTCGAGGTACCCAATCCTGTGTTTTGCAATTTTCGCTCATACTCTTTTGTTTTCCGTGGGCACTAACCACTGTGCCTTGAACCTTTTAGCCTTCCTGACTCTACTTGGCCCGGCTTTCAACGACTCGGCATGGTTTTAACTTCTGTTCCCGCTTGCTTAACATTACAGTGAACGCCGGATGGGATCACTCATTCGCCGAACTGTCTCGAAGGCACCTCTCAACAAGGCTCACGGGTTGGCCCGGTCCTCCGCTACCAATTGCCTTCGGCTGAGGCGATTAGTCCGTCACTGGCCCGTTCACTGCCTGTGTTTTATATTTTCAACTCGCCCGTCATCTTTCGCTCTGGCTTCTAGCAGTTCATCCCCCCTCTCTCCATCCCCTCACCGCCCCAACGATATTTCGACCTATAACATCTTGCTGTGGGGAATAAGGTATGTGTTTACCCTCCTGTCATTAGTATTTCGCCGCCAATTCTCTCTCCTTCCGTCAAAGCGAAGCACTTTACTGGCTGGTGCTGGCCTTTCCTGAGCTTGAAATTGGTTTTTTTCTTCATCGAACTGCTCGGTGTTTCCCCGAGTTTGCGCCTTGCTAATATTTTCTACCCTCAAAGTAGGAAGAAGACTTCGCCCCAGAAGACTCCCATCGAGAAACCTTGTGGTGTCTTTAGGTCTTTCTCTCCGTTTTTTCGTATTCGACCAGGCACTCAGATCCAATGGAAAACCCCACAAACGGTAGTTTCCAACACCTTTTGGTGAAGGGCGCACAGAACGGGCGTGTACAGGCACAACACCGCCGTGGAGCTGCTACACCCTTTCCAAGGAATGATACTCCTCACTGGCGACAGAATGAGCCAGCCTCTCTAGGCCGAGGACCCGGGCGATCTCCAAGGCCAACTGCTCAAGTGTTGAGAAGCCTTCTGCCCCCAACTAGACCCCAATCTAGGCAACGCTCACCCCAAGCCATGCAGCCTGCTACGGTATTTCCCCAGGGGTGGGCTTCAAGCAAGAGTGCCACTATGGTCATCAGACCGATCCCAGAGAACGCGACCCCTTGGGATATCCAACAGTTCTTTAGCAGATTCGGAAATGTGGCTTTTGTTGAAGTTAGCAGCACCGCAACAAACCCTCATAGAGCTGCGAAAATTCGGTTCGAGCCACCGCCAACAGATCTCAGTTTCTTTCACCAAGGCAAATGTAGGCTCTACATCAATGGATCGGTAACGTGGGTGGCAGTCGAATTCACCAAGAACTCTCTCCAGCAACCTACTTGGACTACAGTGTCCGGAAACGTTTGCCCCGTCTCCCTAGATCTCAAACCTGAGAAGCTCACATTCGGCATCTTGACCAACCCGACGAACTTCATGCCCAAAAAAGACTTAATCAATCTGAAAGGGAGCTTGGAGATGAAATTAACTGCGGATTTTCGGAGAATGAAACTCTTCATTCACTTCCCACTCTTCGTTAATAACCAGCAGCAATACTACCGCTTCGATATCAAATTTGGTATCATCCGGGGCATCTATGAAGCGGCCACGAGGCAAGGGACATTAGCTGTTGTTCTGTCCCTTGCTGACCCCCCTGTGGTATGGAAGAAACAAAGGAATTCGAATAAGGATGCCTGGGACGGCCGGTCGGTCTGGGATGAAGAGGAGTTGTGGTATCGTGCAGTCGAAATCAAGCCCGATTCTCAGCGCCCCTTGGCGGAGCCAGTGTCCCTTGATGAAAAGCCCAAAGTCATCGATCTGGGTCATTGGACAACTTATTGGATGGAGTTTACCAAATCCAGTGAGGATGCGTGGACCACTATCAAGACACATCTCAGGGATTGGAACGTCAACACAGAGGCTGGTACCAAAGTTAAGCGTATTGAAGCGCGCGACCCGGAACTTTGGGGCCTGCTGGCTGACCCCGACTACACCACCCTCAATGCTCAGTCTCCGTGGGACAGCCACCTCGCTCTACTTTCAACTGCGACAAACGTTTCACTGCCTTACGAGGTTCGGTATCAGTTAGAGGTTTGCGTTTCTCGTGGTATCATCAGCGAGTATGCCATAGGCCGCGAGTTTCTTGAGAAACTAGCGGAACTATCAACCCCAGATGGGCTGGGCCTCAACCGGGCCCGACTACTTCTCGAGTATGCCGCAGACGAAGGAAAGCCCATTTACGACCCTCTGAAGCTTTTGACAGATCGGGATGCTTTGACTTACTGCCCAACAACGCTGCATATTCCGGACTACTGCGCGCTGATTCGCAAAGTGACGATCACGCCGACCCGGATTATTTTCAGCACTCCCACCGTGGAGACAACCAACCGTGTAGTGCGGCAATACCACCGGGTTCGTGACTACTTCATCCGCGTGCAGTTCATCGATGAGGTGATGGATGGAAGAATCAGGGCCTCGGATGCCGACCGGGACGATGAGTTATACGCTCGGGTTTGCCGGGTCATGACGCAGGGTATCAGGATGGGCAAGTGGCACTGGAAGTTCCTTGCCTTTGGAAACTCGCAAATCAGGGAGTCCGGTGCCTTTTTCTTTTGCGAGCCGGAGGATCGCCTCATAACTTGCGGCTCGATACGTCAGTGGATGGGAAATTTCGACCACATTTCATCAGTGGCAAAGCTTGCTGCTCGGCTGGGGCAATGCTTTTCCACAACTCGCCTTTTGCGCAGCATCTCGTCGCCGATGATTGTCAAAATCAGTGATATCGAAACCGATGACGGATTTTGTTTCACAGATGGAGTGGGGAAGATTTCCCCTCCCCTGGCGGGCCTCATATCTGAGGCATGGAAACTCGACCGACCTCCTTCAGCGTTCCAATTTCGAATGGGGGGTTGCAAGGGCGTGCTCGTGGATTGGCCAGATGCCAAGGGCCTCGAAGTTCACGTTCGTCCGTCCCAGGAGAAGTTCTCCGCCGTGTATAATGGCTTGGAGATCATCCGGTGTTCTCAGTTTACTTGCCCGACCTTGAATCGGCAAATAATCCTGATCCTTTCTTGCTTGGGAGTCCCTGATGAAGTTTTTACCGACATGATGGCGGCCCAAATCGCTGACTACGACATTGCCAGGACGGACATGAGCAAAGCCGTGGAGTTACTCAGTACTCATGTGGATGAGAATATGACGACTACGACAATTGCGACGATGGTCTTGAACGGGTTCATGGACACCGAAGAGCCTTTTGTCAAAACGCTACTTCAGCTGTGGAGGTCTTGGTCCATCAAAGGCCTCAAGGAAAAGGCAAAGCTGCATGTCGAGCAGGGAGCCTTTGTGCTAGGCTGTGCGGATGAGACCGGGGCATTGAGAGGACATTCACGGGCAATCGAGGGCCGAGGGAACGTCCCTAGGAATTGTTTGCCTCAGATATTCATCCAAGTCCCTGACCCTGAAGATCGAGGTACATACAAAGTTATCACCGGCATCTGCATAGTCGGACGGAACCCATCACTGCACCCGGGCGATATTCGAGTGGTTGAAGCAGTCGACGTCCCTCACCTGCGTCATCTTCGGGATGTAGTGGTCTTCCCATTGAAAGGGGACAGGGACGTTCCAAGTATGTGCTCAGGTGGTGATCTTGACGGAGATGACTTCTTCGTGATATGGGATCCCAAACTGCTGCCGCGCGAGTGGGGCCATCCTCCCATGAACTACAGCGCGCCGGAGCCGCTCACGGAATCGAAAACGTCAATTGCTAAGAGCTTAGCCTTCTTTTTCGTCCTGTTCATGAAGAACGATAGGCTGCCGCTGATTGCACATGCCCATCTTGCCACGGCCGATTTTGAACCTGAAGGAGCGAAGCATCCAAAATGTAAGTAACAGAACTTGTTTCGTGCGGAACGGGGCTAATCGTGTTGTCTGCACAGGTTTGGAACTTGCCAACCTGCACTCAACGGCCGTTGACTACGTCAAGACTGGGATTCCAGCCGAGTGGAACAAGAAGCTTGCCCCCCGGAAATATCCCCATTTCATGGAGAAACACAAAAACATGTCATACCATTCAATGGGCGTTCTTGGGAAGCTCTACGACATGATCGACAAGGATGTCTTTGACAACAGGGACAACTACAAGCTGCGATTCGACGACCGTATTCTCAAACGATATCACCTGAGCAATGCCCTCCTCAAAGCTGCCAGGAAGATTAAAACGCAATACGACATCTCCATTCGCAGGATCATGGGTCAGCTCGAGATCCGGACCGAGTTTGAAGTTTGGACTACATTTGTCCTTACCAAACCTCGTATTGGGTCGGACTATAAGGTCCAGGAGAAAGTTGGCCGTGAGGCGGCGGGTCTGAAGGCGCAATTTCGCGGTACCTGCCTGAAAGCGGTTGAGGAACATGGGTTCAACAAGCTGGAGTTTGTTGCCGCCATGTACACGGTTACGTGGGAGGAAACGCGCATCGCCCTCCACGAAGCTCGCCAGCCCCATGTGCTCCCCGACGGCACCATCGGCCGACGCCGGATCACGGCACGGTCCATGCCACTACTTAGCTTTCCATGGTTGTTCCCTGATGACCTGGGGAAAATTGCCCTGAACACAGAGAAGTTGCCGGATTTGAAGGATCTGGGGGTTAGCCTCCCCTCGGCGGGTTCGAAGGTCAGCGGAGCGGATATTGCAAAGGCGGAGAGGGAATTCGGCATCGAGGGCATGGAGTACACCAAGACGAGCGATGGCCGGTTCATCCACCGTGGCGAAGTCCTTCATTTGTTCCGTCATCAGGACGATGGCGATGACCAAGAGTTCTTCTTCGAGGACGATGAACCCGACCTTACTCCACCAGAGCTTAACGATTCCGAGGCGATGCCGGAGAGTCCCCAAGAGACCCCAAAGGGAGACGACGGATTTCCAGACCTCCTGGATTTGGATTTTACGCCGTTCATTGATTTCAAGCCCATTACACCTACAATATCCCCTCCTTTCGGGGAGGTGTTGTCTCCTAAGCACATTGCATCCCCGGAAGTCTCTCCTTTTGGGGCGGTGTTGTCCCCCAAGCTTGTGCAAGAAAAGGTGACCGAACCGTCCAAACCAGGTTCCATCATCCAGAATTCCGCTGGAAGTAGCCCCACCGCTGATACTAGTCTCCTCTCGTTCGAAGACATGGAGTCGTCGTCCATTGAGTACATCCCAATGCCTGCTCATGGCTCTGCAGGCTGGGGCTTGGGCCCGGGCTTCAACGGTGCGAGGCTCACCGCTGCTGAGTTATGGGGACATGATAACTCGTATCCCAACGGAGATTTGAGCAGCAACGGTGGTACGAATCAGGTGATGGGTGGTGTCGAAAGCCATCTAAATGGCGCTAAGAAAGTGCCTCAGGAGGAGAAGGACGGTCGAGCCCCGCGACAAGACAAAAACAGCCATTTGAACGGGCTTAACAACCCCTTTACCTCTCCCAATGACATCCTTGGGAATGGTGGGCAGACGGGAGAGCAGAAAGCGGGAGACAGCAAGGAAGAATCCGACTCGGATGGGGAGATTGTTTACGAGGAAGACATCATCGAGATCGCCGCTGAGACTATGCTGGAGAAGGCCGCGCGGTTTGCTTAACCCTACGGACGGGAAGCGGGAATACGTTGGAAGTGATGTACGCATGAGATGTGAGCGTTGCGTGTTTTGTAATTTATCTAGACGCGCTCTGGCTGGGCGAGGTCTGGGGGCTGTTGACTTCGGGGGGGCTGAGGGACAGTATCCCCGTTGGGGTTGCTTCACTTCGGCAAAGAGTTGCCTAGAAGGGGCTAGATAAAAGTGTGCGATAGTTTCCAAGCTAGCTTCAAATCGATGGTTTTTCCGCTACACGAACTCCATAACATCTAGAAAGGGCCGTTAAGTGCTTCATCTCCATACATGAACTCGGATTTGACTAAACCCTTTCCCACTTAGCCACCCGTTCGCGTGAGAACACCCCCCTACCTCTTAACACACAAATCCGTCCTAATAACCCACTTCTCCCCACCCGTAACCTCCCTTCCCTCATGCTACAACATAGACGTAAGCGGGATGATGACGGGGTGGTATGTACCGAACTCAACAAGTCGAAAAGGTATTGTATGTATTGTTTGTAACTTACCAGCATACAATCGTGCCCATGCTTATGCAGCAATAACATGCCTGTCTCGAGGGTGACGGCAATTTCTTCTTTGGCGGTGCGTCGGTCGTGGGGGTAGAAGACTGTTTCGCCACCGGTGCTGTCGAGGTCGGTTAGTGGACTGGGGGGGAGGGTAATATTGATATCAAGAGGGGGGGGGGTAGGTAGCAGGGAGTGGGTTAGGGTTGTGGGAATTGGTTGCTGGGGTCTTCGGTGTTGGTGTTGGTTGTCGTTGTTGGGTGCTGCTTACCAGCCGTCGGCGGCAGAGGTTAGGTACAGGAGGAGAGTCCAGGTTGTGCGGGCTGGGATGGGGGAGGTGCCGGTTTCGGGTTTGAGGGAGACGTTGTTGGAGTCGTCGTCTAAGGGGTGAGGAGGGCTAAGTTAAGATCCCGTGTCGGGGGTGACGGGGTAGGGGGTAGGAGATACATACAGTGAGCGTCAAAGAACTGGCCGGGAGTGTAGCGGTAGATGCGGATGTTGGGGTTGAGGCCGAGGACCTCCCCGTTCCTTTTGGGAGTTATTTCGTCAGTTCTGTTTCGATGCTTGGTCTGAGAAAGTGTGTGTATGAGAACTGCATACCACAACCGCTTAAACTCTTCACTCAAAAGCGCCTCCTTCAACCCCGTCTCGGTCCATAACCTGTGCGCAAACTTGGGATCGTCGATCTGAAAGCGGTCGTTCACCCTCACGGCCTCGCCGCGCTTGGGCTTGCCGGGGGTTGTGGTGAGGGGCAGGCCCCGGAGAAAAGTTACGTAGTCCCTGCATAGGGAACGTGGGAAAAAGGATCGGAAAACGACCACTTTGTCCTTCACTAGAGACTCGAGCGTGAGGTCTACCACGGGTAGAGGGGGTTTGAACGCCGGCCAGGAGGGGGTCGCCGTTGGGGTGGCTGGAGCTGCTGGGGCTGTTGATGGCGGTTGGGCGGGGGCTTTGGACTGTTTGGTTTTGGCCATATTTGGGGTTTGGAGGGCGGGTGGTCTTGGTGTGGTTTGTGAGAATGGAACGGGGTTGTCGTTGAGTTGGTGGCATGAAGTTGATGTGGGTGGTTCACTGTTCAGGGCAGGGGACATGATAGGCCCTGTAACTTTCTCAACTCAGCGCCGCATTGGGTGCTGTAAATTACAGGTATCGTACCTATATTTTGGACTTTTGAACTCCACACAACCTGGAATCACAAACAACAACCGGATATCATACTATCTTATACCTCTCCTTCATAATTACAAAAAGCTATCTTCTGAACCTTAATAATCTCTTTTGGGCCTAAACTGTCGTGGCTTTTTGGAGAGTCGATGTCCGTGAGCATGAGGTTGACTGCCGTTCCTGGAGATAAATCCCTGCTCGCCAAGACCCCTCACCTTGGGGCCAGGCCCACACTCCCGCGCTGGAACGGTAGTCCTTCACAATGGGTGGTCACATTAAGCCTCGTCAGTATTTTTTTCTCTTGCAGCAACCTCAAAACAACAAACTCAAATCTGTGTTCTAGACTCTTACATCCCCCGACCATTTTTCTAGTAGACTTAGAAGCTCTTACGATCGTTTCATTTCTTATGCGGTCGCACGTATTTTCCCCTTAAACGCCCGCAACCATGCCAATTCTTTCATATTTGTTAGGCTCGCTGGCCGGCGTGAACCCAAGAGACACCAAGACAACAACAGCCCCCACACAGGCATCATCCACCCCAATAGGAGGGCCGACTTCACCATCGATCACACCAACATCCACATCACCATCATCAGGGCCACCAGGAGGCACCCAACAAGACCCCCCACCCCCCTCGCAAACCCTCAACCTCCGAGACCACTACCTCTCCCGCCGCTCCCTCCGCCAATTCACCCTCTTCGCCGCCGGCACCACCTTCTTCTACCTCTCCGTCCTCATCTCCCGGCGCGCCGTCGCCCGACACAAACTTGCAGCCCGCCTCAAATTCTACGAACCCAACCACCAATCCACCTTTCACAGTCTCGCCGCCCTGGGGAAAGAGCCCCCCCCGCTCAAGAAGGATCCCCTCGTGGCGTTTGAGGCGCTGAATCTGGCGACGCTGAATACCATGGCGTTTGCGGTGATGGCGGCGGGCGGGGTGTCGTGGGGGTTGGATATTGCGGATTTGGAGGATTTGAGGAGGTATGCGAGGAGGACGGTGGTGCAGGTGGGGGAGGGAGAGAGGGATGAGGAGGCGGAGAGGGAGGTGGCGGAGTGGGTGGCGAGGACTTTTGGGATTGAGGAGAGGAAGAAGGGGGAAGAAAGCGGAGACGGGGAGGGGGAGAATGGGGGTGGTGATGGGGGTAGTGGGAAGGGGGGTTTGGAGGAAGGGAAATAGGGAGGGTGTTCCTGGGCTGGGGGAGATGTTTCCCGGGCCGATGATGATGATATGATGGTGGGCGTTGTCTGGTATGGCCCGCTGCATGAAGTAGGCTGGTGGTCTATGGAGGGCGTTCAAGGACGTACAATACGGAGGATATGGGTTACTAAAACGGGTGCAAGACGGGATAGAGCCATCTAGAGCTTCCAATGTACATTACCTCTCTTCTCTTTCTCGAAATATCCCATGCCAACGGGCTCGACGTGGGTTGGCTGTACTATATTGATGACTGCCTTATTTCGAATCATAAATGCATCGAGAAAATATCAACTCGGATGCTGTTGTTTGTAGAAGTGGCGATACGCGAAACATGCTTCGTACCTTTGTGTTCCACGTTTGTCGGTTCGGGCGCTCGAGTTCCGGGCCGGACCGATGCCCCGCACCGGGTTCCCGTTCCGTCATAATCTCAACTTTCGGATCTCGCCCATTACATTCTTTTGTACTCTTCCCAACAGTATCACTCATCAATAGCTCTTTCTCTCCCCCAGAGAACCCACACATCCCGTCCTATTTTATAAACAACAACTATCTCCCCAAAGACAATGAAGACCGAAGTCGAAGTCGAAGTCGAAGTCGAAGCCCAAGTCCGATCCTGGGGATTCTCCCACGTCTTCACCTGGACCGACAGCGCCAGCGCCTGTAAGCCAAGACCCATCTACCTATCCCAACCCCCCAATTCCAGATCTGCCACACAGGTTCATTCCCATTCTTACTTACATTCTCACCCAAGACTACCCACCTCACTCCCATTCCAGCCTCACCACCCACGTCATCCTTCGCGGGCAGCTCACTATCGCCTACCCGGAAGACGGCGATGCTGAACAGCGGAAGGTGAGGACTACGTATGAGGTTGGCGACAGGGTTGATGTGGATGCTGGCAGGGTGCACGAGGTGTGGATGGGGGGCGAGGGGTGTACGTATGTTATTGGGGAATGAGTATGTACGGTACCTACGTCTGGGGGAGATGTGAGGCGAGATGGGTGGGAGGCTGGTATATTACCGCAGCCTCCTAGACCACATCTGAATATTTCTTTCGAGCTCGATTACTCTAAGTTTGCGAGTGTAGAAGTGAAGTGGACGGCCACTCCGCCATCGACATCTGGTTTTCTGGCCTGTTGCCCTGCAACATGGTGCTTTTTTTCTCAGGGATCTATACATCCTACAAACAAAGCATAAGCAGCCCACATACGGTTCTACAACGACTGAGTACGCGGCGACTTAATGGAAAGGCAAGGGAGTTATGTCAAGCGCCGGAACGAAGCCGGGAACGACACATAACAAGTACCCCCCGGTCCAAGCTTGTTTCCATCTCAACAGAAACCACTCGGTAGTTCAAGGGTTGTGTTTGCAAGGAGCCGAGCTGCCGCTTCCGATGTTACTTGATTGCTACCTGCCACAGTAGGCGCGGAGAGTTCCGTATCGGGGAGGCTGGGAACTCAGCGAGGGGGTGATAGGAAACGAGTGAATGGATCGAAGGAAAAGAAGTTTCAAGGATTTGACCTCCTTTGTTTCGACCTGTTGCAACCCCGTGGGGATGCGGGGGAGGAACGGTCAGCGTTTCATCCGAGACGCGCGATCTTTTTAATGATTCGCGTGGAAGATGAGGGTTCCTTTTTATCTCTTTAGAAGCCACTGCGGGTTAGCTGTCAGTGAAGTCGAAGCAGACAAAAATTAAGTCGAATCAATGGTTCGTTGACCGGTAGTGTCGAAAGGCGCTGGCGCATCGTTTCGGGCCGGGTCGTGGAAACGTAACCCACACTATTTCCACCCGCTGCGAGCTGCTCGCTTCGTTATGCGAGGGATATATCTGTGGCTGGTATACGCCTCGAGGATCAAGCACGGGTTTAACGTAACATTTTGTACCGTAACAGCCGTTTCCCATAAGACTGGACTATTAAAGACCGGGGGGGGGGGGGACACTGTCCTATTTGACCGGACCAAATGCGGCGGCGGCTTCGGAGTCCGGTTGGCCTCACATCATGTCAAAGGCATTTTGCCGCCATTTTTTGACGGTTTCGTCATTTATGCAGCCGCGTCTCAAGCCGCCAATCAAGCAGGGTAAGATGAGCACCCCGCTCCCAGAATACGGTTGAGTTTGATTTCAGGAGCAGAATGGAGAGCCTTTCGCCGCGGTCTTGAGTCGTGGGTCTTGGCGGCCTTGCGATCCTGGATTGTTGATCAACACCAATGATGTCAACACACTGACCGAGGTGAGGCGGGCATCGTGGGCTGGTTGTTCGTTGGCCGGAACCCTAGTCCGGTGTGGAGAGCGACTGCGGATTTGCCGGGCGGCGCCGAGCTTCCCACGCAAGCCACGTTCCATGAACGCTAGCGTGAAATGTTAAATGGTGGAACTGCTGTTGTCTCGCAGGCACGCAGGATGAACGGATGGAATCTGTGGGGCTTTCGTGGATGTCATTCATGCAGGTTTAAACTTGGCGATCACTCCAAGTCGATGCATGGCAAGACCATAACTAACGTTAGTCTGAGTGAGAGCGTCTTCGTGACACTCCCCAAAATCAAAGAACCTATCACTCGTCAAGATAAATACTCCCTTGCCCCTTTAGGTAAAGGAACATGCCAGAAATACCACAAGCGTTGCCTGTTGCGCTCTCCGTTGTGTTTCAGTGGTCGCCGCCGGCACCTGTCGATCCGCCCGGCCCGGCGGCTGTGATGTTTCTGTGCTGTTGTCTGTGAGGCGCTGGTCATACCCGATCCGAGCAAGCCGCCTGGCTGGTACTGACACTCGACGGCAACGTTTACCTTGGGACCCCACCACCAACTCGTCTTCCGAGAGGATCGCTGGGTTCCCATCAAGAGAGGGTTATTCCCTTCGTTCTCAACCGGTGAGGATTCTGACGGGTCCCCATGTGCATGTGTAGGTTCAGATCCAGGTAAGTCCTCATGGCGATTGCCGGAGCGTGTGAAAGGTCCCGTTGCAAAAAGTGTGGCCCAATCCTTGTCTTTCGGAAATGGAAGCACACTTACGTGTATTGGAGTTTTAGCATTGTGTTGTTTCTGATCCCCGCATTGGAGGTTTATCAACTCTCTTTTTCGAGCCAACCCTGGTCGAGCTGCATTTTTGAATGTCCGTGCTGCATTTGCGGGGTCATCGGAGAGGGAATGCTGATGGGTTCCTGTCACATATCCATTTGAATTGGTTGATGGCCGGGAGAGGTGGATTTTGACGGCCCCTCAGGTCTGTCCATTGTCAACCTGGGCCTCACGAACTCTCGGCATGTCCGATTATTGTGCCCTTCCGGTGACCGTGTCTGGTGTGTGTCTGCTCCGTGTACGCATCCATACCCAAAACCCATGGCGGCGAGCCGAGAACCGACTACACTATAGAGTAGCGTTCGTACGCTCACGCGGTTTGGCTACACTACAGCATGTAGAGCTGAGACAAGATCACAAAGTGCATATTGAGCACACTAGCCCGGTGTCTGAAAAACTCGACCGTTTCGAAGACATCTTGCGGGCGTGAAGGCGGATTACGCCATGTTGAAGGACCGCGGTGCCCAGCCAAGCCGGTTTCCAAAAGCGACTTCCAGTTCGTTGTCGACCGTCATCACCGGAAATCCCGAAGTGCGCGAAAAGTGGGAAAAGCCAGTCTTGTTTTTGCTAGCTTGGCCGGGCTTCCTTGCGTGTCGCCTTGTCCCAATCCCGGCCGGAGCCGAAATCACCAGGACGGGATGTCGTAATTGAACGCCCCGTAGGATTCGGGACGGCGTCGGAGGAAACGCTGTGGCCGTACCATTGTTGTTAAACGAGTACCGGTGCTTATTGACGTCCGAATTTGGCAGCTTTGCTCCTTTGCGGAAGCGATGAGGTTTGCCTTTGAAAAGAAGTCAGACTCGAGTAACCCTCTCGAGCCAGAGTTAGCGAAAATCCCAGACAATCGATAGATCGGAGATCGAGAACTCCACTCTTTCATTTCGCAGCCGCGCTAAGTCGCTTCGGGATAACGTGATGTCCTCTGGTGGGCTCCACCTCCGGATCGGGTCCTGCAGCGTTGCAGCGGGTCCCACATGCACATTCCGTGCTTGCCTGGAACAACCCTGCTCGACGGACAAGACGCATGCAGTTGATGTAACATCCAAGACTTAGAAATCGACAAGCGACTTGTTTCCGGCCCCCTTGCGTCGTGGAGTTGTGGAAGGGGATTCTGATCTCACTTCGTCTCATCTCATCGGTTCTCCTCTCTCTTCGCACAGCTCATGAGTTCGTGGAGGTCCTGACCGAGTGAAACATCGAGAAACAGCAATTGGGCCCTGCAAGCCCGGGATGTGCTGCATTTTCTTTCTTTTGTTGTTTTTTTGATTGATGTCCCCGGGCCCCGACCATCATCATTACCACCTTTTTTTCCTGGCCCCCCTGCAACTCGCCGAGACCGTCCCGTTCCACGGTTCCAGCTTCTCCTCACACGGACACCCACGGCGTGTCTTGACTTTATTACCCTCATCCTCCACGGCTGCACCCCTTCCCCCCTCAATACATGAAGCCGTGTGTTGTTCGCCGCTGACCACGCGCGGGATTCCTGGGCTCGCGGCATGGACGAGCAATAACCGCATAGTCGACACCCCCCCACTGTCGCCCGCCCACCATGGGCAATGCACAGTCTACCGAGGAGCCCCGGAGGGCATCCCAGCGACTGTCGAAGCCGAGAACGGGCAATCATGCGACAGCCGGCCTGTTGAGCCCTGGTGTTTTCTCAAATAGCTCCCGCCGCTTTTCCCAGGCCCAGTTACCGAACCCGCCCGCTCCATCTTCGACAGTTGCTTCGACGCCAACAACTCTGTCGGTCGTCGAAGTCCCCGCTGGCCCCGACCGACGTCTCGACAGTCTCACGTCCCTTCAATCGGGTCCAGGCTCGCAGAAAGGATCGAAACGAAGGAGCTTGTTCCGCTCCCGTTCGACCCGGGTTGTTCAGTCCCCGCCCTTAGCGGGCTTCGGCGACGGCCCGGGTTCGCGGATGGTGGAGAGGATGAGCAGAGCGAGTTCCATGACATATGAGTCTGCGGTTGCGTATTATGGCCGTGTCGAAAGCGAGCCGTATGTGTGAAATCTTATTTATGTGTGACGAAGGTATCGTTGCTGACAACATTTGTCGACACAACAGCCAAATCACGCGGTCCGACTCCCGCGCTTCGTGGAACTACAATTTAACTTCCTACGAGGCGAAGCGGCTGCTAAATCTTGACGAGGAGCCGCATGACCAGACCACAGCCATGTCGGAGAACAGAACGACGGCGGTCACAGAAAACACATGGAAGAGCTCAAACCCAATATCAAGCAGCTCTAACGCGCCAATCGCCCGCACCGATTCGGACGTATCGCTCTACATGCCTGTTCGAAGAAGGTCCACGATCCGAACACCTGGTGTTGCCACCCGCTCGGCTAGCACGAATCGTGAGCTCTCGCCTCGGCCGCGCGTGAGCGTCCGCCACAGCCTTCCGCCAACGCCCAGCTTGTCCCGGAAGCAGTCGGTGGAATCGTACCGGAGCGGTATCGTGTCCATGCCCGCCTTGATTGCCGACCCCGAGTCTACCCTCCGAGCGGTAACTCCATGCGAAGACAAGTACTTGTCCATTGGCGCGTTCAAACTGGGTTCCCTCCGCATCACCAATGGTACCCCTAGCCCACTCACGCCAGAACTCGATAATTCTGATGCGAACGGGAAATGGGGTGCCGGTCAGGCCGCTGCTCGAGATGGCTACTTTGCTGGGACACCACTGCCAGCGTCTGGTGCCGCCAATATCAAAGCGCCGCATTCGGCGCGATCCCCCGGCCTTCTCTCTCCAGTTCACAAGAGTCTGACCCCGTCGCCTGTCCTCCAAACAACGTCCAAAGTAGCTGCCGAAGCTGATCGACTGTTTGACGACGAACCGCAACTGGAGTATTCTTCGGTCGAGATCTTGGATGTCCGCCTGGACCCAAGCGCCAAAGCACCACATGCGCAGCCGGAGTCCGACGCAACAACGAGCGTAACAAGAACAGATAGTGGATTTGTGTCGACGACGAGCCCAGGGTCTGAGACTTCGTACAAGGCACTGTCCAAGGCGGATTCTGGTTACAGTTCCAACGTATCTCTTCGTTCTCTGCGCGGCAAATCTAAAGGCAGCGAGAACGCCCGTCCTGCCGTGCCCGAGAAGACGTCGACCCGCGGTCTGAGGACACAGAAAGAGCCGGTTACTTTGGAGAAGCGGAAGCCTTTGCCGGGGGTAGAGGTTTCATCTCCTGCAGGTGTTGAAGAGGATCTGCCCCCGCCTGTCCCCCCAAAGGATGCCGCGCGGTATTCCTCAGGCTCTAGGTTGAGCGCTAAGAACACCCCGGGAAGCAGTATTCCACCTCATAGCCCGCGAGGAGGCCCAGAGGCCGGCAGGAGCAAGACCATGCCGCATATGCCTCATCCTCTCGTCACCCTTTCTTTGACCGACGGAATAGGGTCGGTTTCTTCCAATTCCGACCCCCGCAGCCCGGCGAGCGTCAAGTCCCCTTCGACTGAGAAACCGGGATCTCCACGCAGTGCCGGCCGCGGAACCCCGAAGACCAGCCGGCTGCACCGACTTCTGAGCTCTGCTCGCCGGCCAACCGCTAATTCGTCAACAACCCAACCCGTCCTCGCGCCACAATCAGCGACATCGGCGCCGGCAGTACAGGAGACGGAACAAAGCTTGATAGACCGAGCCGCCCGGCTTCCTGCAACAGCGAGAAGGCTAGTCTTGAAGTCACGCCCAAGTTTAGACACCCTTAAAACAATTTTCAGTGTGGGGAGCTTCGAAACTCAGCTTGAAAGTGCCAACCCGACGCAGACACCAACGTTATACCCCTCTGATATCCGGGGGTCTGGTGCTTGGAAACAGCCTCTGAATTCTGCTACCGCGCATCTTATTCCAAGGAAACCTATAACCCGAAAACCCGTTCCTGTCCGGTTGGGCTCCGCATCGGAGACGCAGCGGAAAGCTGGAAGCAGTTTGAGACACAGCGTTCTCGGTGTCACAAGTGCCGAGGTTCCCCCAGTACCGGAAAAGTCGAGCAGGCGAACCATGAGTCTCACATCTCTGGGTGAACACGTGCTGCAGGCGGGATACCGAGCGTCCGGCATGAACTTGCCTAGTTCGACGGCCGACCTCCCATCCCCTCCGCTCCCCAGCCCAGTTGCCAAGGCATTGGCGGCTGAGCGAAACAGCAACACGTCGGAAACAGCCTACCCAGCGAGAAGGCCGGCATCGCTCCGGATTCCACCAAGTCTCAGCCGCAAAAACAGTCGCGAGAGCCTACAGAGTTATCCAGCTGGGCAAACACTTGCGAGCAAAGCCAGTATGGAAAGTGTCGGCAGCTACGCTTCGAGCCGGCCCGGAGCAGGCAGCGAACCCTCATACCCAAGGCCTCACAGCATGATCTTCATGGATCCTCGGCGGCTTCAATCTTTCCGGAAGTACAGTCCCCAATCCCCGCCATACTCTCCCACGCGGGAAGCCCAAACAAACACGCTCCCTCACCGGCACTCTCAAACTTTCAGCCCTGGCGGGAGCCGCCGCAACTCCATTACCTCAGTCCAGAGCGACGGCGCATTTTACTCAATCAACACTCAGGGGTGGCAATTCCGCACGACGCAACAGCAACAACAGCGACAGCAATCTCTGCGACATCGGGCCAGCTACGACGGTTACAGTTACCAGTACCGATCTACCGGGTATCCCCCATCCATGTCTAACGGTTACACCGCGCCTACTCAGATGTCTTCCAGCGCCGGCGGTAGGTCGTACCTCAACCCGGCTGCCACCTGGAGTCGAAGCCAAGCCGATGCCGCAGCGGGCCAGTACTACCAACCACACCCGGTGTATGTTCCCCGCGGCCACTACCGTAACCGCAGTATGGGTGGGACGCGAGGCGAGTCGGGGCCGAATCCGCCGTATCGCGTGCTGCATAGCTATAATTCGCCTGCGTACCGGCATGCGCCGATCTGGGGTTGATGAGAGGATGCTCGGCGCCCGGATGTGACACCGGCAGGTTGCTTGTGGACAAAATTTTCTTGCCTTACCATCTATTTTCTCACAGCCATTCATAGTATTTACAATTCTTCTTGAGGCGGCATCTTTTCTGCCTACAGACCTCCGACCCTTTACTCATTGAGGTCCTTCGAGACTTGCACGCTATCCGCGACCATTTTCCTTGCCATCTGTCAGCTCACTATACCTTCTACCCCCCTACTTTTTTCTTAGGTATCCACGTTCTTCTCTTCAACATACATGCATTTCACCGCTGCTAGTGAGCGCGGCCTCAGGTTGGGGATGTATTACCAGATTTGTTCGTTATTCACGTTTTTGAATATCCGTTTCTACCTTTTTTATGTCAGTTTTACACGGACTTCCGTGGTTTGTTTTCTCTCTGTTTTTTTCTTTTGTCAAGGGTTACGTGGGAGAGGGAACATTCACGCTAGGGCATCAACGATACGTCCATGGTAGGACAGGCTATTTGCTAGAAATAAATTATACCCAGGGGAAGGCGGGTGGTGGTTTTTGGTTGTTGTGTATCATTAGAAAACTGCAAAGGATTGTACAAATACATGAAGGGATATGATCAGTTGTTTGATGTGGCGTTTATGAGCTGTGACATTGTGGTGCTTGATGTAGTGCTGCTGGGTGGACTTGATAGGTTTTCATATGGTGATTGATGTGTTGGAAAGGGTGATCTCCTGCGGGTTGACCGCACTAGTGGCCAGACGAGGGGTACATACATATGCAGACGAGTTTACCTGGCACCTCTCAAACGAGGGCTCATGGGCGGGCGGGATGCTCAACAAGTCCACAGTAAGAGCCTCGGCGAGTAAGAGCGAGGCGGGGCGAATACGGGCAATGAGGTCGTGGAGATCGATGGGAGGACTAGTGGATGCGGAGGGATACCTCATTCCCCTAGTCCGCCCGTAGATGTCCTCAATATGTAGGTATACCATTGGGCTGGTGAATTTGAAGATCTCACGGGTGCATCTTGAACAAGGCTTTGGTCGGAAGGTCAAGAGATGACACGACGAAATCACATACCCCCCCACACAGCCCCGGTGTGATTGAGTCCCTGCCGACGGGAAGGTAGTGTAAAATGCTGACGAGTGGCGCGGTCGGTTGTCGGCTGCACAGTCTGGGGAAACAAGATGATTACCTAGTTGAAGGGTTGTCGTTGGATAGATGTATGAGCGGCAGAGCGGGCTTAGCCGGCGGTGTGGCTGTACAAGTTCACGGAGGGGTTCCGCCCTGTCTGTATACTCGGTCACGACGTTGTGGGCTGACAAGGCTGGTATGTAACCTTTCGCATCAGAGTAGGTAGTTACGGAGTGGTGGTCGACTGGATTGGGTTGGTGAATTTGTGGGGTGTCGAACCCTGAGCCCCTCCATTTGACAGAGCCTAGCGGGCATTCTCAAAGGACCTACGGGAGCCAGCAATGCGCCCTCACCTTTTGGGCTGCTCCGTCTCGGTGCCAGATGCGGCTCATCAGCTTTCATGGGGCGAGCCCAAACGCAGCCTGACACCCTAGGTCCTGTGCCAACATCATACCCGCGTCCGCAAATGCATCGGTGTGCACAGCCTGCCAGATCATTGAAACTCCATGCAAGCACGCGGTAGGGCTGAGGACACTGCAGCTCTGGTCCACCCCCGCCGTTGGAGGTGGTGGGCTCTCGGGCGGCTCAAACTGGGCGGGACCCACTTCGGTGCATGCACAGCCCAGACAAAGCAAGCCCGCAACCTGGAAGGCCTAGACTTGCAGGCAGTCGTTTAGGGATCCCTTCTAAGTTCGTCCCATCTCCATCTCTGTCCTTTTCTCTCATGGAGACGGCATGGGGTAATGAGATGAGATGTTGTTCTCTCCAGGCTCCCCTAACTGAGACCGATGTGTGTGTGTGCTCTGGTTTTGATTTTGGATGCAATTGTACGCAGGGTTAATTGGCATTTCCGAACATCGCTCAGGTTGCGGCCTGTCCGCCGGTGGCTGTGGTCTGCTCGATCAGGTCATTCATCGCCCGGGTGTAACTGAAGTTTGGACGGGAACCACAGCCTTGGAGTCTCCCAAGAATCGCTTCATCAGATTGATTGGCCAACAAGCGATTTCTGCTACTAGATGACCCCACATTAGTTCCTGGCCCGTCTTCGGGTCTTGCTGACAATCCCTGTCCAGCCTGCTACCACCTGAGGAACATTTGAGAACGAACGCCCACGTCGAGAACTCTCCTCCTGTTGACCTCTTCTGTCTTGTCCCGTTTCCCATTTCCTCCTCTCACGCACCCTTACTCGTTCCAAATACACGTCAATTTTACCATAATCTAGCTTCATCGATCGAATCTTCCGAATTTGGGACCCAATCCCCCAAGACCCAATGTCTTCATAGGCACGTTTCCCCGACGCCAACCGCAAGGCTGGGGTCTCAGCACCAAGCTCGGCTGGAGAGGAATTCGACATCTGTCCAAGGGAGCACTGCACCCAACCGCTAAAATGGGGTGCCTCAATGTGTGTTTTTTTTTTAGACTTGCTAATTCTTCATTGGGGGTTTAAGGTGGCTTTGGTTGGCTAGTTGGATAGGACTGACATCACTTTTCTCCTCGTTAGTTCCGGAAGAAGGAGAAGTCGAGCTTCTTCCGTCGGATGACCACCGTCGGGTTCGGCTCGCCCGTCCACGGGAGACATGTTATGAGAGAAGTTATCATTGCGGCTCTGGCCTGCAATATCAAGGCCCTCATCGGTGTCGACATAAGCGCGAGTTTCCACGAGTGTTTCAAGAGACACGTCCGGCACGTCTACGACGACTTGAGGAAGAGGCATTTGCTCTCACGCGAGGAGCTTGATACATTTATGCGGGAAGCGCAGGGTGTCGAAAATCTCTTCCTCGGGCCCAAGGACAACAGCGCGATCAAGTTCGAGGAATACAAGTTTGACGAATTCTTTTGGCTTTGGAGCCAAAACGAGGCGGCCTGGCGAGCGACAGGAGATAAAGAACTGGAAGAACTGGACACATCGCTTCCAATCAGCAACTACTTCATCAGCAGTAGCCACAATACCTACCTCGAAGGCAACCAGCTTTCGTCCAAAAGCTCTACGGATGCTTACCGCGCCGTCTGTACTCCTTGTCAACCCTCATACCATACACTACAATTAGCTAACTATTCTGCAGGTTTTGCTCAATGGATGTCGTTGTATTGAAATTGATGTGTGGAATGGATCTCCTCCTAGAGCGCCCTCCAAGTCCCCCAAGCAGGCTCATAAACGACATTTTTCGTCCGGCTCCCTCCCACGATTTGCCGGAGAAACGATCGACGCATTTGTTAGCACAAGATTGAGCAGGAACCACAGCCGCAGCCCGAGCGCCGTACAGGCAGCGTTTCCATCGCCAGATCCACGAGAAAGCGGCACCACACTCGACCCAAAAGACCTCACCGAACAACTGAGCAAGTCGAGGGACTCCTCCCGGTCAAATCAGAGAGCAGAGCCCGTAGTACACCACCACAACACCATGACCTCGACTGTCGGCTTCCGCGAGGTGTGCCAGACCGTCCGTGAAAGCGCCTTCGAGAACAACCCTCTTCCCATCATCGTTAGCCTCGAGGTCGGCGCAGACAAGGAGCAGCAGGAGGTCATGGTGGAGATTATGAAGGAGGAATGGGCTGGCTTACTGCTAGATGAACGGTTCGATTTCTGCGACCCCACGAAACAGCAACCGCGGTTAGAAGACTTGCTGAACAAAATCCTCATCAAAACGAAACGACCGGATAGCAACCGAGTAGATGGAGAAGTGGAGAGAGGACGAAGCAACTCGATTATGAACGCGAAACCGCCGATTTGCAAAGCCCTGGGAAAACTAGCAATATACACTCACAGCGAGCACTACGTCGACGAGACCTCCCTTAACAGCAGCACCCCCAGCCATATATTTAGCGTGAGCGAAGACGCCTTCCTCTCGCTAACCGCAGACGAGTCCAAGCTCGACAAGCTACTCCGGCATAACCGCGACTTCTTTATGCGAATTTACCCCAAGGGGATCCGGGTAGACAGCAGTAACCCAGATCCGAGCTTCCATTGGCGCAGGGGCGCACAGATGGTGGCCATGAACTGGCAGAAATCCGACGAGGGCATGCTACTTAACGACGCCATGTTTGCCGGCACCAATGGCTGGATTCTCAAACCCAGCTCCCTACGCGGCGCGACCAATGTCGACACCGCTGAGATGCTCACTATGGCCAGCACAGCAACTAAAACCCTGGACCTCCAGATCACTGTCCTGGCGGGTCAGTTCCTGCCTCTGCCCGAGGACCGGAAGAAAAGCCACGGGTTCGGTCTTTCGAGCGATTGGAAGTTCAAACCCAAGGTCAAGATTGAGTTGCATATTGAGAAGCCGAACAAGTCCATGGACTTCTCAGGGGAGACGGAGCCCGGGCGGACGGAGCACCCAGACTGGGGTAAGAACCCCCCAAGCATCGACTTCTTGGGCGTGCGGAATGTCATGGAAGAGTTGAGTTTCGTAAGGTAAGCGAACACTGAGTCCCAAACTCATCTCCTTCATTCTCCCTCTTGTTATGACGGAACTGTGGCTGACACAGGCTCGCATGGAAAATAGATTCAAAGTCGAAGACTGCTCCAGCAACTTCGGGGGCGGGGTCGTAGCTTGGGCTTGTGTCCGGCTGGACCGCCTCCGGAAAGGCTATCGGTGCCTCGACCTCTTCCACCCAGTGACCCGTCGGCCCTGCGAGGGGAAATTGCTCGTCAAAATTGCGAAGACCTTGAGGGATTAACCGTTGAATCCCCATCGCTCCCCCAAATGGCGCTCGCTTTCTCCTCTTCTTTTCGTTTCTATTTCATTTGTCAGCTGGACAATCGTTTTTCAACTATATTTCATTTTTACACATTTTTTATTATTAGGATCTTTGTATTTCTGCGTCACCTCTTGGGCATTTACGGGTCTCTATTTACTTGGCTATGGCGGGTTTTCTCCGACAACACATGGGAGGCGATCGGTTCACGCCGTATTTGGGTTACATATTGCATAAGTGGGTTCCTTTGTTTGATTGGCGAAACAGGACAGCGACAAACAAGTTTCGGGTTTGGGGATAATTTGTCTTGCTTGGTTGGTCTGGCGGGGTTTGGTTTCTTGATGCTGGTCTGGTATATCCAATGCGTTTGGGAGCGTGACAATTGGAGCGGCCGGCGACATGCTTTCGTTTTTTTCTTTACGGCCACAAGTTATGGCCTAGAAGATACAATCAAGCAATTTCCTGTTTCCTGAGTACGATAGTTGTCGACCTCGTGGCCGACGGCTGGGTGCAGTTCGACGCGGATGGGTCGGTGGATGACTCTGGCTCTTATTCTGTCTGCTATGGTGCCAACTCGGGGGCATCGCTGTATGCTCAAGTGGTGCTGCCACCCGCATTCCAGACATGGGGTTTTCCCAGTGGAAGTACACTGAATATTTATTCACCCAAACCCGTGGCCCTCATGGACTGAACCTGCCCCGTCCAGCACATTCAAAGCCGGAATCGTCTTCCGGCAACATGTCGACGTGCACTCTTTGCGAAGGCATGAGGCCAGACGAGCTTGAGCTCAGCACTCCGTCTCTGCGCAGCTTGTAGGCCTACTCTCTAGAGAAGTATATGGATACCATCGAAGCAAATGCAAAGGCGTGGGGACTGAGAGTGGGAGGAGATTCTTATAAAGTCAAGCATAACCCTTCCAATAGCCATGCCGATCAAAATTGGTATATTGCAGCTTTGGCTCAACTGGCTGGGCCACTGCCACTCAGGGCGGTCTCCAGTTTCCCCGAGTTTCTGGGGATATGGGAAGTATGGAGTAACGGCCAATACGAGATTCTTGATGGATGGAGCAGGGTAGTCCATTTTCATCGGCCTCCCCGCAGCGATCAGCTGATATCTCTCTGGATAATGTCATCGGTTAATGTAATTAGCTAGGTGCCTTAGATAGCACCTGGCACGGCTACTAGTCATCACCTTCATCTTCCTCTTTTCTCAGCTGAAGAATACTTCGAGTCCAGGCAACACAGTGTAATCACCTCACAAATGAGATTCAAGATATGTCTTTATACCTATGCCTCAATAATTACTTGTCTACATATGAACTAGGTAACCATATTCAGGGTAATCACGTTACCTTCTTCATATCCTTCAACTTGATCTTGCCCTCAACTCCAAAGGAGTTAATCATCAAGGGACCAAGGCTCACCACGATCCCCGTGGAAAGGATAGCATAGCTCTAGCGGGATATTAGAATCCATCCCTCGGGTATAATGCATCTCTTCTGCAGCGCTCGTCACGCCAATAATCGGGTCAACCGTGACTTCCAGAATCTCATCATCGTCTTCAAGCCCCCCATTCGGCCTTAGATCAAACCACACGAAATAAAACACCACCGTTTCCCAAGCCTGTTCATCTTCATCCTTCGGCACCTGCCCGAGTACGATTACCATCTGCCTGTAGAATTTCATGTTGCTACGGTAGGAGTCCCCCCACTGAAACTCTTTGCGGCCAGCGGCCCGCGCTGCAGCCATCTTTGCCCGTTGATGAGCAACCGCCCGGGTTATCATATCAGTGCGTGCAAGGCGGGCCTTGTCGGCCCTTATTTCAGGGGGATACCGCCTTTCCGACGGTGGCAAGTCGAGCCACTCCCCCGTTCGCATTAATCTGGTATCCTCCGCGACTCGCCTCGCCATTCGATCCAAAGCAGTACCATCATCCTCCCCTGCCCCGCCAGCCCTTCCACCGCTAATAGCCGCCATGAATTCTTCTCTTACCCCGTAAACATCCAGCCGGTCCCGGGCGGCCGTTTCGTCACCATGGTGAATATCAAACGTCTTCACCTCTAGCGCTCCCGCCACGCTAACAAGCTCATCCAGGCCCGCCTCCTCGCGCCACGGCACATAGATCTGAAATGTAATTCACGGCGACTCGTGTGTCCTATCGCCTTCACCAAACTTCTCAGGGGGCTGCCCTTCCAAGTCACGGGTGTACTGGTGCCACACGCTTACACATGGCAACGACGCGTCCACGAGGTCGCCCGCGTCACCTCCCGAGTCGTTCCCGTTCCCGTCGTCGTCTTGCTGCTGCGCTGGCTGGTGCTGCGGATGTTGGGACTCGATGTCCTGCGCGATTTTCGTTACGAGAAATTTCCGTATGCGCGGAATTGAGTGCCGTGGGTAGCGGGTCATTCCACCGTTTTCTTTGTAGCGGCGCATGGCGTCGCACCAGTCGCACCATTTCACAAATGGCCGCTCGAGTGTCCCGAGTTCAGGGCTCTCGGGTCGTTGCGATGCCATGATTGTAATCGCTTAGAGATACAAGAGCGGGGAGCGGGTATCTTGCTTTTCTTGTTCTGCGAAAAATGGAGGAGAATTTCCGGGGCTGAGGTGAGCCGATATCTTGTCGAGGATTGACTCTGCTGGCGGCAGTTTTGAACAATGAATGTGTTACGTTCCCGGCCAGATAGCTGGCTTTGTGCGATCTGGGGAGATGGCGGGGAAACTCAAGACGTTGTTTGATCACAGGGCAGCAGCTCGCATGATGCACAATATATGTTGGTGCGGCCGTTCGCACATTAGGTTGCGAGCGATAATTGGAGCGGCTAGTGGCATGTTTTGGCTTTTTAGGGGGGGCACAATTGATGGCGTAGGAGATATAATCAAGCATGTTGTTATTTCCTAAGCACAATCGTTTTGTCAACTTAAGTTGTCTCGTAACTTCGTGTCTAGACTTGGGGTTGGATGTGGATGCGTCTGAGGCCACTGTGAGCGCTGATGTAGCCCCACTCATACGGCTGATTAGATAAGCGAAATCAAGCACTTCGACGACCATAAAATGGTCCACACCAAAATTTTCCTCTTCCGCAGAACATCTCAATTCTCAAAACACGCGCCATTAGCCTTATTCGTTACCTCGCCGCAGTCCGATAGAGCTCCTCGTATGGCACAATATTATCTCAGGGACGTGTATCCAACCTTGTTCTTCTCGCTGGCCCAATTCTAGCGCGGTGTCGGCCCGGTAAGTTCCCGGTTCGTCTCGGAGTCGCTGCCGTTTTCCACTGGCGGGCGCTTCTCACGACGCGCGGGTTAACTACGCCATCCATTAGCAAAGGGTATGTCGAGTTCTCCTCCCGTTTTTCTATTACGCCCCCGACCCTTCCACCGTCGTTATGATGAGAGTAATTTGCGATTGATACCGGCTGGGTGGTCCCCTTTCGCCGGGGCGACTATATCCTCCGGACATATGATAGTTTTTCTTACATATTCTGAACAACCACGATGACCTCGCTCTCTTGCAATTGATTATACTGTTTGTTAAGAGACCATCTCTAACTCGGGTCATCAGTAGGATTTTGAACCAGCGGGATCGGTGCTAAGCACTCGTCGCGTCCTCTTGGTGGGGCCAGGAGATGCGTAGCGTAGGAGTTTTGTTACTCGCACGAAGCAAGCTCAACAGTTACATTCAGATAGATGAATACACATTTCCGCATAATTACTTGCTCGCTTCTTGTGTTGCTTCCCGATAACTGTGTGCCGAGTTGGTGTGGCTGCTTGTTGTACTGTATGTGCATCGTCGTCTCAAACCGCCGCAAATACCCTACTCACTGGTCGCATCACGCACCAGAATCAACGTTATCAGACCTACAGACACAAAAGCCGCTTTAAAGTCCGTGGTATCTAAGGGAATAAATTACAAACGCCAGTAACCCCATCCCCGATCCTCAGTAAAACATTAAGTCGATATGGTTCTCTACACCATCTTCATACCTCGTCTTCAAAGCTGCCCTACACAACAGCTTCGCAAGAGGCATCATTGTTTCTCTCATGTCCACGATTCCTCGCTTTTTTTGGTCGATATGCGAAGCATCTACAACGATCCGGTTCAAATTTTCAAGAGATAGGGCATCTAGGGTACTGTTAGTGTGAAGTCCCTCCGTATTAACGCCGGAAAGAGAGTGATCCCGTACCGTTCTCAATCAGATCAATCAGCCGTTGGGGTGTGCCAACAGCGATCCCGGTGCGGCTCTTCTTGAGGAAGGAAACCTGTTCTTCGACCTTGAAATGTTTTGCAAACTGGGAGCCATTGTCAGTAACTTGCGGTGTCTCAGAAACAAGTGTCCCATCTTCTACTCACCAGCTTCGCCACGGAGGCGTCCTTCTTTTGGAACTTCCTCACGGCTCTCACGAGCTCTGCCGCGCGAAGGCCAGCCCCGGCCACGACGAGGGTATGTGGCGATCCGGTCGCCTTCGATGCTTGGGAAAGCTTCGCCGGCTCTGTGGTAAACGCCTCTAGGAACCCTGGCAAGTTCTCAAGAGACCGCGGCTTCTGCCATGAGGTGGTGTCCAGAATTGAGTTCGCTTCGAGCCAATGGTTAGCACTCTTACAGCCTGGGTCAAAATACTCGAGGGGAAGGTGAGTTGGGGGTTTACCAGATATGTATAGATCGGTCAGCTCGACCGGGCTCAAATCGGTTCCGAAGCGGCGTGTCTTCTGCGCGATGTGGTCCGCAACAAGCTGACCGTCCATCCGCTCAAACGCTCTGTTCAGGCCGGCTTCAACATCAAGATCTTCTTCATCCTCCCTCAATTTCTTCTGCTTCCGCTGCTTCTTCGCCTTCTTCCGGGGTTCGTCGTCGTCTTGCAGCTTTCTCTTGCTGCTGTTTTCGGTTATGGCTGCCATCCTGGGTGTGGGAAAAGTGACCAAAAAATGAGAAACGTTTTGGGTTTGGTGATGCTTCAAGTTAACTGTTTGTTCTCATACGATGAATGCAAGCGTCGGTGTCTGGTACAGTTTTATCGAGATTCTTCGGTGTGAGGGTTGCTTCAACTGAAAATGAAATGGATGTCGAAAGTTTTATTCGCCAGAAAATTTGGTGCAACCAGATACAGTGCTGATTGAACTTTTATGGGATACACACTGTATTTATCTGCACTGATAAAATTCGTTGCCCACTGACATGGCCTCCATAGCGACCCAGCTCCATCACTTTGACAGCAGTGTCACCGTGCGAGGAGTTATTCTCTCCTGAATTCAACATTGTTGGGGGCTTCAAGTCAACATCATGTCTCTCACCTTGGTTGCTCCGAGCGAGTTTATCATTCTGCGTGAAAGGGAATATTCCTGTCTGCCGTTGGTAGAAATGAGGATGTCGGCTGGGTTAATGTTTTCTTTCAAGAAATTAAGCCCTGTCGGATGCTTGATCTCCCAGACTTGACTAATGGTAGGTGCGGGGGCGAGAGTTGTATTTTGAGAAGCCGGGTTCCTTGTATGTTAACTTGAATCCAACATGCCTCTTTGGATTTTCATCATTTCCGTACTGCATCTTGTTTTGCAGAGTACTGGATTGCTTACCTCTCACTCTTTTCCCGAATATATTCCTCACGATTGACGAGGTTAAGTGAAGTGCTTCCTTAGTTCCAGATGGTCTTCCAATTCCATGGCCCCTCAAACCGAGATCCCGGTGGTATGAACGAACGGCATCCACTATCACCCCAATGGCTATGTTCGCACGCTAATGTTACCATTGACAGGCTGCTAATGTCCTAGGAGTGAGAAATCATCAAGTTCAACACTCTCATCTCTTTCCCTCGGATCGCTGACTACCACTCGCTTTACAGACGATAGGAACAGGTGAGTCTGTGAGGATTGCCAGGACATGCCATCGGCCCCCGTCGTTAGCTTGGCTGATGCGTGTAATGATGATCTAACATTTACAGTGTGAGGTCTCACTCAACCCAACCCGCTCCGTTTGATACAGCAATCTCTTTGCTTCTAACGTGCCCGTTCTGTTCCAAATCCCAGATTTTGGTGTGTTCAGGTGCGTCTCACAGCTCCTACTTGAGCACATTCGTGATACTAACTATGAGACCCAGCTCATTCCACAAATATGGACGAACTGGAGGACAAAAAAGACTGAAGGCCTCCCTGCCCTGATGATGTTTCTTTGGGCATTATGTCAGTCCTTGGCTCCTCACTAACAAAACCTTACCATGAGCCGGCGTTGACTAGACATCCGCAGGTGGTCTCCCCTTTGGGGTTTATGCTATTTCTCAGAACTTCAACATTCCTCTCCAGGTGCAGCCGCAGGTCTTCATGGCCCTCTGCTTAGTGTCGTGGGCACAAATACTACGGTACCATAAGTACGCATGACACTGCTGTCTTACTCTCATATTTCTGGCATTTCTAACAAGTTTATTTGGGAACAGCCGTTGGCCAGCATGGAAAGCATCTGGATTAGCTCTCGCAATTGCAGCTCTCTTTGCGGGCCTAGAGGCCGCTCTTATTCTGACGTTAAGGGTTCGGGTCATCTGCAATATGTAATGAGAGAGTTGGACTGACCGTATCAGCCGATATACGAAGATGGCAGCGAGACTCCTATGATTGTTGTCGGAATCATTGCCGCAGTTTTACTCGCCGCCGGCTTACTCCCGCCATATGGAGAGCTGTGGAAGAGAAGGGGAAGAGTCATCGGGATAAATTGGGTAAAGATGCCCAAGAAGGGATTCGTTTCTTTTTCTGCTTCGAAATATCTACTAACCGTTTCCCCAGGTCTTTCTCTCTATGGATTGGCTCGGCGCATTCTTCTCCCTCATGGCCCTTGGTAACCGAAACTCTTGACCACTTACACGGGCAGTGCTAACAAATGTATGTGTTATAGTTGCCCAAAACAGATTTGACGTCCTTGGCGGTGTTCTTTATATTATCTGGTCAGTCGTACAGACCCACCGTGATCTTAGAACGCCCTACTCATACGTTGATTGCAGCTGCATTCTCGAAATTGGCATCTTCTCCTCCCACCTCGTATGGCTGGCGCGAACTCGGAAAATTCGGAAAGCTGCAGCTGCTGAAGGCAAAACCTTTGACGCCATTGCGGCGGAGCATGAAGCTCGAGGAATCCCGTTCAAATTTGCGGAAAGGAAGAGTTGGAAGGAGGAAAGGAGAGCCGTGCGGACCGAAGGGAGCAAGGAATCATCGGGGGGCGATATTGAGATGGGAGGTGTGGAGCAAGGGGCGCAGAACAAGTGACTGAATGATACAAACGGGACCGGGTTCTCTTGGGGAATCCGAGTTGATACTTCGACGAGAACTACTTGATCCGTATTCCCGAATATGCATTGGGGGGCGAGCTCATCCGATCACACGCCCAACACCGGACACGCAAAGCTAGGAGGTAACCACCGGAGTAGGACATGAACAACAGTGTCGCTCCGCATTCGGTAATGGATGCAGTGGCTCGGTCCATTCGGAGGTTTGGTAGGCTCTGACCGTGATACAGCCGTAGCATAATTACTAGTTTGGCCGAGCCCGATACCTTTCACAAGGACCCCCACACTTTGCTGTGTAACTGCCAGAAGCGTTGCGGGAAGCCCGTTTGGTTGGCCAACAGCTTCGATCACTTGAGGACCTCGGGACGGGGAGTCGGTTAAGCGGGATGTCATGAGCATGCGAGGCAGGATTGCTTCGGAGCGGAAATGCGGCTGGCCTTTCGTCCATTTATTCTGGAAGTCGTGCTTCATCAGCTTTGTATAACAGAGGACGTGGTATAACTACGGATCTGTGAACAACAGTATGAGTTAACAGCGAAGGTACATGGCGGAAACAGACCTGGCTGGAAGCGGTGTCTGCCCGGGTGTTACTCCGTGTGTTTGTGGCGATCGGACGAATGCAAATCGTGTCAAGCGGGGGCGGCTGGCGGGCCGCGGGTAAACTCAACTGAAGTGATTCTCAACCTTCTTTCTCATTCAGTTCAAGTCAGAATGACTTGGCTTGGACATGTGGACTAAATTTACTGCTTGGTATCAGAACCCTGACTGGCTCGCAATCAGCCGCTGACTGACTGTAACCCTAA